ACGAGATACGGAACGGAGAAGCAAGCTTTGACCGGTACGCCCTCACCGATAGCCGCGATCTACGTCAGCTGTCGAGCGGCCGTCCTGCTGTGCTCGTCTCGACATGGAATCGTCACCGACTAGCGCCGCGACGGGTCAAGGACACCGCGTAGAGAAAGCCCCCACCCATATAGGTGAGCCTACGCGGCCTGATGGGAAAGCCTAGGCGTCTACATCCTCCCGAAACAAAACGCCATAGCACTGGCACTTACCACCTCGCTTCGTAGCATAGGTATGCCTACCTACCTACCTGCAGGTGACTGTAGGAGAAGATAGTGACTGTGGCTGCGGAAGACTACGATACAATACGACGCAGATCATCATACCGGACTTGGCTATCCAACTCACCCAACCTACCTGCCTGCCGGTCTAGTTACGCGCATATATATCTAGGTACGTATAGCTATAGGCTGATACCTAATATAGGCACATATAATAATAGAATATAGTATAATATAGAGCGCCTTCTTGGCGGCCCCGGGACTGCCTCCGCGTTTACAATTACCAGACTGTTTAGCTTCGCTGCGCGGGTAGGCAGCTGCGGACTGGACCCTCGGTCCCTCCCGCCGGACGGGCAGCTTGCCTGGCCGGCTCTCGGCTACCTGTAAAGACGTCTCGTCCATCTAGCACGAGCCAAAGCGGACGTGAGAGGCTGTTCGGTGGCTTGGGTTCGCCGTCTGAGGGGGGGGCGGGCGAAGTTTACTAGCGTACGCGGACGAGAACCGCCACCCCTCCTCCGGGTCGTGTGGCACGTGGAGGCACGGCTAACTTTGCCTCCCTCGGATGAAACGTGTCAGGAGGGGCTATAATGCTACGAGCTAAGCTGGGTGAGAACGAGAGTTAGAGGGGGAAATGGGGGGACGGGAGGCGAAGATGCCCCCAACGTTTATAGGGTATAGGTGGCGGTACGTAGTCGCCGCTAGCATCTGATGGCTTTGGAGTTGGCGGTTCCGGTGGGATCGGATTCCGCGCGGGAAAAAGCTTCTGGGCTGGGGGGGTGCTAATACCAGAAGTAATACCGGCTGGGTTGGGCTAAGTACCTACGTAAATATCCAGGTCTGTACCTTAGCTTAGGTACCTACCTTCTAACGTATGTACGTACCTATGTACTCACACAATGTAGTACACCGGCTATCTAGCGATATAGGTAACTACCTTAGGTAGCATAGGAAGAGAAGCGTGGCGGGGAGGGATGATCGACCCCCATGCCGGACATGGTTGGACTGGATGGGGGATAAGCAGAAGGGGGAGGTTGTACATATATAGGCATTAGTTGTCTAAATTCTTTCTTTTCTTTCTCTCTCTCTCTCTCTCTCTCTCTCTTTTCACGTACGTACCTGGGTAGGTACCTGTAATTGCGAGCATCTCTCCTCTCCCCTCTTCTCTTCTCCGTTCCTCTCCTCTCCCTAAAGGTACCTACCGAATTCGACACGGTACAAACGTAGCGCGGTCCGTACGGTACAAGGCAGGTATGCGTAATACAATCGGTCGATAGGCGGGTCTTCGGGAAGCCCTCGACGGGTGTCCGTCTGTCCGTCCCGCGCAGGCTGGTGTTGTCTCGTCGCCTTGTCTCGTTACCTTTGTCGTGCCTGGTTGCGTAGGGTGTGTATGTCCCTGCCCGTACGTATGTACATCACTGAGAGGTACCCTGCCTGAGGCACACACAGAGATGCCCCTTACTATACGTTGCATACATTTGTGTGGGTGGTTTTCTTCATGCGACGTGGTTTCTTCCCGCATGGGTGATATTTTCCCTAGATATTTTCCCTACAAATCACTTCTGGCCGAATCTGCGGAACCCGCCCTTCTTTTTTTTTTTTTTAACTTGTAAGGCGAGTTATGGCCCGATAAAACCTTGTTTTGCTGTAGGCCGTGCGGAGTTGGGGGAATCTATAATTGGCGATAGACAGCGCTAGACCGACGCCCACCCGTGCAGCCGGAGATAGCATACCCCCGATACCCCGTCTCCCCGAACGGGGCCACCCTAAGAGGTTGCGAGCATACTGTGTGCACTATTACTACGTAGCAGCGGCAGGTACTATAATCGAGATGGGTGTACACGTACATTAGCACGCCAGAGGTACGTGCCTGTGTACCTACCGTCCTTGGCAGTCCTGGGGACGTCCATAACGGGTATGGCGGGCACCTGACGCCGCTAAGGCTCGATGGCAGGACAGGAGAAGGTAGGAAGGGAAGAGAGCGAAGGGGAGAAGAGACAGCGAGCGGGGCTTGGGGCTCGAATCGCCTCGTCAAATCCAGAACCCGCTCCTGTGATGAGGCGCGTTGGTAAACACGGACGTGCGCAAAGCTGTCCTGCTCCTGTACGCCCTCCTCCAAACGGGTAATTTCTATTCCAGCTGCGGTGGCGGCGGCAACGATACGTAGGTACCGCTGGGGCACGGGTTGCCGCTCGAGCTCCACTTATGGTGACGGAGAGAGGAGAAGGAGCAAAAAAAAAAAGTAGGAGAAAAAACAGACGAGAAGGGATTATTTAAGCACGGGATGATACAAAACAAAACGATTCCCGTAGTGCTTATATATACCCTTAGTATATAGCTACCTACCTCTTACCTACCTACCTACATAACCTCCGTCGGGATACTTCCACCAATGACTTGATATCGGCGCCTGTCGTGTCTTTATGTAGGTTAGGAGGTATCGGAGGTAGTCGTCACAATAGCATTGTATTAATTAGGTACCTATGTACGTAGGCAGGTATGGAGGCAGCATGTCTCAGAGTCATAGCTGTAGGTTCCTCCTCCTACAGCCCCTACGGTCCGTCCTTATCCATACACACACATACACTCGGTGTTACCTCGCAGCGAAGCGACGGACCGGCCGAATACTAAATTGTACGCATCCAAACTTTTGCATCGCGTTTTCCCAGACAGGTAACCTACCTTAGGTACCTAAGGCTACGGTCTCTTCTTGTTCTTGTTCTTGTTCCTCCTCCTCTTCTTCTTCCTCGCTCACCAGAGGAATTGAAACCACGTAACACCTAAATCGGCGACGGCCCGGCATAGAACGAGGTTGGGTACCTACCCACCTGCCTACCTCCTATCTATCTAAAAGCCTCCATCTTGGTGCGAAGCAACACATGCCATGGCCACTCGTAAAGTCCCACGCCCTACAGGAGGCGATACTCCAAAAAAAAAAATCCAAGTCTCTTGAAGGCACCTAGGTACACAAGCTACGGGTTCTATCGTATGTCTTGCGTTAGGTAGGTACCTCCTAAAGGCGTTGGAAATGGTGGGGATTCTGCAGGTGGTCTCGGACTTCACAGCGTCACGTTTAAACACCCGCGGCCTTAGGTACTTCTTGAGTACCTAAGCCTCGGCACGTACCTGATGCCAACCCTCCCCCCCCCAAAACCCCCAAGTACCCTGTACTACTCACCTACGTAACCGCTATCTGCCATTTATTACCTGCCTACATGTACATACATACATACATGCATGCCTGCCTTGGCGCAGAGCTGGGCACACGCCGGTCGTTTGCACACCGACCCATCTCCATAATCTCTCAGATTAATGTATGCATTAGGTACCTCTATGCGGATGTGCTGCCTGCCTACTACTACGTTGTATGCAGACACATAGTGCAGCATCCAGACGCCCGCAACGAGGCGCTGGGGCGGTGCGATTAGGTACAATGGTGCCTACGTAAGGCGTACGTGCGTACGCTAGACATGTACCGGTGCGAGGTCCCGAGGTCACCTTCCTCGCATGTCTATACCTACCCATCTATACTATGTTGGGTACCTAAGATAGTACCTACCTGCTTACCTATAACCTAAACTATACAGAGAACCAGCACGTAGTACTAACACTACCAACCACCCGAGGTACCTATAACGTTAAGGCACCTACATGATGCCCGCATGTCCACCTCCCTGCCCAGGTGAGTGCCTAGGTACCTACAAGAGGGAGGGGGCGCGTATAGGGACAAATGTACTATACCTAGGTAGGTACCTAAGGTGGGTGCTAGGCAGGGAGCTGGTATACATGGATACCTCCGAACCCAAGGTCTTGGCTAACCGCCATGGCGCACCTTCCTCCATCAGACCCCACCGATGCATGTACCGATGTTTCTACCTTACCCACTGGGCTTACCTGCTTGGGCTAAGTGGGGGCTATCTGTTCCGCTGGCGCATGTATAGAGACGCGCCCCATACGCAAGTCCACAGAGGCGCATCCTCGCTTGCCTTAGGTAATACGGCTGGGCAGGTAGGTACCTAGATCACGTACCCCCCATGTCGGCCTCCACCCAGGTACCTATGTACCTCCACTCCTGAGCTGTTCTCTAGCCCCATTCCCTTCGTGGCTGCCGCTTGCCACTGGATGGACCCCCCCCCCATACTCCCCACTCACAGCGCAGACAGCCTAGACGCGGCGCCGCACTAAGGAAAACAAGCTGTGGCTAACCCAGAGAGGCAAGCTGCTGGGGTGGTGGGGCGCGTGGAGGACAACACAGATACACGTACACGGGCGGGCAGGCTAAGAGTGCCGAATGTACTGTCCCTATCTCAGGTACGAGGTTGCTGCACGTGTTGCTAGGTTAAGAATTTAGGTGCCGCGGAGAATCCGTAGGGAGGGTTACGTGGATATGTGTAGAGTAGATGGTGTAGGTACGCAAGCGCGAACACGGCTTAGCGTCTCGCAGAACGGAAAAAAAAAAGGTAAGAAAAGAAAAAGAAAAGGAATTAAAATACAATAATAAGCTGGCAGCGACCCACCGGGCCCACTCGTGCATGTATCCAGTACCTGCGGGCAGACGCACGCTCCTACGCGCGCGCACAGAGGTAGCCATGTACGCGGCATGCGACGTAGCGTGTACTTGTGTACCTGGGTACCTACCTACGTCGGCGGCCGGGCTAGGGAAAGGTAAGGTATACTCATAATCCCCCCTGCACGCGCCGGCCTGGTCCTGGCGACCCCTGCCCGCACCCACTCTCGCCCTCGCCCTCTTCTCCTCCCCCCTTCAACTTGCTGGTTGCAATCCGTGCATTGCATGGATCCGTCGCCCGAACCCACCATCCATCTCCCATTTTCCTTCCACCACGCAACAGGTCATGGTTCTAATCCAGCTCGTGCCTAGCCCCCGAGCCCTGGTCAAACAAATCTGAGTATTACCAGCCTGGGTCTCCTCTTCTCTTGCCATCCCTTCTTTTTTCTCCATCATCTTCCGCTTCCTTCACAAATCTTGCCTACGCTCCTCCCCCTCCTCCCCTCCCCCCCAGCCTCACCAACGTCGTCGCCCCGTAACCTCAACCCGTCCCCGTCCGCCGTAGGCTATAGCGACCATTTGCAACCCGCTGCCTACGATTGCGCCCTTGCCCTCGTCCCGTCACCCCGGGCTCCCCTTCTGCCTGCTCCCTCCCCGCGCGACTGCTATGTTCGCTGTCCTCTGACCCGGCCCTGCCAAGTCTCTTCTCGGTCGTGCAATTGGGCTGCGAGGGCGGGAGATCCTCGCGCGTGAGGCTGAATAAGAGCTGAAGGAATCATCCCGAGAGGTTGCTCGCACCTTACGGCCTTCTGTCGTAAACATCATCCCCTCGTCGAACACCTACCACGCGGTGGCACGTACGCGATACCTCTTCGAACGTCAAATTCTAACCCACCCTTTGCTCCGTCGTCTCGTGACCGCAGCTCGTCCGCGCAAGACGACACCATCGCATCAATATGTCCATGTACCCGCATCGCGGCCTGCCGCAAAACGCGGCGCGCCTTAACGAACTTCTCGACCAGATTCGCACCGAGTTCGACAATCAGGTCCGCATGAACGAAGGCTATGAGCAGCAAAGTGAGTCGGCAAATACACACACACACACACACACACACGCAGACGGGCTACGGGTATCGCGTGGACCTGATTCGCTGCTGATCGCGCCTGTCTGCGGTTCCACGTCTAATTCATCCTGTCATCCCCTCCGCAACTCGTCGTTGGCACGCTCGAGATAGATTCGCTGACGCCTCAAACAGTCCAACAGCAGGTCCAGGAAGCCCAGCTCATCCGCGAGAAGGTATATCAATTAGAGCAGCAGCACATCAACATCAAAGCGAAGTAAGCGGGTCTACCAGAAATCACCTTGGCCAAAGTTCCTAACCGTGACGGCACAGGTATGATGAAGAGATAGTTCTGCTACGCCGTCAACTCGAGGCGGCACGAGGTGGCGCTCCGCAGCCTGCCATCCCCGGCCCGCCTCAGCACGGCGGCCCTTCGGCGGGACCTCCGCCCCCTTCCATCGGCATGGGTAACAACCTCTTTAGTGGGATCATGACGGGGCAGGGTGGTCAGGGTGGTCTGCCGCCGCAGCCCACTCCCCAGGACCAGGCCCCGCCCGGGCCTCAGCACCAGATGCCGCAACCACCGGTGCTGCAAGGGCCGCCTCCCCCGCCGGCGCCTCCTCAGCAGCAGCCTCCTTTTCAGCAGTCCTACCAGGGGCCAGGTCCCAACGGGTTCCCGGGTCAGCCCCCTCAGAGCACGGCTTCCCCCGGCCCAGGCAAGCGTGGCATCGGTAGGCCTCCGGCTGGTGGGCCTGCTACTCCGCAAATCAACACCCCGATGCCGTATGCCGGGCCGGGCGCCTCGCCGCAGGTCGCGAACCACCCGACCCCTGATCACCGGGCCATGCCGCCTCACCCCGGTCCGATGGTCAACAACGCTCTCGGCGACTTGGACGTCGAACGTCTCCCGCCTCACGTGAAGAAGACTCGGGACGATTGGTTCGTCATCTTTAACCAGCACGTCCCGCGTCTGCTGGACGTCGATCTAGTCCACACCCTAAACCACGAGAGCGTGGTGTGCTGTGTGAGATTCAGTCACGACGGCAAATACGTGGCGACCGGGTGCAACAGATCCGCACAAATCTACGATGTCTCTACCGGCGAGAAGGTCTGCGTTCTTCAGGACGAGAACGCCGACGTCACCGGGGATTTGTACATCCGGAGTGTGTGCTTTAGCCCCGACGGCAAGTACCTGGCTACGGGAGCGGAAGATAAGCTCATTCGCGTAAGTTGAAACCCCCCCCCCCCCCCCTTTTGGCGGCACCTACGCCGCTATTTGGCACACGTACATTTTGTCTAAACTGAGTAGGTGTGGGACATCGCCTCCCGGACGATTCGGAACACGTTCGCCGGCCACGAGCAGGACATTTACTCTCTAGATTTCGCACGAGACGGACGCACGATCGCTTCCGGTAGCGGAGACAGAACTGTGAGGCTCTGGGATATCGAGCAGGGTACTAACATGTTGACCCTCTCTATCGAAGATGGCGTCACCACCGTTGCTATCTCGCCGGATACGAAGTACGTCGCTGCCGGGTCACTCGACAAGAGCGTTCGCGTTTGGGATATCCACCAGGGGTACCTCCTAGAGCGCCTCGAGGGCCCCGAAGGCCACAAGGACAGTGTCTATTCCGTCGCATTTTCTCCTAACGGCAAGGATCTGGTGAGCGGTAGCCTGGACAAGACCATCAAGATGTGGGAGTTGTCTACCCCTAGGGGAGGTCAGAATCCTGGCCCCAAGGGAGGCCGATGCGTCAAGACCTTTGAGGGTCACAGGGTAAGCGCTCATACTCGGGCCCCCGTGTCGTTCATTACGCTAACTAGCTTAGGACTTTGTTCTCAGCGTTGCCTTGACCCCGGATGCGAACTGGGTTATGTCGGGCTCTAAAGATCGGGGGGTCCAGTTCTGGGATCCCCGAACCGGCTTCACCCAACTCATGCTCCAAGGGCACAAGAACTCTGTGATCTCGGTAGCCCCCAGTCCGACCGGCGGCTATTTCGCGACGGGCTCCGGCGACATGCGGGCTCGCATCTGGTCGTATAGACCCCTGTCGTAGACAGGCATGTATCAGTCGCACGGCCGAAAGTGACTCAGTATACTACTAAGCTGCTTAGTTGTTACTTACATGGAGTGACGCTTTACTTCCGCAGCGAGGGCTATCTGCCGTGTGTCCGATGATAATAAAGCTCGGGCGTTTGTTAATGGTTGCCTTCGGGTTTAGGGAACTGCTGGTGTTCTAGAATCGGAGTTGCTGTGACTTCAGAAACCCCTCGGGAAGGAGGAGAGGAAGGGGTGGCCTTTTCCACCCACGTTGACGACGCGCCTCCATTCCCTTCCGTTTTCCCTCTTCCCTCTCTCCTCGACAGACATCTAGGCGTGGATAAATAAACGGCGCTGTACCTTTTTTTTTTCTCCGCCTTGTAGGGTGGACAATGATGGGGGAGGGAGAAGAATTCGGAGTCGAAACTAGGTGGTTAAAGGGGGCGGGGGAGGGAGGAGTTGGTTCTATCTTCTCTCACCCCTCCCCCTTCCGCCTTCTCGGAAGTGGTGATGGAAACGCTTACTTATTTTAGAAGGGGGCCCCCACGTCTTTTCTCTCTCGAACTGCTTGTTGATAAAAAATAAATTTAAAAATAAAACAAAGAAACCGGCGTAGCCTCGAGGTCTCGCTCGGCTTAAAATCAAGTCCTTTTTTTTTTGACCCCGTTTTTCTGTGCGTGACCCTGTCGGTGCTATGAAGAACACAAGTAGGGGAAGGGGGTAGGTACATTAAAAACAAGGAGAAGAAAGGGGGGGAGGGGGAAGTAATGGGTGGGCTTTCTGGTGAGTGAGTGAGTTGGGACGCGGATTAGACGAATTAGACCTCGGCGCGCGAGGGCGAGTGCGGCAGGTAGCAAGCGCAAGTCCGCAGTAGGTAGGTAAACAAGATGCACGCGGGTATGCCGCCGCCGTGGCATGTGTGCGACTCGGCCTACCTACGACACAGAACCAGAGGCAGATGAACGAATAGATAGATCTCCTAGGCGCCTAGGTAGGTAGGAGGTAGGTTATTCCCTACTACGTACATGCACGCATTGTCGCATCTCGTCCCCTTCTCCCCCCCTCCCGTCTACACCATGCCCCTGAACAAGGCGTCGAACTCGTCGCCGCCCGTGCTCTTCCTGCTCTTCCTCTTGCTCTTCTTCTTGGTCGTCGTCGTCGTCGTGGGCTTTGGGATTGGAACCGGCGTCGCACTTGTCTCTCCTCCTCCCCCTTCTCCTCGTCCTCCCCCTTCTCCTCGTCCTCCCCCTTCTCCTCGTCCTCCCCCTTCTCCTCGTCCTCCCCCTTCTCCTCGTCCTCCCCCTCCTCCTGTCACCGCCTCTTCTTCTTCTTCTTCTTCTTCTTCTTCTTCTTCTTCCTCTCCCACACCCACCGGCCGCGCTCCCTCCGCCGCTCCGCCGGCCTGGCTCCCGCGCGATCTCTTCGGCCGCAGCGCGGCGGCCTGCTCGCGCGAGATCACGCTTCCTGCGGGCGCGGGCACGGCGGCGGCGGCGGCGGCGGCGGCGGGGGAAGAGGAAGCGAGGGACGGCGGCGCCGGGCACAGCGAGACGCACGCGCCGCGGACCTGCGCGAGCGCCGCCAGCAGCACCACGCCGAGCGCCGCGAACTGGTTGTCGGCGGCGAGCTGCGAGAAGGCGCTAGAAGGGGGGGGGGGGGGGGTTGGTTAGCGGGGAGGGAGAGGGAAGAAGAGGGGGAAGGGGGGAGAAGGGATGATGCAGGTGGACGTACAAGTAGCACCGCGGGACCAGCACGTCGAGCAGCCAGCGCGCGTGGTCGCGCGCCTCGACGCTGCTACTGCTACTACCGGCGGCGGCCCTGCTCGCTCCGCCGCCGGCGCCCCTCCCCCTCCTCCTCCTCCTCTTCGCGACCCTCCCCGGGCCGTCGTCGCCGCACCCCCGTCTCACCCGCCCGCTCTCGGCCACCCTAGCTCCTCCTCCTCCTCCTCCTCCTCCGCTCTCGGCCGCCTGCAGCGCGCCCGCCACGCCCGCCACGTGCCGCCGCAGCATCCCGAACCGCGCCCACCACCACCCCGCGCGCCCGTGCTGGTTGCGGTGCCGGTGCGCGAGCCCCCGCAGCACCGGCCGCACCGCCTGCAGCTGCGCCAGCGCCGTCGCGCGCTCGGCCGAGGCCGCGCCGCGCGCTGGCGGCATGTTCTCTCTCCCTCCCTCTCTCTCTCTCTCTGTGTGTGTGTATGGGCGTGTGTGTGCTAGTAGAGGGGGCAGTGCGGCGAAGGATGCCTTCCTTTGCTCTCCCCTGCCCCGCGTTCCCTTCTCTGCTCCGGTCCTGGCGCTTGGCCGCGGCGGGGGTCGTGCGCCGGCGAAGAAGAAGAAGAAAGGGAACCTGGTTTTGGCACGATAGCGGCGATGTACCTAAATGGGAACTGCGGATGAGTGAGGCCGTGTGCTGGGACGCTTGTTGCGTGGCCGATGATGCTGTCTTTCTGCTGAGTTGGAATTTGACGGGGATGAGCTTGTAGGTACGAGTTTCGCCTCATTGGTCGGAAGGGAAAAGGAGTTAGTTCCTTGCCCACCGATTACGTAACACACGCGCTGCCCTGGACGTTTTTCACCTTCTATGCTGAGGTAATCACAGGAGGCCTACCTAGGTCGGCACCTAAACTACTCCCTAGTGGTACATATTCAACTGCACGTCGCGGCAGACGCGACACCGGAGCAGGCCCTCTACCTACCTTGAATCACCGATCTACTGCCTACGAGCGCACTCCAGGTGCCAGGCGCGCGGGCAAGGGATCTCGTCGAGAAGCCGTCCAGTCTGATGAAACAATTTCGATGAGTCTACGGCCTCTCTAACATATTTTATACCTAGCTCGTCTAGGATCTAATTACTTACCTACCCTACCGTAGTAATACCTAGTAGCAGCCGGGCCATTATGTACGACACGATGCGATACCACACGGCACGGCATCGCGCCACACGTAGGTGACTCAAGTGTCTACAATCCTACCTCTTCTTACGTACCCACCGTCTTGCTATCGCAGCACACGCCCCAGCTCTCGCGCGCTCAGATGCACATCGGAAGACGAGAACCCCGCTGGCCTAGGCTAGGCCGTCCGAACGTGGACTTGGATCTGATTCACCTAAACCCGTAGGCCTGGTATATATCTACCCATCTACCCTCTACGTGCCCTTCCCTACCCGTGCCGCTTCGGCGTCACCTTAGTCCGCTCCGGTGCCCTTAACGAGTATCGGTGGTCTGCCATCCGGTAGTGCTGGTACGGGTTGCTCGTCTCGCTCGCCGTCCTCGAGTGCGCGCCTCCCACTGCCACCACTGCCACCACCGGCTCCGACCACCGTTGCGACGGCCACCGCTGCGACGACCACCTTTCCGACGACCACCTTTCCGACGACCACCGCTCCGACGACCACTGCTCTGCTGACCACTGCTCCGACGAGCACCGCTGCGACGCGGCGCCGGTCCCGGTCCGCGTGCTCTCGCGCACCTTGCGGAACAGCGGGCGGAATGTTGCGATCGATGACGCCGTTAGGCCCAGCCCGTTCTCCACCGTCGACCAGATGGCCATGTCAGCGAACTCGTACGTGTAGTCCCTGTCGTGTGTTAGCTGCCACACGAACGGGATGCGGACGACCGTCGCCGCCGACGCGCTAGACGTAGGTATCTCCGTCAGCAATTAGCCACCTAGCTAATATGCAACCACCTTGTCGCCACCGCTGGCTGGCGGGCGGCGGGTATGGTGCAGTAGGGGAGGAGAGAATGCGACAGGGGACGTACACAGATCCGAGCGCTAGGATGAAGGCGACTAGCACCTTCGACCTCCGGGACAGCTCGAGGTGCCATACGAGCGCGATGGGTAGCAGCCCGAGCACCCAGTCGGCGACGGCGTTGATCGCGGTTGCGGCGTACGTCGAGCCCTCGATCAACTCGGCGTCCACGCACCGCCCCTCCATGAGCCCCGTGTGCCGCATCCAGAAGTACGCCAGCGGCTGGCACTGGAAGGCGACGATGAAGATGTAAAAGACGTGGAAGACGAAGCACACGCCCAGCACCGTGTAGATCACCACCCGCTGCCACCGCCGCGAGCAGATGCGCAGGAGGAAGAGTGCGACGGTGAACTTGAGCAGGAGCGACGTCGCCACGTAGACCAGCTCTCCGGCCCATCGCATCTGTAGGCGCGGCGATTAGCTGTGGCTAATGTCCCCGCAAACGCTTGTAGAGACCAAGAAAGAGGCCCCGCCTACCTTCAGAAGTTCGGGAATATTTTCGCGGGGGACGTCACCGATACGTTTGCCGGCCCCGTGGCGGATGCTCAACATGACGAGAGTTGAATACAGTATGAAGCAGGCCTGGTACAGCGTTAGCATCGCGCATATTCGCAACCCTACTTCGACCAAATGCTCTCGGCCTACCATGGTCGCGACGGCTAAGCCGTCTTCTGCTCGGAAGCTCTTCAGGAGGCACTTTTTAACGTAGCATCGAAGGGCCACCACCACGACTGACAGCCCGAGAAACGTCATCGTGACGGCGGCGAGCTCCGGCCCGCGATCGTCCGCGGCCATGTTGTGAGGGCTGGAGGCGGCTGAGGGGGGTTGAAGCTGGGATTCTCAAAACACGGCACCGGGGAAAATCTGCCCCAAGGGCTGGTTTCGAGACGAACGTGTGCCCGCATCGAGGGCGGAGGGAACAGGACGGGGAGGCGAGGAGCGACGGAGGTATACATAATATATCGAGCAGGGAGAAGCGATGGATCACGAGCCACTCTAGAGGTAAATGCTGCTACCCTTGTGGCGAAGTGAAGCGAATGAGGCTAGGTACGCTTCAATGAGAATGAAAAAAAAAAAAAAAAAAAAAGTCCAGGGTAGTGGTGAAGACGCTTGATCTTCGCAATATATTATCGGGCACACCATTTTCTCTTTTGGCCGTACTATCGCGAGCTTGGCCGAGCCTGTAGGGCTACTAGGGGGGCGATCGCTTCCCCCAAATTGTCCCTCTTCTCCGGACTTTCTTCCTCTTTTTCTCTTTCAGCCCCCTGTAGTCCGTCGGCAGACCCGCGTAGTGCGTGCCCCACGCGTGCAGGTGGGAAAAGGGCACGTTACGCGGGCTGAGCTGCCGAGAGCGAGGACGCACGCACAGCGTGGGCCTGGGTGAGGGAGATTCGGATTAGGCGTGAGACGCAAAGAGGAGCTCGCGCGCGACGCCGCAACAGCACGACCGGAAAAGGAAGGCCGCAACGATGGGTTGCGAGATTTTGGCCCCCCGCCCCAAGGTCGATGGCGTTCCCCGGCGCGTCGGTGAAAACCGCCATACTTGCAGGGTTCCCGAAACGGGGTCCAGAACTAGCCCGCCGGTAGGGCTAGAGAGGCAGCTCGGTGAGACATCTCAGTCCGTGGGGATGTACGTACCGGTAGCAAATGTCGAATATCATCAGTGTTTCATTTGCGTAGATACTAAACTATTCCATTGTCGTAGGTAAGCTGGCGGGCCTTGGCCTATTACCTCTCACTATAGATGCTGCTGGTACGGACGGCGCTGCCATGCGTCTAATGCAGAGATGGTCGAGTAGTCAGCGAAAACGGAGGGACTCGAGAGGAGCAGCCGTCATTCGCAGACGAGCATTGCGTTTCGACTAGCTCCCTCAAAACAGGATCTATGCCTAAAGCATCGAGAGACTTGGGCCAAGCAGTGTCAGTGTCTGGAGAATTCGCTTCCGTCTAATTTTAGAGTGAGGGGATGCTGCTGGCGGTGACTCTCTAAAATAAAAGGACGGGGAGTCCACGAGAGTAACTCGGATGGAGGTGGAAGAGAGACAGATCCCATTCCCGGCACCGACGGGCTTATTCTTAGGTGCTGGGAAATCGTGATTAGTACATTAGATTGTATTTCGGTCGTGCTTTACGCCGGTTATATAGGTAGGTAGGTGCCTAGGTAGGTACCTGACAGCTGGCTACTGTGGTAGCATTGTCGCCAGTTGGCGGCCACGGGGTACGTCCAGGTGGAGAGACATGCTTAGGTAGGAGGTACCTGGTAGGTATGTACCTCCAGCCAGGTTAGCATCGCCTTCCCGCTGCACGACACATCTCAGCCGCAACTCCCGCTCCAGACGTCGCGGCATTGGCAGGCCAGCAACCACCTACCTACCTGTCCATCACCACCTCGGGTAAGTACTTCACGGCAAGGAATCACCCACATCACATTGCAAAAAAAAAGTTCTCTTAATGGCGACTCTATGCGACTTAGGTGAAGAAAGAAGAGTGCAGGAAGAAAAAACTACCTAGGTAGGCCCAGTCTGCGTAAAAGCAAAGAACGAAAAGGAGACCGAGTCGGCGTCTTAGGGTAGTGCCTAGCCGTGGACGAAGAGCGGATTGATTCCGACTCCAAATCTCGCCGTAGCAGTGGGGAGCTCCCTCCTTAAACCGTTGTTAGCTACCGCTACTACCGGAGCTGCGGGCACTGCTGACCGGCAACTCCATAGCCTGTTATCCGACCCATAGGGTGGTATCGGGTAGGCATCCCAGCAAAATGCAAGTGAGGGATCGGTACTGTTCTCCCAGACAGGCAGACGAACAAATTGCCTCGGTCCTCTATCCGGCGATGCGTACGGGCTGGGACCCATGATTGACGCCTGTTGTTTCCAGAACTTTGTCAGCCCTATCGCGTCCTGTTCTCCCGGCCGTGACCGACTTACCTCGTCCGCGATGTTCAATGTAAAGACACCTCCGTGGTGGGACGCGGGCATGTCAGGTCAGGCCCAGCAGGTGCCTATTGCGCATGAGCTTATGTTCGAAGTCAACCGTCAATGAGGAGCAAGGCTAGCTCACTGAAAGACAGGATCCCGAACACCAAGAAAATAAGGACCGGTCGCATAGGAATAGGAGCATCAGGTCTGTAGATGTCTAGACTGCCCACGGCACCGGGATTGGTGGTGTTCTCACGGACTCGGGTCCCTTTCAGTCGGCCAAGCGGACGGCATAGAAGACGCCGCCGGGCAGGACGAACCAGCGGAACTCCCCCATGTGGTCGATGCTGAAGCGGTTGCGAAGAATCCACTCGCCGTCTATCTCACGGCAGTAGTACATCCGAGACGGGTCCGGATCAGCAGGGGCCATTCCCTGACCCTCGAGGGCCTTGTTGTTGAGGGCAGTGTGAAGCTGCTCCATCTGGACCTCCCCCCTAGTCCTGCCGATTCCGGTGACGTCGGGCGGATTGCCGACGGGGCACACTCCGGGGAACGCAGCGCCCCCCATCCTCATGTCCGGGACCGCGCCCGGTTGGGTAAAGATAGCAGCAGGCTGACCGACACCGGGCTGGGTCGGGATGAGGAAGGGTAGCTGTGGCGGCGCTAGCGGCTGGGGCGGTTGAGTACCCTGCTAGGAGGAGAAAAAGGGGAAGAGTTAGCCTCCGTCATCACCAGATTGAAGAAAAGGAGGCCGAGGCAGAGGGAACCGGCGAATAGAAACACGCGTGGATACAAATCAACTTGGAGGGACAGGTGTATTCGTCCGAAATAGTAGGCTAAGCGACGTTCACTTGAACGTGCAGCTAGTGAAGTAGCTTCGGATGAGACTTGCATTGACAAGTACGTAGTAGGTGGGCTGGGGAGCCGGGCGCACGAGATAGAATTGGCTGTCTTGAGGTGCTGGAGATACCTGATGAAGAACGTATTGAACGGGTGGGCCGCCCGGAGGTCCCGCGACGACCTGGTAGAGCTGGCCATTGATCGTCACGAATTGACCACGGCTGTCATCAAAACGCGGGTGGTAGGTGTGCGGGATCTCTCCTAGGCTGGTGTCGGGAACGGGCGGCTGGAAGCTCTGGGCCTGGTTCGGCACGGGAGGATAGGTGTACGCCATGGCCGGCTGCTGTTCTGCCGGGACAGATGGAGGTAAGAAGACGGGCACCTGGGCGGCAGGAGGACCGAGGTTGGGAACCTGACGGAGCTGCTCGCGCTGGACCGAGGAGGGATTAAGACCGCCAAAAACACCGGGCGCAGCAGAGACGTTGGTGTGGCCAGACAGCTTGTATCGCAGGCCTAAACCTGGGATGTTGGATACGGTGTGCTCGAATCCGGGCCCTGGCTGCTGGTAGGTCGATGACGGGCTGTCCTGGCCGTCAGCGTGGCCACGGTGCGGGTTGTTGGGTGCAGTGGAGGGAGGTTGAGGTTGAGGTTGGTTGACGGGAATTGGCGACGACGTCTTGTTGCGGGAGTACTTGGGCGTGGGACGCGACGACTTGTTCTCAGTCTTGTTTTCGGTCTTGATGTCGGTCTTGCGGGGTCCAGAGGAGCTGCCAGAAGTGGCCATGTCGGAGATGTTGCCGGGTCCCGTAGAAAAAGATGCCTATATGGTCTTGGGGCGGGACCCCCGGGCAGTTGGGAAGGGGAGTAGAAAGAGGGCAAAATTCCAGGGAAGGGCTCTCGGGGGCGCAACGAGGCGTGAGGAAGGAGGGGACTGGCGGTTTGCGTCACCGAGGGGGGTAATTTGGTCCCATTGTTGCTGCCGACACCTGAACGGCCAGGAGGGGGAGAGCGGATTGCACACTGTGCCTTTTACCGGTATGAGATTGGTCGAAGACCGTATTCTACTGGCTGTTTGCTGCTTAGTGTCGAAAGAGAGGATGCGAGGCAGGGGAAGCAGGAGGCGACGGAACCTCGTGGGTAGGTAGAGGTAGGTAGCTAGCCGCAACGACGAGGTTTGCCCCGAGCCGCCGTGTCCAAGGCTACGCTGCGGCTTCGAGCTCCTCGGATTGTCTACGGCCACCGAGTGCTCAGCAAAGTGGCATCTCGTGGATTTGTAACGCCGACCAACGCTCGTGTTTGCCTGTTTGTCTCCGGCCCCGACCAAAAGCTCTTCCTCGGCTCTGCCTGGGCTGAGCAGAGGGGATCCTCCTGGGATGTGCCGGTGCCCGGGTCTGTTCTTTCCACTGCTTTTCTTTTGTTGTCGTTCCCCCCTTCTACTTGTACCTCCTGAGGCGGATGGCGGCGGACCCAATTCACCTCGACCTTCACCAGAGAAAAAGAGGGGGGACGCGAGGGGAGAAAAGGGGGGGCGGAAGGAGAGGGTGAAGAAACAGGTGGAGAGGAAGAAACAGAAGCCGGTAAGCAAGCAGGGGTAAATACTGAAGAAAATAACAGAACCTACACTGCCCATAATCATTCTATTTTGGCCTTGTTGAGATACATTCTGGGGGTACGGGGCCATGGGGTACACCTCAGGCGTCTCGTCGAGGTAGATATCCTTGACCGGCCAACATGGAAAGCACATGTTGGCGACGGCGTCTCGCGTATGAGCTCCGGCTCTCCGAGGGGGGGGAAGGGGGCAGTAGATGGTAAGTGACGACTTGAAGGAACGTGGATGTCGATAAGTTATAAGTATCCAAGTTTGCTGCTCTGGGGCCGCCAGAAGAGAGGTTAGGTACCTAAGGTATGTTAGGTAGTTGTAGGGGTCCCTCTACCAAAGGCAGGTCGGCTGGGCGTGCGCTGGCAGCATTAGAAAAAGGAGAAGAGGAGAAAGAAGGGCAAAGAAGGAAAGGAAAGAAGAGAAAAGAAAGGGGAAGAAAAGGGAAAGGATCATCTAGCCATTAACCCATACCTACTGATAGGCAGCGAAGGAGGGAACAGCTCGTAATGCCTCAGGTTGTTGGCTGGTTCAATTCCAACAGTTCAACTCTTCTCATCCTCGCCGCGTCGCTTTCTGGATGCCTATGAGACGATCAACCGCCCTACCTGCCTACGTATCCCGGCCTACCCGTATATACCGGCCTAGGACCTAATGCGTGCCCCGTGTGCCCTATGTGTACCTATACTACCTATACGGCGATCCAAAAGACGGCCCACACTAGGTACCGAATGTCACTTGTCTGTCTTCCATTATGGATTTGACCCCTTCAACGCTGTTTGCTGCTGCAACTCCACGCAATTCGGCGGAGGGACCGGGAGATCTGATCTACCTCTCCTCTCCTCTCCGCTCCGCTCCCCTTTTAGCCGTGCCCGTTAACAAGTACCGTCCTCATTAGCTAGCCCGTGTCGAGTGAGAAAAGAAAAAAAAAATACTGCTATACAAGAGCCGCTGACTGTGTGGCCTATCCGGCTCGCTCTGTCGCCATTATCACCAACTAATCGTCCTAGCGGGTTTGGCTTCACCTTCGATAGAGCGACTGAAAAGGGCCGAAAAATGTACCATACTTACATTACCTTACTCGACTACATAGGTGCCTACCGTTGCCACCCCCCTTAGCCTTCATCTATGGGCCTCTACCTTAGGTGCCTAAGGTGTTGCTATACCTAGGTAGTATACGAGTGCTAGGTACATGCAACCGTCTCTTGCATACCTACGTTGCCACCAATTCCTATCCGAATGCCGCAGATAAAGTGACCTTAGAGCTCTCCCAGAGAGGAGAGAGCCTCTACCAGTGCCCCTTTGAGAGAATCCAAGTGCTTGCCCGCATCATTTTCTGCATCCCGGCACGACGAGGTGGAATTGGGGGTAGCCGGCTGTCCCAAATGCGCCTGTTGTGGGACGCCGTCTCGGCCCGGCTGCTCGCTTTCAGCCCGGTTACGTCTTCCGGCCGCATACTTAGCATCGTATATCTTGCCAGTCTGCCAACCCTAGTGTTAAACCCCGCTCTACACATATCGTGTTGGCTGTACAATTCTCGGCAGGAAACTTACTCGAATGAGCACGGCGGATACATGGCTCTCCTTAACCGAGGAAACCATCTTTTTGTATCGCTCCTCTGTGTCGATAGGCAGCCAATCGGTGAGGATCTTGGTCCGTCCGTCGGCAGTAGGCTGCTCCGACAACCGGTAAGACCAGCTTTGCCGCTGCTCCCGGCTAAGTGCCATATCTCGAATCCAAAACTGGTCGATCTCGCTGTCGTCTAGTTTTGGTGAGGGGTCGTCCGCGTCATCGTCGCTGTCTAGTTCAACTAGTTCACGACTCGAGATGGCAGCCTTAAGATAAGGCTGAGCAACATTCTCCAGGAGGTTACGGAACTCTTGGAGGCTGCATCCGGGGTCGACGGGGGCCGAGAAGTCCTCGAGCTTGAGCTTCAGTTTCGACGTGACTCGAAGCATGAACATCTTCACCATGCCCTCCTTGCCAGGCTCAGCCGGTGGCTGCGACATGGGTTTCACAGACGATTCACTCTCTAGGAACCGATATTTGGCTACGAGTATGACCTGGAAAATAAAGCCCGTCAGCCAAAACGCCGATTAGTCCCGAGAGAGGGAAGGGCTTGTCAACAAACCTTTTCCTCGAAGCTAAGGGTCGACGCGAGGGGGGGCGTCGAATATGGATTCGCATCCAAATGCGAGTAAGCCTTTGTCGTCGATTTCCTCACACAGCAGTTCGTCGACTAGGGCAGAGATTTTGCTGTCGTTCTCGAGGACCGTCTCTAGGGAGCGTCGACGCGCTAGGAGCTCCGGGTCGGAAGGGGGTTGATCGTCAAGCGGGACGAAGACGTAATTTTTCGTCTCGTCGGAGCCTGTCGAAAGATCCCAGTTCGGCCAGGCAACGCCTTCGCGTCTCTCTTCTGCCCGCCCGGAATCCTTTCGTCCGGTCAGGGCCTCCATCATCGTCACAGGCTCGGCTCTGGCGCGCCATTCCTGCAGGCGATTGTCGATGAGCGCCTCCTTGACCTCGTCCGGCGATTCCTAATCGCTAGCCATGGTGGAAGGTGACCGAGATGTGGCCAAGAGGTCGAGCGAGAGGTAGATGGCAACGGAACAATTCCCAAACTGAGGGGAATGAAGTTTTCCAGAGAAAGAGTACCCAGTCTGGTGCTGGCAGGCGGGGGCAGCAGATATGCAGAAGCCTAATGGATGGTGATAGAGTCTCCTGAAGAATAGAAATAGAAGAAGAAAAAAAAAGATGTTCTTTTGTACCGGGACTCAGGGACTCGAGAGGCTGTGAATTGATCCGTTGGCCACGGCAAGCGGAAGCCCACCAGGAAATCCAGGGGCCAAGTTGTACCTGCTCAGTTATTATATAGCAACACCAGCAGAATAGCCAGACCTTTCGAGGCAGATCGAAGGACCGTGATGGAGGGAGAGCCCTCGACTATTTGCTCACGCAGTTTATTTTCTTATCATTGCCCCCCTGCTCTTTGTCTCGTCCCATCCAAATCTGTACGTCGCGGTGGGTTCTCCCAACGGGGCACTACTCTCGAGGCTGGTTCCTGAAATATGAGTAATTCAATTCCGCCCTGTAGTGGACTCGAACGCCTACCCATCCACAACCTATGGATGCTTTCTACTGTGCGCGACCACCTATCCGTTTTATACACCGAACCCTAGCTGGAGGGGAGAGTATCCGTCACCTTGCTACCAACTCGACCGAGGTCTCTCCATACAACCAATCGAAGGCATTATGCTGCTCTAGGGCGCCTTCTCGAGTTTTATATCATACACAGTTATCTTAGTCTCGCGTCCGGATTAGGAGCTGCTCTTGGTTGGTGAATTCGCGCAGTCGTTATCGCCATAATTAAAGGTTCTGCTCGTGGTCTTTGCTGCTCGATGGCGAAAGCAGGACTTTCCTCGTGATCTGCTACCCGTTAGTTGGGAGATACCTAGGGTGTGGTTGGGGATCCGTACCGCCCACGCGCCTGCTATCGACGCCACGATGCCACCCGATATCAGCATCGGCCGGAGCCCCCTAGTGCTTTTAAATAGCATACCACTCAACCCGCCCGCCGCGATGGTGTTCGCCGCGTCGTGCTTCCCCCTAAGGTATCCTATTCCCGAATTAAAACAATTGTATGTGATGGCGACAACGCCGGCCGAGTTCCCCAAGAACGGGCCTCGCCTGGTGACGGCGTTGAGGACGGAGTTGAGCCGCAGCTTTGGGGGTTGGCCCGCCGACCTCCTCAGCCCTTCCTGGAGCCCCCACGCGCCTCCCAACGACAAGGCGGTAAGGTACGTGATGCCGGTCCCGTAACATAAATCGTCGCTGAAGCCTCGAGAGGGGATAGCGCTTTGTGCGCCAGGGAGGTCTGATAGGGCCGAGTCCTCTAAGCTTAGGTACTCTAGACCCTCCTTGTCCAAGCCGGCTAAAGGATGCAGTAGAGACGGATCGGCGAATTCGGAGCTCTTTAAAAACGAATCTACGCCGTGCGCATCGTAGGGATCGAATGGTGTCGGGGAGAAGTTGTCGATGGGTGCGGACGAAGAGGCGGGACTCGGAGGGGACGAAGACGAGGATTGTTGCGAGGACTTCCGTCCCGTCAGCGCATCCCAAATAGACATGCTGTCAAGTGCGACGCTGAAGATGCGGCACGATGGGCGCGCGCACGAGACGGAGAGACAAGAGAGAAGGGATATACGCAAGTTATGGGGAGGTCGTCGCCGTCCGCGTCCCGCAGGTAAAATTACAATTCCGCTGGGTTATGACGATAGAAGATGGTGGGAGCTCCGATAGAGGTGGGCACGAGAAAAAAGACGGGAAAAAAAAAGACGGCCTGTCTTCGGTACCTAGGTACATCATAAGTAAGTACGAAGATAGGATGTACCTCCTAGAAGTAACCTGCCTTAGGAGCTGACAGGGCGTCATAACTTCAAGATGTATTTTAGGTAGCCCAGTACGCTATATACGTGCACATCCAAGTCCCTCGCTACATGTTAAAGATACCTGAGTAGAAGTACCTACTTAAGAATTGATTGGCGGGGCATACCAATGGCACTATACCTAAGCAGGCTAGAATGGGAAAATACAACTATAATGCGGTACGAAATACTTCATCCTTACCTCTCAACGGACCTTACCAGCTGCTGATGATTCAGTCTTTTCTCAGCTTCACTTTAAGCGGGAAGACATCCGCGAGCAGGAATTCGTCTGCATACCCCCCTACCAGTATCTGTTGGCTGGGCTACCCGTCCAGACGCACATCGTGTCCGGCCACTCTCTCATGGGAATTCGGACGACATGTTAACCCAAGTGGTTCTCCTTCCCACATCACCCCCGAGCCTTGGCCTACTGCCCATTATCCTCCCAGTGTGACAATTGAGTCCTTGGGCGATCTTCCCAGGATTCTCCCGCACGGCTTGTTCTCTGAGGATTTTCTTCTTCTACTTTAGGTTGTCGAATTAGGTAAATCCGTACCTAGGAGCCAGGTAGGGCTTCCGTACCTACTTCTACCCACCCAAATCGGCGTAGGTGAAGGGTGAGAGAAGCTGGACCAACCCCTGATGCACACCACGACACGGCCGTTTACGATGGAGCCCCCAACGATACTTGCCAGAATTGGCGAGACCAACTTCAACCCAAAACATGCCGTTGCCTGGATTGAGGAGCAGCCGGAGGCATTGCAACTATGGTAAGTCGGAGAAGGCTCGGAAGACCTAGTCATCTCTATTCACATAGACCACCCAGGCAACTTGTCTTCCAAGGACTTCTCTCGTGTGCGGAGAAACCGAAGCAATCGTCTGGGAATGCCTGTGTGAAATTACACGGGTTTGTTGAGCAATGCTCCAAATCTACCCACTCCTCACTGCGCAACTTTGCTTTCGCGGAGAGCACTGCCCTGAGGCTTTTCGATTTTTTCATGGAGTGGAACGAGCAGGATTCTCACCGGTCTATGCGGCTCGTCCTCGATTTCCTTGCACATTCTATATCCAAAAACCCCGTGCCAGAGGTCGGAGACTCCATCAAGGAGGTCGTGCTGAACATCGCCGTATCTGCCATCACCCAGCAGACCTCGCGGCCGTCGGTGAAATCTGCCATGGCTGCTTTAGACTTTGTCATCCAGAAGAGATTAGTATACGTGTGCAGAGTCTTAGACGTCTACCAACAAGTTCACGGCCTGTCCTCGGATGTCGAGGCGCTCTGGGACCCCGTTATCTCTAAGATTTTCGCTTGGATGGAGCTGCACCCCGTATGTCCTATAGCCGGGAAACTTCTCGTTACCGTCTTCACCAGCCCTTGGTATGAAGGTAGTGATGCGAGGCATCAACCAGATGCTTGGCACGAATTTATATACAAGGGTTTGCGGATGAATACCGAGTATCTCGAGCCTATTAAACTATATGTATTCATCCCATTATTCAAGGCTGATCGGGTGGGCTCGCTAGTATATCTTAATCACCTGTATTCGCTTCAAAGACTCACCACAAAAAGCAGCGAGAGCTGGGACCCCAATTCGATGCTCTGGCTTGCTATGCTGGAAGCAGGGAAGAAGGCTGGCGTGGTCAATGAGCCGGGCGGTGGTAAGCTGTTCATGCTATCAACTTGGGATTGCCTGGGGATTTGCTGAACACCGCAAAGGATCCGAGCACAACGGCGATAAAGCGGCTACGCAACTACGAGTAGATGTACTCGAAAGCGTTCTGTGCCATGACTCCCACGAGGCCCGGTCTTCGGCTGTCTCTATTCTTATCGCGTCGCCGTCGACTACAAAACCGTACACGGCAGAGGCCTTGGGCCTTCTCAAGCGGCATCTACCATCCTTCCACGAGGACTCCAACCCCAAATTTCGTTACGACGTCCTAGGACATTCGAGAAATATGATAAAGCGTATTCAGAATACCATTGAGTCTCTACGACGAGAAGATGACCGGGTTTCGAGGCAAGCTAACAAAACAAGACCAACTAGCGATGTGCTTACGCATATAGAAGAAGACTTGAAAGGTCAGCTTGGTGGATTTGCTGCACGTCAAAATCCTGCCACCACGCAGTTACGTGCTACGCTACGCCAGCATGAGGATTTCGCGTCCTGGTATGTTGGCTTCCTTCAAGGAGAGCTTGCCCCCACCGTATCCTACCAGCGCCATATTACTGCATTAAAGGTTATGGGGCTTATTATCAAGTCGGCACCGGTTCAGACAGATAAGACGCCAGACACCTTTGGGCTTAGACATCTACTCATCGACTCAACGTGGTTCCGATCTGTCTTAGATCTCATTATGGACCCGTACGACGACGTGAGGGAAGCTGCAGGCTCGTTAGCGATGTCACTTTCTTTGGAAAATGGTACCGCGAGACTACAGAAACAGGTATATACAATGGGAAAGGCTCCGATAGAAGTACTTCGAAGCTTTTGCCACAGGGCGGATGAGCTTGCTCGGAGGACCGCTCGTGCCGATCACTCGGATGGTGTCGCCCGATCGTTTGAGCTCTTGTATCGCTGGGATGCCGATGGAGAAGGCAGGATGCGAATCCCCTTTGGTGTGCTATCGAGCCTCGAAACCAAGCTCTCCGCAGCCGAGCGAGATCTAGCTACCGCGGTGCTCCAGGCCCCAGTTCACGGCAGTTTTGCATCCCTTCGGTAAGTATCCCGGGAAGCGCAAATGACTATTAGGGGTCACTGCTTGCTAACATTATACAGCTACTTATGGGGTTCTCTCTCTAATACCAAGTACTCCGAGGTAGATCTTCGAGCCATGATCGAATTACAAGATCGCACCATTGCCTGCTGCCAGAGAATATGGCAAGCAGTGCGGCATGTATTATGTGATGACTCCCCAGAGGGCCACCTACCCGAAGAACTAGAAGAAGTCGACGGGCTCGACACGAAAGACTTGCTTAGCTATAGCTTTCGGGCGATTCACGAGTCTAGGTAAGGATGGGATGATCCGCTCCACACAGGGAGCGACAGTTGCTAAGAATCTTCACCAGCAATCTGATGCGTGTTATCGCGAGTAACGCTCACCAAGACCGAGGGCCGGGGTTTTTAGCTCCTTCGAGACCGAATTTTGAGGCAATTGGACGGTTGACATTCGAGGAACTGTCAACTCTGCGACACCGGGGAGCTTTTACAACCGTATCCCAGACATTCGCTAGTTGTTGTCAGCTTGTAAAATACTTCCCGGCACAACTTGACGAATCTGGCGATACTTCTAGTTTGCTGGAGGAATGGTACGAGGTTCGTCATCCTTGGTGTTTTGGTGCTTTACTTAGGCTAAGCCTCCTATACGATAGGGGGCTCTTTCTTGCATTCATACCCAGGTATCGACGACTCGAAGGTCAGCAGGTATCCCAGCCCTGATTGTGGGAATACTTTCTTCGAATGCAGATCGTCCATCTTTCCCAGAAGTTATTCGCAAGCTACAAGACATCGGTTGCCGACCGGCGCTCGCGTCTGAAACCGACGGGTCAAATTTGCCCCAGGTACATGCTCTAAATAGCATCAAAGATATCTTCAAGAGCTCTCATCTTAGCAAGACCGCGGAACCCTACCTCGCCGACTGTCTACAATTGGCGGCAAATAGTCTTAAATCTGAGATGTAAGCTCCTCGACCTCTACTAACTCATACATGGCGTGGATTAACAAACACCTGTAGATGGGCAATTCGAAACTGCGGTCTTCTGCTCCTGAGAAGTCTCATCGATTGCCTCTTCGGTACGAGCGAGAGCAAAACGTCGATCGAAGCCGGATGGGACGGGCGCTCTACCAAGATATCTTATTCCAAGTTCAGGGCCCTCCCTGCCCTTCTTGTTAACCTCCTGGAGATAGGTTGGCAGCCTACGGGAGTCCTGATAGGATCGCAGACGGCGGAGTCCGTCTTTCCTGCGCTGGACATCATCCGGCGCGCTGGCCCGCCGGAGGAATCCCGTGACGGACTCTACGACATGATCGCACGATACTTGGGGAGCCACATCTGGCACGTACGAGAAATCGCTGCTCGCACATTGTGCTCGTTTCTTCTCAAATCGGGTTGGGTCGGTTCGGCGGCAGAGCTCCTGAAAAGCTCTGGTAGTTCGGCAAACAAACTACATGGAGCGCTCTTGACACTGAAGTTTTTGCTCGAGAGGCTCGCCGAAGTGATGCCTGATCAACTTTCCGGTCAGCATCCTTCCCCCTCTTATCCTAGTAGCAGGCCTGAGACTAAGACTAAGTGCTTATAGATCACGAGGTTCATTCGGTGCTCGATTTGCTTGCGGAACTGCCTGCAACGAGCAGCTGCATCAGCACATGCGCAGACGCGAGATCGGTTTACATTGAAATCGTCTGTTTTCTAGCCAGACTGAACGGGACCAAAGTTAAGCTCGGAAAGAGCCCTATTATCGACCCTTTCGGACATCTACCATCCTGGGCACTCGAGCCTAGCGATACTTCTGGCCAGATACCATCTACATCCGCATTGCTAGATGCTCGGCTTGGAGAAGCAGCCGTCCTCCGCGCATTGCAATCGGGCAGAGCAGCGGGGAACGTGCTGAAGCAGACTCTGACGACGGCTCTGAACAGTGATGTTAACGTTGCTTGCTCTATCCTGGAGAGTATGTCGGCCGCTGGCGAGTTGGAGTCAGACGAGTCTAGGGGTAATCTCGTCGAGGCGTACATGCACGTCTGCTTCGAGACCGACGCCCCCGAGCCGCGGGCGCTCGCCCTAGAGAATCTAGCAGCGCTCCTAGATACTCTCCTAAGCTCGGGTGGGAGCCGCGACTACATCCCCACCGACGACGCCGTGACGCGTCTCTGGGCGAGCCTCCGCGACAAACCTATGAACCCGAGCCTGTCAGACGCCATCATCCGGGTGAGCGGGCCGCTACTGGCGATCGTCGTCTCGCGATCCGGGGGCGTGGTCGGCGACGGTCTCGAGCACTGGCTGCGGTCGTGGGGCGCGATGATGAGCGATGCCGGGACGGCCGACCAGGTGAGCACCCCAAAGCAGACGCCAGTGCGTGGGGCGTGGTACTGACAAGTCGCGACTCGCCGGTCTAGACCTTCGACACGCGCATAGCTGCCGCCGACGCCATGGCCTCGTTCACGGCCAGCGCCGCGCCGGGCCTAGCCGCCGGAGAGAACCAGGCGCAGCAGCACCCGGCGCACATCCCCTGGCTCCTGGCGCTGTACGATGCCCTCAACGACGACGACGACGAGGTACGCGCCGCGGCCGCCGCGGCCGCCGGCCCCGTCCTCGCGAACCGGCGCCTCGTCTCGGTCGAGGCCGCGCCGCTCCTGCTGCAGTGGCTCGTGTCGCGCTACGGCTCCCCCTCCCGCTGCGCCGAGTTCCGGGCCCGCGCCGCGTGCCGCCTGATCGGGCAGGCCGAGCTCGCGCCGACGGCCTGGGTCCCGGCGGCCGCGCAGCTCGCGCGCGCGGCGCGCGTCGACGACGCGCTCTTCGCCGTCGAGGACCAGAACCTGTACGTCGACGAGGTGCGCGAGGCGCGCCGCTGGCGCGCCGTGTTCCTCGCACTCCCGCCCCCGCCTGCCGAGGCCGCCGCGGTAGACGCCGCGCTCGCCCGCTGGACCCTCGACGGCCTCCAGTGCCTGGCGGCCCGCGCCGCCGCCGACGACGGCCCGCTCGGCTGGACCGCGAAGCCCGACGTCTTCGCCGTCTGCGCGCGGGTCCTGGGCGTGGGCGCGGCGTTGACAGCGGCGGCTCCTGCTCCGGGCCCCCACCCCCTTTCTGCCGACGTACGCGCGCAGATCGCGCGGGAGCTGCGCCGGTTCTGCGACGAGGGGCACCGCGCCGGCGTCCACGGGCTGCTGCTCCGGCTGGCGGATGGCGAGGGCTTGGGGGACGCGCTGGGGGCCTGGTAGCAGCGTCGGGGGGGTGGGTAAAGAAAGGGGTAGGGGCGGTTGGGTATACGTATGCGTGGGCGTGAGAAAAAAAGGGGGGAAGGGGAGGGGAAGAGCGGACGGATAGATATATAGGTAGGTCTCGTATCTTCGGTACGCGTGCGTACATATGAACATAAACACAAGTCTACTGTGTTTTCAACACAAGCTTAGCTTGCCTGCCTGTCTTATACGCGTCCCTCCATCTTCGACACACTTCCGAAGGACGTGCTTACGTGTATAAATGCATACGCAGCGGCGTGTTCTTTTCCCTCCGCCCTGTCCAACCTAGCACCACATCCCCTCTCCCCCCTCCCAGGAATGTACATGCTTGACCCTTATACAAGTAATACAAGTATTTCCATGTAGTTACTATACGCCGTCCTCTCCCTCCGGCCTATATCCCTCCTCACCTCGCCTCGCCTCAGCTCTGCGTCTTGTCTCTACACCTCTACCCGGCCGTCCGGGATCTCGACGAGGCTCCCAGATACGGCGGCTGCTGCGGAGTGCGCCGAAGACCCGAGGGAGGCATCGCGACGAGGTGGGACCTGGCCTTTTTTTCCGACGTCCGACCGTCCCGTCGACGCGTACCTGCATGCCACGGAGCTATGCTGCCGCCCCGCCCGTCCGAGCCGCGAGCTGTCACATCGCGGCGTGCTCCGCGGGCTGGTCGGTCGCGGACCTCCTCAGCACGGCGCGCCTCTCGGGCGGCGTCGCGGGCGCGCCCTCCGGCCGGGTGCCGTCGCGGCCGAACCGCGCGACGAGCATCGTGTTCTGCGCCTGCAGGTCGCCGACCGCCTCCTTCAGGACCTCGACCTGCTTGAGCGCGACGTCGCGCTCGGCGCGCGCCCTCTCGAGCTCCGCCGCGAGGCTCGCCTTCTCCTCGCGCTCGGCCGCCTTGCGCCGGCGCTCCTCCGCCTTCTTCCGCTCGCCCTCGCGCTTCGCCTCCATCTTCCGCAGCTCCCGCTCGTGCTTCTCCCGCTGCCTCGCCACCTCGCGCTCGTGCTTCCGCCGCAGCTTCTCCGCCGCCGCCTCGCTGCGCTGCGCCGCCTCGTCGCGCTTCGACCGTGCCTTCTCCTGCTCCCGCTGCAGCTTTTCCTCTATCTTCCGCTTGCGCTCCTCGAGCTTCCTGAGCTCCTTCTCGTGCTGTGACGGCGCCGTCGAGCGGACTGCTAGAGAGTCGGTCGAGCGTGTGGACTCCGCCCCGGTGGTGACGGAGGGTGTGAGCTGTGGGGTTTTGATTTTAGACGACGACTCGTCGACTTCTTCGGCCTCCAAGCTGTGGAAACTATGGACCGAGGAAGAGTCGTCGGAAGCTTCGGAGGATAGATCTGACGGTTCCGCGCCATCGCTTTTAGTTGATCCAAAGGGGTAAGGGATGTGGGAGGCCGCTACCGAAGCTGCGGTGCCTAGAGCATTTGCCATCATGCCGTAGAAGCCCATAGGCCCCGGCGGTCCCTCCTCTTCCTCTTCCTCCACTATCTTATCGACTCTCTGCCGCGGGGCGGTAGAGTCTCCAGTAAGATTCGACGTCAGGCTTATTGACGCCATTTTCTTCGAAACGACTTCCTCAGCCTTTGCTGCTTCTTGCTTGAGTTTCGCATCTTCGCCGCTAGATTCGTTGAAATCGTCCAAGGATTTCGATGAGATCCACTTGACAAATTTGTGGGCGTCCCCGGCTATACCTGGGGGCGTCCCCCTCTCGATCATGAATCGAGGGACACTACCACCGGGATCGCTCCGGGTAACCATCAACCACTCTATCACGGTATCATAGCTTTCGTCTTCCTCCCGAACGTCCCCAATATCTACGGACCCGATGGTTTTACCCCGTTTCCGCCCCCGTTCGTCGTTGGTAGAGGGCGCGGCTATAGCCGTTCTATGAGCCGAGCGGATAGTGGCCTGTCTGCTGATGTTCTCCGCGGCGCTCCGCACCGACGCCGCCGAATCGTCGGTTACATCTATCGACGACCGAGTTTTACGGAGGGACTTCTCTATTCGTATCTCACGGATGAACTCGACGGACTCGTACTGACCACGGATGAAACCTTGACGAGGTGGACATTCTGGATGGATACACGGCCTCGACACGAGTATAAAGTATCTGGCGTTGTCCGCTTCTCCCTGTGGAGGGGGATTGAGTGCCGAGTCGGAGCTTAATAGGAGGGTTGTGAAATCCCGGGGCGTCGTCGGTCCTGGAAATTGCGCTGATAGTTGGTAGACTGGTCCGATATACCTGTTAGTATCGCCTCGGGTTGTAAAATTTCTTGTTCACGTATGCTTTCTTGGACGGTGGGATACCGGTGACGTACACTGCATCTTGCCGTAGTCCTGGACGGCTTGACTGACGACCCGTTTGTCGGCACCAATGCCTCGGATACTCCCATCGCCGGGCTTGCCCTGGACCTTCATGCTTTCGTCTAATTCTTTCTCCATGCACAATTTCCACTTCTCAAAGGAGAGGCCCTCGTGCACACTACGCCTCGCAAACCAAGCGCCCTTCCCATCCTTAGCGGCCAGCTTGTAGACGTCGAGGCCGAGGGGGTTCTCGCGCGGGTTGACCTTGACCTCTTTCCATTCTTTCCTCAATTGGTTGACTCGGGCCGACGGCTGGGACGTCCTGCTGGGGAGGGTGGGAAGATCCGGGTCGGTGGCTGAACGTAACCTGCCCGGCATCTGCGGGGAGGACGCGAGCGATACGGGGATGGAGTCGATGACGCAGTGAGCATCATGAAATATGTCGGAGAGAAAGGTCTGAAGCTGGTCGTGGGCGATGCCGTCCCAATTGATGGGACCGAGCGCCTTGAAGGCTTCGTGGGCGTTCGGCATGGTATTTTTACCTCGCTCGGAGTGTCGAGCTTGATATAGGTTGAAGATGCGGTCCGTACGCGTTGCCGTGTTCAGTAAATACGTAGAGGGTCGTGTCGAGATGCGTAGGCCTTATTAGAACACCCCTAGCCGCCTGGACAGTTGCGAAACTCCTGGTTCCATTACGCGGATCGGGCGAACGTACAAAAGCAATCCTGGCTCGGGGGATTTGGCGTGCGTGTGAGTGTGTAGGAGATGCGTATGTAGTGGGTGTGTGTGCGATGGATGTGTGTGCGTAGGACAAGTTAGGAGGGAGAGGGGAAGGAGGAAGAAGAGAGAGAGAGAGGAGAGATCGAGACGGCGATAGAGAGTAGACGCCAATGCATCGAGTGTGAGGTGAATGACGATGGCAAGATGCGAGGCGAGGCATCCCGCAAGACCCTGTACCTGAGAAGTCCTCTGGCGTAGCCGCCACGCAGACCATAGGGCACGGGCATATATAGGTACATATAGGTACATCCGTCTACCAACATGCCATCCAATCTCGTGTCTATACCCCTGACGTCACGTACCAAAACATATGTATGTAACCCTCCAATGCATCAAACGGGGAACCCAGTCGTGGGATGGGAATAGGGGCTGCACCGATGGACGATCCTATCCAAAGACAACAAAAATACAATACAATAACCAAAGTAACAAGAGGCGGCGGTATCTACATATATGCGCACCTAAGAAAATGCGGCACTATTCGTTATGTTCTCAAGGACAACACGTTCGATTCTGGGGTATTCGTGTCCTAGGTGCTGCTACTACTGCCACCACCACCCTGCATTGGTACAAACTCGACGAACAAAAGAACAGACACTCTAACCTGTCTATGCAGCGTTTCATGCCTGTGATACCCACGACCTACTCCTCCTCTTCCCACGAAACAGACCGGGAGCGCGCACTTCTATAAACAGTGATTACTCGTCCGAGACCTCCTTGTACTTGCAGCCTCTATTATCTTCTCTCCCTACCGCCCGGCCGACCGCGGCTGACACTCGCCGCGTGCTAATATACCGTCCCCGCGAGAGACAAGCTCTCCCTCTCCCGCAGTAGCACTTCCCGGTCCTCTCGGCAGCTGCCGCAGTACTCCTCGTACCACAGCTGCAAGCCCTTGCGTTTGGACTCGTCTTTGCCCACACTCTGCAGAACTTTCTGCGCTAGCTCGCTGTCTCTCCCCGGGCCCCCCTTAGCCCCGCCGCTAGTCGGCGACGACGAGCTGTCCCAAGTCGCGAGCACGACCTCCACCTGCTCGCACCGGTGGTTCTCATCCAGTAGCCAGTTCTCCCACTCGGCCTGAAGCATCTCCCGCTCCACGCTGTTGACCACCCGCATCGCGACCAGCAGGTCGTGCCGATACGAACCGAGCTTTTGCCGCGTCTGCCGGAGCCGCCGCGCCGTTGCGCGGCTCGAGCTCCAAGAGAGCGAGGAGCCCGTGTACTCGTACGGCGCGTCCATGCTGCTGCTGTTGGCGATGGACTGGAATGTCGAATAGCAGTAGCTGTCCTGCGGCCACGAAGATGGCGTGGCCGAACTCTTGGCCGCTTCGTCTAGGTCCGCTATGTAGATGGCCCTGCTCATCATCGCATTCGGGCTGACGCCGACGCGATTCATAAAGTTGGCTGCTCGTCGTTCGCCCCACCACGTCGACATGCCCTGAGACGAGAGAACGATGTTGGTGAGCACGCTGAATCCGAGCAGGCCTAGGATGATCCACTGCGCCGTGATGATATCCCACAGCTTCTTCACCCCCGCGAATGTCCACATCATCAGGGACGATGCGACGCTGTCGCCGAAAGATCTGATGGTTTCGAGCAGCATCGAATTCAGCGTACGCGGGTTGATGTGCGCCTTCCTCGATGCGTCGTTCTCCCCGGGCGTGAAGACGACAACCTGCGTCTGTTGCCCGACGTTACCGTAGACCTGGATGGCCCTCTTCGTGCGGCTGTGGTGACCGAGCTTCCGCACTTGATCTGTCGCCACTTCGGCAAGCTCCTCGGCGTCCTGCCCGGCGTCGTCGAGTGCCTGCCGCTCAACCATGTTCTTCGCCAGTGCTGGTGGCTTAGACCAAGCTACTTTTGTAAATATGGCTAATTTGCATTTTGACTTGGCGACGTGCGTGATGACGATCTTCGTCACCAACTTGAACCCGTGCGCGTGGGGTAGATGCCACGGCGTCTTCACGTGTGCGACAACGTACGTGACGTGTTCGCTGAATAAGTCGATTGTCTGTTCGTCCGTTATGTCCTCCGCTTTAGACCTACCCAGCCCCGTGGTGTAGTTAACCTTGAAATGAAATTGTCTTTGCATTTTGCCGGCGTCGTTTAGCTTCCAAGGGCCCTGCGAAATTTGCTGAGCTCTCCGTTCGAAATAGAGCTTGGGGAAGACGAAGCTCTTGTCTCCGAACAACACGTGAAAGCATGCCTTAGCGCTGATTTCGAAATTCCGCTCTGCAACTTTCCTCTGCATACCGTCGGGCTCGTAGATGACCGGCTGGGCTGGGAGTTGAAACTTCGGAAAGGGTCTGCGCGACAGCTTGTGCCGAGATCTATGGCCGAAACCGTGATGTCGGGGACCGATTGCCCTACCGCCCGCGGTGCCATTGTCCACAGGGGTCTGGGCCGAAATTTCTTCCCAGCTATCTACGCTAGGGCTATCCTTGTCTAACTCTTCTTTATCCAAGTTGATGAGAGAGCGGATAAGCTCTGGTAGTTCCATGGGCTCCTCAGCTTGTAGGTCGTCTATGAGAAGATTCAAACGTGCATGTAGTAGATCAAGATCCTCGAGAAAGGTCTTGATCGTGATTCGCGTGTATCCCATGTCGTCTGCTCGTTGGTTTAGGTGAAGGAAAATGAAATCGCAGTCTCTACCAGGCGCGGCTGTCACCTCTGCGATGGTGTCGAGAGTGATGGTATAAGTCACCACGAGGCCCATCTGGTGGCCATAAAAGTACATATTATCCGATGTGACGTAGATTCGTCCGTTACCGGCCATCTGGGGCGCATCACGATCCGTCTCGGAGGTGCTGATCCAGGAGGCCCGGAAGACCATCACCAGTTTCTCCTCCAAGGACACCCGTGGGAACAGTAACCGGAACTGTGCGGAATTGGTTTTGAGCTCCACGGGATAATTGGTCGGGAAGATCTCCTGCGGCGGCTTCTCTGGAACAGGTTGAACGATTTTTGGTTGCAATAGCCTCGCGTCCATGCTGATAGCCTTTTTATGTGCTGAAGTTGGGCTTCTGGCCTCTTCGCCATCGCCAACGGTCATCCTGATTGAGGGCGAATTGGGCCCGAAGGGATCGTCCGGATCAAAATCCGCACGCGAAGTGGCCCTGGATAAATGCTCTTGACCCCATGTATTGCTACCCCAATAATTTGCCACTATTGCAGCCGGTAAGCTCTGCGTCGGGTTTGCGCTGAATGCTCGGTCGCTACTGTAAACAACAGCCATCCCGCTAAGATTGGTCATTGCTGGCGGTTTGGCTAGCGTTGAAGGGGCAAGGCTACCGGGTTGTGTCCCGGGTCCTGGCAACACCAATATCGGCCCTTGCGTTTGCTTGGGGGCTGCCGGAGGATATCCCGGCAATAGACCATGACTGGCAGATATGAGACTGGCGATGCCACCGGCCGGGGTTGTTGTCGACAGAGATCCAACATCCGTACCTGAAGTGAAAGTAGCCTTGCGATGAAGATCGAGCTTCTGCATGATCCGGGCTGCGTGCTCCCGACTTGTCTCGCCTTCCTCACGAGCTAGAGATGTCACCGATCGTTTTGGCGGAGCTGACATGAGATCAAAGCTTGGTCTAGGAACCAAACCCCCGTCGGGAGCAGGGGGTGGTAGAGTTCCAGCTCGGTCAGCAGTTGCCGACCCTTCGTCAAGTTGCGTGTCTAATGCCTTGGCAGAGAATTCCGGTAGCGAAGGAGGTGTGATGGAGAAGGCCGGATCGATGCCGCCGGGTAGAGTCGAACTGTCCCGACTCACACTCGCTTCAAACGCCTTCTTCTTAGCCACTTCAAACACCTCGAGCCATTCCATCAGCTGGGCCTGGGTCTCAGCTTGGAGTAGCAGCGTCTGATTCTTAGTCTTGACCTCAAAACAGAACCGGCGTTCCTCGCCGACGGCAGGCTTTGCGTTACAGAGAAGGACGCCGATCTCGTCACCCTGCAAGACACCCTGTGGGCTGCTGACGAGCCAGCCGAAGATACCATCCCGGCAGTAGTACCACCTTCGGATCCAGTTGGTCCTAGATGGCTTGCCGGTTATCGTCCGTAGGAATAGCCAGCCTTGTTTCTCCGCTATCACCGCGGGAGTTCCGGCAGCAGCAACATTCATAGGCCCCTTGGATCCTAAGAAAGGAACGGTAGAGGCACTGTAGTCGTCGATCTCGCGCGACGGCTTGAAGGTAGCTAGTGCGACCTCCCCTATATCACGCCGTGCTATCTGCAACTCGCGTTGGAATGTGGCTTCGCTAAGCTCCATCTCTTTGGTCCATCCTCTCACCCGATCCATCTCGTGGCTGTACCGCCCGAAGCTCCCCGCGGTATCTCGCGACTTCTTCATCTCACGCCAGAGGTCACAGGATATCCGCACAAGGAGCTTGTCGAGATTGATACGAAATTGGGGCGCGAAGAAACAGAAGTCCATGGACGCCTTTAGGTAGGCCTTGCGAGTCTCGTACACGGCAAACGCGTCCTCACGCAACGACGAGGGCTCCTTCGTCTTGGACTGGCCCACGTACCGAGCCAACGTCGTATCGAAAACTTTCTGCGTCTGCTCCAGGATCTTTCTCGTTTCCTTGAAATTTCGCAGGTCGCCCTGGAGAAAGCCGCGGATGGGCTCGACCGACATGGCCTCCATCTTCCTAGCCGCATTCAGTATCTGCGTCCACCATTCCCTCGACCCGTCATTGTACCGCTTGAGGGCCAGGGCGGTATAGTCGTGGTCGACGGTATTGATGTTGGTCGGCGGGATGATCTTGGTTAGATACGTGTTGATAGTATCTTCGAGGCTCAGCATGTCGTGCGACAGCTTAGCCGTCGTCCTCGCATAGCCTTCCAGCCATCGTTCGATGATATCGACCTGCTCAGCAAAGTAGACGGAGGTAGCTCTAAACGAGGGCGAGTCGAGCCCGGCCTCGTTAAGGGTGACGGGTGCCGAGTGAGACGGATGCTTGGTCGAAGGGGGAGTCGGCGTGGGCGTGGGCAACACCGGCGTCGTAGTAGCGGCAGCCATCTCTGGCGACAACGGCTCTGCTAGGTCGGCAGAGGGGTTCGAAGGCCGGCAGCACAAGGGATTATGATCGCATCGAAGTCCGCAGAGGGTGGGTTTTGGATTCGACGAGGGCCAAGTAGTCAATGGCCCCGACGGTCGTGACGATGGCGATCCGGCTAGAGTATGACTGCGACAACGACAACGACAACGACAACGACGCGCTCTATATCACCAGGCCACTGGTCACGGCGTCTCGGTTCCGGTTCATTTACCGGGCAATCGTGCCTTGTCCTTCGTGTTGGGTTGTAATTTCCTCGGCCCCCGAACCTTTGGCAGTGTCATTTTGGGACTCAGGAGTCGAGTTGGTGTGGAGAGGATGGCCCGGCACGAGGCAGCTTGGGGGAGGTTGTCCTGAATGGAAATGCACAAAGCGTTTATCTGACATCAGAAAGCAATATGGGGCCACCTCGTTAACTGGATTCGGTTGTTTTATATAATCGTAGGTGGATAAGATGTAACTATGCAATATTACCTTTTATTGAGCGGTATACCTACCTTGGGTAGGTACCTAATATTAGGGGGAGGTGCGTGCCGGCCGAGGCACAAACAGTACCTGCCGCCCGTAATTGCCCACCGCTTAGCGCCAACCCCCAGACTGCATGCCCGGTAATTACATACGTAGGTAGGCATACCACCAAGTCGCTGCTTACAGGTACCTACCTACCTACCTTAGGTGGTAGATATCTACTAATCGATAGCATCGATAAGACAACAACGTCATGGGTTCTCTTTTCAAAGGGGTCTCGTTCTGGATAAGGGCCCAGATAAGAGCGCCGACATGTCACCGGACCGAGCGAGCACGCCACCTCTCTACACCCATCCAGGAGAGTCACCTACCTCAATGAACCTAAGGTACCTAACCTAACAGAGGTTAAGCTATGCTACCTACGTTATGTACCCACCTTAGAGGCAGAAGAGGGCGCACGAGGGGTACCTCACCACCTGATGTAGGTACCGAACCTCCCACGTCCCTCCTCTAAGAGGTAGCTTATCAATTACGCCCATCCCACTCTCTCTACGCAAGCATCCTGTAAACCATGAGCTCTCTCTGGCTTCCCTCGCAATTCTCTCCGTGTCATGTCCCGATCTTGCTCCCCCTCGAACGCCTCTCCCGACCATGACCATTTCCAAGCCCAAGGCGCTGCCGTCTCTCCAGTCTTGCTGCACCTGCGCGACCCTGCTCTGCGAGGTTCCCCGCCACGGCCCCTCGGAAAAGCCTCTGCCGCTAGATCGCCACTTGGATTGTTGCCAGAGAGTGATATGCGGCAACTGTCGCAATGTGCGTGGGCCGCTTATTTGTCTGACAGATAGATATACGTGTTTATATATATATATGTGTACACACCATATATATCATGACGCGGCCATCTCCAAATATACAAGCTGGCCTACGGACCTACTGCTAATCGACGTAATCGACGAAATAGAACAACCCTCGCTTTAGCTCCTACTGCCCCTACTGCCAAATCTCGCAAACCGGCACGGTCCTCCCCCCGGACCTAGACGACCCCCCTTCGTACAGTTCCTCCGTCGCAAACCATCCGTCCAGGGATGACGTAGCAACGGCGCCCCCGCCATACACCCCATGCGCCGCGCAGCGACCGGAGCAGCCGGGCGAGGAGTCCGGCTCGGCCTCCTCCGAGAAGAAGCCGGCGGAAGACACCTTGCACTTCTTGAACCACGCCCACGACAGCATCCAATCCCTATCGCTGCGCTACGGTGTCCCCGCGATGGCGCTGAAGCGCGCAAACAACATCACTAGCGACCATCTGCTTCTGGGGCGGCGAGCGGTGGTGATACCCGGCGAGTACTATAAAGGCGGGGTGAGTTTATCTCCGCGGCCCGTCGAGGGCGAGGAGGAAGAGGCGCGGAAAACCAAGATTCGCCGCTGGATGGTGGCGTGCAAGGTCCACGAATACGACGTCGCCGTATTATACCTGGAGCAGGCCAGCTATGATCTGACGACGGCGATGGAGGCCTTTTTCGCGGACGAAGAGTGGGAGCGGACCCATCCGATAGAGGTCGCGGGTAGAGGAAAGGGGGTTGCTAAAGGGGCGAGCAGCGGGCATCTACTTTGGAGAGGCCGACGGTAGGAGAAATCAAAGCCGCAGACGCTGGACGAACGTCCCAGCGTCCCCGTTGTGTATATTAAATGTATAGACTTTCTGCATCTAGAACGCACTTAGAATACTTGCTGCTTTCGTGGGCGTCGATACAATACTAACCGACTAGCTTTGTGAGGTATTCCGACATGAGAACTCGAACGCGTCTGTTTTAGCAGATACAGCACAGAACTCCATACATTGACTCCAAGCGCCATGCCGCTAATTGGCCCCTCCCTAAAATGCTGATCGAGTTCGTACATCCTAGACCAATGTCAATTGGAGGCCGTGGACTAAAGGGGGTGGGGGGAGGGGGTGTTAGAAAACTCGCTTACCGATATCTTCCTTTCGATTTCTCTAACCGACCGATCCAATTCTCCCGCAATCATCTGCTTCTTGTCGTTCGGAAGCAATGCAAACCTTTCGCATAGATCCCCGTCGATTACCCCTTTCACAGGAGCATAATAGCTCCTATATATGAGATGATCTCTTCCGGCGAGCGGCGCATCCTCCGTTCGCATGTGCGATTCGAGACTTTGGAAGAAATCGGCATCTTCGCGGCTGATGAACGGGATGAATACGCCGATGGTTCCTTGTATACCGCTCCAGAGGAGCACATCTTGCCCGCCAACCACGAGATTGGTCTTGCTTATGCTCGTGGGCACATCTTGTGTGTAGAAGTGGGCCATTAGGCTCACACGGTGACTAGCACCGTGCAGGTATTCTCTGGCATGGTGTAGATGCGCTCCGCTGCCGTCTTCGTCGGCTTCCTCGCTCGCCTTTTGCGGGCATCGCACGATCCAGATATTCCCGAATTTGTCCCCACCAGCAACCGACTCGTAGTCGACCATGGCCGTACAATTTGTCCAGCGGGGCACCGTATCGTCGACAAATGGTATCAGCTTGTTGCTTTCGTATTTATAAACGACATAAGTCACGCCCTGTTGCACATCGCCGACCACGACGCGGCTCCCTTGGGTTTGTAGCGAAACAATAAGCTGGGGGGCAACCTCGGCTTGAGACTTTCGGAGGAGCTGGCGCAGCCCGAGATCGTAGGCGCGAAGAGTTTTGCCGATTCCCGCTAGTAGACGACCCTGGAATTGGACCAATGCCATCGGCGGCTCCTCTACCTTGGTCTTATGAATAAATTCGATCTCTCGGCCGTTGTCGCGGAATCTGTAGACGTGGATAAAACCCGATGTGAACTGACGGGGATTAAGAATCATATCCTTCCCAGTACCGACTACGAGGAAAGTCTCATTGTCTTGACTCGCGAACGAGACCGTAGCCATGCTGACGGCGGCTTCATTATCCCCCAGATCTAACGTTTGCAGGACTCGCTTCTCCGTGAGTGGGTCGACGACGCTGATACACGATGCCCAACGACCGCGGGCCTTGGGATATCCGAACTCCTCAGGCGGCAACACGGCTGCGTCTCCATTAACGACGCCAGGGTCAGCGAGAAGCTGCGCACGTAGTTCGGGTGGTAAGGTATTGTTGTCGGACTCGATGGTATAGAAGTAGGGTTGGTCGGGGTGTTTGGCGAGACGTTTGGGGGTATATGTGAGCGGTATCGACTGTTGTAGGAGGGTATCTCCCAACCTGTCGATGGAGAAGATCCTGCACCAGTTAGTACATTATTGCTTGCGGCCGCAATCATTGTGAAACGGGAGTATGGTTGGAATTTCAGTAGGAACAATTGGCATATAAATACTCAAGACCTCATCGCTTGTAGCGTCGGATCCCTGTTTCTCATCACTCCTCAACTTGAACTCAATCGGAAGGTTTCGCTTACTTGAGATTTTGGCCTTGGATTCCCACCATCCCCTCCTCGCACTGTTCACTGCTGAAGTTCCAACCCCACTCTAAGTCGCTATAGTCGAGCGGTGTCATCATGAAGCCCTTGGTAATCGGGTCCGAGTATCCCAACCAAGTCCTCGAGCTGAGCGCCAACACGCAGGTGTGGCCCTGGACTGACGCCTGGAAGAGCCGCACGGCTTTAGGCCCGAGAAACTTCTGGCGGGTGTCCGTCAGTTCTCCGGTGACCTCGTCTAGGACAGTCCGGAGATAGACACCGGAGTGAAGGCCGATATGGAGGTACAAAGTCGAGCCGCCAAAGGACGAGTCCTCCATAGACATAATGGAAAGCGCAGATGGGGCGGCAGTCAAAGCTTGCACCGACTTGCTCTCGAGCGTAGACTCGAGATCCAGGCTTAGAATTCGAACAGTGCAGTCGTCGCACCCGACGGCTAGGAATGAGCTTCGCAAGCGGCCTTCAGGCACTTCGCCCAAGCTCAAACAGGTGACGGTTCCGAACATCTCTTTCTTTTCATCGTATTCGGCCAACGAGCCGTCGTCGGCCATCTCGAAGTAAACAATTTCCCCCGAACTTAGGGCGACTGCAACTTGGCGTTCGTTGGTAGAGGCAGCAACGATAGACCTGTGCTGCGGGGCCTCCCACTCGTTCACTCGCCCTCTGACGATGTGCCGGATACCTTTGGGGTGGACTTGGATAAGGCCGTCCTCGCCAAGTTGCTGGACGGCGAGGGTGGGAACCGACGAGAGAAACCCCGTGTCGGTAACCTCCTCAACGGTCTCACCGATGCTCAGAACCAGGGTGCCGTTGCTAAACGAAAGAATGATATAAGCGTCGTACTGGTCATCACGGTTCAGCTTCGTGGTCCAAACTGCGGACGGGACACCAGGAAGCTCCGAGGCCACAATCTCATTAACCTCAAGACCGTGTTTTAGGATTCTGAACGTGCTTCGCGCACCGCTGCCACAGATTGAATAGATTTGTGGTGCGTCGTCTCCGGTCAGGTTCGCAACCTTGCAATCGGTCAAGGGATTCATGGAATCGATACTTTCGACGAGACTCAAATTCTCAGCTGGCCTCGGGTAAAAATAGGCGGGTTTGTATGGCGTCTGGGGGTCTGTGGGGAAGTCGTCGCTAGAAAATTCCAGCTCGTCATCATCGTCGCCCAACTTTTCAAACTGGTAAAAATGGTGGTTTCCGAATTCGCTGGCAACAAACAAGAAGCCGCTTTTGAGGATACAAAGGCTCGTAGAGACGGGGACCGTATCAAAATACTTGATTTTCAGTCGTCGCACTTCTCCGGTGGCATTCCCATCATCATCTTCGGCCATATCAATGGTGACCTTAAAGAGATCACCATCTTCCGTTTGGAGAAGGAAAAAAAAGGCGCCGGCGTTCCCCTTAAGCTTGTGCATGACGCCGGACACGATGGATCGTTTGCGCTGGGGATCTTCGGTGGCACCTTTCCTTCTCGGCACCGGGACTCGGAATGCTTCCTGGTTTGAGTGTCTATAAGTGATGTTTTCCTCTCCACACACTAGAACGCCACTGGGACCATCATTGCCACCGGGTACTTGGAACAGTATCGACGCAGTCGGGTCCACCGGTTCATGCCACTTTCTGACGACATGATTCAAGCCTAGGTCTAGCTCGTAGTAGACAAGCTGGGTCTCAACTTCAGCAAGGGCCTGACCCGAACAGTCCTGGTCCGCCTCGGTATAGTCGACCTCTAGCGCAGCGAAGACGGGATTCGCGTAGCCGACATCCAAAGCCGTCATTGATAGCACGATTGTCCCCGGCTTATGCGCTTCGAGAGGCGAAGAAATAGTAAGCTCGGCCTGGGCATTTCGGTTCAGAACATAAACCAACTTATTCTTCTCGATCGACGCGATGAGACATGCTCGGCCTTTGGGATCGCAGGCGAGGTACTGTCCTGGGATAACCCGGCGCACCCCGGACTTCCCGAAAGTCTCAAGTTTCTGCTGCTTGAAGCGATTCTGCTGCGGAATGTACTCAACGATCGCGATGCGCCCGGAATCGGTGGCCAGGATGATATAGTCTAAACACGGAGAGATTAGCAGGGTTCCTATTCGAATCGGTCCGTCGAGAGTCCCGGGACGACGTCGTACACTGCTACCGACCCAGCTTCAAATCACTAAGTGACGCGTTACATAGAGGGGGCGTGTCAAGACTTACCTTTGCTGCTTCCTGCTAGACGAAAAGCGGCGACGGACCTAATAATGCCGAAAATCTCGTGGGACAACAGGGTGATGACTTTGCCCTGGGACGGTTCGGGGCGAAGCAACGTGAGCCGCGAGCCGGAGGCAGTGATGATCTGCTGCTCTTTCGTGCCCGAAAACTGACCGAGGATAGCTTGTGTTATGGTGGTAGGAGGTTGTATGGTCAGTGAGTAGAGAAACATATTAGAAGTAGTCGCCATCTTCGCAGGAGGTGCGCAGGAAGCCTGCGCGACTCTTCTCGTCTCTCTATCTCACTTCCTTCTTGTTTGGTCAATGCCAGGGCAGATCCTGCAAGCTTGGGAGGATCGCGTCGCGTGTATGAAGAAGCTCTGACGGTCTGCAAATTTGAGGCTTCAGCCCAGAGAATTATGATTGTTAGCAGTCTTGCGCCAATCTCAGAGCTCCAGCCCCAGCTCCAGCCCCAGCTCAGGTAGTCCTACCTCCAGCCTCCAGCTGCGAACGGGCCGTCTCTGCCCCTTCTCGGGAGCAACAATCATCCGACGCGCGTGCTCACGGTGGTACCTAGGTACCTACCCGAAGAAGCTGGCCGGTGGTAAGGTAGGTCATAGTGGCCCAAGCGCCAGCGCCGTGCTGTCGGATAAAGATCCACTCCATGCAATGTCAGGTGCAAAACCACACGATTGGTACCTAGGTACATTGCTTCCTGCATGTAGATATCCGAGATGAGAGCTTCATCCGGTTGATCCTCAAAATTGAACCTGATAACGAGGTAGAGCTGGGGGAGCCGCGAATCCGCAACCATTCGTCCTATCTGCTCGGTATCTATGGTATAGGAAATCCCCATCATGGAGCCCTCGATACGTCTAGCGGCCTCCAAGACTTGCCGAAGATGTGTGAGATTCTCGACGGCCCATGCGATCCGCCCGCCCATGAAGCGGCCGTTTTCGAAAGCTGCGTTTGCGCACTTACCGTCAAAGGCAAGCTCTCCTAGCCTGGCGAATCACTCCAAACACTATGCCTCTCCTGCCCAGCTGTCGCGGGAATCTTCGAGGTCGATATCTTTATTTGGCCGACAGAGCAAGGTGAGCGAGGATGGTCCGGCCGCGCTAGGGTCAACGGCACCGTCCCCGGAGTCGTCGAAACCACCTGTGCTTCGCCCTGACGACCTCTTCCATCCTCTATCCAAGTCACCCATCCCCGATATGCGGCGCCGCGCCGCCTTTATAAGGCAACATGCGCATTGTCCACACCCAGAGCACCAACCCACGCGAGCGCCGATCGGCGCTGGCGCCCCGTCTGGCGCACAAGGCTTCGGGACGCACACACCAGCCCTTGTGGACTTCGAATGTCCGGACTGCGGCATTCCTGTCTATTGCAGCGAACGGCACTGGGCAGAGGACTACGAGACCCACCTCCGGATCTGCGATACGTTGCGACAGATCAACGAGGATGACCACGACCTCCGCTCAGGAAGATTCTTCCCCGAGTTTGAGTATGCAGGTCCGCAGATGGAAGAAGCCGCCGTCAACATGACCAACTGGGACACTTTTCTCTACACAAGGCAGTTCGAGGCCATCAATGACGACCGGAGCATGCGCCAAGTCACGAGGTTGCTAACCTACCCGCTCACAATAGGCAGTATCCTCCACGAGCTTAGCCCCTACAATATAAGGAAAGGCGGCAGGCTGACCCCCGAGGGGCTGAAGAGCTTAAGCGCGCTACGATACACCTTACATCCGCCCAAGTCGGGAGGCGGGATCGACATCAAGGGCCTGCGACCGGAAGCGCCGGCGGTGCGGATATTTATCTTGGGCGCCCGCGCCGAGTCGTCTTTGCCCCGGAATGTTTGGGTGCAGCTGGCCCACCTCTTTCCTCGGGGGAAGTTCCACCTCATCTTCATCGGGCCGGAGAGCATGGCCAACCGGGATGACGAATTCCCGCTGCCGCCTCGAACCGCGGCCAACCCCTTTGGCGCCATAGTGGAGGACCGAGTGTGGCCGACGATGAAAATCAGCACCATCGTGGACTACTACCACACGCTCCACCGGACGGGCCATTTCTACCCGTACGACCCGTACTTCGATTGCTTCGTCATGTTCCATCCGGGGCTCGGACACCCGGCTAGCTCCCACGAGTGGTCGGAAACGGTGCCCCTACTGCTAGAGACGAAGGCCCCGATTATAGTGACGGGCTATACGCAGTACGACATGGATCGCGACATCGACTGGGTGAGGACTACCTGCCGCGGCGAGTTCGACATGCTCATGGAGCCGGGAGAGAACATATTCAGGAGCTTACGATGGGATCTGAACGACCTCGACCCTCAGGATATCAGCTGTGGTAACTGGGGCGTCTGGGCTTTCCGAGGCAAGAGGTATGTCTTTCTTTTCTGTTGTTGTTGAATTCGACCCGTGCACACACCCTCGTATTCAATCCCGCAATCCTGACCAACTCTCCAGATACGAGGCAACCACAAGAGATGCAGCCCCATGAGGCAGGCTACGGGTCGGCTTGGTACCAGTATGTCGAACGATGCGCATGTGCATGTAGGTATGTAACCATCAAGTGCGGGCGGGTAGGTAACGTGTACAAAGGATTTTGGAACCGCGCCAGTGGAGAAAATACAATAGCTGCCTCAAACCCAGAGAGGTTATGTTTTTCGGGAACATAGTGGCAAACTCGTGACAGGACAGCGTGAGGCTCAACAGATACCTATATTTTAGGAAAACAGGGCGAGATAGTCCTAGATGTGCCTGAAGCCGGATCCTTGCCTGGCATGGCATGCAAGGATGGAACAAGTGTTCGTGGGCATCGGGGGCCTGTGCTCCCCCATAAGCATCGTGCACAGGAGCGTATGTAGGCCCGGCCAGGCCAGGCCCAGCACCTACGTACCTGACACATGCACTCAGCTCAGCCCTGTGTGGTGCGTATTATACAGTAATCCCCAACGTCTCAACGTCGCTGGAGGTGGCGCAAGCCTGGGAACGGCGGAGGGGGAACAGTGGAGGCGGACAGGCTGCAGGTGTACACTAAGCTGCATCCCACGTCCTACCCCTTTCGAAACCGGGTCGCACAGGGAGAGACAAGTGTCTCTCAAACAATAAAACAAGATGCGACGAAACAATGCCGAAAGAGAGAGAAAGATAGGAGGGACGTCGGGCGACAAATCAATCACGAAAGCTGCGGTGAGCGGAAAAGGGCCAATTCGTTCCAGCTAAGCGCAACTCAGATGATGCCGCATTGCGACTCCATCGATATGAGATAAGATAAGCATCTAAGGGGGGTTTTACTATCCGCTACGCGCCTTGGCGTGCCTGACGTACCTACGTCAACGTCAACGTCAACGTCCACCTCAACATCGTGCACCATCTCTACGGATATATCTCCGCCCTCGACGCCCGCTCCTCCCCACGCCTCGCCAGACAGGACGCTTCCATCTCTGCTACCACATGCTCCGCAGACCTTGCTCCGGGATTCCTACGCCATGACAAGCTCATAAGATCCCGACCTTCCCTCCTTCAACCAGGAATGGCGGCGCCGTTGGCATCGGGGCTGGCCCTGCCAAAAGGCGGACCAGCGCTAGCCAGCTTGAAGATGCCGTCCACACCCTTGCCCGACCCCGACACGATCGCCTCCGCCATCAGCAATAAGCTTTCCGACCCGCCTCGCGCGGCTTCGCAGACCGAGCCGCTTCGTCGCCCCACTCGTCCTATCCCATCCGACTTCTTATCCGACAAGGCCACCACCGCCTTGATTCGTCGAGTGCTGTGTGGCCAGAATCTAGCCGATAGGGGGAAGAGCACGCCTGCGCCTATCCATGATTTGCTCCCACCACTAACTAGTCGGAATGATGTGGACCTTCAGCTGTACGCTCTCATAGCCATCATCGTCAAGGAGTTTGTCCAAAGTTGGTACACTAAGATTACCCCTGATGAGACCTTCGTCGCCGAGATTGTACAAATCATCGCTCATTGTACCCGCGCGCTGGAGCAGAGACTCCGCAAGGTGGACCTCGAGAGTCTGCTGTTCGACGAGCTTCCCGAGCTGCTGGATGCGCACGTTAGAGGTTTGTCCCCATCCCCACCCGTCACCTCCCTCGTCTCTCTCTCTCCCTCTCCACCAATGCCATAGGCAGAGAAGGCGGGCAGCTTCATCGTGTCGCCGCTGACAGAAGCCATACAGCGTATCGAGCCGCAAAGAGTTCGATAGCGCGGCAGCCGGTCGAAGCTAATCCTCGCGAGATCTACCATTCGCTCTGGCCGATCCCTGCTCTAACTCCCGTCCCCGGAGCTGAGCATGAGAGTGCCGATCCCCAGGCAGATAACGAGAGTGCGTACCGCCAGCTATTAGTGCAAGGCGTTCTAGCCGTCCTACTTCCAACCGAGGATCTCGCGAACGGGTGCTTGACAGCGCTGGTCGGGCAACTCTTTTCGGAGCTAATCATTGGCAATCTCGTTGCCAATAGGCTTTCGGAACCGTGGCTTATATGGGAAGGTCTGATCATCCTGACGAGAGTGGTGCGTACCAACAGCGCGACGAGGGCTCCTGGATCCGAAGCCGCCGACCGGGACGTTAATCACGGGGCAGAGCCCGGAAAGACCCCGCCGGCCATGGCGATCAAACGCGGTTGGTCCGTCAGCCAGGTATTCTGGTCCATCGTCCAATGGGGCTTTGTCGCCGTCAGCGTACTACGATTTATCATCAACGCGATCGTACTATCACAGACGCTACCCCCGAGGCCGACCCTTGCCTTCATCTCCCAGGCAGACCCAACCTCCCAGGGTGCTACAAAGGAGCCTCAGCACCATCCTTCAGGAACTTTTGATCTTCCCTCGCAGCCAGTCAAGGTTCCCGTCGCGAACTTCAAGATCTGGTCATGTATTGGGAATCTACTCGAAATGGACGCCCGCATGCCCTGGATGCACGGCGCTCTTTCCATGATACAATGGGCCGCCATAAGAGGCCCTGGAAATTTAGCAGGGCTCAACGGCATGATCGATAGGTAGGCGAATCAGTCTTCTTTCTTGCTCCCATCTCAGACCACCCTAGAAGGGCTTATCTCGTCACCTCGCATGCGCTTCAGGTCACTGGATCTGAGCCCGTCCACTCATCTTTCAGCAACGGCCTGTCTCGCAAGTGTGAACGACGGGCATCACCTCTTCGTCACAAGATTATTTACCGCGGGCCTTCGGAAATCGGCTTGGCAGGTGACCCGAACGAGATACGTGCGATGCTAGCCTAGGCCCTAACTGACTCTGTTGGGGGGGAGGAGGAATAACGTCGACGGCTAAGCCAAAGGAGGGACCGTGCGACGTTTCAATCCTTTGATTTCGCGAGCGGATAAACGGGCGACGACCCAAGTCCGACAACGCCTAGGGAGAAGTCGGCTAGAGACATCTCTTCTGCCCAGGATCGTCTCCATGGATAACCAATGACCGGGCCAACCCTTGACATCCCCCATCCGATTGCACGATTGGCGGCGCGGGGCTGAGTCTAGCAGGCCTACCTAGCCACATGCGAGCCTTGTTTACGCGCCCAACCAGGACGATGCAGGGATCCCCTATCCTCGGCCAAGGATATCCTCAGTCCGTCCGCCGACCCTGGTGCGACGCCACAAACGCTTCTCCCACTCGCTTCGTACCGCTCTGCCCCACCGCTACCGTTCCCGCACGCACAGGTACAGACGCGGGCAATCCTCCGGCGCACTCGATGAACTAGGGAACTTTTACGGCGGATCCTTTGCCCCAACGTCCAGGGTTCCCGTCTCTCTCTATCTATCTCAGCGACGTCTGCTATTCCGCTTCGATGTCGAAAAGCTCCCCCCCCGTACCACTCGTGCCAATCCCGGGTGGTACAGCAAATACCGCTCTATTCCCATAGGCGAAACAGCCACTATATCCAGCTCCAAATTCAGTCGCATTGGACATTCCAAGAGCGGAAGTAGCTCTCGCAGCTCGGACAAGGGTCGCTCGAAACCTTCTCCGAGGGTGACGGCGTGGCTGTCGAATACCCTGGCGCCGGGTTGCTCTAGGTGTCTACTGCTCCCACCACCTTGGCCGCTCCATCCCAACTCGGCCGATCAGAGCTCGTCGAAGGTTCGCTTCGCATTTGTTGTACCGGGCAGGCCCCAATCCTCGCCCTTCTTCCCGGATCGGATAGGTCCAAGGGTGACTCTAGGCTTCATGCAGCTGCTACACAGCTCCCCTCTCCTCTGCTCTCCCCCCTCCCCCTGTTCACGCCTCCTCCACCGCCTAAAGCTCCATGGCCCCTCGACGCCTCATATCGCTTATTCGTTTGAGGCAATCATGGGTGGTCGACTTTTCATTATCAATCATTACCAGGCTCTGGCTGCAATTCGTCATCCGCAGCCGTGGAGCAGTCCTTAGGGTGGTCTGGGAGCTTGATTCGGATTATTCCGCCCTGGGAACGCTCGACCTGTTTAGCACCCCGTGTCCTGGCAGACCAGGCAATACCGCATCCTATTTCCCTCGAATGACACCGCATCCAGCACCGCTATGTAACAACTATACCACCATACCCGCCCCCCACGTTCCCCTCTAATCCCTTTTTTTCTTAGAAGCTTCTATTAATGTTCTAGGAATGCACCTCTCTACACTGTACTGATCTCGCACAGACTTCTCTCGCACTACATCCAGGCCTACGTCCTCGATCCTACGCGCCTACCCCCGCTCCTTCGAGCTGCTCGCAGTGCCGTCTTCCCCAATAACGCCCCGGGCACACCCAGCCTCATCCCTCCTTCATCCGACGAGCAGCTGGCCGCCCTGCGTCGCAGATGCGCTAGCGCGCTTTTGGCGCTTGTTCCGAGGGGGGTGGGTAGTCTTTATTACGGTAGTAGTACCTGGCCATGGTCCAGCATCTGGGCCAGCCCCCAGAGGAGCGCGATTTGGCGGTCCGGACCGCGGACGGCCAGTAGCAATAGCGCAGCACATAGTAACAATACCAAGGCCACCGGAGAGGAAGTTGCACGCGTGCGGCTTGCCGACGAGGGCGAATCCGCTAAAAGGGGGCATGCAACGTTGACCCCAGGTTCAAAGCGGCAATTTGGAGAAACCGGTGTACGACCGACCAAGGCCGGTGGCGACCATCAGGATCAGGCTGACATGTGCTACGAGGGCGACGAGGATGACGACCGAATCCTATCTCAGATCGAGACCGGCATCCTCGACGTCTTCTCAGATCCATATTGCAACAAGCACCTGGTGTACGGGATCCTGGAGCTCGTGCTCGTGCGGCTCATGCCCGAACTAACCGAGAAGGGGGTGATCGAACTGTGGGAAGAGCGAGTAAGCTAGCTTAGCTTGGCCAGGCGACGAACCGATCCGACCTCGTAGATGAGCGGGTACTATGTAATATGTAATAACGACTGGTTGATTGATACCCAACCTACCTATCCGTAACGCGCGTGCGTGCGTACGTGCGTGTATGCGTGTATGTGTGTGTGTGGTACAGCTACTACCGAGCCAGGGCGAGCAAGTGGGAGGGGAGGGAGAGGAGGAGAAGACGGGACAGAGAGGGACAGAGGCAGAGGTAGAGAGAGGGAGAGAGGAAGAAACGTATTTGAGAGCATAGAGTTTCAAATTCGACGCATCACCTTGGCCAAATTGAGGGCAACCCTTTCTCATGCAATGCAACATGAGGCAACAGAGAACTGACGGGTCCAGGGTTAGGAGAAGTCCCGGAGAGTAGACATTGCAACCGCGCGCAGACACACACCTCTTCCCTCACTCTCTCCCTCCCTTGTCTCTCTCTGACTTACACGCTCACACCCATACCCACGCATGTCGATAATAGATACGTACGTATATACCACACCAACACACAGACATTGTTCGACATGTGTTTCCCGTCTCGTCGATGCTTACGAAGCGCAGAGAGAGAGAGTCCGAAAAGGGGGGGTGAGGGGGGGGAGGAGTAAAAGAAAAGGGAAACCCCCAAGACTCGCAATTGGCAGTGCCCGAGTTGATTGGGCGACTCTCTCTTCCCCCCTCCCTCTTCCCACAAAAAAATAATCCCCGGAAGGGAAAAGAGAGGGAGGGGGGTACGAAGTTCGTCTTGCTCCAGGGGGTGAGATGAGCGAGGGCGAGGGCGAGGGTGAGGGTGAGGGTGAGGGGAGAGAGAGACTAGGTAGGTAGGTAGTTAATGTGGTTTAGCCCTCGCTGGGCTTCGGATGCTGCCCGACTCGCTCGGGCGAGCGAGCGAGGGCGCGGGTCGTGTGTAGAGTAGAGTAGAGTAGAAAGCTTTGCCTGCCCAGCCTACGCACCCTACGAGTAGGCATGATGCTGCCGCGCCGCGCCGCGCCGCAAGGAGGGCCCGTATACTGATATCTTACTTGCCCCCCCCCGCCCGTTGCCCCCCCTCCACCCTCCCCCATCGACACTCACCCCCCTTATGCCTATTCCTGCGCATCGCACCCCTCCCTCCCTCTACTACTCCTTTCCCACACACACACACGCGCACGCACGCACGACACCCCTCCCCCCCCTTTTGGCCCATTCTTCGACGCGTTCTTTCTCGATTCGGGGCCTCCGCTCGTTCGTTCGTGCGTTCGCTCATCCGGGCCTCGCAGGGTGTAACCCCATCCTCCTGGGCCTTGCCCTCCCCCCCCCCCCCCCTTTCCCCCCCCGTCTCCGTTCTGCTCCCCTCCGTCTCCGTACGTGGGCGCGCGGATGGGTGCGTGTCTCGCCTCCCCCCCCCCCCCCTCTCCCCCCTCTTCCCACCCCCGGCTGCTGCTGCCGCCCACGTCTACAGGCAACATGCCTGCTCGGATGGCTTCGTGCTGCGCGCCGGGAAAGAGAAGGGGTGCCGCGCGCGCGGAGGAGGAGGAGGAGGAGGAGGAGGAGGAATGAAGGAACGCCGGCGCGCGGACACGCCTGGCTCAGCTGGCGCGTGCCTGTCGGCCTGGCTGTCCCGTCTGCCCCGCGCGCCCCCCGCGCGCGCGTCTATCTGCGCGATCGTCGTCGCCGTCGCTGGCGCCCCTCGTTGGCTCGCTTCGCTTTGCCAATGTATAGGGGTGGGAAGGACCGACGGGGTGGAAATGGGAGGAAGGGAGGGAGGGAAGGGAAGGGGAGTTGGCTGTTGTGGTGTAGTAGCAGTAAGTGGTGGTGGTGGTAGTGGTGGTAGCAGCAGCAAAAGGACCATGGATGTATGTGGAACGATGCTGGTCCGTTGTCTACTTAGGTAGGTAGGTAGGTAGGTAGGTAGGTAAGCACTGGGACAAGGAGGTAGGTCATGTTGAGACTCCCACGGCATGCATGAACTCGCTACTTAGGTATGTGGATGGTTGGTCAAGCGTAACGACGTCGATACACGTGTTCTCTATTATGCGAGAGCGAGCGAGCAAGAGAGTCGGGACTCGTAGAGGCCGGAGCACAAAAGACACGCAAGAGGTATATGGCCAAGAGTCAAGATCGATCAATTAGTGTGTACCCAACATCGAAACCGGATGAACGCCTATATGCTACTGCTTCTGGTGCTACCACTTTGCTGCTGCCGCTGCCGCTGCCGCTCCTGTTGCTGTTGTACTGTAGTATGTAGGTAGAGAGGACGAGAAAGAGGAAAGGAGAACTTCAACCGAAACGACCGAAGAAAGAAGTAAAGCAGATCGACGACGAAAAAAGCAGCGAAGAGATCCAGAAAGAGAATAATAGTAATAATAGTAATGGACCGGAAACCCCATTCCCCTTTCCCCAGCCTGTTTCCCCCCCAAACCCCCCTTTCCCTTGCCTTTCACTCCGGTTATCCCCCAACACCTTTCGCGCCCCCCACACCACCCCCTATCCCATCCCCCCCTTTTTTGCCGTCGAGATCAAGGGGAGCGAAGGCCAGGTAGGGTTGGACAGCCAGGCCGAACGAGATCATCGCCCCGTCACCCACCGTCCTTGTCCCCTCCCCCGTCGGTGATGAAGAGTTTCGGTTGTCCCCCTCCTCCCAACGAATCGCTGCTCCTCTCCCCGCTCGCTTCCTTTCCCTCGCCCTCCCGAGTTCCGTGCCGGCCCCTCGCTGTACTAAAATATCGCTGGGGGCATGTGCGTATATATAGAGACGGCGGTCCCACACGAGAGGAGACGGGGGAAGGAGGGGAGGAGGGGAGGAGGAGGTCGAGAGGTCGAGGAAACCCCTGTTGCATTTTTGTCGGTTATTTCCTTTTTTCGTATATGTATTGATATCCTTTCTTTCCTTGCCTTCCTTTCGATGAAATGAGAATTTCCTGTTCGTTCGGTATTCGCGTGAGCGGGATACAAGTCTTCTTTGTTTGCCGTTTCGAGTATAGAGAGAGACCCAGACAGAGATAGAGAGAGTGTGTGTGCGAGAGACAGAGACGGAGAAAGTAGGGGACCGAGCGACTGCCTGAGCGAGGGACGGTATAGGGCAGGTCCAGTTACACGATAGTAGAGCGTCGGGAGGGTAGAAGGGGAGTCGGCTGGGGAGGAGAGGGTAAGATACGCCGCACAAAGTCGCAGCCAGCGGCCTCGTTCTTCTCGTATATGTTGTGTTGTTTTTGTTTTCGTTTTTTTTTTCTCGCTAACTTCGATTGCTCGATTTCGGGTGTATCGCACGCGGTTTGTTTGGACCAAACGGGGGTATATGTATATATGATGCTTCGTGAGAATAAAGTGTATATAATTACGCCTCTTGCGGGGGTTTTGGGCTTTTCTTTTTTAATCCCCCCCTTGTCGTCCCCTCTCGTTTTCCTAGTCGGGGTTCTCCTTCGGTAGTGATCGTGGAGGTTTTCTAGTGCTCTTGTTCTGCAAGATTCTGTAGTCTCCTAGTGTAGGATGATGTCCCTACTCTCTCCCCGGTATTATGGGGTATCTGGTGGTAGATATGGGTTCGAAATCACACCGCTTCCATGAAGGCACGCCTGCTGTAGGTGTTGGGATGAGTTGGTGTCGGTCAACGATTTGTGAGGTTGTCGAGTGTGTGACTATCGTCCTTATAGGCCTCAATCTGCCGGTTCGTACGGGGTTGTTTCGAGTACCGACATCAGAGGCTCCCTCTCTCGTCTTTAAGCCTTAGGGAGTTCCAGCAGTTCGACTCCGCTATTGTTACGAGAAGCCGTTGTTGTCGGTGACGCGACAGGGGAGGGAGATTCTCGGCAATGTAGAATAGGCAACGTAGCGATTATTGAACAGCATCCACCGCAGTCCGGACAGTGAAAAATCTAGGAGAGCAGAACCCAAAGACAGACAGCTCGAACCGCCACTACGCGCTCATCGTCGCTTCGTGCTTCACCAGAGGCGAGGGGATCGTCGCCATCTCGGTGTCGCCCTCCGGTATTCTCGACAAGCCGCCCAGCCCCTGAGTGGCCGAGTTGGCCTGTGGCCCTCCGTGCAGCAGCTGCTGTTGGGATTGCAACCTCAGCTTCTCGGTGAGGCCTAAGACTATGAGGAATTCGTTCTGGTCGACCAGGCCCGTAGACTTGACATGCTGCATAAAACTGAGGAGCGTGTCGGCTGCCCGCCTGGCGTCTTCCTGGGTCGGCGAGCTGGGCGACGATCCCATCGGCGTCCCGGAGACTGCCGGCCCCGAGCAGCTGGACCTCCCCGCCAGGCTGCTGTTGCTACTCACATGGTGCAGCGGTGTCGGTGGGGAGATGGCCGAGTCCAGCCCCCCAAAGGGTGTGGCCGAGAGCTCGTTAGCGGGGGACTCGAGGGCCGAAGAGGGCGCTGTCCCAGACTGGCTGTACTTCGGGGTCAGGGGATCGGTGGGCTGCGACTGGTTGATGTAGTCGAGGTGGCCAATATCTGGTACCGTCTGGCTCCGGGGGCGCTGGAAGTTGGAGTTTCCTGGCAGGATCTGACTTCGGTCTCCAAACATGCCCGTGTTGGGGTCTGGCGAGAAGTTGAACTGGGAGGTCGGGCTAAAGGCGTCCGCAGAAAACGTCGAGCTTGGCGGGTCCGTGACGGCACTTGAAAGCGAGGTGGTGCTCTGCGAGTGTGGGTTCCGGTACCCGTTCGCCTCGAAGTCCATGAAGCCAGTAGAAATGGAGTCCTTCCCCTCCGGCTTCTCGTTCGCCGACGAGGCCTGGGGCGACGGTACTTGATTGGTCGGCGATGCCGGCGAAATCCCCCCTGGCGTCTGGGTGGTGGACAGCGAGGGCGAGCTCGTGTCCAATCGAGCGCTGTCAGGGATCGCGGTCTCCGACGCTCTGCGAATCAGCTTCCCAGGGCCGATATTGTGCTTCTGCTTGAACTTCTCGATCCAGGAGGCGGTGATGGCCTTGAGGGGGCTGTCCGATCCGGTACAGAACACCCTCGCCTTCTCCTCCATCTGCGAGTCGCTGACCACGACTCCCTTCTTCTGCTGCCCCCTGACCCAGTTGGCGAGGGCGCGCTCGATGTCTGGCGGGGACTTCCCCTTGGTCTTCTTGACCGGAGAGCCACCCTGGCTGTCCAGGTTGAGGTAGAGCTCCTTTCTTCGCAACACCTTCGAGACCGTGCTACCAAAGGGCATGTTAGCGATCCGCATCCGTTTCGGCGTCCGTCGACTTATTTTTTTTTTTACCTTCGCTCAACTCCGAACTTCTGGCCAATCTCCGTCTGCTTGGCGTGCGGGTTGTCCTCGTGAAACAGGCACATGTTCCGGCGATCCTCGTCGGTCAACGTCTTCCTCGGCTGCGAGGTGTTGATCGTGGGCAACTTGGGCGGTTGCCGCATCGGCACCGACGCTGGCGGTATCGGTACGGGAGGCGCCGAGTAGCTCTGAGGCGGGTTCGTCCGGAGGCTAGGCCACGGCACCTGGGACGGCTGCTGCGTAGGGATTATCAACGGGTGCGGGAGATGGCTCGCAAAGGTGCTGTGGTGGTTATGCATTGGGTGCGGAACAGGCGGTGGAGCCATGCCGAGCGAGTCTGCCGGTATCCCGTGAGTTACGGGAGGGATGTAGTAGTCGCCGCCGTACGTTGTCATCGCCATGTGGGTGTAAGCATTCATGTCAACCCACTGCTCGTTCGGGTACGAGTTGTCATGAGCCAGGTGGCTGTCCTGGTCTATGCCAGTCGAGCCGATCATCGTGTTGTGCATGGCTGCTGTCTACTGGAGCCGCCTATGCTGAACACTCGGTAGGATCCGTAGGCTTCAGCCCGCATTGACTAGCAGTCACGATGTAGTCTGGTGTTTTCAGGCTTCCAGGACCTGTATAGATTTGCAGCAAGCCGCAGCCAGAGTCTGTCAGAGTAGTAGTATTGACGCTGGTGACTGTGGAGATCTGCCGAAACGGATTTTGGCGACTTGGCTTTTACGGACGGGAGAAGGCATGCATATTCAGGTTCTGGTTAACCAATTGGTCCTTAGATGGGCGGCAAGTGTACCAGAGCTCCAGCAGTGTGGATGTGTGTGCGTATATATATATAGGTATGTGTACGTGTGTGTGCGTGTGTGCGTGTGTGCGAGTATGTAAACGTTCCTATTCTCGGGTGCGGTTGGGAACCGCAGAAGTGAGTTGACGACGGCGACCGTGGTAATAGTAGTAGCAGTAGCAGTAGCAGTAGCAGCAGTGGTGGTGGTGGTCTGGTAGGATGTGTGGGCCGGCAGGTCTCCGAAAAGAGGATGTGTGTGAGAGCGCGAAAACCTCGAGTCAGGATAACCAGTTATACGTCTGGTCTTCGTATCTCATGCGCAGCAATATAATATACTCGGCTTTTTTTTCTTCGTTTTTAATAAAAAGAAGCCAGCCAGCGCCTTTGGGGGGTCCCTACCGTTACGATCAAGTCTGGTTCAACTCTTCCCATGCCCCTCGAGACAGACAGCAAGTCCCCTCTCTCTCTCCCTTTTCCTCTGTCTTCTCCTCGTCGTTCCTCTAGCGTTCCCTATTTTCTCTTGTCCTTGCTCGTCTCTCTTTCTCTTCCTCTGTTATGGTGCATCGGGGAAGAGTTAGAAGGTTAGAAGATGGGTTGCGCCGTCGGTGTAAATAGGAACGACCGGAGGGTTGACGAGTTACGTAGTAGGGGTGGATGGCGTAGCAAACGGAAGTCAACCGGTACTAATAAGTCGTCCTCTCACCAAGCTTGGCCGTTGATTGACGGTCTAGTTCCTAGCAGAGAGAGAGGACGCCGCAATGCGGTCTCATGGCTAGGCTTTCGAGATAGGAATACCAGACGCACGGCAAAAGGTAGGGCTAGATGCTTGACACTGAACATGTGGAGGAAACCATACATGGATACATATGTACGTCTGTATGCAGCAGCAGGGATACCGTAGGTGTCCTTCGAGTCCGGGGGCCCTGAATACAAGAGATACCAAGAAGGGGGTGTGGGTGTGTATGGTGACCCTCGAGGGGCAGGATGTGGTATGACAGGTCTGACAGTGAAGACCCCCCCCTACTCGAAGGTACAGATGAATTAAGGTAGTCAGGCCCGTAGATGTGCGTCTAGAGAAAGGGCTGGCTGGCTCGACCAGGGGGTTAAGTCTTCAAGGTGTGTGGAGAGAGGCACGATGCTACCGTGCTCTTTTAACTTGTCAGAGAAACCACAAACTGGAGAGCTATCCTGGGACACAGCCATACTATCAGACGGGATTGACATGGGCCACAGAAAGGCAACTGTGGGCTTCTCTCCTCTCTCACCCCCCGGGCAGCTCGGCAAGCCGTACCATGTAAGTAGAGGGGAGCGGGATCATGGGATAGGCCGAATGGAAGGGCAAGTAGACGGCCTCGTTGACGGTTCCCCGATAATTTCAGAACACGAAACATGTGGCTTTGGGTCAGGCTACATTTCCCCGGTCCTCCCGCTCGAGTGGCTTTCCGTCTAGTTTCCGATTAGATAGACGGGTCCTCTCGATGAAGCCCGTTTACTCTCGGTGTGGGAGGAGCAGTGGGGAGGGAGGGGGAGCAAGCGAGCGAGAGAGCGCTTGCGCGCGAGGGAGACAGAGCGACGGGGAGAGAGGGAGAGGGCGAGAGAGAGAGCAGAGAGAGACACACGACGAGCCGATCTGGAGGGCCAGGTCAACCGAATCTGACTAAAGTGCGGGCGGGTACTGGGTGCTCCCGAGGTGGAACTAGGGCATGGGGATCGTCAAAATGAAAAGAGGATGGTGAATGATGAATTCAAGCGGAGCTGTGCGATAGACGAGGGCAAATCCTGCCCGTTTTCTTATTATGAGAACTAATAAACCCCACCCGGCGTTTAGACCAAGGAGTGGTAGGTATGCCCTCGAGACCGTTTCCGTCAGCTTGCCCATATTCCCTATTCCATGGCGTATTTGTGAGGTTCAATAGTATCACGCGCACGCACACACTTATACACACCTCCCCACTAAAAGGAATACGTAGGAAGACGGCAGTAGGGGAGGGAGACTGTAACAGGCCGCCGATAATAATAGCGAAGGCAGCAGCAAGACCAGTTCAGTACGGGTCCTCGATGGGCGGCCGTCGCGAGCACGTAGAGGCTCTCTCTGTCGTTGTCTCACTCTCACCTCCCCACTGTAGAAGCACCCCGTTCTGGTCCCACGATGGTGGATGTGGGTGGCTAGACGGCCGGCTCGGGACAATGCTGGGAAAAACGAAACCAGATGAGCCCTACATAGGTAACTTGGGCGGGAAGGATCTTAGAGTCTAGTCGGCCGGAGGGTCTTGGGAGTCAGCAAGTCCCCTGTGCCACAAGCGGTCGAATTCGTAACGCTCAATGAGGTATTTCAGAGTCGACGCTTGGCTCCGTCTCTCTTCTCCTTCTCCACTGGGAGTTGAATTTTTTTTTTTCCCTCTGTCTCTCTCTTCCTCTTCCCAGTCTTAGCCCGGCCCTGCCTGTCGACGGGCTGACTAGCAGGGACTTTCCAACAGGGTACCATGGTCCACTTCACCCATGTCGGAGACGGACCGTATCGCCTTTTCATAGGGCAAACATGGGCCACACTCTGCCACCGTTTCCGTCCACGACGGATCGTCATAATGGGCTTCTGCGATTTTATTTGACCGTCGTTAGCGAGCCAGATCTCTCCATAGGCTCGATAGCTTCCTGAGAGCCCCTCCTCTCTCAAAGCAGCTTAGAAACTTATCCAGTCATCAACCGGGTTGAGGCTAGAGACTCTCGTATTACACAGAACGGGTGTGCCTATTCCTGTTTCTATCCCCATTCCACTTACAAGCGCTCTTGGGCTCTCTCTTTCGCTGCCTCGGTCTCCTCTCTATCTCTCACCTAGCAATCCCGGCCCCCCCCCCCCCTTCTTCCCCCTTTCGTCTACCACACCTTATGGTTAGCTGCCTGGGGGGAGGAAGAGAGAGAGGGACGGCGAGGGCCTGGTAAGGTTAGCTCGTCTGGATGTACCAATTCGGCCATGATCGGACCATATGATGACAAAGGAGGGGTTGTCGCGGTTCGTCGTGCTCGGCGAGCCGAGCGAGGTCATCTCGCGACTCCCACAGCCCAGCTATAGCGCGCATACTATCTCCGTTTGTGAGACAACCTCTCGACCAGGTCAAATTGAGATGCGCAGGATACGGGGGCCCCTGTCTTCTCTCTCTAGTCCCCCGATGACCGATTGAACGGGGGGTTCCCCAAAGCCTGTCAGTTCTCTCTCCCTCTCTTTCCTTTTACTTACTCTCTCCTCACTCCCCCGACCCTGGTGAATCCTGGCCCTTCCTCCCCCCTCTCTACGGCTCCGCGGGCCACGCCTATATTTCGTCGGTTTAATAGCAGGCCCTAGAGCCGGGAAAGCCTCTACCACCTACGTAGGCACTCCACGAGAAGATCATAGTAAACCGCATTAAGAAATCATTCTCATGCAACCTGAGGTTGAGATCTCTGCGCCTCCATGGTCTCACCCGAGTTTTCGCATCGACCGCGCTCCTCTCAGCGGCCACTGCTCATAGGCCATATACGAGCGCTGTAACACGCGCGGTCCGAGCATGAGATAATGCATTATCGAGTCCTTCCAGCAGATCCTCCTTCCCCCCCCTCACCTCCCCTCCCCTCCCCTTCCCACGTACCTATATGCTGGCTTCGTGGACGACTTGCTGGCAATGCGACGGGGCCGTCAATCATTCCAGCGCAATGGGCTGCCCTTCGTTCGGATGTGCTCCTGCGGTGCTTCCCGGCTGACGGTGGTTCTATCAAGCCGTCGCGCGTCAAGCAAGCTTGTGTAGCGTCTATACCCCAGACTGCCGGAGAATATCCCCAGGGCCTATCCCTTGAACCTACACGTACCTCGCAACACGCGTCCTCTTGTCTCTCTGTCTGCCTCCCTCGCTCCTCTCCTCGAATTGCCGGTCAGGGTTTGGCCAGCGACCGTCAGCTAGATATGGCGCATCCGGTTCAAGAAGGCGAGAGAAAGAGAGAAAGAAAGGCACTGCCCTCGTTCCCAATTCGTTTCGCGCGCCGCACGAATCCTGCTCTTTAGCGGCGTCGAGGGGACTATGTTTTTTTTTTTTCTTTCTAGTTGCCCCAACCCAACAGCAACACCCGTACCCATCCACACGGACGTGCATACGGCACGATACAATCAATATTGATGCAATACATCCTGCTAGGTAGAGTTGAGAGGGGGAGTGAGGGTGAGTACACAGAGGCATGTGCGGTACGCGTGTATCTATCTACATAGGTGTCTACATCGGCTGGCGGGTTAGGTGGTTTAGCCCGTCCTCAATATCCCACAACCATGGGTTCTGGGTGTCGTTAGACGAGCCAACTGCGCTACGCTCTGCAAAATCGAGGCCTGGAATTGCAGTTGGACATACATAATTTCCGGGTCAGACGCGAGGCCTTCACCGAGGTCCATTGGGCCATTGGGCATAAATGGTCAGGAGGTCCAAGCGACAGTACTCTTTTCCGTGCGCCGGGCTATCTTCCAGTTGGTCAGCTCTGTCTCTATCCTGGACTATCCATGCCTAACTCCTGAGGAGGCTTGAATCCTAGGAAGCAAGGGCTCGTTCGAGCCTAGCGTCGCTGGCGGGCAGCACAATTCCTGCCACAGGGCCGAGATTTGTGTTACAGTATAACCTGCGAGGCGTCTGTCTATGCAGTTCTCTCTCTCTCCATCTCCCTCTCCCTCACCCTCTCCGTCTCTCGGCTTTATGCAAGGCTCATCCCCATGGCCTATTGCGGCCGGAGCGCCGGTTACGCCTCCCACATGTAATGTATGCGAGTATCCAGGCGCAAGCATATATGATTTCATAGACATGGAATCCCGGGAATCGCCAGATCATCCCGTAGCCTGCCGCTCGCACACATCGATGTCGGTATCTTGCCGGCCATGCGGCTGTGGAGTCAGATACACCATGCGCGCTGCCCAGTGATCGAAGTAACGTCATGGCCCTGGAGCTGCCGTCGTAAAGGCGGCCATTAGTAAGGGCACCCTATGCTCCCTCCCTCCCTCTCGGATGACACAAGAGAAGCCTCGGCGTTAGCGACCACGGCACGGCACGACGGTAAACCTGCAAGCCGTGGGCCGCACCCTATGCTAGATTTGGAGCTCGCCATCCGTCATGTGCTTAGCCCGGAAAAGAAGCCTTGCTGGGGAATCGACATGCCTGGCTTCTCTCTTGCCGGGGTTGGAGGAAGAGAGAGGTATTGATTGTTGATTAGCCCAACTGGCTCCGTCGCGCCGTCGCCGTATCCCCGGCAGCGTATGTAGGTACATCGCGCGCGTGCGCGCATCGCATTATCGCCCACGGTCAGGGTGTCGTGTGGAAGACAGCCGCCAAGGGAGCCACTGTCGCGGGTGTCGCATATTGGGGCCTCGTAACGAGTCGCCAGAGCCGGCCTGCCAGACGACCGAGGCTGCCAAAGCTCAAAATGAGGCTGCTGAGCGATAGGCAGGTAGCTCAGCGTCCTCGAACGTAGCACCCAGCAAATGCAGTGTGTGTACGGTAGCATTGGAATCGCTTTGAGTTGCCTACGAACGAAAACGACGGCAACGGAAATATGAGGGCTAGAATGGTGCCATTTGTCATCGAATCAAGCCAGCTACGGGATCCGGGACGGCGTGTAGTAGCAAGGTTGTGCCGCATGGCCCCAAGATGGGTAGAGGCGTTACGAGGGGATGGGCATCGGGCGAAGTCGCTTAGGCTGGAGAGAGAGAGAGAGACAGAGGGGCCGAGACAGAGAGATACCGAGAGACAGGCAGAGAGGGGCAGGACAGGCAACGCCGCCTGTTGGGTGAGCGAAGGTCGGATTGGGGAGTGTCGCCTCCAGCCCCGTAGTGACCCCCAAAAAGTTCAGACGATCGAGAACTTTCTCGACGAAGGGGACAGTCAGACGTACCGCCGGCGGCTAGAGACGCGCTGTGAAAGGTCGGAGCCAGGTACCAATTTGCCGTTCGGCCACTCGTTGGAGTGGATAATCTAGATGCTAGGTTGTTGACTGGTCGAAAATATCCCGATCGTTAAGGTGCTACGATAGAATACAGGGCCAAGACAGAAGCCGGCAAAGCTGTTGGCCCCGTCGCTGTGGCGCAAAGGGAAAAGAAAGAAAGAAAAAAAGGGGGGGGAGACGAGAGGGGACGAGGAGAGACGAGAGACGAATGTATCCATACATACCCAGCTCATACCTCTCATATCTCTCGCACATCGCGTCGGGCGTGTCTGCGCGTGAGTGTGAGTAGGAGGGCATATATGTGAGGTGGTGCAGGTATATGCTGGATGTGGACGTGCGTGCCAGCCGCCGCGAAGCGTGTGTCAACGGCCTGGAATATATTGATAGGCAAGGCACCGTCCATGCGTCTCTCCCCTCCTCCCCATCCCCACGCCTCGTCGGAGACATGGCCGCATCAACTGAGGCCCGTTCGGTTATGCAGGTGGTGTCGATTTGCAGCTTTGGGTCTTTTGGAGGCTGCGGAGAGCGGCCCTCAGGCATTGGGCGCAAGTGTAGGTGGACAGCGGCTTTCACTAGGTGTGTATGTATGGAGGTATGCGTATGCGTAGCTGTATGCGCCTGTGTAGGCGTATGCACATAGGTGTATCTGGTAGGCAATAGTAGGCCCATCCCAGGGACAACCCGCGAGAGAGGGAATATCAACATCTACGTCGCGTAGAACCCAAAAGCCGACAAATGATAGATAGACAGTCTTGAGATAAATAAATAAATGATAATTAGGTGGGCAAAAGGGGGGCCGCGGGAGGAGGACACTCGGCCACCTCCTCGCAGGCCACGCAGGACCTGCGTCGTCGGACATCCTTGCGCACAGCACAGCACAGCAAAATCGATCACTGCTGTACCATTTTTTGCATGACCGGGCTTTTCCAGAAAAAGCAAACAACACTTTCCGTTGCTCGTGCGCCGCATCGGCTACGGCCTGTCCCTTGATCCGTGAATCTGCAGATAGCCGCATCCCCCTGCTCTCGAAGCTGCCCAACGGCGTCGTGAGTTGGGAGATGCTCGCTAGACGTATCCGTCTGTCCATTGTGCTATCTAGGTAGAACCTGCGGCCCTTTTGCGGCCGCGGGGGCGCGCCCGCGAGCCAGCCGAGACTGGTTGGAACTCGATCACCCCTTCTGGCCGTGCATGTGTTAAAAGGCGCATCAAGGGTCCTAACCACCACCACCACACCCCCCCTTTTGGAGTCCCGTTCTGTATTTACTCATCTCTTAACAATCGTTACTGAGAGGGGAAAGCATTAGCACCCGGGGCACTCCTGTGCGTGTCCGGACAGACAGGGGGGCGAGTCGGCAAGTTGGAAATGACAATACCTATATCCTCGTCCGCCAGCTCGTGGGCGAGCCCCACGCGTTGAGGTTGGTGCTTCACGGACTTGCCGTACACGATGGCCGTCTTGAATTGCTCGACGATGCTTCGGTGGATTGCGTTGCACTTGAGGTTCCCTTGTCAGGAGGGCCCTGTCGGCCAGGCCGAGCGCACGGAGAAGGAGTACTTACAAAGTCCTCGACTGTGCACCTAGTGGAACGCAGCACCACAGGCGATGAGTAGTCCGGCATCTTCCCTTTCGGCTTCGTGTAAACCCGGACCAATTTTAACTTATCCCACCTGCATGAGAAAGGAGATTAGCCATGTGTGCGATACATGTGCCCATAGGGAAGCCGAGAAGTCGAGGCATACATGACCTCCATCAACTCGTCAACGTTCCATCCGTGTTCAGAGCTGATGGGCACGGCGTTGGGTATTCGGTACAGCAGGTCCAGTTCCTCGATGCTGATTGCGTCGATCTTATTGAGGACGTAGATGACGGGGATGTAGCTGCGGCTCTTGGCTTCCAGGATGTCGATCAGATCGTCAACCGTTGCGTCGCAGCGGATGGCAATGTCTGCCGAGTTGATACGGTATTCGGCCATGACAGCTTTGATCTCATCGTGGTCGATGTGGGTTAGCGGCACGGTACTGGTGATGTTAAGTCCACCCTTGTCCTTCTTCTTGAAGGTGATATTGGGCGGTTCTTTGTTGATACGGATCCCGAATCCCTCGAGTTCGGTTTCAATGACTCGTTTGTCCGTCAAGGGTTTGTTTACGTCCAACACGATGAAGATCAAATGACACGTCTTAGCGACAGCGATGACTTGGCGACCACGGCCTCTCCCGTCCTTGGCCCCCTCGATGATACCCGGAAGATCAATCATTTGCAACGGCGCCCCTACAAAGCATAATGTTAGAGAAGTAACCCCCGAGAGGGCCAGTTCGAGGCGTATTGGGCGAGGAGAGCGGCGACCGTCGTACCGTTGTACATGACCTGTCCAGGTACCGAAGTCAACGTGGTAAACTCGTATGCGGCGGCTTCCGAGTGCTGGCCAGTCAATCTGCTCATCAGAGTACTCTTCCCTACCGATGGGAATCCGATGAAGCCGATGCTGGCAACGCCGGTTCTGGCCACGTCGAAGCCAGGGCCCCCGCCACCTCCGCCAGACGAGGGGGACAGGAGCTCTCGCTTTAGTTTGGCCAGCTTGGCCTTCAGCTGGCCGAGATGAAACGAAGTCGCCTTGTTCTTTTGAGTTCGGGCCATCTGTCCAGGCAGACGCCTCAGCACACCAGCGCACATTTCAGGGGGCCACGCCCACGTACCTCGGCCTCGATCTCCTTGATCTGCAAGCAGGTTAGCGACTTGGCCATCAGCAGATAGACAGACAACCATACCTTGTCCACTGTGGTAGCCATCTTGAGAGACTTAGTACACAGGTCAGTTCCACGAGGGTTGATCCACTGTGCCGTCGGGCACTCCTCTCAACCCCTTGCAACGAAGTCTTGTTCTTCGCTCTTGAGGATTTCAGACTAGTTGTTCAGCGGGGCGAATTCGCAAATCCAGCTTACAGTATGTAAATCTGGCAATGATGTCAGCCCTCGGGGAGGGCCGGAGTTTTCCCGAAACCCTTTATCTATAATCCTTCGGTAACCCGATATGTGGATAAAAGGACAGTCGCACAAAGGATATTCACCCTGACATATGCCCCGACAAGCTACCATTGTACATACATAATTATACACATTCAGTAGAAATTCAGTATTCTGTCAAATAGAAATGTCGAGTAGGGGTACTAAGTGTTACGAAAATAAAGTATCTATACTGCTGGACGAGAGGTGAATGGGCAGCAATCCTCTATTGACGGTACTCATGGCCGACCATCCTAATGTGATGCGTACACCCGGCAAGATATTCATTCTTCGACGTTGATGTGTCTATGGTGGTAGAGGTAATAACGTCTAGTGGACTTGTAACAGCTATTAGGGGTGATGGGAGAAGAGCGTTGAAGCCGAGACGAAGAGCACAGCCTAGCAGTAAAGTTCATAAACTTATGCTTGGATTCAAGGAGGGATAGTTTATTTTCCACCTAAATACCATTATATACTCCCTGTTTTACTAGACTTGGTAGAGTGACACTACCTTCTTCCTATAGAGGTTGTATTCGCCTGCTTTGATAAACACAGGTATAGACATTTCGCTTCATTATATTGCGATACTTACATTTCTCTGAACAGGAGTATCTCCGGACGCTAGCTAGCTAGCTAGCTATATTACCTAAAGCCCAAGGAACCCTACCCGGATAGCCCTGGTTCTAGTAGGAGGGAATGTCGGTATTCTAGTTCCACAATGACGAAAAGGCTGGGAGGGTGTTAGTATTGCCCCTATAGGGGAGGCGTGTCCAGGGGCAATATCACATAATCATTAGCCTCGTTGTCAGTACGTTGCCCGAAGCTCAAGTAATAGGGGGAGTATTTATGGGAGTATGTTTTAGGGAGTAACGTATCACAATAAAGCATATCAGCCGAGTTACCTACTAGGCTCAACAAGCTTCCAGTTCTTCACAGGGCAACTAGGTCGCCACGTCCGGAGTAATAGGCGGCTGGTGAATACGGTTAATTAACTAATATGTGTGACGCTAGGTAACGCACAGCAGATATTTTCCCGGTATATTCAACCCTGGTGAAGTGTCTATCGCTTTGGTGGACCATGTGCTCTGAGGTTGGCTTTGGGCGCCCCACGATGCTAAACGAGCCACTCAACCAAGACAACAGCAGTTTTAGGTGTGTTATTTATTTGGTCTTGTAGTTTGTCCAGGTTGGTTAGTTGCCAAGTACCTCGGGTGACCAGTGGGTGACTGAGCGACTGTTACCTAGAGGAAGGAATCCTCCTTACAAGCCTACGTATCCCACGAGGGAGACGCAGGCGTCTACGTCTCCACGCGACGTAATTATAGCATATCTCTATAGTCTCCCGAGTCTCGTTAAAAGGCTCCGCCCTGTGTTGGTATGATTGGCTCAATACCTCATAACTCCCTGTCGAACTCAACTTATCCGGCACAGATCATCTTATGGTGGCACTGAGAGTTTAGTAATAAGATATCTGGCTGTATAACGTGCCCCAATTTTAAAGCCAAAGCTTGACGTCCTGTTGTTAGGCGCAATTTGAAAGGTTCACAACTCTTGTAGAAAGTGACCTGGATGGGAGAGGTTTTTTTTGGGGGGGGGGGAGAAGGGGGGACGTATCCTTCGATTTTCAGCAATAATGGGTCTGGCTGCTTTGGGGCTATGAGTGTTCAGTATCTTCATATGGGTGAAACTTGCATAATGGGACATGGCCTAAAAACGAGGCGGATCCTTGTGAACTGGCGGGTAAGATATTGATCCCGTTCGCCTTCCATACTCAGTATCATCCCCAGTCGGGTAGGCGAGGATAGCATCCCTACCTCTCTAATACGAACGTACGTACTAGGTACACTATACACACTGGCGACGAGATTTCCAGAGCATACCCGAGTACCTTGAAGCCGGTCCCATTAGGAACAATCCCCTCCAGCCCTTGCCTCCCCCGGAGTTCCAACACTCTCTGGCTTTAGTCGAGGTTAGGAGACTAAACAACACTAGGTTAACGAGGAAGAACTAACGTCTAAGCCTACCATAAGCTGCTCGTTCGGAAATCTAGTGTGTGCGTGTATCGTACACACAACTAATGTCACCAAAATGCGCCGAGTTACGACGACGAGAACCAACTCCTGGAAGAGGAACATATTAGCCAGATCCCACACCGCATAATCCCATTGCCGCGTTATACAGCAAGACTATTTATGCAATAAAGCACATATCACACTTATCTCACCGCCTTGGGGCCACGTCCAGGTTTTAGACACCTATTTCTTTCCCGCGCTGTTCCTCTTCAACATTAAAGATAAAGCTATACGAGGAAAAAAAAAAAAAAAATTTCTACCCTTTCAGGCGCGAACACGGAGTCTGCGATGGCAAGAGAGGACTTGATCACGTATCTGCACCCCATATGACACAATATCGATACATGCATACCTAATCCTAGCTTATACAGTAAGTAATACGGCGTAATTAATGATGCAGCGTAGGTAATTAATAGTGGCAGCAATAGCTTAAGTAATCGATTAACACTCGCCCCAAACTTATTTATAGGGTTGGTTATTTTAAAAGGAGCTGCCAGAGTGTCCACGAAGCCGCGAGGAGCTGGGTCTGTGCAGGTATATACACATATACTCGGCTACACAGCTACCTACCTCTGTGGGCTTGAGGAATCCCTTTTCCCCCCTGACCTCTCCCCACTGACCTCTCCCCTCTCACCTCCCAGCTTCCGGCTTCCAGCAGACCCTTTTCCTGCCACCCGGGCTCGCTTCTTTCCCCTGCCTCTCGAGATGGCGGTGGCGTCTGGCCTCCTCGGCCCTGGTCCCGGCTTCACCCCGGCGACGTGTTGCCAGCTCTTCTACGTCCTCGCGACCGCCACGACCCTTGCCGCTGCTGGCACCCCGGAGTCCCTGCGGCGCCTGTTCATGCCGTACGGCGCGCGGAGCTCCTCGTCTCCTCTGTCGTCGTCGAGAGCGAAGAAGGGAGAGGAGGGCGAGGCCGGCGGTGAGGGACGGCTTCTGCGCGCCGTCAGCTGGGCCACCTCCGCGTCCCAGGTCCCGCACTCGTGGTTCCGCCACTTTTACGTCCTCTCCCTATCCGGCTCCGCCTTCTGGGCGGTCCAGTTCCTCTGCCGCGGCAGGGCCCTCGAATTCGTCGTCGAGCACGAGGCGAAGACTGGGCGTCCATCCATGTCCGTCAGCCAGGTCATCCTGGTGTGGTTCCTGATGAGCCTCCAAGGTGCCAGGCGTCTTTACGAGTCAGTAGTCCTTGTCCGACCTTCGCCCTCGAAGATGTGGGTCATCCATTGGCTACTGGGACTCGCATTTTACTTGTGTATGAGTGTATCTATTTGGGTTGAGGGGTCTGGTAAGTGCTATAGCGGCGTCCTATTTGTTGGCATTCTAATAAACAATCGCGTAGGATCGATCCAAGCTTCTGATCCGTGGTCCTTCAACATCAAGACCTTGCCATTCAATGCCATTATTGGCGTTCCCTTATTCTTAGCTTCGTCTTTCACGCAGTACCGATGCCACAGCTACCTGTTTCGCTTGAAGAAGTATTCGCTACCCGAGGACGGCCTATTCGCATATCTCGTGTGTCCCCATTACACATGCGAGTGTGTGCTGTACCTCGTTCTGGCGACGGTCGCAGCGCCAACCGGCCAGCTATACAATAGAACGCTGGCTTGCGCCTCGTTGTTTGTTTTCGTTAATCTCGGGGTCACTGCTCATGGCACTAAGAGGTGGTATGGCGAAAAGTTTGGCCGCGAAAAGGTGCTACGAAAGTGGAGGATGATACCTGGCCTGCTGTGAAGCCGAAGTCACCTGCGCACTACCTCTTCTTGAAGAGCCCGAGCTTGCCCCCAAGCTTCGAGACGGCCAGAACGTCCCGGTACGTTAAGCTAGTGCGCGTTTTCCGGGTGTTGCGACCTTCTGCGAAGTCGCTGGGCGATCGAAGGAGACTCCAGTTGGCAACAGTGCTCTCCGCGAGTTCTACGTCCTCCATGATATCCGCGATGCCGTGAAGGAAATCGGTGTAAAGAGCCGAAGTAGTTATCAGCAGGCTTCTGGGCTCCTGCAGGATCCTCCATTCCGGCTTAGTCTCTAGGGTTCCGTCCTCTTTAAGTTTATAGATATCGAGGCAGAGGCTGGCTCCGAGGCTCACTGTGCACACAATTGGGTGGTACGCAGCGCCGTCCTATTTCAGGATGAGCGGCCCATCACCCGGTGACCCGATAGCGTTTCTTACCTTGTGAGGCATAATGCCGATCCCCGGGGGGTATTCTGAATATAAAATTAATATATTGCACGGGCTGGAACATGGCGCCTGTCAAGGATTACTACGATCTTGGCGATATATGACACGGCACTGATACACTGGGCCGAACCAATATTCGACCCCACGCAACCGAGGGATATAGATGTCAAGAGTCGCGGATCGTGGGAAACGAGCACGATAGGGTCCTCAGTGCAGATATTTCCCCGCGCGTTACGTACCGTTGATCAAGACGTGATTCGGCTTCCGGTGGGGGCTGTTGGAAAACACATCGGACTCGGAATCTGGCGAAAGTCGGATGGACTTTAAACGCCGCACCACTGGCTCGTCTAGCCAGGCCGGCAAGGGGGCATCGATCAGCTTGTCATTTACGAGATCGGATGGCCAAGTTTGTAGTCGTCGGTGGGTAAGCTGCTTCCAGCGTGGCTTCGGCGCGGAGGCGATCTGTGTCCCGGTTAGGCGGCGGTTAGGATAAGCATGGACTCGACAGTCACTGAAAACCGCACTTTCTCGAGCATGACCCTCTCTTCCTCTGACGTGATAAAATCAGAGATGTAATATGCTGCCGGGGGTAAGCCTGGGATTCGGACATGTTCGAGGAAGTCGGGGAGCACGAGGCTGTCGAGAGACCTATCCACTGATCTGCTAGCCATGGCCGTGTATTTATTGGCCACGCCAGCCAGTAAGTCCCGAGAGGACGCCCCCGGGCTTCGGTCGAGGCAGAATCGGTAGCTCAGGATTGCCGTGAGTGGCTATCCGGCGGGATGCGCGAATGCCTCGTCATACAAAGGGGGGGCAATACAACCTCACGTGGCAATAGCCCAGAGATATTTCGTGGAAAGCAGCAGGTAAGGCTGGGATCATATATTATCGTGTCGAGTTTGCTGGGTTTAGATAGGGAAGCTGAGGAGGGGAGAGGGGGTGTGGAAGACGATCGGCGGGGAAGGGCTTATCAGGCCGAGGGAAGGTCAAGGGGTGGCGCGGTGGTGTGGATGAAGGGGAGAGAATTTTGCGGATGGATGGACGTCTGGACGGGATGCGGAAGAAAGGACAAGACAAAGAGAAGCTGAGGGAGAGGGGGAGGAAGGGAGAGAGAGAGAGGGAGGGAGAAGGGGAGGGGAAGAAAGAGGGGGGGGGGGGGGAGAAGAGACGTGGTCGGACTGGCCAGATTTGCGTGTGGTATATGAGTAGAGAAGAGAGGGTGGGTTTGTTGGGCTGCACGGTGGAAGGGCGAGGGTATGTATGTATACAGGTTTTATTTGGAGACGGCAATTAATCGAGAATGTCAGAGCCAACATTCTGCGTACCTGTTAAGGTACTTAATATAGGAAGTACCTGGCCTAGCCTAAGGTACCTTGCCCACACCGGCCACACCGTACGTGCCTCCAGCGCGCACCCAGAACACGCAGGTACCTGTATCCTCGATCGAGAGCCTGGCAGTCTTGTGAAGGATTCCATCTATAAGCACTATAACTGTGCCATCAGGCTGTGGGGTCGGCAGGGTCGGCAGAGGAGGACCTAGATATCACGAGCTACCTCCTTAGGCAGATGTCTCTACGCGTACATATAGGAGCAGCGCCGGGCCGGCCTCGTCGTCTCCTATCTACGTGTAAGACGCGTGATGTGCGTTGTATGTATACACGTACTCGTATACGTGATCTTGAGGTGGTATTGAGGTGGTACTGGCCGGGCCCCCCTGCTTGCCACTGTATGACATGTACCATGTACTTCACATCCGCATCATTTTTGCGTGGACGGGATTGGTAGCGTCAGCCCTCTGGGGTGGCAACCCTACTCCCTTAGCCTGAGACCAGGCTGGGAGTTTAGGAGGTGGTGGTCCGTGAGGGTGGGCGGGTTGGGGGGGGGGTGGAAAATGGGCAGGTGTCCTACGCTATGGGTACACGTACATATTGTGTGTGTCCCCGGTAGGTACCTACGGTTGTGTGTATCGTACCGCGGGTTGTGTGTACCGTCTCGGGAGGGGAGGGCCATTACCAGGGGCCACCGCTGTCGGGGGGAGGTGAGAAATGGAACGGGGGCCTATGTGTATGCAGAGTTGTGGAAATACCGGCCACCCGACCCATCCGTATCCGGCCAGACAGCCAATCGCCAGCAGGGGCCCAGCCGAGTAGACTGAGGATGGAAATTGATCGTGGACTGGCCGGCGCACGGCAAGGGAGCGCTGCCTGCGAAGTCCTAGTGCCACCACACCTACTCGTCCGCCGGGTGGTGAGATATATTAGCGTTGATTAGTATGCCCATGTGCCCTGACACAGACACGACACGCCATAGCCTGTAAGCCTTGTGGCCCGTGGCCTACAGGTAACGCTTGCAGTACCTAGGTGCATACTCATACAGTACGTAAATATCTACACGCATACATAGGTACGCACCGCACCATACTATATGTGTATAAGATAGAGGTACCTGTAAGTACCTAGGGTAAGAGGGGCCCACCTAAGCAATATACTATAGGTACCTAAGGTAGAGGCAGGCAGGTAATAACTGACCGCGAATCCGCACCGCTCTATTAGGCTAGCTGCCTGCCTCCTAACCTTCGGAGATAATGTACCTAGTACCTACAACCGCTAGTCATACGAATCTGGGCTAGGCCCTAGCACCCTCGCCTCCTCGCACTCTCTTGTATCCTCTCTACCTCTCCTCTCCGCTCTTCTCTCCTCTCGAGGCCTGCGTACCTACTATAATCACCTAATCCCTATCCTTGGCTGTCCCAAGGTTCACTTCACGTAGGAGGTCGCCCGACTCCCTCCCGACCTACCTGAGCAATGCTTGATTATACCCTTGCCGTCTTCCTTCCTGTCTTCCATCTGTCTTCCACAAGAGGCGCATTGTGGCGTATGTACGTGTGTGTGCGTATTTTCGTGTTTACAATACTTAACTTACTTAGAGAATCTATAGGCCTTCGTACCGCAGCAGGCCGCCTTACCTTGGGCACAATACTATACATCATCGCCGGTACTTACGTGTATGCCCTTTTCCCCTTGTCTTCCCGTCCATATTTGCCTTATTTGTTAACATAATCTGGACAATCTCCCGCTATCACCACGGTATGCCCCATAGCCGCATACCACCAATACCCATTAATTGCTTGACCTCCCGCCGGCTACCTGTTACCTGCATATGTGCCTGATGGCCATTGGCTGTTGTCCTCCTGATGCACCCTATACCTATCTATCCCGTGCATGCCCCATGCCCATACTCGTACAGGCATAGCCCGCGACCTGTACGGGCTGGTGTCGGTGTTTCTTCCTCTTTTTACTCGCCTTGCCTGTTTCTAACAGATGTCTGAGGTACTACTATATGCCTGCTTTGCTTGCCTCTCTGCCCGGCTGTAATCCTCCCCATCCCTTCTGCTGTACCTTAACCTACCATCCATTTCAACCTCACCAGTAAATTTCTACACCTCCCCCTAACCAAAAAAAATAAACATACTCGCCCAAAATCTCGTGACCGTCATTCACGACGCGCCCTGCCCGTCCATCCGATCTCCTGCCGTATATCAGCAAATAGCGCTTCCTTTTGCTCTCTGCTCCTCCTCGTCTCCCATCGCCACCCGTCCTCAACCTGCCCTTCTCACGGTTTGCTGGATTCGTTTGATCCGCGACCGACCGTTTCACCCATCCTCCTCACCCTTGTAGAGCAGCAGTCCATACCCGCCCGGTCCGCAACGACGTTTCAACGCAAATCTCTCCTTATAGTCACCCACGAGTGGCCATGATGGTGCACTGTATTATATTTCGGTATATGAATTGAATGCTATGGATGCGCAGAATGCTGTCGAGTCCGCAAACACGAAACAGGCTGCCTCTCCAAAGCGGGGAGTCGCTGAGTCTGACGATCTCAAGCCTACGGTGACAGCGAGCAGTGCCGCGACTAACACCAGCACAAGTAACAACAATAGCAGCAACAACAACAACAACGACGATAGCAACAAGCACAACCACAATAAATATCTCCTGTCCGCCAAACTCCTGTCCGTAGGCAGAGACTTGCGAGCTGCGATATCTCCTGCGAGTGCGCACGACGACGAGGTCGGGCCTGACCAGAATTCGGATGCCGAGACGATCGTGCTTCCGGGTAAAGATGGCATCTCACCGTCGAAGCCGCGGAAGGTCATCAAGTACGAAGACAAGAGCGACGGCGAGATTGACGATATTTTGCCGTCCCCGAAGAAGCCTCCGAGGGATGAGAAGAATGGCAGCCGCGATGGTGGCCCGTCCAACGATGCCGGGCCCGCTCTGGCCAGGAAGAAGCGACCGGTCGAAAAAGAGAGGCAGGCTCGAAACAGCAATAATAACAAAGATACCTCGAGCGGCTTCAGCTCGGCGCCAGCATCCCCCCCGCCGCACCATCGCGATCGTCAGGATCAAGCCCACAGACGTCGTAAATCCGGCGATGCCAATTCTGACTCAGACTCGGAATCTCCCAAAGCGAAGCCCAAAGATCCCGTCGGCAATAAGTCCAAGTCCGTCGATAGGTTGTTGCCGAGCAAGCGAAAGGCACCCAAGGCCGAATCCGACGACGAGGGCGAGTCTCGCAAGGTTCGTCGACCGCGCATTTCCGACGCCGGCCTCGATGGCCTCGCCGGCGTGAAGGAGAAGGGCTACAAATCCTCGAGCGCCCAATCGAATCACGACAAGAATCCTGCCCAGAATCGATCGCTCTCGCCACACGGCCGGACGCACCGACGCAGTCTCTCGACGCAACTCCCTTCCCACTCGTCTTCGAATGGGCTCAGCACCAAGAAGAGGCGTGTCCCGGCCCCCCTTCACCCGACCGATTACCACTCTGATGATTCGTCTGCCAGCGGGAGCCCGCATCCCCGGAGCTCTAAGCTGAGGAGCATCGCCACTCCCATCACAGGCGAATCGACCATGTCGCCCGCTAGGATGCCGCCCCACAAGAAGCACGTCGACAACCACGGGCAGACCTTGCTAGCGAAGGCGTGCGCAAAGGGCGAATATGAGGTCGCGAAGAAGCGGCTGACTGAACGACCCGATGATTTGAACTTTGCCGACTACGCTGGGAATACGCCTCTGCAAGTTGCATCGCTGAACGGCCACGAGCGTATTGTCCAGCTACTAATCGACGCAGGATGCAATTTAGACTGCCGAAACAGCGACAAAGAAACGCCGCTGCTGGATGCCGTAGAGAACGGCCATCTGGGTGTGGTAAAGCTATTGCTGAGAGCTGGCGTGAACCCCCGCAAGGCAGATGCCGAAGGCCACGAACCGTTAGAGAAGGTACCCGACGACATAGAGTACGCCGAAGAAATCCGTGCTGCACTGCGAGAGGCGAAGGAGAGGGTAGGAGAACTGCGTCGTACTTCCGAAGACCACGCGCCCCACGACTTGCCGGACAGCCTCTCATCCCATGGGCCAGAGAGCCCCCGCCGGTCACCTGTAGCGTCAGCAAGCAGCACTTTGGCTGCCCAGCGTCGTGGCGGCGCGGTACGGTCGACCAAGACAAGCAATCACCTGCTGTATATGAATCTGGACGATAAGACCCTTAGGCAAGCGGCCGCCCGAGGCGACAACGAGACGGTGACCCGTATCCTGCAAGTGAAGGAACGCTGCGATGACTCGGAAGCCTTGGTTAACGCGGCTCGTGGTGGTCATAGTCTCGTCGTCGAGCTCCTCCTCGCGTTAGGGAGCGCGAACCCCGATCCACGTCCAGTAGCGAGCCTTCCTACTGATTATGGAACACCGATGCTCGCCGCCATCGGAGGGGAAAATATCGAGGTCATTAAGCTCCTCCTCAACGCCTCGGACTTCGACCCGACACGTCGGTACAAAGGTCAGACTTATTACGAGTTGGCCAGGCGTCGCGAAGGTCCGATGTGGAAAGAAGAGGAGCATATCTTGAAGAACGCCTACGATGAACATAAGAAAGCCTCGAAGGGTTCTTCGAAGACTAAGTCCCCGGGCAAGCGTGATCGTGATCGTGAGCTGGACCAGGAGTCGCGCCGTGCAAACCGAAACGAGTCGAACTCTGAACTCTCCCGGTCTCACAAACGTAGACAGTCTAGTCCCTCTCGCGACGCCGACACGAAGAAGAGGACCGCATCATCAGCCAAAATCACCACCAGCCCCAAGGAGAAGAGATCCTCACATTCTCTCGCCCACCGCGACGAGCAGACCTCTCCCAAACGTGGACCAGGGCGGCCCAAGAAGGAGGATCGGGCACCCAACACTACGACGCCTGATCGAGAAGCATCCCCGACGAGACCCAAGCCCCACCCGACCAAGTCAAAATTAGCAGACCCGGACCTTGCCGACAGATCGTCTGACGGCGAGGCTGCGAAACAGCCCCCGCGAAGGAAGCTGATTTCAGGCAAAGATCTGAAAGGCCACCGAGAAAAGCAACGGCGTGCGAGTATGGCATCGAACAATTCTACAGCTAACCATAGCGACGCGAGGAACGATGAAACCTCGGAGAAGCGATCGGAACGGCTTTCTGAAAAGTACCACGATAGGACAAAAGCGATAAAGCGCGACGAATCTAACGATAGGATGTCTATGGGCGATGGCCCGGGCAAGAGGCCGCGATCCAGCGTCACACCGCCTCGTCATGGTTCGGGCGATAAAGAAGACAGCGAGGCGCCCGTGAAGAGGAGGAAGCTGGATTCCGAGAGCAAAGAGAGACGTCAATTCCTGAATTCTTCCCCGGACGACCGCCAGCCGAAGCGGGACCCGTCACGTGACCCCGCGAAACGACAGCGGCCCCTAGAAGCTGATCGGAAGGAGGCTCCCAAGGCCAGGAAGACGAACCGCGACCGCAAGGAATCCGACAAGGCAAGTCCTCTGGAGAAGGCCAGCATCGTTGTGGCTTCAGAGGATATTGACGTGGAGATGCGCGATGGCCACCGGGCACCCTCCGCGGAAGACAGCGAGGCCCAGGCCGAGCGTGAGCGGAAGGACTCAAAGAAGCGGCAAGCCGAACTGGAGGTCGTCGCCGCCGAGGAAGCAAAGAAGAGAGAGGTCGAGCGGCAGCATCAGGAGGCCGAGAGGAGGAAACAAGAGGCAGAGGCCAAGAGGCAGGAGGAAGCTAGGAGGCAGGAGGAAGCTAGGAGGCAAGAGGAGGCCAGGAGGCAGGAGGAAGCCAAGAGGCAGGAGGAGGCCAGGAGGCAGGAGGAGGCCAGGAGGCAGGAGGAAGCTAGGAGACAAGAGGAGGCCGAGAAAAAACGTCTTCGGGAAGAGGAGCGGCTTCGTCTCGAGAGAGAAGAGAAGAAACGCAAGGAAGAAGAGGAAAAAGCTCGACTAGAGGAGGAGCGGAGACAGAGGGAAGAGCTAGAGAGAAAACGACGAGAAGAAGAGGAAAGGAAACGGAAGGAGGAGGAGGAGGAGCGTAGGCGACAAGAAGAAGAGGCTAGAATCCGTCGCGAAAGGGAAGCCGCCGAGGAGGCGCGACGCCTGAGGGAAGAAGAGGAGCGAAAAGAGCGAGAGCGCCAACTGGCGGAGCAGGCAGCGCGCGAAGCTGAGATTCAACGGGCCCGCGAAGAGGAGGAGAGAATACGTATTTCCAAGTTGCCTCCTTTATTGCGATGGCTGGATGGCTGCCCCGACCCGAAGCGAGGGGAAGTTGCCGAACTCTTTGCCAGGGCTCAAGGTGTTCGGTACGACACGATCGACCCTTCGGCTACTGGACACGCAGACGGGCGCGACCAGTGGCTGCTTAACACTCAGGTCGCATTACTCCTTGGTGAGAAGGACACTGCGCTATCGAAATGTGAGCCGCTCCTGAGTTCTCCTATCGTCTCCCATCCCCCCCCCCCCCCCCCCTTTTTTTTTTGGGTCGCGCGGTCGGCGCTAACGGCCCTTCAGATCCTGCCTGGCAACACAAACCGGTATCAGATATAGCGAAGAAGGTCATATGGCGTCTCGAACAAGAGAGATATGCCCTCACCGAAGGCAAACTTTACCACTTGGGAGAACAGCTACCTGATTATTATGGAGGCGATCCACGGACAATCGGCTACAAGAAACTCGAAGAACTTCGCGGCGAAGCGGCGAAATGCTTCTTCGGAACCGATATGTTCTTTGTCAAGGTGAGCATAATTACGAGGCACTGGATGTCGCATGCGCTGACATTTTCCGAAGGAGACCGACTTTCTCCCTATCGTCCCTACCATACCTCACCTTCGCGATATCAAGTTATCCATCTGCTACTGCGAACTTCCAGAGCACGAGTCTTCCCTCGCAACGTGGAGTACTCCGGCAAAATGGAAGCAGGATCCCGATGCGGAGAGCCGCGGACCGTTTGCGCCACGGTACAAGTATTACGTGAACGGGCAACTAGTGGGCGAGGACAGACCCAGGCAGTATCAGCCCAGCAAAAGCCCGTTTCCCGAGCACAGGGTGCCGCGAAGAGGCGGACTGGTCGCAGTGACGCCAGACGAGCCCGATTACGCGCGCCTCTGCGTCGAGCAGGGACTCGCTCACCTGCTTACCGACCAGCAAAAGCAGTCCGTACTGGAGGGCGCCCACCTAACGCCGAGAAGCATGACGTCGAACGAACCACCCGACTATACCGGGGAGAATTTGTCGCCGTCGACGGAATCGCCGAGTACGACGCAGGTCAACGGCATCAAGAGCGGCGACGGATCTCCGGAAAGGCTGCCCGTCAACGGGATCAACGGGGACGATTCGGGAGGACATTGAATCACCCTCTCGCCCCCTTCGCTATCGTGGCGGCTGCCCTCGCCACGGCAGGATTCTAAGGCACCGACTCGCCCGATGCTGGCTTTTTTTCTCCGCGCCCAGGCGGTTCTCGTTGTGATGGTGGCGGATTCTCCTATGTTTTGTCGGGGCTGACGAACAGGGCATTTTTCCTCAAACGGACGGTCGTCCGCGTATACCACAATGTACGTAGCTTCACGGATGGAGTTCCCGGCTCTGGAATTGGCACGAGCGCTTTCTACGATTACCCAGCTGTACTCGCTTTTGGATGCCGGTTCAAGACATTTGCTCTCCGGCCTGCTGTCAGCGTATATGTTCTATTCACCATATCGAATACTAGAGGGGAGAGGGGAGAATCGGCGGTTGGGATGCGGATTATGACTAGATACTCCACAGACGCAGTATATATCTACACATGATGACGGAATTGCTCGCGCTGCACTCGTATTGCCGGTGTGTATCCTCCGACGATTAAACGAGGTACGTTCGGACAGTGGGCGAGACACTGCCAAGCCACCGAAGGATGACGCCGTGTACCGCGTAGTCCGGGGTAGATCCTAGATAATTCTAGTGCCGAGCCGTATTGCTCAGACAACGACTTGAGTGAAGGCACGGCGACGGATAGCTGGTATTAATACGAAGAGGCGATATATATATGCATACATATGTGCGTACATGCGTACAGGTATGTGTGCGTATACGGCATGTATGTAAAACGGCTCCACGAAATCCCGCACCTCACTAGAAACGCCAGGAAGAAGAAAAGAGAGAGATGTGCGGTTCTAGAAAATTTTTTTTTTTTGCTTTTCCTCCCTGCCGAAACATGCCATTCTGTCTAGATAGGAAACCCCCCTGCGTCGCATCTGCTCGCGCCGAGACGAGACGGCGAGTGCTGAACAAGCGGGCGAGCAGGGGTCGAGCGACGAGGACGCCGGCGCGCGCTGCCCAAAGGAGGAAAAAGGGCTGGCTTGCCTAGGGCTGACGCTATGCGTGTATATATGTATATATACATATCTACGTATCTACATAAGTATTTATCTACATGGGTATTTATGCACGGTATATGTGCATATCTTGTATGCATACGCGCATGTAATGTGTACGTATGCGCAGATATGTACGTAGCAGGCGAGCTTGCCGCAGCCCGGAAAGGTCAGATAGCCTATTGCCCTGGTCGTGGTGCCTCAACGGGGGTTACGCCGGGTTATACCACGTATGAATGTCTCCCCCCTCTCATCCACCTACCTCCTACATACCTTCTCGGCGTCTCGCCCCTTTTCTTTGCTCTTCTCCTGCTTCCCGGTTGGAACGTCTCTCGCTAACACACGCTTTTGCGCGTGTGTGTATGCGTATGCGTATGTGTGTGTGTGTGTCCCGTGTGTATCCCGTGTGTATCCCGTGTGTCGTATAGCTCGCGGCGGGCGTTTCTTAATTTAGAAGCATCTGCATGCGTCCGCGTGTAGATAATTCGGCATTCGATCGAGCTAGGATGGGCGAGCGCGCCAGGTCGAAGCTGGGGAAAACTGGGTAACGGGCGAATCCTGGAGCCGATTCGCGCTCTCTCTCTGCGTGTGTTCGGCCGCCCACGAGCCGCGTTCCGGGGGTAGGCCTGTCCAACTATGATACCTACACGACCTGCTGCAGAATCGAACGTGGACGGCGCCGTGCCAGGGTCACTCGTGCGACGTCCGGGGCCGGGGCACCCTGTTCCTCTCGGTCCAAGCGATGATGCTACCGACGACGGGATATACCCACGCACAGCCTCACTCGGACGACTGTGTCGCGTACGGGGAAGAAGGACACCCCTTCGTCCTCTGGCCCGGCATAATTCCGGCAATGTAGCTATGTTTTCTCTGCTTTTGCTCTGGGGTTGAAGCGAGGGGGGAGGTGACGTGACTGGCGTGATCTGGATCCTCAGCTCGACGTGCTGGGGCTGCCAGGTGCAGGCGACGCCGACGAGGTCCCGCTCTCGACTTACGAGACACGCTCACCGCCCAGCCGCTCATCCTGATCATTTCGGGGGGACGCTTGGACGATCGCGCCGGACGATGCCCTCGATTGGGTGTGGCTCCTCTAACGACCAAACGACGTAGAATGGGGACCAAAAGCAAATTACACAGACGGTGTCTCGTTCTCGTTGGTCGTGTCTCTCTCTGTTTCTTTTTTCTCTTCTCTTCCTCTCCAAAGCTGACACGAAGAGGGTCGGCCCGCTCCTTCTGGCTTTTCTCTCCCTCTCCTTTTTTTTCCCTTCTCCTGTCGAAGCCATGGATCGACTTTGACGAAGCTCACCTGACGGGGGATAACACGAAAGGCAAACAACTGGACTTAAAAATAATACCTAATACTCACCTCAGAGCACACATCCTCACCGTCGTTACCGTAGGCGGGTACGGGACCATCCCTTGCTGGAAAGAGGGTGGTTACCTCTTCGAAGAGGAGGAGCTAGGGCCTCTAGATCTACGCGTACACAACGCCCACACGCATACACTCGGACACACTATACGCTATAGATAGCTAGGGATCAACCGCCAGGGACGCCGGGATGAGGCCCCTCGCGCCGCCGACGACGTCGCTGCTCGCCAGCGGGCTCCTCTCCCTCATCCTCGGGGGGGCCGGCGTCGCGGGCCTGATTGAGAACGACTTCTCGGCGTACCCGCTGCAGTCGCAGCAGTGCCTGTACCAAGCCGCGACCGCGAGCCAGTGCCAGGGGGACACGGGCGAGGAGATGAACACCTGCCTGTGCAGGAACGGCGGTAATTTCGTCTACGACACCGCCGACTGCGTCGCCAGCAAGAGCCGCGGCGACCTCACCTCCGTCTACGAGACCCTCAAGGCCAACTGCGCCGGCACCGGCGTCACCCTCTCCGTCTCCAAGGCCGCCTTCCTCTCCCACGTCGCCACTGACGATGACGACGACGATGACACGGACATATCCTCCTCTTCTTCCCTCCCGCCCGCCTCAGCGTCCCCTACCGATACCACAACAGCGACACAGACCACCACCACCTCGGTCTCGAGCTCAACATCGGTCTCGATCTCGACCTCGACCTCAGCCTCGCCCTTGGGCTCGACCTTGGCCCCGTCGCCGGCGGAAAACGGCGGCAGCGGCAGTAGTGGCGGCGGTAACAGTAGCGGCGGCAGCGGCCTCTCGCAGACCGCGAAGCTGGGGCTCGGGCTAGGCGCGGCGTTCGGCGTGATCGCGCTGGGGCTGCTGGCGTGGTTCGTGCGGGCGTACTCGCGACGGCACGGGGCAGCCGGGGCGGCGCCGTCGGTGGCGCGGCCGTCGATGATGGGGCCGGGGCGGCGCAGCAACGGCGACCTGGAGCTGGCGCAGCCGTACGGGGGCTGCGGGTCGCCGCCCGAGTACGCGCCGCAGGGCGGCCAGTTCGGCGACTGGAAGCCCGCCGCCGACGGCGCCGGTGCCGCCTACCCCTACGGCGACGGCCTGTCCAAGCGCAGCTCCGGCGTCCCCCTCCTCGTCGCCGCCGAGCTCGACGCCAGCCCCCGGTCCCCCGTCGAGCTACCCACCGAGAACTACAGCCGCGACAGCGTCGCCTCCGGCAAGAGCACCCCCGCCGCGCCCACGCCCCCGCCCTCGTACTCCGGCCAGCAGCCCCCGGACCGGCCGGGCTGGGGCGGCCTCGAAAAGTGAAGCCGGCGTGGTACGCTACCACGACCACTGCTGCGGCCGCGACCCAGCTCCTTCGCCCAGCCGGCCGGCCGGCCGGCTAGCCCGCCCCCGTCCGCGTCGACCTACCCACAGGCAGACACCGCGCCGCGACAGCGGCGCCGGGGGCAGGCGGGAGGCAGCGGAGACGCGCTTCTCCAGAAAGGGGGGAGGGGACGGCCGGAGCGGAATCACTAGGGCCGCTGCAGCAAGCATACGCGGTGGCGCCGCCGCGGGGGCGGAGACGGCGACGAAGAGAGAGAGAGAGAGAGAGGGGAGGAGAAAGCGGCCGAGGTCGGGGCGGGGTGAGATACATACACATCTCCGCACGGCGAGGACAGGGCCGCGACGACGACGACGACGACGGCCTTAGATGTTCCCCGTACTTCGCATAGCATATAGCATATACACATTAGTACACATGATACACACACATATATATCCATAAACAGCATAGAGGCGGCGTCAGGGCGTCCGCTGCGCGGCGAGAAGGAAGGCCTAGAAAGGGGGAGGGGGGGGGGGCATCCGGTGCCCTCCCTCCCCTGCTATCCAGGAGCGTCCTATCGCCTCTTCTCTCTTCCCGTGTCGAGATCAACGCTACGTAGGAGAGACGCAAGAGGCGCCGACGTGTAGGCCTGCCCTTATGCACTCGATCGAGCTACCACGCCATCCGAGGCCGCAGCGTCTCTCTCGCTTCCCTATCCCGGCCGTCAGCTGACGTGAGACTGACCGATGGATATGCCTCTATCGGTCCTAGTTTGCACGGCATCGAGGATGGATCTACGTGCCTGGGACAGACTGATTCGCCCGACGGGCTGCGGCGAAACCGGTCGTCTATATAACGGCGGCGTCTCATTCGAGAGAGCCGCTACACGGATGTGCATCGCGTGCGACCTGCAAAGCTGTGCTGTCCATTCGGTAGTTCTAGATCCTGTGAAGCTATACGCACGCCGCTATTGCCACCTTCCACTGGTACGCCCGATCCGTTTCTTCTCCTCCCTGCTCGTCCCTCTCGCTCGCCCCTGTCGTGTGATCACCCCATCTGCATTGTACGTAGGTGTGGTATAGGTACGTCTGCGCCAGCTCGAAAATACCGTTAAGAGAATTTCTTCTTGCTGTGTTCCAACCGCTTTGTCCAACAAAATGAAAAATGAATAAAAAAAAGATCGGGATAATATAGGCGTCCCGTTCCAGATCGCGTGTACCCGTGACGTTCCGGCCACGTGCCCCTATTCCCCTCGGCCCGGTCAGCAGCTCACAATGGTGCTCGTCGTCGACGACGCATCGTCCATGGTGCTCTTCTTGCGCCAGAAAGCGAGTTTCTTAAGCCACCCTATGAAGCGCCATCTCGAGCGTCTCCGGCAGGCGCTATACGAGGTTATCGATGATCCCAAACCCGAGCCCCGTCGCGGCCGCCCGTTCTTGTGGCAGTAGCAGGAGCAGCAGCCGCAGCAGGCCGCTCGCGGGCCCAAGGGCGGCGGGGGCAGCAACCCTGGCACGTGCCCCGGGTATCGGCCTGGGATGTTGACGAAGCGATGCGGCGTGAGCTCCGACTCGAGAGATAGGTCAAGCGCGAGGAAGCAGAGGTCCTCGAGCTCGGTCTTGTACTCCTTGATGTAGAAACGGCGCTGGCCCGCGGCGTGGAAGAGCCACTGCCCGACGAGGCCCAGCAGCACCTCCTCCTCCATGTCCGCCTCTTTCTCGGGCCAGGCAAACCGCGCCGGCGCGTCGATGGCTCCGACGACGCACCTCAGGAGCGAGAGCGAAGCCATGCCGCGGAGTCGGGGCGCCTTCTGAAGTATGGGGCCTTGGGGTGCCTTGCGGGCCAGCCGGCAGACACGCCACATGAGCGAGTCCCAGGAGGGCTCCAGCATCGGCGGAGGTGGGTTGACGAAGAAGCAGGGTTCGAGCTGCCGCAGACGCTTGTCGATCGCCCCTTCGGTCAAGGCCAGCCCGTCTCCGGTGGGGAGATCCAGGCCCTTCAGCCCCTCGAGGCTGGAAAGCACGCATGCGCAGTATACCTTCGCCATCGTATCAACTGTGGGTGAATCTGTAACTAGGTAGCCTGACACCAGGTAGGCTGGTGGGGTGGCAGAGGAAAAGTGAAGAGGGAAAGGGGGGGGGATCGTCTATTTTTCAGGATAGATGAAGACCAGCCGTGAGGCACTCGCTCACTCCTCTCTGCAGGACTATTTACCCTCAGAGATAACCCCCGTCTGAGTCATATCTACCTCGAGACCGTGATCGCCTCCAGCATGCCTTGTCTCGAATAAGAGGACGAATGGCGACTAGACTCTCAAGCCTCTCCGGCGATGTAGGCGCGCTAGATCAGGACCAACCCCCCTTACCAGAATTCCTGCATAGTATAAGCGATGCCTATCCACTTTCGAGTCTACTTGGTTCTCTGCTGTGGTTGCTTGCCTGCAGGAGGACAACGCATCCCCGCATGACGCCCGCTTCTTGCGCGGCTACTAGATTGGCTAGAACGGGGTGAACTCCAAGGCACACTCGTGGGCTGAACGGACCGTCCACCACGAGTTACGTGAACTCGAAGCCATGCGTGATAATGACAATACTGGTCCAACCGCAGGAGAGACCCAGTGTCACGTACGAACTGGCGGTGTATATAGGACGCCGGCGGCCCCGGTGCCGGCCAAGAAAACCGGGATGAAGACTGCAGCCCACTGTCAGTCGACAGTATCTCCTGTAAGACACATTTTCTCTGTGGTGAGCAGTCCGGTTCGGGACGTAGGGGCCATCCCCTGCGCTCCCCGCCCGGAGAATAGGCAGTAGAGCAGGGGGCAGCTTGCGCAGCACAGCTGGGGGCCGATAGTCTAGAAATCAGTAGATCGGATACGTCACCTCAGAGGCGGGAAACGCAACCCCTCGAGTAACATGGTGTAGCATATACATTAGTAGCAAGCCTGGCTTCTCGAGATTTGCAGCCCGTAAACCACATTCAATATCCGCAGGTCGCACGGTGGAGAAGTAGAAATTCTCACGAAGCGACCAATAGACAGGCACCACTGGGATGGCCTGGAGCTCTGGCCTACCGCCCAATATATGGCTTCTCCTCGTGCCGTTCTGCCGTGACACCCGGCCTGTATGGCTACCGCAAATTAACTAGCTGGGTCCGTCTCACGGAGGCTGGGCGTGGGCGTGGGCGTAAGTAGGCACGATGCCCACGGCCGATACCCCTCAAGTCCACCCAGCGCACCAGTCGAGGCTGTCAGCTATGCACCCGCCATCTCACTGTGACTCGAGCACGGGGTATTTCTGCACATCGTTGGGGGGGCGGGGAGTCAACCGCATATCGGCTATAAGCACGCATCTCTCGACATGGCTGCGTGGTTCTGTATGCAGAGAGCTAGGACCCCTCTCTCTCTATCTCTGGCCCCCACAAACTACTTGCCCCTATCGCGCGTGAGCAGCGTGAGAGTTGAACGCACCTTGCCGCGGGCGTCCCCCGAGGGTTCGTGCACCCAGCGACGCGGGCACCGTTACCAGCCAGCCAGCCAGCCAGCCAGCCAGCCAGTCAGTCAGTCAGCTGAACGCACCAATGACGTGCATCCCAGCCCGTCTACGTCCTTTGCTATGGGGCGTATTCATCGATAAGCAGACAAATTCCGATGTCTCGCACTCGTATTCCCGATCTTGGTTTGCGGGTTTCATATGTACGGAGGTGTCTCTCCTGGTGGTAGCGGTGACGATGATTAGGATCGCGACCTGGACGGCGGCGCAGGAGCGGTTCGTCCATCAGCCAATCGGCCATGCTGACGCCAGAGAAGGCGCTTCAATCTTGCGGTTTGACGCGGGTCCTCTATTTCGTAGTGCCGGGTGAGCAGGCATGGGAAGAAGGAGGAGAAAGAAGCGATTAGGGCAGATCGGGTTATCCTCCGTCGATGATGATTCTCGTCTGTGTACCCCCTATGCCGCCATTGGCGCGTCGTAGGCTCGGTGAAGAGAGAGAGAGGTCAGAACTCTCGGCCGTGTTTGTCCTCGGCTTCACACAGAGCCTTCCCTCGTTTGGCGGATGTGAGACCGTGGCAGATCAGATGGGCGCGTGGCACGCACTTCGAGTGCGGGAGTGCACATCCTGTTCGTTTGACTCTTTCGCCTTCCTATCGATGCCGATGCGAGGCTGGAAGCGATAGACACCGTAGGGCATGCCGCCTGGTCAGCTAGAGCTCGCAGCCCGGCTGGAGAAATTGCAACGAGCAGTGGGCCGGGCAGCGGGCCGGGCAGCGTTTGCCATGCTTCTCTTCCTGCACAGGTGTCATACAGAGTTGGATTTGTCCGGGCATATATACCTAGAGACAGAGATCGTCAACGCCGTCGACTCGAATTTGTCTAAGGGAGAACCGAAGACCCCAGCGACGTTCTAAAATCCGAAAGGATGCCCGAAACTATACGCTGTCCTTCCCTTTCCGTGCCTTCCATCTACCCAGACGTCGTCGCCCATCATAGTGACGTTTCACGTACCTACCCCGTGAGCGAATAGAATGATGGCGCCGCTATAACACGCAATAGCAGCTTCACAATTCCAACGCTAGCTCGTGGGCTGGGTCTGTTGGTCTGTGCTGCCTCTATGGCTCAGTGGTAAAGCGTCGCACTTGTAATGCGAAGATCCCTCGTTCGATCCGGGGTGGAGGCATTTATGGAGGCATTTCGTTTTTGTCGCCTGTCTGCCAGCCTGAATGCGCTGTCCATTTACATACACCTAATTCCTTTATTTTCTTTCCTTCTTTTTTACTTCAACCCCCCCCCCAGTCTGTGATCGGAACCGATTCCTTGCCCCATCATGCTATGCTACCCTAGGAGAAACTCGGTGATGCTCTTGGTCCCTTTCTGGCTAGGCTCCACGCCATCTCCAAGTGCCTACATTGCCTGTATCCTCACCTAGGCGAGAAGTGAGTGTACCTACATAAAAACAATACACCCCATCGTCAGGATACCGCAACCAGTGCATTGGTGAAAGAAAGAATCAATACTAAACGAGCTCATGTGAAATTAATTTAACCCTCGCCGGTATGCGTCTTCTGAGGTGGCTATTGAGCGCGAGTTCATATCGGTAAGCGATCAGCGGAACAAGAAGGATGCCTCGTGAGTGAGATTTGCTGTATGTAGGCGCACACCTATCCGACACCCCTACGAACACAACCTCCTCGAAGTGGCACACATTAGATATATAGGTATATATATATATATATATATATATGACACGGTGCCATCACACAAGTATACCTCGCCACTCCATTAATTACTTGCATCAACTCAACCTCGTCTGAGTACATTTCAATCTGTAACTTGCTAGTCAAAAGTAGCGGCATTGGTTGTAACCTCAGAGGCGTCTTCCAAGTAAACGTAAATAGGTAAAAGGTAGTAGGTATCTCTTTGCTCATATAAATCATGCTGGTATCTCCTCGGGTTGTGCACATAGAAAGCTATGTATGCACTAATGAATCCCCTCGCTGACAATTAGATAGGTAGGTAGGTAATCTCTCGTGGTAATCGTGGCGCTGTCTCTGACAAGTCGACGAGCCGCTAGTAAACTCTTCTTCCCCCCTTTTTCTCCCTCCCATCTCGTCCCACCCTCATCCTCATCCTCCCCATGCTCCCCGCCCTGCTTCTCCGTACAGGTCACCATTATATATCCCAACCCTTCTTCTTCTTCTTCTTCTTCTTCTTTCCCACCACGGCTACCGGTAATAATCCGAGGGCAGCTCGTACGCGACCGGCCTCGCGTTCTGCAGCTCGAGCTGCGGGTTGTACAGCTCGCACAGCTTGCGGCGGTCGGCGGGGGGTGGCGGCGGTCGGAGGGGCTTCGGGGGCGGCTCGGGCGGGTCGTCGGCCTCGCGCGGCGCCCTGCGGCGGCGGCGGCGGCGGGCCCAGACGCACGCCGCGACGACCGCGACGATGCCGAGGATGACGGCCAGCACGGTACCCGCGATCGCCCCGGCGCTCGGCCCCGCGCGCGAGGCCGCGCCGTCGCGGGACGCCTGCGGTGCCGTTGGCGTCGCGAGGGCCGCCCCCGGCGCGGTCGGCGTCGCGGCGGCGGGCGAGGCCGACGGGTCCGCGGCGCTGGCCGGCGCGTCGCGCGTGATGTAGAAGCTCGTGCTCCAGAACCCCTCGGTGCGCGTCTGCTCCCGCGCGCCGCGGGCGTCGGCGATGCGGAACACGTACGGCTCCGTGAGGTCGGCCTCCTTCGCTTCGACCTCCCACTGGTACCAGCCCGTCGCCAGGTTGGCTGTCGGCTGTGTCAGTCGCGCCAGGCGTGCCGAGGGGGGGGGGGGAGCCGGGAAGGGAGCGAATCTCTGCGACTTACCTGCGAGCTGGATCGGCGTCGCGGCCTTGCCCCGCTGGTAGTAGTACAGGTTGGCACCCTGGTATGTCGTCGTCCACGAGATATTGATCACCGAGGTCTCCCGGAAGTCCATCGGCCATTTCCTCGGAAAGACGAAAGATCCGTTGGCGGAATCCCAGGGCATCTCGTATATTGTTCCCGTGTTTTCTTCCCTTTTCGGGGGCGAGGACCTCGGGCTGCGGAACGGATGCCACATCGCTTGCCTTGGTTCTAGGGGAGTCGGCCGCGGTTTAGATAATCCTCGCTTTATCTCTGGTCGTGTATATAGGCGGCTTTCTCTCTCTTTCTCTTTTTCTACGGACCGGACCGGATTGTATGTGTAACCCGGCTTCCGTCAGGGTCCAGGGAAGAAAAATTATTCAAAATCCGAAATTCTCGCCCCCATCGTTCGTGCCGAACTCGCTGGGGTATTCGCCGGGAGTTTAAAGGAGAAGCGAGAGGCTGCTCAGCTGAGAGTAATGAGGATGTCATACCATGGGTGGGTAGGTATATCAACGCCGTAGCCGCGTTTCGCGGTCAGGCCAGCGACCCAACAACCAGCTTGGTGGAATTGGCCCCGTCGTGTTTACCTCCATTTTTGGAAACCCGCATCGTGACTGTAGTTGACGTGGTGAGGCACAGATTTCTACGACATGCAGTTGGCAAGACAGGCGTATGGCACGCCATCCTCATCCTCGAGCCGAGCCGGGTTGGTACCCATCGCGGACCGGGTAGGCTGGTGATAGGCTCAATAACTCATTGACGTGAATTAGTCGCCTTGATCCTCGAGGTCGACGGCGGCAGACCGAGCTCGTGGTTGGCGCCCCCGACCCGGCAGTTTGGTGACCCCTTGTCGGGCGCCAATTCGCGTACCTAGCTGGGGGTTGTTGGGCCACCTCCATACCCAGCTCTGTAGGCCTGTCCCGTCTTGCTCCTCGGCTCCCGGCGCTTAAAACGCCTGCCAATGCGCTAACCTAAACGACAGCATCTTATAGACCGGGTTCGTCTTAGCATCTCTGAAAGGGGTCCCAGCGGATGCCTTACTCGCTTATTCTCGTATGGCGGATACGCTGGCAGACCCGCGTTTTCGCGACTACAACAACATCAACCATCTACACGTCAAATGCGAAACGCCGCTGGACCGACGCGCAAGTGCCCCCGAATTAGGTATAGAGGTGTGCAATATTATGCATCCAAATCTTTCTCCGCCGAGAGGATTCCGATTATTGCCGTATATTTTTGCTAGTTAGTCATGTTCCGGCGCGTCCAGCAGGATGAGTCGCGCCCAAAGTCGTACCGAGCGCCGCGGAAGCCTGCGCGGCCGCGCAGATTATGCATCGCTATAATCACGTCCGTCGTCATGTGGTCTGTGGTCTGGTACCTGTTCCGCTCCCCGGTCCCGTCCAGGGACCCCGGCCGCTTCGCCCAGTCCGCCGGGTCTGTCTGCCCGGCCCCGGAGCTGCAGAAGGATATCCTGGTGGTGCTCCGAACGGGCGCCACCGAGGCCCTCGTCAAGCTGCCGGTTCATTTCCAGACCATCCTGCAGTGCGTCGACGACTATGTCATCTACTCGGACATGGAGGAGGTCATAGACGGCCACCACGTTTTCGACGTCCTCAGCCAGGTTAACCATACGTTGCTGGATGACCTACCCGAATTCGAGCTGTACAAGCAGCTCCGCACGGATGGTAGGGCGGGCCTGGAGTACCAGACCATCTTCGGTAGCGGGCCGTCGGGTGCCGTCGACAACCCCGGGTGGAAGCTGGATAAGTGGAAGTTCCTCCCCATGGTCGACCGGGCGCTCCAGTACCGGCCGCACGCGAAGTGGTTCGTGTTCGTCGAGGCGGACACGTACATGGTGTGGCAGAACATGGTGGAGTACCTCTCCAAGTTCGACGCGAGGCAGCCGTACTATCTCGGCAAACACATGTACATATCGGATACCCTCTTCGGCCACGGCGGGTCCGGGTTCATGCTCAGCAACCCGGCCGCGAGGAAGGTGTCGGACCACTGGAACGAGCACCGCGAGCAGTGGGACAAGTTCACGAGGGAAGAGTGGGCCGGCGACATGGTGCTGGGCAAGGCGCTCAAGGACGTTGGCGTGGACATGTTCTGGGCGTTCCCGCACCTGCAAGGGGACAGTCTTACGGCGATGGACTGGAACGTTTCGAAGATCGGCCGCGAGCCCTGGTGCTTCGCGCCGATCACCTTCCACCACATGGCCGTGACGGAGTTCAACACGCTGTGGCGCTTCGAGCAGGAGTGGCATCGTCTGAACCCCACGAGGGGCCCGCTCCGCTTCCGCGACATCTTCAAGGACCTCGTGCGCCCGCAGCTCCAGCCCAAGAGCGGCGACTGGGACAACCTATCCGCCGGGACCGAGTACAGCGAAGGGGCCCTCGAGAGGCTCTCGGAGCAGGACCGATCGCAGCTGTCCCCCGCCGAGCAGGAGGCCCGTCTATCCCTCGAGAAGTGCCAGGCCGCCTGCGAGAGCAAACCCAAATGCATCCAGTTCTCCTACGCCACAGGGAAGTGCATGACCTCCGACCAGTTGCGGCTTGGGCACGCGGTATACCCCGTCGGATCCACAGTAGGGAGAGGTGAGGCCAAAGCTGCCCCTGAGCCGCGAAACCCGATCAAGTCTGGCTGGATAGCGAGCAGGGTTTCGAGCTACGTCCAACAGCTAGATATGTCGTGTGATAGCGGCAAAGCGAAAATTTGGGTCGTATAAGGATATTCTGTTGTTCAGGCTGAAGGGGATTCGATGTAGGTATAGGGTGTGGCAGAATAGTAGGAATACTTGTATATAGCTACCTATATCTCGCTTAGATATATATATATATATAAGTATTATATATGAGAACTTATACCTCGTGCTGTACAGCGTTCCCTGGCGTCTATGCCCCTTCTTCCTCTGGGAGGTCTTCTATCTCGGGCCGTGAATTCTTTGCGGTCCACGGGAAGCTATCTACCATCTAAAGGCGCGAGGTATATGCTATGAGAACCATTGCTGGGTGATCATCTCGCCCTGAAGACAGCCCTAATAATGCGTAGTTTTCTGCGTAACCCCCCACGCTCTCACTGAAGTGCACACGGGAGAAGGCAGGTAGCAGTCAACTCCTTGGCGACGTCCCGTGAGGCTGCTTTCTATCCCTGCTCCCCTTCGCCTCTCCCTCTGGCTCGTCGTCCCTTTTATGTCCTTGAGGCCACAGAGCCGAGATAGGGCAACGGTGACTGTGCTGGGCAGACATATTAGTGGAAACTAAAGGCATCCAACGCGAATGACCCATCCCTTCGGGCCATTCTCATTCACATGCGCATTTTCCCTCCCTACCGAGCCCCAGCACTCGGGGCGCCTGCGACACGAGAGCGCAAGGGCTACCGGCCACGCTCCACCGCCTCCCTCCCAGCGCCCGCCGTCCCGGAAGCGCCTCGTTCGGTGGACCGTTTGCACCGTCGGGCGTCGGAACCGGGCACCATCGCACGAGTCCCGAGGACTGCGGCGGCGAGTAGTCGTGCGCACGAAAGCTCGCCCGCCCGCCTCCTGTACAACCTCTGCGCGGGGCACGTCTTCGCGAGAGAGAAAGAGGGCAATTGGGTGCGAACGACCCATGGGGCAGGTCACCGCCCCCCCCTCCATCTCAGCAGCGTAGGCATATGTATGAGCATGCACGTCGTGCGCGCCAATGTGTGCGTATATATATATGCGCGTTCCGTATATGTAGTCGATCCATCCCCGTCTAGGATTAGGCCTGGTGCGTGAGCTGAAGAGAGAGAGCGAGAGAGAGACGGGAGGGGGGATGGAAAATTTGGCGAGTTGCTACATTGATATGTATGTATGCAGCATTGGTCTCTCGTTCTCACACACCTAAGTGATAGATCACATACTTGCCCAATCCTTCTTCTGCCGCTTCGGTATATACGTGCCACTAGCCGTCCACTGCGACGTAGCGTCAATCGTATAGGCCTGCATGATACCTCATATATATCTGCAATATTGTACGAAACGGCTGCCTCCTACCCAGTTGGTTTCTTCCCACACCGTCCGTCGAGCCAGTCAGTCAAGCAATGTGGGCGGGCGAGTGAGCGAGTGCGTATGTGTGAGTGGGAAGAGCCACGAATGGAAGAAGACCGCCCCCGAGAGATGTCTGAGTTTTATTCTTCATCGAGTATTCGTTTACCTGCCGAACGTACCTGCATCCCGGGGGGGGGTGCGTAGGGGTCGGTTGGCGCCAAGGAGGAGTAGTAATACGGCTGGCTGCTACCGTCGCCGCTCTCTCTTCCTCTTGTTTCTTCCGCCTCCCATTCTTTATTCCCCTGCTATTTGCAGAGGAGAGGCTAAAGATTGATAACTGAAAAAGAGACAGGTAACGGACGCCACCTCTGTGCAGACTTACCGCTGCCCAATAACCGTGGTAGGGTAGGCCAGCTCGTCTTTTGCCTTGTGAAATTATTCACCTGGTCTCGAATTTCGCTTGGTGGATTAATTGGACTCATCAGTTCTCCTTCTCTCACCTGTTCTCTCTCTCTCTCTCTGTCCCGGTTTCTTTTGCTCTTGTCCTGTGTCGGAACCGAGTCGTGCCTAGGGCAGCCATAATGGAGATGGGACGGCCCGAGTACTCAGCCTCATCGAGAAAAAATTGTCAAATTTGACGAATCCAGCTTCACAAAGTCGATTCCTACTTGGCGCTAGCTCCGTAGTTGATGCTACAAGCCCGGGACCGAAAGTCTGAAGCCCCCTGTCTTCCGGGCCGGGGGGAGGAAGGTCGGTAAGGCGGGTTGTGTAGGTAGGCAAGTGTCGACATCACGAGCACCCACCACAGGCAGTGCTGCCGATTACCACGCTCCCTCGGCAGCCTACCTTTTACACATGAGGCCAAGGAGGGAAGCAAAAAAAAAAAAAAAAAAGGGAAAAAAGGGCCCGGTCCACTGCCACCCTATTTCCCTGTCTCACAGGCGCGAACCACGTCAGTTTCAAATATATCTACCCGTCTACGTATAGGAGGTGGGTATCTAGATTAGGTTGCTCCCGCCATGGGGTCCTATTTGATATGCGCCCCCCTCCTTCTTCTCCCCCCGAGGTGTTCCTCTCGGATCTCCCCTCCTGTCCTCCTTCTCGTCCTCTGATCTGCTCCTGCATCTTGTATCATCTATGCATGCCCCTCTCGACGCCTCCGGGTGTTACGAGAACGAGAGATAAGAGGGAGAAGAAGAAGAAGAAGAAGGCTTTGGCGCCTCTCCGCTCGCCTCACGTTGGCCACGGCGAGGTAAGCCACTTAGGCACTGTCGTGGGCTATAACACTGCAGCGCGCGCTGCAAGGTTACCGCAGCGCGATGACATTACGACTCCCCCCTCTATCGCGCCGATCCCAACGCCACCTCCCCTTCTTCGTCCTCTGCCTCGTGGCGGCCACCGCTGCCGCGATGCCGTGGGGAACGGGCGCGGCGGCGGAGACGACGGCTCAGAACCTCACTACATATGTGCCGGAGTGCACGCGTGCCTGCGTCGAGCAGAAGATCCGCGACTCCGGGCTCTGCAGCGGACCCGACGACAGCGAATGCCTCTGCACGAACATCAGCCAAATAGGGCCGGGCTCGGTGCCCTGTAGCCGGGACGCCTGCGCAAACGAGTTCAGCAACTCCACCGAGATGGCGGGTGCGTGTCCCTTTTTTTTCTTTTATTCCTAAGGCGTCCTACATCCCTTCATACCCTCCCCAACGGGCCCGCCTGTCTTTCCACCCCCTTCGTTAGGCATAGGAGCTTGTGTAACTAATATAGGAGGCGTATTTGCCGAGCAGCTGCGCTGAAGTCAGGGTACTTGGCATTCTGTGCCAGAGTGTGGTCGTCTCCGAATTCCCCAACCACAGGGCCCCCTTCTGGCTTTCCTTCTAATTTTTCTTCCCTGCCTACCTCCGCGATAACGCCCAGCGCCTCCTCAGACCCGAGCGGAAGTGGCAGCGGAGACGGTAGTGCTGGCGATAACGACGGTAGCAGCGATAGCGGCGGCGGTGGCGGCGTCAATCTCAGCACGGGTGCAATAGTCGGGATTGCCGTGGGCGTGGGTGTATTCGTTGTGTCCATCACGGGCGGGTTGTTGGTATTCGCCTTCCGTCTGGGTAGGAGACGCCCAGACTCGGATCCGGCGGATCCGGCCCTGAACTCGCCGCAGCACAGCAATGGCGGAGAGGTGGGACGAGGAGGAGGAGAAGGGGGAGGAGGGGAGGGGCAAGGGGCGGTAGCCGTGGCGGAGGCAGGCGAAGAAGCAGAAGAGCCCAAACCGCAGTTGAGTGGCACGCCCCTGAATGAGTTACAGGCCGAGTATACGGTGGCTGGTTTCGACCCCCTCAAGGAGCTCGAGACGCGCGAGAGGCCTGCCGAGCTTAGCGCCGACCCCCCTTCTTACACACGCCACGACACGCGGAATGGCAGTGGAAACGGCGATCATGACGACTGGATGGGGGCGATAGCTCGCAGCTAATCAGCCATGGTATAACAAATACACACAAATACACAGCAAGGTCGACGACCCTTCTTGAACGTCCTCGCTACATATGATGGCTCCCGCAGCGTGCAATATAATCTCGCCAGCCGGAAACACCACGAAGCTATCCCAAATCTTGCGGGACTTCGAGGGTGAGGGGGGGGGTTCAATAGTGATCTTTTGGATACCTATCCGAGCGTCTGGAGAGCCGCCACCACTTCTCCTATGACATGGGTAATAGTGGGTGGGCCTACAAAAGGGCTCAGGCAGAACCGGGAAGACGACATATTTACGATGCTTGGCGGGCTGTACACAATGAGACGCGGTGAGTATTACACAGCGCTCAAGTGGGATGTGTGCAGCTAACTACGGGTTGGCAGTGGAAACAACTCCCCGTACCTACGTCAGATGTCGACTATTAACACCGACGCGTGAAATGGTTGGACATCTTCGATACAATCCTACAGACTAGATGGTAGCCAGAGTACATAACAAGATATGGATACCGAAGAGCTCGTTGCATGACCATAGCTAGAATGAAGAATTACCAAGCCAGTTTTATTTCTCGCCGTGATTTTAAGATACACGCGAGCCACATACTAAACCCGGACCCCTAACGCCGTTCATGACCCTAATACCTAACCTTGCTTATCTCGGAGGTGCCGGGGCACATATTTCCCAGGGGCGCCAGATGGCTTCAGAGGCCCGCCAGAAGCCTGAGCAGGAACCTGAGCAGGAGCCTGGGCCGGTGTGGGAGCCGGGGCCGGGGCCGGGACCGGGGCAGCATCCCGTGAGTCAGTTGAAGCACCGGCGGCGCCTTGAGCCTTGGCAGCCTGGCGCTCACGCCAACTAGGCTGCTTGCCTGCAAGATTAAGCCGGGGCGCTCCCGAGGGGCGCTCGTTGGAGTCTGTACGCTCCAGAGGCGTGCCGGTACGGCTTGGGATACCGCTACCTGTGGGTGTTGAGCCGGCGGTGGCGTTCTTCGATGTGTCGCGGTCACGCCACGACGGTTTAAGGCCGGCGATATTGACGCGCGGCGCGCCTAAAGGTCGGTCGTTCGATGCCGTGCGATCCATGGCGTCTGCCTCGCGCCGGGGTGGCAGGCGCTCTTTCTCCTTTTCGGCTTGTTTCCTGGCCATGGCCTCTTCCTCTCTCCTTGCCTGGAGAGCGGCCTTCTCCAGAGCTTCTTGGCGCTCCTTCTCTCGTTGCTCCTTTTGTCTGGCCGACTCGATTCGTCGTTGCTCTGCACGCTTCTCCTGTTCTTGCTTTTCCTTCTCGGCCCGCTCCTCTGCCTCCCGCAGAGCTCTCTCCTTCTCCTCCCGCTCCCGCTTCTCCCGTAGCTTGCGTTCGCGATACTCCTTCTTACGGGCCGTGATCTGCTTTTCCAACTCACGTTCGGCGTCGCGTTGTCGTTTCTCGAATTCATCGCGACGACGGTCGTGTAGAGACTTTCTGAACGACTCGTAGAAGGGCATTAGGCGGCTGAGGCGGTGCTTCAACTCAACGCTCTCCTTGTGTTTCTCCTTTGCCTCCTTCAGAGTCTCCGCCTTAACCTCCTCGTAAGCGGCTAGGTCGCGCTCACTTTGCTTCGCGTAGTCCTCAGGGAGCTTCTTAATCTCTTCTTTCCTGAAGGCACGCTCGAGGTGATCAATGCGTTTGCCGGTAATGCGAAGCTTCTCGTTGATGTCATTCTTTTCCCGCTCCAGCTGGGCAAGCTTCATGGCGCGGAGGCGGTTGCTATCGTATTCGTCGAGGTTCTCGAGATCAATATCGATAGCATTGGGACCAATCTTAAGATCGGCAATCTGCTTCTTGAGTTCTTCCTTGCGAACGCGGTCTCTCTCATCCTTGAGACGTTTCTCCTCGCGCTCCTTCTGCTCTTGGGCGAGCCGCCGCTCTTCCGCTTCGGCGAGTGCTTGCTCCTGAAGTCGCTTCTGGCGCGCCTTCTCATTCTCCCTCTTCGCCTGTAATTCAGAGGCCTCTTCCTTACGCTTCTGGATGACTTCCTTGCGAGCCAAGGTCTCGCGTTGCTCCTGCTCGGCGCCGGCCTTAGCTCTAGCTAGTGCCGCTTGCTGGGCCTCCAGTTGGCGCTGTCGGTGAGATGGGTCGATGTAGAAGCAAGTCGTGTATAGGGTGGTCGTAAGCCGGGCCAACTGCGAGCGAACAATTTCGGAAGGAGTGCTCTGCAGACGCTGAACCGAGCCGATCGGGCTTTCGGAGGAGCCCGCAGCGGAGCCGGCATGGACGGCCTTGGAAGAGGAAAATACGTCCTTGTCAAAGTTGAGAATGCCCGTGGCGTGGTCCATGCGGATGGAAAGATCACCCTTCTTGTTCCCGTTCATGATGAACTTCTCTATAGTCCCGAGAGTAATCTGGAAGGGGTCGGGGAACTGGGCCAGGCTCTCGACGAATGCGAGATCAACAGACTCGTATACCTGAGACAATTGCTGGAAGAGCCGGGTTAAAATGACTTGCTGGAGAGGCAAGATGTACTTTTCCATCTCGGCATCCGCGCCGATCTTTGTGAGAATAGGCGATATCTTTTGGCAGATGGAGAGGGGATGGAAATCTACTTCGAGTATATTATACAGGTCTCTGATCTCGGGGCGGGCGCGCTTCAAAAGGGACTTCGAGAGCGCGTCGCGGAACAAGCCAGCACGGGTCGGCGCGGTCGACATTCCCAATAAATGGGTCAGGCGCGAATTCTTGTTCTTCTTAGCCTCGTCGAAATCGACCATCGCTCCCCTCGATCGCGAGGTACTAATGACAGGAATCGAGAGGGCGGATAGGAGCACGAACGAAGCGGCCTTCTGAAGGTCGGCGTCTGTCGCGGATGGGTTGTCGGCCTTCTTGGTTTGGCCGGTAGCGACAAGAGCGGCGGACTGCCGGAGCAAACTATAGTATCGAGACCAGGCAGCAGCGTGGAAGAGATAGTTTTCGCCGACGAGGAAGATTCGGGTGAGCTTCTCGTAGTAGTTGGCCATCATAATGTTCTTCGGAGGTCGCTTGCTCAGGTTGAGAAGGGTGTGGATGTCTTCGACGCTTCGGAAGGCTTCCTGCCACAGCTCGAGTTCTACAGCCACGTTCAACTGTTGAAAGCGAGTCTCCAAGTGTCGCTGCAGCGTATCGGGGTCGTTTAGGTTGATGGCATGCATCTGGCTCGAGTACTTGGCAGCAGTCTGGACATGGTTACGGAGGAGCTCGCAGAGCCGTCGGAACTCGGTCTTGCGCTGGTATTTGAGACAGAAGTCGAAGGCCTGCATAGCCGTGCTCTGATAGAGGGTTTCCAACCTCGCATTGTTTCGCAGGATGTCGAGGACGGTCCGGTAGGCTTCCCAGAGGAACTTGAGCCAGGGGGTGACGACGGCACGCTCGGTGCGGTCTCTAGACTGCTCGCCGGAGACGGTGGCGAGCAAGATGGACTCGGGGGTCTCGCTGGCGTCGAGATCATCGATCGCGGTCGCAGTGGCCTCGATGCTCGACTGCAGCTCGTCGGCTCTCTTCTGGGCCTCGGTAACCTTCTCGGCGGCCAACTCGATGAACTTCTTCAGCACGAGTTCGATGGTGCTGATGTTGGAATTCTGGGCAATATTCTTGTAGGAGTAGAGGGCATCTTTGGCGAGCTTTCCCTTCTTCTGCTCGACGGACAGCTCGACCAACAGGAGCATCACCGGCTCCAAAGACGCGATGGGGACATTCCGGGAGCGCTTCGAGGTGATATGGTCGTGTAGCAGGTTGAGGGCGGCAGGAGTCTGGGTGACGCCGATGAGCTCCTGGGCGCGCTTGAGAACATTCTCGGGCTTCTGATGTGGAGGAGGCGGCATGTTGGGCAATCTCCTGGGGTGGAAAGCGAGGCGGGAGATTGATGCTGCCGGGTGCCGTGGGAAGAGAGGCGGATGAAGTCTGACGATAAAGATTTTGGATTTGTGCCACTTCTGTGGGCTGAACAGACCCGAAGACGAGGGGCACGGGCTAAGTTTTTTGCAGTCACGTGAATTTATGGGCCGATAAGATAAAGTCCGCTCTGCGCCCGACGCCACATTGGCGTATCCTCCTGGTAGGCTGGCGCACCTCCATGCCAGCAACTCGGAACGTCGAAGTGGCTTTGCTTACCTACCTGGGTACCTAGGTACCTACCTCTATAGTACCTCGCTTCCGAGAAGGAATGGGTGGAGGACACTATACACACAACCTCGGAAGTCTGCCTCTCCATCCCGTCACTATGCCTCTTCCTTCTCCTCCTTCTCCCCCTCCTCATCCCGTCGCGACGAATTCGCGCAACGCCTGTCGTATGCCGTGGCAAAATCTCTCGTTGGCGCCCTGACAATTGGGTTGATCGATCTGCACTTTGCCTGTGGCCTAGTACCCTCACGTTCACATCAGGATGCGTGAGTCAGGGGACCTGTCCTGCCCTAGCGTGAGACTAGGTTGTGTACCTGAGATCTGCTGGTGTTTTTATTCATCTACATGTTTTAAATTCTCGTCCGCTCTAGGCAGTGCGCAAATAGGAGGTGCCACGCCAGGACGAGAGGTTTCTGACTTGACGCAGACGAGACGATGCGAGGTCAGACGAGAGAGGGGTGTGCTGCCAAATAACCCAAAGCTCAATCTTTGCGGTATGCATACCCTTATATCTATATTGGGTATATTGCTAATACAGACAGTCCGTAGTAAGTCCTATGAGTCTCGAACCGTTTCAAGTTATGCTTATATATCGACGACCTCTTTCCTATATTATATCGATGCGCATTTTCAGATTCTTTATAGTATGATACAAGCACGTGCTGCTGTGCCTGGCGAGGTAGGGGGTAAGCAATATACATACATCATCAGTTGGCCCCTCGTAATGCCTCCTACTTGCCTTCTATGTACGGTGCATACGCTCGAGCCTTTGTCGATGCTAAGGCCAGCCCGGAGGCTAGTTGACGCCCGTACTACGCCTAGCATACGTGGTGGGCGCACACGTTGGTACCTATGGTGGATAGTGTGAGCAACTCGACGAATGTACATAACCCAGGATACCCTAACATCGGTTACCCTCTACACCCACCTACCTACCGACCTCCTAATGTCGGTCTCCGAACCCAGCACTGCTGGGGACCTACTCGGGCTAGCGTGTTATGCACATGTCTGTTGCAGGCAGCGAGGGTATGCCGATAAACTGTATACGCATGTCCGTGGGTAATGGGCAGCGATGATGACGACGATGATGATGATGCTTGGGAGCTGGCTGGTACCGTTCGAAGCAGTTAGGTACCTAATTCCGTATTTGTATCTAGCATGTAAAAAGGTAATTGAAGAGCGCTGTAAAAGGGGGGCTGGGCGGGCAAGGCTGGGTACGCGAAGGTACATGGATGGAGACAACGGAATAACAACCGTCGGTCGCGAGGTATATGTCAGTACACACACAGCCGCGTAGGTACATACGCATGCTTGCTTCACCTCCCACCCACAGAGCAAACCCGCGATAAGGGGCGACGCAGGCGGGCGGGTACGACAAGGTGAGAGGGAGGTATAGTGCCTCTAAAGGTACCTACCTTCTCAACCTGTCTGCCCTGGGTTTAGTGTACACGGTACGGATATAGTCATTATAAAATAAAATAAAAAAGTACCTCGGGTAACTGTGCTCACGGAAATGAATACAAAAGGAGGAGATGGAGGGGAGAGAGAGAGCGAGTGAGCGAGCGAGCGAGAGAAAGAAAGAGAGAGAGACAAAAGAAAAAAAGAGGAAATACTCATAAAGAAGAAGAAAGGTACCTAGGAAGTACCTAGGGATCTGCCTCCCAGCACACCTGGGCGGCCGATGGCAGGCTGCCTAGCCTCAGATAAGTAAGTGGTACGTACACGCTACCTCGTAACGTCTAGCCATGGGCCCCGTCGAAAATTTGATTTCTCTTCTTCTTCCTCTAGCGAACTCGTTCCCCCCTTCCAAAACTCCAAAACGGGGCCCCCAATTTCCCAGCCTGCGCGACGAGCCCGGTCCTCAGATCCTCCCGGCCAATCAGGCGGCGGCCTGTCCTTTGCCGGGGACACGCCCGTACTTCTTGTACCAAGTCTCGCCAGCTTCTTCCACTCATTTTCCCCAGCTTCTGTAGTCTCTCCTTCACCCTCCTCTCCTCGACGAATCATCCTCGACTCTCGTCGTCGCGCCCCCTTCATCGCCTCAAGGCTTGCTCTACCTACGTGTCCCTCGTCTCGAGATCGCCCTGATTCGTAAGTCGCCCTCTGTCTACTGCTATTGGGAGTCATCTCCATTGAAAAATCCGCTTTCCCGCGCGCCTGTCTTGGGAAATTGCCCCAGCTCCTCCTTGCGTCCCCCCTCCCTTCCGATAGGGGCGGCGTGGAACTGCGAAACGCGAGCAGGTCATCATCCATCTCACCAATTCGCCCGAGGGGATAAAAAGAAAGACGAGGGCAGAGACGGCGACGAGAAAGCAAGAAGAAAACAAATACCCAGGCATCCCGACCGGCCGTGAGACATGATCCTCGCCGGTTATACCTTGCTGACTTGAGCGATGTCGTCGATAGAGATTCACCATTCCCAGACCGCGATTGGAGCCGTCAGCGGTCCCAGCACCACGCAACCACCGCCTCCTTCTCCCGGATCCCGGCCTCAGACCGACGCATCCGGCCACGCCGCCACCCCCGACACGATGCCTCAATACACTTCCCGAGACGTCGGCGACCCGTCGCAGATCAAGAAGAACAAGCAGTCGATGGCTGACCTCAAGCTGCGTCGCCTGACCGAACTCAACAGCCGGCTACGCGAGGATCTCGACCGAGAGCGCATTCCCGTATCCCAAGCGTCTAGGAGGTGAGAACGAGCCCGCACCCGCGATTCCCGACGGCTCCGCCGTCCATCGCGCTGTCTCCCGTGTTTCCCTCCCCTCTGACTAATGCGGCACGTAGCATCATCGCGTATTGCAATAGCACGAGGGATTACATGGTCCCGGCGGTATGGGGTGCCGTCCCGCGAGGAGAAGACCCGTACGCGCCTCAACAGAACGGCGGATGCTGCTTGGTCATGTAGAACGAGACCGCCCGCCGCAGGGGTGGCACACGCAAAGCGGATGCGTCGTGTTCCGTGGAATTTACGTCGCGATGAGGCTGGCAGGTTGGGTGTTTGACTACACGGCGACGAGGCGGCGTTCGCTTCGTGATCTGCTATCGGTCCACGTTCTCGCATCGGACTATGTCGAGATGTACTGTTTGAAAAGATGGGAGATTCTTCCGGAGGAGAGAAGGGGATGAGGGGGGGGAAGGCGGGAAAGCGGGAGAATCGCAAGGCTTACTACTACAATACCCGAAGCCTGGTAATATAATCAGGCATGTTACGATAATTCATCATCAACCGACACCACAACTAACTCTCTCATGTGTGGGTTGGCTAATGGGCACTCCGCCTATTTCCCGGAAGGAGGCTTTTAAAAAAAAAAAAACACCAAAAAACCCAAAGATGCAGAGGAGAAGCTCCATCTGTTAGCATGTGTAATAATTGCTTGTCCACGACTATACTTTTTTCCTCTGTTATTGAGCCGCGACAGTACTCGATGTAATGGCAATTCCCTCGTTACGACCATCCTCCGATCTGTTCCCCGGCGATGCCGACTTGAACTTCCCGGTTCCAACTCTCTACCGCTCGTGAATAGGTATCGCGCCTAGGGCCTACGTATGTAGATGTAGCGACGAGCGCGCCAATACCGGTAAATTGAGGTGGCATGGGGGGGGGGGGGGTGCGGAGGGAAGAAGTGTGCTGTTCACCGCGATCCTAGTCGCAGATCTAGAGATTCGGCCGCGAGCCAGAGGGCTACCTAGCACTAACGAACGACCTCTCCTCACCCCCTTGGAAGCGTATATGTATGCAGCGGTATCTGACTGCCTGTCATTGATGACCGACTGCGCACACGACGACCCGATTAGCTCGCCGTCTCCAACTCGGTATGCACAGCAAACTAGCGGTCTGCCGACGTACGTACGTGTGGTGTGGTGAGGGAGCGCGAGTGAGTGAGTGACCGTATGTCGGTAGGCAGCTTGCTTACTTGGTGTGTATTTTCTGGCCTGGGCGGCCTGGCTTGGCTCCCTCCGATTCATGTCTCTCATGCCGCGGGCGTCGAGGGAACAATAACCTGCACACAACCCACTCGCGTACTCGCTCACGGGACTACCTAGGACGGCTGCCGCAGGCAAGCGGGAGGGTAAAACCTGCTCGGCTCCGGCGGGGGGGACAGGCGTAGAAGGGGTCTGGATGCGACGTCCCCGTCGAGCACGTTCTTTGGTGTCCTGCAGGTGTCCAGATTCAGAGAGACGCCCGCGGGACTCGATCTCTCTCTCTGCCTGACATGGGTGCCAGCCTAGCATCGACGGAGGCGATATATGGACAGCAGGCGAGTCCTTACTGGAGCGGGGGACCTGTTTGTGCACCCAAGCCACGGTGAGGGGGGGGTGGCACGCTCCAGATGAGGAGAAAGGGAGAGGCGAAAACGATAATAACAAAACTATAGTAATACTCCAAAGAGAGAGAAAAACGAGGCCACGATGTCGTATGGCCTAGAGCCTTCCATGCTGGCAATAACCCCTATAGACGATGCTGCCTTGGGTACCTAAAGGTAGGACATTAGGTAGGTACGCACATACCTACGTGTATATTATTGTATAGGTTGTTGAAATCCGGGATGGGATACGGTTACGTACATACGGCAAGCAGGCACAGGCTGGTGGTCAGATCGAGGATGTAAGCCTTTGTCTCCATTCGCTTATTGGCCTAGCCCCGTCCGCCTGACGCGAACCAGAGGACCGGTATAGAGAATGAAAGAGAGAGAGATTGGCAACAAGGGGACGAAATCGTCATCTCCCTTCTGGCGGCTGCCACGGCCCCTCTCTGGCTGTCTCCCCGTGCCCAGCCTACCAGGTAGAGGTAAGTCGTCATCTCGAATTTGGACGGCTCGGATTGATCGAGTTCGGGAGACGAATCCCTAAAATAGGCATCTGCCTACGGTTCAAGGAGGCTTGTAGCAGGTTAGTTGAGCGGATACCTTGGGCACCTTGCCTGCCGTTAGGTACAGGCGGGTACCTCCTTGTGGCTGTCCGCGGCTGGAACTTGGAGGTATTACTATGGAATTTACCTGTTAGTGCCTAAGGTGGGTGCCTCTGAGAGGTACCTACATATAGGTACACGAGGTACCTACACCTAACCTGAAGCATTCATCTACCAGAGGTACGGATCGCGGCCCCCTAATAGCATTCCCTACCTACCTGTCAAATCCATCAAGGCGGGTACGCAACCTTGACCGTATTAGACGTACCCACCTACCTACCTAAGTACCTATGTGTACATAGGCATGTTGTCTCCTATTCCCGATGCCTCCTCCAATTACCTGAGCGTCGAGCAATAAGGCAGATTTCGCGATGGGTTGATGTAATCTTCCCTGTCAGCAGGCTCTGCCCTGGCTGACGTCGATATCTTCGTCCACAACGTAAGCAAAGATTTAATAGTACCTGCTAAGCTACTTTAGATTCCTACTTTAGGTCGGCGCTATCTAGGTAGGTACCTAGGTATATTGGTACCAAGCTTTGTACCCCTTTCCCTCACCCTATCGATCTGTATACCTCTACTTCCCATTATATACCCAGGTACTAGGCACCTAGACATATCCCGCAATGGCAAGCACATTGGTAGGTTCCCACCTAGTATTTGCGTCTTATGTGAAGTCGGAGGGTACGTGCCATACCTGTAATGGGCCTTACTCATAGGTGCTGCTGAGTAGTAGGTGTTGTACATAGATGCCCACATCCCCCTTAAACCTTAGAACCCGCTAACCCGCTATGCTGCATTATATGCCTATATACCTCTCTGATGTCGGTGCCTTAGGTACCAACCCAGGTACCCACCTAATCTGTAACTGATAATGGTCTCTGTGCTCCTCTTATCTGCCTGTTGCCCCTCCATGTTCTACTCATACATACTTCGCGCCCTACCCCTACCTCAGGGACCTCTCTCCAATGCAACTTGGATTGGCGGGTAATTCTCACCATCTCAACCACATCCCACACACAGCATACCAACCCCCAGGAGACAACCTGCCTGTATGGGACGAAGCTGAAGCTGAAGCTCGCCCTCGAATCCTGGCGGCCAATCAACGACAACGTGCGCATAAGCAGGTCAGGTCACGTCCGTCTCAGTAGACCACCAGTAGACCATGGCTGAGACCTCGTTGCCGTCGTCTATCTCAGCCCTCGCACCCCGTCCGCTCCCGCTTCCCCGAATCACTATCCGCTTTTGTACCCAGTGCAAATGGATGTTAAGAGCCGCATACGTAAGTCGAGATCGATCTGCCCCGAGATCGATCTGCCTCGAGCACGTCTTGTCCCTTCTACACACACCCCGATGCGATCTATTCGCCACAGAGAAAAAGCCGGCCTGTTGCAGATACTCTCCCCTCCCTTTCCAAATAACGACCAGTCTCACATGCGATTTCGGTGATGGGTATCATCGTCTCCTGATGTTGGCCATTGGCCCCACGAACCCCGCCGTGCTATTATCATATCGCCGCTCGCCTTCATATCTAGCGCCTCTTACTAGTCATACCTCCTCAACCGCAGCTTTAGCCCTGCCCTCGCTATGCTAACCGCGCCACTAGTTTGCCCAGGAACTCCTCTCGACCTTCTCAACCTCCCTTGGCGAAGTAGCTTTGCAGCCGGCGACGGGGGGAATCTTTGTCGTCGAGATCTACTATACCCCTTTTCCCGCCGCCACCGCATCCCGGTCGTTGGAGGCGCCAAGTAACAATATCGACGATGGCGGCAGAGACGGCGCTCCGATACAGATACAGCACCGCGTACTCTGGGACCGTAAGCTTGACGGCGGCTTTCCCGAGACTAAGGAGCTGAAGCGGCGGGTGCGCGACACCATAGATCCGGGCCGGGACCTCGGCCACGTCGATCGGCACTCCGGGACCGCGCCTTCGTCCACCGGCAAGACAGCCACGACCACGGCCACGGCCACGACCGTAGCGAACCAGCCAGGTACGCTGATTGGGGCTGGCGCAGCGGTAGGGGGGGCCGCTACATCATCTGTATCCGGCGGACGAGCGAGCGAGGCTTCTATCGGCCTGAACACCCACCCGGGAGGTCAAATCGGCGGAACGGAGACGGAGACGGAGACCGGACAGACCAACCATACCTCCCGGGGCGATTGCGAGGACTGCAAATAAAAAATTCACTACCTACCCCCCTCCCTGCCTCTTTGACTCGCCTCATCGATTCCGCAAACGGCGATGTTATACCTATAACCAGTATTATCGCAGGAAAAGGGTAAGCGGGCGGCCAAGTAACTGAGCAAGACTGGTACCCAATCACCAACCTGGCTACGGTCATATAGCCGAGCGCAGCTCTAATCAAAACGGCCGTGGTACGGCGATAGCTTAAGGCAGGGGCTGAAGGTACTATATCGAGATACCCGAGATGTAGGCACATAGGAAGGAGCGCCAGTCAGAGGCTTCCAGCTAGCTGTCGCCGAGCCGAGTAGGATATACTGCTGGTAGCGAAGCTTAGTGGGCAATCAAGGGATATGCGCTCTCGAAAGCGACTTCACGGATACTCCCCACCTCCACCATTCGCGGACGCATCGTACACAATGCATGCAGAACGGGGGAGAAGGGGGGGGGATGGAGGGGAGAGAGTGAAGAGCCAGAGCCAAAGCTAGTCTATACACAACCGAGGGAGGCCCTATGGGAACCCTCCGCACTCTCCCCTCCCTGTCGAGAAAAGACGAATCAGTTTTCCCAGATATCGATCGGTCGCCTCTCACCACGTACGTGATTCCGAGTTGAGCCAGTTAACTCGAAGCCGAGCCTTCTAAAGCACCGGGTACCTGACCCTCCCCCCCCACTAACGGTCCCACCCTACCGGACTTAGCTATATAGACGGCTCGGCGGCCTGGCGTAAACCCGGAACAAGGACGAGGATCTCTCGATCTCTGATAGGTAGATAGGCAACTGGGGCTCGGGCTAGGGGAGGTCGGGGTTCGCTCGCTCGTTTGCTCGATCGCGACGCCACCGCCGCCACCAGCACGACCTCCGCCGCCGCCACGGGCCGGCGATCCTTTGGGGGGGAGGGGGAGGAGGGGAGATCGGATCGGCCACTTGATTGCCCTCCTGGCCCCTGCCTGCGTGCTGTACGCGCAGAGGAGGTCGGGCTTAGGTGCCTTAGCGCAGCCCCGCCCCGCATCGGCGTAGGCAGGTTGATGACGGGGTGGACGTACGGACGGGAGGGGAGAGGGGGGGTTGCTGCGCTCGACGTCGTCGTCTCATGCTCGTTGCTGCGTGTGTCTCGCGTATTCGCGCTGCGAGCGAGGCACACTGGCTTGGCGCGCATGCGTGCGGGACGTACGGTAACAATGCGTACATATACCTAGAGACGGCAACCCATGTACGGGTGCCTGTATATTTCCGGCATTTGAGAGAGGTGATCTATACAGGCAGGTAGGCAGGTACCTGAGATAAGCGCACGCAGAGAACACGCACGCGCACGCGCACACGAGGCACCTTGCTCCTGAACTTATCTTCGCATATACGAACATCCCCTACCTACCTGCCTACCTACCTCCCTACGCACAGCGTGCTGTCTGTGTAACCCGCTCGGCCTGGCTAACCTCCCCGCCTCCCCGCCCACCGAGTCTTGTCTACTTACCTATCTATCTGACCCGTCTGCCGGCCTTAACCCTATCTAGCCGAGAGAGGGCATCCGGTGGTCGTCGTCTATCTGCACGCGCGCGCACGCACGTTACGCGGATAGCGAAGGAGGTGGGGAGGGGGAGGGGCGTTATACGCGCGCGAGGGCCGAGACCGGCCCCGGAACCGGGGTAGGTCGGGAGAGAGAGGAGGGGGGGGGGGGGGAAGGGCGCCGAAATGCAAGGGCATGAGGGAGGGGGAATGGATGGATGGATGGATAAGCGGATAGGTGAGGTAGGTAGGCTGGTAGGTGGGTTGAAGCGAAGCTGGAGGGGTAGGAGAGGCGAGCGAAAGAGAAAAAAAAAGGGGGGGGGGGAGAGGGGAGGGGGAGGCGAAAGAGGAAGACAGAGAGAGAGAGAGAGAGCGCGAAGAGGGAGATTAGGTTAGGCACCTCTACCCTACCCCCTTTAGGTGCGTATGGGGTTATGTACCTATGCAGGTAAGTACAGCTCGATACTGCACCGAGGCACGGACGGATGCGGGCTCGCCTGCGTGTGCGTTATGTACGTATGCGAGTATGCGCGTAGGGTCAGCCAGGCGGCGGCGCACGCGCGCATGGCACCGCATGTAAGTAGGGACCTCTGGGAGGGGGAGGGGGGCGTGAGAGGAACCCCTGGGATCGGCGGCGGCGGCCTGCGACTGGAGCAAGGGGGGGAGGAGGGCGCATCTCTCTCTCGTCTCTCTCTCTCGCTGCACCGGCGGCGACAACCTGTCGTCCTGCATGCCATCGCAGCGACGCAGGCGGACCAAGAGGGAACCGGGGAAGGCCAGGGGGGGTTGGCTACCTACCTACCTACCTATCTACCTCCTAGGTAGGTAGATAGGAGCAGCAGCGGGAGGAGAACTGCGCCGGCGCCATGCACGTCGAACATTGTCTGCACGCATGGGCGCGCACATGGAGGCTGCGGGGGCAGCACGACGACGACGACGACGACGACGACAACGACGACGAGCGGCCGTATGCCTGCCTGCCTGCCTGCCTGCCGAGACGCAGCGAGCGCTGCGCGAGCAGGGCCCTGGCTGGCTGGCTGGCTGGCTGGACCGACGGGCGGAGAGAAGGGGCGCGCGCGCACGCAACGCAACGCGACGCAACGCAACTCCACGCACATAGGGACCGTGCCTGCGATCGGGGTCGCGCGCAGGCTGACAGACAGACAGATAGGGCCAGTCGCGTCGCCGGCTGCGCACCAGGGAGAGAGGGAGAGAGAGAGAGACTGCAGCGCAGAACTCGCTGACCGGCCGGCCGGCCGACTGGCTCGCTCGCTCGCACCTCTCGGGTGGCTGACCCTCCCTCCCCTCTGCTCTGTGTCCCTTCTCCTGCCCTGCCCTGCCCTGTCCCCCCTCCTCTCCCTCTCCCTCTCTCTCCTCTTCCATCGCGCTGCAGCGCATCTCATGCACCCACCTTACCTGCCCCATGGCCTTACTGATCTCCGTCTGCGCCTTCGGCCGGCCTGACCGACCCCACCCCAATCCGGCCAGCTGCTAACTCCCTCCTCCTCCTCCTCCTCCTCCTCCTTTCCGAGATCCCTCGCGGGCCTGCGCCGGTGCTGTCGTTGTGTACGACCGACCGTCTACGTTACATCGCGCTCTCGCTCTTCCCTCTGCTGCGTGCGTCTCTCTCTCTCTTTCTTTCCATCTCTCTCTCTCTATCCCCCCTCCCCCCCCCCCCCCCTCTCTCTCGCGTCTAGCCTCTCCCACCCTACCCCATATACCGCTACCCATCCCGCCAGTCAGCAGTTGAACCGAGCCGGTAAGCATGTAAAGCAGACGTAGAAGGAGAGAAGCATGTGTCCCCCCCCCCCCGCAAGGGTCGAGGTGACCGGGTCCGATGGGATAAGCAGGGCAACCTCGACGAGGTTAGCAGGCCCCGAATGCCCACCACCGCACCCAGCAAAAAAAAAAAAAAAAAACCACCACCGCCGCCATTCGGCACCGCCAATACCACCGCTCCCAACCACCACCACCACCACCGTACCAGCCAGGAACCGCAAACTCCCGAGCCGACGACGCGCTCTCCTTCCTCCCCTACCGTCTCCCCCCCCCCTCTCCCCACAGCTGTGCGCGCGCGAGCGAATCGATCTCCCTCGATCGCCCGCCTGCCTGCATTATACTTTCCCCCACCTCGAACCATCATCCCGCCTGATTCGACCCGGATCTCACCTACCTGCGCATGTACGTAGGGTCGCTCGAGACCCTCGCCGTTACTTTCCCCGTCGGCGTCGCTAATTGGGCGCGGACGAGGTAGGCGGGTTACCTGACGTGATGAGAGGGTCGTGATCGAGAACGGCGATAGAGAGCGAGAGAGACAGACAGAGACAGAGACACAGAGAGAGAAGTATCACTACCGCAGTTACTCTGTGTCACGATTCCTACTGCCGCTGCTGCTGCTGGTGTGGCTTGGCTTCGCCTCGCCTCGCCCCGCCGGCCGGCCGGTCGGCCGCGGCGACTAGCCCTAGCAAGCGGGAGCAGCGGGTGAGCCGGTGCCCGGGTTCGATGAAGCAGGCGTCCGGACCGGAGTGGGCGCAGGACGTAGAAACGTCTCTCGGCTTGGGATCGCACAGTAGAGGAGCAGCAGTGATACCGTCGTCCCTCTTCCTTACTCCCTCCCTCCCCTCACCCTCTTTTCGTCTCCTCTACTTGCTGCCTGCTGATGCTACGAAACCGTAAGTAACCAGGCGAATAAATATTGGAAACCAACACCGAGGTAGGAAAGAGAGATCGAGTACTAAATCTAGGCAGCAAGAAAATTATCTCCCCTCATACGTAGGTAGTTTCACCGACCCACTCTCTGACAAATGTTAGTAGCACCGGCGCTAGCAAGCTGGGTCTGGTCTTGTTAGAGTAGCAGATCATGGCATGAATTCGTAAGTTTCACGTCTGAGGGGAAACAAAATTAACTGTCTAGACTTGTTTCTCCCTCCCCCCCTTCTCTCTCTCCTGCCCCATACCTCTCCCTCTCTCCCTCTTCCTTCAGTCAGTCACCATGACCCCCCCCGTTCCCCAAAGGAAAAAAAAAGGCTGTGGAAGGGAAGGGGGAAAAGAGGAGGGGGGGGGGGGTCGAGGTTACTGACGGGACGGTCCAAATGAGAAAAAAAAACCTGATTTTATTCCTTTCCGTGTGTAATAGCAACAACCATCCATCCGTCAATTCATCTCTTTTTCATCCGTTCTCTAAGGTGGCCTGGGGACTACAGTGGTTTCACAAACAAGCGGCGCGTCAGATATTTGTACTCGAACAGCGTTATCGAAGCGCCCGTTGCGGTCGGAGGGAGGGGTGGGTGGGTGGCGGACACCGAGGAGGCAGAAGCGACGCCGGCATGGTCGTTTGGTCGAAGACAAGTATCGAGACTCGAACACGGGGTGTGGTGCCGAAGAAGGAAGCAACTTATCGGGAGCGGCCGAACCTAGAAGACGAGGAAGTTCGTATGAATGAATAGACACTCTTGGTTTAGGACTTGGATTGCTTTCTTGGAGATGCGAAACCGCTGCCTCCGAGGCCGCCATGGACGTACTTTTGTTTCTTCTCAGCAGGCTTGAGAATCTGGAGACGAGAGAAAAAATCATCAGCCGACATTCTAGATTTTCCAGTGTAGTAGTATAAAGGAAAGCAAACCTGGAAGGAACAGAGCAAGCTCTCGTCGACGCTCATCATAGCTCCGGCATTGTCGAACTCTCCACAGTAATTGGGGGCGCTAAACAGGGTAACCAGCTGTCGCTTCGAGAAGAACTCGTAACCATCTTCCACGACTTGGTGAGCGCGGCAGATCAGATCCATGTCGTGCTTCTGCAGGAACCGGGAAACCACATCAGGCCCGAACGTGAACGAGACGCCACGGTCGTTTTCGCTCCAACCAGTGATATCCTTATCGGGGTCAGACCATAGTAGATCGCAGAGCAGTCCGCAATCGGGAATCTAGAGAAGCCGTGTCAGCAACGAGCCCGGACCAGCTCTGGACGGAGCGACGGCTGCTGTCAGGAGTTCATCTTACATCAGTGGGTCGCATTACCCGACGGATCTGCTCCATCGAGTTGAGATCGGGGCTTAGACCACCGTGCATCGTGAAGATCTTTTCGTCGATGATTGCGGCGATCGGCAGGCAGTTGAAGCAGTCCGTGAACGTCTTCCATAGCTTGATGTTGTAGCGGCGCTTGCACTCGTCGTAGAACCCATAGATACGGTTGATAGACGCGCATTCGTGGTTGCCTCTTAAGATGAAGAAGTTCTCGGGGTACTTGATCTTATAGGCAAGCAGGAGGCAGATGGTCTCGAGGGATTGTTTGCCACGGTCGACGTAGTCGCCGAGGAAGAGGTAATTCGCCTCGGGCGGGAAGCCGCCGTACTCGAAGAGACGTAGGAGATCATAGTATTGGCCGTGGATATCGCCGCAGATCTATCGCACGAGGCACACCAAGCTGTTAGTAATGTGTGTGTTTCACTCGGGGCAGGGGGCGGCGGAAAGAGTGGCTAGGTCGCCAATGAAGTGCAGACATACCTTGATGGGAGCCTCCAGCTCGAGAAGGATTGGCTGGCTGATAAAGATCTCCCTAGCCTTTGTGCAGAGGTACCGGATCTCGGTCTCTAGAAGCTGAACCTGCTTCCCAGGCCGGCTCCCACGCACCTCGAGGAGGCGGTCGATGATCGAGTCTAAGTCAACGTCGTTATGATCCGCCATCGTAAGTTCCTGACCTGCCAGGTAGTTGGCCAATGAAAGTCGACAAGCGTGGAATCAGGGCCCTAAGGTGGTAGGGTGGCAACCGCGGTGTGTAGATTGCGGTGGTGCCCCAAGTTAAACGAGGATACACTTCGTAGGCCTGATCGCAGTGGGAGATATCAGTACGAGCCGATACAACATCACCGTTAGAGCAACGGAGGCATCGGCACGAGGCCCGATAAGACGAGAACCGGGGTTGGGCCCGGAGAGGTGAGAAAAAGAGGGGAGGGGGGGCGAGGAGATTTAATAAGGGCAGGATGGGGAGGAGGAGGAGGAGATGGTGATGTTGATGCCGATGCTGATGTTGTTGATGAAGAGGCAAGAGGAGGATAACCAGATGGGTTTTTAGGTAAGGTGAGGTGACGACAAGGTGAGTGGGGAAGAGGGGCCTGCGGATTTATGGAGGCCAGACCAAAAAAAAAAAAAAGGGAGAAGGAAAAGACTCACAATGAAGTGATCTCAACAAGCAACAGAGCTTAGCAACGAAGCTCGACGCCTTGCACTGGAGATTCCCGTACAAGCGTCTGGCAGCAACTGGGCACTGGGGAATATAAGATCAGGTCTTGCAGCCTCGACGGAATCGAGATTGCTTCGTCTCCTTATCGTTGTGCGCCTTGCAGGCCGCAACACCAGCGGTGATGGCTTCGCGGGGAGTCGATCGGAAGAATGCGCAGAGGCGTCGTATTGGGGAGTGTGGAACGTGAAACCGGGCCTACCACATCCACGAAAGGATGCAATGGTAATTCAATAGAACGGGCACAATTTACTGCGTCGTGGTCGGGCCTAGAATCCGGCACTGGACTCGATGCTACTCGCGAGCCGTAGCAGATAGCGGGCGGGAAGGAGGCGGGAATTGTTGGGAGGAAAATTGGGACAAACGTCGTCTGTCACGCTCGGTAGGCCGTCGAGGGGGGAGGTAATGTCGGTCAGTCGCCAGAGAGTAGAGTAGAGCTGGACACAAGGAGGCAGCGCGTGCTGCGCCGTGTGCGTGTGTATATGTAGGTGTGCGTGGGAGGATGAGCAAGAGTAGGGAGTGCGAGGGTGTGTTATGTGGTGACAATAACACAAAGCAGGCAATTCCCGGAGCGGATTTGCTGGCGCCGTGGAGAGGCAACTGGCTGGAGGCAGCGGAGGAGGAGGAAAAGCGGTAGCGTCCTGTCCTGGCCCGACCCGTGCACGCTTTTCAAAACAATGCAGGCGGAGGAAGAGAGAGAGAGAGAGAGACAAGAACGAGAGGGGGTGGGATAACACTTGTTCTCGTCTTGGGCGGAACGAAGGTTAGAATTGAGTGTCGCAGCGGTCGGCCGGGATCCAATGCTGGCGGCGACAGATAAAATAAATAAAAAAAAGAAGCGGTGCACAACGACACAGCAGTACGGACTTCGTGGTTGGGAGAGGAGTCGTGTATGGAATGCGTGGTCGTGGTCCTGTCGCGGGGTCTGCGAGGAAGAAAAAAAAGGGAAGAGAGAAGGTCGAAGGGGACCAGAGCCGACGGGAAAGGTCAGAAGACACCGATCAGATCCAATCTGGCGGACGGGTTGCTGCGCTGCAGAGACTGCAAGTGGTGGGAGGAGAGGGAGGAGGAAGGGAAGGGGAATCGGGGGGGAAGACAGCAGTACGCGGCCACTTGCGGGCGCAGGACAGACTTGAGACTGCGACTCTTTTGCTGCTATACGACCAACTGCTAACCCGCCCACCGGCCTGGCTACAGTAGGAGGAGGTAGAGGTAGGTAGGTATTGTTATGGTGAATGGAACACCCCCATCGACTAAGGTTGTCGACAGCGAGATACTTTGGGGTACGCGTATCGTGGTGGAGGGTGGCTCCAGGTGTGTGCTACCTACGTGCGCGGGCAGTAAATGTACCTCAGGTCAGGTACCTGTTTCCGTACCATGTAGGTACCTATTCGGTGGTCGAGTACCTCTAGTAGAGACGGGTACCTGCCCACAGCTGCTAATACCGCCCTTTGGTTAGGTATATAGGTACCTCCTCGTAGCCGCCCCCAAGCCCGCCCTGCCAACCACTTGAAACCCAACACCAAGCCGAGATCCAGATCCGTCTGCGTTGGTTAAGTGCATATATCGGGTATCTATGTAACTACAGTGCATAGAGACCCTTAGGGTCGACAGCAAGGCAGGAGCTGATCGCACAGGCAGCCCGAGAACCTGAACCTCAGGTAGCCACGAGCTGTTACCTACGAGATACGCCTAATCCTGAGGCATCTATTGAATAACCTTCAAGTACTTACCTAACCTACCTACCTAGACCTAACCTCATATCCGCCTACATTGATTGTCTACCGGGTAGGTATCTACCTAGGTAGGTCTACCTAGACCTACGTCGATGCCTAATCGAATCAACATGTATACCTACCTAGGTACCTAGGTACGTGCTGGCGATTATTCGGGGTTGGCCACCTCCTCGGATTAAGCAGCGCATCTTTATAGTATGCCAGAACGGCAGCGCCACTTTGACCAATAGCCAGGTGCAGATACTTCGCATACCCTAGACCCCTTTTCCTGTTCCTACGTATAAAATGACGAGTCCTATACGAGGCGTATGTAGACCTTTCTACATGGGCTCTAGACCGCAGGTGGTTTACCTCACACAGCAGGAAGGCTACCTCGTAGAAGCACGTAGAGGTACATACCCAGGTAGGTCGCGATCAGGTACCTTTAGCTTCAGTACCTACTATAACACGCCAGGTAGTGGTACCTCGGGAGGTGGGCCACATGGATGTCCCGCCTTACCGTCAAGTTATTCGCACCCCTACCTGTCGACCTCAGATAGGCGATGGTTTCTCGACGAGAATGACGAATCTGAAGCCCTCAAAATAGAACATGCAACTGCAGCATGTATGTACGTATAGTATGTACCTCCCATCTCAGGGACTCGAGCCTGCTTATGCGTCTAGACCAAGTACCTAGGTACCTGTAGATTGTTCTTCCCGCTTTGCTCCGCACCCGCGGGAGACATTAATATCTCCTGTTTGCAATCGGGTTCTACGGCCCCATTGTTAAATGGTTCTCCCTCCCCAACGTTAGCCTATTACTAATCGCACTAGATTAAGCACCTGACGCAGACGCATACATGTGCGTAGGCACCTAAGTACCTACCTACCTACCTACCTAGGTACCCAATACCTACCTCCACCTACCCACAGAGCTGGGCAGAAGGGGAAACGGGGTTGGCTAGATTCTGCCCGAGACGTCGTACCCTTAGGGCCCAAAAAGGGGAGCAGGTGGGGTTTCAGACGTAGGTCCCTCTTACTACGAGGTACCTACCTACCTAAGGTAGAGGGGGACTTGGGGAAGACGACAAAGAGAAAAAAACAATTGGTGAAATGGAAGTTCAGAACAAAAAAGGCCATACTTTGGTGGTAAGGTATATCATCCAAGTAAGCAAGTAACTACGGTACAGACCTACCTACAGGTACCTAGTACCTACACCTGTTGGAAGGGGGGACATTGAGGTTACATACATTAGGTTCCTAGAGGTATGTGGGTAGGTAGGTATCTGTAGGTGTAGGTACGTTGGAGGCGTTCCGGTTAGGAACATGTACCTAACGTAGTAGGTGTCTACCCAAGTTACCTAACCGTAGGTAGGTACTCGACCCGGCGTGCCTGCCGCGCGGTACGGGAAGGTATCTCAGATAAGAGAGCTCCGTTATCCTGGAGCGTTTCCCGTCCACCGCTTCCTTCGACTTCAACCTCGACTTCAACCTCAAGCCCAGCTTCAAGCTCGACCTCACCTCCGGATTCACAGTTTCACCCAAGCAGTGTGGCCCGCTGGGCAAAGGCAACGAATGCATTCGCCGAGGCAGCCACTTGGTATGTATCCTGCATTGACACGCCGCCGGCACGGCCCAAGACGTTTTGGCTACGTCGTAGAGGACAATTCTTCCCGCATCCCAACCCGGGATCACCACCACTGGCCAAACCCGACATCAATGTTTCCCTCCTGGCCTGCCTAATATATCCAACTATGCGTGTGCACATATGGATGGGATGCCTGGTTTCCTCTTAACCCCCCCCCCCCCCCTCCTCCCATTCTCGCCACAGCCTCCAAGCGAGCCAACCCCTCCTCCATGCCGACCTCTCATCTGACCTCCTCAAGTATTGGCCTGGGGAGGGTCGTCTCCGGCGCCGCTACTGGCGATGTTCTCGCTCATCTGTGGACCGACGTGTGTTCCCAGTCTTATGTATACCACAGCAATACCGCACTCTCCAACCTTACTTACTTACCTACCCAGTCCCAATTCATCCCTCCCGCTCGACCAACCCGTTCTCTCCGTGCTCGCACGTACAGCTTTTGCCCATCCTTGAGGTAGGGGGGAGACGGGTGGATCCATACAGGACCGGGCTCGGGTTGGGAAGGCCGGTCTGCTCCATTCACGCACTACCGCGTTTCCCACATGCGCCAACCCGTTTGCATTCGCCTTCTTACAGGCTACCGGCTTGTTGACCTCTCTCGGACGCTCACTCGACGCCTGTCCCGAAAGAACTCCACGTGTACCAGCTTTCGGGCAGCTTGTCGGGGTGCGAGTTCGCAATGGGGTCCCGGGGGCGGCTGGTGTAGTGCCTCCGGCGGACCAGAGATCAGACAGCTACCCTATCTGCCTGTTGTTCCCCCCTAGTCGTGAATCTACCCGGCGATCTGCTTGGCCCACTCCGCTGGTGTCTCTCTCGCTTGGGGTCGTGTTGTTTCTCCCTATCTGCCTTTCCCTCTCCCCCTCTCTCATATCTCGAAATGCACCACATCAAGTCGCCGCGGCGTTCATGATATGTACGCAACGTTACCGTATAGCGAGTGGATGTGTCATATTCTGCCCCGGATTTGATGGTCTGGCTAAACATCAGAAAACTGCCAAGGAGAACAACCGTGACGGCAATTTCATGATGCCAATCGATTTCCTATGCAAGACCCTTCGCTGGCTCGCTTTCCCACGTCAGCTGCAGCATCGACTACAACCGTGCTTCGATCTCGCGCTCCCGATCGGCGTCTGCGAAGAGCACCTGATCGGCCCATTCATCCATGGATGCATCTTAAGGGTCAATTACGTGGGCGACTCGACAAGCGGGGGGGCCAGGACACGGCCAATTTCAGTGGTGAGTGCCAGATAAACAATTAGGAGAGCAAACCAGCTCTCAGGTTCCTACTGACACTGGCGAGGTCGGTCTGTAAAGAGGAACAATGTTTCCTTCCGGTCGGAACGTGTCCAGCCCTCTTTCTGAGGAGACGTGGCAAGCCAAACTTCTCGGCCTTCTCCGGCCGCCTTTGTTCTCTTTACTTCATCTCTACCACAGAACGAGGTCGTCTGGCTTGGTTTCCTCCCCCGTGCTCGGCTCTCCTCTGGCATTTGGCTCCCTTGGGGCGCCTGTGGCTAGCTGGATCTCGCCGTTTGCCTCTTTAGCCGTCGAGATTACTTACGACTAGCAGCATGTTGTGCGTGCTGCCTACGGAATCGTTGTCGAGTGGGAGGCCGATCCTTAAGCGAGAAGAGTGGTCTACACGACAGCCAACCGTCGTAGCTTAGGCAGCCCACTTAACAGTGTGGGCTGCAGACGGCCTGCAGGAAACCAGATGTTGTAGCCAAGTCCCGAGGCGTTGAGTGGAAGCTTTCAGATCGCCGTGGCTCGCTCCATCCAACTGTGGCACTTCTCTATCCCAGCCGGCGATGCTCTTCTCACGATCGAGTCACATGATCTACGCCTAGACGCACGCAATTACAGCCTCGAGCACATATCGGTCTTTCGCTCATCGTGGTGGTGTCGATTGGACGTGGTGTTGAGACGGCTGGTTAGTTCGCCGCTTCAGCAACCATTAGACACGAATCTCTCTTATCCTAGAAGATAACGACTTACCAGTGTCGGGTTTTCAGTGTGACAGCCCCCACTAGGTGCTAAGTCGCAGTAGAAAGAGAGTGTGAAAAGGCGCCGAGCGAAGTAGCTGAGAGACACCCAATCCCACACACCTTGGGTTGTTCACCAGCTACCTGTCCGCGAGGAAACCTGAGCAGCAGGCCCCAGAAGTCGACATCCAACCGAGGTGAAGTCCACCGTCAGGCCTGCCGGCTCGCACGGCTCAACGAAAACACCCCGCTCTCTCCAACTCCAAGGAGATATCTTCATTGCAACTCCACGAATTTAATATATATTGGGGGGCTGAAGAGGAGATGTGTTCGATGTCACTTTCCTTGTTGAGGAATCAACCACAACATGATTAAGGGGCAGGTAAGTAGCCTCCGTTGTTCGCAGTAGATGACACGTAGTCGGCCCTCTACCGCCTAAGCATTTAATAGGCACCCGCAGGCGAAACAATCTCGGTTACGTGCGACCTATCTTCACCCATCTTGACATGCGTAGCATAAGTGTTGCGCTCACGCTGTCGATAATGAGATCGACCTTTCGCTAGAACCTCGCCGGGCTGTACAACCCACGTATCAAGCGGTCAGGGCGATTGGAGAATTATTCATTCTTACAAACATTGAGAGATCAACGTCAAACCCCACGCCTGGGGGATATCATCAGAGGCGCGTGATTCTATCGGCTTGATTTTATACGCGCACGCGGCGGCTGCCGCCGGAATAGCTGAGACGCGCCCCCAAAGCGAAGCACACCTCTCGTAGCAACTTCATGCCGAGAAAGACCCAGTACGACCACACGTGTCCGGTACTCGTGGGTTGGGGTTGAGATCTATGCAAGGGGTGCTGGGAGAGACCGAACCGAAAGCAGATGGGCATTGTCTTGGTAGAAGCCAGATTCGCGTATGGCTGGCGTGGTTTACTTACCTATAACATGAGCTATGATCGTGCCACCCATTGCAGCAACCGCCTGGCAGACAGCTATCTGGAAGAGATGGCGATAGGAAGGGGCATGTCTGAGGGACGATCGTAGTCTAGAGCTGCGGGGAATGGTACCGAAGGGAGCATTGCCGACCGTGTTGGGATAGAAGGGGATGATGCTACGAAGGCAAAGTGGATGGCCGAGGCCGACTTCAGGAAAATGCGGTGTAAATGCCCATAGATAGGATTATGGGCGTTGTGTTGCTGATCTCCGTGCCTGGCCGCCGGTACTAGTTGCCTACATCCTGAGACATCTGAGTTTGGTCAGAGCGAGTTGTAACGACAACGACAGCGACGAGCGCGATAATGCTTCACATTCCCGAGCCACGCCTACTCCGGAGGCCTCTACGCCCGTTATCATCCGCAAAACTTCCATTCCGTCGAATACTCTGGAAGCCAACACTCGCAATCATGAAGGAATGCTAGGCTTGCACGGTCGCGAATGGGTGGAGTCCTGGTGCTAATAGCCCGGCATATTAGCTCCAGAACGAAGCTCCTAGCCCGGTCAAACTTGGATTGTTCTTATTCGCCTGCATTGCCCACCAACTCACAGTCATGCTTTTCCTAGAACGGCACCTCGCAAGGCATGTCGACCACGTTTCGTAAGGACACAGAGGACTGGGACAGGGTAACTGATCATCCCCACCATCTCTAATCTAGATGCCGCCATAGAAGGCCTCGACCCGGAAAGCCCCCCTATGCCGTTCCCTTGGTGGCAAAGTCGGTGCCGAGGATTGGCGTGATACGGATACCCGGGAGTGTATGGCTTTGCTTCTTTCCCCTTCCAGTCCGACTGCTGATGTCTCAGCTGCACTTCTCAGGGAACGACGTGAATGGTTTGAGAGTCCGGCGGATACAAGTTGCGAAGGTGCTGCCGTGCCAGTTTCGTGTCTTGAACCCGCCGGAGAGGCAAGAAGAGAGAGAGAGAGAGGGAGGGAGAGAGAAGGGCGAAGGGGAATGAGAAAAACAATACTCAGACCACGACGACGGTCCCGGAACATCGTAGTACTCCCAGGCGCTAGGGCACTGTCGTTGGACCGGGAGCTTACTTGGCCAGCTCCTCCGTATACTGTGTAATGTCCAACCCTCTTCTTCTGCCTTCCCTTCTAGCCCCCCTCTCCCTATTCGCCAGCTACGCAGACGCGCAGTAGGTCGGTCTAGAAGCATCTAGATCCCCCCCGCTCTGCCGGCGGCCGGGTAGAGAGAGATGATATCTGATGCGTCCGAATCACCCTATTTTACACCTGGAAGGCTGCTTACCCCTCCACCTGGCCTAGCTTTGAGAAGATGGTGGAAGGGACGAGGACGGGGGGAAAGGGGACCAGCAGTGCGATATATGTATTTATATGCCACCTAGATGCCAGCTTAAGTCGATCGCTATATGCGCGCCTACGGGAGGATTGCTACTAGTATTGACGCCTCTCAGGAGACCCCTTATTTGTAGATGAACATGCGAGATACGAGGTGGGTTTACCTAGGAGACCGGATGGGACGCAGCGTAGTTGCTTTACCCCTATATATATATATATATATACCTAAGTATACCTCTCCATTCATGGCTCGGCGGCCACCGAACTCCCTCCCCCTCTCCCCCCCCTTGGGCCTCGCCCCGACCCCTCCCGCTTTCTTGACGTGCGCCGAGCCCACCATCTCCGTGTTCCGACCCAGCCGGACCACATGCAAGAACAGGTCCCTGATCGCATACGACGCCAGCCTGCTCCAGCCGAGACGACCTCTGTCAGGCCTCCCCCCCCCGAAAGCATCACGGGTCGGTCCATCTAAGTCCAAGTCGAAGCAATTAACTGTATATATGTGTATTATATATACACACAGGCGGGTGTGCACAAAAGGAAACCAGAGTATAGCAAGTTGTAGCAGTCGTGGGAGCAGCCGTGACAATAAGTAAACGCATTCGCCAGTCGGAGGGGGAGAAGAAGAAAGAAGAAGGGGGGGAAAAAAGAAGAAGAAAAAAAAACCACAAAAACTAGGTATAAGCAATACCGGCGAGGCCGCGCCCGCCGTATCGCAGCGACTCGAAGCACGCCGGCCGACTCGACTCGAGCTCGAATGCCGCCGGGCCGTCTCAAATCAGACATGTCTCTCTCTCTCTCTCTCTCTCTCTCCCGCCGCCCCGCGCACCTATCAGAGCGAGACCAAGCAAGACCTCCGTGCGCGTACGTGCTGCCCTGCGTGTGACTGACTGGATTTGACTCTCTGACTGACTGACTGGTCCGGCCGTACTCCCTCCCTCCCTCCCCCCCCTCTCCCTCCCTAACGCCCTGATGCCTACTCCCCTTTCCCTACTCCTAGCTTTCCCGCTGCCGTGCCGAGAAAAAAAAAAAAAGGGAAAACCAAGAAGATTCAACAGCAGGAAGATAACGACGACGATAAAAGCTCAAACGCAGCCGGCCTCGCGCGCGCGGTATATCGGGGCCGGTGGGCGCGGAAGGACAGACGGACGGATATATGGTATTTTTCTCCCTGTCAAACCTCGTTCTCTCGGCGTGTTCAACGCCGGGAGAGGGAAATAAACAAATAAAACGCATTCGTCCCCTTCCGAGAGGAGAGAAACAGAGAAAAAAGGGGGGGAAGAAGTGAAAAAAAAAAATGAGCACCTACTCCCCTCCCCCAGAACCGGAATTTCGTGTTTCGTACATAGCAGAAACCCGGTTTCAACGTGGCCAGCCCGAGCTGGTTGAAGCGGCACAAATACACTATAGAACCTAAAGCACACGTGGCCGCGCGCACGTGCACGCGTGCGTGCGCGCGGTAATTATTCGTACAGACCCCCATTCTTCTTATACCGTCCCGCGTGTCCCCTCTCTCCCCTCCGCTCCGCTCCGCTCCCCTCCGCATGATTAGTGGATCCGACCCTTATCGTCTCCGGTAAGGCGCCTTGCGCTTCTTGGACCTGGCGCTGGTCTTCTTGGCGGGGCCTGCCCCGGGCGCGTCCGCCGCGGCGCCGGCGTTGTTGGCCGGCGAGGCCGTGATGCTGTCCTCGTTGAGCTCGACGCCGAGCCCGTTGAGCTCGTCCTCGTCGATCTCCGTCAGCTCCTCGCTGAGGCTGCGCACCGCGTCCCTCCCCCGCCACTGCTCCTGCACCGCCGACGTGCCCTCGGGCTCGAAGTCCTGCAGGTACCACACCACGCCCCCGTCCACGAGCGAGTCGGCCGGCAGGTGCTCCAGGCTGCCGTTCGAGCGGGGGGGCGTCGGCGGCGCCGGCTGTATCGACGGCACCGCGCCCACGTAGCCGTTCGTCGCCGGCGGCGTGTCCACCGGCTGCATGCCGTCGACCGATGCCGCGTCCGACTTGCCCTCCGGAATTTGGGGTGGCCGGTTAGCGATGGCGTCGTGGGATGGCTGAGCAGCCTCTATTACGCCGCCGACCTCGAAGGTAGAGGTTTTCACTTCGATATTGCCTTCATCCCCGACGTCATCATCCTCTCCGTCGGCGTCAGCCATGGCAACGTCGCCGGGTGTTTCTGCCGTAGCAGTAGAGCCGTCGACTTGACCACCCACGGTGATCTCCGCAGCCACTGAGTCAACCATGATGACGTCCTGGCTCTTCTCGGACTCCACATTACCATGGTTAATATCCTGGTGGCGCAGTTCGAGGCTCGCCTCCATCATGGATTCTAGCTCTTGTTTCAAGCTCTCAAATGGCCGGTGGGAAGCCTCGCACTCGAGGCGCAGCGCCGTCTCCAACTGCGGCTGGATCGACTTAAGTATCCTTTTTCCAAGCTTCTTACGGTCTCGATAATCGGAGAAGTCGGATTTAGGCAGCACGGGAACAGCGGAACCAGCCCTCTGCAGGGAATCGACCTGCGATTTAGGTTCGGAGTTGATGCCGGAGCTGATAACCTCGCAAAGATCGCTAGAGAAGGCTAGCGTCGTGGTGTAGAAGCGCTCGTCGAGTCTATTTGACAACTTCACGAGACCTCTGTAGAAGAGATTTTTGTCCAGCCTAGTGATCGTTTCGAGTGGTTAGCGTTTATGCACGTCAAGCTGGGGTAATACCGTCCAACTTACGCTATCGCTTTCTCTATGACGGGAGGAAGCATCTTGTGGATAGGGAAATAGCACGTGTCCACGAATTCTTGCTCCATCTCCGCTGCCTCAAGCTTGCTCTGCTCGCGTTGGACGACCGCCTCCGACATCATCTTGAGCTGCTCTAGATCTCTGATGAGGGTCTCGGCGAATTCGATTCTTCTGGATAGGCGAGCCTTGCCGACGGGGCCCATGGCCGCAAAGTTGCGTCTCGTGAGCTCCATCGAGGAGAACGTCTCCATCTGCAATTGCAAGCGCTTGAGGAGGGCGGCGCCGCGGCGCATCTCGCGCTTCAAGGTCCAGTACCGACACGCGTCACTGACGAACTCCTTACGCTTGAGGAAATTGAAGCGTTGCAGCGACGCTTCGACAATTTCGAAAACGGCTTGGGGTATTACGGGAGCTCCCGACGGTAACTTCCAGATCGGCTTGCCGGCCTGTCCTTTCTTGTCGCCAAGGACAGCCGACAACTTAGCGCCAGTCATTTGCGATTCGTCCGGGGGATGTTCGGTTATCGCGTTGCGATGAGACGCGGCGAGGGACATGGCCTTGGCTTGGTTGCTGGCCCAGATACGGTCTCCCATCGTCTTCTTGTAGAACTTCTTGGCTCGCTTTGTAGCGCGGACCACATCGTTCTCCTTGGCGTATTCCGGAGGGCAGTGCTTATCGCAGAGCGCCTTGAGATTGGTGCTGCCGTCGAGCACGTCCAAAGCACCCGAGTTGTTCTTCATCTTGAGAAAAAGACGGGCGCGGCGAGCGCAGGTAACGTGAAATGCCTGATAGCACGCCTTGTTACCGCACTGTATGCAAGCACCCATCTGCTGATTGCAGATGTAACAGCCAAGCTTCCAGCGACTTTTGGGGACCTTATCCACATCCATAACTGGTTCCATAAAAGTATGGTTGCCGAGCGTCACCTCCGGAATCCACATGGCGCAGAGCAGATGCGCCCACTTGGAGGAATTGGTCTGCTTGAAAGCACCGTCGGAGTTGGGGCAGAAGATGCACGTCTGGACAAGGGACAGTGTCAGTTAGCAAGCCAACATCCGGGAGAGCGGGACAGGGGGGAGGGCGGGCGGAGGGACCGACCGGGATGCCACGGCCAATGAGCTGGCACTTTCGACACAGCCATTGGCCTTCCGGAATAAATGGAACACCATAGCACTCTTGGTGGACCGCGAGATCGCACCCGTCACAAAAAACGATCGCGTTCGTGTTCTCGCAGTCCCCATCGTCGCAGATTGCGCATTTGCTGTCCTGCTCTTCGCCTGCCTGCGGCTCGCCATTAACGGCCGCTGCGGAACTAGAGCGCGGCCGATGGGTCTGCGGCGGTTTCGGGTTGGGCTTCGGAATTCTTTTCTCGAGCACGTGCCACTCCTTCTCGATCTTGGTGATGGTGATCTCGAACACTTCGCGAGTGACCGGGTTCCAACCCTGCGACTTCCTGTGCGCATTGTACGCCTCCAGCCACATGTCGTCCTGCTCGTCCATGTCGTATTCGACACGGCCTAGAGAGTTGGTTGGCTGGGGCACCGCCTCTCCGTCGGCCTTGAGAGCAGCAGCCTGGTCGGCTTCGTCCTCCATGTTGGCATCGCTTGCCTTGATCAATTTTCGATCCGGGCGGATGAAGTTGTCGCTCTCCTGGTAGCCGACATTCATCATCGCCTTATCGACGTATCGGGCTTGGCCGAACTTCTTGCTCTCGAAGAGCAGTATGCGGTCGGTTTTGCGATAGGAAGGCTGTTTCAGGTCGAGCTTCTCCTTGGTATTCTGGCCGTGGATGGGCAACGGGGTTGGGGTGTTGGGCGCTGCGTGCTCTCCGCGCGTAGCGTACAGCGAATCGCGCGGGAGCCGGCCACCACGCCTCCTAGAGGGGGTGACAGTAAGCGCACCGAAGGGTGTGGCGCTGTTGGGCGCGGTGTTTGGTGCATTGAGGGGTGTGGACGCCACACCTGCGTCTTTGGACGGACTGGCGGCATCCAAGTTATCCACGGCAGTGGGCTTGGCTATAGGCGTCTCCGGCACTGGCTTCGCAGTTCCGTCGACGTCTTCGGCGTGGAACAGCATAAATGTAGCATCTATGTCGAGATTGGGGTGGAATTCCTCCCAACCACGCTCTTCTCTAGGTTTGTATCCTTCGCTCTGCACGACGGCGGCAGCCACAGCCGCGGCAGAGCTGATCTGCATCTCGTCATCCGCCTCGACTCGGGCGGCAGTGCGAGTGCGGGTGCTACGTTCGCGTCTGGGATATAGGACGGGGGAAGCCGCACCGTTTTGCAAACTGTGTCTCGCTCTCGAGCGACCGGTAGTCGCAGCCACCGGCTCGTCCTGGTCGTTGCCATTCCTATCGGAAAACCGACTAGCGCTGGCTGGACCACTAGAGGCATGTCGTCGGCGCTTCAGGGGAGGCTCGGTGGCGGCGACAATGTTGCCGTCTCGAGCGCGTCGCACGGTGCTGTAGGACCCCTTCGGTCGGCCGCGGGGGCGCGAAAGCGCGGTTTGCCTGGGCGTTCTCGGACTCGGTGCCATCGTTGCTCGGAGATCTAGACGGCGGGGAGGTAGATCTGACGATGACAAGGGGGGGACAAGGCGGAAATCTAATCAGCGCGTCGCAAGGAGGAGGCGAGGGGGGTTATCATGCGGGAGAGGCCGGCAAACAGGCATTTGAGAAGCAGCACGCAGGGGACTTCTCGAGGGACGAGCAGGGCAATGGGGGAAGATTCGGCGACGTGTTTGGTGGGCAGAAGCAGCGAACAGAGAGGTGGTTGTGGAGGAGACGTCGTCGAGAAATGGCGAAAAGGTAGACGGAACGCGCTGGTGAAGTCGGCTGGAGGTGTTGGGTCTAGCCCGTAATAGGAAAAGCCCGTCGCGCCACAGTTACATAAGCCACCCGTAGCCCCTCCGCCCAGACCATCAGTGCCTGTCACCGGCGAAAACGGGCCCCCCGAAGGCCTGGTTCAGCCACTCAGCGCTCGGAGACCGTCTCCACCGACACCGACCGATATCACCTGGCTGCGGCGCAGTATCGCATTGCCATGCGAACAGCCCACCTCCCCGTCTCCCGCGTAGATGCATGGGATGAACGCCAATCGAGGATTTCGCCGGTCGATATTCGATACGGCAGTTTTGCAACCCGCATATGCAAATGGCCGTGCCGACAGACCCTGAATATTTAGCAGGCGGAGGAATCGATCGAACCTGGTTGGTACCCGGCCACGCTTTGCGCATCTCCTCCTCTCATCATCGTCATCATCGCCTCCGTGCTGCCCAACCGCCCCTCCCCCCTCCTCTTCAATGGCATACCGACGGCGCGGTTCGCAGAGAAGTCGAAGCGCATATCTACCGACATCTGCACGCCCGGCGTAGGCACATGTGCATCGTGTATACGCAGGACGGACTCGACTCCTGCAAGGCAGCCCGCCCCGTCTCCATCCCGTTTGTCCTCCTCGACAAGCACCCAAGCCCATCCCAAGCATCCCAAGCATCGAGCCAACGGCTTTGCGCACCAATCAGGCCTCGACACACCTCCCGAATAGGGGTGGGGTCTTACACACGTCCCGTCGACCCGAGCGTGGCCAGCTTCCCACCTCTTGGACTCAGCCCTACCGGCTCGTCGAGCTGTCGCTTGCCACCAGTTAGCGGTAGCGCCCTTGTCTCGCAGACCCTTCATGACGATCTAGCCCAGATCCCTCTCCGATCCAACGCATCCCCGGATTGCTTGTCGTACACGCTTTGCGCCTCTGCACGCTTGTCAGCCCCCCTCCCCCGGCCCATTGCGTCGCGGTAGCTCGGCTTGTGGCATGCCTCCCCGGATTTCCGCTTACGCCTTCGAGCACAATCCTATCTTCATTTCGATCTGCCATTAGTCTGGCCGATCCATCCCTCGCTCCGTGCTGGATTCTCTAGCACCTCCCGCCCCAACCATATTACAGCCGCGAGTCAAGCTGAGCCGACTGATGCTCCAGGGTCCCCCCTTTCTATAATGGGTTAAGGGTGGACTAGTAAGAACTACCCTTCCCGCACCTAAAATAAAATAAAATAAATAAACGGTCGGCTCTCTACCTTGCGAAAGCAGCCATCGCCACTCTTGTGTCGCCGTGATTTCTGCTCAGCGAAAGTGGCGTGGATCGGGCAAGACGAGGATAGCCATCCGTGTTTCGCCCATAGCGCCTGTCGGACAGTCTCCCTCGCGACGCATTTAATATACTCCTAGTTCCTATCTCCCTCATGGTGCCGAATCTCAAGAGTTGGTCCCTTCGAATTGGACTCCGAGTTTCGGGTTTTGTGTAGCGACTCTTAAGCGAACATCGACATTCATTCGACCCCCCACTGAGTGTATCTACAGCATTATTGCCTCAACAACCAAATTCGATAGACCGGCCTAAAAACCAGCCACAACTTCCGGGCCAATACATTACCCAGGAATATTTCTTCCTATGCGCAACGGGCGTGCTCTACCGGCGCACTTGGAATCGCTCGCAAAGAACCGCTTCCCCGACGGCCCGCCGTAACTATGGCACCGATGCACTCTAGGTCGGTAACATACGCTATGTCGACTTTCTAAGCGCTGCCCGCGTCGATATGTTGTTGTGTTGCGATAATTATATCGCCCGTCGAAACTGACCTATATACGGGCGCTCGCCAGCGGCTTGTCAAGTACCTACCTAGGTTCTGCGACAAACCCGAAGGTGGAGTCCTTGAAAGCTCCTAAAGGATCATTCGGCGAGAACCAGCGTCAAATCATGTCGTGCGGTTATTCTTCTTCTCCCTGCCCTATTCGCCGATAGGCAAAGGCAAGATGCAATCGTCTATCGCCGACCACGCCTATTTCCGGCTAACTAGGACATGGAAAAATGGCCGCAGTTTGGTCGTACTCCTATCCCATTCACTCGTACTAAAAAAAAATACGAAGAAGAAAAGAGCGAGAGAGACAGTGAAGGCATCGCACATCGGAAGATGCCTCAGGTGCAATAAAACGCCAAGGAGCACCGCCTGAGATCGTGCTTCTGATATACACAGGACAAACCCCTGAAGAAACTCATCGAGGAGCGTCTGGCGCTGCTCGGTTGCGCGCAAAAACGAAGACCACGGCATAGGCCCCGCCGGCCCTGCGCGCGCATCAGCAAATCAGAAACTTCGCAATCCAATGGATGCTGGCGGCATGCTTTGTTTATTGCGGAAACTAAGGAGGGCAGCTGTCAGACGGGTTGTTCATTGATGGGGTACGGCCAACTCTTGGGCCCTTGGGCCCGACCCGGCATCGAACTTGGCAAAAATTCTCTACGTCTTACTCGCGTCTCGAAGCCCCAGCGGTTGGAGTAGGTATGTACGCACCCGATGTCGCAAGCAGGCAGGGCGTCGAACCTAGGACACCCATTCGCAGGGTCTGCTTTGCTGTCCCAAATTTGCGCCTGACTGCTAGGCACGATACTTGGAATCTATCGGCCCACGTCGCCCCGGCGAAGACCTCGCTTTCCAGGCTATACGGCGGGTTTGGTCGACTACGACCCACCTGGTGAGTCCAAGTGGAAAGGCGCGCGGCCATCCTTTGAGAAGTCATAAAAGGCTCCTCCAGGCGTAGACCTGCCGGGACGGTATTTCATCGGTATCCCCTACCCCGTGGCCTGATAGGTATGCGTGCGGGTTCCGAAATTGCTGTGGAGCATATAGTCTTATGTGGTGTTGTAGCCATCAAGGAGCCGCCATCATTGTCCGCTCAGTCCTCGATGACCTAAGATGTCTGTGCCTTCGCGCCTCCTTATGTTCAAACACTTGAGCGCAAATGCAAGCAAAGCAGAATTTGATATCGTTCATTTGATATGCCGCCCGTGCGAAGACCCGAACTTGTATTCGGTAGATATTTAAGAATTTGAGCCACAGGGGTAACGGCGTAGTTGAATTCCGAACATATCCATATGAACACTACTCCCACCTTTACCTGTTGCCCCCTTATACAAGATGTGTTTACTTACAGCCACCCAAATTCTCTCTACGATACGTAGGATATCCAGTAACGCGTTGCAGACTTAGAAATCGTGGCCACAGACCGGCTGGGACTCATAGGGTGAATGCCGCCTCCTCGGTGCCGGCTTGTTAGCGCTTCTAACCCCGTAGGATTTACAGATATACCGTTAAGCTGGAAAAACGCCTTCGCTTTTGCTGCCCTCACACTAGCTCGTCTATCCTTTGCTGGAGGAGGGGGAGGGCTAAACACGGGATATGTGACTCCTTGACCACGGTTGTAGCTCACCCATTTACAAGATCCCAAGTTACCTAAACTTTTTCATTTACGCTGCCTCTTCCGTAAGTTGTGTCTTTGCAGTGGCTCGTGAAGGTGGGTTTCGGGTCCAACACGGCCGGTCGTCCCGTGCCTTCCACCTACAGTACCCAAAAAGGATACGGGTATGAGAGATACGGACCCTGGCGCCGCAACCCGTCCGTAGAGTCGAGGAGGCGGCCACGGATCAGGGCCGAAACTTGGCCACCGAGCCTCGAGCAGCTGGCTAGGTATGCCGTAGAGGTATGTAGATGGCACTCGAAGCAGCCGCCCAGTCAGGAGAGAGGTAGCATGTGTGTGTGCCGGACGGGATCTCGACCCCAGTTTCCACCACGGGCCGTGGCATTCTTCTCACGCGGAGCCACCCGGTATCATCAGTCGCTATGTCTACCGGCTGTGCAACAGAAGACCAGACCCCGTTTGAACCGCGTGATGTCCCGGGGGGGAGAGACTCTGCTTGGCCGCTTGTGCCTCGCGTCCACCGTACGCACGTCTAGCTAGATACCAAGGGTACGCCTATCGTTAAGCCGGCTCAAGGAAGCCGGAATGGCACTCTGCAGGTCCCCCTGTATATATGTGTATATGTATATATATGTGTGCTCATAGATTCATAGATAAGATTGAGTAGTGAGGAGTCCGTTGCTCTATTCGACGACACGGCAAAGGTCTGCCTGCCTGCCGAATAGGAGGCTTGTAGGTACATACAGAACGTGCCCGCATTCTACACGTAGCTCCTCCGCCTCTATCTCTACCCCCCCGATTCCGCTCTACAAACGCCCGCCGCCTCTCCCGCCTCGGCGCGCGCAGGCGTCCAAGCGCGCCTTCTACCACATCCGTCTCTCACCCCTCGCCGCGGAGACCACGCCTCTTGCCCTCCCCCGCGTGCGCCTAGACGTACGTAGGAGTAGGAGTAGGGCATTAGGGCGTGTGCGTGCTCCCCCCTTTCCTTCTCCCATCTTGTCCTCCTGGCAGGATATAGGCACATCTCTGTACAACTGCATCTGTGCGGCAGCAGAGGAGGACAGAAGCCTGAAATGTCGGCCGGGGAACGGGGCAGGAAGGGGTGGAAGACCGAACACGTTAAGTTCGGTGTGGCTGATTTACTACCGCCCGGCTCAGGTTCGCTCTACTCATATCAAAAAAACGCTCGTAGCTAGGACACTAGGACTACTGTTGGATAGGTAGGGACAGACTACGCGTAGGGATAGGGGTGAGAGTATTCGTATCACCAAGACCAACGAAAGGGTCGCGATGTGGTGTTGGAACATCGCGATTTGAAGACGCGGAAAACTCATGCTCTTTTTTTCATTAACCAGTCCCCCGTTCACCTGGATAGAGAGCTACTCTCTATCCTAAGCTGTCAGTCCGTCGCCCTGTGCGCAGAAGCGCACGACATAAGCGACCAGAGAGGAGTCAACGATGGAGGAGATATAAACAGTAGAAACCATCATGAGGAACTGGGTCCTCTCCACGACCTCGAAACGCCCGCCAAACAGAAACCATCCGCGCAGATATCATAGTGAGGAAATAGATCATATCTCAACCGCACTCTCTTGTCCCTTCCACCTGGGTCTTCGGTCTAAAGGTCTCTCGCTCCGAAATCTCTTTCTTCTACAAGTGAACCAGTATCCCTCACGCCCCGTACCGAAAGACCTTACAGGAAATGGCTCATTCTACCACCCGCAGGAAGATTCGTGACGAAAAAGAAATGTATGTGGCTAGCGGTGCTGCCGCTAAACCGAGTCGATAATGCAAAACGTGATGATTTCCTTTCGTTAAACGCCGAAAATGCTATGCTCCGTCAAGGCACCATATGTGGCCCAAAAAACACAATGCGATGGTGGGTTAATGGTATATCGAAAGCACAATGCGAATGGGGGTAATGGGATAAAGCCATAAAAAAGGGGACCGCCCTTGAGGCGGGGAGAAGAGAGAGAGAGCCCTGCTCAGATAGCATTGCCTAGTTAACCCATGGCGCCACCGCTGTGGATCGCTTGCGCGCTGGCAGTTCGGGCGGCGGGGCCAGGTCGCATGGCTGAAGGGGGACTGAAGTCGCCAGTGACAAACGGCCGAGATGCCTCCCAGCCCTCCTCGCTGAGGACGCTGAGGTAGCCGTTGCCAACCTTGTCCCGAATCGCTTCGATCTTCTGCCGATAGATCTCGCCGCTGAGGTTCCAGTCTTGGGCTTCTGGCCACATATCCGGCGAACTCGGGCTCAGGAGCGACACTGGAGACCTCAAAATTGGGCCGGTATTAATGCGGGGCACTTCCGATAGGTCTATCGTGGCAGGTGATCTAGTTTCTGAGATCGCTCTAGCCGGCAGAGGTTGGGTCTCGGGCGCTTGGGAGACGCGATAGTTAACTTCCGGCTCGGTAGCCACCGCGGACTTGTCAGCCGGGGGGGTATCGTCGATACTACCCGCTGGCGGTGAAGCCTCGCTAGCCTGGTCGCCTGTCGACAGATCGACTATCCTGCGCTTCGGGGTACGCCGCCGTCGTGTAGAGCTAGTGTGAATTTCGCTTGCGACCGCTTTCGGAGTTGGACGAGCAGGCCGCTCCTTACGCAAGACGGCAGGTGTCTTCGGTGTGTCGTAGACGATGGCCGGCTTGCTCACATCTACTGCAGGCAGTTCGGAGGGAGGAGGCTTGATTACAGGGACAGCATCAGGGATGGCGGCGCGGTCTGTCAGATGCCTTTTCTCCGAAGTGGACGGGCCTGAACCATCTATAATTATGTCTTCTGTGAATCCGGGGGTACTGCGGAAGAGGTTGAAAATCGTGACCCGATAGTCTCGGTGCGTCCGCGCAAAAGGGTTACCCTCGACGTAAACCTCGCGAATCTCGGGGATACCTGTCAGGCGAGCTAACTCCATCGGGTCGGTCAAACGATTGTCTCTAAGGTCTAATCGCTCTAGAGGATAGAGTTTCTCGATGCCAGCAATGGACTGGAGGCGGTTGGCGCGAAGGTTTAGGGCAGTGATGGCTGGAAGGGGATTGCGAAGCAAGGAGTGGAGGGAATCGATCATGCAATGCGACAGGTTCAGGGCGCGGAGCTCGGTGAGTAGCGCCAAGCTGTCGGGGATCTGAGTGAAGAGGTTTGAGGAGAGGTCTAGTGAGGCCAAGGTCTCGGCCAGAGGGGCCAGACTAGCCGACGGTATCACTGTCAGGGAGTTGTCCGGCAAGCCGAGATGCTTCAAGAAGCGCCACTTGGAGGCTGGGACGATTCCCATAGCTAATAGATTGGAGGTGCTACTTCTCGGATTATGCCACGAGTCGGATAAACTCGATTGAGAACTGCCGGATCCGGATCGCTTGACTTTATGCGTGCCCCTCGTACTCGTCGTAGGGTGGCGGGAAGTGGCCGGTCGGTCGGGGGAATGGCTTCTAGGCCGCGAAGACTTGACTGGGGACCTCGGCTGGTCAGTTTCAACCCTGGCAACCGAAGGTCGAGAGTGGTGGGCCGATGTGCTTTCAGTTGACTCGGCGGCGACTTGTATATCCGCTACAGAATACCGACGGCTTGGCGTCGGCGGTACGAAAGCAGAGTGTTGGGACTCCGAGTACGATAGCGCGGGGCTTCGTCTAGGGTTGGACGCATGCGCATGTGCGCCAGCGGGGGACGACTGCGCCTTCGAGGATCGGCGCCGTCTCTTGTCCATGTCGTCCAGTACGATATCGATGAGTATATCGGCGGGATCCTCGATGCTGGCACGTCGAACGACGAGGGATCGGATCTGGTCCGCCACACGGTCCCAGCCAAAGAACTGCCTGAAATCGAGGCCGTTTACTTCTAGCGACTGCAAGTTCTTGAAGACGTACAAGGGGACGGCGGAGTCGAAAGGAAATTCCTCGTATCCTTTTATCAGCTTCGTTCGCCAGTCCGGGGCGAGCTGGAGAGAAGGTATCTTGGTGAAGGCGGAGTAGAGATATTTGGTGTCGGCCTGCAGGGCCGCCTTTTGCCTCTCGACCCGAGCAGCAGATATGCCTGACCCTATCCCGATGCTATTCCACAAAGCCGACATCCCCGTCATCACACTTCGAATACTCGACACGGACCGTATCGACACGACATCGGACCCACGACTCTTAGTACGCTGCGAGGCGCTAAGAAACGACACGTAGTTCGCTGCGGCCGAGGTATCATGTAGGTTTTCCAACCGCACCTTCATAGGCCCGACATTTATACCCAGATCTTCGAAGCGAGAGAGCAAGTAGAACAGATGGTGCGGCGTCAGACTCAGCCTCGCCGATTTGATATTAGTAGATGTTAAGTTCAACGAACTAAGGGACAACGCCGCCGTGAGGGGGCTCGATGCCGAAGCGGAGGTCGAAGGACGTTCGGGCAAAGCCGCCGGCTTGGGCACCTGGATAGAGGAGACGCTCTGGCTGGGACCATGGCGAGGGGCGTTTTGCCGTCGAAGCTGCAAGGCGTTGGCTAAGGCTTTCTCATGCGTCCGCACGTAGACGGCCAGGCGCTGTTTACCGAAGCAGGTCAGCTATGACATCCAACACAGATCCCTCACAGCCACCCGCGGCCACGTACCTTGATATACTGCTCCCCGTCTTCTGAATCCATCTTGCTCTATCGTCGGGGAGACATGGAGGACGATCAGGGAAAAAGCTCGGTGTGCAACTCGTTCTTAGGTTTCTCAAAGACAACCCAAGATCTTCTCGAGGACTAACGTCGCTCCGGCGGTTTCGCTCTCTCCGCGTGGTCTTCCCGGTCGAACGGCGCTGTCAGGACTATGGAGAGTCGATGGTTAGTGCCAGTAGTCGAAACTTGGCTTGACTGCCGGTGTTTGAGGAGGCCATCTACAATGTCAAGTGTGCAGAACAAGCTACTAGCTAGTCGTGAAACAAGAGAAAGGAAGGGACTCGAACGATCATGACTTGCGAGAGATCAGGAATGCTGACTCGCCACAATGGTTCTTATCTGCTCACAAGCACACCAGCAGGCAGGGCCAACGATCACAGAGCAGAGAATCGCACACAGAGTCACAGACATCATATCATGACACAGAAGGAGCAAGTCTGGAGGGACTAGATGATAAGGCAGATCGGATCGAGGGGAGACGAAGGTGAGAGAATGCGTCACACATCTGCAGGCAGCAAAAACGCACAAAGAAGCATGATTCGGACGAGGCAACATTCTGGTGCTTGGGATTTGACGAGTAACTGGGGGGGAGGGAAGGGAGGGGTGTGACCACCGAGGGGGGGGGGGGACAAGGCAGCAGACATACCTCTTTGTTCCGTCACTATTATGATTATGATTATTCCGTCTCTCCTCGTCGAGATGCAAGTGAGGCCGAGCAGGCTTGTCTCGCGGGATGCGTGACGACGCTATAATGGAGGGAGGGTAGAGAGAGGATGAAGGGAAATAAAGAATAAGGGGACACGACTCGTGGAGCCCGTGGGCGAGAAAGGGAGGGGTGGCGAGGAAGGAAGCCGAGAGGGAGACGACAACAAAAACGACGGCGGCGACGACGAAGCGGTAGCCAGAAAGAGAGGGTATGTCTATCAGGCTGTCGTGTCCGGCTGAGCGTCTACGAAGGCGAACTCTCGACTCGGTCGGCACCCACGATGGAAGGAGGAGGGAGGATGCGGAGCGGGTGAGGGAGGAGGAGGAGGAGGAGGAGGAGGAGAGGAGAAAATAGGTGGCAGCGCGCGATGGTCGGGGGAGACAGAGAGTGTATATAGTACGAAATGTTTTAAAATTGGTCAATGGGCGTATCCCTCGGGGGATGGAGGGGGGGGGACGGCCCAGTGACTGGCCCTGGCCCTGGCCCTGGCCGCTGCGCAAGTGCGCACTGCGCCCACATGCAAAATGCCAGGGCGCCAAGCCCCAGGTGAAATTGGTGTGGTGGGTATCGGTGCGCCGGCTGGGATGTTCTCGGTCAAGTGTGGGCTACTTTTCAGCACGTCGGGTACTTTGGGTGTCGAGGCCGTGTCCACCTGGCCACCTAAGCAGAGCGTCGAGAGATTACGTGCCGAGTACTGGTACCAGAAGTACCCGCGTCCTGGGTGCGTCCCTCTCTGCTGGCCAGCGGTCTTTATAGGTACGGGCTACCGACCTAAGGTTCTGCTGAGACCACCCGTAGGGGTGTTCCCTGGGCAGGTACCTAGGCAGGTTAGGTGGCCGATCGCCTGCCATCAGGCATCTTGGTTAGCGCAGAGATAGGGTTCTATCGTTCCTAACCTAGGTACGTTACGTACACGCAGGGACGCTCCCCTTCTTCCTCTGACAGGTCTCCCCGGGCCTGCTTACTTACCTAGGTAGGCATACAGGTAGGATGGGAATTTCCACGTCGGCGTATTCGGGGGCGTATCTCCAACACACAACGGCTCTATTGTGCGACGTTGTATATTCTGTTATAGATGCCTCCACCGTTGTACCGGCCGCGTACAATACATCTGGCTCCTCGCCGCCGGTGCGGCTCAGACATGGTGGGCGCCAGAGAGCGTCAGATGGGCTGCGACTCATTCGCCGGACCGGACCTGTTTGACCACTCACATAGATCACGCTCGATCTCATCAGCCAAGTATCATACTACCTCCTCCTGCTCGGCAGCCAATCCGAGCCCGTCTCTCCCCTCTTCCCTCTTCTCCTTTGGCGCCCTCCTTCTGGCACCGCTGTCTCTGTTTGGACAGCTGCGTAGACCTCTACGCTTATCACGGCAGGCTTTTTCCCTTCTTTTCTATTTTCCACCCCTTTTCCCTTTTTTTCTTTTTCCCTCTCACTCTCTCCATAAATAATGTTCGTAGTATTGTTTATGGGTGGAAATTCCGATCCGTCGAAATCCCATGCACCCCCTAACAAATCCATCCTTCCCATATATGTATTTATGCTATACCTAGGGAGGTATCTACCTACCTACCTATCTATCCTAGACGCCGACTTTCTCCCCCATTGCCAAACGTGTATATACATGGATACCTACCTAGGTAGGTAACTTAGGTAGATATTCATATCGACGTAAATAAACAAATACCTCCCTACTACGTACGCCTGTATATGCGCATCTATCCTGTGAGCAGCGTCTCCAACATCCTGCGATACCCAAATACACGCACCCATGCGTGTCGCAAACGTTACAACCGAACGTCGGTGCTCTTGCGCGGTCTAGCCCCGTAGGGAATGTCCGTTCGCGATCGCCCGAACCGGGATACAGGTCAACACACAGCTAACTACATGCGCATCTGCTCATATGTATTGTCATGCATCGTCACCTTGCTTCTTCCTCCCTCGACTACGCCGACGAGGCTGCACGAGGCTTCGAGGCGACAGACTATGCTGCATAGGAACTAGGCAGTGCTGCCAATCCGCCGTTGCTGGTATTAGGTATGTCTCGCAGGTGAGGCCGTTCGTCGATCGACGATGCCCGCTTCCCATGCCCCGACGCTTATCTCGGCGATGGAAGCTGGGGAGGCTCATACAGAGAGAGACTACGACGCAGTAGGGAGGTATGGTATGGTATGTGACCATACACAATACTACCTACCTGCCTACCCACCTACCTGCTGTCCAGTGCCCAGCAACCAGAGCGTCATGGCGTATCAGCAAGGGGGGAGCCGACCCCATGCGTAGAACGTGCTCGAGACTTGGTCTAGGATGCGAGCGTCAATTACAAGGTACCTATGGTTCTGGCCCCATGTCGATAGGTATATTAGATGGAACTTCGACTTTGGCATCCTCGTTGCGATAGTTTTTAGCGAACGCGCACGAACCCCTCTGAACCCTCACTTGCTGCCACTCTGAAGTCCTCATCCCCAGCCCGTCGGCCGCCATCAGCAATAGCGAATGCCCATAACACGCCGGCACGTACGCAACAATTTCCGTTCCTACATACCTTAGGTACCTAGGTACCCAGACCTACCCACATACGCACATACCTTACACACACATAATATATATATATGTATCTGGTCGAGGGGATCGAGATTCACGCGGTCGCTCAGGTTAGACATGCATGCGGGTGTGCTTCGTACATTCCAGATAGCGACATTATTTGCGGCAGGTAGCAGATGTGCAGGATGTCTTACAAGCCCTACATTACCACTCGCATAGGGTGATGAACGTCGACGAACAGCCGATCTCTCTCCTCAATTTCCATAAACGCCGGACGATAACCATAATCTACATACCTAGTAGTATATATCAAACCCGGGTTATAAAATCGCACCTCTCCCCTGTTTTCTCTTTGGCCTTGTTGACTTGGCTGCCTACGAGGACAAGCAAATTTTTTATTCACCTCCTGGGCATATGTATGTAAGCGTGCCTCTCTCTCTCTCCTTCTCCAACCAACGACGCACTTTGGCGCCGTAAATAGGGCAATGCATTGCATTTTGCCACTATATGGATGCGCCTAATATACCAGCCAAAGCCATTTGCAGCTGAAAAGGGAAAGAAAAAAAAGGAAAAAAAAAACACAGACCAACATATAATAGTATCTACTCATACTGCTACTGCGGTGAGGTCATTTCCATGGCAGCGCCCAGCTTTCTCCCTGGCAATCTTAGGTAATAACGTCCGAGTGAGGGGGCCAGTTTTGCCCAATTCGAGGTATATCAGGGTCCAATTCATGGGTCCCCCCCGGTCGGAGCCTTCTTTCATCTCGCATCCTCCCTACTGATCGGTCCTAAACTAGCCAACCCAAGCGGACAACCCGTTTACACCCGCGCCTCTATGGATACACCTAGTTATATATCATCACATACATTATCTACAAACCTGCTATAGCTAGATAACCTAGATACGTCTCCCCCCGTCTGTGCGCTGCCTCCAACCAAAGTTACCTAACCTACTCTCCTCTCGGTGCCGGCGCACTTGTTTATCGCCCGCATCCCACTTCGGGATACCGTCCTGATAACTTCTCTATACCTACCCCTTAAAAGGCAACCACCCAGTTCGCTTGTTCTGCTAAACACAAATACCAGTCGTCTTCCCGTATATATACCCTCATACCTTAGTATCGTCATTTAATAAACAGCCTAGCGAGCAGTTATCCGAGGGTTCCAAGGTGAGGCTTGCTAGCGCTCCGGCCGTCACCCGTCGATCGTGACCACTTGCCAGTCTCTGCTTTTATCCCCCTCACTAAGATCGTCGTCGATTCTAGTTTCCACGTCGATTCTTGGACTCCGAACTGTTGGTCAACTAGACTGCGTTCGTCCACACGCATCCATGTGTTTCTATCACAGCACTTCCCCTCGGTGATTGGCCGCTGCCCGAGCCTTATACTGTCGAACCGCTTAGCACGGGCAACGCCATCCCTAGATCTACGTCAAGGCTAAATATCCGGATCCCGAAACCCCCCTCCCCACTCCCCCTTTTTCCATCCACGGATTTCTCGCCAACCCGGCATCCCGAAATCGAGCCAGCAATTATGTCATTGACCCCACTTAAGCATGGCTATAGGTTAGTAAGGGAGGGTATATAGCAAATCTCCTCGCAAATCTCTCACAGGCGGCCGTGAACGTGAACAGTGGAAATCATGTGATGCTGCTTCGAAACTACCCCACCGCCTCCCTCCCTCTCTCTCTCTACTCCACAAACCTAATCCAGACTTTGGACATGATCATCGTGACTACGCCATCGCTGCTTTGCGTGTGTTTCAAAAGAGGTACATGACGGCAACAATCCCTGGGCGGCGTGCTGCTGCCGACCGCGCATGATTGGTCGAAAGCGTCGACATAGAGAGCCTAGAGAACGTCGACGGAGGGGTAAAATTGGCGCCGAGACTCAATCCCCCAACATGCGGTGGCTACTCGGACACGCAACGGCGACGATGCTCTCACGATGCCCACTTGCACGCTATTCCCATGAGGCGATGATGCAACAGCGGGAATTTTAAGCATGCGCGGCCGGCAATGATCGCGCCATCGTGATGCTCCGTCGTTGGCAGCGTCACATGAGCCGACCAGGTCCCGATGGGTCGAGCCTGACACCACAGGAACAGAACTACCAGATCTTCTTTGCAGCGATCCGGTGTGATGTGCATTTTATGCCTACCTTGAGACCGCACCGAACCCTGAAAGTGTATCGCTGAGTACCATAGTCCCGGCGCCCTGCAAAAGGATGTCATCCTTGAAAGGAGGGGGGGGGGGGGGGGGGAATCGAACGTATCGCTGATCAAGTTCGGTCGGTCGGAATATGAAAGCGTCGCGAATCGTTGTAACCAGAATAGCCCGGCAGTCACACCGCTTCGCAATAGGCCCGTCTACATCTCATCTGAATAGGCTGCAATCTTTATCTAAAAACATCACACCGCTTCGCATCGCGATATCGCTGCGACACCTCCCGCTTCGAGATAAATGCTACTGCTCCCCCATCCTAAACCTACTTGCCAGTCATGCATATGCGTCATCTGAGATGCGCATGCCCGTGCGTGAGTGCGCGCGCGCGCCCACACACACCACACACGTGGAGGAGGGGCTCTCCGATATAGATAGGCGACTTTGCCCGCGCTTCCCAGGTTGTCAGATCCCGATAAACTCTCTTCTCATCACGAGAACCCGTCAGTCTTAGCTCCCTTAGATTGCCTTAGCTTGGCAGGACTAGGGCGAGACGGAGAAAGCCAAGTCCCAGCCTTTGATCTCAGCAGATGTCATTGACAGAATGTTGGAGGTGAGGAAGACGGAGGAAAGAAGCGGTAATGCAAAAAAAAAAAAAACACCAAACCGAGAGAGAGAGAGAGAGAGAGAGGCAGAGAGCGAGATGGAGAGGAAGGATGAGAGAAAGTGTGTCTCAGAAGGCGGTGGAGAATGCAACCACCCTCTTTCCGCCTATCACAGGAAGGGATAGCGACGAATATACCCTCCCCCCCAAGTCTCGTTTAGGAGGCTTGGCCGGGGGTTCTCGGCATCAAGAGAGATGGCGTCGGCCAAGACGCTGGGCGATATGTAAATAGACGCCCTCCGCCCACTAGCCAGCCTCTCCCCAATGCCGAAGCACCCAATATGGTAACACGCCCAAGACGACTGGCCTCCTGATTCGACGTCGCTGCCGTGCTACCGTACTGGTACACGACTGCATCTGCAGGTCGCAGGGAGAACTCGTACCCTCCACACTTCCGCTGCCTGCCCAGGCGAGTCGGCGGAGGAGAAGGATGACTACCGTCCCGTCGTGGCTGCGTCGAAAAGGGAGGAGAGGAGGAGGGGGAGGGGGATCGGCGCTGTCCAGGAGACTCGCGGTGTCATCTCACCGGCGCTTTATTACTACGCCGGGCCACCTCGCGGCGGAGAGGGTCTGATTGGCGAAGGGTGACACCCGGTACACAACATTGTTGCCCCTACGTTGACGGCTGAATCGTCGAGCGGGGGGGGAGGGGCGATATAGGACGGGACAGGACGGGACAGGACGGCTTCGGCAGCCAGCCGCAGTTATAAGGCTACTATCGCATGGATGTTGGGATGATTCGGGCGGTGGATATTTTTTTTTTCCCTGAGCAACCCGTCGAGAGAGAGAGACCGGGCTGGCTGAGATGCTATGAGTAAGCCTCCGCCACACGCAGGCAGGTTATCTCGCCCGCTGCGCGCTTCTCCCGGAATCTGCACCGCATCCTATAGGGGCTGCCTGTCGGTACCGCGCTGGGGGGACTGCCTATAGATACGGCGCTAGGGGCTGCCTATAGGTGTCGACCTCCGGCCCGTAATAGTGCACCCGCCAGCAAGTTTCGAGGTACCCAGGGTACATAGGTACCTGGGTATGCAGCACAACGGGGGCTTGTTCCTCTTATCTGTGGCCCGTGTACGGCGCCATCTGCGGCTGCTGCCATCCAGTACGCGCGCGCACGGACCACACCCAGAGAGATCCCCATCCTCGCTCGATCTGCATGTTTACGTAGTTGCGCCACACTAGCCCCGAACGGCTCTCGCCGCACGAAAATAGAAGGGCAAAGGCGCCGGCGGCCCAGGTACCCCAGGTACCTGTCCACCTGTGCTGATACGCGACGGTACCGCGAACATGTACCTGTTCGGCGACGGCCTCGAGGAGCCAGCGCGGAAGTACAGGCTGCGAAGAAATCCCTGAGAGGCATCTCAAAAGACCCCTCCACCCCCTCACCCTCCTCGCTCCCTCGCGCCCATCCGCATCCTCAACTCCCTCCCTCCCCCCACCACCTACGGTCGTGAGGTTAGGTCAACTGACCAGTCAAATGGCACTACAATCAGTTCACCTACACCCACTTCCTCGCCTTTCTGCCTCTTCTGCGCATCTGCTGCCGTTCTTCTTCGTTGCCTTCTCTGCCCTTCGTGGGCCTTCTTCTGCCTCCGACCCCGTACATGGGCTATACACCACCCGCCAACGCGCGGATTGAACCCCCACACGTATCCACCCGATGCTATATCGGAACTCTTGACGGCCAAACGGATGGCCTGCCTCGAGCCTACCTCGCAGGCTGGGCGCTCCGGCCTGTCCCAAGAACGGTTGTCGAATGGAGATCAGACCGACGTCGAATCGACGTCGCATCACGTCTACGCCCACTGCCATACGCCAATTCCACACCTCTCACCGCCTCGTCCCCACGCCTTCGTCGAGCTCGAAGAAAATTCTCTTGCAGCCTGCAGTTCTACCACACCCCGCTCGCCCTCCCTTCCCTTCCCTTCCCTTGCCATACTTGTCTAGTCACTTTGTCTCTACCTACCCTGTGCGGCGAGAAAGGCGGAGGGATTGTGGTGCCGCTGCCCCGCGCTCCTTTCGACAAACCGCTGTTGGGACCTTCGCAAAGCGGGTTTCCTTCCCTCCTCACCCCCGCCCCCCCTCTCGTCAGCCTCTACTGCGTACACCTATGTGATATGTATACATATACCTAGGTATGTATCGGTATTGACATAGGTAGGTATATCTTTCTTGCGGTGAAGGCGTCGATACCTGCTCTGGCTCCCAGTTCATTGGCTCTAGCGACTATTTCCGCTGTCGTGCTGCAGATCTGTGAGGGGGTGTCACTTCAGAGAAGCACATACCTATATACGGACGTACATATAGGTACATCACCCATCCATCCCTGTCAGGTGGTCGGGCCAATCCCTTCGTACATGTCGGCTAATGGGCTAATGAGGCAAAGCCGTGAAGGTTGGGGGGGGGGGGGGGAGGGTGACAAGGGTGCCGACTGAACCCAGCTTCGATCCCGTGGGGAATCAGTTGACCACTCATCGACGAGCACCACATGCACGGCTGACCTCGGTCACGGGGGGGAACTACCAGCCTCGACGAGGCTCCGTCTCTCATTGGCCGGCCACGTCGACTTCGTGTAGTGGCACGGAAACACGGTCGAAAGTTACGAAAGATTCAGCTGTCAAACAGCATGAGAACACGCCCGTATCTATATCTGCCGGGCTCGATAAAAGGGCGCCGGGCTAGCTTTTTCCCCTCCGTACCACCTCGTCCGACCCAGTCTGACGACTCGGCTCTAGCTCCACTGTGATCCTGAGTCAACCGAGGTGGCACCGCCAAATTGTGCAAAACATACATTGCCGGGTCTCGCGTGTCGTCCTCGGAGAGTTGTCATGACTGATTGGTCTCTCCGCCGTCCCATGTTTCGGAGACACTTTGCCAAGCTGTCCTGGGGATCCGTCCCAGCTAGATCGTGGTCGTCGGGGTGCCGAGACCGCAACGACGACTTCTTGCTGGCCCGTCAGGGGCGATCCACAACAGGCCGCCCCGCCTAGTAGCCGGAGCCGAGATTTCGCCCGACAAGTCCGTAAAGCTCCTAATAACCACCTATCAACTTTCAGCAGGTTACCGTCCCACGAAAGCCAAGACTCGGCGGGTCTTGGGTTCGTACCCCGCCCCTTAATTTAATAATCACCGAGGCGATCGTGTCGACTTCTCGGCGTGTTGCGGTGGGCATTCGATCACACGATGGTGATGCCGCTCTGGGGGAATTTGAACACGTATGATATGAACAAGTCATTGGAAATCGTCTCGTATGTATAAGGCTCAGTTGGGCGAGAAGGGGGGTTCAATAGAACGTGGGCCAGAGGCGGGGGCGATGTCGCATTCGGTTTGGTCGAAACCGCCCGCGTTAAGCACGTTCGTGCTTGGCACCGTATCTGGGGTCGACGTCGCAATCTCCTGGCCCAAGCCGAGTACCCAATAGAAAGATAACCAGATGGGAACAAGTCTAGCAGACGCTTTCTCCACGTTCGGATCCGCAAACACGCTCTTCTCGAAGCTCCTTTCCACCTCGCGCCGTCTTCGTCCTCATCTCGTCTGCCAAGGCCAATCACCGACGCTCCAGTCCAAGTGCCCATCTGGTGGACCTCCCCCATCGAAGCTGGCTTACTCCACCCGCTCCTCGCATACGTTGGCAATACATGTGTGTATTGCAGCAGAGCAGAAAGCCACTACACACGTACTGCCAGCTGGCCGGCCCCGGAATTGGACGATGCGAAGCGATAGCTGCTAGGTTGGCCTTACCACACGATGCCGATAGCAGCCTGATTCAGAGCTAGTGATTTGTTCAATCGGGAGCGTTTTCTCGTACATACCTACGGATCGTTTTTATCCAATCTATGCCTCCATATACCTAAAAGTACTATACGAGCCTAATTGCCAACTTATCTACACCTAGAGGCTGTATTATACTAGAACCTACAGCGAGGAGAACGCCAGGTAGGCATAGGTACTTAACCAGCCGCGATAGTTCCGCCTTGACTCGGTTGCCCCTTGCCAGCCGCTTAGTTACCTTAGCTAGCTGACAGCTTTGGAGAGGTGAATAGGCAATTAAGCTGTGTTGAAGCGCAAGAGCTTCCCCTTATCACCCTACCTAACCTACTTACCGTAGTCACCGTTGCCAGCCCGAGTCTAGTAGGTCACGGTGCCATGGGGCTTCCGCACTACTCTGGTAGCTCCCGATCGAGAAGCTCTGATGCTCGTTCGTCCCAGATGCGACAACAACTACCCGAATCCTTTCCGTTAGAGCTGTATGAATGCTGCGCAGCGCAGAACCACGCGAGCTCGTAACAGCTATCGTATACGAAAGGTTAAGTACGACAATGCCGATCCTTGCTCTCAATGTGTTCACCTCAGTCTTCCCTGCGTCGTCCCGCCGGCATCGAGCGAGCGGAACCATCCCATCCGTGGTAGGCTGGTGGCCCGGACTCGCGGGGACGACGAATAGCTCTGGAATCCGGCCGGGAAACCCGGCGTCGACCCGCCGGCAGACTCGCCAGGCAGTCTTCTCGTCTCTAGCCCCGAGTCTCTGGAACAGCCATTTCCGGCCTCCTCGCCTTGTCCTAGAGAGTCCTTCGCCCGCCTCCTCCCTCGACACCAGCAGGTTGTCTGCCCTATCAACCTCGTGCTTACATCCTTGCGGCTATCGATGGCATGAATCGTAGCTTAGAAGATGAAGCTTCCGTCTATACCTTTGCCTCGGTGACTACATTTCTGTTCTAGCGGTTTGATACTATGCCTGGGATGGATACGGCCCAGGTGGACGGTTTGGTGCAGCGTAGCCTCGAGACTTACAAGCGGACAAGTCTCCACAGCCTGGCCCCAACGGCCACATGATCGAGGAGCCGGTGGTAAGCGTACCCCAGATCATGTCTTCCTCGAGATCTCGATGATAGCATTTGTGTGGTTTAGTCGTAGCTTCGGGATGCCCTAGCGTGGTCGGCCCTCTCCAGTCGGGCATCCCAACGCCGGATCCCACCGTCCCCCGGTACGCCGAGCTTGGCTTTAACCAGTTTACATCCCTGTTCCTCATCATGGACGATACCTTTCTGGCCCACTGGCAGGAGCATCGGGAGCATCGGGGGGACGTCACGGCCGAGTGAATGGCGAGTGAGCCAAAGGACATCACGAGTACTATCGCAGATGTGGTGGCGTTGCCGCTAAGATGCGATCAAGATGGGGATGACGCGAGCGCCCATGTCGAAGATTTCATCATTCCTGTCGAATTCCTCTTCCGGTTTAAACGGATCCGAGAGCGACAAGAAGCATTTTCGCGGGAAAGGATTGGCGCCCTGGGCCAGCTTTATCCTTCGGTGAATAGTACCGATCTATCATGAACGCTATGGTCCAATTGGTCTATATCTTGTCTCTCGTCCTAGGCCCATCCCCCCCGGTGCTCCCCAGCCCTTCCCACAAACGGGTCGACTCAAACCCGCCTATGTCGAGACCTTTGCCTTGCACGAAGCAGCTGATGCCTAAGCAGCTCAGAGCATCTGCATAGACGGTAGTGGAAAGGGCGAAGCGATCATTGGCAAACACTTCGAGGACATCCCCGTCGCTGAATATACGCAGGCGGAGATCTTCTACGACCTGGGACCCGTCGTTGCCGAAAACAAACAGGGTAAACGGACCTGCCAGTGCCTCCTTTTTGATATCTGCCTCGCTATTCGACAGGGTCTCGTCGACGACAATCTGCTCCTCTCCGGCGGAGAAATATACTTTCGTCGAGTTGGCCGAATTTCGGTCGTGCCGTACGTGGAAGCCGATCTGTTCGAGGCCTGGGCGCACTTTGATGGTGGCTTCGAGCTCCCAGTTCGTCGACTTGGTCACCGCGAGCAGACGAGGCCTGCTCCTATCCGTCGCGATCGACGGCCGGCTCATAGACGCCTCCGGCCTCAACGATCCAAGCGCCGGCCACGGCCGCACGCCAAGAGTGCGCACGGTCTTTGCCCTCCCGCCGCCTGCAGATCCGCGGTCCAGGACTTTTACGGCGGAGATATCGTCGAGGGGCGTCTTCAGCGCGCGGATGACGTTCGGCAGCCGCAGAAAGAATAACTCGCGGGGCAAAGACAGGTAGCCCGTCCAGCCCTTCGGCTCGCGTCGCGCCAGCGTTAATTCTTCCTCTCTTATCCATCCCCACACGATCCTCTCCCCGGTTTCGGGGTGTTTATACGAGTTGGGCGCGTAGAAGGTCCCGTGGTCCAAGACGCCACCGAAATCGTAGGCTAAGACGGACCGGCCGTCTGAATCTTTCTTCAGAATTCCGCCCATCCAGAGCGCCCAGAGGCCATGCGGATCTTCTTCCCCCGGGGTTTTCTGTGTTTTCTGGTGTCCTCGTTTTACTCCGCCTTCCGTCCCCATCGTCAAACACTCGAATCTGTCCGTCCCGTCCCCGAGTCATGAAATTCACACACTCCCAGTTCACGCCGAAATCGCCGCCCCAGCGGCCCGGGCGGCGAAGCCGGGCCGGGATATCGACCAGCGGCCCCAGGTACGTCCACGTCGCCAAGTCGTCCGGCGCGACGGCATACAGAAACGCGTTCGGCCCCTCGCCGACCACTCCTCCGGAGAGAACACCATAGAGCTGCTTCTCCTCCTCCTCCTCGCCCAGCGCAATTCCGCGTGTGCGGGAGCGTCCAGTAGATGGGGAGGTGGCGGACGGAGGAGTAGAAGACGGTGAGCTGGCGCTTCTCGCCCCGCGGGCAGGCCGCGCGCATGCAGCCCGTGAAGATGCCCTTGTCCTCGTGGGAGAGGGCGGGCGCTAGGACCGGATCGGCGCCGTTGTGCTGCCAGCGTACACCGTCCGGGCTGGCGAAGTGGCCCCAGCAGATGTCGCCCCAGTCGCAGGACTTGGGGTTCCCTAGTTCCGTGGGTTAGGACCGTCTGCCGATGGCGCGGTGTATAGATGGCGAGCGAGGAAGACGGAAGACACCTACATTGATAGAACAAGTGATATTCACCAGTGCTGGGATCGAAGCCGGGGGCGCAAGGATCGTTCATCCACCCCCGGAGCGCCTTGAGATGATACGAGGGTGTAGGGTGCCATCGCGACTTGGACTCGAGCAGATTTGAAGTTGTCATGGTCCAGTTGTTGACGAGATCTGTGTCCCGTCTGGTTCAAGACGGGGATTTTAGGCTTTATAGCCACCCGGCCCCGATGGGATGTACCTAGGTACGTTCAAAGTGCGATAATCCCTTTCTGATCCCTCGGCTACGGGGACTACGGTAGGAATGCGTCGGTGGATGATACCACGCGCAGCCCTCGATATACATAGCTATGCAGATATCCGCCCATACTACGCCCGCCGGGTTCTCGATGTACCGGTACTTCGCTAACAACGGACCTGGGGGGCGAACAGGCGTCTTGGAGCGGAGCGCGTGGGGAGGCTGACCCTCACTTCTTGCGCAGGCCCAGGGCCCATCGGCATAGAGACAAGAGTTCCGAGGCTCCTGCTAGCATCTCCCACCCGTCTAGAGCCTAGGCGCTGACTAGTAGGGATAGCAACATACCTACCTACACATGTAGCGAAGTGCTGCGTGAGACAGGCGACGGTGGGTTCAACATGTACCTACTTGCGATTAGCATAGGGCAGGGGGGATAAAAAACGAAGGCACACGACGTTTGGAACGAATGGGGCATTTACTTTTGATTCATCTCTCCCTCCTGTAGCTCTCTTCCACACAGCTAGAACACAAAGTATAGGTAGATAATGAGCTAACTTCAGCGCTCGTTGGGGCTGGGCTGGTCGCCGAACCTGTCTTGGAACCTGCGCGTCGTCCTGTTATCGGCGTCTCACCCTTTCTTCCAGCCCTCGGCAAGGTCACTAGGGGGAAAGGGGGGCGGGGGATGGGGGGGGGCTGTAGGACTTGTGCGGGGTAACCGTAGAATCCACCGATTAGAGCGAGATCGTAGCCTTCCATGATGATGGCTGTCGAGAGAATTAGCGAGGAGGCGATGCCCCAAGTTGGGGTTTAGCCGGATGGACTCTCTCCAGCTGAGCTGGTGCTCCTGGTCGAGGGCCATCTTCGCCTTCAGCGTCTAGTTGCCCTTGACGTGTTCAAAGTGGTCGGCGCTCATCTTCCTCGCGGCCTCCTCGTCGTAGTCGTGAGGCTAAGTAGCGTCCTCAGCAGCCCGTGGGGAAGGTTTCTCGTGTGTGCGGCAGGTACCTAGTCGAGGAGGCTCTTTTCGACCAGCACTACGAGAACAGCCGCGCTCTGAGGCCAGGCCACGAGGTTGCGGGTGGCCATTCCGGCTACAAGGGCCTGTGTCCCGGAGGCTACCCGTCTTTAGGTGTCCTTCGGTGAGGAACTTGTCGCCGTCGGTGGCGGAGATCCCCGGCCGCGAATCGACGTGGATGTTCGACTGCCTCCGCGGGCTCCTCCTCCTCTCCTGGGCCAAAGGCAGTGGCCCTACGAAGGCGGACGTCATCGTGGCTCCTTCGACCCTAGGGTTCTACCGCCCCATAACCGACTACGACGCCCTCGGCGACAGCCTGTAATGGGCCTCTAAGCTCCTGAAGCACGTCAAGTCCTTCACCAAGTCTGTCACCGCCAGGCCAGGCGTACCGAGATTGCAAGCGGTTGCAGCGCGTGGGCAACTGGGGGCACGGCTGGACGAGCCGTTTGTGTACCGGGTAGTTCTGGAGTGATGATGGCAAACCGAAGGAGGAAGAGGAGCAGAGATGCTGGTAGAGAGAGTAATAACGCCAATTCTGTTACCTGTTTCGGAACATGTGTACCGCCGTAGATAACACGGCCAAGAGATTAAAGCTTTGGCTTCGCGGCACGAGGTTACAGGCTTACGGGCAGATCTGATCTTCGTATAGATAGCTTGAATAGCTATCAGTATCGATGTTAGACGAGAACGCTCGGGGAGTCATCCTAGAGTAGTAGGAAGAGATAGGTGAGCGTTCTGTCCCCAGGCTGTCCCTATGCGTATAAAAGAAGGGAGAGAGCCTTCGTAAGCGCCACGTCTCTTCGTGGTTAAGAGATTGATTATAGCTGCTGCCGGTTTTGAGAAGGATCGTCAACACCCTGGTACTCTGATCTTCGGTGGCAACGGCAGACGCTCTTCATCCGGCATGCGGGACTTTAAGCTTCGCGCCTAATCTGGAGCTGATGCTATCCTAAACGAGGGCAGCTTCCGGGACGGCCGTAGGGAATTATAATACCTAGATTTGGCTATTATCTTGAAGAGCACAGGTTGGTCGGCCGCATCGTTCTGTCGCCACATCCAAGTGGAGAACTTCTGTGGAAGTATATACTGATATACTATGTGTTAGAGCCTCCATTATTTCAGGGCCTGGATTCCATCTTCATAGTGCTAGATTATCCATGTAATAGCGGACAGAATCCGTCGCCCGTATGTGAGCTTGGTGCGCTTGCTTTTGTCTTTGCTGCTTAGGGCGGGCGAGTAGATCAGTACGGCCTCCCCGATACGGGGCGTCCTTCATTCTTCATAAGTACATGGGGCGTCATCTCGAAACAGAAATCACCAATTTGTACTCAGGGGTTAGAAGGAGAGGGAATAAGATGAATAACGTTATATTCACGTAGTTCAACCACGGCACCAAAGCTGCGCGCGTGGCGTCCGCCGACGTATTTTTCTCTTTAACATGTCCATGCCACGATGTTCCCGTGTCGCGGAATAACGCGGCATGCTCATCTCCTGCCTCGCCCCGGCTCGATCAGTTAGGCAACGGGGCGTAGGTACAACGGGCCCCTATTTGGCTGTCGATCGGATATTGTGTGGTATATGGACACAATGTCATCAATTGGCGTATTTTTTCGATCAAACTAGGCTGAGTCTATCGGTCGTCTCAACGGCTGTGGCTCGGAAGAGAATAGATAACAAGTTTCGGGATCCACGGCAAGGTGCTCTGGGCCGAGAAGATCGAATCGGTTCGGAACATACCGCACAGACATGGGTAAGTCATTTGAAATCACTGCCCCAAGGCCCGGTGGAGGTTGGGGTCCTTTTCGACCCTCACGATCCGATCTAAGGCGCGTCCGTCTTCCAGTGCATAGGCCGACGTGATGTCTAACTTATAGTGGACCCCGTTGATTATGATGGGCGCAAACCCTTCCCCAGTCAACCCGCGGCGCAATTTCGAGAAAGCAAGAGAGATAGCCTTCCCCCCGTGCCTGAACGGGGCCGTCATCAGATGGTTCATCTCGTATTCGCGGTCCCTTTTCCTCTGAGCCTCCTCCTCCCGCTTCGCGAGCATCTTGGCATACTCGGATGGTGCCGGCTTGGGATTGTACAGGTTCGCCTTCATGACGACGTTGTTCGGGTCGACCTCGAAGCGCCGCAGCGGCAGAAACGGGAACGGCATGCTGCGCCGTGTTACAATCTCGAGTCGGACCGGCTGGGCACTCGTCGCCACCGCGCCCGGGCCCGCCTTGACCGACTTATTGGGTAGAACGTTGATAGCACGTATCATCGATGAGGGCGTCATGGCGAACCTAGTACCGAAGGCAGCCAAAAATATCCCCACCGCGCCGAAGGCGACCGGGACCACCGTCGGTATTCCCTCTGGGACGTTGTACACGTTTATCCAGACATTGGCGGCGGCGGCCGACATGCAGAAGAAGCCGGCGGCGTAACTTGAGAACAAGAACGCCCGCTGCGGACCTACTTCGTAGAGAGTGGTCGGCGAGGTCTTGTCCGCGAGTTGCTGAGCGTAACTCAAGAAGGGCCCTGGTGCTGTTCTCGCCGTAGGCGCGACGGCTGGCCTGGAGGGTTGCGGAGTAGCCTGGGCGCCGGCTCTGGGTCCGGCCGTCGCAAACAGCCGTCGGTCTGTCCTAACAAGAGCTGGCCGCCGCCGCGGGACCCCGTCAGCTCGGTAGGATGCTCTAAAGGCCTGGAGGGCGTCGCGCCCGAGTTCGCGATGGGCACATCTCCGGCATAATAGGATAGGAGTGGCCATTGCGTATCTAACATGGGCAGCCAGTGAGGAAATACCAGATATTCCGGACAGTGGGGCAATCAAGCGGCCATTCCAGTATCTTGCAAGTCTTGGAAACAGGTAGAGAGGAAGGGGAAAAAAGGTTCTAGGGGCATGATACAATCCGGAGCTGGCCCATCTTCATGGTAGGTAGGGCAAAAAGTTGGACTGTGGGACCTCCAGAGCTAGAGTCCTTCAGTAAGGCAGATAAATACCCGGGTACCTGTTGTTATCGATATCTACCAAGGTAATTTATTTGGATTTCCTAACATGGCTAATTATGTAAACTGATAGGTACCTATCACTGGCGGAAAGTTCCCAGCCAGATGCCCTAATGCTGATGTACTCCCCAGCTGTTAACCTTAGATAAAGGTACCCAGGTAGGCACATACAAGTGCTAAGGTACCTCTCTACCCTCTATATTTGTCTATATCTGTGCTACAGGTACCTACCTTGACCCAAGCACATGCCCTACCAATTCCCTTTATCGATTAACACCGTAGTACCTAATAACAGTCGTCAGTTGAGGCCGGACAATCCCCAACATGCTCAACCCGCAGCATCTGCTCGTAAGCTCCGAATCGCTCCTCGCAGGAGGGAAGGGAGAGAAAACAAAGGGAATAAAATAAAATAAAAACAGGAAGGGAGTCAAGAAAACCCTGCATTGGGCTCCTCCTTTCTCCTCAACAAGCCTGCTATGGCGTCTTTTGCGACCGTGGCTCGCCTGTCTGCGAGGCTTGCGAGTCGACGGGCCGCCCAGGATGCCATCACTCGAGGTATTTTTTTCCTCTCCGTCCGACGTCGGGCTCACCACCGAGCGCGCCCTGGAGCGATATCGCGAGTGCGCAGCACCCAGCTAACCAGCCCGCAAGGGCGCGCAGGCTTCCGCACGTCGGCGGCGGCGGCGGCGGCGCAGAACTTCACTATGCCGGCCCTGTCGCCCACCATGACCGAGGGCAACATCGCGAGCTGGAAGCTCCGCGAGGGCGACGCCTACTCCGCCGGCGACGTCCTGCTCGAGATCGAGACCGACAAGGCCACCATGGACGTCGAGGCGCAGGACGACGGCGTCCTCGTCAAGATCGTCCGCGGCGACGGCGCCAAGAACGTCCAGGTCGGCACGCGCATCGGCGTCGTCGCCGACCCTGGCGACGACCTCGCCCAGCTCGAGCTGCCCCCCGACGAGGCGCCCGTGCGGAAGGAGGCCCAGAAGGAGGAGCAACCGCCGCCGCCTCCGCCGCCGCCGCAGGAGTCCCGCGAAGCCGCGCCCGCGGGGACGTCTGCCGAGCCTAAGAAGGCCGCGGGGAAGCCGCCGCCGCAGAAATACCCCCTCTACCCGTCGGTCGCGCACCTGATCAAGGAGCGCGGGCTGGACGCGTCGGTCGTGGGCGAGATCGTCGCGACGGGCCCGAGCGGGCGGCTGCTGAAGGGCGACGTGCTGGCGTACCTCGGCAGCGTGCCGCGCGCGCGGCCGGGCGAGATCCGGGCCCGGTTTGAGCACAACGCGCACCTCGACCTGTCCAACATCAAGATCGCGGCGCGCAAGGCCGCGCCGGCGCCGAAGCGGGCCGCCCCGCCGCAGAAGGCCGCCCCGCCCGTCCCCGACGACGTCCTCGTCTCGCTGCCCGTCTCCCTCGGCGCCGCCGCCCGGGTCCAGCGCGGCATCGCCGACACCTTCGCCGCGCCGGTGCCGCTGTCGGCGCTCGTCGCGAGGGCCGCCGACGCCGCCGCCGCCCGCGGCGACCTGCCCCCGCCCGCCGGCCGCCAGCCCACCGCCGACGAGCTCTTCGACCAGGTCCTCGGCCTCGCGCCGCCGAAGCGCCAGACCAAGCGCGCCCCGTACCTCCCACAGGTCTCGGCCCTCCCCCCGCCCGCGTCCCCCGCCGCCCGCCTGCCTGATATCGATATCATCGACTTCCTCGCCGGCCGGATTCCGAAGCCGTCGCCGCGACCGACCACGCGGCCTCCCCCACCCGGGCCGGAGTCCGAGGCGCGAGTGCTCACGCTTACCGTGCCGAGGGCCGAGGAGCGCCGCGCCAGGGTGTTCCTCGAGAGGGTCAAGACAGCGCTCGAAGACGAGCCCGGAAAACTGTTCTTCTGAGAGAGGCGTAGAGAGGGTGGTAAGGAAAGGGGGGTGCCAGGGGAGTGGGTGTGCAGCGAAAGGGGAAAGAAGCGGAGGCTTGGCATTGGAGAGAGGATAGAGCAGCCTTGTATTCATAGATCCTATAATGATGCTGGGACGGGGACGACTCCTACGATAGATTATACACAGGTCCCTACCGAGCAAACGACGGCGTTATTGTACCTACGGTTCCACTTTCCGGCACAGTGCGGTAGGGAACAAGGGGCGGGGGAGAAGGAAAAACCCAAGCCCCAATTCCTCCTCCTCCACGAGGTAAAGATACTGCGCAGCTAGTAAGGCTTCTCCCGATATAACCCGCGATTTTTCACCCTCGAACTATGACCGTCTTCGGACTGCCGCCGCGCCGCTTTTTGAGTCTCTAGCGGAGAGGGTCAGGGTAGGGTAGAGTCCGTCCGGTGTGGCCGTCTGCCCCTAGAAGTCGAGGGGGGAGATGGTTCTGCTGAGCCTACGACGATCCCCGGGCGGACAGTGTCAGATGGGAACGGGGAACCCAGCCCCTCTCTTTCGCTCCCGGGAGGTAAACGTGGCGGCCCGCGTGCGCGTGTCCGCCGAACTTGGCTACCTACGAGGTACCTACCTCTCCTTAAGCCTCCTTGGCTTTCCTCCTCTTCGATGTGTCGGTGTGCATCTGCGTAGATGCAGCATCAGCCCTCGGCCGCGGAAGGAGCAGGAGAGACGGCGCCGTCGAGGGACGTCTCAACGCGTACGCGAGGTCACTTGGCAAGCTACCAGGGCTTGAGGTTCGCCCAATCTGCCTGTACGAGGCTAGCAGGGACGCGTGATTCATGCGTCTTTGATTTCCTATGGGGTAGGAGGGGAAGAGTTTGACGGTACAGGTAAATATCCTGGAGATTTAAGAGAGGGGAGGGAGAACTTAGGACTCCTCAGCGTATCCTATGGGAATAGTAACAATCCTATAAAACAGGGTGGCGATGTTCAACCTTACACAAATAGCCTCACCGCCGATCCCCACGTATAACCACCAAAACTACAAGCGACACCCAAGGGGTTTTAATTATCGCCTACTCTGTCCCCCGGCAGTATGTATCACCTTACATCCAGACAATCCCAATTATATACCGAAAATGTCTCGAAGTAGACCTGTGTTAATCATCGCAAGCGAAATCCTTTTTTTTCTTTGGCGATCGGGTAACCACTAAATACCCGATTCACATTCGCCGGCTACTAGCATATTAACTCCGTGTCCAGCGTCTAAATGAGACGAGTACTATCGACATACGTGGACGCCCCCCGGAACCCCAAGTCTGCCCGCCCTCTATTAAAGAGCCAAGGCAATAATAGACACCATGGTGACCCAGAAAGAAATGGCGCCGACGCCCCCTATTTGTTCGAGCGCCCTGGAGGCGCCACCCTGCATGAGAACTGCGGTTCCCGTCGTCGTCGTCTCGTCGATACTACAAACGTTGTGGCATGCCTCCTCGGCTCTCTTCTCCTTAGAGTATAAGGATGCAGTGTTGACGCCCGAACCACTCTCTTCCCTCTTCCTCTGCGCTGCTGAGGTGCTCCTATTGTAGACGAGCTCGATCCACTGAATCTGGAGGTATGCTTCTGACCCTACGCTCATGTTGCCGGTCCAGGATCCGCCACTACGGAGAGAGTTAGCGAGCACGCACCTCCGGAGAGCACCAGCAGCATCTAAGTTGCTGCCAAGAATCCGACACCACTAAGCTCCTTTTTTAAAAAGGAAGGGAAAAAAAAAACCTACTTTGACCACGCATTGAAGATGAGCATGCTTGGATCCCGAGGCACCTGAAAGGCTATGGAGGCGGTCTCCACGCCGTCGATGAACCAAGTAGTGGCTCCCGGGCCCCAGTCCATCCGGTAAGTTGCCCAGTCCGACCAGCGCTTCTGCCTCGGGATCGTCGCGTTTCGGGTCGCTTCGCTTATGTTAGGACCGTCAAGAGTGTACGAGGGCTGGTTTGTATATTGGGCGTAACCGGGCGGATCCATAGTCCGGAGCTCCAAGTCGGATTCTTGTACCGTTTCGAGTTCGGTGGCGTCGTCCCCAGTATTCCGATAAGTGAACATGGCAGTTACTGCTCCTGGTGCACCGATAGTTCTCGCATACATTCGAGCGGAAAGGTAGTGATAGTCCTCTGTAACCGACACAAATTCGGCTGACGACTGGAACTCCCTCTGGCGCGCCGTCCTCAAGGTCAAGTATGTTTTCGATTCGGCGTCGGGATCCCGGTTGTCCTGGAAATAGATGTTGTTGGGCGACTGAACCATGAGAACCGACGCGTCGCTCTCATTACTACCCAGCGATTGGGCGTTGGTCCAGCCCTGCATGGTCCAGAATTGAGTCCACTCATCAGACCGCAAGTAATCGTTGGTGGGGGGCGCGTCGCTGGTATCCGAAGAGCTATCGATGAGGGCCGGCACGTTGACGGAGGCCTCCCTGTCCCGAAAATCGAAGAACTGGTGAGTCCTGAAATAATGGCCACTGCTCCCATTTGTAAGGTAACAATCACATTGATCGCTGGTGACCTCCGGATAATCAGCCATAGAAAACCGGGCCAAGCTAGTCACGGCCGCGAGCAGCCGGACGAGCTTCGAGGAGGTCATCGAGACGTCTGCCGAACTGTGCCGAGCGCTTTACCCACAACGGATCCACCAAGCCGTTGGGAGGATGCAATCCGAAGGCCGCGCTTAGTTCGCGCCAACTTCAAGGAAGCTAGCTGGGATTCGGGAGGAAGATCGGGCTGCCAAGATCGCTGGAAGCTGGGCTGTTGTATAGCTGACAAAATAACGTCATAGGCCGGCCAGCGAACGAAAGAGGGGAGAGAGAGTGCGAAGGAGTTGTCCAGGTGAGGAGGAGGACATCCAGAACGCCGAATATTTATCAAAGATTCTAGCCCTTGGGGGAACAGAACTTGAAAGGTCGATTGAGTCAAGACACGGAGATGGGGGTCAGATTGCCAATATCTCGATAGTCCCACGCAGGGCCGAATGAGAGGTTGCAGTTAGATTTCGATGCGGAAGACGTATCCGTAGCGACGGTACATAGGACGAAATAGTGCGAGGAAGGGTTTTAGCATATCGGCGCCAGATTGGGTTAGGAAAAGCTGGTCGATGGTGTCTGTTATTAGCACGCGCTCGAAGCATCAATGTCCTCGCAACTAGGTTCCATCTAGCCTATGCATGTGTGGATAATAACCGCGGGATCCCTCCGTCGGATAAATGGGCTTGAATGCGACGCAGTGGTATTTCTTGGAGAGAGAGAGAGGGAGAGAGAACGCACGCTCGCGTGTGAGAGATAGAGAGCACTCTCCGTGGCCGCGGTCAGGCTAAGCCACCACGAACGGAACCTAATAGCGGCCACTAGTAGGTAATGGTTCTCGAGATGCTTAGATGTGAGGTTGATGATGCGGAACTGTGTTCATAATAGACGTCGAGCCGGGCCAATCCTAATCTTCGCGAGACAGAGAGGGCAATCCCTCCCAGGTAATGCTAAAAGGAGGGAGGCGGACAGCTGAGACAATAGAAAGGATGCCCGGCGACGGGTTGATAAAGGGAGATGAAGATGAGCTTAGGTGTGGACCACGTGTAGCGAGATGAGTTTACCTGGTGTATGGGCGGCCTTGCGAAGTGCCAGTAGCATTGCGGCGGCACATCGTTGTCGACATCCGTCCACCTCATCGCACCGCCTCTCTCGGAGGGAACCCTGGGTGCAGCATCTGGCCGAGTCTGAGCTGAATACGGGAGGGCAACCAGGCAACTATCTGCATTGCACCTAGGTATTATGCGCTGATGGGCTGGTCTCCCAGACAGGTTCTTTGTCACGAACCCGGTCAACGAGAGAGGGAATTACCCGGCAGCTGATACTGACGCCTTCCAAGCCACGTCTGCTAGTCCCACCTGCAATTCTCGGCCGCGTTGATCAAGCCCGTAAACGTAGGGTGAACTCGTGGAGGCGGGCAATCGGATTTCGTGCAGGCTCAGCCCGGCTGAATGGCTGCGGTAGCTCTCCATCGCCTCGGTCCGCCCAGAGTCGAGGTGAACGCCGCAGGTAGGAGGAGCTGACAGATGCTCGGGGCGCGTCTTCTTACGATGCACGCCATACTCATAGGAGCACAACACACGACGAACACCCAATGGCCATCTATCGTAGGCAAGGCAAGGCACATGTGCTGCTACGGTGCCGGTTTACCTGTGGCGCAGTAGACGAGTCTGGACTACGAATTTGTGAGTGTCAAGAGTTTGTTGGTTGGAAGCTGACATGCAGCCAGCCGGGATGAGGGCCCTACAACCCTTGCATGGATATGTTTGTTGCGTGCCGTAGGCATTGCACCGATATCGAGATCTCCGGATGCTTTGTACTCATACACAACGCAACAGATGGGGCCCAAGTAGAGGCCCTCGCCTGGCTGGCTTAAGTGACGGGCTCGTTCGCGGGCGAGAGGCACGAACCGCGAAGGTTGTTGGTCTACCTAAGATATAGCCTTGTAGGCCTCCGTCTCTCCTAACGCCCTTATAAAGAGGAACGGGTTTAGTAACATCCAGACTAGTAGAGGTACCTGGGTACCCTAACACACCATCATACAGGGCATGCAGTACGGTACAGGAATGTAGGAGTACAGGCTTAGCCTTGCCATGGATTGTGCTGGATCGGCGCTGCGAGCCACTAGAGGTACCAGGTAGACCGCTGTAAATGTATATGTAGGTACCTACCTAAGAACCTAAAGCAGGAAAAGGTAATAGGTACCTCCTTTCCAGGTACCGAACCTAAGGAGGTAGGTTACCTACCTAGGTACGTAGCGGATGTGTCGGCAATGCAGGCACATACGACTAGTGTCGTTACCACGTACCGCATACCTAGCATGTCTGATCTGCATGCCGCCAAGTCGATGTACAAGATACAATACAGCCATGTACCTACCCCGAGTCCCGGGATGCCATGGGGCCCCGAGTGTCAGGAACAGGCCTATATCGGCTTGGATCGTATGGTTCGGACGGAAATCAGGGATTATGTAACTTAAGGTCCGTGCTTGGCCCACCCTGCAGTATCTGAGGTAATCGAGTGGTCGATGATTTTCCGTGCCGATAACCGATAAAGAACCTCCATTGGGAATTTCCAGAACGTCTGTAGACGGTGCGTCAGCCGGGGAGCTTGACGATGCATTGTCAACTATCACCTTTTCATCCTTGGCCTCGTCTCAGAATCTCTTCAATTGTGGTAGCATCGTATAAACCCCGACTATCCGCGGTCCCCGAGTCAGCATGTATCCTTCCTATGATCATTCTTCGACTCCGCCGTAGGCATTTCTGAATATTTATCTCTCCCTTCCATTCCAAGAGCAAGAGGTGGTGTAGGAAAGAAAGAAAAAAAAACATGTCGCCGCAGCCTCAGCAGCCTGTGTCGTCGGAAGCGGCGGCGGATCTGCCCAAGGATCTCGACAATCCGAGGGAATCCCTGCCACCGCCGACGTCTCAGGGCGAAAATTGTGACAATCCCACCGCAGCTCCAGCTCCATCTTCATCTCGCGACTCGCACAGCCCATCACCGACATCGTCGACATCTTCGCAAGAATCTGGCGAGGCATCGCCCGAACCACCTACCGACCCTACCACCGAGACTCCGCTGAACGAACCAGCCTCCACAGCCGAAGACGACGGCTGGGACTTCCATTGGGACGCGACGAGCCAAGCATACTTCTTCCATAACAGGTTCACCAACCAGTCTACCTGGGAAAACCCCCGAGTGTCTAAGGAAGCCACCTCGGACACCGGTCCCGCCCCTGGCACCGCCGCCGACCCCCCCAAGAATGAGCGGCCGGCGGCCGGCGGCTACAACCCGGCGATCCACGGAGACTACGACCCGACGGCGTGGTACGCGCAGAACAGCGAGGAGCAGGCGGTAGAGCAGGAGCAGCAGCAGCAGGCGGCGGTGGACGCGTCGGCGGCGTACGCGGCCTTGGGGTCGTTCAACCGGTTCACGGGGCAGTGGCAGAACGGCGGGGAGCCGGGCAGCGGCAACGACGTCAACACGCCGGGGCGGCACACGGACGAGGCCAAGTCGCGGCGGCAGATGAACGCCTTCTTCGACGTCGACGCGGCCGCGAACTCGCACGACGGCCGCAGCCTCAAGGCCGAGCGCTCCGGCAAGAAGCCCACCAAGGCCGAGCTCAAGCAGTTCAAGGAGAAGCGCCGCGCGCGCAAGGAGGAGAAGCGGAGGGCCTGGCTGCGGGACTGAAGACGCCGAGGTCGGCGTCTGCGAGGCGCGAGAAGGTTGTGCCACGTGGATGGCGGGGGGGGGGGGGAAAGGGGAGATGAGCGTTAATCCAAGGTTGCCGCTGCTACTGCCGGTGCCCCCCCCCTCCCTCCGCGCGCCACTCGCCAGTCGGCGTCGGGGAGGTTGGAACTGGACCGGCTGGCGCGCGTGCTTACATCGATGCATATATAGGACCCGGCGTTTGGTTGGAACCGCGATCTGCGGCCGCGTGCCAGGCGAAAGCAGTCGGCTTCCGGGGGAGGGTGGGCGGTAGTGTCTACGTTGCATATACACACGGAACATGGGTCTGCGCTGCACAATTTCTCCCGAATAGCTTTGTTCTCTCTTTGTTTTTTCTCGTACTTGCCCCGAGTCTCGGTTGGCGCGCGGCCGCCAGGCTCGTTTGGATGGATAGTGTGGCATACTCTCTCGCTGGAAAGGGGACGATAATCATTGGAACGGAGGGGGGCAGGAGGAGAGGATACACCTCGCGCGACGCAACACGATACGCCTATCTATTTACATACCTCGCCAGCTACCTAAGAATATAGCCTGTCCTCCTACCCTCCTTGGACATTGTTCTCACCCTCCTGCCCGGTCTGTCTGTCTCTCTTTCGGGATCTTATACATAATCCACCATAATATACCCCTCCTTAGATGCAAGAATAAAGCGTCCAGTATTTGTATTCGGGGAGGCCTCCACCATTGACGTGGGGGAAATACACGTAGGTATATCGACATCACCCCGCCTCTGACCGCGGGGCCTGGGCTGGGTTCAGTCTGCGGACGACGTGCCTGTCTATCGGTGTGCTACGCAGACGGGACAACAGGTGCACTGCGGCTCGGTCTGGGTGCGGTATCCGGGCGCCGTGGGACGCGGCCCAGCGAGCCAACCAGACCGGAGGGCGGCGTCGTACCCGGCAACCCATCCCGACTGGCGACCTCACCGGCTATTGTCGCGCGCCCATATCTCCTAGGCAGTATAACCCCCAGTGGCCCTTGAGATAATTACACACACCTACACCCACACCCACACACGCAAATACATATATACCTATTTATATACGGAGGGAGAGATTGCGATGGCAGGCTTGGCGAATCCGGCCCGGTAGCAGCGACCCGGTCTGGGAAACGGCTCGCGTGAGCTCCTATCGCAAAGCACCTTTCCTCCCTCCTCCCTCCTCCCTCCCCCAACCCCACGCACGAGATCGAGGCTCGGTCGTTCATTTCGCGATTACGCGGCCTGCGTTCACGCGCTCATCGCAGCACATGTTATATTTGGATTGCTCTCATCCGGAACGGTTCCACCACCGAAAGCGAGAAACACGGAGGGAATCTGTCCTGTGACCATATGCGTGTGTGGCGTGCGTGCGTATATATACGTGTGTGGGCGGGTGTGTGCCTTGCATCTGCATGATAAAGCAAGCAACCAACATCCCACGCTATCCCATCCCATCCCGCCCCCATCCTTGCTGGTTTCTGCTGCAGCCTGCGAGGTGTGGGTGTGGGTGGTATCTACAGCTCATCGCCTGGGCCCGAGACCCCCTTTCCCCCCACGTGGGTTGATAACAACTGATAGCCTACGCGAGAGCCAAATTTTACCCGGGACGCGCGGGCCCAGGAATTCGCCCATTTACCATGCGTGACATCGCTGAGCTGTCGACTTCGGCTCGAATGCCTGTTTGCCGTCTCCTCTATCCAACCCTGGCTCTCCGGCCCTCCCTAGGCGGAGGCGGCGTCGTTGTCACCACCATCTTCTTCGTCTCCCTCCTTCTCCTCATCCTCCCCTTCGTCGTCTGAGTCGAGCTCCATGTTAAGATGGACGCTCTCATTGTCGCTGCTGTCTTTCGCTCCTTCGTCGGCTTCGACTTTATCCGCTCTACTGTGTCGAGCACCCGGCGGGTCGAAAGCAGCATCCGTCCTATCGACTGGTATTATGGTACTAGTACTAGTTACAGCCTTTGTATTGTCAACCTCAAGCCGTTTGGACACGGCGATATCTGCGCTTTCGTTCTTCCGCTTGAGCGAGTTGGTAGAAGAGGGTGGTTGTACGGTGGCAGCGTGCTCTTCCGATCCAATAGTTATTGTTTGCGGCGATGGCTCGGGAAGAAATGGGTTGGGAGTCCTTGTAGTTTCCGAAGGTTGTGTAGCAGGGCTTGTTGGCCTAGCCGTTGCGGTCGGGATAGCATCCTGGGTGTTGAAAACAGGGTTCTCGAAAGGCCGACCGAATGAGAAGCTATTGTTTGAAAGCCTCGTGTCCAATTCTTCTTCCACCGACGCCTCTTCCGAATCTAGGAGATTGTTCCTAGGCCCTGTTGCTAACGGCCGGAAGTTGAAGCGTAATACTTCAACGCTTTCATCGTAGGGAAACTGTTGAGTAAGGTAGGGCAGTATGACCTGTGGTGTTCTATTATCCTTTTCCCTCGCCGGATGGAGCACGCTGGCTACTTGCGCGTCCTTATTGCGGCATAGGATAGCTGTCCTTAACATCTGAATTCTGAGGGGGGAGGGGATGTGCTGCTGGGGTACGTGACTGAATAGGGCAGTTAAAAGCGCCTCAGCTGCCCGAATGTGGGTTGCGTCTAAGGAGACGGAGATAGATTCATCCTCGATCTTACCGTTCAGAAACGCATCGGCGTTGTGGACGACGGATTTCGATTTCTGTCCATCTTGTAAAGCCGCGGTTGATTGCTTAGGACGCTTGATATGGCCCGCTGATGCGAGGATATCACGACAGCATGTCTTTATGATGAGGCTTAAACCTTCGACAGTAAGCTTAGCCATCGCCGGCCCGCAGAGTTCGAGCATCTCTCTGAGTAGAAGAAATGCCGCCAATCGAACTTCTGGTAACCGATACCCGGATTCGAACATCCGCAACAGCTGTTCGAGCGATGTCTGTGCCGCCGGCACGAAATTTCTTCCCAATCGTCGGGTTGCAGTAAGAAGTAGCCTCATGACAGCAACCTGAATATCCGGGAATACCACCCACAGTTCATCCTTCTCCTCCCTTCCGACTGCCGAATTCATGTCGGCCGATTCAGGCTTCTCCTTGTCTGGAAGCGGCGGCATGACCGAAGACACCCTCGTCACGATGTCAACAATAGCGCTAATCGGAACGGTAACGGCGCTTTTCGTGCGGCAACGAAGGTAGTCGGCGATAAAATCAAGCAAGCCAATCATCCGTTCGCTACCTGCGTAAACGCCAGTCCATGGAGGAAACTGATCTGAGCCGGCGCCCCCGCCCTGGGGCTCTACATCAAAGACCGCCGTTTGTGGCGTGTAACTTGACATGTGGCCTGAAACTGACTCCCAGTTCTCTTGGATCGCTCGGAAGACTTGGTCGGCTGTGGAGTGGAATGTCTTGATAAGGCCATCTAGACTCCTCGCCCATTCCGTTACGTCCCCACCCTTTGCAGCTGTCATATGTAGTCTGACTACTAGACGTCGACTGCTTGTCTGTAAAGACGCTGGGATAATAGCGGTGTCTGAGCTGGTCGGGACCAGATATGGCCGCGCCTCAGCTCTGAATTTGGCGGAGAATTGGCGTAGAGTTGTGGGGTATAACGGGATTATGGCCGAAAAGGCCTCGAAGATGGTCTCGACAAGGTCATTGGTGATCTTAACGGCTTTGCTGGACAACGGAGGCTTTAGGATCTGGAGACATGCTGTCGCAAATGTAGGAAGGGTAGGGGTAACGATTTCCCGTACTAGAGTCGGGTAGGCATGCATCAAAGTGTATATTTTGACCAGGGCCACGATGCACATATCCTTTATAACAGACGAGTCCTTTCTCTATTTCTTGTAAGCCGGTTACATTCGCATGACGGCACATGGAATACTCACCTGAAGGACGGACAGCAGGCCCCGGACCCATGGCTCCGAGGTGCGAAGACACTCCCAGCCGCCAGTTTCCACGACAGCCTTTACCAAGGCGACGGCGACGAAGCGGCCGTGGGCGCTTCTGCCATTCAGAAGTGAGGCTATCTGGGTCTTCAGCCTATGCACGAGCACCGCTGATTCAGAGGAGCCCTCGGGAGTCTTAGTCTCCTGGGGCTTGGATAGTGGCCCTTGACAGCGTGATAAGTCCTTGAGGAGAGAAGGCAGGATAGCTGGGAGTTGGTCAACCTTAGTCGACGTCAATCTCCGGCAGAGGCTGCGCAGCTCGGGTGGAAGTGCGGCGAATGCCATGACTCGAGGTGCTAATTCTCGACTCCGGCTCCTGCTGCTGCCGCTGCCCAGGCTTATAGAGAATATACTGTGAACCTCGGTAGACGGTTATATCATCCTATCGCCTTGGCCCCGTGAGTAGCTCTTCTGTCAACCCTTTTTGTTGCGAGAGGCTCGGTTTTACACTGGTCTTCTCAAAGATGATGTGGAACTTGAAGTTAGTTTTCTTTTCTTCGTCACAAGCCGTCCTGTATGGTGCCTGAAGAGGGTGCGATGTTTGAAGTTTGAAATTCAAGAGGACCAGAAAGATTTATCGTCAAGTGAGCAAGCCTTCTCAATATGGCAGATATGCAAAAAGGCACCGATATGCATGTACAAATGGAAAGGAAGATGGCATTCATTGAAGCCTTAGACCAATCCTCTTTTTTTTTCTTCCTGCCTAGGTAGCTCTAGTTCTCGTGGTGCACAGGTGGGGTCACGGACGCATAATTACATACTATTTACGGAAACCCTATAATAGCTAGCCTATTCTCTATACATGCATAATATGGAGAAATATTACACAATACCAGTAATAGCAAGGCGCTTGTATTTAACGAGTCCATGACATAGGTATGCGTTGTGCCTAACTTATTACCAACTTTACCTCCCCCCCTACTTCATCTTCCTTCCGCCAAGCCAGCTTCATCTAATTTCCTAACTGTGACGACTCGACCCCAGGGGCAGAGAGCTATCCGATAGTCTGGTCCGAACGCCTCCTGAAGACATATAATACCGTCAAAGCACAATCTGTATCAATCGAGATGCCATTGGAGTGCCCGATTGATCAGTAGCGCGTTTGCTTAGACCCCGGCTGCTTCACGGCCAACGATCGATCACCTCAGGATGAATGTATTTCTCTCCCTTCCTCTCTGCTTGACTCGCGTAGTCGCCCTAGCTGCTCGCCGACGCTGATGATGCTATCTGCATAGAGATTGGCAAAAGTTACGCAGTACTTAGCCCGGTTAGAAGATGCCAGATGCGACGGAAACTGGGATGACATTCCGGAACTCGTTCGAAAGGTCCGCAAGCATGCCGCCGACAGGCTATGTACGATTCCCGTGTGCCTCTTGCTTCCCTATGCAACATTGGGTTCTGACCATCTGACTTTTTGCGCAGGTATCACTACCACCGCCGAAATCGAGTACGCCATCGTTAAGGCTTCCCAGAAGCAGGCCATCGGGTCTCGACCTTCAACCGCCGTTTCGACCAGGGATTTAGACATCTCCCAGCTGCTTCCTAGACTTCTCAACGCGATCGATTCGGAAACCTCGCACCTCGAAGACAAATACCAGGCCCAGGTGTGTGTAGGATGGCTTTACTGGACTGTTGGCGAGTATGGCTCGGCCTCGAGCCACTTTTCCGAGAACATAGAGAGTGAAGCCGCTCAACCAGGCCAGGCGAATGGTGCCTCCGAATGGACAAGGGTGTGCTCTCTCAAGGCTGTGTACCTAAAGGCCAACTGCCTAGCGAGAAGCAACGAACGAGTTGCAGCGTTGGACGTCTTCGAATCGGCCCTAGTCTCTCCATCGCACATTTTATCGGGCGACAAGGGTCGCAAGCAGTTACGATTCTGGGCCGAGCTCTTCTTGACTGAGTATTGCATGCTACAAGCCCAGGCTCTGGAAAGAGGCGAGAAGGCTCTCGAGGACACCAACTCGCTGGCACCTTTCCGCTCGTGGGCAAAATACTGGGATGCTTCTAAGACCCAAGGGACACCGCTTGTGGGCGGCCATGGCTTTCGCGGGACCGTCCCGAGGAGGAGGGTGTGGAATGAGTATTACGCCGCCATCTCCGGCATCCTACAACAGGACCTGCCGTTTCCCACCGGCCTTGTCGATGTCACCAACGAATCATCCGCTAGAAGCCAGCTTCGGATGGAGTTGAAAAAAGTCGAGACAGCCTACGAAGCGCTACTCCTGAGCGAAACGTCTTTTCCGCGCGCCGATGAACAGAGGCAGGAGGTGGAAGATTTTGTTGCGGCCGTGATGAAGAATTGGGCCGTATTGAACGGGCACGATTGGCATGCACAGGATCTTGGGCCTAATGGTAAAGAAGGCCTTAGTCGGGGGATACTGGACATTCTCTACCGCGCCGCGACCAAGACATATCATTCGACGGCCATCCTGCGATACCTGTTCACGATTCACCTTTCTGTTGCCGAGTTTGACTTGGCCTTCCACGCCTTCGACTCCTACTTGGAAATCGTCAAGAAAGGGAAGGCCCGAGTGGACAAAACTGGTCACCCAGAACCGAGTCTGGACGACGATGCTACCGTCTTGGAAACCCTGTCCCAGGCGATCACAGCCTTGTGCCAGTATGGTTTCCGAGACGCCGCGGAGAAGGCACATGAACTAGGAGCTGAGTTGGAAAGATTTTTACAGAAGTTGCCAGCACCGCTTCCCAGCGGGCAAGATCATATCACTACGCTGGAGGAGGAAAACGGAAACGGTGTAATACTGCATCCAAGGATACCGTCCCGCGTACACGCCTTAGCGTGGCAAGCCATCGGTATCGCGCAAGCACAATGGTCCCGAGCAACCCATGATGCGACTCTGCGGTCCGAAACACAAGCCAAGGCTATTCGAAGCTTCCAAAAGTCGTTATCGCCGGAAAATGGAAACCCAACTGATGTTAGAACCCTGTTTACGCTCGGTCTACTGCTAGCGGAGCAGAGGGAACTCACGGCAGCCATCGATATCGTCAAGGCCGCGCTTATGTCTAATAAGAAGACTAGAGCGTATCCTGGATCGGTATCATATTGGCGGGAGCGGTCGCTAATCCCTCTGTGGCATCTACTAGCACTCCTATTGAGTGCCAGGCAGGATTATATAATGGCCGCAAGGGCCTGCGAAGGGGCTTTTGAGCAGTTCGATGACCCGACTGTATTGTTTGGCTCGCAAGACTTGGAAGGGACTTTCCGTAGCGAGCACCTAAATGACTTGGAGGCTCGGGACGAGAAATCCTATTCGAGAGGGGGCTTGGTTGATGAAATGGGCGATCTCGAGAAGGAGGGCATGATCGAGGTGAAAATGACACAACTTGCCCTCCTGGAGCTGTTGGAAGGGCCAGAGGTTGCGGTGAACGCAAGCCACGAACTGTTAGTCTTGTACAATAGGCTATTCGGCGAATTCCAGCCACGAGGGCCAGCGGCAAATCAAAAGGCGGCCATGGAGGTGCCCAAAAGCTCCGCTGGCACGGTCAGAAGCATCTTCGGCAGCCGGTCGGCTGGACCGTCCCGAAATCAGAAGCATGCCAGCACCGCAGAGAGCATCACGTCCACTGTCGCAACGGAGAGGCCCCAGACCGCCCAAACCACCATTAGTACCGGGACCGCCGCCCCTACTATACACGTCACCAAAGAAAATGGCGAAGCTGGGGAGACTCGGCGATCTAGGAGATCGAGCAGCATACGCAGCGAATCGGCGAGGCGGAATAGCTTGAAGAAGCGAGAGCCTAGCGCGCAACCGCGGCGAGCCTCCGCGAGCATAGGTTCTCACGCCCCAACCGTCGCGGACGGCGACGAATTCTACCCACACCCGCAAGCTGTGGCGGACGGAACGACGCAGGAGCGAGCGGAGATCTTTACTTGGAGTAGCAAGAGTGACATATCGAGACAGCAGTCTCTTTCGAAAGGCCGGGGACTGCATCGCTATGATTCTACCGCTTCGTCGAGACGGGGTTCCGCGAGCGGTTCGGAACCGCTGATCATAGACTCACTTACGCCGAGTAACCCGCTACCCATGGTGCAGTTCCCGAAGGAGGCAGTCAAGCGGCAGAGGCAAACCGTGCTCGTCAAAGTGTGGTTGATGATTGCCGCATTCTATCGCCGTGCTAACATGCACGCCGATGCCAAAGGCGCTATCGACGAGGCGAGGAAGTTGGTAGACGGCCTAGAAACGGACATTACCAAAGACGCGAGCGGCTCGGTGACGCTGCAAAATCCTAGCTGGGGAGGGAAAAGATCGGTCGAAGAGCTCTGGGCCGACGTGCACACCGAGGTATGAAGCCAGTCGGCATTTTCCTGCGTATAATGGGCTCCTGCTAACGTTACGTAGGTGGGCCATCTTGCGGCCTCCGAAGGCACAGCTTACGTGGCGAAAGATCACTTCGAGGAAGCCTTGATGCACTACCCGAACCATCTCTCGGCGATTGTCGGATTGTCTAACATACTTCTCGACATTTACACCGAGGTACTGCTGCCTCCTCCCACGATACCCGGTATCGTTCTGCCGGATGGTGAATTGGCAACACTGGTCCCGCCGCATCCCAACGCGCGGAAAGCTCGGGCAGGCTCTTCTCCGCTGAGAGATGTACCGACACTGCCATCAACACCGCTGGGTCTCGGAGGCGACGCGACAGACGACGGCTTAAGCTGGCCCCTCCTAAATAAAACGCCCTCGGTTACTACCGAATCGGATGAGCCTTCGACAGAAGAACTCCTGGCACCCTACAAGGCCGTTTCCCTACCTCTCGTCGACCGGCTTGCCGCCCGGGACAGGGCCTACGGGCTTCTATCTGGACTCACCAGGCTAGGCACGGGGTGGAATTCCTCGGATGCGTGGTTTGCCTTGGCTAGAGCCCACGAAGAAAGCGGGCAGTTGGACAAGGCTAAAGATGCGCTTTGGTGGTGTATCGAGCTCGAGGAAGGGATGGGTGTCCGCGATTGGAATTGCGTGAGCGCCAGCGGCTACGTGCTATAGGGCCAACCCGTTCCGCTAGGGCATCTCCGCGCAAAAAAAGAAAAAGAAAGAAAGAGGAAAAAAACGAAACGATAGACACCTCTCGGATAGACGGAAAAGTAACAAGAAGATTGGCAACTGATGGAGTTTGGCGGGGACCCTAGTATGCGATAGATTTTTCTCTCTTGTCTTCCGGTCGGGGTGTGGTGTCGTCGTTTCGCGTTAGAAACTCGGCCTCCCCCTTTCACCTTCACCTCTAGATCGGACTCGATACCCTCTCGTGGCATATCCCACTATCATCAGCGGCATTTAGATATTAATGATAATATATAGACACCATTTGGAAAGCTGAACGCTCATCCCGGTCGAGGAATTCTTCCTGCCGACTCACAATCGACATCCTTCTAGTTTTCGTCCTCATAATTCTGGATCTCGAGTAGTCGTCGACTCTGTAGCAGCATCTAAACACGGATACTGTGCAGCGTGCCTCTTTCTACGACATATGCCTTAGGTAAGCATGCGCCTATCCGTAGTATTCTACTACTAGGTATAGCTGCTGAGGCGGCCGCTGCGTAACTGGGCGAGGTACCCACTATAATGAACTGACACGGCTCCGCGCACGTGACGGGCTATCGACTACCCAACTTACATAGGCCTCGAACCCATCCAAGCCTGGAAACACTTCTCCGCCCACATCGCATCCCCAAGGCTCTTATACCATGGAAGCCAGCCCAAGCCCTGCCGCGAAGGCCCGAACGTCGGCGACGAGAACCTGCTGAGCATCTTCCCGAGCATCTTGCTGGACGTCTCACCGTCGAGACATCCCCCTACCTTGCTAATTTCCGTCCCCCCTCTGCTCTCCCTACCCCTTATCTGCCGGCTGCTAGCAGGCTGGGCAGGTCGACAGAAACTTCGGCACCTTCTCGCCTCCTAATTCAGATCGGCACCCACCCGGCCGCCCGAGGAGGGGAAGAATCAAGAGCTACCTAGCTATCGAGACTGCTGGGCGAGGCTGCGACTCATCCCCGAGACACACAGATCTACGCCTACGCCTACACCTATACTTAACCTACCCACCCATCTACGCAGACAACAATGCCCGTCACCCGAGGGAAGGAGGCCGCGAACCCGCCGCCGTCGGCATCTGAGCCCGCGGCGGCGCCACCGGACTCGCGGATCAGCGCCGACGACAGCCGGCGGTACTGGTCGGGGGTCGACGCCGACGTCAACGGCATGCTGGGCGGGTTCCCGGGGGTGTCCCGGGTCGACCTCCGGGGCTCGCGCAGCTTCCTGGCCAAGCTCGGGCTCGGCCGCACCGGCGGCCGCAAGGCGGTGGCGAGGGCCCTCGAGGGCGGCGCTGGGTACGTGCCACAGCTGCTTTTATTCCCCCCCCCCTCTCCACCCCCTTCTCTTCTCCCCCTGACTCGACTCGACACGACATGGTACGGTCCGAGTTGAGATACTCGCGTCGTTCGAGGGCAGCAGGTTAGGTTCGCAGGTAGGCACACGCGTACGCGCCCGCGGGGTGGAGACAAGCGTCGCTCTATTTTCCTTTTTATTTTTTATTCCCCCCCTCCCCCCAAAAAAGAAAAAAACCGACGCACACGAGGCTGAACGCGGGGCGCGGGGGGTAGGATCGGGCGCGTGACGGAGGGGCTGCTGCTGGAGGTGGCGGAGACAGTCGACGTGGTGGAGCCGATCGCGAAGTTCACGACGGCGCTGGCGGGGCGGGCGGGGGTCGGGCGGGTGTACAACGTCGGGCTGGAGGAGTGGCGGCCGGGCGAGGCGGACGCGGCGCCGCCGCCGTACGACCTCGTCTGGAACCAGTGGTGCCTCGGCCACCTGACCGACCGCCAGCTCGCCGACTACCTGCGCCGCTGCGCCGCCGCGCTCGCCACCGCCCCCGACGGCACCCCCACCGGCCTCATCGTCGTCAAGGAGAACCTGAGCACCGCCGGCGAGGACCTCTTCGACGAGCTCGACAGCAGCGTCACGAGGTAACGTCCCCCAACCCCCAAAGATCTCGACGGCGAGGCCGGCTGAGCTGCCCCCCCCGTTAACGATGCGCAGGCAAGACGAGACGTTCAGGCGGGTTTTCGACAGCGCCGGGTTGCGCATAGTTAGGACCGAACTGCAGCACGGGTTCCCTGCTGAGCTTTACCCCGTGCGGATGTACGCGTTAAAGCCTAAAGTCACGGAATGAATGTCTTGGACCTCTTCTGGCCCGCAGATATCTTTTCTAGGCCTCTCTCATCGATAGTTGTATATAGTGTCTATGTATGTGAAGGTGTGACATGACCCTCGACGACGAAAGCTTTCCTCCTATCGCTCACTTACCCTTTCAAATCCTGCGCAGACCCATTGCCCTAGTTGTCCCCCCGCCCCCTGCTTCCTTCCCCGTGACTTGAGATAGCCTCCCTACAACGATCACCATTTCAAGCCTCCTCCTCCTCGACATCGGTTAGCTTGAATAAGAAGGGCTCGAGCCCCTGGACGCCGACGTCGACGCGGAACAGGGCGCCGCCGAGCTCGACCTCTTCAGCGGTGCCGTCCTCGCCGTCGGCCATGCTCGCGGACGTGATGTAGAGCTCGGTGCCGACGAACTGGGGGCAGGTGATGTTGCGGGTGGGGAGGCGGATCTCGCCGAGGAGCAGGCCGGCGGGGGAGATCTTGAGGACGCGGCCCTCGCCGTAGACGGCCTGCCAGAGGTTGCCGTCGACGTCGACGCGGAAGCCGTCGGGCTCGCCGGGGCCGTCGTGGCGGTAGAAGACGCGCTCGTTGGCGATGACGTCGTCGTCGCCGGCCCCGGCGGCGGCGGCGCCCGCGGCATAGTCGAAGGCGAAGATGACGCGCTCCGTCGAGTGCGTGAAGTACAGCGTCCGCTTGTCCGGGGACCACCCCACCGAGTTCGGGATCGTCACCGGGTGCCGCATCGACCGCGCCGTGCGCGTCCCGTCGAACAGGTAGACGGAGCCTGCGAAGGCGGGACACCACGTCAGAAGTGGGCAAAAAAAGAAAGAAAAAGAAAAAAAATGCACCGACAACGACGACGACCCCCCCCCCCCCCCCCAAAAAAAATCAAGAAAAGGCAAAAAGAGCAAAAAGAAGAAAAAGGAGAGGGGCAGAAAAAAACGACCAAAAAAACAAAAAGGTTAAATTTAGCTCTCGGTTATAAATAAACAATAAAACAATACGTCTTGTGATGATTAGTTGTGGTGTTATTGGTAGCAGCGTGTCATTTATTGCGTCGCGTCGAGCCATCCGATAATACGACGGACGGGGCGCCCATTCTCACACCCTCCGGGGGGGCGGGCCTCTCTCTCTCTCTGCTCACGCCCCCCGCCCTCGCGTGTGCCAACTTTTTTGGGAAGAGGGAGGGAGAGGGAGGTATTGGGGGGGGGGGGGGGGTAAATTTGTTTCTTGTCAGGTTTATTGTTTCTTCGGTTCCCCACGGCCTAGAACTCTCTCCGCCATGGAACATGGGCCGAGCGGTGGTGGCGGTGGTGGTGGGTATATGTGTGCATCGGCCGGGAGATATATGTATAATAGGTAGGCATATACATGTAGGTAGGCAGGCGGGCAGGGCAAGGCAGGGCAAGGCAGGGCAAGGCAAGGCAAGGCATGGGCTGACAAAAGAGAAGAAGGGAGGGAAAAAAAATCCTTATAGGGGATAGATAGAAGAGGAGAAGAGGAATACAAAGAAAGAGAGAAAAAAACCCCCGTCGCCCCCCTCCCCCCCCCTAAAAAGTACACACGGCTCCCCCTCCCGGGACGCTCGATCCCCGGACAGGCCCGGGCGGCCCGGCGCATTATGTACGTATGTGCGTGTGTATGCATGTATAGGCACGTACTACGTGTATATGTATATATGCCTGGGTAGGTAGGCAGCGGACGGGGGATACAAAAAGCCGGCAGACTAAGAAAGGTTGGCATGGCCGCTCGCGCGCGCGCAGACTATTGATTTTTTTTTCCTGGTCCCTCGCCCCCCCCTTCTGCTCTCCTCTCCCCCGGGGCCGCCGGTCTCCCTGTCCTGCCCTATACCAGGCGGGCTGTTAACCCAGGGACGCCGGGGGAGGGGGAGGGGGGAGGACGAGAGCTCGCGAGTCGGTAGGCAGGGCAGGGCAGGGTTGTCATCCTCTCCCGCGGGGCCAGCGAAGCGAGGGGCGACTCGCTTCGCTGATCGGGGCTCGCCTCGCTTTCCCGTCCCGGACGAGGTGGCGAGCGAGGACGAGGGCGAGGCGAGCGAGCGCAGACGAGATGACGGACGACAACACGTCGGGCCCGCGTGCTCGTCCGACCCTGGCCCTGGCTCTGGTCCCCTTCGTCTTCGACGACCACCGGGGGAGGTTGATTATACGAGGTCGGGTAAGGTTATGCATTACATAGGTGCGTAGACGTAGACAACGCACGGGTGCGCGCAGAACGAGATCTCCGAGGGTGAGGAGGAGGGGGTGGGTTGGAAGACGGAGGGAGGAGAAAAGGGGGAGGGGGTAGGTAGTGGGGCGGGGAGGGGGGGAGACGAAGAGGAGAGAGGAGAGAGGAGAGAGGGCGTCGAAGAGAAGAAACGCGCTAGAGGGAGAAGGGGGTAGAGATGGAGATGAGAGAGAGGCGCGCGCTCACCTTCAGGCCGCAGGTCGAGCCCGATGTCGGTCATGGTGCCGAGCCAGAAGCGGCCGTGGGGGTCGACGGCGCCGTCGTTGCTGCGCAGGCGCTCGTCGTCGTCTTCGGCGGCGCCGCGGAAGCGCGCGACGTAGCGGTACTCGCCGGTGCGGCGGTCGAGCGCGGCGATGCCGTACTTGGCGCCGATGACGAAGCGCTCGCGCGGGTCGACGCCCTCGATGTCGGCCGTCACCGTCACCGGGCAGTCGAGCTGGATCGTCTCCACGGTCGGCGACGGCGGCAGCCCCCCGCCGCCGCCGCCGGTCGCCGTCGCGGTGGCCGTCGTCGTCGTGGGCTCGTCCGCGTCGTACCCGCGCGGGTCCCCCAGCGGCCGCGACAGGTCCACGCTGTGCACCCGCTTCTTCTTGATGTCGACGAAGCGCAGCCGGTGCGTCGCCGCCTCGTAGTACGGCCCCTCGCCGAGCCCGCACCGCAGGTGCAGGAAGGGCTCCGTGACGTGCCACTGCTGGAACTCGGTCGTCGGTGAGGTGGACATGCTGTTTCTTGCCCCTTCTCTCTTTTTCTTTTTCCTTTCTTTTTTTTTTTCTCGCGGGGAGCAGAGAGGGGAAATGCGAACCAACAAAATAAAGCCTTGTCTACCCGTCCCCCTCTATTTTTATTTTTATTTTATTTTACTTTTTTATCTCAATTTCCCCCGTATTTCTTTTTTCCTTCTAGAAAGCCCCGCTCGGTTGGTGCAGATCGGGGGTTTCGCCGATGGAGATAGTTCCTCCTTGCTTACTTACCTCATTGCTTTTCGGCCTCGCTTCGTTTCCTTTTCCGTTTTCCCAAAAGGGGGGAAGAGAGTGAGAGAGTGTGCGTGGCATGTGTTAGTAAGTCTGGTTGTTGGCGGCGGCTTGGGCGGGCTGTTGGTGGAGCACCCGACGAGCGGCTGTGTGTCTCGGAATTTTTATTTCAATCGATCGATGGACGAACCTCCCTTGCTGGCGCCGAATCGGTAGCGACAGACGAGCGGCTGCGTGGACTCGGTTCGGATTGGCCCGCCCAATTGTAGCTGGTTTAGGTAATTCCTCAAAGGCGGCTTACAGCCACAGCGCCAGGTATAGAGACACACACACATACACACATACAGAGAGGGAGAGGGAGAGACATAGAGAGATACAGAGGTGATCGGCTCGTCTCCTAGATGCCACCCAACTCTCCCCCCCCCCCGGCGCTTACACGACCTTGCCCAATTCCCCGTGGTGATTTGCCCTGTGAAATTCACCTCCACGACCCTCGGGAGAAGCGACGGTGCGGTCACATACAATACTACTACGCAGATTCATCTATATGATTTGGAGTAACCATCGCATTGTCATTCCCGGTTTCGCGGAGTGCGGGCCTCATAGCCGCGAGGATGTGCACCAGACACCGTGCCGAGTTATTGCCCTGCCTCTCGATCCGAAGAGCCTGTATGTGTAGGGAGCTATCTCGGACGCCGGCAACCAGACTACGTCGCTGCCGAGCTCCCGCCACGGCAATTATTACTCTGCACCCCCTTCTCCTTTCCATCCCTTCCGTATCTATCGCTAGACGGGCGGGCGGGCGGTCGCTGCGCACAACGGTATGGTACACGTACTTACGAACCCGAAATCCGATGTCGACTTCGACACAACTAACTACGTGTTATCGTGACCCTTGTCGGCTCAAGCAGGACGCCCGAAATGAACTCAGGATGCGAGACACGTAGGGGAGAGGGCGGCACTAACTCAAGACAGCTCACCTATGCACACCGATGAACACCGTGTCATACAGCCAGGGTATCTGCATCACCCACAAGATAAACGTGGAAAGGGGTTGGTGGATTGAGACGTGTCACCTGAGTGTTGGATCTCGCGGGGGGGTCTGGCTGCATCCCTCTCTTATAACGCCGCAAAGAAGGTGTTTCCCCCCCCCTCCTCGAAAATTTCATAAATAAATGAAGAGGCCGGCAATATGAGAACGAGTCTCCATTCCTACCCAGATACGGTTATCCAGGAGGCGGGAAAGACCAAGGGAAGAGGAAGAGGGAAAAAAACCCCCGAGGAGCGAAGTGGGCATCCGGCGGGCGGGCGAACACATGGCCCAACCTGCCTCCCCACGCACGAAATCCTCTCGAGGGCGGTCCTGGTGAGGCAATTGGTCTAGACTGCGACCACGACGACGGATTAAGCCACGACCCAGCGTTACCGCCAGGACCGCAGAGCCTGCATTCGGGCGGTTCGTCCGAATTGGTGACCGCCTGTTGCGAATCGCGTGAATCCACGACAAGGTCGCGTGGAGGAAGCTACTTGGTTGCTGAGGCGGAGGGAAGGGGGACGGAGGAGAACCAGATCACGGGTACAGGCAAAAAGTAGGTAAGGTCGATATGCAGGTCTCGATAAACGTGTCGGTGTAGGCGTCGTCAAGGAGACCAGATTTCCCTTTGCGGCGCCTCTCAGTCCACTAATCTTCGTTTCCTCTCCTTTCTTTTTTTCCTGCTCTCTTTACGAGAAACTCGGGCGGCGGGTGCATCATGGGTGCATGCAGAATGCACCCCCATCGAGCGATTCCAGCGACAGATGGACATGCTACCCTCCCTCCCCTACTACCCTGCGTGCGTGCGTGCGTATATACTACCTACTTTTCATATCCATAACTTGGAGAGAGTGGAAGAGCATAGGGATAGAAGTAGGGACAGGAGGTAGTAGAGAGAAAGCCTCGAAAGGGGGGGGGGGGGGGGGGACCGAACCTGGGTGCGCCGTACTCGTAGGCGATGATGGATCGGGCCAAGAAGAATTAGTCAGTCCGGCTATGACGAGGAAGAGAGCCGAGGATTCGCGCCGTTCCGAAACTATCAGAAGCAGCCTCGAAATAGACGACGACCACATGATCATAGATTGATGCGGGTAAGTCTTCCAGAATCCAGTTCCACCCACCCTATTCTGAGGAGATCGGATAGAAGAGAGAAAAGGAAAAGAAAAAAAAAACAAAACAAGGGGAAGCGGGAAGGGTAAGACGAAATGGACACTGTCCGACGGCGGGCTGGAAGTGATACTGTGCGAATGACGCCTGAGGGCCGCTCCACCCGGCTCTGTGCGGCCCCTTGGCCGGCAGGGAATCTGGAAAATCCTGTCCGTTGGGCATGCATGTGTGTATGTATATACATGTGTAGGGGTGCACGTTGGCTGGTACTTGTGACTAGGCATGTACCTAGGGATGTAGGTATGTACCTGCTCATATGTGCGTGTTGTACCTACAGAGATCATAGATATAGACCGCGCAACCCCAGTCAGGTTTCAACCCATAAGGGCCATAAGGGGCGGCGGGTTGTGGGATCAAGTGCTCATAACTGGCTTAAGCTTTGCGTCTGAACAAGAATAGCCCCGGGGCTCGTTCGTCCAGGCCAGAGAGGCATAATCCTGGCCTGTATGTTCGGCAGCCATCATCCTCGACAATCTGCGTGTCACTAAATCGGCCTGGATGACGACGGCAATAAAAACCGTGATATAGACCTGTGACACATGTATGTAAGGCATGTATGTGTGTACTCCGTAGCACCACCAGGGCCGCCCAACTGTGGGGGGGGTTAGGAGAGAGAGGAAGAGAGAGCGCGCGCGTGTGTGCGAGTGAGCGAGCGAGGGAGGAAGACACAAGACACACGGATATATGTACACACATATACACACACGTACACGCGCATACCACCCGCACCCACACACACACAGCATGCCGGCCATGTGTCGGCAAGACATGAGGCGGCGGTGCCATCGCTAGAAAGGTGCAGCCAGCGTGCAACTAATTTTGCGTACGTAATGGTGGGTTTCTTCATCATCATCATCTTCTTCTTCTTCTTCTTCTTCCTTTCTTCTAGTCTCTGTATCGACACACATCTCTCGTAAAAAGGGAACCCGGGTTGCGTAGGCAGGTAGGATTGGTGGCTCACCGCCGATGCCAATGTCGCCTACACAAGCCATCATCTGGAGTTTTGTTCGGCCGGTCCAATTCGCACTTACTGGCTCCGCTCCCCGGCCTGCGAAGGGAAGGGTGGAATTCTGGATATGGGCGCATGTACGTGACAACTGACAGCTCCGTCCTTGTGTTGCATTGCGACGCCCTGAAAGCTGGGGCGGAGCCAGTCGCGAAGCCACTTTTACAGACGGATGCCGCGCTGTAATGGTCTGACCCCCCTGTTCCGCGGCCTGCACTTATTAGCTGCAGCTGTGCTTTGCATGCCGTACATGATACACTTTCCAGAATCTGAGAAATTCCCAGGGAAACACGCGAGAAAACAGCCCCCTCTCCCCAATTCAATCTCCAGATCCAGATACGGAGCACTCGGCAGAGAGGAGAAGGGGGGGGGGAGGAGGGTGTGTTCCAGTCCGGTCCAGATTGCTGGGTTAACTTTGGGACGACGACCCCCTTTTTCTGCTGTCTTGGTTGTTTTCCTTCACTCTTTCTTGCTGTCCCATGGATCGGGGGCGTGTTGCGCCAACGTATTCCTGAGTCTAGAGCTCTCGTTAGTGGGGGTATTGACGATAACCCCCGGCGACGTGTACTATAACTATCGACTACCTGCATAATTAATAATCCAAACTGAAAATCGACCGCCATCTTTTCACCCACACGCGTGGAGGAAAAAGTCCGCGAATGCCGCCGAACCGGCCTCGAGGTTTTCAGTTCCCGTACGTATGCACGATAATAACCGGCCCCGGGACTTCCCGGCCTGTCGTATATAGGATACGATGTATAGTATACCTGCTTGGGCTGAAGGAAAGGCGTCTGCCCGTCACGAGTTGGTCGAGAATCCATGACCATGAAACCTCATCTCGTCGCTGCCTCTCCAATACGTGGTGGTGTGCCGTTGTGGTCGCGTTGCCGACCACCCACCAGTAATTAAAAACGAGCCTGGGTTTGATTAGAGCCATGATGCTATCGATGTCGCCCTGAGCTGCCAGGCGGTAGTGGGTCGTTCAGGATCTGCGGACGAGATCAGGCATTGTACCGTACTATCGTAGGGTTAGTAACCGCTACTACCTTTCAAAAGTCTCGACCTCGAGAGGCGTGCCGTCGACGATAGGGTTGAAATGACGTGTGCGAACGCATGCCTTGCAGCAGCCCGATAGGTTGTAGGTTCTAAGATGAGACAAGCGAGACAAGATAGCCTCAACCCGCTTGGTGACGGAACCTGCAAATTGCTTCATTCCACGATGTCTCGGACCTTGTTCCTGCATTGAATGCGGAATGGACCAGCCGTCATGTGTATATGTATTCTCCGACGGCGTCGAGAAGGCGTGGGGAAAGGGGGTTCGACGCGTCCGTATTAAAAAAAAAAAGAGAAAAGAAAAGAAAAAAAAAGTAAATTAGGGCCAGGGAGAAGCCCATCCGAAATATGAGGTTGCGACGCTGTCTCTCCCGTGCCTCGTTTTGAGGCTTTATTTCCTTTCGACCCTAGCCCAATATTGACTACCTTGCACACGACCATCGTCGAGGACGTATGAGATTAGAATACGACGATGTGATTGATCAATCGTCAATTTGACTGCAAATGGGGAAATGCAACGTCTCGAGTCATTGCGGTGAACCACCAATGAACGCGTGACTGGACGCAGTCGTGATGGCCGCCCGCAGAGAGCCCCGTCTCTGGCGAATCCAGGCAGTCAGTCCATGTCGGGCGCATGGTCTCGCATGATGCCGCGGCTACTGGCGACAAGGCGACACCACGTTGCCACGAGGTTTCAAAACATTGCCTCATTTTGCAGCAGCGCTCAATCTCAATCCGGAATCGTAAGATACCGCCACCCAGGCCTAAGGCCAGACATGGTTTAACCTGTGGCTTTCTACCCAGGCTGCCGGGTTGGCCTGGTTGAAGGACGATCCCTGCGCCTACGTTGCGCTAGACGGAATGCTGTAATTTCGCGCGAGCGAGCTTTCATATCATGTACGTGCCCGGGTAGCGCGTTCTGCTGGCCGCAGAGAAGGCCGCAGGCGGCAGGGCCCAAGCCTAGGAGCATACCTGATGTAGGAGGCAGCTATATGTACCCGACGTAGGCACTCCTCGGCAAGGAGGTACCTGAGGCAGGTTGTATGAGCATGCAGGTGTGAGCGCATGTCGACCAGGACCAGATGGTGGCCTCATCACACGGCAGCAACATGAACCATGCCATGGCGATTGGGAACCAGCATGTTTTCGTACAGCATGGGCGACAGCTAACACGCACACACACATATATGTATGCACACACCTACATGGTACGTAGTATATGTGTATGTATGGCACCCAATGTAGGTAGCCAGGTATGCATGGCCACAGAATGCCGTGGCCCGCGAGCCCGAGTTCCGGAATACGCGCATGCAGCTGGAGCTGTGGTATGCGCGGACGCGGGCACCTCAGTGCATGGGTGCGTGCTCTCCCTTGTATTGGGTATGCCTCCCCCCCCCGTCCCTTTTTTTCTTGTCCGGTGAAGGCATTGCGGGCTGGCTGGCATCTTGATGCCAAGGAGGGGGACCCCTGAAGCAAACGCAGCCCAGGCTGAACGTGACGACAACGCTCTCTCCCTTGCCAGCTTACCGCAAGAAGACAGGCGGAGGAACACTAAACGCTCCCGGGCGATTACGGAGCGCGAGGTAGGTAGAATTTAGAATCCGGTAAGACACGGGCATCCTCGTGTCCGCGGCCGACTGCGACGCACCCAAATCCAGGCTTTGCGAGCGCTCCCCCCAGCAAACTTATCTGTATCGCGTAGCCGAGCACCGGGCGCACCTGCGAGAGGCGACACGGCCGTGTCCTCTAAACGTGCCAATGGAGAGACGAGTGATGCAGTGCGTGCTCATCTAGGAGGCTGAGGTGTGCCATGTCCTCGTACAGTATGCATGCACATACATATGTATGTATGTATAGAGATGTAAATCCGGTGGAGGCGATGGGACCACTGACGAAATGGCCCTGGGCGGCTAGGCTCTCAGATCAGCAGAAGCAGCCTCTGCGCATCGCAGGCCGGGCTGTTGATGCATCGTGCCCCGCAGGTGACGGTCTAACAAGCTACAGAAGCTGCCTGCGTCGCCGATCCTCCCTACACTCATTGGTCATGCTGACATGGCTGGCATGGCTGGCATGCTCGGTCGTTGCTAGTGAGACATGGCTCCGGTGGTTGGGCTGGAATCGAACCAGGCCACACACGTTGGTACCTGATCGCTTTCGTGATCTGTCCTACCGTAGGTAAGGTAGGCTACCCGGTCGATACGGCCAGCACAGGCATGCCATACATACTGTGCCGTACCAGAGGAGAGGGATTAGCGAGAGGGGGGATCGAGAGCGAGAGACGGGGGGGAGAGGACGTAGTGGGTGGGCGCAGGCCGGTAGGTAGGTAGGTAGGTAGGATTGCATAGGTGAGCGGGAAAGGTTGGAAAAGGAACGGATGGGACAAATTGGAGATATTATGTATGCAATAATCTACCTACCCGTGGCTTATTGATTACCTGGAGACGCTGCCCTCCTACGGCACGTCTAGCGGGCGAGGTTGCTCGATGAATTGAAGGTAGGCTAGGTAGAGTCGCTCTTCTCTCCTTTTGGAGAGGGGGGTTCCCAACCTTCCATGCCATGTCGTCGGATGTCATGGGACGGAGTGTGCGTGTATGTATATGCATGTAGCCCAGCGCAGATGTGGCCGCCGTGATTGTGTACAAATACGTATGTCCACATATGCCCAGCCACGTTCCCGCAGGTATAAAGTACGCAGTATTGACTACTACCGTAAGGCAGGGTACCTTTCCCGGTACATATACCCGTGCGATGGTAAGGTTCGGCTTACTTACATCCACACATTTAGGTATCTGCCTCCTATCGACCTTAGGTACCTCCTACCCTACACATATCCCCCAGTAGACCGGCCAGGTAGGCAGGTAGGCAGGTACCAACCTAAGGCAGGTATTGACGTGCATCGATATAATAATCACCACTGCCCAGCTGGGCATATAATATACATAAGCACCACCCGGTAGCAATATGCATCAGCACACCGGCACCAAGTCCCACTCGATGCATATATGCAAGAGCGTGGTATAAGTATCATAGGTAGGTAGGTTACCAAATGTAGGCACCGCCAGAGGAGGCACGCACCCGTATAGTACACGGGGCTGGTAGGTAGGTAGGTACCTCATGTATAGGAGGCAGGTATATAATGTAAGTAGGCAGGGACCCACATGGGCTGATACTACCCATTTTAGCTATTACGTAGAAGGGAAAATAGAAGGGAGCGACGGTTAAGGAGGGTCCTTCCCGCTCTCCGCGGTCGTGGTCCGGCCAGACAAAAAGGGATTCCAATCGATGGGAAGCGTCACCGGACGGTGGATTGGCGCTAGTCATAGCCTGCACTACGCCAGGTGTGTGCCGCTATTGTTCTGACTTGCGATCATCCCTGGCTCGACCATCTGTGGTCGCTCTCATCCATCATCCATCATCCCGGTCCTACACCTTAACCACACTTGCTGTGACAGAAGTAAGGTTAGGACGACGAAAAGGTATTCTTCATTATATCGGGCACCTGGCATACCGATTGGCATTAGACCTGTCGGCATGATCCTCATCTGGTACCACACGAGGTATACAGGCCATGTACCCGCGGACAGGGGCGGAGGTCTTCAATCCCTCTCCGTTCCACGGGACAGGTAGGTACCTTAGGTACCTAGGGCACGTATTATAGAGGTACCTGTGGTATACCCGTATACGGATGGCAGCTACCTGTGTCCACGCATGCGCGCGTATATATTGCTTACGGTGATTTAGGTACCTATAGTAGGCACGCCGGCCTGCCTGAGGCAGGTATTTAGGTATCCTATGCAGGGTGTGTACGGCCCGGCAGGTACCTACCTTACCTCCTAAGGTAGGGGACCTAGGGTAGCATGTACCTAACCTGAGAGCTACCTACCTACCTACCTACTAATCAGACCTACTAATAACTAATGCATGTCTGTACGCATGTAGGTATAGGAGGTAGGCCGTTCTTCTATTGCTGGCTGGGCTCACGCATTGCATCCTAACCCGGTCTAGCCTCCATGGCCTACGGCCTACCTCACCAACCGTCCCAACCCACCTGGCAAGATGCGACCCTCTTCGTCAACAGCAGACAAGCCAGCTCCCTACCACCGGCACTGACCGCTAATCTCCCAGCCGATCTTGGTGGTTCCGGCATTCCAGGACCAGAGTGTGCGCGCTGCTGTACCAACAGCAGCTCGGCCAGTTGGCGCCAGTGTTTATGTGTGTCGGCGTCTGTGTGTGTGTGGTGTATCGCACACCTCACCACCACCACCTCACCACCGTCACCACCTCGTGTAGTCGGGTAGTGGTGGCAGCAGCCACATGCCTTACATGCATACACGCCCATACCATGTATGTACATCCTGTCGCCGCCACTCCTCCTCACCCCTGCTGCTATTACTACAACTACGCTGCTGCCGCTCTACAGGTACATACACATCGATTGTGCACATACACACACGCTACTACGCCCACAGCATCCCCAGGGACCACCACCACCACCATCACCACCACCATGGCGAATGTACATCCCCCCGTCCCAGTCCGCACATACACACCTACATATACCACGTACGCTAACCTGCTACTACGTAGACCACTGCCGCTACTACATACCTCCTCTCGCTGCCGTTCCTGTTGCTCAGTCCTGACCCTGGTCCCCCGGTCAGTCCTGGGGCTGACCCTGTCTAGGTGACCGCCTTTGTTGTTGTTTGCTGACCTCAATCTGGGGGCCGACTGACGTTTTCTCGCTCTTGGCTGGTCACGGTTTCTAGCCTGTCGATCGTCTCTACGCAGCACAATCCGTCGTGGGAGAACGTTTTGGAACGAGCGGAGCCTTTACCCGCCCCGAGTCGACCCTCTAAACCCTTTATACTCCACTAGAGATCTACAGGTATGAACCCATCTCTTCGTGACGAGCCGTGACGAGCCGTTGGCCTGTCGGCGCGGTGGGGAAGGGGGGGGGGGAGCGGCACCAGAACTTCTACCCCCTTCTAGCTCTGCCTGCGTTGGTCTACGTACTAAACGAACCACACTACACCACAACTTGCGGTCGACAGCTCCCCCCGTCCACCGCTGCTCCATTTTCCACAGACCCAAATCAGAGAATAATCCCGAAATCTCAGCCAGTATGATCTCGGTGGCTGGCTTATGCCATTGCCTAGCGCAACCGCATCGTTCGAATCCGCCCTCGGAGGAGCGCGACCTCTGAACCAAACCGCGCGCCGAGGTGGTATGAGAACGAAAGAAAGAAAGAAAAAGAACGAGTGAGTGGGAGAGGGAAGAAAAAAGTACCTCGACTCACTTGTAGCTTGAGCGCGAGTGTGGATATCTATCCGGTAAGTTTTGCCTGCTTGAACCATGCCTGGCCGGCATCTCATGATTCGCACGCCTCTCCTCCCTCCTCTCTCTCTCTCCCTCTCTCCCTAGCTGCAGGTGTTGGATCGGATATCGTCAATAAGGCTGCTGCGCTCTCAGCTCGTCAAGCTTCTCAACGTTCGAGGATGCCGTGTGGTTATCCCTTGGACAACGACGCCCTACGTAGTCCTACGCATACACACCACACACACACACACACACACATGCATGCATACATACGTACATACGTACACATGCCTACATTAGATCCTCCTCGTCGTGTCCGAGTGTGTACATACTGGCCGCTCCCGCAACTCTCTGGTTCTGGCTAGACAAAAGCAACACGCCACAGGGTGTCTCAGTTCATACTGCCCCCCATCTATGGGTTCTTAACTCCCAATTCCCTGCCAGCAACCAACATGGCCCCCCTGGTGCCTTCTGCACCCCGGCCGCAGTCCCAAAACCATCCCCATGCTTTGTCCCCACCCCTTCTAAGTGTGCCCTGTCTGATGATAAGAACAAGCATGGGAGCTGGGGGTTTCCAGTGCCAAGGAGGACCCAGCAAGAGGAGGATATCGAACGGACACGGCCTTGCTCTGGCGAGCTAGTCTCAGTGTGCGGTCGACCCCAAGACTATTCGGATTGCTTACATCTGCCATCATCGTCACCTCTCCCCTACCATCCCAAGAAAGTCATACTTACCGTATATCGGCCAGCGGCCAAGTGCTGAGCTTACCGCATCTGAAGCAATACCCTAGGGTTGACGCAAGCGGAGGTGGGAACACTGTCCTCGAGAAACCCGTTCTCGCCTGTCCATCTGTGAAGGTTGCCCTCTCGTCGTCCATCCTCCTCTCACGTATCCATCCAAAGAAGCCCATACATACAGATATACAGAACATACATACATACGTGCATACACACACACACACACACATACGTACATACGTACATACTACCTCGCTCACAAGCACCACCCGGTGGCTATTTGCCCGCCTTCAGGCCCCAGTGCTGCTGTAGCGTTGGTACGCGCCGCTTCTTGACCATTCATTTGCAGGGCTTGTATGTAGTCAGGATCTTGACTGGCCCATTACTTGCGTCCTCACCATTGGCCACCTAGAGACCACCCTTTTCTCGCATTAGCACGGGGTTCCTGTTGGGCATTTACAAGAATACCTACGAGACAACTAATATTCATCCACTTAATCCCAGCCGCCACCCTGAGGAAATACTACTCAAAACCTCCTTCACCACTGCCATTTCTACTCGAGCAACCGCTCCTCAGCCGGACCCAGGCCTCTCCCACCGCGATTCTGCGAGGACACCCCGTTGCTCGGGCCAGAGGAACCTTGGAAGGCATTTCTGCGTATATAACTCGGCAACGTCTACCAAACATTCGCCAGACATTCAAGTGTGGATCTCGAATGTCGTTACGACCTATACACTTCGAATACTAGAGGACGGCTTATTGAGACATCCCCCCCCCACCCCCTTCTCCTCTGCGCAGCCGCCTCGATAGCTGGTGTAGTGGCCGGACGAGTCTTCCTCCTCTCCCGCCTCTTCCGCCTCCTCGTCCTCCTCATCACCAGGTACCCGTATTCCGAGAGCCCTCACTAATCTGTCGCCGTGGCGGTCCAAAATCTCATCCATCGCCAGCCCTCTCAGCAGCCCTCAACCCGTGCAGCTGGTATCGGGGGCGTGGGGCCTCACTCGAATCGCCCAAGCAGCACCGGGCAAGCGGACGGCGAATTCGGTGGAGAAAGACCAGAGGGTGTCGAAACGATAACAGAGATCAAGCGGTACCAATTTGCGTCTGGTAGAGGCGGTCAATGTCTGGGTCCTCTGGACCGCCTTCGAGCAGGGGAACCGGATCCGATGTCGCAGAGGGAGCCTGCGTCACGATCTGCTTCACCTCGGATATCCAGGTCTCCTCCGACAGGTACGAACACGTCGCCGAGTTCACACCAGTCGGATTCTCGAAGGGCTGGTAACCAACCTGCCAACAACGGACCATTAGAGAGCGATGGCATTCCCCGAACTAATGGAGACCTAGCGCAGTCGGTACCCCAGAGGGGCTTCGGAGTGCGAAATATTCTGAACCCAGCGGAAGCGCACTCGTCACCGACCGGCACTGCGGCTTCAGTGCCTGGACCGCCCGGTGGCCATTCTCTAAACCCGAGCCCGAATCAGCAAGGCTCTTCCTTCGAGTCGTCGACTCCATCTACACCGCGACCCTTCCTGTTTCAAGGGCATGGGATGACGAGCCAACAGCCGACGAATCCCGCGGCTGGCGGCCACCCTCCGTTGGGGCCGTCGTTGGTGGATCGCGACTCGCCTGCATTGGCCCATTCGCATCTCGGTTTGGGAGCGGCCCGGCGAATCTTGACACCGAGATCTCCTCGAGTCGGTAGCACTGGACACGTCCCGCCGGCTCGGGCTTCGAACGTCTCCCAGCCTCATTATTATCCCTCTGCCCCCCCCGCCTCCAACAGCCGAGGCTTTCCTACTGACCCCCCAGCGCCAGGACAACACGTCCAATCTCCGCACATTAGCGGACCGCAATCTTTGGCACCTCACTTTGGGAGAATTCACCCTCCCGGTGTTGGCCCCCCGACCACCCTAGCTCCACTGACGGCGCTCCCCCCCCTCGATCCCTCTCCCAACCGATCCCGGGTCCATTCAACACTCCGGGGCATGAGTCTCACCATTCACGCGGGAGTTCTGGCAGCCAGCCAAGCCCACATGTCTTCAACTCGACCCCGCCGTACGCGACGACGACTCTCCCGCCCAGCAGCCGAGGGTTTCCCACTTCTGTGCCTATGGGGGATTCGAGGTGGTCGAGCGGATTCGGAGGTGCGATCCAGGGGGGGGCAGGGGTCCGGGGTATGATGGGGGTCGATGGGCACGCGGCGATGAATGTGGGTGGCGAACCGTTGATCGTGCCACTGGATATGTACAACGGGTCGAAGCAGGCAGATGAAAAGCGACAACGAAACGCGGGCGCTTCCGCGCGCTTCCGAGCTCGAAAGAAGGACAAGGAAATCCAGCAGGGGATGAGGATACAAGAGCTGGAGAGTCAGAACCGCGAGCTCCAAAAGCGCCAGCACGAGATAGAGAGCGAGCGGGATCGATACCGCAGCGACCGAGATCGGCTCCGCGATATCGTCTACCGGACTCCCGGAATCAGCGAGCTCGCTTACCAGGGCCCGCCGAGCCCCATCTCCACAAGAAGCGGCGGTTCTTTTCCGGAGAGAAGTCCCCTCGCCCCTAACCCGCCGCCGCCCCCCATGCCCGCGTACGGCGCCGCCGACCCTATAACAGGTGAGAGGGCGACGCGAAGACGTCGTACAGACTCGCAGCTAGAGTATAGCCCGTCCTACGCCGCCGCTCAGACCGGTCTTCCCTCGATCCCTCAACCTACGCACGCCCCTATTTCGCAACCGGGAACTCCTTCGACCGCGGCTCGAAACCCACGATTGCCTCCCTTACGGTTGGATCAGCCTGCTGGGACACCGAGCGCTGGGCCATCTACCACAAGCACGCCGGTACAGAGTTTCACCCCGTATAAGCGAGAACCATACGAGACCGGCTGGGCAACGCGACCCAGCGCGCCGCACGACCCGGGCCAACGTTAAGCACGCAAGCCCTAGCCCCGAACCAGAAGAACAAAAGACCCCCACCTCACCTCACTCGCTACTCTACTTTCGTTTATTGAAGCAAAACATGGTTATACTATATCGCTTTTAATCACTACTACGGGTTTCCCTCGCCTCTGACGAGGTTATACCCGAGGCGCATCATATTATTCTAGCATTGGACACAACGGTCATTAGAGATTACGCATAGCTCGGGCAACCGACATTTCGGGCGGGAAGGAAACCAAAAAGAAAGCTTCATATTGTTGTTGCCGCTTAACATGGTCAAGGTGTTAGGAATGAAGAACAGTTTGCTTTTTTTCAGTCACAGGTCGCGGGTCCCCAGCACCGAACTATGTACCAGATGCCTCCCCCCCCCCGGACGTCTTTCCTTTGTCCCATCTACTCGCGACATTTTTGCTGGGTTTGGATTTGGGGACGTTGCGGTTCACACGCACGCACGCACGCACGCACACATATATACATATCTACATCCCCGAGGGGGGTCCCGGAGTCCGCTGGTTAGGCTTGCTTGGAGTTGCGGCGTCTGTTTTTCATCATGGGTTCTTAATCTTTTTTCTATTATAGGCCATTATTCGATACCAGATTGCGAATTACCAGACTGCAGAAACTCTTTTATATCCATTCTATCCCGGATATCCCGAATACCCCACCGAGTTTGTCTATACAGCTACATACCGAGGAGCAAACACAGAGGAAGGAGAAGCCGTTTCTTTTACGAGATCACACGGGGCTTAGCATTTAGCGGAGTCTAAAATATCGGGCGAAGAGAGAAAGGAGTCGGTGGATTTTAGGCGTATTGCACGAGAGAAACAGCAGATAATGTGCGCGTTGTGTATATGTGCGTGGTGTTTGGATCACTTCCCGTTTTGGGAAAGGGGAGAAGGGGGAGGGGGGAGGGGACGGGGGCCAACAGGATGGGTTAGGATCACATTAAACGGCTACGCCAGAGGGTAAACCTCGAGGTCAGTAAATGGCCCGACGGGAGAATCCCAACAAAGGTGAAACAGAAAATACAATACACAATGTCTTCGCGCTGGTGACAAGCAGCCGTCTATCTGTCTACTCCGGGGTCAGATAGCAACAAGTCACGATCCATAAGCGTCTCAACTCTGGAAGTAAACATGCCATCCGTGCGACCCCGTACGGCCCAAATACCTGCCGTCGAGCGGCCGTTACGACGGCCTCTTGCCTGGTGCGCCAGAGACGCAAGGATGGTTGTCTGCCGGTCATGTCGTAAGTCGATAGATAATAGCACTGTAGCATTTGCTCTTACGCCCTTGGTCTCTCTTCTGAAGTTGCCACGGAGTTCTCCGGCAAAGAACTTGGATGCTTGCAACCTACATCTACTACTACTACTACTACTACTACTACTACTACTACTACTACTGCTGCTGCTGCTGCTACTACTACTACCTACTTCACCTACCTATACATACACACATACGCACACAGACACGCACACACGCTACAACACCATAGAATACGCACACGCACACACATAACACGCATACACACATGCATCTACATGCATCCATACGTACATACGCACATACGCACATACACATACGTGCATTCCAACAGCCTCTCGCACCTTAGACGGACATACCGAGGGCTGGGAGGATCGATCACCGGGGGGGGGGGGGGGGGGCTGACTGGACCCTTCTCGCCCTTGCGTTGGCCAATCCGTCAGAGGATCGGCCTTACCTTGCAGCATACGTCAGCGACGCCGTCGGTAGCGCTGCCGAGAGAGAAACACGCACATTCGGTACCGCGTCATACCCATCTCGTCTGATGCAGGACTGCGGGCGCTGCTTGGTCGCCGTCGGGGCTCCTCGGACGAGCAGAGCTTCTCTAGTGAACTCGCCCGCAGCTCCTCCGCCTCCTTCGTTAGTTAGCGTGCCCCCCCTCCCTCCTCCCCTCCTCCCCTCTCCCCCCCTATTATCGTGTTCGACGCCTAGCGGTGACCAACCCTGCTGCTGTATGTGTGTACGAACGCGCGCGCGCGCGCGCGTAGAAGACGCAGCTAGGACGGCCATCTGTCTCCTCTCAGCCGAGGGGGGGGAGGGGGGGGGGGCGCGGTAGATTCCGGGCTGCCACATGGCAGACCCTCTTTAGGTGCCGCTGTGCGTACAGGAGCCCGGGTTGGGGAGATAGGGGAGGAGGAGGAGGAAGGGGGAGGCTTAGGCCGGTAGGCAACTATATAGGTCCGTAGCACTAATGCGCGATGCGTGTTCCGGTCAGATAGGTTGGCCAGTCCCATCCTTCGCCCGTCCTACGGCCTCTCTGCGCCCTGTGTTCGCGTTCCGGCGTTCGTCGCTTGGCCTGCTCGCTCGCTCTGGCTCTGGCTCTCTCGCCCTCACGTCCGCCCACACAGCCCACTCCCCTCTCGCGCGCTCTCCCTCCCCCTCCTTTCCTAGACAGATTCCCGCCGAGAGCTCGATATCGACATGGCGGCGGGTTGCTACCACACGAAAAAAAAAAGAATCCCCCCCCCCCCCAAAAAAAGTCGGTCTTCCACCACCGTCGTCGGGACCGTACAGCCTACCTATATATTTCTGCAATCCTACCTTTCCATCCAGTCTATCGGACCTACGCGGCCTCCTACCGGCCTACCTGACTTGCCTGCCTGCCTGTCTGCCCGGTTCGTCCCGTATCGATATATCGATCTGACCCCTTCGTCCAGCTGGCGCGGCAAGACGTGCATGCTGCTGCTACGACCCAGTCCTCACCGCAACGGACGACGATAGATAGATAGATAGATGGGCACACCCGGGCGGCGGGCCACCTGGACAGAGCGGCGATCTGCGCCAGGGAAAGAAGAAAAAAAAGAGGCAGGTCGGGCGAATCGGAAGTTGGGGCTCCCGCCCAGCCTGTCACGGCACCTTTACCTACCTTTTCCTGCCCGCCCCCAAAGGAGGGCAGGGCCGTGTACCAGACTTGCGACGGGTCTGGGGGAGCAGGCTTGGCCCGCGGCGCGGTAATCTCGTGCAAGACCAGCCAAGCACCACTCCCGGACCGGGGGGGGGGGGGGGGCGATACGTCGATTCATATATGAATACGGGCAGGCAGGCAGGCAAGGCAGGCAGGCAGGAAGGTGGGCGGGCTCGCGGGCTGGCATACGGTACAGGCGACTGGGATATTACCTAGGTATGTCTGTCAGTCAGCTAGGCGTAGGTCGGTAGGTAGGCGTGGAAGTAGGTATTCTTTCGGCACGCTCGCCTGCTTGGCCCTCTCCGGCCCTCCCACCAGCCAGCCTATCGAGCGTTGTTCTCGTCGATGCTATTATTGCATCGTCCCGGACCCCTCTCTCTATCCTTCTCACTTACGTATGTACGCCCTCGCACACTCACCCACACCCCCTCCTCTCTCTCTCTCTCTCTCTCTCTCTCTCTCTCTTCCCCACGCCGGGGTGACGAGCCGCTGTAGGTGGGTAAATGGTTGGGCTGGGCCGCGCCGCGCGGTTCGACCCCCATCAATTATGTCATACCGTCACTTCACCTCCTCCTCCCGCCGACCTCCCCCCTCGCCTCCCTGCCCCTATTCACACTGTATGTGTCCTATAGGTGTCTCTGCGAAATTGGGGAGGAAGGGATGGGCGACGGAGCTGGAGAGGGTCTTTCTGCTCAATTACCCTAACGAGCGTGATATCAAACTAGAGGGGAGAGGAGCTTCAAGCTTGCTCTGCTTTCCTCGCTATCCGAGACCGCAGCAGCCGGCAACGTCTACCCGCTTTTGGCCGGGGTGCTCTCCTTTGGGTGGGAGGAGTCGGTGTGGAGAGGGAGAGAGAGTGAAGTGAGCGAGTAAGGTTAGATAGGTGAGAGGGGAGAGGGAGAGGGAGAGGCAGAGAGAGCGGAAGAGAGAGCGAGAAAGAGGGGAGATTCGCCCCAGACCCAGACACCCACTTCCTCCCCCTCCTCGTCTCCTCTTCCTCCCCGGTCCCGTGCCCCATTCCACGGAGCCCAATTTAAACGTGATCGATACTTTGAGATAGGTACCTACCTGCTACGATGTCCTCCCCAGGTTCGACGATATTAGATACATGACATAGGTAATAGAAATAAATAAAAACAAAAGGGTCCAAAGACGCCTCCGCGCCCCTCTCCCCCAATCTCCTCCTCTCTTCCGTAATCTCTTCTTTGCATAGGTATTTGCTGGTCTGCTTCATGACGAGATGCGTGATGACCCGGGCGAGAGAGACCGGGGCATCAATCCTCTTCCTCGCTGCTACAGACCGATCTGCCTCCCATCCTTGCCCTTGCCGGCCGGTCGGTACGACGCCAGGGGGTCTCAGCTCTGGGTCGTTAATACGCATGCAGAGACGGCAATGACAGCACGCTATCGGCCTCTCTATCGCTACGGGCTTGGCCGAGTAGTGTTATATAAGGCCGGCGTGTCGCCGCTGGGCAGCTGGGCGAGGCGGGATCGGTCATACCGGCCGCGTAGGGCGCTAGCGACACGACCGACCACGGCAGCACCAACAGCGCCAGCTGCCCGTGATAGCAGCAGCACTGGTAGCTATACTTACGTATTGGTTCACGGCGTGTCCTACCCGCGGTTGGCGACCTGACCGGTGCGTCTCCGCTAGGAGGGATGATGCTAACTTTAATAGTCACCCGGGCCTGGCTGGCGGCGCCTAGCTAGGATAGCCCGGCCTGCCGTCAGGGGCCCCTTGGTAAGGATGGACATGCGGCGTCGAGCCGTCGGTAGGGCTGATTTAAAGTTGATAATGAATCGATCTTAAGCTGTTGCTGCGTCGCCGGGGAGGATAAGCTTACTACGCACGCATACGTACGTCTTGGGAATATGTATGTATGCGCGTGTATAGTATGCAATTCCGCCCCATCCATAGAAGCCTAGTCGACGACAGCGGCTGGGCAAGTCTCTGACCGGGCTGGGCCGGGTCGGGCCGGGTCGGGTCGAGTCCCTGGCGGCGGTATTCCCTGCCACATCACATCCCAATCTCTCCTTTTCCTCTCTCATATACGACTCCTGGAAGTTCCGGCTGCATATGCCTATGCGATTCCAAGTCGAGGCTAGCCAATTCCATGCTGGGGATAGGGTATTACGCGGTGCCCTGCCACCTTAGCGCTATTCCATCTCTTTTTCGCTCTCTCGCTCTCTCTCTTGACCCACGAGCGAGGATCGACGCTAACCCCGTCGTCCCCGGTATTCCGATAGAAGCTCTCGTAGCCAACATCCGAGCAGTTACCCTGTCCCGCGGCGTGGTGTCTTAAGTGAGATTCCTCTCGTCGTGCTGCCGGCTGCCAGGTTGAGAGGGGCGAGTCCAGTCGAGTCCCTCCCGGCCGCTACTACTAGCTAGCAGCTAGCTAGGCAGGCGGGGAGGCAGTCAGCTAGAATCCACTGTGTCGGCATCCAGGCGCCGACAAGACATGCAGCTCAGCGGCACATACAGGCTTTAGCTGTTTTCTCGCTCTCTTTAAAATTCGCTGTAAGCGCCTTAAGCGGGCTTACCGTGGAGCGAGACAAGGTGAAAAGGGGGTATTAGATAGATACGGGGAGAGAGGTAAGGAGGGACATACGAGCAGGCAATAGCGCGAAAAAAAAAAAAAGAATTCTCGTGACCCTTTCCCCCCTATCAAGCGCCAGTACAGCATGCCTAGACGTATCTGATCTAACTTGGATGACTGGATCGTCCGTAATTAATTTACGCCGTCATACCCACGAGAGCTTCATCAATGAACAGCTCGATCTTGCTCAGCTCGCCCCCGGCCTAGCTGAATATGCTATGCCCTGTCGGCGTCGGCGCCAGTCCTGCTTGGCTTTCTCTCTCTCTTGTTCGTCGCTTGCCTGCCGTCGATCTCTAGCAATCACATTCGTCAGCTCTATTGTTGGTGGTCGATACCGCCTCCTCTCGGTGGCGGAGGAGCTGGGTTGGTTGGTGACGAGACTGGTCCGGTAGACTGATAGGCATAGGCGGACCAGCGTCGGCGCTAGTCATCGTCGATCGGATGGCTTGCCTGCACAAGAGCACATCATAATCACACCCACTGCTGGTCCAAATACGAGCGGACGTGTAAGCCAACTAGCCAGTAATGTACGATATGTGTATGTGCGATGTGTGTATGTGTGTATGCCGCCATGTCGAGCGCGCGCGCGCAGCCCCGGAAATCTGGTGCGCCTGGCCATGTCTCATCGGCCCCCCTTATTCCCCTCGAGAGATTCCATGTATCTATGGTGGCATTTCTCTTGAGATGACAGTAGAACCCGGAAATCTCCCTCGTCGGCACTGGTTGGTTTAGAGAACACCGCCAGTCCACCCATCCTATCCAATTTTGTCTACGCGGGACGCCCAACTATTCGCAACCCAACCTCCTCGCTGCTTGGACCAGGCTCAGTTCAGCTCCCGCATGTGGTGGAGGGTAATAGAGAGGACGAAAGGGGGACGAGGACAAGAATCCCGACCCTCCCCTTACTCCGCTGTCTCATCGGTTGTCCTGCGATGAAATGCGGAGAATAAACAAGCCCACTATTTTATTTCATCCCGTCGAGAGCTTTACACGGTACCCACGCGCCTTCTAGATTAAACTGTAGACGAGTACGTCAATTTCGAGGCTAGAAGCCCACCTATCCATCCACCGAACATGTGTGCGGATGTGTATGTATAGTCTGGACACATTGGATGGTACCGATACCGCGGACCTCTCTCTGACCATCTTCATCTATGGATCTACTACTGACGCTCTGACTACATACTTTTAGCTCACTGAGGTTGCCCAAAAGAACGGGAGAAAACCAGCGTGGAATAAAGACAGGTAGGTATGCTTTCCATTTGGTTACCTCGTAACACTCCTTCGCTGTCCCCCCCCTTTCCCATCTCCATCCCATACTTGTCACTCATGCCCCAAGTAAAGAAACTTGCCGATCCTCCATTGTCAGCAAGAGAAGGGGTTCCTTGAGCGTATTTGTGTTAGCGAACCAAATGCTGGTTTCGCTCATCCGTTTTCTTCCCTTCCTGGATTTTCTCATCACCCTATTGCGCGTGATAGTGGAAGCAATTTATCCATCTAGTTCCAACACAGACCAGCTCAGCCGACATATGATAAGAGATCCTACCACGTGGACCAAAGAAAGAAGGGAAAACACAAAAAAAAAGCCAAGCTCCCCTTAAACAGGTATATATGCGTGGACAGGTGTTTCGTGAGACACGCACCCCCTCCCATCCAGGCCCAGGCAACCCTCCGTAAATTCACCTACTGTTGCCATAGGTATCACGTCGTATATATCTAGAAACCTTCAATACTTTTATCGTACAGTCGTCCGTCATCTGAACCCCGAATGCGGATACTGTGACGGCGGTGGCACGTTAGCGTTGAGGCTGCTCACCGGGGGTGGCACTGGGGGCGGCAGTGGTGGTGCTTGCTGTAGCCCATATGGGCTGAAGCTGTCCGCCGACTGCATCAGAGGTGCGATGCTAATGCCGGTGACGGGTACCCCCGGACCCGCCACCCCCGGCCCGGGCCACCCGTGCCATAACGTATCGAAGTCAATCTCGGAGTCGTTACCACTGAGGGGATCAACCCCGGGTACAATGCCCCCTGCCGTCGCGACGCCGCTGTTCAGCGACGCGCTTCCCTCGGGGCTCGGCTGTTGCAGTGTTTGTGACATCATAGAGCGCATCGAGGGGTCCGGCGCCACCGTCGTCATGTTGGCCATCGCCCGGTCCTTGATCATCGATGTGTCGACTACGTACAGGTCTTGCCGGTCAGGTTTCACGCGATGGAAGAAGTGGGAAATCGGGTCGTGCTGGAACGTCTGCAACAACGTGGATACGGTAGGTATTTTGCGGCCAGGTAGAGATATCTTCTTGGCTGTCGAGGACCTCTGAATATTCGCGTTGTGGAAGGTTTCGATAATATACGAAACTCGCTTAGCCTGTGCGTCCCTTTGCCCGCAGTAATTTAATATCGATAACGCGCTGCGGATCGAATTCTCCGCGTCGGGATTGTGGTAAAGCGAGGCGAATTCGTTGCTCAGGATTATGAGCGCTGCCGAGAAGACGAAGTATCTATTCAAGGGAAGCAGCCTACATCAGCTCTTAGTTTTATAAAGTAATTCAGTGCAAGAGAAAAGGGGTGGAGCAGGTGGAGGAGGCTAACATAACGAAGGGATTGCACTGAGGTAGATATGCAGCATTTAATGCGCGGGCTACCAAGATGATGGTTCTTTGCGAGGTTTCGACGCAGGCCTGAGAGAACTTCTCTAATCTTTGGCTGAAATTGTGCGGCTTTCGAGGATTGCCTGACAAGTCGTCACAACCCATCTTGAGGAGGAATAGGAAGAAGGGTCTCGTGAGAAGCAAGACGGAATGACAATGAAGGAGATTAACGTGGAGTATAGCAATCGCTTGTGCCGAGTCGATGGGTTCGTCAACGATCCGTTGACAACGCAAGTCGTGATGCAATTCCCGCTCCCAATGTTCCAGGTGATCGGCGATTTCCTGTGCGACTAGAGTCGAGACTCTTCGTTTCGAGTAGACCTTCTTAAGAGTCGACCCGATCAAAAAGCAGCTTCTGACAGCGGCGTCTAGTGCCACTGAGCTTGTTTCCGTTGACGCGCCGCCGATCACGGTTTCCTCCACTCCCATCATCTTGGGGGATTCTAGCGCATGCTCGGAGCAGTCTTCCTCTGAGATGGCCGTGGGGCGGCCGAGGCACGCCGAAAGGAAGCGGTCGAGGATGAAGAGAGTCCTCCACACATTCCTCCGGGTCTGGCGTTCAGGCTCGCTGAATATCACCATGCTCTCCTCCCTATGTAACCCCAAGGCAAACGCGGATCGTACCGCCATTCCTATTTGCCATAGTTAGAAAATTCAGAAAGGAGAGGGGGGGAGGACGGATGTGGTAGGGGACAACGGAGCATGCTAACCATAGTAAGCATATGCCGCATTTCTCTTAGACACCGATAGCATGTAGAGCGACATTAGAAGAAGTGCCTGGATCGACCAAAAGTCTCCATCCTCAAAACCCGATACCGGGTCATGTATGCTCTTAGCATTCTGGTAGAAAAGCTCAGCACGGCTGATGGGTTCGGAATGCAAATTTTGAACCACGGCCGCGTCGTCAGTTCCCTCCGGCGGGCGGGCGATGACGAGGCCAATGGCGAAAACTAAATTCAACACGCATAACAGCGGTTGGCCAATGCTAAGGGGTTCGTTGTAGCATTCTTCCACCGACTGGAGAAACTCGCTCTTATTGAACACCTCGATGAGTCCCGATGTCTGAAACTTGATGAGAAACCTGGCTGAGTGTCAAACATGAGGGTTTTATACATACGTTCGTAAAGAAAGACTCTACTAGTATATCGGCTGTTTTCTTATCTGGGAGCACCCCGGTCGGCCTCGTATCCCGCGGGAGCAGGATGGTATTTTCGAGTATATTGTGCCTTTGGGGATCGACGGTAAACTCGGACGGGCCAGAGACGCTCTCCACAATCATGCGAATCAGCTGCAAGTATGACAGGCTAGCAGAGTCGCCAACGTATACTAGATTATCCAGAATATATCAGCACGCCGAGCGCTTGTTTCTCAGATGTGTGACATGCCGCTAGCATGTCGCCAATTGTACCGCCTGGTGAAAAGGGGAAAAGGGGGGGAGGGGGGGTATATTCTCACGACACCCCCTGAAGCCCTCCCCGCCCCCGTATAGATATGGCATGGCGAGTATACGTAGTATCGGCTGTTCTGTAGAGGAGGGAGCAAGCGCGCCCGCTATCCACCCGATCACAGCGGAGACGACGCGGTTTGGACTTACGTAGCCTTCCCGTCATGTCCATCAGCATTCTCGGTAGGGATACAAGCTCTGCTTCGTCTGCGGTTCCGCTAGCATTGCTTATCCGAGAGCGGGAATCGAAATCGCGATCAATGCTACTGAGAAAAGTGCGAGACATCCCCATGGGTTTCTTTTGGTCCGACTCGAGTGACTCCGCCTCTGCGAGTCCCATTGCCGGCCTGTCAGCAGGTCTCCACGGCGCAAGGGATGGTGTGGTGTGTGCCGTGGCGATCTGGTTGGATTCGAGAATAGGTTTCAACATGCTTGGCGAACCATCAACATGTCGACGCTTACTCGGCGACCCGAGGGATTCTTGGGATCCGCCTTGTTCCAGGCCGGATGGTGTGTACAGGCACTCCAGGTTCCGCTTGACACATGTGTTACATGGCTTCAACCCATTGCACTACAACGACTCCCACAGTTAGCAAGGTTGGTGACAATAAGTTCTGATGCTCAATGAAACTCTGTAGTGGACTTTCGATATGCTGTCCACGTTTGAGTGGCTACACAATTTTGCTGGTCCTTTGTGAGACGGTAAGCGATCCTCTCGAAACAGACCCGTAGCGTCGGTTGTCGCTGCTCATAGCGTGCGCTACGCAAGTAGGGATGTCTGTCTGTCTAGAGAGAGACGTCCTCGACGATCTACCCCACAAACTACTTCACATACCCGTTGCCGGAAATCTGGGCGACTTCACGTGCGAGATACGACAAAGAATAGGTAAGGGCGGTTGTGATGGAGAGGAGAACGATGCGGGGGGGGGGGGAGGGGGGAATTCGACGATTTGACTGACCTTTTGTTTCCTGCGTTTACAAGAGTCGCAAGCCTGGGCGGTACGTTGCCTCTTGTCAGGATCAACCTTAGGTCGTGTCATGATGGTATGAGCCACAAGGAATCCAGGTCACATCCGCCATCCGACGCTTTCGCCACACGACGGCAGAGCTCAAGTCGGACAGCGGAGAGAAAGCAGAACCAAATGATGACTTCGGGTCGGCGCCGGTCTTATGGGTGCAGAGGCGTCGGTCTCGGATGCGGACAAAATGCCCAGGTCTAGCCCTATCGGAAGACAGACGGGCCCTCAGGTCCAGCGGCGTGGGAATGCGGTTGAACTGGAATGTGAATTGACCCGGCAGTAGTAGCTCGCTCGTCTACCCGGCAGAGGAGGGACAAGCGGCCCACATGCGGCACAGGCAGCGGGAAGGGAGGGGGGGAGTATAGATAGTTGACAAGGCTGTTGTGGATGCGTGGACAGCGGACCCGGTGGAAAAGGGTATAGAACTAGAGTATATAACCGAATATACAAGTCGAAGGGGGGGCGAGGGTGTGTGGGGGGGGGCGCGGGCAGGTAAGGCAGCGACCAAGCAGCTTAGCTAGCTGTAAGAAGCCAGCTCGACGGGACGGGGAGCGCTATAGTGATCTGCCACAGCAGTAGCTGACTAACGCGGGAAGGATGGCGATGATAAAAAAAGAGGCGGGAATGTCAGGAGGATCGCACGCAGAACCGGCCGGACGCGTCGGAAGCGGGAGATTGGCAAAGGAGAGAGCTATCGTGGGGATGTTATGGTAGAGAGAATACAAGGGCCGGCTCGATAGCTTTTTCTCGAGAACGAGCTCAAGGATGGTGGCCGACGCAGAGCCATGCACGCCCACTGGTAGGTGCCCTCTCCTGAGCCGGACATTGGACGGTCTCGGCCCCCTTTGACTTTTCCGGTCATGATTTCGATGAGAGATGGGAGCAGGGCTGGGGGAGGGAGTAGGCCCGTGATTGGGCAGCTGGATCGTAGATCAATCAAGTGAGACTCCGTCAGGCAGTAGGGTGGCGTTCTCGCACCGCCCAAGACGCGGGAGAAGGCTTGTTTTCTGTAGCAATGCCTTGTTGGGTGTGTGGTCTTGGGTATTTTCTTCTTTTTTCTTCTCCTTCCTCTTCCTCGTCTCCCCCCTTCTTCTTCGTCTTCTTCTCCTCCTTCTCGAGATCGTCAGGGGCTGTTGGGGGGGGGGGGCGAGGGGGGCGAAGGGATCTCGACAGATAAAGGAGTGCGGACTTTTTATTATCGACAATACACCACGCGCCCACGCGCGGATATATACACAAATATATACCTCTCTCTATATATCCCGTATGTATATGTATATGTATATATATATATATATATATATTTGTTCCGGACGGGGAGCCCACGTCGAGATCAGTGGGCGGCCGGAAACCGTGCTCTGTCTCTGTCTCTGTCTCTGTCTCTGTCTCTGCTATGGGGTGCCCGGACGGCACGTTGCCAAGCGACTGGTCGTCTCGATATTTGCAGCGGCCATCACTCGCCTGTGGCTTCAATAATGGCACCAGATGCCGTACGTGTTGAGGCGAATCCCACCGGATCTAGCGAACTGACGAATGTGAGATGTGACGAGAGGGCAATATGGATAGGTGTGTGCGTGTTGGTGTGGGCAAGCATGTGAGGTTCGTGGCTGGCCCACGGTGCTCGTCACGCCGGGATATCCAGATTTTTACGGGCTAAGGTCGAGATGCGGTTAGGATGAGATGAGATCCACGATGAGATGAGACGACGATGGCGCACCCATACTTGCCTCGTCACGCCCGGAGGTAGGGGATTCAGCCCGGTCGTCTGCTCAGTACCGCATATTCGGGTACACGATACCGCACGCTCTGCCGATATCCCAGCCGGCGGCCACGTATAAGCAACCTCTCTCCGCAGTCACTTGGAGGTACTGGTGATCAGGGCCAAGTCGCGGCGGGCAGGCCCTTCCACTAGGAACAGCTAACGGCGGAAGCAGGCGCTACGGCCAACCGTCTCCGCCGGATAACGCACCTAAATGCCGCCAGGGACGGGAAGGGCCAGGGGCGAAAAAGAAGCCGGAGGAAGTGGGCTACGTACATGTAGATGGATACCCGCCTGCCTTCTAGAAACCTGCAAAGCCGCGGGGGGTAAGGTACACCGTAGGTAGGTAGGTACCTAAGGTAGTACATGCGCCCGAGCCGTGTGCCATGGAGTACATTAGATACCCTGAGAAGGTACCTACCTGCTACCTATAGGTACCTCAACCTGCCTACCTGTCCGTGCAGGTGCCTCGGTATATGTATGCTAGGGCAGGGCAGGCACTACTCATAGTCTATCCATGATAAGGGGGACGGGCCCTCCCCCCTTATCGACCTAGGTACAAGGCAGGTAGGTAGGTACCTAAGGTAAGGTAGGGTAGGTAGAGTAGGGTAGGTCTATGTATACCTTTATCTTAGAGGTACCTAAGGTAGGTACCCGCAGGCTGGCGAGAGGAGGAGTACATATAGAAGTAGCTACCTAGGTAGGTACCTCTCGGAAGACTATCTAACGCAAAAGGAACTTAATGCGGTGCCAAAGTTCAATGCTACCCAGGTACGTAAACCTGCAGGACGCATGCCTTCCCGAGGATGCCGGTACTCTCGAGTACGTGACGGGTTCCATGCCCACGCCTCGGGTCTAGCCGTCGACGATGTAACGCCAGGTATCTACACCACGCTAGGCAGCCTGTTGTTGGAGGTTTTGTTCTCCAACAAGCCGTTCGTAACCTGCGCCCCAGCCCGCCCGCTCCGTCACCTCACCACTTTGGCTCCAGGGGTGCTTCAGCGAAGACACCTCCATCTTGCCGAGTCCCTGAGGTGGGAGATGTGTGCCTAATGGGGTCTAGCCACCCATTATATGCGGCTCAATCAACCTCACCACCAAAAACATCAACCTCTCTCTCCCCCTCGCCCTCGTCGTCTCTGTCTCGCCCCCCTCACCGTTCACGAACATCTCTTCCCCACTCCCCTTGACTCAGCTAAGACAAGCTGTCAATGCCTTTTCTGAGACCAGATGTGTCACTATGGGCCGTTGGATAAGCAACCTCCCCCCCCCCCCCGACCTGGTCAACGTTTTGGACGACTTGCATTCCTCGGATGGTGCACTTCGTATCTGTCTCGTCCGCGACCGATTCGTCGGCGGCCTGGCATGTTCAGCATTCTTCCGTCCCTGCATGTTGGTCTCAAACCGTCTTCACGCGATTCTCGATTAGGCACTCTGGATCTGCGTGTAACCCTTTACCGCAAATTCCTCCGACCTCACCTACGTCGTGACTGGCGACCGCTGCCTCCGTCCCAATCGGCCGCATCAATCTCGATGCCTGACCTTCGCTACTATCGGTAGCGTTAGGTGCTCCGAGGCTAAATTCATGGCTGTCTGTTCATTTCTCGGGGTCTTTTCATTCGTCTCTACCGAGACGAGTTGAGCAATGTCCGCACGTGCCCCAGCACCGTCGGGGCCTGTAGACGTCTTGCTGAATCGTCTTGATACGGGCCGTCCGCTAGGCTCGGCTGGCCTCTGGCACGCTTTCTAGGCCGCGGTAGGCCCTCGGTGCTAATTTCCAATCGGCAGAGCATCGCTCCACGTCGTCGGGTGCACTGCAAGGACCAGCGTGCGAGGGTGCTTAGTCACGTAGTCGGTTCTCAGTCCACCGCGGGATTGCCTAGCCGTCTTGTCGTCGAGGCCGCAATGCCTCTAGCGGCATGCCTACACACGTGTGGTGCTTTTTGACACACCACTGCCGAATGTGGATACCGCTTCTACTGGATGGACCGTTGACACGAGTCCGACCTAGCAAGGTTCAGTCTGCCATCTCTTAGACCGCAAGAAAGATCATCACTTATGTGTCCTCCCCCCTGGATCCCGATTTCGCAAATGGGGAGTTTCGGTGAGTAGCTCCGAAAATGATGGATCGCAATATCCTGCTGTATGGAGTATACGTACTGCTATTCACGGTCTCTCTCGCGGCTTTAAGTAGCTGTGTGGCGTACCGTTTTGGGCGTCCTTGCTTTCTTTGCCTATAGTTTATGGTCCCAAGCCCTCATTTGGATATCGCCTTCTGCTGCCTCGATTATGACCGTCGGGCGTCCAAAAATAGACTCATCCATGGCTGTGGGGTCTGGAAGTAGTCCGGTAAGCGAAGGTGCGAGAATTGCTTTCAAGACGTTATGGCAATCCCTCAAGACGGAGCTTCCGGGGGCTGCCCTGTGGCACGCCGAGCACGCCGCGTTCTTGAAATATTCCCAGACGGGAGACGCGGTGTGCTTCCCGTGCCCCTTGCGCGAGCAAGAAGCGGTAGCAGCACTCAAGGCCCTCGAAGGATGCGTTGCTGCTGCCATTGCGGATGTTCGAGGGACCCAACGCGAAAGGGCCATAAAGGTCACCCTAGAGCACGTGGCCACTTTTCTAATGTCCGCGTACATCACCAACATCGACGGCTTGGATAAGGGCAACCCCGACACCAAGAAGAGAATACCCGGTTTGTGTCATGTATCCACGTCGGAATGGGGCCTGGAATAGTTGCGCTAATCAAAAACACGAAGATACCGATTTAAACCAGGCCCAGTCGAATATATACCGCCGCCTATCGGCCGGCCTTTACGAAACTAGGCTCCGAGGAGAGTACTACCACATACACGGATCTTTAGAAGCCACGACGACTTTGGAGATGATAGGCCTCCCCGCATTTTTCCCAGGATTGGTAGATTATCGGGAGTGTATTGATGTGATCGAACGAGCGGTTGGACGGTTCTCTGCATCCGAGTTGGAAACCCTCAATCGGGAACACCACCAAGCAGGCGCGCCGGTTTTTACCAGAGAAAAATACCAGAAGACCGCCCATGGCCGGGCACTGGCGTCTCTTCCCCTGTTCACTGTAGCACCCCTGAACATGGACACACCGCCGGTCCCATTCGCGAATCCGACGGGTGGCCCGGATCAATGTCTGCAGGGAATTCGCGTGATCGAGCTGTGCCGAGTGATCGCAGGCCCGACCATTGGTCGTGCTCTGGCGGCACATGGCGCATCAGTGCTCAAGATTACCTCGCCCCAGTTACCAGATGTCCCGTTCTTCCAATTAGACGTCAATACGGGGAAACATACGACATCGCTACATCTCAAGAACGCAGAGGATGCCGACACATTCGAATCGCTCCTCTCTACGACCGACGTCATCGTCGACGGATATCGGCCCGGTGCCTTTGCGCGTCTCGGGTATCGTCCGGAGGAGCTCGCGGCAAAGGCAGCACAGCGTGGCAGAGGCCTCGTCTACGTGACCGAGGATTGTTTTGGTGGCGTTGAGAGGGGTGCCGAATGGTCTGGACGTCCGGGCTGGCAGCAGATTGCGGATTGCGTCACCGGCGTAGCGTGGGAACAAGGCCGATTCATGGGGCTGGACGAGCCGGTAGTCCCGCCGTTTCCTATGTCCGATTACGGGACAGGGTGTGCCGGTGCCGTTGCGGCGCTATCGGGCATCTATCGACGGGCGACCGAGGGCGGCAGCTGGATGTGCCGGACCAGCCTGTCACAGTACGACCTGTTCCTCCTATCTCTCGGTACATACCCGGCCGATGTTGAAGAAAAACTGCGTCACGAGCACGACCCTCGCTTCTTCGAGCTACGCCATAACGACTCCGTGGACGAAGTAAGCCAGCGGGCCCTGCGCAGCATCAAGCGTCTCCACCCGGAGCTGTTCGGGGACCACATGATGCAAAGCGCGTATAGCGAGGCGTTTAACGGCGTGGTTAAATGGCCCAAGGAGCCACTCGAGGTGGAGGGCATCGAGATTGGCCACGTGCGGCCAACACGGCCTAACGGGTATGACAAGCCGACTTGGGAGGACTGGGAAAGGGACGATGCGCTACTACCACAAACGTAACGTCCCTCTGTCGAGGTATGTATGGGATCCAGGTTATTTATCGTCGGTTCCAAAGTCGTATCGGAATGTCGATGCTCTTCATCCTTGTCCAACGTGGGCGAGAGTCGCGGTAAATTCCGTGGAGAACATCACTTGAAAAGCAGGAGGCACGTTAGTCCCGACACCGCCAGGGGGGAGGAGAAGGGGGGTAGAGGGAAGGTTAGCGAGTTGTCTAGGCATAGCATGGTGTGTGCGTGTCCCTTTCTAAGAGTATTTATCGTAACCACGATGTGTCATTGGCGCAATTTTGCCCTCTACACGTTCCGGATTGTTTATGGGATTACAAATGCCCGAGTCGTATATCCTTCCTCGGTAGTCTAGGAGCCGTGGCATTTAATGGGCGAGCATGATCGGGTATTGAAATAGGCAAGCCCCTCGCACGATATCTATATAATTACCCCTCACATCACAGACATTGCCACATCAACCACGTATGGTCTAGCTGCTGGACCTGGTTGAAGGTGGCAGGGAGTGTGTTGGGGGGGAGGGGGAGACAAGAATACGTAGGTATAAGAAGCCCGGGCTCGCTTCGTCGCGGCGGACGCCTTACCGCATCGGCTGCCGGCGAGCTACGCGGTGGCGGCGATGGGTAGGACGAGGACGCCAGAGCGACACGGAACGATCTGCCTAAACAGGACGTCGATGCTTCTTGACTTTTACGTGCGTACCGCCAGAGTCACACGACCGGTGGCGCCGGCAAGGAGAGACCGGGCAGACGGATAGATAAGATGGGCGCAGATAAACGAGGCCCCCGTCGTCCGCGGCCCCCTTTCCTCCCTCCCCCCCCTCCTCCGCCTCGCCGCCTCGTCCGAAGGCAGGCAGGTCAGGTGGCTGGCGGCGCGCGCGACACGCGCCCGAGTGGACGCATCTACCTGGCGGTATCCCCCCACGCCCGTGCGATTCTCCTGCGCCTGTCGGACGATGTGCTGGGACGGGGGGGGGGGAGCTCGCTCAGGCCACCGGCGGCGCCGCGCGCGCACGCTCTCTCGCCTGAGGCGCGTGGGGGGGCGCGGCCTGGTGGTTCGCTGTGCGACGGAGCGCGCTGGCTCTTGGCGGCGCTGGGCCGCGCGCGAAAAGGGGGGGGGGGGGAAGCGCGGACAAGGCCCCGCATTGGCTACCGAAGGATCAAGCCGCGGCCGGGTGCGTGCAGCAGGGGCTAAGGTGATATTCCCACCCGCACACCTCGGCGCAGGCGGAGGACTCATCGTAGATAGGGGTTGGGCGGGGCCCCTAGGCTGGTGCCGCCCGCTGCTCCCGACGCGCGAAGGATCTGCCAGCGGGCGGGCCTCGCGCGAGAGCCATTGGTTGCCGAGGCGCCTTGTGCGGTGCGGACGACGACGCGCCGGACGCCGTCACACCGACCGCGCAACGTAGCGCAGCAGGCTTTTTTATGCCTCTCTCTCTCTCTCTCCTGCGGGCGGTGCTGCTGCTGCGAGGCGACGGGTGCGCGCTCACAGTCGGTAGAAGGCAGGCAGGCGGGCGATGCGCCGATCTGGCAGCAGGCGGACGGCTAGGTAAATGTGGCGCTCCGCGCTGCCATCATGGTCATGTCGCCGAGGGCGCCGCGCAGCCGCAAGCTGAGCAGGCTGGGACGGGCGGGATCTGGTGGATAGGAGATACCTACGTGCACGTCGCTCGTTCTCGCGCGGGATGGTTACTAGTTTAGGTAGCTAGCCTGCCTGGAGAAAAGAGACCGGCGAAGAAGAAGAAGCACCCTTGGCGGTGGCACAGAAGCAGGCGTGACACGGCCTGCCAATAGTAAAACCACAACGGTTCAATGGGCTGCCATCACTGCACCCATTGGCGCTGGCGCTAAGTCAGCCACGCCGCACATATGTGGGCAGAAAGGCAAGGAAACTGAGGGTTGTGAGGGTACTGTGATTGTCCGTACAAGGGCTAGCATTGCCGCCACATGGAGACGTTAGGAGACCGGCGGATTTGCCAACAGTGAGACATGACATATCAAGGGGTACGAGCCCCCGCTCTTCGCTCCCTTCCCGCGGGGGTTAGGAGGGTAGCAAAAAGGAGGAGGAGGGGGGAGTGGCTTGAGAAGATGTGCTCGTATTTCCACGTCAAGCCGGTGGAGAAGGGGGAAACACAACAACCAAAGAAGACGGCTACCAAGAGGGAAACGAGGTAAAAGGAAAAGAATGGCGAGACATGTGACAAGACGGACAACAAAGACGCCTAGACAGCTGGAGGAGGGAAAAAGCATAGTCACGCCGTGGATCGAACACGGAACCTTCTCGGGTCATTTTGAACACATCAATGTGAACGAGAAATCATAACCATTAGACCACGCGACTCTTGGGATTCTGCTCCGTTATCACGGTACTAGTTAGCTAGCCGCTCCACCGTCCTCTCTGCCAGTGGTAACCTACTTAGGTAGACCGGGGCTTGGCTTTTTCAGGGTTCGTTTTTCCCTTTCTAGTGTGCATGTAAACGGGAGCGGAACCTAACCAGAACCAGCTACCCGAGGGGGAGGGGGAGGGGGAGGGGGGGGGGGGAGAGGGGGGGTAGGTTAAGCGAGCGACACGCACAAGCACAGCAAAGTTGAGCTGAGAAGGTGGAGGTATAATAACACCTGTGTAAGTTGTCCATGCTATTCCCAGAGAGCCCTGGGATCAGGCAAGCAGAGCGGTCTACTAAGGCGGGGTTGCCTGTGGGCCTCTCGGAGGGTTTATTATGGCTGTAGTATAGGTGCACAGGTAGGTACACCTTATTCTACTGGGCCTATATTCTGGCTGCCCAGGTAAGAATGGGAGCTCCAGCATAGAATTCTTCTGCTTCTGCTTCTGCTGCTGCTGCTGCTGCTGCTGCTGCTTGCTGCTTCTTCGTCCCTGTACGCGTTCGACGTAACAAACACACCTTTGCTTGCGCGATGATGAAGCGTCACCAAGTTGCCCCGCAGGATGGTGAACAGCGGGAGGTGGGCAAGCGAGGCGGCGACCCGATAGGACGGCGAGAACTGCCGAACCCGGCAAGGAATGCTCGGAGGGTTGGTTTAGGCATCAGATGTCTCCCTACCTATCTATCTCTCCGACCCGACGAGCAACCTCGCTGAGTTGCTCTCGACGATAGCATAGGTATACCTACGTACGCGCATAAGCGGGCCGCAGGATGGAGGTCCGATCGGTGCAACCGGCTGCGACGATTCTTTCGCTTAAGCTGCCCCTCCGCCTACGCGGATAGGGCGGGAGGGGGGAGAAGAGGGATACAGCGAGGCAGACTAGAGGGACAGAAACCAGCGACAAGCGAAAAGAAGAAATTGTACTGGCAATAAAAACATAAATTTGCAACTTGTCTTCGACGACCGGCGCCGATATCCAATACCCAAGCCGCTATAGGTAGGATAGGCGGCGTTAGGTAGGTAATGGCTAGCTAGAGGTAGGTAGCTTGTCGCCGACAACCAGATCGGATGAAAGTGCGGCCCTGTCGACGGTCTTGATTACCAATACCGACGCAACCTCTTGCTGATTCTTTTTTTCGGCCCATCCGCAGGCCATGGCGACATTGCCTAGCATCCAGAGAGGGTAGGGGTGCGATCACGTCTTGGAAACCCCGTGCTCCGGTCCGGTAACCCGGGATGACCAATCCACCCCGGCTCGTGCTGCTGCTGCTTCTTCTTCCCCCTGCCCGTCCACGGCTTCTGGGAAATAGATAGGTAGCTCGCGTCCCTCTGGGGTTGCCTGCTACCTATCTACCTGCTCGTGCCTGACTAGCACCTCGCTCCATAATGCGACGACGCCCTCCCGGTGGAGCCGTCGTCATTGCCTGGCGCAGACGTCGCAGACGTCGCATCCTACCAGAATTGTAGCCCTAGTAGCGGTCTCGGAGCCCTGGGCTGTTTTTTTGACCTCTTCTTATTCTTCCTGCATTGTGGGTGGATCGAGAGAGACCGCCAGTATACCAAAAACAGTCTTACGCTCTCGCCTGAGGGACAATTTTGTTTATTACCTACGTGTCCGATCTCTCTTCCCTCCGGGGACACCCACCCCCTTGTGATTCTCGGCCTGCGCGATGAGAACATACGTATACTTGTTGCCCTTTTACGCCTCCTATGTCCCCTTACGTGTGATTACTTCGCGGTAACTCGGGTAGCTCGGCGCGCGGCGTTGCTTAGCTGCGAGAGAAAAGCGGCATGACGCGGGTACCGGTCATCGAGGCGCGGCGCGGCTCCGAAGTCAAGTTCGGATCCGATAATACGGATGGCGTCCAGACGGAGACGGACGTCAAAGTGGCCGCCTCCGCCTCCGCTGCCGACCCCGACATCGACCCCAGCCCCGACTCCGTACCCGACGACGAGCCGCCGGAGGGCGGACTCGTGGCCTGGTCCCAAGTCGCATCGGCCCACATCGCCAACATGCTGTCCTGGGGCTACGGCACGGGATTCTCCGTCTTCCAGCTCTACTACAAGCAGAATATGCATTGGCCGAACGCCCAGGTCGCCTGGATCGGCTCCGTCCAGATCTTCTTCCTCTTCCTCCTAGGCATGGTGTCGGGCAGGCTCTCAGATGCCGGCTACATGGTGCATTCCTACGCCGGCGGAGCTCTCTTGACCGTGATCGGCATGTTCATGACGAGCGTGTCGACTCAATACGTGCATATAATGCTTGCCCAGGGGGTCTGCATGGGCATCGGCGGCGGGCTGATGTTCATGCCGGCCACCGCGAACGTCACCACCTACTTCAAGAAGAAACGGTCGGTGGCCGTCGCCTTCAGCGGCTGCGGGTCGAGCACGGGCGCCATCCTGTTCCCCGCCATCATCCAGTACCTGACACCGCAGGTCGGCTTCCCGTGGGCGGTTAGGATATGCGGGTTCACGTCCGTATTTCTGGCCGTCGTCGGGTTGCTCATCCTGACCCAGCGCAAACTGCAGAGGGTCCCGGCACCCTTCTTCGATCTGGCTGCCTTCAAATACACACCGTACACCACCTTCTGCGTTGGCGCGTTTCTCATGTACTTCGGTCTGTTTACCTTGCTTATATATGTGAGTTTTGAGATATCGCTGTCCGCACAACCGCCCGCGAGGAACGCTAACGAACGGCGCGCGCGCGCGCGCTCGTGTGGCAGATCAATTCGTTCGCTCGCGAGATCATCGGCTTTAGCGACTTGCAGTCCGTCAACTTCGTCTTCGTAACCAACGCGGTAGCCATCCCGGCGCGGCCCATATTCGGCATCATCGCCGACCGCTACCTCGGAGCCGTCACCACGTTCGGCTGCAACACGGTCGCGCTCGGCGTCATGGCGTTCAGCTGGATCGGCGTCACCAGCGGCTCGGCCATGTACGCCTACTCGGTCGTCATGGGCTTCGTCAACGGGGCCGCCCAGGGCATCGTCTCGAGCGCGGTGAGCAGCTTCGTCAAGGACGTGGCGAAGATGGGCACCTGGATGGGCATGGTGTTCGGCCTCGGCGGCTTCGCGACCCTGGCCGGACCTCCGGCCATGGGCGCCATCATCGACGCGAGCGGAGGTAGCTACCTGTGGGGCCAGGTTTGGGCGGGAACGTTAATCGTCACCGGCGGCGTAACCGTTCTCGTGTCGGCCAGGCTGCTGGGGGGGCCACCGAAAACGGGATTTTGGCCCCGAGTATGACGGGCCAAGGCGAAGGGGAAGAAGAAGAAGCGTGATCCCCTCTCTGTGAAGGCTGGGAGGTTGGGTAGGTTGGGCATTTTCGTTCCGCAATTGCTCCAAAGTTGTGACCATAGGTAGGTCATGGTATGAGAAGCGGCGATGTCGTGATAGGCATTTTGGATTAACGATGGGGGTTAGCGGGTAAAATGGGTAGGCACATGGAGGTGCCGCAGCGATAATTGATGGTAGGTAGGAAGGTACCTATGCCTAGGTAGGTAATTAGGGGACAGAATCGAATAGAGATATTCGACCGGGCTTCATATGTGTTTCTAGGCCGTCTCTGGGGAGGTCACCGTCGCTAATGAGGCGGGCTCCCTCCGTGGGCGTCGCGTTGTCGCCCCGATATACGGTATCTCAGGTCGAGATGGGTGGCTGAGCGACCCAGATACAGTAGCCACACATCACAACTTGATCTGCTAAGCCACGATTTGGGCGGGTTGGCGCATAAATGACGTTGCGCATCCACTTCAGGTGCTACTTGGGTACGTAGCAGTAGCGCGTTTTCCTGACGTCATGACCTCTCGAACAGCCAAGTATCCAAGTAGGTACCCAAGTACTCCGGTACTTGAGCGTTCGGGGTCCCTCTTGTCCTGGTAATTGGCCGCTTTGTTGGGGACTCCATCGCATGGCCCTTATCCCGAGCTGCTCGCGTCTGTCGTGTTTTAGGTGCTGGGTGCTGTAACGACTGGTTGGTCCTTGGCATTCATTCGCCCCCCTTCCACGCCGGGTTGGCCAACTGGACAACGGACGGAAAGTCGATAGGTGATGAGTCCGTCGGGCGGCCTCTTCGCATCGACATAAATGCACAACGGGCCAGAGACGACAGCCAGTAACCCCGATACTTACCCTGTCCGAGTCCCTACCGGATACACAGATACACGCAAGAATCAATTCATTCATCAGCACCGGCGAAAATCGATCGATTCTCGATTTCTCTCTGCCGTAACGCGGTTCGACTAGACGGACGATTAGCTAGCTCCGTCCATCCAGCGAGATGGCGTCGCTCGCGGCCAAGTTCGTGACGAAGAAAGTCCTCAAGGAAACGGCGGGCAACAAGTTTGGCACTGATGTAAGCACTCGCCTACCTGCGCACTTACACATACCTATACCTACGCAGCCCGAATTGCGGAGGCCCGGACGGCGGCCCGGGATGGAGTCCATGGCAGATTGCTGACAGGCGAGGTCCGAGCTGCGCAGGATCCGTACTTCGAGCACGTCCCCGCCACGCGGCTCGACGGCACGCCCACCGGGAAGCTCAAGAAGGTCCGCAAGGCCCTGCCGCCCGGCCTGTCCGACCACGACGCCAAGATCCTGACCAAGGTCAAGAGGCGGGCCTACCGGCTGGACATGAGCTTCGGCAGCTTCATGGGGCTCAAGTTTGGCTGGGGCAGCATCATCGGTCTCTTCCCTATGTGAGTTGCTACCCTCTAGTCCTACCTACCTGCTACCTAACTCAAGTGCGCATTTGGCGCTGGCTGTGGTCCCCGCGATAGCAGAGGCTGACATTATTTTTTTTATAACAAACAGCGCTGGCGATATCGTGGACGCGCTCCTGGCGCTGATGGTGGTGCGCACGGCGAAGCAGGTCGAGGGCGGGCTGCCGTTCCAGGTGTGGGCGTGGATGTACGTGGTGGTGGCGATCGACCTGGTCGCGGGGCTGGTGCCGTTCGTCGGCGATATCGCCGACGCCATCGTGCTCGCCAACACGCGCAACGCCGTCGCGCTCGAGAACTACCTGCGCAAGAAGGGCCGCAAGAACCTCCGCGACAGCCGCCTGCCCGTGCCCGACCTCGACCCGAGCGACCCCGCCGAGTTCGACCGGCACAACGCCAGCCCCAACCCAGAGTCACCTGAGCACGCGTCGTCCCAGCAGCAATCTACGCGTCGGGCACAGGCCCAGGCCCAGGCCCGCCCTGACCAGACGAGCGGCGTCCGTCCCGCAGGGTCGCAGCCATCGCCACCGGCCCAAGCAAGGGTTCGCGACGATCGACGGGGTGGTGAAGGCAGGGGCTTCTTCGGCATGGGCAGCAGGCGGTCCCGACCAACCGATATCGAGATGGGTGCCAGGCGGAGCTAGGGAGAGCGAGGGCGGGCAGCGTCAACGAACCGAGGTGGGCGGGGCCAATAAATTGGCGTGGTTCACGCGTCGCACTGTGGGTGTAGTTCGTAGCGGGGACGGGGTTTCGTTTCGGGCTGCTTTTTTTCCCATGATCTCTACAAATGGCGGGCGGCATGGCAGATTCGGTGTAACGATGAGCAGAGACATGTTTAATGAAGGGGTGATACCTGCATACCTAAGATATCTACGACAGACTCTTGAAATGTCGCGCCATGATGAAGAATCGCGTTCTCGATATTGCCTGCGGTGGGGGTTAGTGCACGGAGATATTAGTAGGCGTGTTTCGCACTCGGCGGCTTCAGCCAAGACATCCACGCAGCCGGCTACTCTGGTTCGTATGACTCCCTATGACTCCAGGCTGGTTGGAGCGGAGCTTCGATGTTTATATACATTGCATACGGCATCCCTTTTATTGTTGATGGCGATCCCGCCTCTGGGCGTGCGAGGACAAGGCTCGAGACGACTGACATTAGATCGGGGGCCTGGCGGGCTCCCAGGGCGTAGCTGCGAGCGGTGATTGGCGACGACGACCCGCGGGTCATCATTGCACGATGGTGAATCAGCTCTCTCGGAGGCCACAACAACGAGATTTCGGCGGCTTGTTTATCTGATGACGGTGATCTGATAACGCTGGCTGGGGGCCTGTCTGCCTAGCATCCCTGCCGAACGAGACCACTACGTACCCAGGAGGCTAGGTCCGGCGCGGTTCGGATTACCTACCTACATGTACCATAGGAGGTGTTGTGCCGGTAGGCAGACGGACGAGCTGAGCAAGCCAGGGCGAGCGGCATCAAGAAGACCCCCTGAATCGGATAAGCGTAGGCGAGGTGGGTGGGGATATCGGCACGGTGCTTGCTGATGGGCGCGCTTGTATGAGTACGTTGTACGCTGTAGGCCCTGATACACACCCCAGAAAACGGAGCCAAACAAGGACACAGAACGTGAATACCCGTTGATGCGTTGAGGTGAGGTATGTCGGCACTTAGCGAGTGAATATCCGCATTGCGTGCGAAGCGGATAACGGACAGGTAGGTAGGTATAGGTAGCGATAGGCGAGAGGCGCCCGCTGCGTGATATACCTAGGTGGATGGGAGTGATCAATCCACGGCGGGCCGTGTGCAGGCAGTGCGAGGATCCCACCGCGCAAACCCCCAGCAAACCCTGCAGAGCCCGGCGACCCCTGGCCGACGCGTGAGAATTGTGGGCACCACGACAGTGAGAGAGGGAAAATAGGTGGCGGGGCTTCCCAGTCGCGTTTTCTCGTCGCGTCAAGGACCCGGACTATATGGCACACGTGATTTGGCGCGGGACGGTGTTTAAAAGAACCGGGCCAGGCCAAATTTTCAACACGCCTTTTTGCTGTCCTGCAACTCCTCACACCATCAACAACCATCACCACCACCGCCGCCACTTAACGCGTCCTTTTCCCTCTGGCATTTATCAGCCGGCCATCCTCCTCCCCCAGTCACAATCGGTAGTCCTTACCATCGCATACTCCCCTCCCAATTCCCTCTCACCCAGTTACGATGGCCACCAACGTTACCCCCTCCAAGAAGGTATGCCTACAATACCGTCGCGTCGTGATTGCCCCTCTGCACAAAGCCATTGCCACTAACGCGACGTCCCGCAGGCTGCTTCTGCCATGGAGTCTCTGAAGATGGAGTCTCCCGTCAAGAAGCTCGCCTTCGCCGGCAAGGAGAACGCGTCCATTGATGCCGATGTCGACGCCATCGTCACCAAGATCGAGGCCCAGAAGAAGCACGAGGAGAAGGCTGCCGCCCCCGCCGTGCGAGCTGACGAGGTCGACGAGCCCATCCTGCAGGAGAACCCCCAGCGTTTCGTCCTGTTCCCCATCAAGTACCACGAGGTAAGCTCTAGGACGCGTCCGGCGCGCGTAAAGTGGCTTTTTGAACGCGCCGTAAACTAATTGGCTCGCGGTGCAGATTTGGCAGATGTACAAGAAGCACGAAGCTTCATTCTGGACCGCTGAGGAGATCGACCTGTCCAAGGATCTCCACGACTGGAACAACCGACTGACCGACGACGAGAGGTTCTTCGTCTCGCACATCCTCGCCTTCTTCGCCGCGTCTGACGGCATCGTCAACGAGAACCTCGTCGAGCGGTTCAGCGCCGAGGTCCAGATCCCCGAGGCCCGATGCTTCTACGGCTTCCAGATCATGATGGAGAACATTCACTCCGAGACCTACTCTCTCCTCATCGATACCTACATCAAGGAGCCCGGCCAGAAGACCCACCTCTTCAACGCCATCGACACTAGTAAGCCTGCCCCACCCGTGCCGAGCCAGCGTTCGTGTGGCTAACCCTTGACCTCTCTCTAGTTCCGTGCATCCGCAAGAAGGCCGACTGGGCTCTCCGCTGGATCACTGATAAGAAGTCTACCTTTGCCCAGCGTCTCATCGCCTTCGCTGCCGTCGAGGGTATCTTCTTCAGCGGTGCTTTCGCCTCCATCTTCTGGCTCAAGAAGCGCGGCCTCATGCCTGGCCTGACCTTCTCCAACGAGCTCATCTCCCGTGACGAGGGTTTGCACACCGACTTTGCCTGCCTGCTCTTCACACACCTGAAGAACCGGCCAAGCAAGGAGGTGATCAAGCGCATCATTACGGACGCCGTCGCCATCGAGCAGGAGTTCCTGACGGAGGCGCTCCCGTGCGCCCTGCTGGGCATGAACGCGAACCTGATGAAGCAGTATATCGAGTTCGTCGCGGACCGGCTGCTCGTCGCGCTCGGCAACGACAAGGTGTACCGGTCGTCGAACCCGTTCGACTTCATGGAGAACATCTCGCTCGGCGGCAAGACCAACTTCTTCGAGAAGCGCGTCGGCGACTACCAGAAGGCGGGCGTCATGGCTAGTACCAAGAAGAACGCCGCCGCTGATGACGACGGCGCGGTGTCGGCCGAGGCCCAGGACGGGAACGGCGGCGACTTCACCTTCGACGACGACTTTTAAGCTGGTCCCCTCCGAAGCAACTATCTCACCGCCGCCGGTGCGAGTCGCCCATCCCTGTTCGCGCTGCACTTCTCCCTACCCTGACTCACAGGATACCTTGCGATACCCCCATTTTCTTTGCTAGACATTGCGTCCTGTACAATTACGTGCCCCCTCTTCGTCCCACACCGTCGCGTTGCCGATGGTGATCGCAGACACGGGGGGGGACCCCTCTCCCACTATTTTATAGAGGAAAATTCTTGCTGCTGCTGTTGCTGCTACGGCTTTCCTCCCTCAGATATAGACCGGGCGAATTAAACACTTCTCGGCGATGCAAGGGGGGCGGTTCTGGCGGCGGTATTGCTAGATTGTCGAGGGTTCTCCCCCTCTTAAGCTGCTCGGGCAAGACTGAGGGTTGGGTTTCCTTTACTGCATATCTTCACTCATGCGTTTTCCCTTGTACATGTTGTCCTTTCCTCTAGTCCGTTAGATGCGGACTGTACGTGTGTGTAGGCGGGTGAGTGTGGTGCTATTGCACCTGGAGCAGGCGTTGGCGGCGTTTAGTTTCGGGAATCCCTCATCCATCTGATTCCACCCCCCTCGCGTTCGACTGGCTGGTCGATTTCCCTTTTTTCTTTTTTTCCTGTTTCTTTTTTCTCAAAGAAAAACCTCTCCTCGCCGAGGGCAAACGAAGGGAGAGAAGGGAAATAAAAAAAGGCGACGAGAATGTGCTCGGCAACTAATCGGTTGGGTCGGCGACGGGGAGGGAGGAGAGGAGGAGAGAGGGGGAGACAGGGCGAGAAGACGGACTGGGTGATGACTTGATGCGACCCCGTTAACGGAACCACGCGCTGAAGGAAGGGGGGCGGCAAGGGAGGCTTGTGGATTGGCTGAGAGTGGGCTGGCACCCTAGACAGACAGACGGGGAACACTTTAGTAATGCCAATTGACGATGATTATTACCCAAAGGAAGAAGAAATATGCCCCGTCTTGCCGTCGTGAGCAGTTTCATGTTATATCTATCCGATGCCTCGTGCATGCCCCAAATCTACCACTTGATGATTGCATCGCGGACACTACGTGTAGGTGTCTGCCTAGCAGGTGCCTAACCCATAAAACCCCGCGCCGCTCCGCTCCGTCCTGTCGGCGGCCCGCGATTAGGACGGCGGTGGCCGCCGCGCGAGAGGGCCTGAGCAAGCGAATCTGACCGGAACGCCGGACGGATGGCGATGTGCGGGCTGGCTCGCAGAGTGGGCGCGGGGGCGGCGGGTAAGACGGGGTAAATCGAGGTAGGGAGGGGAAACGGCGCGATAGATACCCGCCGCAGATCAGATCGGCCCGTACGTAGACAGCGCCTCCTGCGCGGCGTATGTGTCTAGACATCTCTACCCACTCGCTCGCTCGCTCGCTCGCACGCCGCCCTCCGTCCCCGACAGGCGACAGCCCCTCCCCGCCTTGGTGGGGGGAAATCCCACACAGCCAGCCAGCCCCCTTTCTATTTCTTGCCGCGCTTCTTCTTCCCCTTTCCCCCTCCCCCTCCTCCTCCTCCTGCTCCTGCTCCCGCCTGCGCCGGCGCCGGCCCAGCGCTGCCTCCTCCTGCCGGCTGGGCCTTGCTCCCGGCGGCGGGCGCGTCGGCGGCTTTCTTCTTGCCCTCGGCAGCCTTGCCGCTATCGCCGCCCCCGCCAGCGGCCGCGGCAGCGGGCGGGGGCGCGTCCTCCATCGGCTCGTCGGCGGCGGCGGCGTCGTCGGCGCCCGACGCCAGCGCCGCCATGCGCGCGCCGAGCGGCCGCCCCAGGCTCTGGATCAGCCGCGACACCTCCGCCGCCTTCGTCGTCCGGTACTTGAGGCACACCCCCGAGTGCGGGTCGTACGTCTTGAGCGTGAGCGAGCCGCGGGGCTGCTGCTGCGTCGTCGTTGTCGTCGTCGGCAGCGGCGGTGCTGGGGTCGAGGAGGAGGGGGGGTCGGCGGCGGCGGTACCGGAGGTGGTGGCGGTGGAGGAGGAGGAGGACTTCTTGGGACGCCGCGGCTTCGGCTTGCTGATGTGGTATTTGGTGGTTATGCGCGTCTGCAGAGGGGTTGTTAGTTAAGCCAAGTTGGTCGTGCATGCGTGTGCGTGTATGTGTGGCTACGTGCGGGTGGGTGCAACGTACCGTGGTCGGTCGTGCCTCGATGAGCAGCGACGACTGCCGCAGCCACTCCTGGCTGGTGGCGTAATACGGCATCGTGATGCTTCCTCTGCTGCTTTCTGTGCCGAGCGGCTCCTCCGCAGACCGAAGTTGTGGTGGCTGCGTATACGGCGTCCGATGCGTCAGCAGTATGCCTGCTCTTCCTAGGTTCTCGGTGCTCTAGAAGGAGGGTTGGTCGTTGGGATATCGTCCAGGCTTCTCTCTCTCCCTTGCTGTGTTCAGATTTGTGGAGTTGTTGGCAGGTGTTTGGAATTTCGGCTCGCTTTTTTATTTTTTATTTTTTTTTTACCAGCTTGCCCAGAGTACCTGGGTACCTCATGTCAAGGCATCTTGTACCTTAGTAGGTACCTCCTACTATGGCGCGCCAATCGTTATCGTCCCCATACCTTGTAGGCAAATGCAGCCATCCATTGCACATCTTCATTTGTAACTATCCCATTCGTCTATTGCCTCCCATCATAAGACAGACGGCCATCAGAGGCGTCACAACGAACTTGTCGTCGCCATATAACAATAGTCTTCTTGTCTCTAGTTCAAATATAACCGCAGTGGTAACTTCAAAGACCGGCGATGTTGCTTGCACCAAGTTGCCCAGACCTCTTTAGACGCCATAAAATGCAAATAGGGTATCTTCCATAGCTAACCGCAGTCCCCTTCCATTCTCTTCCTTCTCCTCCTCCATCTCTACCAGCCGCAGCTCTATTTTCAGTTTCTCAGTGCATTCGTCAATCCGTCGTCCTGGGCAGTCCCCACCGCCAACCCGTCAATGCTGGAAATCAACCAAAGATCAGAGCATCCAAATCAATACCGGCCCAGTCCAGTGCGTCCTAAGCATGAGGGTCCGGCAACCAGAATACTAGCTCCTTGTCGGCAGTTGCCAAGAAGTTAAATCGAGGGTTGGCGGCAACCACAGCGGCCTCTCTCGTGTCTTCCAGCGTGTGGACCGGCTCCAGGATCTTATCCTCTCCCGGCTGCCCTAACGTGTCCCAAACGACGACGCCCTTCTTCGTACCGCCAAACACGAACCTCCCGTCCTGCGACAAGCAGCAGTCGCCGCTCCCCTCGACGTTGACGCCGTTCGACCCGCCATTGACTACGTATTCCTCTCCGGGCGCCAGCCTGCTGCTCCTGCCGTCGGGCTTCCGCAGGTACGCCTTGAGACTACCGTTGAACGAGTCTAGCAGGAAATGACCGCCTCCTTTGGTGCCCAGCAGTATCGAGCGTCCGTCGTTGGCGAACTCGAGCTTGGTCCAGCCCTGTAGCGCATAGCCAGGGTCTATCCCGCCACACGCTTCAACGATGTCGAATTCCGAGAATGGGCCCCTGTCGAAATTGCGGTGGTCGTAGAGCAGGACGGTGCCGCCGGGAGGCGAGGCTATGGCGAAAATTTGTCCGCTCGGATCGTAAGCCGCGAGATACGGCATGCCGAGGTACAGGAGTCCGGTGTGGTTCCTAGTTCCGGCATTCCATAGTCTGACCGTATTGTCCTTGCTGCAAGAGATGAAGTCGTCATTGCCGGGGTGCATCTCGAGACAGGTCACCGGCGCCTCGTGGCCCTCAAAGTACCGTATGAAGGCGTTGTCGTGGGTGGTTAGATACCTGATCGCATCTGCATGCAATTGCCAACGTCAATACAAAGACTTTCCCAAATTTCCAGAGTACTGAGCGGCTCAGTGTAACCGGGGGGCGGGGGACGGGAGGGGAAGATCCGAACCATTCTGCTTGGTGCTCGCATAGATGATCGAAGAGCTATGGTGAGTGAACTTGGCGAGCTTGACGCCGTATTTCTTGCTGAGGAGCTGCTTGTCGTGCTTGCCGTCGCGAACTCTGTAGATCTGAATGGTCTCGTCGCTCTCGGAAGTCATCATGAGCTCGCCGGGGTCGTCGTAGTCGAGGCTGAGGATGTAGGGCTGCGGCCGTCCGTCCTTCATCTCGTCGCGCCTAAATAGCTGAGACTTGGGTGAGTTACTGTGACTAGATTGCCCTGCCTCTGCCTCTGACACGGCAGTCGGCTTAAGACGATGGATATGGGCGGTAGTTGGGGGACCCATGGTGCCACCAATGACTGGTGGTCTGCAGAGGGAGGGTACCTTTGTAGGTCTGTAGTTGGCAATGACATCGGTGACGGCGGTGGTGCTGGGCAGGCTGCTGCTGCCTAGGGTGCGGGTGATGTTCAGCGAGGTAGAGGGAGTGCCATTGGCGGGGGATGAGGCATCGGGAAGGTCGAGGTCCATCGGCGTCGACGCCATGGCGGGAAGGGCTCTCGAGGAGGCGATTGGGGGGGAATCAATCTATCGAGGGTCTCAGGCAGGGGCACGAGACTTGGGGATTGCGACGGGCGAGATGGGAGGGTAAGGAGAAGCTCAGGTTGCGGGAAAGCTGCGAGAGCACTGCAGGACTTGATTGCAACCAAAGGAAGCTCCTCAGGAGGAGCATATGGCGGAATGGTAGTGGGAGGAGACGGTGGGAAAAGATGAGTTTCTTGTCGATTGTGCTTCGCGTCGCGTTGGCTGCATCCAGGCTAGCGCACGGCCTGCCTAAGCACAATTATGTAAAGTGAGTAGGTGGGCATGTGCATATCCAGGCGTTATGCATGTGTTTATGCACACAGATAGCACCGATACCTAGGTATCTACCTCATACAAGCAATATGCCTACATACGTATATATATAGTACATAGGTAGACATCTTTGAGCGCAGCTTAAGGCAGGCAGACCTCGGTGTATCATAGTACCGATGGTGATAATATTAAAATACGCATTCTATATATATTTTGTATTCTGCATATATAATAGAGCAAAATGAGATAGAGAGAGCGCTTCTAATGAGCTTCTGACAAGCACGGGAGCTCCAAGGTATGCAAGACTGGAGAATGTAAATTCCACTCCCGTACCCGGTGAGGAGGTTCATCTTGTTTCTTCCATGCGTTTATAGACTATGCCTATATAATTAACTCACCACCGGAAGAGATACGAGCCAGCTCGTCTACGCGCAAGCTGATACAAGTAGATCTCGCATTTCCCACAGCGAGGTTCGTTTAGTACCTTAGGTACCTCTTGAGAGGACGTGATGCAATCCGGGCCCCCTTTTCCTCCCCTTTCCTCTATTCCCGCATCCGCCTTCATACTGCACCCTCTAAACTGCTAGACACACCATAGTTGCCTCAGACATAACTCGGCATCTGCCTTCCTCTCTGTGTATAAGTCGTGGGGATACCTAGGGATACCTAGGCATAGTTGCATATATACGTGTATAACCTCGTGCATTGCCCAACACGTAGGTGCGTCCAAAGCTTCAGACGGAAGGGAAAGAGGAGAAGGAGAGAGGGAAAAGAAGAACTCCGGCCATGCAGATAAACAGGTAAATATCACTTCTATCTTTTTCCTCTTCCCGTTCCCAACACACCAAAATTCGTAACCGGACGGGCCCAACCCAGCGAGGTCCATTCAAAATACAGGTATGCTTCTTCGCCTGTTCGCCTGTTCGCCTGTTCGCCTGTTCGCCTGTTCTCCTGTTCTCGTCTTCGTATACCTTCCTCTCTCACTCTACCTCTCCCGGAGTGTCTCTCTCGTTGTATGCAATTCCTCCGCAGAATACAATTCTATACGTCGTACTGGTATTATCGACAGTGTTGGTATCAGTGTTAGCGGTCCCTCCGACCTCGCCCTACTCTGCTCTGCTCTGCTCTGCTCTCAAGGCTCGGGCGCCTCCTTTTTATCTTCTGCCGCAGGGGCAACAGAAGGAGCAGCAGCGTGGGTTCCAGGCGCGGCTTTGACCTTCGCTTCGACCGCGGTGTTGGCGGTACCTGGCAGCGAGAAGCCGATAATCTCGCGGTCGTCATCGACTATTCGGCCGTATCTACGGGTGAGTCTCGTGTCAGCTACCTTCCTTTCCCAACACTCCTACATGCTCTACATCGTTTTAGAGGGGAGGTGGGGATGGAAGAGAAAAGGTGGACAAGGCCAAGCGCACAAGACACGCGCAGAGAGGGAGGGGGGGGGGGGGGGGGGGGAGAAGAATATAGAAGACTACGCACTCGAGTAGCAGCCGGAAGAACCAGATCTCCATGTCCTCGTGGCGCAGCACCTTGTTAGCCCAGTCCCGCTGCTGCTCGGCGAGCCGCTCGGCCTCGCGGGTGCCCCCGGCGCCGCCCTCGCTGAAGTAGCGTACGGCCTCGAGCCAGTCGTCGCCGCGCAGGCTCAGCGGCACGTAGTGCGCCCAGGGCCGCAGCCACTCAGCGTGCCACTCCCGGAAGACGGCCCACTTGTAGACGAGGCTGTGGCTGCGCAGGAACGCGTAGAACCGCCCGCTGAAGGCGTTGCCGTCCAGGTCCACCAGGTGCCGGAACCGCCACGCGTCCTGCTGCTCGGCGTGGCCTCGCACGTCGAAGAACTCCCGCTGCGCGTCGCAGTCCCCCGGATCGCACTGCCCCACCCCGCTGAAGTGCACGTCGACCAGGTTCCGGTAGTCCCCGCGCGGCACCGCCTTCGCCTCCCACCGCGGCTGGCCGCCCTTGCCCGCCTCGGCGCCTCGGTCTACTATGATCTTGGCCCCGTCCGCCGCGTTGATCTTGCGCACAAACCGTTGGCGATGCTGCCGGCGCCAACCGCCGTTGCGGCTGAAGCCGCCCGTCGTCGAGCCGCGCCAGTAGAGCGCGTCGGCCTTGTTAGCCCAGGGAACGTCGCGGGCCTCGTCGTAGCTGACCTTCTCGAACCAGTACCAGGGCGAGGGGTAGAGGATGTCGGCGTAGGACGAGATCTTGGACTGCGAGAAGATGGGGAAGAGGTCGTGGACCACGTTGTACGCGTTCGGCCGGTCGAAGAAGCCGAACGTCGCGCTGAGCGACGGCGAGTTGCACACGTCGGTCATCGCCGTCACGTTGTACACGAAGCCGAGCTCGCCGAGCCCGTACCGCGACACGTCGTCGCGCTTCTCGTCCTCCTCGAGCCCGCGTGCGGGGCTCTCCGGCGGGCACGACAGCCGCGAGTGCGTCCACGTCGGCTGGTGGGCGAAGACGTTGAAGCGCGTCAGCTTGCTCTCTTCAAAGCGCGTGCCGTCGTTGAGCCCGCGGGGGCGCTCGGAGAAGGCGTTGCGCGGGCTAGGACGGGCGGCGGCGGCGGGCATAGCGACGCGCCGCGCGCGGTCCACGAGCCGCGACAGGTCCTCGTGCGGCACGACGACGCGCGGCTCGTCGTGCAGGTTGAAGCAGAGGTCCATGTCGGGCAGCCAGCGGACGAACTTGCCCATCATGGCGGCGGTCGCCTCGCGCTGCCAGTCGGAGCCGCCGCGGACGTTGGTGATCTTGCCGCCGCGCACCTGGATCCCGAGGAGCGCGTTGCCGTCGAAGCCGAGGGCCTCGGCGGCGCGCGCGCGCACCGTCGCCGGCCGCAGGCCCCAGAACGGCGTCAGCGCCTCGTGGATCCCGTCGAACTCGTCGATGAGCTGCACCCCCTTCGCCCGCGCGAACTCGAACCAGCGGTCGAAGTTGGGCGGCGGCGCGACGCCGTACCGCCGGCGGTACTCGGCGACGGCGTCGGCGAGGGTGCGCGACTGCCGCGCCAGCGCCGCATTATGCCCCGACTCGGCCTGCGCGACCAGGTAGTGTATCGGATGTTCGCCCGCGGGAGCAGGCCTCGGCTGGGGGTCGCGAGAGGGCGGGGACGGCGGCTCGGGGGGCAGCGGCGCAGGCGGCGCGGGTTTGGAGCCGTGATTGGGGAAGGACGGGGTGCGCAATTCGGAGAGGTTGGTGCCCGCGGGCGCGAGCCGCAGCACGCTGACGACGCAGATGACGACGAAGACGAAGCCGCCGATTAGGACAAGCTGGCGCGGCCTCATCTTGTTTTCTCTCTCTCTCTCTCTCGATGTGGGTGCCTCTCTCAGGGCCCGTTCCGACGGCGTTTGAGCGGGCTCGGTGGCCGGGACGGCGACGGAGACGACGAGGACAACGACTGCGCTGGTGTGGGTTGGGAGGTGGCGGTGGCGGTGGCGGTGGCGGCGGGCGGCAATGAGGTAGCGAATGACATTGACATTGGTTACCGGCACACGTGTGTGTGTATGCGTGTATGTCGCGGAAGGGTTTCTGTCTCGACTATACGTCACGAAGGGATGCTGTCGATGGTGTGGGTGCGGACGTTGGGGTTGGGTATCAGGACGTGTAGGGGTATTCAGGCCGTTATGGTTGGTGGCGTAGGCGGACGAGTTTTTGTGACTGATCACTGCGGCGACAAGCAGCGGCGAGATTTGGAACGCCTGGAGGTAGGGATTCTTCTTTTCGTCTTTTTCTCTCTTTTTTTTCCCCCTTCTTCTTTTTACTTCAAGCTCAAGCTGCCGGTGGTGTTTCGAGGCCAAGGTCACCTAACGGACATGGGATGGGGGGGGAACAAAGTCTACGGCTGCCATGGTTCTCTTCCCTCCCTCCTCAATGCTCCACTCCCTGCGATGCCTAGTTATTTTCCTGTTCCTGGCGCCGAGAGCATACGAATAGGCGAGGGGGAGTGGGAAAAACGCCCCAGTTTGACGAATTTGTTCCAGTCTGTCTGGCCCAATGGAAAAAATCCCTTTTCCGTCAGTCGATGCGCGCCGCGCCGCCCCAAAACGCACTGTGGCCGCGTCTCCGCTCGATCTGCATCAGCAAGCAATATGTACTTAAAAAAGGGGGGAGACCCGAGGGCGTCATCTTATGGCCTACATACGGGCCGATAGTGGGTAGCAACACATTTGACACACACACGCTCTCGTCACATATACACGTACATACGGTAGCTATTGACCGCGTCCATGCATACGAAACAGGTTCGTGATGATGGGGGTTCCTAATTTTTCAACTACGTAGGGACCGACACCTGCCAACACCGGCTCCATCGCTTGATTTTATTAACCCCCCGAATCCCACGTGATGAGTTGATTTTTACGTCTTCATTCCGCAAATCGCAGGCGATTCGGAATATTTATAGACGGCGTCTTGTCTTACCCTGGATATCAGAGCACAGATTGTAAACCAACCATAACTGACACGTAGCACATAGCACAGCGGCAAGGAGCAGGACTCGGAATTACGGACGAGACACGGACCTGGGCTCGTAGCATTTCCGTGGTCTGGTATCGTGGTATATTTGGCTCAAAAGATCAAGCGCAGGCCTGGCCGTTAACCATTTTCCCCCTCCCAACGCCGAAAATGCTGTTTGTTTCATCCGTGCCCGCTCGTATCCGCCAATCATCCATTCATTTTTGGGGGGCTTTTGCATGTACCGTCTCCTAGTAGAAGAAACCAATGATCTTGCCGGAGACGTGCTTCCTTCGGGCCTCCTCGTGGTCCATGATACCGGCCGAAGTAGTGAGGATGATGTAGCCAAATTGACGCGAAGGAAGCAGCTTGACAACCCACTTCTCCAGATGCGCCAGGTGGACGTTGAAGCGGGGAGAGATGGTACCGCACTTGTTGATTCGGCCGTTCAGCTGCACGACAATCTTGCCGGATCGGTGGTCGTCAACCTCCTCGAATTCGCCAATGTAGCCTATCCAGGAAAGAAAAAAAAGAAACACCGGTTAGCGAGATGTAGCGAAAGAATAAACGTTAAGACTTCATGGAGAGTGTGATCAGAGAAACGTGTAAGAATCCTTCGCTGAAAAGGTAGATCGATCTATCGGCAACTTAAAAGACTTCGGTCGTGGGAAATGTTGAGACCGTTATCCAGTTATCATGCCGAATTACAGGAGGGATACAACAACGAATGACGCGAAACGCCGATCGGGCACATACCGTGTCGCTGCATAACGGTCAAGAACTTGGTGATGACCTTGGAGCTGGGTCGGATGATGACCTGCCGCTTGCCCGTCTTCTCGGCATTGTTGATCGCGTTGAGAGCGTCGTTGAGGACCGAAGTCTTGACCATATTGGCGGCGTTGGCGTGGGCGGGTGCGGGTGCGAGGTATCTACTAGTCACGGGTGTCTAGTTAGCCTTCGTAAGCCTCGAGCATGGAGAGTGCCCTGCCCAAACGTGCCGCTTGGGGAGGGTTCTGCCCGCTCGGTACCGGAGGGGAGAAGCGTATCAGCGGCCCGACTCGACAGCCATCATCGCGATGCGACAGCGACTGAGGAGTGGCAGGGCCAGACCCTGATTGCTCTCCCCTGGCTTCTCGAAGGGCGGCGCATGGGGGAGGAGAGGGACGACGAATTATCTTGTTGACAATTCACGCCATGCCGACTCGACATACCTCAATGAGAGGAGGTCCTGGAGGGGAGGCGGTTGGGTTGACGCTCGGCTGGTCGTGTGCGAAGACGAGAGGTGCGGGACGATGGGAATGGGAGAAAAAGAAGGTCGGATCGAGAGGAGAGGATTTGATAACGGACAGGGTTAAAAAAAAAAAGAGGGATTCTGGTGTGGGCAAGCAGGTCGTAGTTGAGGTACGTACCTAGGGTACCGAAAGGCTAGATGCCTGTAGGTACCTAAGGTACAATAGATGCCTCCAGGTACCTGGACAACCGGAGCGCTGCCACCACGCAAATGGGTAAATTTCGGCAGGCTAACCCTAAGCGACCTCACAATTCCGCCCACTATTCCTGGCCTTCTTTTCGTCCCCCGCCTCCGTCTGTACAGTATAACGTATAATCTGTGCGTGTGTGCGTTGTGTGTCTCTAATATATGTGTGAGCCTTGCTTAGGCAACCAAGCCTCAATGCTATCGTGCCTACCTAAGCTACCTGCTACTTGCTGCTGCCGGCGCCTCCTCCCCCGTCCCGTCCAATTCCCCCCGGCGGTATTCCTAGGAACTTTTTCTCGATCCTCCCACCAAAACTTTCCCTCCTACCAAAAAATCCACCCTGACACCTTCACACACCTTCGCACACGACACTCCCAACTCTTCGAGGATCGCACCGGTATCGCCAGAACCAAGATGGTATGTTGAACGTGCTTCTATAATGTCCCTCGTGGTCCTCTGTATTCGTATTTGTTTCTTGATGCTGCCCCGTGGCAACCCGGACCTGTTGCGATTCGATGCGACCGACCGACGCCTAGCCTCGCACCTCCCCTCTCTGAGCTAGGCCTAGGGCTTCTCGTGCCCTGCGCTCGTGGATGTTTTAACATCGCTGACCGTTTCTGCCCCTGTTGTAGTCGGACGTAGAAGAGAACACAGCGCCTGAAGCCCCTGAGGAGGTCGAGGTTTCCGCCGATGCCTCCAAGGGCCAGATGTCCGTCCTGGACGCCCTCAAGGGCGTCTTGAAGCTCGCGCTGATGCACGACGGCCTCGCTCGAGGTCTCCGCGAAGCATCCAAGGCCCTAGACCGACGCCAAGCACACATGTGCGTCCTTAACGAGTCCTGCGAAGAAGAAGCCTACAAGAAGCTGGTTATCGCTCTATGCTCCCAGCACAAGATTCCCTTAATCAAAGTACCCGACGGCAAGCAACTGGGCGAGTGGGCAGGTCTCTGTATGTTCCATTCTCCTCGACGCCCTGAGGCCCTGGTTCGGAGCTAACAGCAGCGTTGTAGGCGTCCTGGACCGAGAAGGCAACGCGCGCAAGGTAGTAAACTGCTCTTGCGTGGTGGTGAAGGACTGGGGTGATGAGTCAACCGAGCGATCGATCCTCCTCGACTACTTCCAAACCGAGCAGTAAGAGGTCTTGGCGGGCGTTGCGCGGGGACGGGACATAGACAGTGGGACGGATCGATTTTCAGACCATCCTCTACGAGCCCTCAGCATGTACTCTAGCTACATCGGCCGGATATCGGTAAGGGGGGTCATCTTGCATCGGAACTAAGGGGGAAAAATTATGCATTGCGACTCAAGTTACGGTCGATATGCCCTGTTGCGCTTCAGCGTGTGTGCATGCTTGTGTGTGTGTGGTGAGGCGCTTCCGCTACTATTGCCTTATACGCCTCATTTGCGGCCCTCTACTACGATAAGATGGTATCCGAACGCTGTCTTCGCCTCTCCGATGTGCAGGCTGCTGCCCTTGCTGTCTGGCAGGCTGAAGGCTACCGCCTCGAACTCAGGCTGCAGCGATCCCTTCCGTTGCAAACCCAGTAGCCCCCCTAACATCCTCGCCGGTTAGCCCGAGCGAACGAGTGTCCCCGCGTGGATACGACATGGAAACGCGGCCGAACGGCAGGTCCGTAGGTATATGCACGTGTAAGCGACGAGTAAAACATACCCTGCTTCGCCTTGTCCTCGCTGTATATCCTAGCCACCGCGACGAAGTTGTCCAGGGTGGGATTCTCCCGGATCTGAGCCAGGGCCTCTTCCTTCTTCGCGTGCTTCTCGCACTACACGTGTCGCGACGTCTACGCGTCAGCCCACCCCGTCGCACGCCTGCCCGCTCGACGGGTGCTCGAGGCGGAAGAAGCCAGAACTCAGAGAGAGAGGGGGGGGGACGTACCAGGATATGCCGGACCACGACGGCCTGCGCGCCCTTCACCTTGGCGTCGCCCTTCTTGTCGTCCTTGCCCTTCGCGCCGGCGGTCTTGTCGCCCGACTTGCTGTCCGACTTCTTCTTGGGACCCATCGTCGACGCTATTGGCAGGTGGCCACCGGGTTGGAGTATACGGGAGGAGTGGAGGGAAGGGCGAGTACGGAGGCGAGGGGCGGTCCTCGGTGGGTGGGTGAAGAGTTTAGGTTGCGATGTGCCCCACGTCCGGATTGGACTGACCGACATACGACAGAGTCAGGTCTCTGTCACTCTCGATCGGCTGCCCGACAGCTGTCTGCGCCCTTTACCCCTTTTATCTCATCCCTCTGGGGCCCCCGTCCCTTTGGTTCCTTTGGTATTGAGAGGATTCCGTGCTTCAGATACCTAGCTAGGGCCTGTTACGCAGGAAACCAGCTTTTATAAGCCTATATCTACAAGTCGTAGAATGTAGCCGCTTACGTTTTACGCAGCATAGTCTGAAGGCAAAGGCGAGGCGGCGAGACCGCTATTCGTACCATCTTAGAGCTTTCCGTAGATTTACTGTGTTTATTTAATAGCTTAGGTGCTATGCTCTTCTTAAAGAGAAAGAAATTAAATATTGAGGTCACTAGAAACGCAAAATTTTAGCTACGTTACCATACGGCCATCTCTTGCTACCTCTAGGGTGAGTTACACTCGCTCAATAGCGACATTGGGTATATCCCCCGCAATTCCATGATCAGGTATCTTCTTATGAAGCTTTAGAAGCTTCGCTGGATGAAATAGTAAGACGTGACTTTGTCAAGCGTCTTTCGGGAACACGTGTTGCTGGGATTCTCCGTGGCTCATAGCGGTATCACCGAGGCTTCCACTAACACTCGCAAAATGTACGTTGGCTCCCGAATGCTATGAAGGGTGAGTAGTACGTACGTTTCCTCGTGTCGACTAGATCCACAGCCCCGATCGACTGTTCATTACGGTTAGAGGGCAACGTGTATTGGCTGCGGAGCTTAGATGGAGTTATGGGTAGAATACGTTCAAGATGTAGGAAAATAAGAACCTGGGGGATGAATAGGAGGCAGCCGATAAGGAGCTACCGAGCCCGCTTCTCCCGCTACGAGGAATTGGCTAGATCCCCATTGGCAGAAGGTGACGAATAATGCGAAGTAGCTGTGCCTTCGCTCGTGGGGTACGCTCCCTGAATTTCTCGAAGGACGATAGTGGCGTATTGACTCGTGTCCAAGGCGAATCGGAGAATAACTGCGATTTTCTTCGCAGCAACAACTGTAGCGGGTGGCTCTATTATCTGAGCTGCTGACTGCACGCTGGCAGTGGCATCAGCTGGTTTTTCCGAGTCCGTTGCGAGTTCGATTCCGCTAGTTGCATTGTTTGACTTAGCCTTATTAAGCACGCAAGTGGTGTTATTGTCAGTCGGCTGCTCTGTTTCGTTCTCGGTGTAGTCGTCCCCGGCCTCTACCATAGCAGCTTTCGATGTCCGTCCTTCGGGTCGTTTCTCGGGGGAGACCGCCCCCTCTTCGCCGGTCTTCACGATATCCTTGTCAGCGATCGCTCTAGTCATTGCTATAAGTAGCCAAATAGCACGAATTAGTATAATCGCAACGGCTCGCACCTGTGCTGTCAGCGTAGCCACAACGGAGGGGCCGGACTCTCTAGGACCCTGGCTCATTGGAGGTGTCCCGCCAGTTGTGCCCGACTGATCATTCATTTTCTTTCGGGTACTGCTCTCTTCGTGTCGGGGGGAGGTATCAATTTGCATTTCAGTTCCGAGGGTCGGGGGGGCGGCATTGTCGTTTTCTTTTAAATCGTCGGTGTGTTGGGAGACTTTGACTCGTTTGTTGCTTCCGTCTAACGATGTCTGTATCCAGGTATCTCTCACGCGAATCTCGGGCGCTTCCGAGGACCCTTCAGCTTTTCGTCTTTCAACCCTAGACTGGTACTCTCGACGATCGCGCTCCTGGGCATTCTCAGCAAAGTCGTGCCAAGCAGACAGCGCCGGAATCGCCGCTCGTTGGGCTGCGTTGTGCGCAGTTGCCTCCTTAGCCTTACGGGACTGTATAAGATCTAGATCCGTCGGGACTAGCTGTTCCGTATCGTCTGAGTAGGCTTGAATAGAGGCGCTAGGGACGCCAATAAACTTGCCCATTAACTTGCGGTACGATCCAGGCAAGCTAAAGTCTCTCTGCCGACGGAGCATATCGTGAGGGTCCAGCCCGCCGTTTTCCTCCTTGGCCATAAAGTCCACGTAGAATTTGCTGATTTCATTGTCGGGGTAGACGACATCCCAGCCAGGGGAGGGCAAGACGATATCAAAGATGGAGTACCTCCCGCCATTGGCTTCTTCCTCCGTCAATGCGTGCACTTTGAGCCCTGGCATGTCCTCGATGCGAGGCTCTATCTCAGCGAGATGAATTCTCTCTTCCTCGTCGTCGTTTCCACTCTGAGGGTTATCCAGCGGGGTGGAAATGTCAGACTCAACGAGGACCAGGTCTCCCTTAATCACTTTAGAGCCAAAGCGCGCCCAGCGCTCACTTGCGGCGAAATTCCATACTAGAGACTGGTATGCGTGGACGTACATTGTACGCATGCTTCGGTTGATTGATAAAAGCGCGCCAATGTAATCCTTAGGCTGTTTACCTAGGTGGCGTATCAGTGAAGATTCGGCGTGGCATCGTCTAGGCAGACACTTGAGCGCTTCCTGAGCGTCACTTGTACTGAGAAAGATTGAGCAAGCTCGTGCGCGGGCAGCATCCTCTCTGGCGGCGAACGGCAGGGAGCTCGGGTTAGGGCTGTTTAGTAAATCCGGATTGAAGGACAGCAGAGCTCGCACGGCGCCTTCAAAGTCTTCTTTGAGAATCTTCATTCCAACTTCCTGTGTCCCGATTTGGTGTGTTCCAAACCGTTGGGTGCCATAATAGTTAATAAACCCATTCTTGACAACCTGTTCTAGCGCCGAGTTCACGGTGGATTTCGCGATATCGAGTGTTTGGTCGAAAGTTAGGTCTTTGGTGCCGCTGAAGTGGCAGTTTTTGACGACGATCACGAACTCGTTCCCGCCGTGGTGTCCAAGGCCAATCGGGTAGTTCTCGAACTTGAAATCGCCGATCTTCACTCCAGAAGTCCGGTTGTTATTCAGGAAGACCAGTGTCTGAGGGTTTTGCCTCCGCATACTGACTCGCTGAGTGGTCACGGCGCGGCGGTCTTTGGTGCCAGCAGTGCCGAAGAAAGAAGGGTTGAGTTTCAGGGCACGAGCTATATAACTGATGGCCTCGATGGTGTCTCTATTTTCTTTGTAGAGAGTGAAATGCAAGAATTTGGCCTCGCGATCTTGACCAGGATTATGTTGCCCATTTCTAGCCCTGCCGTTTCTCGACCGATTGTGCCATCCTTTGCTGCTTCTACCGACGGCAGTTGCCTTAATAGAGCCATCGCCATCGGTGATAGTCTCGATTTTGCCATCAAATATGCGGCGGATTTCCTAAAGGGCATTAATTTCACCAGGGTAGCATGATTCTATTTCTTGGGGCCTTACCAAATGAACACGGGACCTTTGGGCCTTATCGGAAATTGAGGCAATTATCACAGAGCTGGGATCTGACTTCGGGTCCTTGCTGACGTTACTGTGTAGATTAATCAGCTCTTCTGCAGGGCCTTGTCCCAGAAGGTCTGTGAGAATAGCCTGGTCAGCTGTAGATACAGCGGTGGTGTTTTCATCTCCTGGCTGCTCTGAATTGATTGGGGGCTGGATCTCTGGGGTATTTGCGGCGGTGGCACCGATGCTATCAGCTTCTGTCGTTGGAACCGCTCTGGATTGAGACGGCTGGACTACTAGAGGTCTCGCTGGCGGCTGGCGGGATATTTCCTACATTAATACTTGGTATTTCAGGGACCGAGAATTTGGGCTGCCGGATTACGTACCGCACCTGTTGTGTCCCTTGCATTCGTCTGGAAATCATGAAGATGAATTACTTCGCCATCCTTGCTGATCTCGTGCACCTGGAAATCGGTGAACCTAGAAATTATTAGTACACTCCAACATTGTTTGTAGGTATATATAGGACAGAGTTTAGATTGGTAGATGGGATGACAGATTGAGGAATAGTTAACAGACAGGCTGGAGATGCGAAAGCAAGTGTCGGCCACACTCATGTGCGAATGACCAAGACCCGGAGAAAAGCATTCACTTACCTAGTACGAATCTGACCGTGCCAGTCATGCTGTTTCTGCGAGACGTAATGGAGAATGCCAATGCCTCGTTCGAGGGAGCTTCGCATCGAGGCATTGCTGCCTTGAGCCATAGCAGTATGGGTTGCCATTCTTGACCTGTGACGGGCAATGGCGGATGCTCGTTGGGAAGTTGAGAATGGTGATTCTGATGAAAGAAGGGGTCACTCTCCCCTAGATCATCACCCTACCTAGGTATGTATGTATGATCTTGGGGGCTGAGAGGCTAGGTAGGTGGACAGATAGGTGGGTATGCGTCGAGGGAAGAAGAAGGACGACAAGGGATGGGAAGATTTGGGATATTAGGCAGGTCGAAGTCGAGAGAGATGACATCAATTATGGACAGGCGGATCGAGAACGCCGCCTTATGGAGACGTAAATTGGCAACTGGGACTTCTGCCGGCATAAAGCTGAATTGCTAGGGCGGTGGGCAAAGAATCAGATGGAAATAGAAGGCGGTGAACTAGTCACAACATGGTTAGAGCTAATACGGGTATTCAAGCCCACATTTGGTTGGCACTTCTTTTCTGGTGCGCAAGCCACAATACGTAAGGTATTCGTGCACTTTATATTGGGACCTTCGAGAATTTCTCCGGCTGGCTGACTCAATCATATACTCTGGGCGGTACTCGCAGTCCGATTTTCTCTTATGTTCCATGCCTTCTAAGTACCTATGTAGGTACCTAGATACCTCCTAACCTCCATCACGCCTTCAGTACCAAAGGTACCTAGTGTACCTCTTGATAGGTTCACAGGTACATACCTAGGTAAGTACCTGATAGGTAGGCAGATACCTGTAGGTACCTCAAATGGATCCCTGTACTCCGGTACATCTCTATGGAATTCGGGTTTACCTACCTCCTACATAAACAGCTGGTGCCTTGCATCTTTCCACCTTTCGCCTCCTCCTTCGTTTCCGTCCACAACCTTTCTACTCCCCCTGCGCATGCGTCCCTCTAGAAGTTCAGCATCGCCGTAAAGATGCCGCCGAAGAGGAAGGCTGCGTCTAGTATGCCTGCCCATCCGTCTCCTCCGGGGAACTAATGATATTGACCGTATTGAAGATGTCACAGGTCCTGCGAAGTCGGGAAGGGCATCAGCCGCCTCGACACCTGGCCCTTCTACCCCTCGATCGATTGACAGCGATGACGAGGCAGCCTCTCCAGACGGACGTACGGAGGAGGAGATAAAGCTGGAAGAGGAGAACAAGGAAAGGCTAGATAAGGCCATCGATCGCTTTTCGCTCGCCGCATTTCAAGACACGACGAATCGCGAAGACGTAGATTTCGCGACGAGGCAATTCAAGGGGCGCGATTACTCATACTTGCCCTTGAAGCCCGATTACAAGAATCGTCCGATCTTCATAGATCCCAGAAGAGGCCGAATCATCCTCGAGAACTTCAGCCCTCTGGCAGAGCAGGCTAAAGATTTCCTGATCACCGTTGCCGAGCCTCTGTCCCGGCCGACCTTCATCCACGAATATGCCCTCACTAGTCATAGCTTATACGCGGCTGTTTCTGTCGGACTGCAGCCTCGAGACATCATCAACACCCTAGATCGCTTCTCCAAGACGCCCGTCCCTGAGTCAATCTCGAGCTTCATCGGTAGTTGTGCCTCCAGTTACGGAAAAGTAAAACTGGTGATCAAAGATACCAAGTACTTTGTCGAGAGCACCGACCCCGATGTCCTGCAGAAGCTATTGAAAGACCCCATTATCGGTCCGTGTCGGGTCCAGGGCACTGAAACCGTCACGAGTGCTCCTTCGATGGGCGGCCTCGTAATCCCTGGAACTTCGAACGCCGCCGGGATGCAGCAGGCACAGCTGAAGCCGGGCGAAAAGACACAGACGGACGCAGCTGATCGGGCGCGATCTCAGAACCCCTTCGATGCCCTGAGGGAGGACGACGACGATGACAACGAAGAGGCCGTTCACGCTTTCGAGATACACGACACCAGTATTGAGGTGGTTCAGAAGCGTGCTCTAGAAATCCAGTATCCCATGTTAGAAGAGTATGACTTCCGCAACGACGATCGGAATGCGAATCTCGAGATCGACCTACGGCCAGCCACGCAAATCCGGAGCTATCAGGAGAAGAGTCTCAGCAAGATGTTCGGGAATGGAAGAGCAAAAAGCGGTATCATTGTCCTACCTTGCGGTGCGGGGAAGACCTTGGTTGGGATCACCGCCGCGTGCACTATAAAGAAGGGCACCGTCGTGCTCTGTACAAGCACGATGTCGGCTAACCAGTGGCGCAACGAATTCCTGAAGTGGTCCAACATCAACCAGGACGACATTGCCCTGTTTACGTCCGACCACAAGTCCAAATTCCCTGGCAATACCGGGATTATTGTCACGACGTACCCCATGGTGACGAATTCTGGCAAGAAGAGAGCGCATGACTCGCAGAGGATGATGGACTTCCTAACCGGTCGAGAATGGGGGTTGATGCTGCTAGATGAGGTCCATGTCGTGCCGGCCAATATCTTTCGGAAAGTGTCGCACTCGATCAAGAGCCACGCCAAACTCGGCCTGACGGCGACGCTGCTTCGCGAGGACGACAAGATATCGGACTTGAACTTTCTTATCGGACCGAAGTTGTACGAGGCCAACTGGATGGAGCTCTCCGAACAGGGCCACATCGCCAAAGTTCAGTGCGCCGAGGTATGGTGCCGTATGCCGACCGAATTCTACGACGAGTTCCTCAGAGCGACCGACAGGGGTCTCATACAGAATTTATACGTCATGAACCCGCGCAAGATCCAGGCCTGCCAATTCCTCATCAACTATCACGAGAAGCGAGGCGATAAGATTATAGTGTTTTCGGACAACGTCTATGCTCTGAAAGAAATCGCGCTGGCCCTGAACAAAGCCTACATCTGCGGATCCACGAGCAACGCGGAGCGTATGATGGTGTTGGACAACTTCATGCACAACCCCCTCGTGAAGACTATATTCCTGTCGAAAATTGGGGATACGTCTCTCGATCTGCCGGAAGCGACCTGCCTAATCCAGATATCGTCGCATTACGGGTCCCGTCGTCAGGAAGCGCAGCGGCTAGGTCGCATCCTGCGAGCAAAGCGGAGGTCGGACGAGGGCTTTAACGCCTTCTTCTATTCTCTAGTCTCCCGAGACACGCCAGAGATGTACTACTCGACTAAGCGCCAGGCTTTCTTGGTGGACCAGGGATATTCCTTCAAGGTCATTACAGAACTTTCCGGCATGGAGCAGATGGAAGGCCTCGCGTTCCGGTCGCCGCAAGAGCGGCGCGAGCTGCTTCAGAAGATCGTAGTCGACACGGACTCGAAGAGGGCGGCGGACGACGACGACATCACGGACGACCTCTTCTGGGCGCCCGGGATGAGGAGAAAGAAGAAGAAGGGAGTCAGGCGGACAGCCGGCACGCTCGAGGAGCATAGCGGCGGGGCGGACATGGCCTTCAACGAGCAGAGAATGAGCGCCAATAGGGCACTGAAGAAGAAGTCGGGACAGAGCAATACCTTCTTCAGGAAGATGGCCAGGGAGAAGGAGAGGCTGAAGAACCAGCGCTGATTGGCGGTGGTGAAGAATGTATCACTCTGAGGGATCGGGAGTTCAGCGGGGAGGGGCGGCAGGTTCGGAATGGCGCGGAATGGGGAGCATACTATACATGTGCATTACAGAGGTCGCGAATACGCCACCACACAGGAATATACCCCCGCGGGAGAGGGAAGTCAAATTTTCACTGCCGGGGAGGCGAAGCGGGAGAGACGTAGTCAGTACCGCATCGAATCGGCGGCGTGTGTTTTTTTTTTTTTTTCGAGAGAGGTTGTAGTAGGTATCGTACACGCACGCACGCACGCACGCACACACATCTGCAGGCAGGGTACCAATGGAGGAGGGATGGGGGTTGCTCGAATGTGCATGGCCGTGCCGCGGCGTCGGAAATGCAATGCGACGTCAATCCGATGCGGCCCTTGGGACGGCCGGCTTGGCTACGGGATTTACATGGGATTTGTTCGACTGGACGAGGCGCACAACATGAGCTGATAGTCGGAGATGTGATTGGCGACCACGCCACTAGGTGGCATGCGTGACGAGCCTATCTCGCGTCGTATTTCGTTGAAAATTTCCTCACTTCTCGTCTTTCTTTTTCTTCCGGGCCTTTCCTCGTCTAGTGTACGGAGCCGAGGGCTTCCTGCATGTGTGCTGTCCTGCCGCAACCGGATCTCCCGGGGTTCCTCGGGGGCGTTGGCTCGTCGCGGGTACGACGAGACGGGCACGTTCGCAACGGCGGAACCCCCTACCGAGTGTACCCAGCAGACTGGCGAATCTCGAGGGAGGGCGTCTATCTGTCGATTAGATAGCGATGACGGGGTTTGAATGGCGAAACACGGGTGGTTTTCCTGACCATGCGCCATGCACGCCGTAACATCACTGCTCATTGGCGCGGACGATGTACGAGTAGCCAGGGTTATTTTGCCAGGCCTTACGAGATAGCTCACGTCCCATAATTACCCGCACACACACGTAGGGGCTGGCCTCCGAGTTCTCGGCAGGCCGAGTCCATTCGACGACGCCCGTGGCTTAGTAGGTGCCTCAACACTCTCCTACGTGAGCACCCAAGGTACTAGATGTATGCAAGACATGCAGCGACGGGTGTTGATTTTTCTCGGAATATACCTACCTGTATATATTATGATAGGTATAGAGATAAAGAAATGGAAAAATCAAAAAGGCACATGCACATGTATACGTGCGGTCGCTAGACGTGCAAATCTACGTCGATATCAATGCATACCTGCAAGTATGTGTTGTCTCGTCGAGAGGACAATTATATAGGTGTATGGGTGTATAGGTATGAGGATAGACGCGAAGGCAGCCCGTTCCGTAGCGAGATTGCTGGGACCAATTCCCTCTTCCTTCGTATTCCGCCTCCCAGAGAGTCTCAGAGAGACCCGCGCGCGAAAGAGCCGACGGAACAAGCTTTCTGCCACCCGGCACTTGGTGTTATCTCTCCGACTGCGTTTGCAACCTGTCACAAAAAGCTGTATGCCGCCCCGGCTGCCTCTGTCTCTCTCTCTCTCCCTCTCCCCTCTCTCTGTGTCTATATATATATATATGTATGTGTGTGTATGCGTGTATACCTACATGCATACATGATACGGCATATCACGTACCTGTAGGTAGGTGAGAGGGAGAGCGGAGAGGGTCTAGACCCCTATTCCCGGAATCCTCGGGCATCGATCCAGATCCGGGGCCGGCGAGAAGCTGCTTGCTGGTTCTCTCTCGTCGCTCGCCCTAGCCGCCGTCGCATCTGGGGGGCGCTGCATAGCCCCATCGGCGAGAGGGGTCGATAATCACGGAGCCCTAGGGAGGGCCTAACCTTTTCCCAATATTCTCGCAGCGTTCCACTACGATGTAGCACCTAATACAATCCGATGGATTGCTGGGATAGGGACGGATGGATGATATGCGATACGCCAAGCACCACCCACGCCCGTGCTGGCCCCGGGAGCCAATGCGGACGGATACGGAGATTCCAGGATTACGCCCGCCGTCTTCCCTATCCCTTCCCTTCCCAGGGTGCCTAGCCTAGCAGTGGATCTGAGACGATAACATGGATGTGTGTACACACACGTACACATATATAGAGGAGGTATGGGAGATATCTACGGGGGGGGGTTTAATGATGGACATTTGCGGTGCTACAGCAGTAACCAACGAAGCTCAAAGTTGCGCTGGCTTGTTCCAGGCCGTATAGCCTGCGATTGGCCGGGAGGCCTCGCTCTTCCGGGTTCCCACGCAGCCCTGCGGTCGTCCTCTTGATAGGCACGGCCAAGCATGTCGCCCATGACAGTGGACAAGGCGGATGCAATTCCATTCCCACGCGGCCGAGGCCCACCTCATATCCATTCCGGCTACTCAGCAAATTTGCCAGCGGTGCCGTGATAGCCACCAGGTTGCCGACCGCAGTGCGTGCAGGTAGGCTGTGGACTTGTAACTTGTACATAGGTACCTCCTAACCTCCCTAATCCCCCTTTTGCAACCTACCTAGCTGAACCCGGTGCAACGCGCACGCATTGTAGATAAGGTGCGTAGAGGTACCTACACTACCTAACACTCATACCGTGTAGGTACCACGTAGTACCTAGCGTCCATAGGTACCTTAGGTACTCAGTAGAACCTAACGCTGCAGATGGGGCCGGCTTTGTTCTCGCCGTTATAGGCATTGGTACCTAGGTAGGTAGGGACCTAGGAAAACAAGGATGGACAGAGTAACGAGAGATACAAGTACCTGAGGAGACGGGTGGGCAGGCCAGGCCAGCAGATTACGGTGGGTAGCAGGGGAAAAAACCACCACAAGGGGGTGAATCTCGCCGGGTGTGTTCTGGTAGGTATTAGGAGGTACTTACCTACTTACCTCTACTCGCAATCGTTGATCCGACGATTCAATGGCACAGTATCTTGGACTCGACCCACCGCCCTGGAAACTCGCCAGTCGGTTGCGTGAGTGTGGTGAGTCGATTCATCATTTGTCTCCGTCGGCCCGCGGGTACCAGCTATTCTATCACGGTACATAGGTAGGTGGGTATCTACAGAGCAGAGACAAGAGAAGGTTCCGTTAGGTTAGCCGTAAAAAACAATAAAGGGCCTGCTAGGGCCAGAGCCCGACTGTTTAGTGTAGGTATGCTGAGTACATCCCGTATATTCATATGCCCCCCGTCCACGCCACGCTCTCTATCCTCATTTATCTGTCTCGTCTGGTTCTGGCTGCCCGTCCCTGTCTGTTGCCGCCGTGCCTATATCTCCCTCTCTTCACAGCAACCGATCAGCCAACCAATCTCGAGTCGCACGCCCGATCTATTCCTCGGCCCCTCGCACGCCATCTGTCTCGCTCGTTTATCGCGTATCATGACAGCGCTGTAGAGGGTAAGCAACCTGCAGCGGATCGCCCTTCACATTGGCCTGCTCCGTCCTAGCTCGTTCTCGTCTTGTTCGGGGCGTCGGGCGTCCCGTCTCGTCGTGAGCCGACGTAGTAGTCCTTCCCCGATGTTCTCCTCCCTTCATCCCCCCCCCAAGGCGGTTCAACCCATCTTTTTGCGTTTTCATATACCGCCCCTAGAGATCCCGTCTCCGTCACCCCCATCCTGTACGCACGCATTGTTGCTGAGAACATATAGCTTCATATCCCACCATGTATGGAAACCGCCCTCCGATACGCGACCTTCTGATCCAGGTCTCCGGTTCGTCGTCGGCGACCCTCTAGCATTGGGCTTCTCTCTCGTCGCCAGAACCTCCCCAGCACCGAGTCTCCCAGAGAAGCACCGCAGGCTTGCCCATCATGAGCGGAGCTCGCACGTGCATCTTGCGCTTCCTGCGCTTCCTCGACTCTTTCCGCCCATCTTTTCTGTCTAGAGACCCCCATTTCAACTTCATCACCGTCCATTGTAAGTTGGCGACGACTGCTGTCGTCCCCTCTTCCCCTCCCTTTTCCCAACTGACTCTCCTCTAGACTTCTGGGTTATCGGGTGGTCCGTTATTGGCTCGATCCTGATATACGCCACCGCCAGGGGCCAATTGCCCTATGTCGATGCTCTTTTCTTTGCCGTCGGGGCCAATACCCAAGCCGGCCTCAATACCGTCGACGCCAACTTGCTCAACACCTTCCAACAGGTGGTCATCTACATTCTGATCATGCTGTCTAATCCCATCACCATCAATTCTTTCGTCGTCTTTCTCCGCCTGTATTGGTTTGAAAAAAGATTCCAGCATATTGCGCAGACGGCCAAATTGCGACGCATCTCCCTCTCCAAGTGGCGATCCCAGGCCAAGTTGGACAATGCAAACTTAGAGGCCGGCGTCAATGGCCGACATATCACCGTGATGCATGACACTGCCAAGGCCTCTCGGATGACCAATGACGGCATATTGCTGGATAACTATCAGCTCAACGGGGCCGCGAAACACGGTCCGTCGGCGAATGCATCGCTGCCCGAGGACGAGCCAGGTCCGAAAGACCAAGCTCCAAGCTCACCACTTCGGCCTTCGATGCCGCAGATCAAGTTCTCGGACCGGGTCAGGAGGAGCGATACCCAAGAGTCGGACGATGGATACGTCCCACTGCCCACCCCGCGCACCGATGAAGAGCACATTGCCATCGTCGAAAGGCAACGCAAGGCCGACAACAGCGTGCTCATAATTCCGTCACCACAAGAGGCTGACAGGGGTGCCGTGCCAGAAGAGGTCGACGAAGAAGAGTCCGATGATCCGGATTTACCGGGTCGCCAACGTAGAGAGTCGAGCGTGGACGCGGCCCATGGAGTAGGCTCGCCCCCACGGCCCATGAACCGGCCCGATCGCCAGCAGACTATCACCATCGAAGAGCCGGCGGCACGGCCCCGTAGGGAGGGGCACGGCCGGTCGGAGAAGCTGGCAGAAGACGTCAAAGCAGCCGCTCACACCCTGGACGTCTTTAAAATCCGAAGGCACAGGAAGGAAGGGGAGAAGCTACATCACACCGACACCGGCACGACGACGGTGAGCCGGATCAACGCCTTAGGCCGAATCAAGTCCGTCCTAACTCAAGGTAAAGGCGATGACCCCACACCATACCTGAGTTACCAGCCGACTCTGGGGCGAAACTCTACCTTCTTGGACCTTTCCGAGTCACAGAGAGAGGAATTGGGCGGTATCGAATACCGGTCTCTGAAAACGCTGGCCCTTGTCCTCACCATCTATTTCTTCGGCTACACTATTTTCGGCATCATCACTCTCGTGCCGTGGATAGTTCACAACGACTATTACGGCCAAGTCGTTGATGCCGCTGGCCAGAGCAGGGTGTGGTGGGGCTTCTTCACGGCGAACTCTGCGTTCATGGATCTCGGCCTGACTCTGACCCCCGACAGCATGAATTCGTTCAACACGGCCATCTTCCCCCTCCTCATCATGTCCGTCCTCATCATACTGGGGAATACGGGCTTCCCCATCATGCTCCGCTTCATGATCTGGTTGTTTTCCCTCATTGCACCTCAACGCTCCGGGCTTTTCGAGGAGCTCAGGTTCCTCCTCGACCATCCAAGGCGATGTTTTACCCTCCTGTTCCCCTCCAACGCCACCTGGTGGCTATTCTTCATCCTGGTCGCGCTCAACGGTCTGGACCTGCTGTTATTCATAGTTCTCGACGTGAGTACCCCGGATGACGAGCTTCGCCAGGCGTTTGTGGCTGACATTAGGCTAGCTAAACGATGTAGCGATGGCTGCTTTGCCCCTCAACATTCGTTTTTTGGACGGATGGTTCCAAGCCGTAGCTACTCGAACCGCTGGATTCTCGTGCATCAATCTGTCTCAGATCCATCCGGCGGTGCAGACCTCGTACCTCATCATGATGTATATATCCGTCTTCCCGGTCGCCATCTCGATTCGCAGGACGAACGTGTACGAGGAGAACTCCCTCGGAGTAGATGTCCCGGCCCACGAGGGCGACGACACCAGCCAGAGCAGCATGTCATACGTGGGGACCCATTTACGCCGTCAGCTCTCTTTCGACTTGTGGTATATCTTCGTCGGGTTCTTCATTCTCACTATTTGCGAGGGCGCGCGTCTCACGTCGGGCGACTTCTCCATGTTCGCCGTCCTCTTCGAAGTCGTGAGCGCGTATGGTACGGTGGGGCTGAGCTTGGGATACCCGGGTGTCAATGCCTCGCTATGTTCTCAATTTACAGTCGTTGGCAAGATCGTCATAATGGCCATGCAGATCCGTGGTCGCCACCGCGGCTTGCCCTATGGACTAGACCGAGCGGTCCTCCTACCTAGCGAGCACCTTGACCGTAAGGAGGCCAAGGATGCCGAGCTGAAACTTCAGCGTCGCCATTCAGCCGTGTCTGCCGGCTACCCCCCCGGCCGTCCTACGAGCTTGGCTGTGGGCCGTACGCGGAGTGCGGACGGTGGCTTCATTACTAACTTCGCGCACATTGGGCCGGCGTATGGGCACCACGCATTATCGAAAGGCGAGAGCTCGTTCGAGTCTAGCAAGATGGAGCCGCTGAAAAAGTACGTCACCGACCCTGGCAAGGGGACGAACGGCAACATGGACGAGTCGACTCTCAGACCTAGAAAGAGAGCGGGTACACAACCAAGCTTGTACGGCTAAACGAAAGAGATGCAAACGACATGGGCAAATTTAAGGGAACGGGCTACGCTCTCTCTCTCTCTCGATCAACAGGCACGCAGCCAACATCTCGCGGTCGTGGCGGCGACGAAGAACGAGGATGCGCATAGATATACCGATAATACGGGATGACGAACACGACTTTTTCACCCCCTTGTTTTTTAACACCTACCTACATTTCTCGGCAACGAAAAGTCAAGTATAGAAGAACGGAAGTTCCCTAAATAGAACCGTCCATTACAGATTTAGAGAGGGGAGGAAAGACACTCATGACGTCCAGAAAATCACACTATAGAGATGGTAGCCCGGGCTCCTGGAAGTGGGTATAGACAAGAGGATACATTGGTGCTATACGCGGATATAATGGATGGGAAAGGCAGTCGTGTTTTGTGTTTTGCCTTGTAGTCTTTCTCCTTTTTCATGCCAACCCTCCCCGTTTCTGTTCTTGGTCGTGCGGCATGTTCTCTCGGTAGGAAGGAGATTTCAGTATATTTCACTGTGAATGGATAACGGTGGTTCTGGTCCCCCCTTGCCACTCTTCAGCGCCCCCTTTCGCGGGAATGAGTTTACAACTACGTATGTCTATCTATCCACGTGCACATGCACGTAGGCTAGGAATCCTCCCGACTGGTTCCTCGTGCGATCGACTTGCGTCTGCGGGAGGGCATGAGGGAACCTGTGGACGGTAACGATCTTGGTGAAGGGCCATGTTTGGTTGGGGCACGTGGGCTGCCCGGCACACAGTGACACTGTATATGTACTATGCACTTCTACAGATAAATAAGCATATGTGAAAATATATATCCGATATGGGGTGAGGGGGGCAAAAGAAAGGGGGCAAGATGGGGGGGGGGGAAGAGGCGGCCGCCCGATTCGACGGCGACGGACGGAGGTCACGCAACATCGTCAGGAATGCGGAGACCTGATCTACACGACAGGGCAGCCAACCCGAGCACCGCATGCACAGGGTCGGGCGCCGGCCAACCTATCACCTGCCTGCATCCTCCGGGTGCAGAGATGCGCGGGTGCATCGGCCACGGCTCTCGGCCGCCCTTCGCCTCCCCCTCCCACCCAAGCCCGATCTGCGTCAGCACGCGGCCAGGCTAGTAGCACTGTCTAAGCGAAGTCGTGTCGTCTCGCGTGGCTAGCGTGGTGCGCTATCTGCTGTCGCTTTGGTAGGGTACAGTGGCGTCATGGGGGGGGGGGACGAAAGGAGAGAGGTGAGAGGAGGGGCGAAAAGGGGGAAGTGGGAATAGCATCTCCCCCCCTTTTTTTTCTCTCTGCCCAGCCCGGCGGCAACCCTTCCTGCCGCCGCCACTATGTCTAGATCGCCAACCTACAGCCCGGGGCGAGCGATAACTCGTCGTGTGCAGTTGAGTCGGATCTAGATCTACACGACGATATCGTTTCCCCCCTAACCCCTCTCCTCCAACCCGCCACTCTACCTCTCGGGGGAACGGGGAGAAGCGGGTGTTGGACCCTGAGATAAGACGTCCTCTGGGAGATATGCAGGGGCACCGCACCAACGGGCGGTGGCGTAGATAGATGGGTCGATAGCGAGTGAGTGGACCATGCATGTGGTATACTCTCTTTTCACTTTATTCTACTGGAACGCGTTATATGTGTGCAGCGTGTGGATGGAATCGTACATGCGGGTATGTGTCCCATCTACAGAAGTCGGGGTTCTTGTTCTGAATCCCTCCTTCGCTCTCCCCCCCCTCTCTCTCCATCCTCCCCCCTCTACATGGACATGGGACAATGCTTCCGCAGAGAAGTGCAGGGGAGGGACGAGACCAGACGAGCCGAGATCTCCTCCCCTCCTCCTTTTTTTTCTCTCTCTCCCTCCTACTTGTAACCCGAGGACGCAGAGTGACCCCGGCCTCAGCGCCTGGCGCCGGGCCTGGCGCCCTTGGCGCCCTTGCCGGCGGCGCCGCGGCCCTTGGAGGTGAAGACGTTGCGGGTGCGGCGCCAGGCGTCGACGAGGTGGTCGACGTTGCCCATGTCGTGCTTGGGCTTGCGCATGTAGGTGAGGCGGGCGCGGCGGGCGCGCTTGGGGCGGCGCCAGACGATCTCGATGCCGGCGACGTTGGGGCTGTAGATCTTGAACCACATCTCGACGGGGACGCGGGCGACGTGGTTGCGCAGCAGCACCGCCGTGTCCACGCCCGCGCGCCGGATCACCAGGCACACCCCCGCGAACGGCTCGCCCCCGCCCCCCCCGCGCGTCGTCACCTGCAGCACGTCCCCCGGCTTCGCCGCGTCCGCGTTGCCCTTCGCGAACAGCGCCCCCCGCGCCCCCGTCCGGTCCAGCCGCCGCTGCTGCTGCGCATGGTACGCCAGCAGCGCCGCCGGCTCCGCCGCCCGCGCCGACGCCACCCGCGGGTACACCGCGAACGCGCTGCGCACCGGCTTCTGCGGCCGGTTCGATTTCGCCCTGTCTGCGCCGCCGTGCCGCGAGGAGTGCGTTAGCGAAACTGCGTCGGTGCTGCTGCTGCTGTTGCGGCGGCGGCGGCGGCCTATCGCTTCCGCTTTCGGCACCGTCCCGCGTTCCCTTCCCTTCTTTCTTCTCGGTTTCTTCTCTCCCTGGTCCCGACGCGTGGAAGGCATCACACACGGCCCGGACACCGGCACGGGGGGACGGGTAGGGTTTTCACGTACAGATCTTGGGTTTCGGGAGCTTTATATCGGCTGCCGACGGAGGCGGCGGCGGCGGAGGCGAGGACGCGGTGGTGTTGGCGGTGGTGGTTGCGGTAGCCATCGTGCGGAATGGGGGTAGCTGGTGCTGGTGCTGGTGTTGTCGGAGCTGGCGGCTGCGCCTGAGGACAGCTCTCCAGCTGCTCAGCGGCCGCCGCGTCGATTGGCCGATCATGTTGGCTCGAGAACCTGCCCGTTACCCTCCTGTCTGAGGATGTCGGCGCTGGGCGGGCGGACGATGGCTGAGAATGGTGGAGGAGGACGAGTTCGATTCCTGAGAAGCCCGGAATCCAGTTAAAACCACTAGGTAGGTACAATTCGAGGTGGGTCGCGTCTCCTTATCGATACCGGGGGGGGGGGAAAGCAGTGCCGCGCCGATCTTGTGACGGACCAGCTGCAACCAGCTGGTGGAGTTATCTATAAAAACAAAAAACAAAAAGAAAAAAAAAGTCGAATGCCCCGCGAAGGTATATGCTCTCGATAGATGCATACATGCTGGTAATTACCTACATAGCTGCACTTTTCTGTAGAATACTCATGCCTACAGAACAAGCTTGACTTATGTCTGTCCTTAGCATCTCTACGCCTCACGACAACCAGGCGGGGGTTTACCTTGTGACCACGAACAGCACCTGTCCCTCAGCAATATGTCGAGGAGGTCGGCGCTGAGCGCCCTCGGCGCAAGCAATGGCGCTTTCGAGTCCGTTGCCAGGATGGTGGCCCGGCCCGCAGCGATGCGGCGCCCTTTCTCGACCACGCAACCAAGAGGCACGTCTATCCCGCGACAGCTTCCCCTCTGCTCTCTATACCGGGTATACTGAACATTAACGATACCTACGTAACGTATATATATGTGTGGGTGGGTGTGGGCGTCGCATGCTAATCCTGTCTGCCGCAGCCTCCATAACCCATTTCACGCCCACGTCGTCGGCCGAGCTCGACGAGGTGCTCAACACGATCCGGTACAAGATCATCCTGCCGGCGTACCTGCCGGAGGACCAGCGGCGGCGGATCTACCTGGCGCGGTACCAGAAGCAGCTGCAGGCGGACCCGGTGGTGATCGAGATCGACGGCGAGGTGATCAAGTTCCACTTCACGGACCCGCTGACGCAGATCCCCAACACGCGCCGCAGCGTCCTGCAGGCGCTCCAGCTCTGCCGCGAGCCCGCCGACTTCGTGAACCTGCGCCCGCTCTTCGAGGGCCTCACCTACGCCAACCGCACCTTCCCCCCCGACTTCTACTGCAAGGTCATCCGCTCCGTCGGCCGCAAGGGCCGCATCTACGATATTATCGAGTGCGCCCGCGGCGCCGCCCGCACCGGCTTCCGCCTCGACTCCAGCGAGAAGGTCAACGAGGTCCTCCACTTCGTCCAGATGCGCGCCGCCGACGCCGCCTGGGACCCCCGCGTCCTCCGCCAGTGTCTCCGCTGGGCCGAGATCGTCCTCGACCTCACCCAGCACGCCAACCACCGCCGCGCCGAGCCCCTCCTCCCCGGCGAGCTGCCCCTCCACCAGGACCCCATGGTCCTGCTCGCGCCCCTCCACCTCGCCGCCTCCCTCGTCGAGCAGTACGACATCGACGCCGCGCGGGCCGCCGCCCCGGACGACAGCGAGGCCGTGACCGAGGCCGCCCCCGCCCCCGCCCCCGCCGAAGCCGAAGCCGAGGCCGACGGTCAAGCCCCCGGCTCGAACGACGCCGAGGAGACCGCCTCCCGCGCCGCGAACCGGGCCCAGGCGGCGGCCAAGGCGGCGCGGTACGCGCTGTACGTGGCGCGGCTGTGGCCCGAGGGCAGGCGCCTGCGGGAGGTGCAGCCGGCGGCGGCGTACGAGGACAGCACGCGGCTGGGGTACCTGCGGCCGGGGAGCAAGTTCGTGGCGCTGGCGACGCCGCTGCTGCACGGGCTCGACGTCGCCCTCCGCGTGCTCGAGCCCGCGCTCGCCGACCCCCTGCGGCCCCGCCGCGACCTGCTCGCCGCCGAGATCGACGAGGCCCGCGCCGCGCTCAACCTCCGCGCCAGCGCCGTCTGGGAACAGTTCTTCGGCGACGGCATGCTGAGCAGCGAGCGGGACCGCCTGCCCGACGTGGCGGAGGCGAGCGCGTGAGCGAACGACGCGCAGAGGGAGGTTTGGGGAGCCGAGGGAAGAAAAAAGAGAGAGAGGAGATGGGGGGGGGGGGGGGGGGGGAGGGAAGATGCGTACGGGTGAAGACGGTAGATAGGGGTTAAAAAGGAGAAAAGAGAATGCCTAGGTCATCCCCGGATTAGGTCGGTCCAGGCCGCATCGTCAGGTGGGGGTTGCGTGTATGTATTGGTGAATATGTAGGTAGGTATATGCCCATACCGTCGCTGTTGCTGCTGTCACCATTGTACAAGCGCATTGTATATATATACAAATACAGGATGACTCTCTGCTGAGGAGTACCAGCTTCCCCTCCCTCGTCTCCCCCGACCTTGACGCTCTACGCATGCACGTGGGTACCGACGGAGGTACGCGATCGCAAATGATCCTCCCCATGCCCCTTTCTCCCTCGCCCGTCTACGGACGCCTCTTCTTCTTTTTCTTCTACCGGACCCTCTCCACCCCCCCGGTCCCCCGCCCACCGCACCTACTATCGTACAACGAAAAAGAAAAAAAAAGACAGAGGAGTGGGAGCTCCTAGGGCAGGACGATGTACTTCTCGAGGCCGGGCGGCACGGCGGAGAGCAGGTCCTTGCTCTCGAGCCAGGCGCGCGAGAAGAGGCGGTCGGCGTAGCGGTAGGCGCCGTCGCACAGGATGGTGACGACGGTGTGGCCGGGGCCGAGGATGCGGGCGACGTCGCGGGCGGCGACGACGTTGAGGGCGCTGCTGGCGCCGAGGTAGAGGCCCTCGCCGTCGAGGCAGCGGTAGACCATGGCGAGGCTCTCGGCGTCGGGTATGTGCACGCTGCCGTCGAGCAGCGCCACGTCGGGCGCCAGGTTCGCCGTCACGCGGCCCTGGCCGATGCCCTCGGTGATGCTGCCGCCGCGCCGCTCCGCCAGCCGGCCGCCCGACTGGACGTACGAGTGCAGCACGCTGCCGGGCGGGTCCGCCAGGTACGACCGCACGCGGCCGCCCGACACCTCCTTGAGGTAGCGCGTGACGCCGGCGAGGGTGCCGCCGGTGCCGGTGGCGCAGGTGAAGGCGTCGAGCGCGCTGCCGGCGAGCACGGTCTGGGCCCAGATCTCGGGGCCCGTGGTCTCGATGTGGGCGCGGCGGTTGGCCGTGTTGTCGAACTGGTTCGTCCACACGGCGTTGTCGAGCGCCTCGGCGTGCCGCCGCGCCTGGTGGTTGTAGTTGGCCGGGTCGTCGAACGGCACCGCGGGCACCGGATGCACCTCGGCGCCGAGCAGCCGCAGCAAGTCAATCTTGCCCTGCGACTGCGTGTCTGGCATGTAGATGACGAGCCGGTACCCCCGCGACCGGCACACGTGGGCCAACCCGATCCCGGTGTTGCCGGCCGTCCCCTCCACCACCGTGCCCCCCGGCCGCAGCTGGCCCCGCTCCTCGGCGTCCAGCACGACGTACAGCGCCGCGCGGTCCTTCACCGAGCCACCCGGGTTCATGAACTCGGCCTTCCCTAACACCTCGCAGCCCGTCTCCTCCGACAGCTTGTTCAGCCGGATCAGCGGCGTGTTCCCGATCGCTAGACAGCGAAGGATATCCCTGCGTTAGCTACCCAGCTGCCTGTCTTATTCCCTTTCCGGAGAGGGAGAGACGCATAGGGATAAGGGCACGTACCGCCGGTCAAGCCCTTCGCGATGCCCTGCGCTTTGGAGACAGCTATAGTGTGGGGACTCGGGCCGTTTGCTGGCGCGGGCGCGGTGGTAGTGGCGGCGGCGGCGGCGGCTCTGCGCACCGTGGTGGTTAGCCGTCGCGCACCCTGTCGAAACATGGTGTCGTTGGTTGCTGGCGCGGCAGACGGTGATGTTAGGCACGAGGAATCCGGGTTAGGTGCGCCCTGCGGCCTGGTAGCAGGAGGAAGGGAAGGGTGGTCGAGAATGGATAATGCGCCCACGCTGCTTGACGAGTTGAGAGGAGGAGGGATCTCGAAGTAGGTAGGTATGCTGTAGGTGACTTGCTTAGGTCAGCGGTGTGCATGCTGTATCGGCTGGATATCATAAAAATTGGCAGGACGCCGGCGGTGCTATGCTGGTGGTGAGCCGGCCTAGTAATCACGTCATACCGGCTGCCGCGTCTCGACACCCGGTCCTATCGATAAACCCCTCCCTCCCTCGTGTTCCGCTCCCCTCTCCACCCCACCTCGGGCATGTAGCTAGGTACCACCCGGCTGCCGTCGTGATCAAGCCTCCAACTAACCTGATAGTAGGTGAGATCGCTTAAAAGGGCCCGAGACGAGGTCCGCGACACGCTGCATATAAGTATAGGTATACTGTTCTCGCGAGCCTCCAGGGCCCGTCTAGGTTTATGCTAGATGCGATAGACGCAAAAGAAAAGAACAGACAGAAAAGGGATACGCACAACGGCAACAGCTATGCCATGCCATACTAACCACACGATGCTCACAACCTATACACATACATACGTCTCCTTTTTCCTTCCTTTCCCCTGTCCCGTACCGTCAGGTCGTTCATCTCATCATCGTGGATCAACATTATCGGGGGAATTATCGTAGTCGTAGTAGCCGCTATCGCTGCCGCTATTCCTCGAGGGCTACCACGTACGGCGCCGGGAACAGCCCCTCCGCCCCCATGTAGTGCCCAAAGAACCATTCGCCGTTGACGTCTTCTATCTCCTGCACCTCCGCCCCCCTCGGGAAGAGGAGCTCGTCGTCGGCGCCCGGCTGCGGGAGCCAGGACCACCTCGCGATAGCTCGTGTGCCCACGCCTCCGTCCGGCGGGAACTCTTCCGTCTCCGACGGGGGGCCCGTCGCGGCCACGTCTACGGTAACGAGCCTCTCGAGCCGCTCCCCGTCCGCGCCCTTCCACGACCACTTCTCCAGGCGGGGCCCCTGCTCGTGCTCCTCGTCCGGCGCCCCGTCCGGCGCCCCGTCCTCGGAAGGGCTGATGCGTAGGCTGTGGCCCCCGACCATCTCTCGGATCACCTGGCGTCTGTGAGCGCTCGAAGCCTCGCTGAAGCCGATGACGGTCATTCGATGGCCCTTCAAGCAACGCCTCCAGCCGCCGTGGCCATTCTCGTTAGATATGCGTCCGTCCCGGACGAGGCCAGCGTAACAGTCCGTGCAGATGTTGTAGTCGCCCGGCTGCGCGTTCGGGGCCGTCGTACTAAGGCACCGAGAGCAGTGGTATCTCTGGTGGTCGGGAGGGATTTCCTCGTGGCAGATTTCGCACGACATCGTAAAGGTAAGCGGCTTAAAGTCGCCGAGGCTGATGCTGTTGAGCCCGGGAGAGACAGCCCCGCCCCGCGGGTACTCGGAGAACTGGGCCCTGCTCGGTGAGCTGTGGGGTGTTGCCACGGGATCGACGTACGCCAGCGGGAGGAGAGGGTGCGTACAGCATTTGCCTTGGTTCACGCAGCTGTTACAAAACCCCCACTCGCCCTCGTTGCATGATAGGCATCGCCAGATGCAGTCATTAGCCCAAGCGAGACATTGCGCACAGAACTCGCCGCTTTCCAATCGTTTGGATGGGTCGTCCGTTGTAAGCGTCCTCCGTCCCTCGGCGCCGCCCGGTGTGTATTTGGGCGGCTTGTAGCGGCATGGGGTGAGAATATGCGACGGCTCCGGGTCCTCCTCGCCCTCAGCACGCGCCTTTTCCCGCACCCTTTCCCATCTCGCAAAAGCGGCGTATCCAAACCCGAACCAGTGGCGACATCCTTTCCCAGAGCGGTAGCAGTTCAAGCAGATATTCCACTCGCCGTGCGCGCACCGCGAGCAGTGGTAATGAAGCTCGTATTCGATGTGCCGCCGTTCGCAACGTGAACATGTGACCGACGGCTCTTGATAAAATTGGGATCGTGCTCGCTGTTGTTGTGCCTGCTGGGACGACGAAGATTTGATAAGTCCGAGACTGGGCAGAGGGGGTTGTGGGGCAGCCAGATTCGAAGGCCGTCGCTTCTTGGGGTGTACAGGAGCGGAATCATCAGATTGGGCCTCTGGAGAGGAGGCAGGCGGAATCTGCGCAGTGGAGGTTCGTTCGCTAAAGGAGAGGTCCCTGGGTCGAGGGCTGCTACTCGTCGACGACTGTCCGGCTTGGCCCGAGACGGGCATGCCAGCAGCCATCGATTCGGACATGGATGGACGATGTGATGGTGTGCCAGGACCCTGAGATCTCAAGGGTAGGTCGGTTTGTGATCGGGCAGCTGGTCTCGCCTCCGCCGTCCTTGGCCGTACAGGTTCGGTTGCGCTCCTAGAACTGCTCGAAGTCCTCCGCTGGCGCCTTTCCGGAGCGACGTGAACCTCCAGGTGAGTCGACCTAACCGGAGGGCGGTTCCGATCGTCTGTGTGGTTCTGAGCCGTGGAGCTCCGTGGCCTAGTCGTCGCCGAGCTAGATCGCTGCCGGCTGCTCGGCCGGGATATTTCTAGCGGGGCAGGCCGCGAGGCAGAGCGCAGGTGCTCGTCCGGGCGGGAGGGCAAACCAGGATCGCTCCTCCTGGGCTGTTGGTTACGGACTCGATCCCTCTGTCGCCGCCGGTAAGCGTCTGTGATTTTCCGGCTCAGCTCGTCGTTTTGGGTTAGGTCGATATTGTCCAAGTCTAGGCCGTCTAGAAGACCTTCTTCCTGGATCTGGCGTGCGAACTCTTCTATTTCCCGTTCCACGTCCCGAGAGTCGACATCGGACGAACTAATCAGCGATCGTATCGACGCCTGATGTTCCACCTGTCTCCTCGTCCGAGATGAATCACGCGAAGGCGCATGATGTCGCGATTCACTACGATGACGTCGTCGCTCGTCCGATGACGGCTCGGGCAGTAATAATCCGTTCGGGTCAACCCGCCGCCGGTGTGTGTCGTCCCTCCGAGCATAGTCACGCGGCTCCCGACGTGCATCTCGGCTACCGTCTCTGTCTGATCTGCTCCTCTCGCCGTCGGACCGGCTGCGGTCACGGCGTCGCCTCGCTCTAGACCCCTCGGCCGGATCTACACCAGCGTCCCGCAGACTCATCTGCCGCGCTTGTTCTAGCATCTGCCTCTCTATCTCCTGGAGCCGCCTGTCCTCGGACGACCTCTCGGGTACACGTACCCTAGGCAGGACGTCATCGCCGGGTCTGTAGTTCTGACGCATCTCCTCTTTCTCGTCGGCGGGCTTTGATTTGTCCGGGTTCGCGGCTAGGAACATGTCGAGCAGAGTGTTTACGGTAGCATTATGGCGGGTATCTCGAACCGGCGCACGACATGAGGGGCAGGTGTATATTCGTGAGCTGGAAGATCTCGGAGTGGGCGCGTTTTCTACTGCCTTCAGTTGCCAGCTAAACCAGTTTTTCAAGCAAGCACCACAAAAGGTGTGCAGGCAGTCGAGGAGGGTCAAGGGTTGGTAAAGGATTTCGGTACAGATCTGATGGGCAGTTTAGTGTCTAGGAATCCTACAGCCTACCCAGAAAAAAAAAAACACCCCCGGTATGTTCAGGATATGGTAGCTGGCGATATGCGGACCTACCGAGCAAGTCAACTCCTTCTCCAGGTCGACACTGGGCTGCGAGGAGGTCATAGTAACTGTGGGACAAGCAGAGGCCCTCTCCCTGCTGTTCTGTTACGGGGTAATACTGGAGGAGGACAAATCTTGAACGGGAGAGACTCCGCGAAGGGGTATTTAATATGGGCAGTGGAGTTGGGTTTGTGTTGCGGAGTTATATGACTATCCTCCGGATAGGATAAGCTGGAGAGGGCTTGGTATAAGAAAAGACTGGGTTGTGAAGGGCTTGGTATACATTGAGGACTTGGTACCGAGTCACCAGCAGGCGCGAGAATGCATCGTGTCAATCAAGGCGGTGCATCTGACCGGCAGCTCGAGTCCCGGGTTCTGGAAGGGTGTCAGAAGCACGGTCTAGCATCGCCTCCCTCGTGATGCAGCCAGCCCGTTGGCGTTAGGAGGTGCAGCGGCAGAGCCCGTCTCGCCTCGTAAAAGTGTCTGACATACCTGATGGGGGAGACGAGAAGAGACGACGACGGGGTTTACTGAAGGTTGGAGATGGCGACGGAGCTGGAGATGCCTAACCGCCCCCGGTCAGCCCTACATAGGGAGATACCTAGGCACCTAAGATATTACGGATCTCTCGCAGCCGACTTACCCGTAGAGAGCAGCCAACCGCCTCCTGCATGGATATGCATGTACAAGGTACCTACCTGGGTGCCAATAACCCGCCTATTAGGTTAGGTGTCTAGGTACCTATGCATAAACCAACCAACTCCTGCTCTCTGGGGATAGGCATGCACATAACATATCCACACCTCCTCAAGCGATCAAAAGGAGAACAAGTGAGCCTCGAAATAACACTAACAATCATGACAACCATGCTGGAATTCGGTTTCTTCATGTGTTCTCTAGACTACCAGACCTACCCAGGTAAGACAGGTCTCATATAGTCCCCCCTCACCCCTCTATACGCATACCTACCTCATGCCTGCGCACCACGACTAGTAGGTACGTCGTCGTAGTGAGGGGAGGCGAGGGAAGGGGGCCTTCTCCTCTCCTCGCTTACCCGTGCGTCCACTCGGGCCTCTTCTTCTCGGCGAATGCTCTCATGCCGATCTTCTGGTCCTGGGTGCCGAAGAGGCTGTGGAAGACGCGGCGCTCGTACTCGACGCCGTCGCGGAGGGCGAGGTCCTGGCTCTTGTTGACCACCTCCTTGGCCGCGATGACGGCGACGCGCGAGTGGCCCGCGATCGTCTCGGCCGTCTGCAGGGCGCCCTCCATGAGCGCGGCGTGGTCCGGGAACGCGCGCGCGGCGAGCCCCCACCGCGCCGCGTCCGCGCCGCTCAGCCCGCGCCCCGTCAGGATCAGCTCCATCGCCCGCGACTTGCCGATCGCCCGCGTCAGCCGCTGGCTGCCGCCGGCCCCCGGGATCGTGCCCAGCCGGATCTCCGGCTGCCCGAAGTTCGCCGTCTCCGTGCAGTACACGATGTCGCACATCATCGCGAGCTCGCACCCGCCGCCGAGCGCGTGGCCCGCCACCGCCGCGATGATGGGCTTCTTGACCTGCGTCGTGAGCTGCGACCACGACTCGATGAAGGCGTTCGTGTACGCCTCCGCGAAGGTGAGCGGCGCCATCTCCTTGATGTCCGCGCCGGCCGCGAACGCCCTCTCCGACCCCGTCAGGATGATGACCGAGATGCTATCCGAGGCGTTGAATTCGCCCAGGGCCTGGTTGAGCTCGCTGATGAGGGGCGTGCACAAGGCATTGAGGGCATTGGGTCGGTTGAGGGTGACTGGTGCAGATGTTCGCGTCAACGGATGGCCCCACAGCAATTCTACCGCCCTCTTCGTCTCTCTCACCTTGTCCGACCCCCGGCTTGGGCACCGATGTCTGGACGAATTCGTAGGACCTCGCCGCCGCAGCCGAGAAGCTGCGAACCGTCCTAGGAAGTGTGCACGGCTGGAGGCGCGAGGCGAGCGGCCTCAAGGTCCGTAGCGTATTCATATTTGGACACAAAGCTGCCTGCGCGGATTGGAAGGCGATTTTTCTTCAATCCAGCTTAGAATTCTCCGCCTCGCACGGAGACGTCTAAGGGCGGCAGCGTGCGTTACGGAAGAGTCAATTGGACAGTGTAGGCCGAGCTTTTTTAAAAACGGACAACAATATAGTAAAATTAGGCAGTCAATGCCTCGGGATGGAGGGTGCGAGAATGCGTCTTAGCCGTTGTGTACTCCTACACAGAGAACTGGTCTCCGTTCATGAGCTGATGAAGCCGAAGCTGGCCGAGGGTAGCGTTGGCACGGAGGGCGGGACGCCAACCATTACCTACTAAGATACTACCACCGTTACGAGAATATCGTCTCTGAGCTGCCTGACGGGGTACCTAGGTACTTTAAGCCAGTGAGCCAGGGATGGAATTGTGGCGTTTCCGTGTGGCTGGGCTCGTTTTTAATCGAGTTGGCCACATTGGTCCCCCGTCGGATTCAACAGATTGGGCAACCGGCTCCCCTGGCTGGCGCAGATCTCTAAAAAGTCGCGACAAGAGTAAATTGCCCGTTGTCTCGCCCTGCATTCGAACTTCCCAAACACATACCGACAACTACCCACCAGTTCATCCATACCGCGCTCCCACGTGCCGGCCAGCCCGAACCCAGCGAGGAACTCCGGACGCGACACCAATACGATCACTCGAGTCATCACCACGGGGAAGAGGAAATCGCATCATCTTGCAACATGGAAAGTATCGAACCCGGCCAGACCCCTTTCGCTGCTGTCACGGCCCAGACCTCCAAGCTCCAGAGGGTAAGTCCTGTGTGCCTTGATTTTTCTCGTCTCCCTGCTTGCGCCGGCGGCTGCGGGATCATGGCAAACGCGTGCGGCTAACGCTTTGCAGAAATACCAGGCGCTGCTGGATCAATCGACCCCCTTCGTCCTATACCGATGGATCAGCACGGCCGTATTCCTGGGTGTCTTCTTCCTGCGCATACTCCTCGCGCAAGGCTGGTACATCGGTGAGTGGTAGGAGTGGTAGCAACTGCGGCAGCAGCGAACCCGTCCCGCATCCGAGCTGCGAAAAAAGTGCGGATCGATCCGACCGGCTAACTGAAGATCCCAGTGGCGTATGCGCTCGGTATCTACCTTCTCAACCTGTTTCTGGCATTCCTGCAGCCCAAGTTCGACCCCTCGAGCGACCTGCTCGATAATGAGATGGAGGACGGGACCGCCGGTGGCCTGCCCACGAAGCAGGACGAAGAGTTCCGCCCGTTTATCCGACGGCTCCCCGAGTTCAAGTTCTGGCACGAGGCGACCCGCGCCATCACCATCGCGTTCCTTTGCAGCTGGTTTGAGGTCTTCAACGTCCCCGTCTTCTGGCCCGTGCTGGTCATGTACTGGATCATCCTATTTGTTCTTACTAGTAAGCCGACCCCAGAATCCCCGAACCTCAAATTAACCCCTTCTCTCCGGAGGAAGCAACTCAACCCCGCTAACTCTCTGCACCTACAGTGCGCAAGCAAATTCAACACATGATCAAATATCGATACGTGCCCTTCTCGTTCGGCAAGGCACGCTACGGAAAGGCCAGCACCTCCTAAGCGCGAGCCCTCAATGGGCCATATAGCCGGCCCGCCGTCATATCTCTCTACAGAACGGTGTTCTAGAGAGAGGGGGGGAGGGAAACGCCGGGACGCTCACCAGATGGCTTCAGTACATCATATGTTCACGAAGAGAATCGAAGAGAAACGAGAAGAGACGAGTGTGGTAGACGGTGGCGTCGGTTTTTTTTTTAAAGGCTGTACAAAATTATGACATGAGCACCTTGTACGAGGTATACCGGGCTAATTGGTGGTCTGTAATGTTGTGTGTGTGGACTTGTCCGTACGTGGTAATGTACACGGTGCTATCTATAGAGTGTGCGACAGACACATAAAGGGACGACGAATAGCGGACACGAGCTACCTCTATCCTAGATCTGGTGTGGGATCATCATGACTATGACCTACCGGGATGCCTTCGGCGGGCGGGCAGGGATTTTCAATACTTATGTTATACGACTAATGTTACGTCTGCCTCCCGACTCGATGAATCAAGTCTATGAGGCTCGTTCCGGGTTACCCGTCGTCTCGCGGACTTGTAAGCCCGAGTTGCTGGGGGGGGGGATGCATAGCTTCCAAAAGCAAGGATTTAATTCATCGTGAACGCAAGAAATAATCACTTGGATATCAATGCTGTGAGCAGCACATTGTTAGTGGGTACACTGTTAAGGCACGCAGTTCGGAAAGTACTAGACAATTGATTCCAGTCCTTGTACGAGTCATGAGACCGACTCATGCTCGTCCACAACTCGTTTGTATTTAAACCTGATTTTAAATGTCATATACTCTGGGAGATCAGCCTTTGCCTTCTGAAAGCAGAATACGACACTGGGGTTGGGATAAAAGGCTTGTTGTAGGTAAGTGATTAACCGCACACACCCTTACCGTATGCCCACCATACTGCCTATATGTATAGTATACACGCAACCCCCGGCCCTGAGAATACTAATAGCATAAGGGACAGGCCGACAGGTTAACCAGATTAGCAGCTTTTAGCGCAAGGGGTGCTACCATTAGAAGTTATCTAGGCATCCCGTCAAACCGGCCATATGAGCTACTTGTGTGTCACATGACCCTACTGCGGCGGGCAGTTTGGTAAGCAGGCACAGACCATGGCGGAGAGCATGCATCAATGCGATATATATTCGCATATGTGCATTCCCGTCTTCTTTTTCCCGTCCTAATTCTTTTTTTTTTTTTTTTTTTTCCCAGGTACGTAGGTACCTCGCCAAGTACGCTACCCTCCATCCCTTCTACATTGACATTGTCAAAGCCCCCCAACCTTCCCGCAGCTCCAGGTCGCGTCGTCGCGAACAGCTCCGGCTTGCGATTTGCGACCACGGAATTTCCCAGCTTCACAACTTCACGTACATCCGCGATTCGGCCATCAGTTATCCTCAGAAACCCTCAATCCCCCTGAGGATCCCGTCCACAATCCTATAACCCCATCACCGCCTCTCCTGCGGCTCGATTCTCCCCCTACCATCACCACGATGGCGTCCTCGTCGCGCGGGAACGAGCACCGCTCCGTCCACCAGGACTTTATCGCTAGAATTCGCTTCTCCAATGCGCTACCTCCGCCGCCCAACCCGCCGAAGCTTCTCGATATCCCCAACACTGGCCTCGCCAGCGGCCAATACACCACCCCGGGCTTCGCCTCGAGGCTCGCGAGGGAGCAGCCGCTCAACATCGAGGCCGATGCCGAGCTAGGCATGCCGTTAGATCTAGTAGGCATGCCGGGCATTTTCGATGGGGATGAGAGTTGTAAGTAGGAACGCGAAAGCCACCCCGCTCGCGTCTTCCGTGCCTGGCTGACCAACTCGGATGTAGCTATCCAAGCCCCTGCGCAACCGCCGCCGATCCATCCAAACGATCGACTTCTTCTCCGAGGCCCCGGGAGCTCGGGCAATCCCAAGCTGGCCGAGGCCAACGTGTCTTTCCTCCGCCGCACAGAGTACATCTCTTCGACTACCACCAAGTCCCGCCACGACGCGGGCCCGCTGCGCAGCCTCAATTCGGCCCCGAAGCGGACCCTGAAGAGATCCTCACCTGAGCCGGACGTCGGCTCGCCCGCTCACATCAAGCGGAAGATAAACCAGAGCTTCGCCGCCACCGCCGCCAACCTGAAGGACAGGAGCAGGGTCAAGCACCCGTCCAAGCGAAACGTCAAGCTCGTCGACGCCTACCCCCTCGTGCCCGACCTCGAGGCCTTCCCCGACTCCGGCGCGTACGTGACCTTCAAATTCACCCACAATCCGCTACCCCCGAGCCGCGTGTACGACAAGCGCTTGCTCAGCGGCATCCTGAAACCCATCGGCAAGACCGAGGCCGAGGAGGCCGCCTACACGGTCGCCCTGCAGGCGCACGAGCGCGACCCCCAGAACGTGCCGAAGCCGCAGAACCTGCTGGACTACGACTTCTACCTGAGCGACACGGCGGACGGGGCGGAGCGGTTCCGGCAGAAGTTCGACGTGGAGAACCCGGACCACGACCAGGAGAGCCTGTACACGCACCGGGGCGGGTCGGGCAAGGGCAGCTTCCACTTCCCGCGGGTGCGGCCGTACGAGACGGCGCAGGAGTCGGAGCTGAACAACCAGACCAAGTACGACGAGGAGGTGGTGCTGGCGTTCAACGACGACGAGACGGTGGACCAGAAGGCGGCCTTCTTCTACCCGGTGATGCAGCGGTCGGTGATCAAGCCGCAGCGGACCAAGAACATCGCCCGCACGATAGGGATCACGGGCCTGGACGAGGGCAGCGTGGTGGACCAGCTCGACGTCGCCGTCGAGGACCCGACCGACGACATCCGCTCCTGGATGACGCTGTACCGGAACCACCCGTACGGCAAGGACGACGAGGCCGGCGCCGGCGGGGGCGACGACGACGACGAGGAAGGGGAGGAGGAGGCGGCAGGAACCCAGCGCGGCGCCGCCAGCCACGCCAACGACCGGCCCTCGTCCCACGCGCAGCAGGTGTCGGACGAAGACGAGGACGAGGACGCCGAGGGCGACGAGGAAGATTAAGGAGCGCAATCAACCCTACTTTGGCAAGCAAAAAAAGGGGTAAGAGGCTTGGCATAGCTGGTTTGGCAGCAGCTGTAGACACGACCACGAGGGGGCCGTTGGCCGCCGTACATACTTTCCACACCCCGCGTCCTCTCCCGGGCTCCGTTCCCGGCTCTTTTTTTTTTTTTTCTCCCAGTCCCGGACGCCTTGGTTGTTTCTTCGCGGCTAGGACCCAGGATCTGCATAACCTACGCTTTGCCGGGAACGCGTTCTTGTCCTTCCTCTCCCCATCTCTCGCGTATGAGTCTGCTTTTTATTTTTATATTTTTATAACCTTCTCTTCCTTCGACGTGCGGGGCTCTAGAAAAAAAAAGAAAGCGAAAAAGGAAGACTTGCCGGCGTTGGCTCGGACGAAGAAGAAGACAGCGCGCGCGCGCGCGGAGTTGGCGCGCCAGCGCGGCGAGGGAGACTTCCCCTTCCCCCCCTCCGAGCTGAGACCGGGAAAAGGCAAAAAAGGCAGATAGGCAGGCAGGCAGATAGGGTAGAGGCTCCTACGGCCACCAATTGAAACCATCGGGCTTCGAATGTAGCGACGCGCGAGCGTGCCGTCGGGCGGGCGGGGAGTGTGTGCTATCTGTATGCTATCCCCATCCTCCCCGTATGAACAGGTCCGTGTACAAGGCTCGTTGGAGCGTTACAGCATAGACTGCCCAAGATACAAAGGGGGCCCGGCCACCCAGGCCCCCCTCCTCTCCCCATTCCCGGCACCGGCCTGCCAGTAGCCTTCGCGCCGCGGCCGCAACACTCTCCCCGCCACCCAACCACTCGCTTCTCTCGATGCCCTACTCCCGCCTTAGGGCAGGGAAGGGTCCGCCGAGTAATTCGAAGCGAAGCCGCCACGGAGACGGACGGGCCGGCGGTCACACCGTCGCGCTAGGGCAATGTTTCCCCTCCCCACCTAGGCTCTGCCTCCTGTGGCGCCTTGGGGGGGGGGGGGGGGGGGGGGGGGTACAGGGAGGGTATACGGTATACTAAGCGGAGGGATGGGAGTAGGGCGACCGGGATAGGGCGGGGCGGGGCAGGGTGTCCGGCCCCGCTGCTCTCTCTCCCTCTTCTCCGGCCTGCCTGCCTACTTGCCTGGCCCGTCTCGCTCTCAGACCTGGCGCAGCCACGCCTTCTCCTCGGGGGCTGGAGCGGACGAAAAGAGAGGTTTGGGTTGGGGGTGATGGAGAAAAGGCGAGGGGGGGAAGAGGAGAGGGGAAACCGACCCGAGGCTCTGGATCCGGATAGATGCCGTCCCTGCCCAGGGCCGGAGCAGGGCGTGGGGAAATCTCAGCCGGCCAGGTTAAGGGCCGGGCCCAGCATTGGGCCGTCATGCTATCCTTTGACTAAGGGCCGCCTACGCCACCCGGCGTGGGTTCTACCTACCTATATAACCAAATACCTACCTCTTCGTTTCCTACACCTGAGCGGGGAGAAGAACGGCCGATGGACGTAGTGTGTATGTAGGAACATTGCTGCTCGTACGTTACTCAGCACTATCCTCTACGCCGGGTTAACCTCCGTAGCTACGGTAGCCGTGGCTGGGCCGGGGAGGAGGACGGGGCGTGTACGATGCTATGTGTGCCCTCGCTGAGGCTCACTCCGCCCAGTTCTGACCCTACCGGCAAGCCAGACAAACTCCGCCTTAGTATAGCCTCGTCTCGTGGTTGTTGTCTCGCGGAGAAAAGGAACAATTTAATAAGAACGAATCTGACGGTCAACGCGCCTTGCTCTCCGATTCTGTAACTAGACCGCAGAGTCCAGACAGCCTCCGTCCAGCCTCCCCTCCTCCTACTCTGTGCCTAGGCGAGATATATATTCTTCTACGTATTCCTCAGCAGGGATATCGGATACTTTCACAGTCACCACAGAGACTCCCACACAGGGTTAAATTAGTACTGTCAATTCGTATAAACACGTGCATATACATTACGTCCGACTTAATACACGGGACAGCATACTCGCCCACCGGCACGCCGCCCGGCCTAGTCGAGCGGTGAAGCGAAGTAAAGGTACAGAGACGGCTCCTTTTTGAAGACACGACGACCCCTCCCCGCCCGCAATCTTCGCCTCGCGATCTTGCTCGCTCATGCTTCGTCGAGCGGATACCGCGCGGTGAACTTGAACGTCTTCAGGCCCTCGGCCACGCTCGAGACGAGCTGCGCGACGTCCGCGCTCGCGTACACGCCGTCGGCGCCCTCCCGCGGGTTGAGTCCCGCGGCCACGAGCGGCTCGCTCGGCGCCTCGCCCCCGAAGTACCCCACCGGCTTGCCGTACAGGAAGGCGGCGCTGGTGATCTGCAGCGGCCGCAGCGGCGGGTACAGCGGCGAGAGCGACGAGGCGGCGAACAGCCCTTCCGCGTCCGCGCCCGACGTCACCACCAGAGCGTCGAAGTCGGTCGCGTCCGCCGTCGAGTACGTCTTGTCGATGCCCGGCGCCAGGCGCTCCGCCACGACCGTGGGCACGAGGCCCTCGGCCGTGAGGCGCTCCCTCAGGGCGGCGGCCTGCTCGGCAGCCGCGGCGCCGTTTCCCGCGGACACCGTCGACAGGATGCCGACCTTCAGGGTCGCGACGGTGGGGAGCAGCTCGCTGACGATGCTGATACCCGCCGTCGTGTTGTCGTGGTAGTACGTGTCCTCGGGGGCCGGCGCCTCGAGGCCGAGCGCAGACGCGACGCGGGCTGCGATGTCGTTGCTGATGCGGTTGAGCTGCGTGAGAACTGCGCGTTTGACAGCCTCTGACTGCAGCAGGCTCGTCTCAAACCGGACGGCGTTGATGAGGAACTGCTGCTCCACTTGCGTCAGCGAGTTGTAGAACAGCCGTGGCTGCGACCAGTGATCGTCGAAGGATGACGGCAACCCGCGCACCAATCGGCCTGTCGTGCTGCGTGAGGGTGCTGCAAAGTAACCCCGGCCCCGGCTCTGGTCTGCCTGCTCTGGGAAGCCGCTGTTCAACGTGTTGGGCGTGTCTTTTACGATTGTCAGTCCCGGCCGGCCTCACGCAAAAGGGGAAAGTGGTGAAGAGAAATTGACTCAGGGCGCTCACATGGGTAGATATTCTTATGGATCAAGTTCTGGCCAGCTCCGTCACGGTTATTGTTGTGAATGGGGATGAGGGGCCGATTGATGGGGAGCTGCTCAAAGTTGGGGCCGCCGTGGCGGTTTAGCTGAGTGTCGAGGTAGGAGAAGATGCGGCCTTGCAACAACGGGTCCTCGCTAAAGTCCACCCCCCTTACAATATGGCCAGGTTGGAACTACAGACATAGGTCAGCATCGAAAGCAGACTATAGCTTTGATCCGTACGACGAGTATGTGAAATAGGCGAGATGGCGAATGGAGCCTACCATGATTTGTTCAGTCTCGGCGAAGTAATTTGTTGGGTTCGTGTGCAGCTTCATGACACCAAGCTTCTGGAGTGGCGCAAGCTCCTCGGGGATGATCTTGGTGGGATCCAGCAGGTCAAATCCGAAGGCGAGGGCCTTGTCCTCGTCGACAAGCTGGACAGCAAGCTCCCACTCGGGGCCGTTTCCAGACGTAATGGCATCGAATAGATCCTGCCGATGAGCATCCGCATTCCTGCCGGCGAGAGCCTGGGCCTCTTCCCAGTACAGGCTGGCCCTTCCTTGCTTCGTCTTCCAGTGCCATTTGACGAACTGAGAGGCCCCATCGTCCGTGACGAGACGGAACGCGTGAACTCCGAAGCCGTCCTATGGATAAAATTAGCATCGCATGGCGTCTAAGCGCGCCCTCTCCGTTGCGACCAACCATGTGCCTATAGCTTCGGGGAATGCCGAAGCCGGCCATAGCCCAGAACAGGGTATGGAGCGTGCTTGGTTGTTGAGAAAAGAAATCCCAGGCCGAGTCGTGGGCAGTGGCCGCTTGGGGAATCTCGCTATCGGGACTCGGTTTCACCGAGTGAATCAGATCAGGGAACCGGATAGCATCCTGGATGAAGAACACGGGGATATTATTCCCCACAATATCTTAAGGGGTGTTAGTGTGGCGCCCTCGGAGGGAAGATGCGGCTTGTCCATACCAAAGTTGCCTTCGTCGGTATAACTTCATCCAATGTTAGCATCTCTCGTCCGCTGTGAGCACGGTGGGAGGGGAAATCGTCTTACAATCTTGTGGCAAAGCCGTGCACATCACGGGCAGTGTCCGCGCTTCCACGTGATCCGGCTACGGTAGAGAACCGCACAAAGACCGGAGTTTCCTTGCCGGCGCTGCTTAGGAATGAGGCGGCCGTGATGTTACTCCAGTCGCCATAGCTCGTGAAGGTGCCGTGGGCTCCAGCGCCTCGGGCGTGGACTACGATAATTAATTAATTTCAACGTATCGCGTAGCTGGATAGCATTCATGTTATCAAATACCTGCTCGTTCGGGAACCTGCCCGGCTCGTTAGCGTAAAAATTCCGAAAAAGCCTTGTGAGGCGGGACACGTTTGAGTCGGTGGCACTCTCTCGGCGGTGTTAATCGCAGTGGAGGAGGGTTTGTCCGACTTACACGTTCGTGATCGAAATGGGTGATCTTCTGGCGGAAGATGAAGTCCTCTAGGAGGGTAGGACCCCTCTCGCCTGCCCTGAGACTGTCTTGTTCTTGGATCTGACCACCCACGTCATCGGTGAAGAACCCAGTGCTGTCATCTACCGCGGCATCTAGCAAGGGTCCGTCGACGACAGGAGCGTCTGCGCGGGCGCGAAGAGCACCAGGGTCGGCAAAGGGGCAACCACCGGCGGAGGCAAGCCCCAGGATGCCGAGAAGGGCGGTAGAAGTGATCGCGAGACTCATCTTTCCTCGTTTATCTTTCCCGGGTCCTTTGGAAGGGATATGCGAGGGAGGAAGGACTGGGGAGAGGGCTAAAGTCCAGCGGGAGATGGTGGGACAGAAACATGGCAGAGGGGAGGCGGGTTTCGCGACGTGTTTATAATAAATGTTGATCAATGCGGGTTGGACATAGGAACCCCCGGGCCAGCGCTTTATTGAGGCTCAGGGGAGGGAGAGGGGTGGTCTCTCCCTAATCGCCGTAATCACAAGTCTTACCAGCATTCCAGGTGACCTGCCTCCTTTCGTGGCTAGGCCCTTTCATTACTCGTTGTCTAGCTCAACACGAGAGGACGCATGGTAACATAATTCCCATCGCTTTCTTCATCTGCAAGCCAAGATGATCTCCACAAAACATGGGCCTACAAGGTGAGGGTCAACCACCAGTCAGATCGAAGATAATCGTAAGTCAAGTTCGGGATAAGCTGATCTACCTGGGCAAGGGGACCCATGGGCCCGAATGCTTTGATAGATGTGATGTGATACCGAGCCGAACTGTCGAAGTCTCCTAGAGATACTAAAAGTGGAAAGGGTGATTCGATATCGCGGAAAATTCGTGGGCAGATGCAGATGAGGAGAACCACACTGGTGGAAATCGTAAGGCGCTTGCAACGAAGCGAGGCTTCATGGTTGGCCGTGACATCCTGTAATACCTAATGAGTACCGTCGAGGAAAGCCACCTTGTCACTTGGCGGTGATGTGACAGCTCATGTCGTGAATTCGCCCCCCCCCCCCCCCCCTCCCCACGAACAGACATGAGATTCCGCGTCTGCCCCGTGGGCGTTTCCAGGGTCGCGGAACGTCTTGCAGCCACACGGGAACATAGGGGGGGTTCGAGAATATCCCTTAGGGGTGCAATGCTACGGTGTAGAGTAGAGTGCTCCCAGCACCGGAGGATAACCACAAGCGACAAGAAGGATATCTGAATACCGTCGAGGCGCGGCAGGCAATCCTCGACGTCGAGGAGAAAGTAGCAGGCGGCGAGACGGATCAGAGGGGACCCGACGGGTGTTAGTTCCCTCTCATCGCCGGGTCCGCATATTCTCGAGATACCTATCCCGTTTCTCGAACTACCTGCCGTTTCTGAAGACCCCAGGGATCGCATATGTAGCAATCGTAACGGATAATATCACCGTTAGGTATAGGTCTCAGATGGTTGGCCGCAAGCCTTGCCACAGCTGTCAGGTACAGAGAGTGATGAGTTCTTGCGCATGCCGCCCACGAGCCAACGATCACGGCCGTAGCTAAAAAAAGAAACCGAGCCCAGCAAGGACGAGGCCGTCTACGTGGCCTGGGTCCAAGTCGGCCGAACTTGACTTTGTACAGAACCGGCTAACCGGCCGACGAGGCTAGCGGAAAGGCAGGCTCGCAGGAGATGGCTTGCGGGCAAACTGGGCACCACCCTTCCATGCGTTGCACCGATGGGAAAATATCGGCGAGCACCCACAAATATGAACCTGTCAGCTGGTCGGGCGGAGAAGGATTGGATGTCTAGTCAGTCGGTCATATCACCGAATACACAGTCGAGAATTCTTCACATGGGCCGGGGTTCGTTTTTTTTTTCTTCTTTCGCGGCAGGGCCATGCATACTTGGTCGCATCGGGAATGCGGTCGTCAACTGCATAGGCGCTTTCGAGTGCCGCAATCTGGCGGAATTATCATTGGCCTGCGGTTCGAGCACCTAGTGCGACCGGGGATGTCAGGATAAAAATACCTATTCCCACATCAGAGTGTCAAGCTGCGATAAGGACCTCCCCCGCGCGTGCCCATCGGATCGCAGAGCTCTCCGTCTCTCTCTCGTCGTTGTGATAGGCGGCGTCCGATCCCTGCAAGGGGTGGAAGTCTCGGCACTTGCATAAGATTGAATGGAGCCCTCGGCGGGCTAGCGATGGCAAGCTAGCGATGGCAAGCTTGGTGGCCCATGCGGCCACAAGAAAACTCCGGAAGGCCTAGGGTAGCCGGGACACCACCCCTTTGCAGTAGCGATTCCCACGTGTTTCATTTCTCGACGCGAGCACCATTGGACGGCAGCATCAGCAGCGCTGGTGTGGTAATGAGGGAGGACAGTGTGAAGACTGACCAGACCAGACCACGGGTATGAGCAGTCGATCGGCACGAAAATTAACCCCCCATTCGAGTATTGGTGTTCCATCGATGACAGTATCCGTGGAGCGGTCGGCCGCGACGGCGGCCTAGATGACGTACAAAACAGACCGGATCTCAGATCTTGGTCGGTCCCTCTCTCTGGCCGGCGGCGGTGTCGTCGCGGTATCGTAGCATACTGTAGCATACGGCATTGGCATATACCTGCCTGCCCACACACATGCGCGCGTGCCGGATCTGGATCCTGTGCAGGTGGGACGTTTTGTAGCAGCGCTCGGGACGACGCTCGGTGTACCTACACACACGCACGACTTGGCGCACCCGCGTTCGTCCAACCGCGGAGGCGTCCAGGACGGATGGCGACGTGGACCGGGCTACATCGCCATGATTGTAGTGGGCGCTAATACTGTCTTACATTGATACTGTGCCTGTCGTCTTGGCTTGTCTTGGGCACCTGGGGTTTGGCTAGGGGAGGCCAGGGAGAATAAGCAGAAGGCGGGCGTGGGTGAGCACGCGGCCATATCCATATCGTGCCGTGCCGTGTCGCGTCGCGCTATTCGAGGCATAACAATCAGAAGGAAGCCCGAAGGGAGGGAGGAACAAGCAAAGGCAGTAGGCGATAGCGCGGTAGCAATTGTAGCAATTGGAGGCGTACCTATCTCCACATCCGGACGCATCTACCGGTTCGAGGCGGCCACGATCGCTTAGCACCACCAAAACAACATGTATAGGCACAAGTATGTCAGGGTGTGGAATTCGTCGAGGCGACAGAGGTGTCGGTTGCGGTTAGTGCGCGGGTTGGTCGGCAGGTCGCAGGTGGGATGGATGCGGTGAGATTATTTTGGGATATGCGTATGGGAGGGCGGACGGAGGTAGGTCAGGTTTAGGGTAGATGGCAGCAGTTTGTGGGGCTCAGGCTTGGGGCGTTCAGGCAATGGGATCGCCCATGGACTTGGGCTGCCCCCCGTTTCCCCGACCAGCCACCCTGCCTGCTAACCCCCGACCCCCCGCCATAGCTCGGTTAAGCTAACCTGCCTGTAGGTACCTCTCCTACAGGCACTTGCCCTAGACAGGTACCTGCTGTCGTATGCATGCATGCACATACAGGGGGGCCCTACGTCTAGTGCTGGAGGGTCTTGGAGGGAGGATTTATCATTGCCGAGGTATGTGTAGAGGCGTCTACCTGTAGGTACCTACCTAACCTAACCTAGCCTAACCTAGCCTAACCTAGGAGTATAGACATACCTGCTATAGAAAGGATCTCATTGGCCGGTCACCTTCCGCCAACGTAGGTACCCCTGTATGCTTAAGTAACCCACCCAGCGCCAGCGGGGGTTACGAAGTCTGCGGCAAAAACGCCCAGCGACAACACCAACTCCAATCTTGTTTACAGGTATGCTCCGGCGCCCTCCTTCGAACCACCGCCCTCCTCCCCGCGAGTCGACACTCTCGATGCGGTATTCTCATCCCCCCCTCCCCTCCTCCTCCCCCTCGATACTACGCGCCAAAGACGCACGCCGTCGAATGCGTGCGGCGCACACGTATCCGACGCATCTCGCGCCCCCTGTAGACGCACACGATAGCCCCCAATAGACCCTAAATATGTCCTCATAAACACCAATGTCTCACCACCTCACATCGTATGTAGGTATTACCTGCATATGTAGGCAAGTAGGTGTGTGTCCACCCGTGCGCACATGAATCAAGTAAATGACTAAGTCCCTGATTAGGTACCCATTCCCGTCTCGCAGCTAATTGTAGAGATTTCAGCGGCGACGACGGTATCTGGATTGGCTATCTACCTATCCACCTACCTACCTAAGTAGGCTTGGTTAGATGCCCCAAGCATATGCCTCCATAAAAATGAGGTATATGTATGTGCACCTGGTAGGCGATTCGGCGGTGGATCGTAGCAACATACGTACATGTGCCCACCTCCAAAAACCGGGAGGTGGGAGCGGACGTGGAGGGCATTCGAATGCTGCACTTGGCCAAAAACAACAACATATTTTACGTCAAGAAATCGATCAATTGGCCCCCTTGCCATGTGGTCTTCATACCTAACTAGCTTGGCTTTGGCTTGCTGGCCAATCTTACAATCTTCGTTCTATTTTTACGCCCTGGAGACTTTTCTTTTTCGTTCCCCTCCCCAAGGTTAGACCTCGAGACTTCGATCATCGCCGGGAAATTGTCCAGTAACCTGGAATGGCGATAATCCTCGGCGGGCCAGGAAGAAGAGACAGAGAGAGACCTGCCCCAGCCCACAAGCGGAGCCTCCAGGCAGTCGGTACGCCCTCAACCGCCAGCCCTAGGCATGTTATATGTACACACGGCAGTGGTGGTGGTGGCAGCAGTTCGGTATGTGTGTTAAGTACGTGCGGACTGGAGGAGGCTGAGCCTCCTGAATGCTCCACATCGAGCTAGCCTCGGGCTTCGCTCGCGTTCTAGAACCCCAATGCCTAGTCCCGGCTCCTCCGGCTCCTCCGACAACTGCTACCTCCGTATCCAACCCCGGATCCGGAGTCCAGTCGTGCCTGGATGAAGGCAAAGGGCGCCAGGGTATCCGTATGGTCAGCACTACCGCCCCGTCAGCGTCCTATCACGAGATCGCTTTTAGTCATCCTCAGATCGCCCGCGACGCGGTATTGGCTGCGTCGTCTATCTGTCGAAGCGGCCCGCGCTATTCCCTCCGTCCCTCCCCGCTTCCGTGGCTTCGCCCGCTTTCGCGAACACACACCGTCAGGCCATCCTCACCGCATACAAACAAACAAGCCTTCAGTGGGAGCTAGCGGTTGCGCGCCCTTCCGTGAGCGCGAACGATCCCGTGGCCGCGGGTCGAGTGGTCAGCGAGCTTGTGTGGCGTGACAGCCACCTTGCAAACACGGAACCCGTCCTGATTTTTTTTTTTTTTTTGCGGAGCGACGACAGCCACCCTCTGCGCCTTATTGGATACCTGCCTCAGAGAAGCTAGCGCATCGCAATTATGTAGTGAGACATCCTTTAGGAGCGAACGAGCGAGCGAACAGACCCAAGTCCGCACTGCGCGGGCTCGCACGCTTGCTCCCTCTCCGCGTCTTGCTGATCGGGGCCTGGCCCATTTCCGTGGCGGAATCCTTGTTGCGGATATAGTAGGCACGGGACTATGTGGGAATAGAACCGGCGTTCAGCTCCTCCGGGGACTTAATGACCATCGCCAGCATACCCCTACTCGCGACGACTCGTGACGTTTCAGCGCTGTGGACGGTCACGGCCGCTGGGAAGTGCTACTAGCACTGCATATACATACCTACGTCCTACGTACAGCGCAGGGAGGTTGGGGCCATCCCTGTTGCCTGAGCGGCTGAATCGGTGGGTGGTGCCGCTGCGTACCTCGCAGTCCCATGGTCTGTTGGCTAGGGTAAATTCCAAATCCCCCGACGCGCCCGTTCGAGGGGGGTTAATAATATAAGGCGTTGGTTCTCCTTCTAGAAGTAAACGGACCGACAGAGCTGGACCGGCGCCAACTCGATAGCCCTGCAACCCCATCTCCCGGTTCGCTATCGGGGTCTTTTTTCTGGCTTGTCGCTTAGAAATCCGGTGGCCATAGTGACCAACCCTCCGGATATTACGAGACGGGCCCATGGTTGGCACGACGGTGAGAGGGGCTTTGGCTGTGGATGGCTGAAATATTAGCCTCCCCGGGCTACCAACTCCGGTGGGCAGTCTGAACGTGGCCGATTCTACCCGGCGCGAGAGGTGGGAGAGCTACAGCGCGAGGATCGAGTCAAGATCGAGGACTTGTGAGAAGATCGTGATGTCATAATACGCGAGGCGCTGGTCACGTCGCCTTCGGTATCTACTTTATCGTCCGGGCATCACGCATACAGTTAGCAGGGGCTTGGCCTCTGCTTAAGTGGCGCGGGTTCATGAGTTTTTTTTCTCTTGATCGTCCGCAGGGACTCGATGTGGGCCGATCCTCAGATGTACTCATAGTAGCACGTTTCGCTCTCCGCGTATGAGAATACACCGACAGAACTCGTCCCCCCTACCGCCCCTCGCGCGGGCCGTGTTTCGCGTAATTGGGCGAGGACGCGGACGAGCGCGGAGAGATGCTGCCGTAGTGCTAAAGAGTAGGCAACGCCAGCTCGCGGACAACCAAACTCCCCCGACTCCATGGTTCATAGGCTTCCCATAATCCATTCCCATGTCCCTCCATATGTTAGCAATGGCTGAGCGTCTCGCCGTGGTACTTTACTATAATTGCTAGTGTCCATACATCAAACAAGTTTCTTCGAGCTCTTCTACTGCCCTAGCGACATGGAGACCGAATAGGGGACCAGAGAACACCTGCCCCTGACGGCTACGTCGACATTTAGATAGGTACGTTGCGCCTAAGATGAGCCGCGTTAACATAGCGATACATACCTAGAGGTGAAGTGAATATTTTTCTTAAAAAATGCGCTTCGTTGCGGACGGACCCTTTAACCCTCCTGGACCTTTATAGGCGTACAGCAGTAAGTAGAACGCCCGTAAGACCACGCAACTCGAAGCCAGGTAGGCGGCTTCCACGTCGCGGGATCCCTCGAGCGGTTCAGCACCATACCTCTGCCCCTGTCTGTCACTTGGACCACGTCGGATGCACATCGTATTCTCTCCGCCCGCTCTACGAGCAAATAGACAGGCACTATGCCGACTATCCCGTCCGTCGAGCTTGTCCACGGGGCCCGCGTGCCGAGCCACCCCCCCAAGGCCCACACTTAGGTGCTCCAGAGCCTCCTCTCTTCCCGTGTAGGTTGGGTAGCACAAGATGCCGAGCCGCCGCGCGTAGAAGGGTCTATCCGTCGTTTGTCTCCGTCGCTTGCGGCGCCTCTCCGTATACGCCTTGCCCCTCGCAAGGCGGGACACGCGTAGGCGCTGCTCACCTAGCAGTAGATATATCAGAGGTAGGCAGAGCAGGGGGCATTGTCGCGTTCTCGTGGAAGATCTTGCTGCATACAAGGGGGGATTATAGTTCTTTGCCGCCCGTAGGGCCCTCCAGTCGTAGTCGTAGTAGGCACACCCCAATACCGGTTTGACCGGGAAGGCAGCTGGTGGACTCGGGGAATATAGATAACAGATACCTAGCAAGAAGAGCTACGAGGCCGAAGGTATATAAACCCACGGCCTAACCGCCCACCCCCTTCTCACCCGTTGGTCGCGGATACAGATATATCGAAACAGGAGGATCGGGGATATAAGTCGTCGTCACTCTATCAGTAGGGAGGGCCTTGTCTGCTCTGGATCCGTAAATCGTCTTGCTTAACGTATCGGTTCCGCCCACCGCCAATATGAATGTCGTCAATGAGACATAGACGGAAATTATTAACCTCTCTCCATCCCTCTCTACGTACACATTCGCACCCCAAGCCCCCTCGCCGTTGGGTGTCCTTGGTCTCCGTCTACATATATCCACATACTACACTCATAGACATGGTGCGGGGACTAGACGTCTCGGCAGGAGTACTAGCGGTGTAGAGCTTGCCTAGCACCCGCTAACCCAGCCAGCCTCCCCGTCTCAGAGCTCGTCGTCTACACTTCGTATACGATCCATCAACTTCACGCGGACTTAGAGGTTATTGATGCTCGACCGATGGGATAGAGTATTCCGCGTTTCCGCGCGTGCGGGCGAGTACCGCTCTGCCTCCATAACAGCTATCTAGATAGCTGCTTGACCATCATCGCCTCGCGCAAGTCGGGATGGGGCTCGTTCAACCTAGAAAAGAGGCCCCCAACAGAAATAAGGGTTGTATATATCTTCGCCGCCGCTGTCTCGTCGAGACTATTTTGGCTTCGTGATCTCGAAGAACTCCTTCACGCCCTGCACGACGACCTCGACATTCATGTTAACCAGGGGCATCTTGTCATAGCTGTCCTCCTTCATGATCGCCACCATAGCCAGGTACTTGTCGACCTCGCGCAAGATGATGGGCTTGCTCCCGTCGCTCAGCACAATGCAGCTCTCCGCGCAGCCTGACGCCACCTGGTCCTCGATCTTCTGGTTCCACGGCGGCCCTTCTAGCGCGTCCCGGTACCTCTGTGTCCGCGTCCAGCTGCCGTAGACCTCCGTGACGTCTATTATGACGTCAATGTAATCGGAACAAATCTCATAGCTCGCCATATCTGCAGGCTCACTGTCGGTGGCAATGTATATCTTGGACAAGACATCAAACAGATACGCCTTCTCAAAGCGGCACGTGCGGCAGAGGTTGGTCAACATCGCCTCGAGTATGCCGAGTCGGGGGATGAGCTTCTGTATAACCTTGCTAAAGGCCTCAAAGATGCTGTGATTATAAATACTAGTCAGGTGGAACGTGACGGGGGCGTTTTCGAAGCCATGGTCTGAGAGTTCGTCCTGGATGCGTATAGTAATGTCTCGTTGGATGTCCAACTTGTAGTCATCCGATAAGCCATCCACCTTGTGAATGAATACTTCGATTTTGATATTAGGGTACGTCCTCTGGAGGTTTAATATAGTCACGTTCAGACGTGCTACGGCCTCTAGGTAGTCATCCTGGGCATCGATGACCCAAATCAGGGCGCCGATCTCGCCAAATATGGCGTCGATATCAAAGGTCGGGTTGTCAAAGATATCGATCTGACCTGGGAAGTCCCATACCTGAAAATCCATAAAGGAGCTATGACGCTACATTAGAAAGAGGGCGACGGGGACGAGAATTATCTCGATCGGTTTCGGGTGCTTACGGCATGGTGTCTTTCTGGATGCGTGCCGTCGACTCGAGGTACAACGTCTCGCTGGGTGGCAGCTTATGAAATACCACACTTGATATCGACGATTTCCCACTCCTGCCAGCACTTTAGCCCAACCACACAGCGCTCAGCACGCACACACGAGTGTGAGCGACGTCGTGACGTACCTTCTCTGTCCCATCAAGAGCAACCTAGGCTTTCCTTTCGCCGACAGATCCGGGGTTGTTGGCTCGGGCGCTCTCGGGCCATTTCTTCGTTGCCTCTGATCCTGTTCATACACGTGTGTCAGAGCCTGCTGAGCGGGACTAGTTGGCGGTTCTAGAGCGCCATCCAGATCGAAATCGTCTCGTCCACGAAGCCGGGAAGACATGGCGACGGGAACGGATAGGGTCGGGATGGGGTAAAGCGGTATAGACGGACGCTTGTCAACGAGGGTTACGGGGGTCCGGGCATGTCAAGTATTCAGGTAGCGGGAGCCGGCGTGCCACTCGTGTGGATATAATGGCCTTCTCTGGCTCATCTCCGCTGAACGTCACGGGCGGCGGTGGGGTTTTCAGCACGCGGGCGTCAAACGACCTTGCAAATACCGGAGGCTCTGTGCTCGTGACTTATCGACCCGTCTAGAAAAGACTATAGAGAGGGTTATAGGGCGAGAGTATCTACAAACAACGTTGCCGGATCCACGGGCTCGGGTAGGAGAATGCAAGATCGAGTGCGCACTTAAAAGATTGCGATAACTGGGCGGATGCAGGTAGGCGAAGCTTGCCGGGGATATATCAAATATCACACCGGTGAAGAAGTCATGGATCTGGGATGACTAGATCGACGAGGGCAGCGTCATGTTCCCCTGGATATCTCGTGCACCTCTGGAGCGACATGATTTCATTGCTGATCTCACCGTCGTACAAATCAAACAGCTCGGAGGTTTCTGCCTGGGACGGTCAAGATGAATGGTAATCAAACTCATAGCGGCATTCCCGTTTGCAGGCGCGGGTGTGCAGCAGGACATGCTATCTGCCCGATGGCGATAAAAATAATGATGACGGTGTCATGGCCTTCGGAAAGTGAAACGAACGAGTGAATAAGTGGCTAGACCGCACAGGGTATGACTGCGACCCAGAGGCGAGACGGTAAGATGACATGCGGATATCACAACTGCAGCGAGTGCCTGAACTGACTGACGCAAGCATTCGTGGTCGTTGGTCGATTCGAAAGCTTTTCCCGAAATAAGGTCGGCGATGATACACGGCGCTGTTTTTTTTTTCTTCTTGGGTGCCACTAAGCAACACCAGAGCTTAGGTGGAATTCGTAATAGATAGCAATAGATAAGCAGGAAAAAATAATAAAGAAAAGGGGGGGAGGTAAGGCAAGAGGGTTTTTTTAAAAAAAAAGCAAGAGACAATGTCTCACCTCCATGACCAAAGAGTATAGCTAGAAAAGCCGCTCCCGAGATCTGTTTGTCACGCCGGGTAATCAAACGCAGGCCGGTAGCCCTACTTCCTCGCCTCGCCCGATGGCATCCACGATAGAGAGGAGAGGGCGGAAACGGGCGTCCCTCCGGCGAGAAGCGAGCGAGCGAGCTGCCCGTCGTGAACGCCTCAGGTCGTACCTCTAGATCAGAGGAGCCCTGAGTCAGCTTTGTCGACTCTCGCCGCGACGGCTACGGGACCGATTTGGCCAAATCAGAGCCAGCGGGTCTCGACTCGGGCTGACTCACTTCTAAGCCGTTGCACCAATCCCGCGCCGAGTCTCGCTGGAGATGAACTGGGGGGGGACGGAAGCGTATCTCAGGTATGCGGCCAGTTGCGAGCTGTCGTACCTCAGTGGTGGCAATGGATGGCGGCGAGGTCGAGGGCCAAGGAATTAAAAAAAAATTATCCCCCACCACCAACAGCAGGTGAGTGCGTGCACGACGTCGGTGGTATTATCCTGGTAGAATCAACCGGTAGAGCAAAAGGGCACCTGGGGTCTCCTAAACTAGCTCAGCCCCAGCCGTCGCTGTCGGTGTCGACGATATTGCGAGGTGACCTAAGCGGCCCAAGCCGAGGGGGGGGGCTGATGGGATTGGACACGGTGTCGCGCCAGGTTCCGCCTTGGCGGATGTCGAGGGTTGCGAGAGGAAGACGCCGTCGGTCACTTGCGAAACACGCTGGCAGAGCGGGTATGGTGTATGGCGAGGGAGGGCTTCCTTTCCGATATTAGGGGTCGAGGTTGGGATGAGAGCGAGGAGCAAGTCGGCGGGCTGATCATCAGTGGACAAGTTCAGCCGGGAGGCCGCGTTGGCTGGTTGGTCGGCTGGTTCTGTTCCAGACGACCTGTGCTGCACAGAGGCGAGAGAGAGAGAGAGAAGAAAGAGATGGGGGCGACCCGACGCCAAGGCGGAGCGGGGAGGGCCAGAAGACGGGGCTAGTTCCAGCCGGCAGATCTGCGCTGTCAGCTGCGAACCGGACCACGTTGGCACCTGTTTGCAGCGGTACCTCCCTACATAGATGTGCCTGCTACACGCATAGGTAAGTGTCTGTGCGTTTTAGCTGCGCTCGCTTCCTATTGCTTCGGGTACCTTAACCATTTAGGGCATCGAAATGTTAAAAAGCTAAACCTATTACCTAATAATAAATTAATTAAAAAGATAATTACTATATAATAACTTTTAATTCTAGTTTAAATTTTTATAAAATTATTACAAGGCTAATTAGAAATTATAGAGATAGTAATAGAAAAGAAACTTAAGAAAATTTAAAATTAATTGAGAAGTTATAGGTTATTTAAGTACCTAAGGGTATCGTGTTAAAAAGCGCGTTCGTAGGTTCTAACGCGGTGGTCCGTGAAGTGGTGGCCCGTGGAGGGGTATCTTAACTTGGGCTGTTGGAACAGGGCGACTTCTTCTCTCCTTACGTACACACTAGGTACTACTTCCCCGTTATAGCAACAGCATGGGGCTGGTGCACCCAATCCTTATCGTGGGAACGGTCGGCGGGAGACGTCGTCCCCTGGGCGCCGTTCACCTGAAATCCACCGACCTAGGCTCAAGTATGCGGCAGGGTAGGTAAGCTCTTCAATCGTGGGTACATAGTGACAGCTGCTGACGCCCAGCACGGATAGTCACGCAGCGTATATTGACGTATCTTGAAGAGAGCCAAAGGTACCTCGAAGTCGAACTGGCTTCAGCAGCATAAATACCCGATGGCGATTGGAGCCAGGATCCAAAAAAAGAATACCGGGCATACAGGAAGGAGGTTGCTAACCTCCCCTTCGGACAGGAGCACAGGCAATAGCTAGACTTGAAGCCAAGAGCGAGATGCCCAAGTTCCCCCTCGTACACATGTGTCTATTTCTAGGCGCCGTCTCGCCTGGTTGGTCCAGCCCCTATCTTCACACGGGAGGGCATGTGGGAGCCAGGATGCACAGTCATCGATGCTACCGACCTCTCTTAATGCTTTGTGCTGCCGGCCGAGGACACTCTCAACGACACAAGAGAGGGAAAGGAGAGATTCGCGAGCCTTGCACGCCAGCCAATCTCGGGACGAGAGTGGATGTCGGCGTTTGACTCGCAGTCCGAGGATCCAGAAAGCGATGAGATCTGGTCGTATGAGGATTACAAATTAGCGCCGGTAATGTCAATGGAGGCTCCACAAGAGGTGTGGTCATCTTTCCTACGAGACGAGGACCAGGGCAGCAAAGCTGAACCTAGAAACCACAAGGAGGACAACCAAGGCAAGAGAAACAACCAGGAAGAAGACGGCGGCGAAGATAAAAGTAAGCAGCAGGATGCAAAAGAGGAAGCATCCGTGACGAGAAAGCGCCGCAGGGAACCAGAGAGAGAGAGATGTTAGATGAGCGCGACCGAACTGCCATTGGAGAAGTGTTACAATCTAGCCCTGCGGCCCTTCTTACCCGCCTTAAGAGAAGAAAGGGGTTTCTGACCGTCTTGACGCGCTTCGTACAGGAGCCTCCCGAGAAGTTTTCCTCGGTCACGCTGGCCCACGTGAAGAGCATTCTGGACATGACAGACCTGGACGAGCTGCTTACCTGGGACAACCAGGGCCTGCCCCTGGAGGAGGTGGCCAAAGTAGCCGAGGCCCGCATCGCCAAGACCACAACCCGCGCCCGCTTTCTGGAGCCGCTGGAGAGGCGAGCCAGGCACATCTGCCGTCGGTCCGCCAAGGACGACCCGGCCAGCGTCCTGCTCGGTGCTCCGCCCACGGCTCCGACGCGCACCCGCATCCGCCAGGTTGTATGGATGACCGTCACAACCCTTGATGTGGACATGATGAAGCCGCTGCCAGACGAGCTCATTACAGGCCAGTTGCAAGGGCCCCCGGGTACCCTGAGCCTTGAAAAGCTCAGGGTAGAGACGCTTGTCGTTATGATGCACCCCACGTATCGCAAAGAATCGGACGATAGTGTTCCCGATAGAATTTCACCGAACTTGTTTCGCTGCCGTTGCACGACACCTGGATGCCGCTTGCCGAGTTCTATACCTCGCTGACGCTCATCGAGAAGTACATGGCCAACGACCACATCATCAAGAGCGGACATGAAGTGGTAGCAGACCGCTGGCCGTTGGCTTGCCTGCTTCTGATGGCCACAGGGAGCGCAAAGGTCAGTTGTGTCTCGACTTTTTATTTATTTATTTATTAATCAGCTATCTGTTTGCCCCTGCTTGGCGTCTCTCTCTCCATTAACGTTGGGTCACCGACGCCAATTTATTCATCTATGAAATGCACAAAACATCAGTCCCCGTACGCGGTGTCCTCTCCATTCCCAGCCAAAGCGTTCGACGACGCCACATGGGAGGCGAGCGGCAACACGTACAAAATGCCGCTGCGCACCCGCGGCCCCGACCCCATATTGCACAGCGAATACGCAGCCGTGTTCCTGCGGGAGCCGGACCTCTGCCGCCTGCGCTACGTGCTAGTAACGCGCGATGCTCAAGGGCAGCTGGCGATGTGCGACCCCGCCGACATCGCCACTGCAGCGGGCGGCCCGGCGGCCCGGCTTGCTTGGGGTCGCGGCATCGGCGCGCTGCCGCCGTGGATAGATAAGGTCAAGAAGGACGAGCGGTCCTCCAATTGCCGGAATATTGCACTGCTCAACGCGGCGGCTGTGGAGACTATGCTCGCCGCCGCCGCCGAGCTCTCCTTGCGGAAAGAGGAAATTAACCGCGAAATCTATAAAATGAGGAAATAGCGTCAAAAGTGCGACTGCGGTCAGGGGCCGGCTCCCAGTGAGGGCCATTCTAGGGACGAGGACACAGATTGCGACATTGATCACGCTAGGCTTTAATGTGAGTTTTTTTTCATACCTCATCTTCACCGGCTCGTCATCTTCAACGGCAGGGCCCTCGCCCGCAACGCCACCGACGCCTACTTTTCCCAACCGTAACGACGCACGCGTCCGGCGCGCCTACGCCTCTCGACGTCTCGACCCAGATTCTCACCCGCCCAGTTAGCGAGAGAGGATAGGTATCCTACTCCCAGTCAACGACATCTCCCTACCTCTCCCTATGTCCTCCCGCCGGCCCTATCACATGCGGGGGCGTCGAGACTCGATGAAGAGTCTGGAACCGCCACGCGGCCTCCCCAAACAGGCACCTAGGTACCTATTTCTGCTCCCCTCCCGACTCCGGCTCGTCATTCGTAGCCTGCCCTGGCCTGCCCCCCATCGCACAACGAGATCCAGGCGGCGTGTGGCACGCGAGCCTTCGGTCCGTCCATATGTCTCCGCTCACTCGTACGAGCCTCCTTTCTCCCACCCCTCTCTCCCACCTCGGTTTCCCTGATTTTCCTGCTTTCTTCTTCTTCTTAGCCCATCCTCCAGGCCGCCCGCGCTAGTCTCTCTCCCTCCACATCTTTCGGTCTCCCATAGATATCTCCCCTCTGACGATCCGTCCAACCCGCCTCAGACAGCGCTCGGCCCCGACACGCGTACTCCTCCATAATCTCAACCAGCCCCCCCCTGAAATCTAACTCTCAGGTCCTGCCGCCTACCCGCCTAACCTGCCTGTGCGAACTTATTAGGCACAGCTTACTTGGCCACTCGGCCGTACGGCTCGGGATCCTGTCTCGCAACTACGTCCCCGACACCTAGATTCCGACCTAGGTTGCTCCCTTGCAAATTTGTCGGTCTCGGGTGCTTGAGGAATCTATCTCTCCTCCTTCCCTCCGCCGCCTGCTGCGTGCCAGGTTCGGTCCCGAGCCACCAGGTCGGCCCGGCTAACTGCGTTCCCGAGAGCACACGACCGGCCGTGGCCGCGCGGCCGAAGCCGAAGTCTCCCTGGGATAAACGCGTGTCGGGTATGTACGCGCTTTCTTGCTGTCTCGGGAGGGAACGCGTATTGTCTAATATCTCTGCTGCTTGCTTGCCCGATGGGCACCAATTCCTACCTCGGGGCACCACTCCTCGAAAGGAGAGTTAGCTTTGTTGCGAATCGCTCGCTCGCTCGCTGCCAAAGCGCACGGTGATCTGGTCGATACCTATGCCTACCTCTAAAACGTCTCTCCCTTTTTACATAGCACTATAGTAGAGACTCGCGCGGAGGGTCACCAAAGGTTCTACTCCCCCAAGCTAGTTAGGAACCAGGTCAGACGTTCGCTACGGCAAGGGGTTGGGGGTAGTAGATCTTTAACTCGGCACGTCGGTCTACCTCGCAACAAGTCACCGGACGTCGACTAAACTACGAGCCAAGTACTCAATCATTCAGGTACGGTACATTAGCCCCCTCTCGGGCGCAGCATCCTGTTATATTACGTGCTCGCAGTAGTATTCTAGTATGTAGTCGTCGTCGCTATCATCCGTACCGCGCGAGCGCGTGCCGAGGGACAAATAATTACTATCGTAGCGGGCGGGCAAAACTTTTATTTTTACCTATTTTTTCGAAGAAAAAAACCACATGCACATCCTCCCTCTCCTCTGCGTGACTCCCAAAACCATGCAGCACTTAGATCCGCCGCCCGTCGCCGCCCATCCCGTCCCGTTTCCCGTAAGAACACCGCGACGCGGCGCGAGGAAATATGTCCCCCCCCCCCCTCCTCCTCCTCCTCCCCCCTCCCTTTCCCCATCACCGCTCACGCCCGGCGCGCCTCCTCTCCTCGGGGCCCGGGGTCGCGCGGCCGCCGAACAGGCCGAACCGCAGGCTACGGCGGCGCGGCGCGGTCTTGGGCGGCGGCGGCGACGCGGGCGCCTTCTCGGGCGGCGGGGCGGCGAGGTCGCCGAGGCGGTCGCCGCGCTCGCGCTCGTCCGCGTCCGAGTCGGCCGGCGGCGTCGGCGGCACCTCGGGGATCGTCGCGATGGGCGCGCCGGCGCTCCCGTCCGACGCGCTGTGCGGCGGCGTCGTCGTCGTCGCCCCGCGCGCGAGGTCCAGCATCGAGGCGGACCGGAAGCCGGTCAAGGACTGCACCGGGGGAGGGGTGAGCGAGCGTGCGGAGGGGGACGGGGGGAGCGAAAAGGGGAGTGGGACGCGGGCGTACCTTGATGCTGAGCTTGCGGGTGGCCTTGCGGGCGGCCTTAGCAGCTGCGGCGGCAGCAGGCAGCGGGGGGTCGGGGGGGCCGGCGGCGGCGGCGTCGATCTGGGCGGCGACGGTGGTGCCGCCGACGGCGACGGCGTGCTCGGGGGTGGGGACGAAGCGGAGGTAGCCGCGGGCGGGGGGCACGCCGAGGGCGTCGTGGACGTGGCGCTGGAGGAGGGCGGCGTTGCGGCGGTTGGTGGCGGGCTGGACGAGCGCGGGCAGGGCGCGGATGGTCAGCGTGTAGGCCGGGTCGAAGGTGCCGCCGAACAGCAGGCAGCGCCCGTGGCTCAGCTCCACCGCGACCGACGACATCGGCCGCTGGTACCGGTTCGACAGCTGGTACGACAGGTCCGTGATGAACGAGAACTCGTCCTTGATCTGCGCGCGCGCCGCCCGGCCCCGGCTCGGCCCGGTCTCCGCCGTTAGTCCCCGCGCGTTGCGGCTACGTTGACGGAAAAGGGGGGGGGAACGGGGGGGGGAGGTGCGGGGAGTACAGACGGGACGGGAAGGGAAAAAAGAAGGGCCGAGAAAGAAGGAGAAAAGAAGGAGAAGAAGGAAAACTCACAATCACGTTCGTCCGCAGATCGGCTACTACGATGGCCTCGTTCTGGACGCGCGTGCGGGCCGGGTCCGGCTCGCGGTTCGCCGCGGCGAACTCGGTCTCGAAGTAGGCGCTGCGCTTCCTGGCGAGGTCGGGGTGGACGGGGGGCTTCTTCCGGCGGCCCGACCCCGCGGCTGTCGTCGTCGTCGCCGCTGGCAGCGGGTCGCCGGGCGGCGGGCGGTCGATGTCGCGCATCATGGCGTTGCCCTCGACGAGGTGCGGGCGGTGAGGTCGAGACGGCGGCGGCGGCGGCGACGGCGGCGGCCCGCGGGCGGATCGCAGCTTTCGGTGCGCGGTGGCGGGAGGAAAGGAGGAGGAGGACAACGACGACGCAGAGGACGACGAGGAAACGAGAGTGGGCAACGAGAGATTGTTGTTGTTGTTTTTGGCGGTGGTGGTGGCGGTGTTGCCCGTGGAGATGGCGCCGTTTATACGGGGAAGAGGGAGCTCGGCTCGACCCATAGTCGCGCCAGGACTGGAGCCTTTCGTCTACAGGGCGACGACCCGTCTTGGGCGTCTCAGGCGGTCTAGTGTCGTCTGCCAAACGCGATGTCTCTCGGAAGCGCAGCTGGGCGTTCCCAATGCGGCGGTGGCGGCGGCGCAACGGCGGCAGGTCGGAAGGTCGGCAGCTTCCCGCCAACTTCTTTCTGAGCACACGATTCCTTGCATCGACCTCCTTCCCTACTTAGCGCATGCAGGCATTCGTATCGCTTTTCGAGGCTGACGACGACGTGGGGAACCGGGTCTGTGTTCTCAGCCAAGGAGACGCTGGGCTTACACCTTATCAGTCTCCCGTCGATGGACCCTCGCTGACGGGTGACGGGTCTGATAGGCCACGCAGCCTGGCTTTAAACCGGGGGAGTTGTTGGTGAGCGTCTGGTCCCCAAATCCGGATCCTATTCTGATAGGTGATCTCCGGGTCCTCCCAGATAGGGTGCCCTACTGTGTATATACGTAGGTAGGTAGATCGTTGGGGTAGAAGCGGGAACGCGAAGAGTCGGTGACCGCGCCAGGTGATACACGCCGAGATTGATTCAGCCCGGGCGTCGGCGACTCTGGCGAGGTCTGGAGGAGAACGGAGTTTTCGGTTGCTGTGTAGGTATAATTTTAATTAAACTTCCAGTGTCTCTCTCCCCAAGGATCTAGGCAATAGGCAGTCCAGGCGTAGGTATGTGCACGAGAGCGAGAGCAGAGAGAGAGAGAGAGAGAGAGAGAGGTACACACAAGACGGAGATGTTGAAGCTATCGCGACACGATAAGATGCAGACCGTCGATAAGTTGCACGGGCGAAGGAAAAATAAATAAATGACGAGACAGGCATAGCAGCACTCCAGCCAGGCCGGGAGGCATCCCGTCCTTGTATTTATTCACGTAGATGGGCCCGGGGTCGTCTTATCAAACCGGTCTTTCTTCCCTCTCCCTCCCTCTCCAGGCCCGGACTCTCGCGTTACACCGATTCATGTCGCCTCCCGGAAATGGCGCAGACGACGAGAGACATGGCTGTTAGACGATGCACAAAACAATCTACCTGCCTGCTCGACCCAAGACAGGCCATGCAAAACAATCAAGCCGGGCCTAGGGTGTGAAACTCGGTAACCGATATCCAAGGCCACACGATATCGCTCGTTCGGGGCCACCAGCTGTTCTAGACCACCCCCTCTTCTTCGCTAACTCGTCAAGCCTGCCAACCGCTAGGGAGAGAGAGCGACGGTGGTGCTGCGAGTTTGTGAAGGGAGGCAGGGGGGGGGGGGATCGAGGTGCCTTATGAATCGCTCTGTCGCTCTTCTTCAACAAGACGGACTTCTCCCCGGGCCACTCCACTCCTAGCTTTTCTCCTCTCCTCGCAAACAAGCGTGTCGCCAGCCGTAGCGACAGTTTTCCGACCCAGGTAAAGCGCCGTAGCGGTATATTGCTTGCATACCCGCGGACCGCTGGTGACACCTTGGGCTGTCCGAGCGGTGAAGTCCGAATTCGTGAAAGCCCTTTTTATAGAATCCCGAGGGCCGAGAGATATCGCACTACGCCTGCCCATCTGCTGACCTAGGGAACAAGGCTGCGAACGGAGCACGCGCGCCGACGCCGTATTATCGTCTCAGATAACATATATTGTCCGGCAACCTCCCTCCGGTGGCTTATTAAAAACTTTTGTACAGATAGATTACCACCTTGAACCCGTTGTGGTTATTGCCCCCCTCTCTTCCCTCCTCCCCCCCCACCTGTCTTCCATGCTTACCCGATGTATTCCCAGAAACGAGATCCAGTGCCACACCCAAACATCCAATAACGCATGACGCGGCGCCGTTAGCGAGCGGCTGCAGGTGGGCTGATAGATAACCAGGTTGGGGGGTACGGCCTGTTATCTCGTCACCGTCCTACGACGGCGTGGGGCTGCGAGACTTGTGAGACGGGGCGATGCTGGTCGATCTCCTCTCTAAAATCGCCTGATAGCCGGCGACAGTGAGGGCAGCTAATTGGACAGGCACTAGGATGACGGATAGGTAAAGGGCCGTCCGGCTTTCGTCACATAGGGTTTTGAAGTGCGGCTTCAAAGCCATGCCAACGAACCCCCATTGACAGCTCCAGCTCTGCAGCGTATCATGAGTCGTCGACGCGTTGACAGCATAGAAGAAGATCATGCTGATCATGACAGACACGAAGCCGACGAAGGGCGCAGCCAGACTGAGGGGCGTGTGGACGGGAGTCAGGTTGCGAAGCTGTGATGAAACTGTCAGCACAAGCTATAATACTAGGGATAATGTTGACGGAGCTTGCGACTCACTATTTTGACCTTGCTAAAGAGCAGAGACGCGACACTGACGGCGACAACGATGGCGCTATCGACGACCAGCGCTACGGTGGGCCGGAGATCGAAGCGATCGGGCCATAATGGTAGGTGGAAATCGGTCGAGAGACGAGTGGCGCGGTACACGGCCAGAGTATCGGCCGAAGTCCCGAGGATGGTGAGACCGCAGAGGAGGGCGAGTCCGGTAAGACCGACGCGGGCACTGTCGACGAGACGGATCCTCCTCGCGTGTTCTTGGAAACGAAGGTCTCGGGGGTCGACCTCCAAGTCGGAGACGGACACAGCGCCCTTTTCTTCGGCAGACATTATGGGGCGCGAAGACGGTGGTGGCCTAATGGAAAAATAGATGGGCAGATATGCGCCGGTCCGTTTCCGACGCTGTCGGAAAGCTGGCGGTGCTATATAGAAGGAGAGGCGGATATTTAGGCCGGGCGAGGCTAAGTAGCAGAGAAGAATAGAACAAGAAGCAAGGGAAAATGAGACAAGTTCAAGGAGAAGAAAGAAAGAGAAAAAAACAGCGAAAAGAAGCCCAAGTGGGAGAACCGAACTTGGACGAGAGATGCTGAAGACAGACGATGACCCTACAAGCGGCGGATGCGAAGGAATATATCGACATCGCCAGCCAGCCGCGACGGCGACCGTCGACCACAACCTACCGTCGACCGCGGCGCCAATGCGGTAGTAGCACGGAACGAAACCGCGGGGGCCTTAGCGCTCGAGGCGCGCGACGGATGCTAAGGATAGCAGGTCTTAGCTGCGGGCGAATATAGCCCAGCGCTGGCTGGTCTTGCCGGCCTACACGCCTACACGCCCGCCCTGTCTCTCTGTACGGCGACGGCGAGGCGCCCATGCACCCGCTTCCCTAGGTCACATACCTACATCCCGTGCACGCCCCCAGAAGCCGTCACTACCTCGACGGGGAGGGCGGCAAGGCCGTAGGACCGATGGAGGGAGGGAGGCTTCGTGCATGCGCATGTGCGCGTAGCGGGTGGTGTAATACCTGTGGACGCGCTAGACGCGTGCGACGGAAGAAGGGGAGGAGACGAAGCTGAGCAGACGAGAGACAAGATAGAAATTGAAGGGGTTGCCCAGTAATAGCGGGTTAGGAGGTAGGTAGCATGCAATTTTCCCTCTGTGCGCGTTTCCCCTCTGGTTGGATGGCGGGGCCACCAAGGAACAGGGAGGGGCCACAGACCGGCAGGGACCGCTGATAGGCGCGATCTGTGATAAGGTTGCCACCGCGGCTGTCGATTGGCCCGGGCCACGGCCTATATTTAGGGCCGTCACCGCGTAAGCGCCGCGGTTTCGCTCGCTCGCTCCCGACCCGACGCGGCGACGAGCCAGTAAGAGAGGAGGAACAGCTGAGGGGGGAGGGGGGTAAAGGTGGGGGTGGGGCCCGGATAGGGATTACTGGCTCGCTCAAGGCACCTGATGTTACTGGGTATGGACCTAATTGTTCTAAGCCTTTAGGTACCTCACCTCACCTAACTTTAGGTACCTCTAGGTAGGTAGCCTTACACGGCCAATGGCGCCAGACGAGAGAGATGGGATCTGCCCTTCTTCATTTCTCCCTGCCTGTCTCTCTCTCTCCTCGGCGCTATCGAATCCGCCGGCTGTAGGTAAGTACCTAAGCTACGTGGACGTGGGAATGGGTCAACTTATCCGTGCGGAAGCGCCTGTCGCTACCCAAGCAAGAATAACGCATGCGTGGTTTGAACACAGGAGGTTGCGCTGGTTCGGTGTATGGTTTCAGGTACCCGTGAAAGCTGGCTCGGCTGCGATCCAGAACCTGAGATATGGCCCCTCTCTCGCGTCTCTGGGGAATCCACGGCATCCACCAAGAGATGACCCCCGTACGTGTAAACACGGCGGCGGTAAGGGCGTCAGACTCGATCAGAGGATTGGTTTGTCCGCGCCCATTCGCATATTACTGCTTCGCCAGCAGAACGTTAGCGTCCCCGTTAGCTTCCACAGGTCTTTCGCGAGTGCCATCGTGTCTCACTCGAATATACCTATTATTCCCGTCTTCTATCGACCTGGCGCAGACAGAACGGCGGAGTCTGACACCACAACCGTACCTGTAGGGTTGCATCAATCTCGATGCCTCTTCTCCGGGGCCTCCTCGCATTCATCGACACATCATCCGGCCTGTGCATGGAGCATGCAGCTCGTGTCCGTCTCAGCTTCCCGAACCGGACCTTCTTATGTAAGTGTGTATGGAGATCTCTCCCCTGGTGCGCCTACACCCTACGTGAGAGACTCGCGGGTAAACTTTTTTGACGTAGGCTTGTCTTGTCATCCTGGTATACAAGTACATACGTGTATGTTATGTCTTGCTTACACGCCCTGTCGTCTACGTACTCTATCGTCGCGGCAACGAATTGCTTCCTTGCATATTCATGTCTTGCAATGAACTGATTTTTGCCTGACGCCCCAACGGGCGTCGCACCGTGGACCAGTAGAGGGCTCGTGGGCCGCCAGCAAGTTAGCTGGTCACTACCAACGTGTAATCCCTCGCGTTACTCACGTAGTGCGCAACGACTCGCCGTTTGCTCGGCCGAGTGGGGAGGCCGGGGGCCTGTGGCGGGCCGGCTGGCGCCTTGTTTGTTAGAAGAGAGACGAGCTGAGCAAAGAACAGCAATAACAAGGCTCTCTTGACCTGCAGGACGCCGATGGCCACAAAATCCACGTTGACTGCCTAGCGATATCTCGTCTCGGTTCCCTGTAGAGGCGACTTCGGTCGGCCACGACTCGAAAAGGCGTGTCGGCCTACGCCATCGAGCATCGACAAAGTTGTTCTCGTGGGGCCGTAAAACCCCGACGGTGTATGTGTGCTATGTACCACCTGGCTGATTTGTTACAGCCAGGGTGCGATATCACACGCTCTGCGAACTGGGGCCATCCCCGGCACGTACGTATGCATCCCGATAGCTTTGTGCCGGTGGCCCGGAACCGAGGGGATCTCCCAGGGTTTCGAATATGTACCTGTTGACTCGCCACATGCCGTACATAGATGGCCGTATAACCCTTCCGCAGAGCGGCGCGGTCCCGCTTTATACCAGCGCTGGATCGAAGATAGACAGCGGGGGGGTTCCAGACGAAACTAAACATGGATAGAGATCTGCTTAGAAGCGAGGTAGTTCTCGCCCAGGAGACCGAGTCTTTCCTTTTCCCAGCTCGTGCCTCCCGGGAACGGAGCGAGAGATGATGTGCGCCGAAGACCTGAGATAGGGACTAAGCGCAATGCCGTCTCGCGCGTTTCCTTCCCGTGGTGGTACTTGGGTATCCAAACTCGTACGCACCTCGCCAGGTCTACACTACACTGTGAACGCTAGCACTAAGTGGCGGTCTGGTCGTGTTTGTTTGGGTCTCAAGTGAGATAGTGTGCGTACAGCAGCATTCTCTGGGACTATTCCAGCATACCGCAGTTTGTTCCTTTGATTTTGATGAGAGCTCGCCACAGCCATACCGGCCTAGGAATAGTCTGACAATAGGCGCACGACGGCGTTTGGGATGTTAGGATCTTCGTTAGAGCGAGCCTGTAGACGGGCGTCGGAACTATAGGAAGGACGGCACCACCACCGCCAGTACCATCCAAACTGTCGGGTCGAGTGGATCCCTCCGAAATCTGGAGGCACAGTTGGGTTCTGTAGATCAGCCGCCCAGTCTTCTGAGAGAAAGTGTTTGCAGCGAAAATGGATGCCAACGGTATACGTAAATGGAGGTCGGCTGGACTAGTCTTGTGCGGCACACACGGCCAACAACTCGGCGGTCAACTGACTGTGCTACTGCTTTTTGTTCGATATGACTTTTTTGGGTAGGCTGAATCTTCTTGCCCGACGTAACCTCGGCGATACCTGGCTCTGTGGGTTAGACCCGGGAAAGTCAGGTTCTTATATATATGCACGGGGACGAGGTGTCCTTTGTCCCGTCCCGGGGACAGATCCCAACCAGCAGCATCTTTACCGCCTCCCGTCTCTCTGGGTTTGGGCTCGTACTTGACCGTGCCCTTGGGCCCATACCGCCCATACGGTGCCACCTCCTTGCTGTCGGCGATGGCCATTGAAGAAAAGTTGGTAGTGGCGGGGGGCAACCTCGGGATCTTCGTAAGTCTAACTAACTATGGCGAGAAGGGACGAGAGCGAGCGGGACTGACAAATCTTAGCATCTCTTCCCATATCTTCCCGCCGAAATCCGGCTCGAGATATGGAACCACAACCTCCCGGGGCCCCGTATAGTTGAGATCAAGTGCACCCGCAGCGCCACGATCTTCGAGCCGCAATATGGGGGCAAACCTACTCCTATTTGCACGTCCGCATCGCCAATTCCGATTAACTTGCATACGTGCAGAGAGTCTCGGCTTGAGGGGTTGAAACGATACCGGTTGCTGTTCGATATCGGTCCCCAGGCTGGCCGCTTCTTCTTCGATCCCCTCAGGGACACGCTCTATTTCGGCGCGAGAGACGGAGCCGAGGCTTCGGAGACGCAGCTTGACACGTTGATATCGCTGAGCTCGCCAGAGGAATTAGCTCTCGTGCGCCACGTCGCCATCAACGAGGCGCTCATGCCAAGTGATGGTGGCCGTAATGGCGCCGCGGGTGGCGCTGGCGCGCGATCCGCTGAGCGCATCTTGCGCCAGGTGAACCAACATTTCGTCGGCCTAGAGCAACTCACTTTTGTCTGCGACGACAGGAACCCTGTTTACAGCGCAGACGCCGCCTTCGTCGAGCCAGGCCGACGAAACCGACTTCTGGAGCGGCGCATCCAGACGGCGATCACCGCTGTCGAAAGGCGGCAGCATCACTTTAAGTCGCCTCGATGGCGCGTCCAAACCATTGCTGCCGAGCCCGATCTTCCTGTCTACGACCAGGAAATTTTGGGTTATCAAGGCCGCCGCTCGTCCTTCTTCAAGCGGGCTCGACTACCGCAGTATAGCAAGCTCTTGGCCAACTGAAACCGTGCGGCGCGCAGAGGACCATTCGAATAGATGGAATGCTAACCAGTACCCCTACTAGGTAGGTATAGGTTGTTATTGGATAGTATTAGGCCGGAGAGGGGGTGTCGGGTCACTGGCGCGGAATATCTCCTGTCTTCTAAGGGGTCCTGCGCAATTGAATTAAGGAGCATAATGAAACCACTATAGGCGCTTAGGTAATCGAACTACATACACGTGTACCCAGAATGTGTATCTATGCAGTTACGTAATTAAAACCTAAGGAATCCTGAATCCATTTTGTTGTCCGAGCTCGTCTCAATTGACTTATCGCCCCTCCAAAATCCTGGGTGGCTCTCGCGCGGTAAAAAAAAATCAAAAAGAATTCGGTTGGTTAACACTTACCTATCGACAAGAACTCGCCCACCGCCTCGCTCCGGATTTTCTCTTCTTAAAGAAACCGACACCTACAGGGTCCACGACGTGAACCATGCCCGGAAGAACGAAAGCTAACGGCGATGCGCCGGAGGAAGTAGACGTCAACATGGATGACGCCCCCCTGTCAGCGCAGAAACCCGTCGAAGGGGAGGAGGCGGAGGAGGAGGAGGAAGAAGAGGAAGAGGAAGAGGAAGAAGAAGAGGAGCCCCAACGAGTCCGAATCGTGCGTCCCACACAGTAACTTGATGTGGGGGAAGGTATGCGCTGATAATATACAGTTGCCTGGATCCTCTAACACGGCAGCTTCTTTCGAATTCTTGAAGGAGGGCCACACGCTCGGGAACGCTCTGCGATACATCATCATGAAGAAGTACGGATGTTTAGAATTTGGTTTCTTGACCTCGAAGAAGGCAGCTAATTGCCATGTAGCCCCGATGTCGAATTCTGCGCGTACGCCATCCCACACCCCTCGGAAGACAAGATGAACTTGAGAATCCAAACATATGGTAAAGCACGCCAGATTTTCCTCTTCCTGGGGCCGGTGCTAACCGTTCTGCAGGCACGACGACTGCCGCCGCCGCATTGGCTAAAGGTCTTCAAGATTTAGACGACCTTTGTGACATCGTTGCAGACAAGTTCTGGTCCGAGCGCGATAAGTTCAATGCGCAACCGGAGCAGGCACGCAAGAGGCGGGAGGAGGCAGACGCGAGAAGGGCTACGGGATCCGGGGCGGCTTGAGAGAGAACGCGGCGGGGCGGGCAGTAACGGCATTTTTTTCGGGCGTTCGGAGTACGAGAGACAATATTCTCAGGTGGTAAAGTGTTCACCTGGTCTGGCTATGTACAATACAGGGGTGGGATATGATACCAGTACCTAGTTGCGACCCTATCATGCTGTTAGTTGGAGCTTCTAGCCCCCAAGGCGCTGTAATGGAGAAACCTGCCTCTATGAAACCCTTCATGAAGCTGTCTGGTAGTCTGTCTGCCCCTCGGAAATTTTCGGTCTTAAAATACGACATAACGTGTGTAGTTTGCTTCCAGTAATTCATCGTTTCCTATCGTACCGTAGCTCATCAGTGTATGCTTCTTCCGAACGGATATATTATTCGGGCCCCGAAGCTCCTCCCCCCTTCCTAGGTTGTCGAGCCGCATGAGGCTGGGCCTAGATCTACCAAACGGACTGACCTGGTATTCTGCGTTGTTCTTCAGGAGCAGCACATCGACGACCGCTAGATTGTTCACGAATCGGTTCCGCTCGAATTCCTGCCGCATGCGCGTGCGGATGACGGGGACCGGGAAGTTGATGGAGTACATGGTCTGGATCTCGGGCGCCTAAACGATAACACCCTGTATTAGCCGGCGCTGAACCTCATACATTCTCGGAGCTGATGCGCTTCATAGCAGTCGTAGCGCATTAAGAGGAGAAGGGCGAGGAAGAGGGAGGGTGCCGTACTGCTCGTAACCATTCTCTGTATGCCGTGAGTACTCGTTGCTTTGCGTCGGCCCAATTGGCGGCTGCGAGCTGGGTCAGCAAGGCGTCGTCGGGATGTGCGAGGATGGGTACCGACATTGTCGGGTCGTCCGCGCAAGTTGCGTGGGTAAGATCGCCATGGCGGATGAAGTCTGGTGGTGCTCCTGAATATGAGGCTCGGTCGGTCTACCCGGTCACATTCCACCTTGAGGTAGACGGATGGGACGGCGGGCGCGGGCATGACTGGGAATTGACCGAAGCCTAGCCACGTTGCTTAGTCATCTGACATAACCGTGTGGCGTAACCATTTAAGTTGAGGCACACCGATAGATTCAGCCTTCACTTCTGGCGAAGCTTCACCTTAATTGAAGATATCCTCTCAGCCCCGCCCCGCCAACGAGCATCTCATGCGACGTCAGCGCTTGCCCTTGGCTCCGAATCTACGAATCTACCTCCTGCCCGACGCGAGACCGACCTTTCACTCACCCCGACATCTACCTATCTAGCCCCAATCCGCCAGCCCCTACCTCGCGCGAACAGAGCTCTGCCGGTCCGTCCGTCCGCGATGCCGGCGATACGCTCGCACGGGGCCTCGTCGCGGCAGAAGAAGCCGCCGGCGGGGTTCGACGACATCCGGGACGACCTCGAGGTGTTCGCGATCAAGATGAAGGACGCGCAGAACGCACCGCCGACGGCGGGCGGCGGCGTCGCGGCCCCGAAGCACCAGGCGCAGTGGCCCATCTTCCAGATCGCCCACCAGCGCAGCCGCTACGTCTACGAACTCTACTACGAGAAGGAGGCCATCAGCCGCCCCCTCTACGACTGGCTGCTCAAGAACGGCTACGCCGACCCAATGCTCATCGCCAAGTGGAAGAAGCAGGGTTACGAAAAGGTGCGTCCGTATATACATAGACCCACATATATCTGCTGGTCTCGCCGGTCCTGGCCGGCAGGAAACGAGGAAGACGGAGACGAAGAAATCCGCTAACTGGACGTTTTACAGTTGTGTTGCCTGCGCTGCATCCAGACCAAGGAGACCAACTTCCAATCGACATGCATCTGCCGAGTTCCGAAAGCCCAGCTGAAAGACGAGCAGGACGTCCAGTGCGTCAACTGCGGCTGCCGGGGCTGCGCGTCGAGCGACTGAGAGAGGGAGAGAGTTAGAGTCAGGGGGATTTTAACATTTCGTGTATACGGATTCGCTGGGCATCACTTGTGGCATTACGGCATGGCGGCATAGTGGCGGCGTTGGTGGTGGATTCTCTCTTGGTAATCGCGGTTGGGATTCGTTCTACTGGTTTCTATCATCAAACTATACGCCTGTTTCGGGGTACGGGCCATTTCTCCCCACCATCGTTTCCATTTCTCGCGTCCGTGGCCTGGGAAGATATCGCAAACCAAGCTGCAGAGGAGTGGGAACCACAAAAGGTCACTAGATCAAAAAGCTATATTCTCTGGCGGGGCCGGTATGCCTATGGTATGATGCGTCGCTATCGACTTCGTCAATTTTATAATACTCGTAATGTCGTGTTCTCGTTCGTCTATCGTTCATCCGCATTATCGCCTCGCGAACCCTGTTTTCCCCTTCCTATGACCGAAGCGCACACTGGTGGGTACGAACTGCAATGCGGACATGGCACCGGCCAGATCTTCCATCTCGGTGTCTGGGGCGGCAGCTGGGAATGGAGGAGCTTCGGCCACCGTTTGCGTTTTCGTCTTCTCGGTCGCCGTCTTGGCGGTCTCTACCTGTTGAGGACTCTGGGCACCGGGTGCTGGCGCCGCCTTGGGCCCGCTTGCGTTGGTAGCTGCGGAGGACCTTCGCCGACGATGCCCGCCTTCGAGGAGTAAGGACTGCCTCCCGTCTACACCCTCCTTGCTGACGGCGAAGAAGTAGTTCTTCGGGTACATGTGTTTGTCGATGAGATGGCTACGTCTCTTCTGCGGCGTCCTGCATTTTCGATCGCAGCCCTCGACGAAACAAGAATACTACGCAATCGTGGTCAGCCACGGGTCACGTTGCAGACATGCTCACTAGGGACTCTCCTTACCGTGTGCTCGCCCTTTTCTCTCTTCACCGCCACGAAGACGTCGTGGCATTCTTCGATGTGAACATTCAACAAATATTCTGAGGGCAAGTTCTTTCCGCACTCTACGCAGCGGTTCGTGTGAGTGCGGTTGTGATGCGACTCATATTCGGCGTAGGTCTTGAAGGAGAGCACCTCGCGATGGGGAGGAAGGGAGCATCTCATGGCAAAGGTGTCAGTGGTGTTGACGGCGGACTCGTCGAGCTCTGCGATTTTCGCGGGGGGGATTGCTGCTGCCTCTCGGGGACTCGTCGAACCATCCGGCGTGGCTCTGCTCGGAATACTCTCGGGCTCTGGTGATGAGTAGTCTCCGCCTTCATCAGGCTCGCGTGAGCGCTTCATCTTTATGGTGTATGGGTATGGTGGAGTTTTGGGGCAATTACATGAGCAAGACTGCGGTCAACGACTTAATATGACTGTATGAGCATACAGCAGCCAAGCAGGGGAGAGGGATGTGACGCGGTTTTGGTTGATCGTTGGACGGCCGCGGAGGTAGTGAGGGAGTGATAGCAAGATCTGATCAGGGTGACCCGAGCTTGCGCTGTGGGGTCCGACGTGTGCAAGAGTAAAATATACCCAGGTGTATTATGTACAACCTACCTACCTCTTACGTTGAACGGTAGGTACCTATGGGTAGAACAGGACGGGGAGCTGGAACAGCATATAATCTATGGTCACTATGCTCTCAGAATATTCGAGATCCGAGAGAGAGAGAGAGAGAGAGAGAAGAAGACAGAGATAGAAACGGCTGCAGCAGGACGTCGAGGTAGATTTATAGAACGGGGTCGCCAAAGCGTGGCCAGAAGCAGACGTGGACGTACATATATTAGGTACGTTAGGTACCTTTGCCTACCTGGGTATACCTGTTATATTTGCATAAGCATCTACCCGAGTTACTATACGGAGGGGGAGTTGTTATAGACAGTATATCCATAATAGTACCGAAATATAAGCAACTAGATCTAGTAAAGGTAGCCTTAATTAGCTACTCTTTCGAAAAAGTTAAAATATTTATAACTATCCTCCGGATAGGATAATAAAACCTATATTATGAATTTTATTATCTATATATATTATATTTCTTATATAATTATTATAATCATACTATTTTTTTTATTTATTGTATAAATTATAAATATTTTCGTTAAATAATGTTTTAATATAAAGTCTTTTACTTAAATATACTTTCATACTATAGTGAGAAATACGTCTGAGAGTATAGTTTCATGCTCTTTATAAGTATAAAATAAAGATAAAGCTCGGTATGAAGCAGGTTTCCGCCTAATCTAGTTAGAGCTGGTCTGCGATCTTAGTATGAATAGAACCTGAACCTGAACCTGAACCACCTGAAGCAGTAACTCATGCATACCTACTGTCCGATTTCTATTCCATTCCATCACCACATTCTCCAGAATGACCGGGCCGGACGAGTCGCCATGTCGGATCCTGGTTATGGCCTCTGGCTTTGGCTCGAACTTCCAGGCTCTCATAGATGCTATATCTACGGGTCAGCTTCGGAATAGCCGCATCATCTCCCTCATCACGAACCGGAGAAATGCACACGCAATTGTTCGAGCGGATGAAGCAGGCAGGAGCTCTCCCATGCACATGTATACAGCATGCAACTAATTCACGACCAGGCATCCCTTGGGATTACTTCAATCTAATCAGCAACGGGTTCTTGCGGAAGGGAGAAATAGACGAACAGAAAATATCTGAAGGCCGTCAAAGATATGATGCTGCATTGGCCGCGAGGGTTCTATCAACAGATAAGGAAAGGCCTGAGTTGATTATTCTCGCTGGTTGGATGCATGTCTTCTCGGGTGCTTTCCTAGAACCTGTCGAGAGGGCAGGGGTGCGGATAATCAACATCCATCCGGCACTACCCGGTAAGTTCTAAAAGATGATGCTGGGTCTGACCACTCACAATATGCACAGGGGAGTTCGATGGAGCTATGGCGATTGAGCGAGCTTTCGAAGAATTTAAGGCTGGGCGACTAACACGCACGGGTATTATGGCCCACTACGTAATTGATGAGGTGGACAGGGGTACTCCTATCGTGGTTAAACAGGTTGAGTGGAAGGGAGAGGAGCTAGAAAAGTTCAAAGAGAGGATGCATTTCCACGAGCACGAGCTGATCGTGAAGGCAACGGCGAAGGTGGTGCAGGAGATAGTGGAGGGCAGGGGAACGTAAGTCCCGAGACGTCCCAATATCCTTGAGCTGTAGGTATACGCCACTGCAACAACCTTCGTTATGAAATCAACATGCCTCTTATAGGAGGGCATGGCCTGAGATGTTGTCTGTGAGGTGGTGGTTGTGGATGTGTAGGTACTACTGGTTTCTCGTCGTTGGGGCCCTTATCCTTGGGCAGCACCAGAGCGGCCAAAGTGTTATATGTCTAACTGAGGTGTACGCAAGCTATAAGTCCTCCCCAACGCCGTTCGACAGATCCGTCGGCTAGGTGATCATTGCGTCACAAACATTGTTGCGTGATCACATCGTCTGGATCGCAGGGTGGGAAGGACCCTTTATGAGTAGAATCTGTCCTGGCCTTGACGATAGCACTGATAAGCGCGAGAGGTCGACAGCCGCATAATCACGTGGCTAGGCACCACACCTCAGGCACCACCGTTAGTGCGAGGAACCCACCACAACTTCCATTTCAAGAAACACACCACACCCCCAAGATCGCAACATTGATCAAGTTTTTATACCAACGAGGCTACGAACCCTTGCCTACCACCTGCGGCCGGCAGCTCTGCATCTCACCCGTTACTGGGTTTTTTATGGGATCCAATTCTTTCCCGAGTAAGGCTGTGGAAGTGCTACAGGCCCTCGGGCCTGCCAGGCACAACGTCTCCCAGGAGCCCTGCAGCTCTGGGGGCAAGTGAGAGTGGACAGTGTAAGTCTATTCTCAGTGTTGCATGCTAAGCGGCGGCTCGACCGCGTGTCTACGGATTGCCGGTTTAACTATGAACTCTTCGCACTATACTTATTAAGTTATTTAATACGTGATTCAAAATTAAAATTAATAAATATAATAATACATACAATGTAATTAATTTGATTTAAATAAGTTAAGTTAAGCTTACGCTAAACTTAACTTAAAGACTTTTTTAATAACTCTAGATATATCTATATATAAAGCTATAGAAAGGTGTAATTAAATACTTATATACACTGTACAGCGCATATACAACGAGATGGCATCTGAAGTACCTACCTACCTTAGGCAAGTAGGTAGGTAGGTAGGTAGGATAGAAGTTAGGTAGGTACCTAAGGTACCTAACCCAACCTCTAAGAGGCACCTGGTAGGTACTTAGGCTAGGCAACTAAGGCAATGCCCTCAGGTTACTTGCCCACCCGTTCAGCTCAGGTCCTAGAAGTTCCAATCCTCGGTGCCAGCCTAAGAACTTGTGGTAACATCGAGTCCCCAACGGCGTTGTTCACGACCTGGCGACCTGCTCCCGTTCCCATACCTGTAGTAGGACACCTGCCTTGATCTCGGCAAGGTTGTTGCCTACCCACCTACATAGGTACCTAACATGACCTGCAAATTTCGGGAATGAAACCGCATGGCACCTAAGGCTGAGTGCGGTACCTTGCAATTTGAATATTTGTAGCTACCCGAGGTTACATATGCCTAGCCGTAAGGAGGTCCCCACCGGGTACATCCGACAGGCTGGTAGGTACCTGTTCGTGCACCTGAGGCGGGTGTTGGTGGCTGCTTGGGCAGGCTCACAGATTTTAGCAGAGCACCTAGAAGCGTGCTGTGACTGTTCCCCCGCCGCCCCCCCTCGACTGGGAGACCCTTCCCTACACGTACTTTTTGTGATCGACACCACGTTAGGAGCTGTTTACCAATTCATCCAACGAGGTCGTCTGCCTCACCTCCTGCCTTCACCTTGTTGCCCTTTTCCTTCACCCTAGACATTCTCTGCCACCTCGTGTACCATAGGCCTCTTCCAGGCGTCCCGCGATCGCTCCCCGGCTCGTCGTGAAAACAACATCCGTATTGTCGTCAGCAGCCGAAGGCGCATCCATCAGCTCTCTCAGTGATCATCTTCGTTGCATTTCTCATCATCCCTTCCCCTCAGCAGTCTTGGGTGCCGGAGATCTCTCGAGACGAGCCATCTCTTCTCTCCCCCCCATAACGAACCGCAAATGTTCCCGATATCTTCCTCCGAGAGAGCTAGCCCGGCAACACATTCTACGGCGCCATCTAACATTTCCCCGTCGCATCTGTCGAGCTATGGATATCCTCTGCGTCCTCGCATCCGGTTCGACTCTGTGTGATCCTGTTCACTGGCTGTGAGCTGTCGCAGCCCTCTCAGTCAACTGCACAACCCTTTGCGCCCACCCGCGCCGGCGGCTCTACTTTGCCGCCACCAACAAGCACCGAACCTGGTTTCGAATCCCCCCCCCATCGTCACCTCCTACCCATCCACAATGGCGAATCCACGAGACAAGGCCAGAGCGAGCTGGAGGTATGTGCAGAGGACTTGGTGCTGCGGACCCGACAACTTGACACTCCGCGTGATCGTGGCTGACTCCGATGGCAGTGATGCCCAGAAAATCCGCCCAGACATAACGGGCAAGCTCTCGAGCCTGAAGAAGGAGCGTGGCAATACGAACACTACATCCCGTTTCGAAGAAGTTGAGCAGACCATGGCCGAGTAAGGCCTCGACCCCGCTACCACGCCTGCTAGACCCTGGCATATCCGGTGCTAACGTTCCTCCAGATTCCGTTTGGCTTGCATGAATGTCATCGCATATGACTTTGAATATGCCGTCGACAAAAATGTCGAGCATTTTCTGTGGCAGGCTCACACATATCTCAATGGCGAGTACCGAAAAGTCATGAGCCGCCTCATGGCGCAGAATCAGGTCGTGGTGAGACGGAAGCTGGAAAAGCAGTACCGCGGGTTCCTGAGAACCTCCCAGTCTTTTTATCGAGTTTACATACAACAGCTGTCTGGACGCTTCTACATTCCGGAGCTCCACCAGGTCGCCCATGGTACCGATCTCGAGTCCGCCGTGGCTCCTACACCCGACGCGACGCCTCCGTCGCGGCTTCGCGCCCTGATCCTGAAGTCGTGCCAGATTACTCTGGTGCACCTCGGCGACCTAGTCAGATACCGGTGTCAGATGTCCGAGAAGCTTTCGAACTCGAACACGAACTTCGACAAGGCGCTCGAGTATTACGGTCTAGCGAACACCATCGACCCCGACGATGGCTCTGCTCATCACCAACTAGCCGTCTTATACCAGCTTCAGGGCCGGCATCTCGACATCGTGTACCATTTCCACCGTGCTATCTGCATTGCGAAACCGCACGAGTTAGCCCTCGGTAACCTGGAGCGGGAGTACAAGGGGCTGGAGAACCCTCTCTCCAACCGGCGCGGTGTCGCCAAAGACCCATGCGAGACGATGATTACTTGGTTTGTCCGGCTGCATGCCTTCTTCTTCCAGGGGGAGCAGTTTTCTCAGCAGTCCGAGCTAGAGGAGGAAGTGCTGCACCGCGTAGAGATGGCGATGAAGTCCGATGCCGACGAGGCCACCCTGCGCAAGATGATCTTTGTCAACATCGCCGCTTATGACGTGGCGACAAGCAAAGTGAACTGTGAGTGCCCACATCAATCAAATCCCGAGGCGCGTGCCATCGCCTGCTAACCCGAGCCAAAAGCGGCTTGGACCCTTCAAGGATCGCAATCTTGCCAATTTGTCCTGCGATTCAACATTCGCACAATATTGATTCTCCTCCGTCTGCTGAAGACCAAAATCTTGGAGGAGTCTGCGACATCCTCCGCTTCGGACCACGAAGGGGAGGTGGGCGAGGAGGCCGAAAGTGTTATTTGCTTCAGCCCTATCTTGATGAAGCTGCTCCCTCTCCTCCGCCTCTATATCTCATGGATATACGTCGCCCGGGCCGACGTCATCAAGTATCAGGCATATCTCGGGCCGTACGTTAGGGATGTGTATAGGTTCCTGGCTGATACTCTGACTCTGCTCAATTCAACCATTGGCCAGGCCGCCGCTACGACATCGTCCAAATACCTGCTACCGGAAGATACGGAAGCGCTGGGCCTCCGACCATTGGGCGATCGAGATCTGCCGCTATTTCTACAGGTGAAAGACGTGCGGAGCGCAAGCCAATCCAAGAAGCATAAGGCTCCCAAGCCTCGCCAGAGGGCATTCGGCCGACAGTACAAGCCTCGCACGGAAGCAATCTGGCGCGTGAGAGACATCGCATACTGCGGCATCCTGTTGGCCGGGAGTCCAAATTTCCCGGTGGACCTGACCCTTAGACAGCATGAGGGACGAGAAGTCGAATGTTGGACTTTCACCGAAGAATCTACTCCACCGGCCTCCATGGATGAAGCCGGTTTATCGCGCATGCTGGAAAAGCTAAAATTTGGCCGCACGAAAGCCAAACCAGATAGCCCGACGCATGAGGAGCTGGACGCAACGCCATTCGGTAACGATTCGGTGGATGCGCCACCGTCTTTGTTCGGCGATGACGACGGCGATGAGGGTGGTGATGGTGCGAGTCCCGAGCTATCGGATCGATTGGACAAGGGAAAGTCCACCGAAAAGAAGCCGCCGCCGCCGCCTGATTCACTACTTGACACAGATCTGAGTGGAGATAGAGATATGATCAACATGGTCAATAAACTGGTGGATCCAATCGAGGATGTCCGCCCTCAATCGAGTCGGACTCAGACGGATACGACCTACGGCATGGATACGAGTATGGCGAATGACATATTCGGACGGTTTATGACGGGCTCAACGCAGCCATCCCCCGCCGCATCCAAGACTATTCCCAATCTTCCGTGGGATTATTTCTATACGCCAACTCCGCACCGTTCTAGTAACAGCCAAGGAGACAACCAATTGTCGCCTGACGGTAATCACATACCTAGGAGCGCCAACGTCCAACTGGACGGTTTCGGATCGTCTTCCTACTTGAGTGATCTCAGTACGCCTGCTCAACGGGCTCTTGTCTCGGCTATGGACCAGATACCGGCACATCACAATGGCAGAGAGTTCATTGCACATAATTCGCCAAGGCTACCTCAGGGAATGCCAGACGCCAATAGTCGGCAGGGTAGAGGTGTGCCTGATTCGCTGGAAGCATCGCGAAGTGCCGTCCTCGACAGTTTGAATTCGGCTTTAAACGCCCAGCACGGATCGGCTCCGAATAAGACGAGGCAGTCTAATAGTTTGGCGAGCCACGCTAAGCCGCAGAGGTCGATTTCGGGAACTTCTAGTTCGCCATTCCTCTCGGATGTCAACTCGCCTCAGTTGTATAATGCCGGGGATAGCCTCGGTTCTGGCTATGCGGAACGCCCGGCCAGTCAACGTGCCACCGCTGTAAGCTCGCAAAGCCCTTCTGGTCTAGGCACAGTAGGACAATCACCTCGAAAGCGTGACACCTTTCAGGATACCCGCAGCCGATTCCAGAACGTATCGAGCCCGGCGGGTTACGAGTCTGGCTACGCCGCACCCGGAAACCCAAGCTCGCAGGGCGGCGCCGCGAACGGCCGCACAGCGCCAGGCGCGTTCCAGCAACAGTACCCCAGCTGGCTAGGGGAACAAGCCGCGAGGGGGAGCTCTTCTCTCCCCTTCTCGCATCCGAGCAGCCTGTTCGCCGGCACCCCGACGGTCCCTCCCAGCGGCCCCCCCAACCCCGTCTTCTCCAACGGTAACTACTATAACGCCAGCACCCCGTTCGGCTGGCTAGGCGACGGCGCCAACACCCGAGACGATCCCACGCATTTCCGAAGTCAGCTCAAAACCACTATAGGACACACTGCCGATTCTTATGACAAGAAGATTCTGCAGGCTGCGCTCCTCGACGACAACAAGAAGCAGCGCCCCAAGTGAGACGCGAAATCTATCTCGCGTGAGGCCTTGACCGGCTCCACGGCGCCGCTAACTACGGACGGGCTGCAAAAGGGGCTGCGCCGTCCGATCACCGACAGCTCTCTCCCACACGATTCCACTCTTCTCTCCCTCTCTATCATCCGGATCCTCTACGAGTCACGCGCGCAAGAGGGCAATCGTTCGAGTAATGACGGACACTGGCAACGTGGACTCGTTGCGTGTTGCGTGTTTCTCCTCGGTTTTCTCCTCTGTGGACCCGACCGTTGTGCGCGCTACCTACAGTCAGGGCCGGCCCACTCATTATACTACCGCCCGACGACTCCCCATATCGTTTTACGCGAGGACTTCGCGCGCGCTGTCTCATGTGTGCGCGCGCGAAGGAGGAGAGAGATATTGAACAGAAGGGGAACATATCCCGTGTCAATACACACTTGATGAAAGAGGCGAGGAGAGGGAGGATCGAAGAAGAAGAAAAAGAAAGAGCAAGAAACAAGAAAAAAAAGAAATTGTTACCAGTTGTTGAAACCCAGCAAGATGCAAGTTTTTTGTAATCTTTCGCCTTTCGCAATGCACCGCCCGCCCCCCCCCCCCCCTTTGCCTTCCCTTTCCTTCCCGTTCTAGAACGCCGACCTTTGCGCGAAGTTGAGTAACACGTCAAAGCATGGTAGACGATGCACACGATATTTCGTACGACCGACCCGGCCTACCGAGATCGTTTGGCGATGACGACGACGACGATAATGATGATGGTGCAGCGACCTACGAAGAGGGCTGGTAGGTTTTCTTAGGGAATGGATACCTATAATTGAGAGAAAGAAAAGGAAGGCAGATTGCCGCAGTTAGCCAGCCAGGCTCCTTGTTCATTGTCATCTTTTTTTTTTCTTCCTCGGGTCCTACCCCGAACTTGTGGCGCACCGCGGAAAGCTACCCGGAAGGGAGCAGGAAGGGGCAGGAAGAGGGGATTGGCGAAGGGGGAGGCGAAGGGGGGAGGAATTAATAATTCTTCTGAGATGGGATGGATACGGTAATGGTAGTAGTAATAAAGGGGCAATAGGGGGAAGATCGAGCTGGGCACCCCTTGAGTTATGTCAAATAACTGTTACTGCCCGCCGCACAGACACGCTCTTTATATAGTTGCTTTCGACTGAGAATTATAAAATCGCCCCAGGTGGGAGAGACTTTTTAATTACTCGACCGGGTGATGTACGTGCACGGGAAAGGGGGCCCAATTATACGCTTAGGACGCGAAAGGGTATTGCGGGGGTTCAAAGGATGCAGGGCGGGAGGAAGGCAAGGGGAAAGGATCACTTACGAAGGACCCAGCTCCTGGATGCTGAGGCGAGCGAGCCAGTGGCCCATGTCGACGGCGGTCTCGAGGGGCACGCCCTGGACGAGGCCGGCGACGAAGCCGCCGGCGAAGGCGTCGCCGGCACCGTTGGTGTCGTTGATGAGCGAGGCATCGATGGCGTGGACGGGGAAGCGGCGGACCTCGGCCTCGCCCTGGACGGCGACGATGGTGGGCTCGGTGCCCTGGGTGATGACGGCGATGCGGGGGCGAGCGGTGTTGGCCTTGGGGAGGCCGGCGAGGTGGCGGGCGATGGCGGCGACGTCGGCCTGGACGGGGGCGGGGAGGTCGTGGGAGCGGGCGTAAGCGGCGGCCTCGCTCTCGTTGCAGACGACGTAGTCCCAGTACTTGGAGGAGGCGTCGAGGGGGTCCTTGAAGAACTCAGGGATGAAGGGGGCGGAGACGTTGACGATGAAGGTCTTGCCGTGGGCGGCGGCCTCCTCGCCGAGGGCGAGGATGGCGTCGGGGCAGACGGTGAAGTGGTAGCCGCCGACGTAGTAGAAGCGGGCGGCGCGGACGAGGGGCCAGACGGCGGGGGAGCGCAGGTGGGCGAGGTCGTAGTGGTTGGCGGCGCCGAGGTCGGTGCAGAGGCTGCGGTTGTGGCCGGTGATGACGACGCCGCAGCGGCCCGTGGGCGCGACCGGGTCGACGCGGTACTCGACGCGCAGGCCGGCCTGGCGCACGGCGTCGCGCAGGATCGCCGCGTACTTGTCGTCGCCGACGCCGCCGAGGTAGACCACGCTGTCCGGCGGCAGCACGTAGGCCGCGCCGCGCGCCGTGTTCTGCGCGGCGCCGCCGGCGATCAGCTTCGCGTCGTAGCCCGACAGCAGCTCGTCGTACAGAGGCAGGTGCTTCTCGGAGGCGAGGATGGCGTCGTTCGCCTTGAGATCGTACTTTTTGAGGAGCTCCTCGGTACCGACGGCCTGGATGTCTGTTTGTAGGTACGGTTGTAAGCTGGTTAGCTTCCCTCCCGTCTTAAGGACATCTGTGTAGGGGCACGACGGCACGTATGAAAAAAAGCACCCGACCCCGCAGTTATTTGGTGAGTGAGAGGAACTGTGCTTACTCACTGCGCAAAATCGCAGTGAGGCATATTTTCCTCTTCTTTCCTCTCCCCTCGTCTCCTAGAGCTATCTTCCCTCCCTTCTCCTTCTATCTCTTATCCTCGCCCCTACCTCTCTCTGCAGACAAGCAATTGGATTCCCGGAACACATGGAAAGAAAACGACATACCAAGGAGAGGGTTCTCCAAGCACAGCAGGGGGTATTCCTGATTCGCAGCCATGGTGGACGAGTGTCGTCGCGCTGACTGTGCTAGCGGTCCTTGAAGCTGTCGGGCTGTCACGGCAGCGGACGATGGGATGGGCGAAGGGAGGTGGTAGGAGGGCGAGGAACGGCAGGGTGGGAGAGGTGTTGGCGGGAATGGGCGTGGTGATTGTGTCGTGGTAAGAGGACGGCAGAGCGGATGGTGGGGTGAGATATTATTGCCGTTATAAAAAAAGGTGCTGCAGCTCGTCAACCCCGGCCTGGTCCTGGTGGGGTTATAGTAGGACCGCAGCCCTCGAGAGATTGTCCGAGGGATCAGCCCGGACGACGTGGAGGCGGAGAAGGAGGAATATCTGGATAACGGCATCTGCATCGCCAGCGTGTTATCCAACTAGGCAGGTTAGCTATGCACGTATGCATTTGTGAGTACTATATGTGCATATACCAGTGCGTATACCAGTATGTGCGTATATGCGACATACATCAATGGGGGTGCATGCGCGGGGATTGACCTCTCCGATTCTAAATACGGAGATATGCACCGACGGACTATGTATGTAAGCGGGGTAGGAGGTAAGTGGGGGGGAATAAGGAATGGACGTAGGATGTAGCGAGGAAGGAAATTAAAACAAGTCTGAATAGGTATTTTTACTCCCCTCCTCTCTTTATATGCCTGCTCCAGCACGTATATGCTTTGGTACTGCTACGTAGTAATAGAATCGACGCCTCTTAGCCCTGGAGAACAAGCCGACCCGGGCCCAGAAACCGTAGCGGTCCATCGTATGATATCATGCCCTAAGCCCATATAGCGTAGGCCGGCCCCGAGAATTCCGTCTTCCCCGCCGCCGAGAGGTCCCGTACATCATCACTATCCCATGTCCCATTCTCTACCTACCTACGAAAACCCATCCGGCATCGGTGATAGCTTCTTAGGACTAGTCACATATGTCACTCATCTCACTTCCAGTGCGGCTCGAAGCGAATAAGTCAAGAAAAGCCCCCCAAGATGGGAATGGTATGGGTACACGAGAGAAAAATCGGGTGCCGGGTACTTCCTGTTGAGCCTATCCTCATGTCGTAGCTCGCCAGTACCTAGAGAGATGCAAAGCGCCGTCAAGTATAACTCCAACCGCCGTGATGAACCATGACCTGGAGATCCCATTTTTACTCCTTCGTCTTCTGGGTACCACGTAGCAGACCCGTTCTCCTCGCCGCAATAAGACCCGCCTTTTGACCTTGTGCCGCGTACCGGGAGATTGTCGACGCCTTACCGATGTGTTGATGGTTACCCTACGCACGCGCATCTCGTTAGCATCTGGCGCCTCGCCCGGGGTCGTCCAGTTCCTGCTACTTACACCACCGTGGGGATGGTCAACCGGGTTCATGGCGACACCGCGGGTCTTGGGCCAGCTGTTGCGCTTGACGGCGAACTTGTGCTTGGCACGGGACGCCTTGAGGAGGGGCTTGTCCGTTCGGCCACCGCCAGCCACGATGCCGATCATCCCTCGCGAGCTGCTGCTGACCACCTTCTTAGCGCCCGACGGGAGCTTAATTCGGGTCTTGCCCTCGTCAGGGTTGTGGCCGATAACGGTTACGTAGTTGCCCGAGGTGCGACCTAGCGTGCCTCGGTCGCCGGCCTTCTCCTCCACATTCGAGATAACGGTACCTTCGGGGATCGAGGATAGGGGCAGGACGTTTCCGACGGTGAGAGCGGCGTTCTTGCCGGCGTAGATGAATTGGCCAGTGTACATGCCTTCGTTCGCGATAAACGTCTCCGTGACCTGCTTAAATTTGTAGGGGGAGCGGAAGACGACGCGGGCGAGGGGAGCGCCACGACCCGGGTCGTGGATGATCTCCTTGATCACGCCTCGCACGTAACCGTGGCGCTCGGCATAGTCGAGGGATCGGAACTTGGCGGGAGACTTTCGCAGTCGGGTGATGGCAGCTGGAGAGACACGGTGTGAGACGACGTGATCGGCGGGCTCGGATAGAGAGAAGCTCGGCTGCGGCGCGAGAGCGGAGGAGGGAGTCGGGCATCCGGAAACTTACTGAAGATACCACCGTTGCCCTTTCGCTGGTTACGAATCTGTTGGTCGCATCTGATTAGCGAGGGACGGGCCAGAACGACGAGGCGGGAACGGGAGAAATTCACATACCACGCGACCCATGTTGGCGGTCTATTAGGCGTAATTCGCGATGGTGAAAGGAGGATGGCGGTTTGACGTTGGTGGTGATGTATTATTAGTATGATGGGAGAATTTTAGGAAGAGCCTGGGGGCGGCCGAAATGGAGAGCGGGCAATTTTCCCTCGCCGCAAGAGAGGATGAGCAGAGAAGAGAGATTGTGTGCGGCCACACCATGCTGCTAGACCCTAATCGCTTGGCCCACATTTGATGCAGAGGTACATGTTTTATGTACCCTAGGCAGATACTGAGGTGGGTGATCTGTGCGAGAAAGAGGCTGTTCCATTATATAAGCATCGGGTACTAGAGTGCTTAGTAACTAGGGACTGCACAGCCACATCTCCAGGATAGCCGCCACAGAAGGATGAATGAAAAGAGGAACGAAGGACTTGACGCGTTGGGATCGCCCCGAGACCCCTGCAAACCCGCCGTCAGCTTGAATTGCGCGCTCTCTTTTTTCAACCATTCCTCGTCCATCCATTCACCCACCTCACCTATCCATCCATCTTTTCCTCCATTCATTCATCTGTCCCTCCACCGCAAAGTAACACGGCCTTACGGTTGTCTGTACACGCCTCTACTAATCTATTCTCCCTCTCTTTCTCCCCCATCCTCTTCGTTGCCCTCTCCAGTCTTCTTTCCTCGTACTACTCACTGCCCCCGGAACCGCCCCGACCCATTGCCGTCTTCACGCGCTGATCCGTCTCGATTCTGTCGGCTCCCTTTCCCTCCTTCGTTACCTTACCATCAGGTGAAGAAGAAGGATTTAGGCACCACCCAGAGACAATGGCGAAGAAACACGCCACAGACTTTGAGAAGATCATCAATGAGGGTATGCCCGGCCGGCTTCCTAGGCAAAATTGCTGCCATAAATCCCTAGGGAATGCTAAGCTAACACTGGACTTGACTAGGACGTGAACGTAGGAAGAATGAAGCTCTTGCTGCGCGTATCTTCAACAGGGACTCCAATCGGCGTGCCAGTGCCCCGACTGTGGGACCGTTGACAAGCAAAGCTGGTGTGAAGAAGGTATGGTAGCAACCATGGTTATATTTTCTGCCATTCAATGCTAACAATTGCGTCTATAAAGCGACTATCCTCCACTGCCCGTGTGCCTAATGCGGACATCAATGGGGAGTGGACTCATGATTTGCACCCGGACTCGAGGAACCCTAAGTCTCGTGCCGATCCAAATTCACTGGCGGCACGAATCCACCCCCCTGGTACAACGCTCCCACGACCATCGAAGAATAACCCACGAAACACACGCCAGCACAAGGCAAACAGGCTTGCGGATGCTCTGGAGCGCAACCCATCCTCAGTTACTGTTGGGTATAATGCAAAACCCCTGTCGATCCAACCCATAGGACGAGGCATGACAATTAGAGGTCTTGCAGGCCCATATGCTGTTATTGCTCAGAACTTCGCCCCAGGAACAACAGCTGCAGATATCGAGAGCGCGATGACCCCTGTGGGTGGCTTGATCAGCAGCTGTCGCCTTGTTAAAGATCATCCCATTATCATCGCAGAGGTTGTTTTTGAGAATAAAGAGGGTGCTGATCGGGTGATTCACACTTTCCATAACCAAACGGTGAGTGTTCCCCCTTTCATCCTCATTTTACCTCCGTAATGTTGGTTAAACTGATGTACGTGGTAGGCCGATGGGAGAACACTACATGTATACCTCAAGCCTGGCGGCTCAGCCAGACCTCTAGGAGTGCCGACTGGACCTCGTGCTGATCGTGATCGCACAGTTCGGGTAGGTGGTAATAGTGTTGTGATTGATGGCTCAATGGGCTTTGATGAGCCGATGGACACAGGCCCAGTCAACGACAACTACTCAAATAGTGGTTTATATAGTGATCAGATGGTCCCTAAGTCGCAAGCTAATGGAGCCAACGGCCAAAACACGAGCCGCAGAGGCAGAGGCTTCCGAACCGGGAAGTAGGAGCACCCGACGAGCACTCGCCTATTCCATTACAAAAGCCCAAGCCCATCGAAAAGCGACAACAGCCTGTCTCAGCTCACCATCCAAGAACCCTTGATCGATGGGGACCAGACTGGAAATACCTTTCACGACAACACTTGTTATGGCGACGAAATGCTAGTTAATGACCCATTTCAGGAGGGATACTACAATGACAATGCACCCTCGGCCAATCCATCAGATGACGGAGACCCAGCCTACTCTAGCAGCACAGAGGCAAAAGACAAGCCTTGCTCTGCTTGCTACCATCCCTATGATTGCTACTATCCCTATGATACACAAATTCAGCACCAAGATGACCTTTAAATTTACACGACCACGTCCAAACTGCTGCTGATAGGTCCTCGAAACGGGGATGTTATTATGATGTGCAACCAGTTAATAACACATCCACTGGGTCAACTGATTGTTATAGCACACACCTTGTCGACAATCCACCTGCTGAACAGGTTGACTATGATGACACACCACGAGCCAGCCATGTTGCCAGACACGAAACACCTTGCAACTATCCACAGGAGGGAAGCTCTCAGAAAGAACATAAATGTCAATCACAAGAGTATCATTCACATGACGCAGAAGCCAGCTGGAAGCAATCCCAGGACAGAGCCTATGTGGAGGATGACGAAGATTGCATGTGAAGGGCAGCTGGGTGGAAATATAATTGGGTGCCTTTCTTCTACAAGATGCCCATTCTGGATTTTCCACTTGTCATAACACCACCCAGTAAGGGAATGGCAGGGAGCCTCGAGATCGGGGCTAGCAACAATTGTCAAGAGTCTGGGGGGGGATTCCTCACAACTCCTTCCCGCCTGCAATCCTGTCCGGTCCGCTTGTATTATTATACCCAAAGTCAACGGAACCTCTTCTTATTTCTATCTTTCCACTCCTCCTTTTCTTTTCCCCTTTCACATCGATTTTCATAGCTCCCCCCCCGGGATATATGCCACAAGAGGGGGGAGGTAAAAATGATACCCACATAATGGAACGGATGATTTCTTTCCTTCTCTTGTTTTTTTTCCCCTTTTACTCAGATTAGCAAGGCGGTTTTCTGAGCACACAGAACTGACTCAGCCAGCGTTGGCTTTTGTTAGCTGACCTGACCTGACGTCGAAGTCAAGGTGGCCAGAAGACAGGGGAGAGGGGGGTGGAGAGGCTTGGTCTATGGTTGGGAGCCAGCTGGCTGCTGCGATTGGCGGTTGATAGTGGTTGGTGTCGTTGTCGTTGGCTAGCACAGCTCACCCACGTACTCACACAAGCACATACTCGCGCAGATTTAGGGGAGGGGCACGAAGATAGAGGATGACATGTCGGACGGGACCGCACTGGGCTAGTTCTACTGGGGTTTCATCTTTCTTTCTTTCTTCTCCTGTCATAAGCAGGTTGACCCACGGCCTGCCGTGACAGGAGTATCCCTGGGGGGAGAGGGGGGGTCACGGTACATAGACAGATGGACCAGCTGGCTGCCAGGCAGGCAGGCAGTCCATGGAGACTAGATAGGATTTTCTATCTGGCGTTGCATGCATGCGTCGCGCTGCGTTGATAATTGCAATTGTTGTTTGCGTACACGTCTCTTTGGCCGCTCTCTCTCATACTCTTACGTCCAGGTAGGCCTACGTTTCTTGCCCCTCGCCTTGCCTTGATCCTCTTAGTCTGCATCCAGGAGGTTGACGTGTTGCCCCCACCTCGGCCTGCCACACTTACTTGGTTTGCTTCTGTTCCTCTTGCTATTATACAACCACTCACCCAAGGTCACCCACCTCCCAAGTGCAGGGCAGGAAATGATACTAATCCAGAGCTGTACAATAAGTCAGAGACTAGAGGCCAGTATATCCATCTAGTAAAAAATATATTTATATATGTCCCAGAAGCGTCACCGTCCCATATGTAATATGTGATATATAAGCATAAGTTAGGGGTAGGGAACAGGAAAGGAACACTGTCGATATGTATCTGCGTCTCTCTCTCTCTCCCCCTCCCCCGGAACGGAGACAACGAATCCCCTCTCTACCGATGAGAACATAGTAATGCTAGTAATAACAATGAGGATGATGGTAATTACAATACCCGTAGCTTTGTTTTCGTCTTTAGGAATGTGTTTGGCCAACACTTTTTCTCAATTTTTTTTTTCTCCCTCTTTCATTTCTCAACTTCTTTGCCTGCCTGCCTGCCTGCTCACCCGCCCGCTTGCTCGTTAGTACGAGGGCTCGGCCCCTCTCGCTTCTGAGGCGACGGAGCTATCTACTGACAGGCTCCGCAGGGGCCTTCTGTAGGGGCCGTAATGGCAATGGTGATGGCGGCGGCGGCGGCATTAGCGGCGAAAGCTAGGTTGTTTTCCTCAATGAAGCGAATCAATAACCCTCCTATCGCCCCATGTCAACGCGAAGCGTATGTTTCTTATCGTATACGCTAAGCAGCAAAAGCACCCGTTCCCTTCCCCCCCAGGAGCAAGCTACCTGCAGCCTACAACCCTCCTCTCTGACCCTCTCTGCCCACACAACCCGCCCACTCGCCTTGTACCAACACCGCCTCCCCCGACGCTGGTGTTGCTGGGAATTCAAGGTCCCAGCAGAGGCTAAGCCATACAAAAGATGGCGATGGCAGACATGGGAACAATCAAAGAAAGAAGAAAAAAAAACCCCTAGTCCCGAAAGCCTGAGCTCGTATTCGTCCCGGATGCCTCTCCGGTGCGTTGTAAGGGTCGGCTACCTCTTCGCATAGCCTAGCGGTTCTAGTTGTATGGGACCCTTACTAGACACTCCCGTAGCCTTTGGATGTGTCGTCGACTTCATCTAAATCTCGCTGCACCCGAGTATCGTCAATCTCCCAATGGCAGTGCGTGATGACGAAGACAAGTAGACGAGGTAAGAAACGTTTGGGCAATCTAGGCGAACCCTCTTTTCTGCAGGTATCATACACGGCGGCACCGGCCCGGCACCGGCTACGGGTGTGGTGTCAATGAGGTAGTGATCTAGACGGGTTCGTCGGTCATTCCGTCGCACCGGCCGCCGAGCTAAGGGTTCGTAACTCGATCCGCAAGGCCTCGAAGTCCCCAGTACTATGTTCAGAATGGCCGCCAGTCGGCCTCGTGTCAAGTTAAGACTTCACATGCGCGGGTTTGGTGGTACGTGGCCGCATGGGATGTTCTCAATGCCACGAACTCTGGCCCCCGCTACCCCCCATAAACCCTTCTTCGAGCGTCCTTTCTTCCAAATTGCGGATGAAGTCGCGGTTCCCCCGGGCGCCTCCCCTCTGCGACCTACTGTCCCTCCTTCCGGCTACCCGACCGGCGCCGGGATCTGTGAGACCCATGCCGTCCGCTGGCGGTGGATAATATGCCGGACTGGGTTGTAATCTGATGGGTTGGTTGGGGTCGAGGTGACTGGCGACTCGCTGTATTGCTGCGGGGATGCCGCTCTGCTGTTGGTCCATCGTCGAAGCGCGTTGGCGCCCAGCCCGAACCGTAGCTTGCTGGTACAAGTTTGGTTGCTGCATGGGGCCGTAGTTGGCAGGTGGCATCTGCGTAGGTGGCTGGCTCAGGACCGTTTGGGCATACGGCGCAGGTTGGGCAGCGTACGGCGGCGGCGGCGCGCCGCCGTGGCTGCTCCCGGGATTGTACAGGCCATTGTTCTGATAGATGGCAGGCTGCCCGTGTGGAGCAGGAGCATATGTGTTGTTCTGCATCGCGTAAGCCCCGTGAGCGGCCGCTTGCGCTTGCGCTTGAGCGGCCTGCGCTCTTTGCTTGCTGAGCTCGGCGGCCTGCACCTGTTGCTGGGTGCCTGGGGCGGGAGAGCGATTTAGAGAGCTTGATTTCAAATTCATCGGCGGCACGAATGGGCCTGTAAACTTCTGCTGGGTGATGAATGGATGCAGCTTGGCCTGTTGCGGCGACCACCGCTCGAGGGGACTGATCGTCAATAGGCCGCGTACGAAGTCGATGAAGGCGATCCTGTTGTTCATTTCTGGGGGCGAGGCAAAATTAGCTAGGTTGAGGGGAGCGTGTTTAGTAGGGAGGACAAGGCGCCTTACCGCGATCGATTTCGCTTGGCTTCATATTCTTCCGTGGCATCGAGTACGACTTTATGATCTCTGGTAACGTACTCGCTTGGAAGTACTTCTTACTGGGCTGTTCCTTCGTTCCGCGCTCTCTCGAATATTGCTCCATGCTTTTGAGGTGGTAGGTTTTCCGACCGAACTCATCTTGTCTCTTCTCGAAGAAATCGCCAGCCTGCTTGCCAACCTCGATCATCCAGTTCGGGGGATTCCCGAGCATCTCGACGATCCTCGAGACTTGATTATACTCGGAGGATCCTGGGAAAAGCGGCAAGCCGAGGAAGAGCTCGACGACGATACAGCCGAGCGACCACATATCAATCGCAGAGGAATACGGGAGGCCCAATAATACTTCGGGAGACCGGTAGAAGCGAGACTGGATGTATGTGTATACTGTCTGCCGCTCATCGCAGGCCGAACCGAAGTCGATAATCTTGATGATGGGGCTCTCGAGATTTTTCAGTAGAATATTCTCGGGCTTCAGGTCGCAGTGTATAAGCCGGGCCTTGTTAAGAAGGGCGAGACCGTTCAGGAGCTGCTGCGCAAACACTCGGACGAGCGTCGTGCTGAGACCTCGGAATTGGTTCTGCTTTATGAGTTCGTAGAGATTCACACTCAAGAGCTCGAACACCAAGCATAGATGCTGTCTGTGGATAAACGTATCCTTGAGACGAAGGAGGTGGTGATCGTCGTTCTTGTCAAGCTTCGTATTCAACTGCAACACCATTAGCCGGCAGCCGGGGCAACATCCTCGGGTTCGGGCTCGGCTCGTACCAAATCCAGAACGGACACCTCCATCATGCTCTGGTTGAAGTACGCTGTGCGGTTTTTGATGACCTTGACAGCGACAACCTCTTGGGTTTTTAGATTCTGGCACTTGACAACCTGTCCAAAGGTTCCCTGTCCAAGTACATCCAAGATCAGATATCGATTCCTGCGGCAGGGTCAACGTTAGTGCGGTAACCAAAAAGAGGACTCGAAGATGTGGCGGCGCACTTGTGCCCTCCTTCCTCCGAACCTAGAATGTCGTTGACGTATAGAATGTAATCGCTATCCTCGTTATCGTAGCCATCGTTCTTCGTCCCCTTGCTCGGTTTCGTCAGCACCCGACGAGGATTCCGCGAGGACTCGTATTTGAAGTTGGGGTTGCATATGCGATACGTCGCGGGTAGATGGACCGTGAGGGCTTGGAGAGGCTGCCAGGCAAGACAAAGTTAGAACCACTATGCCCGAAAGGAAGAGGGAGAATGATGGACGGTCGTTCATACGCTTATGAAACCCCCTTCCGGATTCGCGCGCCGGAATGGCGGCTGAGAGTTGACTTTTGGCCGTAGATCTGCCACGGCCCCAACATTCTTGAATTGGGGTACGGGTCGTTTCTCGGTTGAGATGTTCAAGGCGGGCTGGAGCGGCCTCCGCGGCGATTTCGGGTCACTGGGATAGGCACCGTCCACGGGAGTGATAGCAGACGTGGGATAACCCTCCTGAGAACTTGCGTAGGGCGTTAGGGGGGGAAGTTGAGAATTGCTCGGCCGGGTATAGTATGAGGAACTCTGCGGTGGATAGTCAGGTCGGGTTGGCGACTGTCGCTGGGCGTGAGGTGCCGAGAACTGCGCAGCCTGGCTCGGTGCTGCTTTGGGTGCGTACGGCGACGTTGGCGAGAGGACCTCCATGGGCGAATACCGCTGGGCAGCGGCGGAGGGCTCAGACGGGGAATGAAGGTTCGCGGGCCGGCCGCTAGCGAGGTGCGACTGGTGATGTGGGCGCATGGGGTATTTGATGCCTCCGTAAGGGTCGTGGACGTCTTGCATGGGGACGTCGCCATTCCCATCGCGCAGCTGCGGGGTTGTGATGGGCGAGGTCGCGGCGGGCGGCTGGGAGGGATGCGAACTCATGCCGCCTTGATATTGATCATACTTGAAGGCGACGGGAGGCTGGACCTGGGTAGGTTGCTGGCCGTAGTCTCTACCGCCTGGAGTCATTTGATTGCCGCCGTTGTACCGTCTCGAACCGCCAACGGCGTCGGAGTAGCCCTGCCATTGATCCATGGCGTCCGGGCGGTTGAGGGAAGAAAAGCGGCAGGTTCAGCGGTGGCTTGGGGGAAGAAACCCGTCCGAGCCGAGATGAGTTGGGAAGATACGATGTGGCCGGTTCCGACGGGGAGATGGCGGCTGGTGTTTGGTCCTGGGTCAGACGCGCATTAGCAGAGGTGGAGTTGAGTGAGCAAAAAGGCTTTCTCTCGTCGCTGGATGAGGGCGGGTTGGCTGGCTGGCTGGCTGGCTGGCTGGCTGGCTGAGCCAAACCACACGACGGGGATTAGCTGCGAGAGTGGATGGATGTGGCCGAGAAATGGGCCAGGAGACGAAACAAAACAAAAGAGAAAAAAAAAGGCAAAGAGGGAAAAAAGGGTTGGCCGAAATGGAGGGGAGGACAAGGATGACGAATGGGCAGCAAAGGGCGGCGGATTTGCGAGTCGTGGTCGTACCCAATGCGATATAGACCAGCCGTAGGAGCAGCAGTAAGAAGTAGTAGTTGACGGCGTCGGTGGTAGTGGTAGCAGCGGTAGCAGTGGTGGTGGTGGTAAGAGGGGAGGTAAATGGTAGCCGACCTGGTGGATCAGGGAGGGGCAAAAGTAGAGGGCGGGCTTTTAAGGATTCACCATCGTGAGAGAGACACCACCAACGCACCAATGGGAGTTCCAGTAGCGAAACCTGCCGAAGGGGGTTTTCGAAGAGAAGAGAGCCAGGAGAGGAGAAACAACAGGGACGAGGATATGACAAATAGCTGGCCCTGGGGGATATGTGAATATGAGAGAGAGGGGAGAAGTGCTCGCGAAGGGCAGCAAGAAGAAGCCGGAGAACGGACGGAATCGGGAACTTGAAGACAATGCAGACACCACTTAGCCATGCAGCCGACTCATCCCATCCGCTCGCCAGTCAGCCAGAACCAGAGGTGGGAGGAGACGAGATGTCGACGTGGTGGTGGTGATGGTGTTTGCGGTGGTGGTGGTGGTGAAGTGACGGGGAAAAGCTGGCGCAGGGATCTGGAGGGGGGGCTAGCCTAAGTACCTACGCAGAGGGGAACGTCCTAACGATTACGGATGGATCTCCCCGCCAGATCACACACCTGGACAAGCGCACACGGTTAGAAGTAAAGTAACTGGCTAGGTACAGAACAGGTACCTACCTATATCCGTACACGTGTGTGCGTATGATATGCATACGTGTACGCGTATATTATAATAATATATAGGTATATACCTAGGCATATATATATATATATATCCGTCGGTGATAGAAGAAGGGCTGGTATTTCTAGGCGGCATTATCTCTGGTACCTAGGTAACCCAGGCAGGGTCTTTCTCCATTGCGGCCTTTCATAGTCTCCAGGTGATTTGCGCTAGGTACCTAAGATATTAGCAACCACAGGGGCTGGGAGGTCGGTACCTAAGGCGGGGAGAGTAAAGTCAGGTAGCTCGCCCAGGCGCTGAAGTTCAACAATAAAGTATTACACGCCTAATTCGACAGCTAAATGCCCGGACGGTTTTGCCAACGGTTTTGTTAGGTAACTCCCGGCTCTGCCAGGCAACTCGGATACTTCCTCATAGCGCATTGGGTACTTACGTAGGTACTTTTCCGACGTACTCAGGGTTCGCGAGATGGATGCGGTGGGCAGTCGGTCACCTTACGCAGGTACGCAGACTTCTATCCGTGTGTCTCCCACCTGTCTTCCTATGTACTGTGTACCTGCGTGTAGGCGCGTATTTACAGCCAGGCAGCAAGTACGCGGAACCCTCGCCAGTTCAAGTTGACTCCAACGCAACGCATGTGCGGAGAGTTCCATGGCTAAAGGGATAGGTTCGATTCCTAACAGCGCTACTTGGTAGTCTTCGTTGTTTAGCTCATCTGTACCTACTCTACGCTCATAGGCTTCCACCCTGCCAGATTCCTGCGTTGGTCGGTGTTTGGCCGTGCGTGTGTATGTCGGTATAAAATGGCGACGGCACCTTGTGGATAGACGATATGCCGATTCCTCCTCCTACCTACGTGGAAGGCTGGAATAAACCCACTAGGACCGGCGCGATCATTCATCCACCGTCCGTGGGAGACATCCACTCCGCCAGGGGATTAAACGTATTAGGTAATCCAGCAGCGTGGGTGTAAGCAGGCCGGTATACGTAGGTACCCATCAACGCAAAGCCCCAGGTTGCCGTATGTTAGATGTGCTGACACGGATCGAGAAGCAAAGAAAAGCAGAGAGGGGAGAGGTGAGCGAAATAGCGAAAATAAAAATAAAAGGGGCTCTACCCATAACTTGCATCCGGGTCGGTTGGCCGTTTGCCTTGGTTCCGTCAATCCCTAAATATATGTGCAACTCAAACCGCAACGGCGGGATTGTTGGATGCAAGGCTAGCAACTTTTTCTCCTTCTTCTCCTCCTTTCTCCTTCTCCTTCTCCTCCTCCTCCTTACGGGGCTCGAATCACTTAGCTTGCGCCATAGCCAGTCTAAAGCGCAAGGCAGGCGGAGAGGGGATATGTGCAAGCTGAGGGGTGCTCACGTAGGACCGGCAGAGGAGATGGGGTTGGGAAATCAGAACCGGATGCGTGCCGCCGTGCCACGTTAGGTAGTAGGACCGACCACAGATCGTTGGTTGGGCTCCCAGATTCGACTCGAGGGTTGGAGCTGGAACCGCGAACTGGTAGCATCAACATCCATCTATCCGTCCGTCCATCCATGTGTACGCTAACGAGGTGCGTAACCTACTAGGTACTACCTATAACTCGGTAGTATTACCTGTCGGCACCTTAGGTGTCTGACCTGTAACCTGCCCCCGGATGCCTTATAAGGCTACAGGTAAGGCAAGGAAGGCGAGGGATGGGAGAGCACCCGTCCTCGATCACATGTTTACGAATTCCTCCCCATCATCACGATGTTTCCCCTCTGCAACGTAAGTAGTAAGCTATAATTAGAGGGCCCCTAAGCTTCTTCCTGGGCGTTCGTTGTTGACAAGATTTCCGGCGCGACAATGCAACTTAGGTACTCTCCCTCCCTTCCGTCGGATACGGAATCGCCAGCCTCTTTCGCCCTCTGCTCTGCTCGTGCTAGGTAGCACATCCCCGGCAACTCTAACGTCGCCCAACCTTACCGCCACCTTGTTTAGTGCCCAGGCTGGTAACCGACTCCGAGATGAGCAGCTACGGCCAGTCCAGACGTACCGGTAAAAGGCCTACGCCGAACAATCCCGGGCCATCTCGCAAGGCCGGTTGTAAGAAGCGTGTCGAGTGCAGGTGCACTACCGCGGATGTCAGGCGCCGCTCCTAGACGGGGGAAAGAAACGACAACATGACCTTCTCCAAACAAGAACGATACAAAAAAAAAGAGGATTGGCGTGTACCTATGCAGCCTCCCCTCATTTCATTCAGGAGAAACCGCCTTCAACCTCTCGGGGCGTTGAGCCAGATGGCGGTCCCGAACCCGAGTCAGTCGTACCACGTGTCATTCTTTGTCCCAGTTCCCATTCAGCAACAACCCATCCAACTGAGAGAGCCCTAGCCGACACTAAGCAGCTCTCCCGAAAAAAAAAATCTGAGGCGAGAACATAAGTTCCGGGCCGTCTATGCTGTCTACCTCTATACCTATGTGCTTTGACGTAGGTACTTTTACTTTCATTCAAATTCTTTTTAATATCCAGTCTATACCTACCTACCTACCTACCTACCTAAAACCAAGAATCCCTTTACACCTCAGACCACTTAGTGACCTACCTAGGCCGCCACAGCAAAACCGTCCCTCTCTAGCTCGGAAGCCGGAACCTGACGATGCCAGACTTAGTCTCTCCGGCCTTGCGTTACCTAGGACGGATCCAAGAACGTTAGGGGTTGGGGTAGGATCGAGATGTGTAGAGGCCGAGGCGGAATTAAATTTGGTGGAGGAGTGAGTGGTTTCATCAAGAAATGGCTTCTTCCTTGCTTTCTCCTTTCCCCCATACCTATGGCCATCCGTACTACGTGTCCTACCTTGGGTACCTAGCTTGCCCAAAGCTTTCTGCGCGAGATTCTCGCAATGAAACTTGATGCAAGGAGGGGAGCGGAAAAAAAGCCACAAAGCGCCAAGGTAAATTTGATGTCCAACGGTAGCTTTGGCGATCAATCTCGACTGTGAACTGTGTCCTAGGTTAGGTGCCTACCTGCCTCTTAAACACTTCTCGGTTTGGACCTGATTGGTGCCGGGTGACCTCCCTGCTGCTCCCGAAACGGACCAGGCGTATGGCGGCGGCGATCCAAAAAAAAAAAAAAAAAAAGAGGATTTCGACGCGACGCGGTTCCTCAGCTCAGCTCGGCTAATTATACGGTTAAGGTAGGTAGGTAGCTTGCTGTTGGCGAGGTCATCTTCTTTTGCCCATGAGGCTCTACGCGAACCGTTCGTCGCCATCTCTCTCCCCCAACTATCCTCAATGTCCACCGCTCTCATCTGGAATATGGAGAAACTACCTAAGATACACCCATCCATCCCTTCTCCCCTCCCGGCCCTCGGCATGCAGGGCCCGAAGTACTTCTACAGCTACAACGAAACTCTGCCAATATCATAGAAACTGCCCTCCCGGCCGAAAAGAAATAGGAAGTTCTTTTTGGAATCTTGCGTGCGTTCCTCGTAGGCTATCAAGAAACCTGCTCTCGCAGCCCTGTAAACAAACGGGAGAGACCAACTTAGAGAGGAGTAGAAGTGGCAAGAGGGTGGTGATATAGTCGAGTCGTAACGGAAGCACCGTAGCTTCGTCAAGCCCGACGTGAAAAGTGGATGTCGTAGGCTGCATCGCGACAAAATGCTTGGGAGGTATCAAAGAGGCATCTCCTAAGAAAGAGAAGAAAGGAAATATTACTAGAAACTTTTTGTTTTTAAGAACGGGAACCAACCAGTACCAGCAGCAGCAGCAGCGGACGGGGCTCGGGGAAGAGCCCCGAGAAGAAAACTTGAGCTAAAATCACAGACGGCGGAGGAAAACCGGTAGGAGGAGAGAAGAGAGCGAAGAAAATGGGGAGAGACTAGGACGCAGAAAACTAGAATGCATCGATCTAGAGATGCCCCCCGATAGTCATGACATACGTTCCATCAAAAAATACCCTGGGAAACCCGTGCCGACGTGTACGCCCGTACACGAAGCAGTCAAAGAAGGACATACAGGGATGCAGCTATAGCGCGCGCGGCATCTCAAAAGGACCTCCTAGAGAGAGAAGAAAGAAAAGAAAAAAAGAAGGCCCTTTCTAGATATTCTGCGGAAATAGGCAGATGCGTGGAAATCAGATGCCCTACCGAGAGTCTGAAATACTCCTCAACCTAACCTTGGTATCCCGGGTAACCGCCACTGAAATTCTGGTTCGGCGGCGGCTGCGTCCATTGCTGGTTCGGCGGCTGCTGGCCGCGGCCGTAACCCCCAGCACTAGGTGGGCCGCCGTATCCCATCGGTTGGCCGCTATAACCCGCCGGCGACTGAGCAGGGGGGCCGCCGTAAGCCTGCTGCTGACCGCCGTAGTGACCTGCAGAGATATCGTCAGCCGAAAAAAAAAACTTGTCCATCAAGGGGAAGCTAGATGAGACCAACCCCCGTACTGAGGGAAGAATGTCGACGGCGTTCCCGGGTAGCCGGACGCTTGAGCACTCTGAGGGCTGAACGCCTGTTGGGAGGGATCGAAGCCTGGCCCCTGAGAATTGTTCGGGGTCTTGTCCTTGCCCCACTTTGACATCGTCAGCATCCTCCTCTCCCGGACTCTCCCCCCTCGCGCGCTCCGCCGCCTGCCAAACTTACGCTGCACTTAAGGGGCCTCCCGTTCACGTTATACCCGTTCAGCTGGCAGATCGCCATCGCCGCGTTCTCGTGCGTGTCCATCTTGATGAAGGCGAACCCCCGGTCGGCCTGGAATCGGGATTCGGCGACGAAGCCAAAGTTCTGGAAGAGCGGGACGACGTCGTTCGGGGTGGTGTAGGGCGTCAGGTTCCCGACGTAGCACGTGGTCTGCCAAGATGGCGTCTGGTTTACGATCATGTCGTAGCTCTGCACGCCGTGGGTCGGGAAGTGATGGTGCCCGTAGGGGGTGGTCGGAGTTATGCCCATCGCTTGCATCGCTTGCTGTTGAGCCATCGACGGCTGGCCCTTCTGGTTGGCCCAGTTGCACCTGATCGCACGGGAACCAAGCCATTCGCCGTCCATCGAGCTCAACGCCTTCTCGGCGTCGGCGCGTTCCCGGAAAGCCACGAAACCGTATCCGCGCGAGCGACCCGTCTTCATATCCCACATGACGCGAGCCTCGGAGATGCTTCCGAAAACGGAGAAGGCCTGCAGCAGAACATCATCATTGACCTCGTTAGACAAGTCGCCCACGAAGATGTGGAAGTGGCTGGAGGTGTCTTCCTTGTTCGCGGCGTTGGACTGGTAGGCCCAATTGACTCTGATCTCCTGTCGCACCAGTCAGCCATACACCCCCTAGCGCCGGGACGGGGACGGAGAAGCCTCACAGACTGATGGACGCGCCGGCCGTTCAACGTCTGCATAGCACGCTCAGCTGCGCCGGGGTCATCGTACTCGACAAAACCATAATTGTAGCCCTTTTGCTGCCGAATGGTTAGTGGGCATCATCGAGAAGTCCTAGCATGTCTCCCCCCCCCTAACCGCGTGAAAGCGCGGGAGGGGGGGGGGAGCGTGGTGGTGGCGGAGCGGGAACGTCAACTTACGTTCTTATCCGGGATTATCTTGACGTTCTGTACGTGCCCAGTAGTCTCGAAGATCTGACGCAGAACGTCCTCAGTCACGCGCGGGTCGAGACCGCCGACATAGAGGGCGCGCTTGTTGGGCTCAGGAGCAGCGCGTCGCGGGAAGGGACCCCCGCTGCTAGGAGACATGACCGAGCCTTTATCGACGGCCGACATGGGCGACGTGATCGCGGTCGGGATCGGGTTGGTGTTCGGAGGGATGTGCAGCGGAGGAGGGGGCATATGGGCGGGATTAGCCTGACCGTTCTGGTTATCGAACCCGGGAGCGCCAGCGTTGGGCTGCGGCGGCGGAGGCAGCTGAGCGCCAGCGGACTGAGGACCAGCGTCGGCCATGGTGATAAAATTCAGAGAATTATAAGGTCTTCAGGGTAAGTAAGTGTTGTTGTTGGTGCCGGAAGCGAATTAATGTGGTAGTGCGATGCTAATACCCGGCTGATGGCGCAATAGAGATGGGAATGTCTCGCCAGAAGACGTTGACGAAGAAGGCCAATCGGTTTGATCGAGGGACGCAGCGGTGCCGAATTCTGTCGGAGAGCGTTCCGATTCTTGATGGTGACTCTCGGAAATGTCGTAGCTTCGTTGGATCGTGGGCAATGAGCGGAGGCGGGGTTGCGAGAAACTCGATGTCTGGCTTTTTAATTTTTTTCTGGGCCTCGTCTGGGCTGTCGAATTGACCCGGCCTGGTGTGAATGAAAATCGCTTGGTCGCAGTCGCGCGCTGGTGGTGGGTAAATCTAAATGGTATCGTGCAAGAGTAGAGGGAAATGCGCAACGATGGATGACTAGGAGAGATGCAAGGACGCAAACGTAGGAGAAGAGAGCAGAATTCTCCAACCAAACACGGAATGCCGGACGCAGGGCGAGGGATTGGTCGAGACGGCAGCGTAATGCGATCTCGGGTCCTCGGAGGGGGACGCGCTTGGGGAGAAGAAGGCTCGCCGTGATTTTTGACGTGGGAAGAGTCCGGCAGGCTGTAGAGACCAAGACCAAGACCAGACGCCGTCGACCTCCCCAACTTTGAGGTCTGGGCGGGATGCGGTGGGTTGGTTGGTGGTGTGGCGGCGGAGCAGGACGGTTATGCGGGTGCAACGCCTCAGGTCGACCTGGAAGCCGACGATAAGTAGCAACCTCGGCGGCGGAAGAGGGGAAGAAAATGGGAGGCCGGCAGAGGAAAAGAACAGAAAGAAGACGACGACGGCGGCGACGAGAGAGCGAGAGAGAGAGAGAGAGAGGAGAACGAAGATGAGATGGGAATAGAAAAAAAGGAAACTGCCCTAGAAAGGAGGAGTCCCCCGATTTTCGACACACACACACACACACACACGGACGCCGACGATACGGGAGGATTCTGTGGTTAGGAGATACGGGGGAGATGAAGGAGGGAAAGGGAAGCGTATGTAGGGTAGCAGGTAGGCAAGACGGGGTCTGGCATATGCGGCGTTGGGATTGGGCTTTTTTTTTCTTCTTCCCTTCGTCTTCCCTCTCTCACACCTGTTCTCTCTTCCGTCGCTCTGCTTTTTGGGAACGACTTGGCTCGTGTCCAATCAGCGATAGGGGACAGGTAGAGCCAGACAGGGCGGGGATGACAAGAGAGGCTTGATAATTGTGGGGATCGCCAGCGTTCTCTTTCGCGGCCGGATTCTGTCCTTGTCCCCCTCTCGCCCTCTCCCCTCCAACTAACACCACGTTGTCGTTCGCACGCCTCCTCTGCCTACCGTAACGTGCCTACATGGCCTACCGACCTTACGGGCAGAGGTTGGTTGGTCCGAAGACGCCACAACTGGAGAGGCTCGAGGCTGGATGGCAGGCAGACGGTATGCCCATATGTTAGGCAAGGTGGGTATAACATGTAGAAGTGCCCCCCCTCCTCAACATGTATATTAACCACCTCTTGAGATTATCTACCTTAAGGTGCCTGCCGGTAGGTACCTACCTAGTACCTTAGGTACCTCCCATACGGTACGGCCCGGCCATAGAACCGCTAAGCCACAGTCAGTGCCCACAGCACACCTACCTTAGGTACTTACCTGCCGCCCGCCGAGTTGGTTCATCTCCAGGTGTTCTCCACCACCGACTTATCTACCTAGGTACTCTATGTGCCAGGGAAGAGGTACATGCCCAGGGGATATATGTGTGGAGTTGGTGGGCGTTTGGCAAAATCACATGTGCACCTTGCATGGATAGGTATGCAGATCGGGGGGGGGGACCCGTCTGCAGGCATCTCGAGCAAGCTGAATCGAACTCGAGGGCATAGAACCGCGTTAGAGAATTCCTCCCCCTGCGAGACGGTCGATTTCCTCCGTTCGACTGGCACTTGTTGGGGACTGCGGGCGCCTCCACCACCGCTGAAGCCGTCCGGAGGTACCTATGGTATTGCAGGGCCGTGAGCCATGCAGCGAATACCTGCTCATACTAGGGAACCTGAACTGACACCTGAGGTTATACGTAGCTACACGGTGTTAGTTATGTAAGCCCAAATCTGATACCTTAGCCTGGCCGAGGGGTTGCTGTGCCGGTTATTATGGGGAACAAGGCAAGTGGACCGGTGTGATGGGATCGATGATTGACTGTTCCCATGCCGCTTCGCTCATCGCATTGCATTGCATCACGTGCATTAGATAATCACCGTTATGTAAGCCGGGATGGCCTGGCGAAACTGGAACAGTCCCGGGGGACAGCATCCGCACAGTGTCAGGCGGTAACCTTGATTAATGTGGACACCTAGGTACCTGTAATATCTAGGTAGGTAGGTAGAAAGAGGCACAGTGCCACTTACTTAGGTAGGTACCTAACCTACCTGTAGGTATCGAAGGCCGCACGTGGGTTAGGTACCTACCACGCACCCTAGGGATCTAATTTACAGTATATTAGTAGGTAGGTAGGTACCTAACCCACCTCCTTTAGGGAGAATGCTGAACCCACCTCTCTTTTCCGTCACCAACCCTAGGTAGGTATTGGCTCACTGCGTATATAGTATATAGCAGCTACTAGCCTGTATTCACATAGCAGAATACACCACGTCTGCTCCTGTCACTGCCGCTTGCCATAGCGTACCCACCTATACCCTCTTCCATCTTCGTTCGCGCGCGCCGCGAGAGGACCGCCCGACACGATGGCCGCCGCAAAGCAGGACCCTCTCCAGATCCTGGACCAGATGTTCAACGAGATCGTGAGTCGCGCGTCGCGTTCTCCGTCGAAGGGGAGAGAGAATCCCGGGGCCGTCCCGCCGCTAACCACCCTGCCGCAGCTGATTCAAACCGGGAAGCACCTCAAAGCAAATCTGAAAGACGGCTCCAAGGGCATCGGTGGCGCCAGCAACGCTATGCGCGCCCAAACGTCGAGCTCGCTGTCGGCTTACCACTATGCCCTAGACGACCTCGAGAGCGAGATAGTACGTTTCCTATTCTTCCTCCTCCTCCTCCTCCTTCTCCTTCTCCCCTCCCTCCCTCTCCCCTCCTCGCCGGGCATAGCATTGACCACGCCGGCCCTAGACGCGAGCAAAAGCCGTCTTCCTGCGGGACCTGGAGAAGCTGCGCGCCGCGCGGGCCCCTCCCGCTCCCGCTCCCGCTCCCGCGCCAGCGCCCATCCCGCAGCCTGTGGCCCCGCCGGCGCCGATGATGGAGCTGCCGTCGTCGGCCGCGCACACGGTGAGCGCGCCGGCGTTCGCGCGGCGGCCCGAGAGCAAGCCCGCCGCGCCGTTCCCGGACATGGGCACGGGGATGGGGATGGGGATGGGGATGGGGGCCGGCGGCGGAGCGAGCGACGTCGTCGACCTGACGGGCGGCGACAAGAAGACGTCGCCGCGCGCGCCCGCGAGCGCCGCTGCGCGGCCGCCCGCGCGGCCGCCCGCCCCCCCCGCCAAGAGCGAGGTCAAGCCGTCGCCGAAGCCGGCCCCGAAGCCGGCCCCGAAGCCCTCGCAGCCCGCCAAGGTGACGCCCGTGCCGCCGCCGCAGATCCCGCGCCTCCAGCCCCCGCCCCCGCCCCCGCCGGCTGCCCAGCCGTCGAAATTTGCCCAGAACGCGCTGCCCGCGCCGCCGCCCCAGGATCCCGGCCCAAAGACCGCGCCCGGTGGCCTGCCGCCCAGCGCGGGCCCGCTGGGGGCCGCCGCCGCCGACGCCCTGGGCTTCACCGACATGCAGTTCTCGCTGGCGCCGCCCAGCGGCGAGGCGGCGGGCGCGCCGCCGGCGCCCATGTCCGAGTTCGGCGCCGCGACGTTCGCCCCGAGCGGCAGGGGCAAGGAGGCGGCCCTCGGCAACCGCGGCAGCGGTCCCGCCGCCAGCGGGGGGCAGAGCGCCCCGGCGGCGGCGCCCCCGCAGCCGCAGCCGCCGAAGGACCAGGCCAAGCCCCACTCGAACAGCATCGACGACCTGTTCATCCTCGACGGCGGCGGCGGCGCCGCCGACAACATATTCGACCTCGGCGGCGGCGGCGTCAACGACAGCACCTTCGACGACATGATGTTCTTCGGCAGCAACGACTCGGACATGGCGCCGTTCGACGAGCAGTATTTCTAAAGCACCCTAGGCCGCCCGTACGCGGGATCGATTCGCCGCTAGACCGTACGGGATGGAGAGGGGGAGAGGGGAGAGGGGGGGGGGGACGAGGGCGTGTCCCAGGGTATATCGTATGCCTTGCCTTAGCGAGTTCGACCGGGACTATCAGCAGTCCGATCGGGGGTGGTGATTCGTGTGACGCTCAGTCCCGTCTCTAGACGACGGCGCATAACCGGACGGTTAGATCAGGGGTCTGGGGGCGGCGGGAGAGCGCGCCTCGTAAGCGTTCGTCGCTCCCTTCGTTCCTACGGTTTCGATTACCATATGACTCATAATATATAATGGCCCGGCCAGTCGGACGGGCTAACTCGCTGCGAGAACATGTCCTCGGGTGTCCAGTATATCTGTGTGCAATATATACATTATACACATATCCATGGGTTGAGTACCTGTATATTACTCACACCCACAACATCGTCATATCCTATAGGCGCTTATCGTAGCACAGGGGTCGTTCGTAACGACCGACTACGTACTCGGATATAAACCAACGCTATCTACATCAGGAAAACTAGATACAAAATGGGGGTATCTAACCGAACCGACGGTCTCGTCTCTCTACCCTTCTCCTCTCCTTCCAGCCCGAAGCCTAGGGAAAGGCATGGCGCTCCGCACCACTATTATGGAAACTATCATGAGTTCGTAAGTAATTAGGCCAGAAATTCCCCTTATATACTACACGTATATGTATAACCCCCGAACCCGAGTCTTAATCCCATCCGACTGACTCTACCCGACCCTTTCACCGACAAGGAATTGGCCGTCCCGCTCAAGGGCCCTGCGTCACCTGGAACATGGGCGCCAGCATCTCGAGGATCTTGGGGTTCCTCAAGCCGTTCCAGTCGCCGTCCATGAGACCCCAAGACTCGTCCGAGTTAACGCCGCCCTCGCGGATGTAGTACGAGCCCTGGAGCGCCCAGAGGGCCCACTCGCTGTCGTTCCCGGTGACGTAGTCGCGTAGGCAGCGGAAGTACTGGTCGTCGTCGTCGTTCAGACCGTCGTGTGGCCCGCCCTGCATGCCGAAGCCGAATTCGGACAGGATCAGGGGCGCCGTGTATTCGCGGCCCTGCTGGAGCACGAAGCCGTCGAACAGGCCGTACGCCTGCTTGAGTACGTCGCAGTTGCCGAAGGCGGCGGCGAAGGTGACCGTGAAGCTGTACGCGTGCCATTCCCAGACGTGTTTGCCCGCCCATGCGGAGAAGTCGAGCTGCCGTGTGGTGCGCACGTGCGTCAGATCGGTCGAGCTCTGTGTGCCGCCGATGAGGATCAGCACGTCCGGGTGCGCCGCATGCACCCGCTTCGCCGCCTCCGTCATGTACTTGTACCAGTCGTCACGGCCGTTGATCCCCTGTAGCAGCAACTCGCGGACTTCATTACGCAACCCCATCCCGACAACACCCGGCTGGTTCCGCGCCCACTGCGCCATCGACTCGAGCCCCGAGAGCCACTGCTGCGTTTTGAAGTACCGGCTGTTCAAGTTCGTGTACCCGAAGCCCTCGTCCCACCATCCATTGCCGTCGTCAAGGTTGCCTACGCGCACGCCTTGTTAGTATCTACTCGTTCACGTTTTACTCTCCCCCCGTCGTCTATCTCCTCTATTCTCCCCCCCCTTTTTTTTCATATGCCACCCCAGGCTTAAAGAGAGGGGGGAGGACAGTTGACAGGGATATATTACTTACAGCACCAGGTCGCCTTGCTAACATGGTTGTCAAGGATTGTCATGACGCCGCGGTCCCACAGGGCCTTGATGACGGCCTCAAAGACACCGCGGGTAGTGGCGCTGGCGGTAAACGGATTCTTCTCGGTGACCCTAGCGTAGATGCCGTCCATGTCAGCGACGCTGACCCCGGCGGCGCCAGCGGCAACGGAGAAGGACTGGGAGACGGGCACGTTGGGGCTGAGCGCATGGTCGATCGAGTAGGTCAGGCGGACGCAGTTGAAGCCCTGCTGCGCGATGAACTCGGCGATGTACTCGATCGACTGCTTGTGCAGGCCCTCCGGCAGGTTCGTCTCCTGGTGGCCAGCCCAGTTCACGCAGCGCAGCTTCACGCGCTGCCCGTTCGCATCGAGGATCCAGCGCGACGAGGTCGACAGCGGCAGCGCCGTCTTAGCCGCCACTTTGACCGCCGCCGGCACGGCTGCTGTCGTGTTGGCCACCCGCGGCACGACGGCTACCGCGGCTGCCGCCGACGAGAAGAGGAGCGGCAGGAGGGGCGTAAGGAGGCCCGTCAACATCGTGACGGTCTTCATCTTCGGAACGGGCCAAGGGAAAGAGAGGTGAAGAGATGCCGTAGTATGTAGGAAAGTAGACTGGATGTCTCCGCAGGGGTGTAAGAGCCCGATGCCACACTATTGACACCAAGCCAAGTTCTATATACAGGCAGTGATCGTCTGTCGCAGCAGGAATATTACCCGGCCCTGCAGGTAGCAAGGAATATAAACGGAAAGGGGTAGGCAGAGAAGGGGGGAAGAGGGAAAAAAGAGAGAGAGGGATGAGGACGGCCACGAGCTACTACTTATCCCATTCTAGGCACGACAAGTCGGACTGTAAGTAGTATACAAGTAGCAACGACACCGGTAACGGGTCAGGAGGGCAAGGGACCGGATATAGGGAGAGGGCGCGGGTCCTCCGCCCAGCTACTCGGTTGGGGAAGAAGGTATCACGTATAGGCAGATGATGGAGGACGGGGCACCTACCGGCTACGATAACGGTGGAATGCGTGCCCTTGGAGGCTTGCCAGGGGGGTAGGACGGTAGGGGAATATCTCTCCAGCCTGACTTTCTCTGCATACCAGCTCTCCTTGCTGACCTTCCCCGATGGAACAAAATGATGTAAATCGAGCTTGGCCAGTAAAAGCCGCCACGAGATCGGATCGGGCGAGACCGAGACCCTTGACCACCACCACCACCACCACCACCACTAACACCGCCAACACCACACCCTCTCCACCACCGGCTCCCCTTCGCATCTCCTTAGGCCCCGTTCCCTCCCCTGGCTCCGCCTACTTGGCTCTGGCTCTGGGCGTGCCCGTAGGTAGGCAGCGCAGAGGAGGCGGCGCGCAATTCGAGAAAAGGCCGGGCAGGTGGTCCAATAGAGGGGTGTGGTCGCTGGCTCGGCCGTCCACCGGCCGATGGCTTGCCATGCCGGGGGAGGGTCCTATCGAGGGCCGCTGAGGGATGGGATGTGCGATTGGCGAGAGGAGATTGGATCTTGGATCTCTGTTGGACGATAGGAGATCATTGGGTCAGGCCGCCACCGCCATGGCATACACCCATGCACCCATGCACGCCTGCTTCGATGCTTAACCACCTACCTAGCTGGTCAGGCCGGTCTGGTGCGAATGCGGAGCGCGGTACCTTACATGGCCTCCACCGAAGAGGGGAGGAGGAAGAAGAAGGGGGAGGGAAGCAGGGTAGGGGTAGTGGGAATAGAGATTGGTTAGTATGTCCGGGATGGTGAAGAGCGGATATGGAGCGGGAGAGGGAGAGGGAGAGGGAGGGTGGAAGGGAAAAGTATCGAATGTGCCTCTTTGAGTACCTAGGTACCTACCTAACACGCAATACACCTACCTAGGTACCTACCTGATGTAGCCGTACGACAGGTAGGAGGTCGGCACCTATCTATCTGTCCATCAGATGGGAAGTTTCCGCCATGATTCTATCGACGTTTGGGCCGTACTGCTTACTTGCATGCATTAGGGAGGTACCTTGGGTGCTTTCGGTACTTTTCCCCTGTCGTGTAGAACCCCTGCAGGTGGCATTACGGGGGTGGTTAAGAGGGGAAAACAAGGTGGGTGAAGAAAAAAAGGTGTATAGTCTGGCTACACGCGGTTGGCTCTATATTAAAAGCTATTGCTGATGGGGCGCATCGTATACGGCTTAGTACCTGGCATATGCCTACCTACAGATAAATCGCCGTGTCGTTGGCGTTGGCGTTGGCGCACCCGAGGTAGGCAGGTAATACGATCCCAATACCGATATCACACACACACACACACACACAGAGACAAAATTCCGTCGACGAAAATGCTAGCCGGTGCCGAGTTGAGCGGGGATTCCCTGTACTAGCCACCAAATCTATCAGGTAGCTAGCCACTGACCTCTCGGTACCTCGAATTCCTGGCTGGCAGATCGCACGCGCGCACGCAACCGAGATTCATTCAGCTAGGTACCTAACCTGTCTTCGCATATTCCATCCCTCCATACACCTACATGCCTACATCTCCAAGACATAGGTACGTGGGCCAAGCACTACCAATGGTCATTGGCGCCAGAGCGGGCTGTTTACGGCGGCTACGGTAATGAGACCTGGGTGTGCGTGTTGCGTGTGGGTGCGTATACGCAGAGCTATGTGCGTGTGTGAATATCCGTCCGCCACTGAGACCGCGCAGAGGGGATGCCAGGCACTAGGGGGGGTCACCGACGAGCCGCAAATGACCGCGTGGCTGAGACGTGTGATTGGGCAAGACGCCCTTAGTGTTCGGCCGCCCGAACTGAACGCGAACCCCCGTTGTGGTTGCGATGCGCATGCACGACCATGCCCGTACCCTACGCCGCGTCGCGTCGCATCGCGTTGCGCGCCATGCGGTGTCTGCCGGACGAGAGGCCGGTCCAGCTGAGGCGAGAGAGGGAGCGAGGGACGAGCGTAGGGAGAGGTCAGTAGAGATAGGGGCAGATCTGCTGGGCGGGTCCAGAACTTGCAGCTCGGTAGGCAAGATTGGGCATCGAGTGGCTGAGAGAAATTCTTGGGACTGAGCTTCTACCCAGGCGGAGCTGCGCCGTTGCGGGGAGAGGGACGCCTCCGAAACAGTGCCGTAGAGTGCCAGGAGGTCAGGTCGATGAAGGCAGCAGATGATCCACTCCACCACGGCGTATTATGCATGTAGGAGGGATCCATCCCCCCTTGCCTACACCCCAAGTATCTACACGTAGGTGAGTTAGGGAGGTAACTCGACCTAAATTACCTCTTAAATCTACATCTACCTATCCTCTATCTTGACGCTGTCGGAGACCGGTTACCCCAGGGTACTGAGGCAAAGTACACGATGCTATCATTACTAAGGTATAGGCTTATACGGGGTGTCTGTCCGTCTGTCAGGTTCAGGTTGTCTGTCACTCGGAGACGCGCGCATCAGCCGGCGACGATCATCAGCGGCATCTGATAGGTTCCCCGCGCCAGATGACTTTTCCTGACTTACACGATGTGTCGTTTTGCTCACCTACATGACCCAGCATGGACTGGCATGACTTGCGTCGCATCGGCTTCTCCTCTTCTCCGCCCCCAAGTCGGGCGTGATAACCTAATTCTAACCCTCCCCCTACCCAAACCAATAGAGCCGTCCGTTACTCGATGAAGACCGGTGGTCGTCATCCCAAGCGCGATTCGTAAACTCGCACTCAGACACTTACGCCACATCTCTCTTCCTCTCTTGCTCTCCCTCTCCCTCTTTGTAAAAGGCCAACAAGCAGTCAACCAAGCCACTAAGCTAGTTAATAGCCCTCCTCACCATTCTCCTCCTCCGTCCTCTAGGATCGGCCGAAACGCGGTGTTCTCCTTCGGGCAGGTCCGGATCTGCCCAGCAGAACATGGGAAGTGAGCAAACCCGCTAGGAATCCTAGCCGGTCAACTACCTGGGTAGGCAGTCAGCCAGGGCGGTCCTTGATATACCGACCTTACTTGCATAGACGATCCCCGAATCGCAACGGCTCCCAGATGAAGACGATCGCCGCCGTCCCCACGGAAAATAATCCTACCCAGCTACCACATACCCACGTCGGTATAAATATGTGCTTACCCGTGTGGGTATGTGAGCCAGGTATGTATCAGTATTCCAGGCGCCCTAAATCCAACTCCGCGCAGACAAACACAGGCGGCGGAAATGCAATGCCTGTCGGTAAGGGCTAGACGCGCATAACGCAGATAGACACGCCATCGATTTCTCCAGCGCGCCGCGACACCGACGCAAACACCCTGCGCCTGCACCTACATGCGCACATCGGAGAAGCTGAAGAAGAAGCTTCTTACAGCATTCGGGCCGCCCGTTCCACGACAGGATGCGGGCGAGTGGCGCTGCTAACAGCAGCAAACCTTGCGTCCTCCCCGCCGATCTCGCCCCTTCTCTTCTCTCTCCGACTCGGAGGAGGTTTCTTGCTTCATTAATACTAATAACAATCCTCCCTCTTTCAGCCGAGAGAGTCCGCCCACCCGACCGCCCACCCGCCCGCCGGACTCGGAGCGATCGTCGCGGTCTTCCGGGGGAAGAGGCAAACACGCTACCTGCCAAGCTACCTACTAACAGCTACACACACACGCACCACACCGCACACAGCACCACCTAGGTCGACGACGGCAACAGCAACGGCAGTGTAAGCACGCCGGGATCTACAGTTTTATTACTAGCAATCGTAGGGAGGAACGAAAGAAGGCCCCGAAGGCCGTGGCAACGGCAGCACCAACTCGGACCGACTTCCTCTCTCCGTCTCCGTCTCCGTCTCCCCCTTGGCTTCACGTACCTAGATAGGTAGGTACGCAATGTGTGAGGGGAATCTCCTGACTTATGCGCGCCTAGTCGCCGAGACTCGCCAACCTGTGGTTCCGAGATGCTCGTCGTTGCGCTGGCTGTCCTGCGTGAAGTGAAGGGAGGCGTGACGACGTGATGCGGCGCCTGATTACCCATCTATCGGGTAAGCTTTCTTAGTATGCGTACACGCACTTGGCTACCTTGGGTAGGTAGTTCTCTCACCGTTACTCCACGACGCGACTACCACTACTAGTAAAACAAGATATATATCGTGGGTGTTTTTTTTTCTTTCAATGTATACAACGACACCCCGTCATTGTGATTTACACCGACGGCCTTATACAAACATGCACGTGAATGCGTATTTCCTTCTTAAAAATACTCTTCTGTCTGCGTCTCCCCTTTCCTCTTCCCTTACCGACTCATGCGCTTCCGCTCCTTTCTTCGGCTCTCCCGCACCCACTCTATCGTAATAAGATTCGTCGCAAGAGGGCGCCGTGCTACGAGCACTGGTAGCCAGCTAGCCGTCTGCTAGCCAGCTAGTCTCCTCTTCCGTCCCCGCACGTATATGTATGCATAGCATTGCATTGTAGAAGCTAGCCCCACGTGGCATATTCTGGGGGTTTTTTTTTGCTTGCAGCGCCGAGACAATCTTGAGTCTATTGTCTCCGTGCGCATGTAGTGTGTATGTGTGTGTATGTGTGTGTATGCCTAACCCGTCCCGTGTTCCTGGTCGGACGGCGTGGTTGCACATGTAGTTGCTGGGGTATCACGAAAAGGAAGAAAACGACAAAAATGATCAAGAAGAAAACCCCCCCGGGAGTGATCCGTTGTTGTGTGGGGCGAGGTCATGAGCCCGGGGGTGCTGCTGCGCTCGTTGAAACAGCGGCTCGGGTCTCGAGCTCTCTGCGTTTGGAGAGGAGGCTCTTGAAAGCCCCTAGACAATGCACCAGCGCCTCCTCGTCGTGCGCGCAGAGGCGGTAGCTTTTCTCATCCGTGATGGCCTGGAAGCAATGAAGCTTCGTCTTGCTGATCGGGTTGATGTCCACCACGTTTACGATAGCCGACAAAGACAAGATGAAAGACGCCTTATACTCAGACTCGTCTTTGTACAGAATTAGGTTCCGCGGTCGGAGAACGGCCCAGCGGTTCTTCCATTGCTTGACGCCCCGTCTGCTGTTGAGGAGCCACAGCCAGCCCTGCCAGACAACGCGGTCCGGATCGTTTTCGATGTTGATGTTGTTAAGGCCGCTCAGCTGACTCGCGTTCCTGTTGACCAGCTCTGGGCGATCCTTTGGGCCGGATTCTAGCTGGGATCCAGACGCAGCGGGCGACCGACAAGAGAGGCTCTCGATAGAGGCACCCACAACTCGTTGCCCCTCATTGTCGGATAGGTCCGAATGAGAAGCCAGCTCGTTTCCGGAGAGACCGGAGTAATCGTGGTGGGATGGCCTTCTCGCGCTTGATGGTAGGGACCTCGAGGTTCTCGTTGGCTCGGGAGGCTCGGGGGAGCTCGATAGCGGTCTTTCGTGGTCCTGGGATAGAGGCTTCGTAACCCTGGCCACATCTTGTGCCATGGCAATAGGGGCGAAGGTCTGCCGTCGCAGTATAGGGCTTGCCAAGAACATCTCTTCCTCCTCTTCCTCGATTCTGGCATCCTGCCGGATTAGATCGATCCACTGCTGCGCATCCTGGGCGCTCGGTGCCTCAAAATGGTAATTTCTCGCCGGCGAGAACAGGCCGAAGAGGTTCTGACGCTTGTGCTTGGGGTCCTTGAGGAGGGTGACGGCAGAGAGCTCCGAGGTGTAGAGCTTATGCCGGAGCTTGTTCTCCTTGTCCGACTTGTAAATGGAGAGGGCGTTCGGTCTCAGAACCAGGTACACGGATTTCCACGCCTGCGCACGAGCTCCGGGTTAGCAGGGTAAGAACTGCTGCTAGAGCAGTGCTTATATCGATAGGGTCTGCGTGGGCCTAGGCTACCGCTCACCTTGGTCTTCTGGGTTCGCTTCTGGACGTAACCAGACTTGATCACGCGGTCGAACTCGAAGCTTCCATTCTGGTTGACCGGGCTCGGCACGGGCAAGGCCACTTGGTTCTTGAGGCGATTTACTGGGGTATTCGCAGGCGCAGCCATGGCGGAAGAAGAAGGAATGCTCAGTGTCGCGCCGCGACCTGGTAAGCTTGTTGCGGCGGTTGGTTCGCGAGGGCACTGGGTTGCGGTCTCGGCCATGTCGACAAAACGAGGAACGCGCGGGATGCCGAGAGCTGGCTTGTTTTGATGTGTGAATGTGCGTATGGGTTGTTGTGTTTTATTATAGTTATGAATTCGATTAGATTAGGAAAGGTGGAAGGTTGTGTCGTCTAGTTGGAATTACACGGGTGCGAGGTATTGTTGACAGCCAGAAATCGGACGAAAAGGGTCAGGGGGTGGATGGGGACGCAGAATGGGGATGTGGAGGCGGATTTATTTGAGTCGGAGCAGGTCAACGCGGAACACGACTCATCGTCTGAGCGGGAAGGGGGGGGGGGGGGGGGGGGGGGTCACACAGTTCGCTAGCGAAGGTTCTGAATCGAATTTGGGATGGCCGGAGGGCACGGAAGACGGAAAAGAGGAGCAGGAGGAAGAAGGATGGCGGTCGGCTCGGTGGCACTGGCAGTGAGAGTCGTGGTTAGTGTGGTGTGTGGCGCGGCGTGTGTTATTATTGACAATGCTATCAGCCTATTTAGTTCCGGGCGGCGGCGGCGGTATTAGTGGTGGTAGTAGTATTGTCAAATGAGAGAGGAGGAGACGGCTCGTCGTCCAATAAGGCTGGAATCAGTGGAAGGCCCCCTCAACTGATCAACAATGTCCAGGAATCTGATTGCTCGGAAACGAGGGTTGCAGCAGCAGCAGCATCAGCATCCGCGTCGCCGGCAGTCGGAGGCGGCTTGGAGATCGGCAGAGGGAGGCGGTGGCGTGGGTGCGGGTGCGTGGGCGTGGTGTGTATGGCGATGCGGCCGGTACCAGAGCCAGAGAGCGTCACGGAGGAGGTAGGCCGTCACTCGATCGCGGTGATGGGGAGCGTTGCCGAGAGAGATAGCAGCAGGAAAGAAGACGAGAAGCGAAAGAAATATCTGTCGGGGAGTTGAAGTTGAGCGAAGAAAGAAGAAGGAAAAATAAAAAGAGCGAAACAAAATAGAGCTACAGCTGCACCTCCGGTAGACGCCGGTGAGTTGTGAATGTATGAGAGCAGGCGCAGGTCAGCGCGATGGTTGGAAGGGACGATTGGAATAAAAAAAAGGGCGTCCTCTCCTCGACGGAGACCTGGTTCGATTGGGACGGCGGTGCGTGAGCACCAAGATGTACCTATCCTAGGTAGTTGTGAGGGCCAGGTACATCCATCCACCACCCTCCCTCTTCCCGTCGGGTCATCGGGCCAGCACGCGGAGCCCCTACGACCTCCCCCGGTAACGCGCTGCGTGTATGCCACAACTCATACATATACCTCACCTACGGACTTGGGGACCGCCCGCATAAGCTTCGAGGCTGCGCAGAGACCAAGTTGTTTCAGGACGCCAAATGCCGGTGGCTGTGCACGTCGTCTGAAAGAAGTACCACAGCGGCTTAGGCCTGGTGCCGGTGCTGTGGCCGCGTCGTGGATGCTGCGCCGTTCCGCATCCGGGCGTCTGGGGTAGGTATGTGCCGTTGCGTCGCCTCTATCCATCCTGTTTAGTATTCTAGTTCTCATTCCGGTCGCAGGTCTCTTCGGCGGATTCTCATACCGTAAAGATAGGTAGGTTAGGTACCTAAGGCGGCACTCATACACATGCGAGGAAAACACCTGGGTTCGCCGGCCCGGTCCACTCCGAGATTGTGGGATGGCTCCCCAAAGGTACCTACCTCCTAAGTAAGCCTATGTACATTAGGTACTTACACCTACCTTGGGTATCTGCGCCCTCTACAACCCGACGCCGCTCAATAGGAACAATATATTACTAATGGTACTTTGCGTATTATACACCTCCCACCTCCTGCTGTTGCTGCTTTACGTAGGCACCCAAGGTCGGTATAGAAGATGAGAGGCGTATGTGTGTGTGTGTATATATACATGTGTGTGTAGGAAATCCGCTACATATCCGTGACATGCTGTATACACTCTCTCCCCCAAACCAGAGAGTCCCAAATTCCAAGCTAACCCAGGTAGGTATCGATCTATCACAAGAGGGTATCATTGCCACACATACTTCGGCCGGGCCCAGCACTACTCGTAACGCTGCTCCCGCCGCTACGCATTCTGCTGCCAGGAACACTCCGTCTCCATCTTCCAGATCTCACTTCCCTCCCTTCGTCTTCTTCACCTCCCCGACCCTCACGCCGCCGGCGCTCGCGCTGTTCCACACGCTCTCCGACACCTTGCGCGGGATCTTGCGCCCCCGGAGCCTCTGGTCGATGAGCCACATCCCCACCACGAACTCTACCTTGTCGAGGAACCCTCGCCCGTGCCGGTCCACCAGGTCCCACACCTCCGCCAGCTCGTCCGCCGGCAGCCGGCTGCGGCCCCAGAGGTCCCGCACCACCACGTTGGCCACCGCCTGCCCCAGCTGCCCCGGCTCCGGGCCCAAGGCGCTGTCGCCGCCGGCCGCCCCCTGGGGCGGGACCAGCAGCAGGCCCCGGTTGCTGGCCCACACGCCCTCGTACCTCTTGCGCTCTCTCGCCGTGATCTCCTCGCGCCAGCGTTTCCTCGCCCCCTCGTGGTGCGCGTGCTTCTTGCTGTTCCCGAGCTTGGCCAGAGACTTGCGATGCTTCGACCTCGCCCTCGAGCCTTCCTCATCATCCGACTTGGCGAGCGGCTGCCGCAGGGTCCGACGCATTGGAGGCGTCGGCTGTACCTTCCGCGGCGGTGGGGGCGGCGGCGGCGAAGCTGAGCGCGTCAGGCGAGCCGACGCTAGAGAACCTGCCACGATGGCGTCCGTCAGCGAATTCAGGGGGAGATTTGAAGTCTGCTGACGTCGGGGGAGCGGCGGTCGTGCCGGCGCTGGCGTCGGGGCGAGGCCCCGAACCGAGAGAGACGGCCGGTTGGACAGCGTGGATTCGGGAGTTAGTGGTCGCGATCTGCCCCTAGGTGGAGACTCGGGCAGTGACGAGGCAGAGACGAATGAGTCGTCGGACGAGGCGGGGCTTCCACTCCTTTCGTCTGTCGGCGGGGATGACACCGGAGGGCCATCCGCGGAGACAGGGTATAGCGATCTAGGATTATTTAATGAAGGCGTTCGGCCTTGGGGTGCGGAATCGATGGCTCGTACGTCGCGTGATAGGACTTTTTGAGAAACGGACCGGCCCAGAGCGCCGGTCTCGGCTCGCTTACTGGGTCTCGGCGGCGGCGTAGAAGCGCGCGGCTTACCCCTGACTTCCAGAGCATCCGACTGCGTAGGCATGGTAGCTTGGTGTTTTATCCTTGCTGGCGGAGGAGTAGGCGCGCGCCCTCTTGGTGCGACGACTGCAGCCTGACGTTGAATAGGTTCCCCCCGAGCCGTGTCGGCTCCCAATTGCTGAGGAAGTGTTGCCGTTGCCCATGCTCGAGAACTAGCCATTCTTGACGGGGCCATTTCGTCCCTAGAGGTAGGGGTCGTTGCTCTCGGAGGGGTTATAGCTCGAGGTTTAGGCTTTGGCGGGTTTGACGTCCGGCTGCTGGGGGCTTCGGTGGGGCCCTTCTTGACGGGATCAGTGTCGATACGCCCCTTCTCGAACATCGATATCAAGGTATTAGTGGAAGGAATTGATCCCATATCGGTTTCTAGGTCGAGGCTCGTCACGGAGCTGGAAGCGCTATGGTTGGCGCTGACGCTAGTCTTCCGTTGTCTCCTAGCCGGCGAGTGGGCGTGAGAATAAGACTGGACGGTCGGCTGGTGAACGGGACTGGCGGATCTACTAGCGGCGAGAGTGGCGGCTATAAAGGATGGAGAACGAGCATCTCTAGCCACTTGTTTACCCAGTGGTCCCAGGTGAGAGGAGGCGCCATGATTACGTTGCGGTGGTGGTAGATGCGGTGCCGGAGACTGGCCAGCCATTCCTTGCTCGCTCTCGGGGCTGCCGGTTGCCCCCTGAATGCTACTACCCGTTGTCTGCCGGCTTAGTATCCGCGAGTGGTCGCGCGACGCAGAAGTAGCCGCAATTAGAGCTCCGTTGTCATGACCGCGGGAGGTGGACGCGGGCGTGGGCGTGGGCGTGGGCGTGGGTGATGTTCTTGGCGTGGATTTCTGGAAGGCGAGGGACGCGCCTTTCAGGGCAGCGTTGTTGGACGAGGTCGAGCCATCGCGGTTCTCGTGGGGGTTCGGCAGCAGTCGGCCACGACCAGAGGCCCCTGACCCATTCATGAGGCTCGCGGATAGCTAGTGCCGCTGGGTGATCTGAGGGTGAGAGGGTCCGGGTTGAGGAGGGTTCATTTACGCGTAAAATGTGTTGTTGTCAGCTACGATCGCCACGCGAAGAACCGGACTCGAGATGTCGGCAGCCGTCCCCATCGTTTGTCGAGGGGATGAGATGGGCTAGGTTGATGTTTCGGGGGGCGGGAAGAGACCAGGCCGGGACTGGGCCGACAGGTGAGATAATTAGGTCAAGGGAGGGCGGTGCGACTTTTAAGGCGATGGCAGGCCAGGCAGGTCGCAGGCCAGGCAGGTCGCAGGCCAGGGGAGAGGATGGGAACGAGTTGAGCCTGTAGCAGCTACTTACCTAAGGTGACGAGGGAGGCGGCCGCGACAGTAGGACGGGTGAAGCAGCCTATCGCATTGTGTGCACCGGCAGCCCGATAACGACATGCCTCGAAGTCTAAAAATACCCGAGTACCTACATACTCCACCCCCTATCATCTATGCGCCTAGCGAGGTACAATGCAGGTGTGCGACGAAGCAGTGGCACCTTGGATGGTACAGCTACCTTGGGTACCTCTAAATATAGCTGCCTGCCTGCCTACCTCTAGGTACAGCTATGCGCTACCCCCCCCCCCCCCTCTAGGCACGTAGCGGAACGACAACAGTGCCAGATGCAACAGCTTCTAGGGTCGAATTTCCCTCCTATAAACCGGCAGCGCTGCGGGGTGGCTCAGGTACCTGACCTGGTGAGCTACCTCCTAAGGCATGTACCTGCCAGGGGTGTAGGACAGGTACCCGCGGGTACATCAGGTACATGCCTACCTCCCATGAACACTGAACGGTAAGCCCTACAGATATCAATAGGTACGTCTCATATACCGTACCTGTACTGGAGGCAGGTGGAATAGGGGTGAGTGGGGGGTGACGTCCATACTTTTAGCATGTATTTAGGAGTAGGAGGAGGAGGAGAATTTAACGTCTCTTGTGCTACCTATGTACAGATAATGAGACAGGCCCGCGACGACGGCGGCACTATGTATTTAGGAGTGTTCGACATCTTGTGAACACCTCGGACATTTTGATGGGCAACACAGATCTGCCTGTCGGGCTGCGAGACCCTGTCGCCGTTGACTTTCAACTCCCATAGGCAACCTCCTATAAACGTTTCCAAAGGGACAAAGGAGAAACTCTCCACCAAGCTGACACCTTAAAGCACTTTTTCGATACGGAAGGCACACTTCCATTTCATGACTACGTTGATAAGAAAATCCGACTCTACAACGAAGCCGAGGACTACGATGAAGAGATGCCCCGGTGCGACGGATTAAGCCAGGACTGGACCCTCACCTAGCCTGGATGATCGTGCTGAAACCATCACCCAGCTCCATACGAGACCTGAAATCTTGAAACCTAGAATAGAGGCATCTACTACAATTAACCCTCGCCTTTCCTCTCGGAGCCAGGTAAGTATTAAAATATCTACCTAACATACGTCTTGTAGGTATATAGCCGATGAGCAGCCACTCAGCGCGGCGAAAAGCGCCCAGCAGGCCGTCAACTGTCCAGATCTACATATGCCGATAAACATGGCTACTATGTGGGCTTATAGGCTTATAACGGATCGCCGGCCTCGAGCCGGGCACTTTTATTGATTTTCGTACCAGTGTTGAGGACTCCTGACGTGCCGCCATCCAGAAACCAGAACGTCTTAACAGGAAAGGGGGAAAAAAAAAGACGCACACACACACACACATATATGTAGAAACACCGTAAACCCGCCCCCACCCCCAACGCCCGAACCGACGCATACTCCGGAGAAGAAAAGAGAGAGAGAGAGAGAGAGATTCCGACACTTCTTTGCCGGAGTGATGCCACCCTTGCTTTGCCCTTTCAAAAACCCCCTTCCGATTGCCGCCCATATGACTAAATGCAGGTAAGGAGGTAATGCGATCTCGATAGGATGGCGCGAGCCCGCCACAACACGGCGATGATAGGGCGAAGAGGGAGGTCGAACTAGGTCTAGGCGGATGGATGTGTTTCCTGTCCCGTCCTAGAATTCGCCAAACTGGTCGGCATCGGCTGGCGGGCAGGAGCGCCGTCGAGCGCGCGCGGCGGTAGACGGGGTCGTCGTCGCCGCCATCGAGCGAGCGAGAGAGAAGCAGAGGGGGAGGGGGCCCTCGCGGCGGTCGAGAGGCCCCATGCGATTGGAGAAAAAAAATACAAGAAACATAGCGGGAGCGAGACGAAGCAGTTCCTCGCACGGAAAGCAAAACAACAACAACATAGAACTAGCAGCCGGGGGAGGCGTTGCCCGAGGACGTGAATACGTAAAGTGTGTGCGTTTTTTTTTCCCGGACCGATCTATCAAAGAACGTGAAGGAGGTGAGTGAACTGTGCATTCCGTGCGTCGTAAGAACCGTCCGTCCGTCAGTTTCGTAGGAGTTGTGTGCGCATGTCTTCGGAACCTCGTTATCATCCCAGCGCGCGGAGGGGCGGACGCGGAGCCCGGCTCGGCCCCAGCAGAGAAAAAAATGGCTGGCTTAGCGGCGGCAGCGCGCGCCTCTCAGTACGCGTCCTCGTCGGTCCACTCGCTGCCGGAGACGACGCGGTTGCCCTCGGCGTCGGCGGCGTAGGCGGGGTTGGGCGGGATGCCGCGGAGGCGCTTGGCGGCCGCGGCGTCGGCGCGCGGCCGCGCGAACGCGTCCTCGGGCGAGAAGCGCTTCATGTTGCTGCGGGCGGCGCGCACCTTGGCGTAGTACGTGTCGGAGACGTCCGCCTCGGGCTCGGACCCGTCGTCGTACGTCTCCCAGTTCTCGGACCCGCTGACCGCCGTCGACGTGTTCGAGATCTGCCGCGGCGCCGGCGCCCGCGCCCGCTCCCGCTCGTCCCCGCCGCGCATGCCCCCCGGTCCGTACGACCGCGCGTGCGCCGCCCGCGCCGCTGCCGTCGACGCGCCCCCCTCGTACTCCCGGTCCCGGTCGTCGTACACGTCCTCCGGCTCCACCGCCCGCACGTGCACGCTCGACCCCAGCCCCGCCCCCCGGTACGGGTTCACCGGCGTCTCCAGCTCCGGCGCCGGCGCGAGGTCCCGCATCTTGGGCGGCGGCGCGCGCGTGAGCGGGTGGCCGGGGCGCAGGATCCCCTGCGCCTGCGACTCCGGCCGCGGCCTCTCGGGCGAGTTGTTGCCGTACTTGAGGTTCGACAGCGGCATTCTCGCCGGTATCCTGGTGGGGCTCGTCTTGGCGTCTTTCAAGGCCTGGAGGGATGAGGGGGTCTTCCGGATGGTGCCGCCGCTCGCGGTCCCCGGTCGGGCCGCCATGCCGGTGGCTTTGCTCACGCTGCTGTTGGCGCGGTTGTGCGATGGCGGCTTCGACGCCTTGTTCGCCGACGGCGGAGGGCCCGCCGGGGTCTTGGATCGCGGACCCGGGACCGGCTTGGGAGCGTCGGGCTCGAGAAGGTCTAGATATCTCTCACCGTGCACGAGGAACGGGAGGCCGTACTCATCTTCCCACTGCTCCAGCATTTTGGCGAGATCTGCGGCGACCTTGGGAAGTTCCTTGGCGATGCGCTTTCGCATCTTCTCCTCTCGGAGCAGCTTGCCGGGGTCTCGTCTCTCTCCTTTCTGCCCGCGCATCATGAGCCGAGATGCGTCTTGGCTTGAGGCGGCGAGCTCGTCTCGTTCGTGAACTAGAGTGCGATGTTTCTCGATCAAGGCTAGGGTGGGCGCGCGCTGTTCCTGCAGCGCTTCCAGTCGTGCGATCTCTCGTTCATGGGCCTCTAGCAGCGCGTCGCTGTAGACATCAGAGAAAGCCGGAGTGAACTCGAGCATCTCGTCCTCGGAGAAGTACAAGGCGTCCCACAGCTCCTGGAGTTTGCATCGAGCATCCTCCACGAACAGGTGTAGGTTTTGTCGCTTTAGCTCGGTCAGCCTCGATAGTTCGTCCTCGAACTCGTTGATTTGTCGAACGCCGCATCCCCGGTTGCTATTTAAGAACGTCTTACGCTCCGGCTCGTCGACACCAAGCTTGTCCCAAAGAGCCTCGACAGCCGTCTTAAGGTCTTTCAGGCGCCTCTCGCGGTTCTTCTTCTCCTCGGCTAGCTTGTCCCTCTTGTTATGAAGTCGCGATATGTCTTCCTCGTGCAGGCCTAGCTGCTCGGGGGCATCACGGTAATACTTGACGATTGCACCGTCGGTCTGGGCCTGGGGCGTGCCTAGCTCCGCCCATAGCTGGATGATGTTCTCTGACACAGCTTTAACTGTTGAGACACGTCGAGTATACTCCTCGTAGACTCGCGTGAACTCATCGTCTAGCTTGTTCACGTAGGTATGGGAGAGGTCGAAGGCGGCGGGGATAGACTGGTTGGGTCCCGTCGGCGGTAGAGCGATCCTAACAAAGGTGGGCTCGAGATGGGAGGAGTAGGATTCGAGAGCCTGCACAAGTTCTGGGTGCGGGTTAGTACGAACCTGTCTTTCCCTGATAGAAGTACGTGCCCGACTTACTCTTGACTTGCTCGAATCGCTCGCGGTGAAGCTTGCTTACTTGCGTGTGCTTCTCCTTCAGCCCCGCCAGGCATCTGGTGAGAGGGAATGTGACCTGGAGATCATCGTCCTCGGTATGGTAGCTATGTCGCTTCGACCCATCGAGGGATGCTTCCATCTGGCGGATCAGCGAGATGAGGCGCTCCGCTTCCTCGACCAGGCCCTTCTTCTCCACCGTCACCTGCTTGACCTGGTTGTTCAGGGTCTCGGAGAGCGCAGCAAAAAGCTATCGGAAACCCGGATCAGCATCTGCGGGGTACAATATGCGTCGCATCGCATCGCATTACTCACCTCCGCCTCTCGGCTTTCGCGATCATGGTTGGAGACACCAATTTCGTCAAAAAGGCCGTGGAGCTGGCCGATGATCGTATTCACCTGCTGGGAAAGGTAGCCCGCGTCCATCGTGAGCTACTTTTTGGGGGGGGTTGTCGCTGGCACGTATGGACGGGCAGAGAATGCAAGGCCCGAAGCAAAATCGAAAGAGAGTTAGGCTAGATAAAACCGGGCGCCTGCTTTGATGAGATGTGGTATGTGGTCTGTCTTGGTTTAGAGAGCGAATGTTCTGCGGCGCGGCGCAATTCGCGAATCGTCAGCTTTGCCAGCAGCTGTTGTTACTGGTGTAGTTAGGGGGTAGTGAGCGAATATGTGGTGCGGGCTCAAGGGGAGCTCGGTCAAGCATCCCAGGATTCGTCAAGTTCAAGGAACTCTCAGTTGTCACATCCCAGGCAAGCTAGCTAGCCCTACGCCGAGTTGATGTGATTTCGTGCGTGTTGCATGCGCAAGACGATCGGGGAAAATAGACGCAGATGGTCGAATGCAGGTGATCTGGCAAGTCGACACTGGGCAGATGGCAAGGTGGGAGTCGAGCGTATCGTGGTGATAGAGGGTCGCAGAGACTAGGCTGTCCTGAAGGCCGGGCGGTCAAAAATAGAGGGGAAAAGACGAGGTGAGATGCATCGGGCAGGGTAAATCAACCAATATGGGCCAGGCTGATCAACAAGAATCGTGCGTTGCTATTTGCCAGTTTTGCGCCCGTCACGGCCAGAGCCGCCACACTAGCCGTCACCACGGCAACCGGTCGCGGCGCATCGATAACATCGATGTTAGCTGTCGAGGGCGGTTTCGCTGGCTCTCCCAATCAAAACCACCGCCAACACCTGGAAGGGGAACCATTCCATCCCCCGTACCACGGGGTAATGCTACCTGTAGGCTATACTGAGAGGTAGTCGGCGTCCGAGGCACACCCCCCTTACCCCTGACTACCATTGTTGACACCGGTACCCCGTTGCGCTACCACTGCCGAGAGGAGGTAGGCAGGTAAACATACCTACACGTACGTTGCCAACATGGTGAGCACCCAACAGCATGTAGCAAACCAAACAAACCCCCTCCTGTTTGTATATGCCTGCCTTAGGTACTTATATGAACTACTTACCCTACCGAAATGCTGCGTCCTGGCTGACTGGCTGGCTGGCTGCCTACGGAGACACTTCGAAGCACTACCGCTGCATGCAGCGATGCGGGATGCCTTGCTGACCAGCTGCGGATATATGCCAGTCACAGATCTCGCGTGCATATACATACATCTCCTGCGTGTTGTGCCCATTTTCCCTCTCCTGGCTCCGCTGGTTGCTGGCGCTTATTCCTCCCAGCAACAATGATAATCTTGTTTTTTTTTTTGACCGCTAGTTATTATCGCCTTCATGTCTCGGGTGCACCCTGTCAAGGCGTCCTTCCTCACACTCCGGCACCGCTCACAACTCGAGGTTATCGAGGCGGTATTACGGGACGCCCAACTCGTCTTAGGCCAGTCCCGATCGGATATATATATATATATATATATATAGGCTTGTTATCCTATGTGCGTGGTGAAGCGCTATGGGCGAAGAGAGGAGGCACTCGGCACCTTACGGGTTTACCAACTTTCGCGATGTTCTCCGAACCGACACGTCCTTATGCGTGTAGGTATGCACTCATATGTACGTCTGAATTGACTGTTTTTTCGTATTGAGCCTGTTATGATTATCCACCCGTTCCCCTCCCGCTCTCCCCGCCAGTTCGAGCGGAGATGGGGTCCGCCACGATATTTATCAAACGCTTTGTTCGCCCACTTTCCTATCCCTGCGACACGGCCAATTTACGTCAGAGTCGAGAATCGCCGCCTCATGGGTCGAGTGTAAGCATACGTACCTACCTTGAGAAGATCCCCATACCAACCATATCTACCTATGTTGAACTAGGTCCTAGGTATTCGGCCCCTTACATCAGCACTGGATTTGGCATCGAAGCCACGGGAACGTCCCAAGTTACAGGTAGAAGAGGCGCCGGCGATCAGATACCGAATTCGTCTAGGGACGGCAGGGCCCGGCCAATTATTTGCGAATTATTTTGCATCCTTACCCGTGTCGTATCGGTGGCTCTCCAAGACCATAGTTTCGTGGGAGACCGTGAGCTGACGCGACGGTGTCTGGGTGAGCTGGCCAATCAGTCAGCCCACCCATGTTTCTACGACCACCTGCCGCATACGTTATCGCAAGACACACATCGCAAAGCAGCCAGGTTCGAGAAGCGGCGGGTGTCAAAAGTTCCGACTCGGTGGCCGTCGAAGTCGGGGGGGGGGGGGGGGGGGGGGGGCGGATCCCTTCTCGATCCCTTATCTTCTTCGGACCATACACAGTGGTTGTGTGCGTTTCTTTCTTCCACTTATACCAGAAAAGAAACCCTCGGTAACCGACACTTGAAATGTCCGAATTGCGTAGCTATGGAGTGGCGTAGGAGGTAGGTAAAACGGGCACGCGTTGCTATACAATATGGGGTCTCGGATAGCGCTATCTCTTCCTCCCACTCTCCACTTGCTATATACTCACATATCCATCCCCCCCTTGAGCTCGAACTCAGACGCTCTCCCACACCTCTTTCATATCGCCGAGCAGCGCCGTGTAGCCGGCAGCGCGCGTCTCGAGGGCGGAGCCGGTGTCCTTGCCAAGCGGAAGGCGGAGTCCGACTGGCTTCCCAGCGAGGATGCCGGTGCCGTCGACGGCTTCGACGATGCGCTGTGCGACATGGGCCGGGTCGGCAGACCAGGGGGGGCGCTCTCCGGTCCCGATGAGAAGCGCCTCCTCGGTGCGCTGCACAGCCGTGTCGCGGTATGCGTCCGTCAGCGGCAGCTTGATTCCCGTGCCCGCCGGATCCAGCATATCGGTCGCCGTCATCCCCGGCTCCACGAGCAGCGTGCGGATCCCGAACGAGGATATCTCTGTCTGGAGCACCTCAGTCACGCCTAGAGGGGTACGCGGTTAGAGTCGGGAAGACGTCGTGCACTAGAAGGCCGAGGCGGGAGCAGATTAGATTGGAGCAAACATGTGGAATGAACTCACCCTCGAGCGCGAACTTGGTCGCGACGTAGATCCCGAGCCCCGGGGCGATTGAAAATGCGTTCGAGCTGCTGATGTTGACGATAGTGCCCGAATGGCGTGAGCGCATGGATGGCAGCACCGCCTTGATCGTGCGGAGGGGGCCGACAAAGTTAGTCCTGAAGATCGTCTCGATCTGTTCAACACTACCCCCCGGCGTGTATTAGTTGCGCAGTTCCGAGGCCTTCACGCGGGAATTCTGGTTTGCCTGCCTACCTCGTTTCTTCGATGCTTCCGAGGATGGCATACCCGGCGTTGTTGACGAGAACGTCGATCTGTCCGTGCTGGGCAATAACGGATTGGACTTGCGATTCGACATCTCCGCCAGCCACGTCGAGCTGCACCCAAGTTCCCCCGAGAGCCTCGATCTCCGTGAAGGCACTCTGGATCTTGGCCTTGTCGCGATAGCCTGCAACAACAAAGTGACCTGCCTTCAATGCCGCCCTAGCTATCTCTAATCCTAGGCCACGGGAGGCGCCGGTTATGAGCCAGACTGGAGCCTTTGCCATGACGATACGCGGACGCTGTATGCGGTGATGCTTGGTGGAATATATAATAAATTGGGGTTTCTAGTGTTGACTTGACCGGAGCAGCCATGAATGAGATCATCTCTATAGCCAGATTTATATATCACACCCGGAGGCTTCGACGCGTCGGCTAGGGCACTTTGCGATTTATAATCACAGATGTAGTTCGCGGTGAACATTTCCTATGAATCTGCCCAGCGAAGGGTGGTGAAGAGAACTATCTTTCCGACGGCGGGATCCAAGACGGTTCCGCAACCGAATGCCAATTCGGCGTACGACTCAAGAGAGCAAGAAAGATCAACTCGGTATCCACTTGGACGCCTCGGCGGCGCGGTACGGCGGCGCGGCACGGCGGGTTAGGCGGCGGGTTAGGCAGCGGGTTACCCGGGGACGTAAGTGTCAATTGGAGGTGTTATCCCGGATTAACACGATCACATGGCGAGATACGCAGATTATCGCGGAGGCATTGGCTTATAATACCTACCAAGGCAAATACTAGAGGCTGATTGAGGATACGATAGAGTCATCGCTCTTTGAAGACTGACGATCCGAGTCTTCGCGTTGTTACGGGTTAGTAGTTAGGGTCGAAAGGGATGTCGGTGGACCTGGTAGGTATAGTTAGAAGCCAACAACGGGGGTGATTCCCTGTCGAGATATACGCGGATTATTGCACAGTAAGTAAGGAAGCCGGGTGCTAGTGGGATATCGGGTTGAACAAGGTCCCGGGGGATGTATTTTGTGTCCATGCATACAACGCCCAGGCGCCTGTCGTTTCTGACTCCTTCATGGAACGGAGGGAGCAGAGGCTGAAGATGATGAATCGGTAGCAGTGATGTTCTGAGCCACTTATCTAAGATAAGAGGGTAGTTCGGCTAAATCCCGGCAATTTGTATATAGGTATGCGAGTGGGTTACGTAATTCCCTATTCCCTACCTATACTATCTACAACCTTCCCGCGTCGGAAGTTCTCACCATCGCAGATCTGTACAACTCAAGTCGAATATTTATCTGAGCATACCCAACTCTTCATGTAGCTTCTACGTGACGCGGTACTCAGAATTGCTTAACAGTCTTCTTATACCTACTATTCTTGGCTACACACACTCTTAGACCCGGTCGAGTTCGAATTCATAGCTCCGACCCATCGTCCCGGCATTGCCCCCAGCATTCTCCCCACTACGACTGCTCCTCATGCCCAACCGGTAGCACCGCTCTCCCAGCTTGCCTTCCCCTGCCCGGCGGGACGGTAGGCGTCTACCGCGATGCGCGAGTTCATGGACTACATCCAGTCGGCTTTCTATGCTGCAACCGGCTGGAACCGCGACAATAGCTACTCCACGCTCAACGCGACAGCCGATGCCTTACTGAACTTCCCGACCCCTCGTGGGCTCCGCCTCACCCTCTCCTCCCTGGCCACCCCCAAGTTTGCAACCTCTTACCAGCTTAGCACCGTTGGCATAGTCGATGGTTCCATATCGTATCTCTACTCGACAGTGCCCCTTGGCCACGCGATCGCTCAGAGCGCAAAGATACCCTTACCGGACCTACTGAAGAGCTACCGCCCGCTTTCCGAGTTGCCCGATAGAGACGGCGGGGCGAGGCTGGGAGGGGAGTTGCTGAAATATGGGCTTGCATATGGGAGGCTGTACCTCCCCTTGTCGATGCTGGAGGCTTTGGTGGTCAGGAGGATCTCGCCTGCCCTGCAGTTGCAAATGAGTGCTGTCTCAAACCAAACACTTAAGAATGGAGGTACTGTGTTAGGCATGGTGCAGTATGACATGGGCCGCTACGAGGTCGAGGGTCTGGCGTCGTCGGATGGCGGGCTGCTCGGCATGCGCGCGTTGTACAATTTCGGCGGCGACGTCGGCCACGTGAATACCTCGGGGCAATTGGCGGCCGCTAACGGGAACGGGGCTGGCAACGGCGAACGGGAACGCATTTACGGTCGGTTCAGCACCGGGGCGGAGCTTTATTATGGTACGTTAAATAAGTCGGGCGGTATGAGTCTGGGGGCGCGGTTCGCGACATTGCCTACCCATAACGGCACCCCACTCACGGCGACGATGACGATTAATCCATTGATGGGCAACATCAGCTGGAGTTACGCCGTTATGGCCGGCAGCCATTGCTCGCTGGCAACGAGGATGGATTTCAACGTCTATAGCTATGAGAGCGACTGGGCCGTCGGCATGGAGCTCTGGAGAAAGAAGGGTGCTTGGTCCATCAGTAGCGAGCCGGACGAACAAATGTCAGCACCAACAATGCCCGCGCCCGAAACGAGGTCCCAAGAGCAAACAGAACCGGGGTCGAGGGAATCCCCCGTACCTCCGGACGCCGCTGAAACCTCACCGTCTCCGCGAGCGGCGGACCAGCCTAAGAAAGAGAGAAGCTTTGAGGCCAAGATGGAGTGGAGGCTAGATGACCCAAACGTGGACTCGGAGATATTATTGGGCGGCGATGAGGGAGATGAATACTCGGGGGTCCTGAAGGCCCGCCTCGGCCAGCATCTGCGGGTTGGCCTTCTCTGGGAGGGTCGAGTCAAGTCTTTACTTTTCAGTCTTGGTAGTGACATTGATCTACGCCGGCTTGACTCACCCTTCCGAACCCTCGGTCTGGAAGTTCAGTTCTCATCCTGAAGGCCCGAGGACGCCCCTATAAAGTTGCTAATTGCCTCCGTGTCGAGACCCCAGCGCACATGCAGCTTTGTTCAGCTCCGACTGGGCGATAACGCCACCAATCGAGCGGAATTGGTGACACAGACAGGCACCTATCGTGGTAGCGGCGACGAGGACCCGCCGTGGTTAGGCCGCGGAGAAATCGACGTTCGCAGCCGACCTCCGCCCTGGGGTGCCAACCCAGTGCGATAATTCGACGTACGTGGTTCGATCGTATCGATGGGTAAAGATCCTCAGCGACATGCCAAGTCGTATAACTGAATCGTCCCTCGGCCAATGATACCACTGTGTGGCGACGCCTAATGTCAGGATTTTGCAAATGTCAGTGTCTGGCCCTGTCGGTTGATTCACGCAGCTTTGGACAGACCCCAACGTGGCTTCAGTCGGCAAATAGAAGATGCCTGCTACCCGAGGCAGATTCGGAGACGGGCTCATCCCAGGCATATCGTTTCACAAGGAAGTCCTAACCGCAGGAGGAGCTGCGAGTCCCCCCATCCAATCTGATGTCGTACCGCTGGGATCAGCTTGCTCCCTGTCCCCTCTGGCCAACTAGCTCGTTGGCGGCCTTGTCAGCAGCGCCGAGAGAGGAGCCGTCTTGAGGAGGATCTTGGGGGAAGCTTGTGTAAAGCTTGTGTAAAGCTTGTGCGAAGCTTGTATCTGACAAGACTCGCATGCCTGACCCAGTTGCCCCACGAATGTGTCTCGACGGCCTGGGATGGCGAGCCTCTTAGCATGTTGTCCCCGGGCATTTCGCTTCGTCCCCTATCCGTATAGAGACATGCGCCGGGTCGAAATAGACGCGAAGCATATTTAGCGTCGAGAAAACGAGTCGTGGGAGATATGGACGAGCCCTAGCGAGCCGGCCTTTGTCGGTGATTCAGCGCTCACTTCCATCTAGATAGCCAAGAGAAAAAGCCATGCACACAGATAGGTGTTTAGTGAATATACCTACTGTAATAGGACACTCAGCATGCTGCCCATTATTCCTCTCCATCCCCGATGTAGTGGGACGGCTTGTGAAACCGGCTGTAAACTAGAGGTAGACGAGGTAGCCCCTGATTACAGGTTTGAACAATAGGCTCCCCTTTACTTGGGTGCCTACGGTGTGTAATAAGAGGGGCGTGAGGTTAGTAAAGTCGTTGGGCGGGTTGTACCTAGGTACTGGAGGCTGAGAACCTTGATGGGCGCAGGCCCACACGAGAACCCGGATGGACAACGCCAATGCACGACTGAACTGACGTATCAGAGGGGAGAAGCCGCGCGCATCCTTTTCTGAGCGCGCCAAGATGTAATTGAGCAGACGGGCGCTGCTCACATACTTTATACGCCATCGTAGGCATAACTGGATGACTTGCGCATCTATGCAGGTAAACAGCTATATACTACCTACCTACCGAGTACCTACCTACGTAAACGGCGTTGCTTTCAGCCCCCGTCGCACGACGACAGACCCAGCCCATGTGAGCAGCACCCGGCACCTACATCGGCTATGTACCTACATTACATGCCTTACACGTACATAACCGACGTTACCTTTTTACGGCTCGGGGTCTTGTTGGGGGGCTGAAAAGGGGGGGGGGGGGGGTTACCTTATACCTACGACCGATTGCGTGGGGGACGGCATTAGGGGGAAGGGATCTAATATAGGCGTGTATAATTAGTTGCACATGCGCACGTAGATGGGCGGGACGTGTCGAATTCGGCAAGCGGACCAAGACTCCTTCGATGTCTCACCAGGACAGGACAGGACAAGGACAGGATGATATAGTACTGCTTGGCCTACTCATACCCCTACGTACCGACGTGGGTTGCTGACAATTACGGTGATTCTGTGCGGTGGACCCATGTTACATCTACCTAGATAGGTACATATAGGCAGGTATATCTGTATGAGTATATGTGTATATGTGTGATATGTACATAGCTGGGCTGATAGAAGTGATGAGGTCCCCTGTATTATCGGCCATCAAGGTTCTCGGAATCTCTCTTGTTTCCCCCCCACCTTCTCTTCTCAGCCCAGCGCTCTCTGGCCAGGTCGTGACAATGGTGTGTGTTGGCGTGTTGCCCTCCCATCCCCCTTCTCCTCCCGCTCCGACCGAGATCCCTGCGCCGCGTATATACGCCCACGCCTACCTGTCTGCCTCGCATTGCCCACGATGCCGCAGGTCAGCCCGGAAATAGAGGGAGGCGTGTACGGAGCAAAAGATCGAGACAAGCTTCGGTCAAACCCGCTAGCAAGTAGCCTGGTAACTAGATAACGGGTTACCCTCCCTCGCAAGAGGGTACGCTTCCTTCTCGGCCTCGTCTTCCATCTTACCTCTCTCGCCTTGCCTCGCCGCACAGCTTCGCTCTGCCCAGCGTAGGAACCACCCGACTTGTGCCCGTCACCTCCCTCTCTCTCCTCGCGCCCGCTACCAACCAGTCTTACCCTTCTACACTGGATAGGTTGCTCTCTCGCCCAACAACATCCTGCTTGCGGTCCCAGCGCGTACACGGGCATAGATGAGGAAATAGCACCGCCTCGATACACCATCTTCACAGCTTAGGTACAATATCTGGCTAGTTTCATCTAGGCACCCGCCGCGTTGTGTGTGGCGCGGTTCCGCGATATTTCTTAGGATCCTCGAGACCTGCTAAACCGCCGACGCGCTCCATACGAAACCTCGACGCTGTCCCGGGATCCACGGGATGAAGCAAACCCCTCGTTTCCAGCCAGAACCGTAGACTCTAACCTCCTCGAAAGCACTACCCAGTGACCGAGGGCATCTCCTGACTACTACCGTCGGTTCTACTGCTGGAGAGATTAATTAGCTTGCTAGCTACCTTCTGCACTGCTTAGGGAAAAAACCGTCCAAATTTACGTAACTGCTACTATATATCGTTACAAACTCCGGGAACCTCTACGGCCCCAGACGGTAGTGAGGGGGGGCAGGTATGTGTTATTCCCAATAGACAAAGCCTCATCACAGTCTCCTTGCCCCTCTCAAAACAACTCGGTCAAGTTACCACCAACGCTCCCTTTTGTCGAGTGTTTTGCGGAGGGGTGGATTCCAGTCGCGTTCACACACACACACACACACACACACATATATATATATATGACCTCGGCCCGTTCCTTTTCGTGGCTGTTGGAGGAAAAGGTTATCGGCTACGCCCTCCCCTCTCCAGTCAGCATCATCCTAAGCTAGCATTTATTTCCTTCCACCTTATTCCTCTATCCTCTCTTTGCCCCCCCCATAGATATTCCATCTGACAGCACATTAGGAACGAGGAGGCCGAGTTTGGTGTGCACGAAGATACGGAGAGAAAAGACATCTCATCGGAATAACGCCTACTTGACTAACGCTCCCGAGTTTCGCACCCCGAAACCCCTGCTCGCTGCCGCCCTCTTCTCTTATCAAGTTATCCTTCTAGCTTGGGAAATTTGACTAGTGGATATAAATCCCACCATGTCGGTGTTGCCGTCGGCTGTCGGCGCCATTCTGCAACTGCGGCAGGATGATGCCGCCGCGGATACCCCAACGGACGCGACGCCCGAGTCTGGCTTCAGTGTTACCGTGGATTGCGACACCGGTAACGAGTACGATGGACGAATGGGGCTACGAATTTCCTCTATATTCGTCATCTTGGTCGGCTCATTGCTCGGTGCCGTCTTACCTATAGTCCTGGCCCGCGGCAAAAGTATGAAAGTGAACGGCACAGCCTTTTTTATCGCCAAGTATTTTGGCTCGGGTGTTATCATAGGAACTGCCTTCATGCACCTCCTCTCGCCAGCCTTCGAAGCCTTGGGCTCTCCTTGCCTCGAGGACGGCCCCATTACTCAGTACGATTGGGCAGCGGGCATTTGTCTGATGACCGTGTTCGTAATGTTCACCATCGAACTTCTCGCGAGCCGGTTCGACTTCTTCGGCCACAGCCACTCGGACGCGAAGGCGGTCGATCCGTTGCAGAATGTCCTTAGAGGGGACAGTCAAGCTTCGACCCCGCCTCCGCAAGACCCCGAAAGCAACGCACGCGGTAAAGAGGGTGTTGTAGCTGGCCCAGCTGATAATAACGTGTTGGGATTGCCTAACGACGTCAGCTACCCCCCCGGCGGGGAGGGCCACCTAAGTCACCAGCGCTCGCACCAGGACGACGATCCTTCCGCCTTCGCCGCTCAGCTGATCGGGATCTTCATCCTGGAATTCGGCGTCATCTTTCACAGCATCTTCATCGGGCTGACCCTCGCGGTTGCCGGTGAAGAGTTCACCGTCCTATACATCGTACTAGTCTTCCACCAGACGTTCGAAGGTCTCGGTCTCGGCTCGCGGCTAGCGACCGCGCAGTGGCCTCGTTCTAAAAGTTGGATGCCATACTTCCTGGCGTTCGGATACGCCCTCAGCACGCCGATAGCCATCGCCGCTGGCCTCGGCGTCCGATCTACCCTCCAGCCCGGCACGTCCAGAAGTCTGATCATCAACGGCATCTTTGACTCGATTAGTGCGGGGATCCTCATCTACACGGGCCTGGTCGAGCTGCTCGCCCACGAGTTCATGTTCAACTCGTACATGCGCAACGCCGGCCTCAAGGTCCAGCTCTCTGCGCTGTTTTGCGTCGCCCTGGGTTGCGGATTGATGGCCGTGCTCGCCGAGTGGGCTTAAATAATTAGAGGCTTTGACTGAGGAGAGGGAAGGGATGACAGAAGGATGGCTGGAGAGGGAGAGAATAGGGGGTCACCTGGTGAGGGCGAGCAAACATAGGATACCTGTTGATTAGGTCGATCCTCGACCAAGACGAGTCCGGACATCTTTTATCATATACTGCAATGCATCATGTATACCTGAAAAGGAGGTTGTACAGCGTGGTTTGGACGAGAGTGTGATGTGAGGTCTAAGGCGATCGTGATACCCATTTTCGAATTGATATATTATGTGAGGATGCTACGTATTCTTTGGCCGGATGGGGTGGAAGACAGGCACTTGGATGCGGTTCGTAACCAGACTGGCGAAGATAATATATATTATGTGTGCTTCCGTGATGTTGCCGGCGCCTCCCATCTCCACGTCCCTCTCTCCGCCCCCCCTGCGGACTACAACGACGTACTTGCGGAAGGCGCCTTCTCTTGTGCTTTCCGGCACTTCTTGACCGTCTCGAGAGCGGAAGGCTGGCCCAGTAGTACACCTTCCATTACTTCTCTCCGCTATACGATGACGCGATCCGGAGGGTTCACCATCCGCCGGCCGTCTATCAGGATCAGCTCGGCTCCTCTCAGCCATCCCGCCCTCGCCTCCGCCTGCCATCCTGTTCGCCTCTATTTGCCATCACGTTTACCTGACTTTCTTGCAACAGCATCGAAGTTCGCTCAAGATATTATCCTTTTTCTGTCTGCGTCACAAATACAAGTCAAGGTAACGGCTCATCTTGCTTTCCTAGAGAACGGCGTATCTCGAGGTGCCGCGAACCGTCCGCGGACCCGTTCTTTCACGAAGCTCCCTCGCCGCCCCCTGCCCCGCCCTCCCCCCGTCCCGCCGAGTCCTATCCCATCTCTCACACAAAACGAGTTACCTGCCCGAAGAGTTATGACGATGGCTTCGGAGGGTGCCCGTCTCGCCGCCGCAGAACTTGGTCTCGCGCCGATACACGTCGCCAGCCTCGAGGGCGACGTGGAGGCTGTCGTGAAAATAGCATGCGAGCCAGGTGTCATAGATACGCCTACGCGGCCACCAGCGGAGACGGGATGGCGACATCCTGAGACCCCGATGTAAGCATCCCCTTCCTCTCTAGCTGCTTATCCTCCCGTCTACCCCTACCTAGCCCCGAACGAGAGAGACCACATAGTATATGCTTACCCGTTTCATCTCCCGTCAGCAAACTCGCCGCCCTGATGGGCCACCTCAGAGTCGTCGAGTTCCTGCTGGAGCGCGGAGCTAGCCTCGGGGACAGCGACTTACACGCCTCGTTTTACGCCCTCGAAGACGGCGTGGCGGCGCAACGACGCCATTTCTTCCTCGATGTAGCTCACGTAGGCCGTGAACACCCGGACGCGGCGCGCACACGCCGCGCCGTCCACGACCTCCTCGCATCCCCGGGCCGTCGCAGCGCCTACCGGGCCCTGCTAGACGGCGGCGAGTGGGCCGACCTCGGGTTCCCCGAGTACAAGCTTGGAAAGCAGGGCCGCGACATCGTCGTGTATGCGCCGGTGCTGCGCGTGCGCACCGGCGCCGGCATCCCTATCTCCCGCAACAAGACCATCGGCGTCATCGTAGCGAGGGGCGGGCAGGGCCACGTCCTGATGGCGGCCCAGAGCGGCTTTCGACTCGGCGGCGCCGGCCGCGACGGCGAGAAGAACCAGTGTCTCAACACCGGCAAGTGGAATCACATCGTGTTAACCCGCGTTGCGTCGGTCTTGGGGTTCCAGTTCCCCGGGAATCGCCACGACAACGGGGGTCGCCCCGCGGAGGAGGAGCATCGCGGGCGCGCGCACGCGGGCCACGTCGAGATCCTGCTCTCGTCATGGTACGCGCTGGAGCTGGTGAAAAAGCACGGCATCGTTGCAGCAGATGCGGATAATGGCAACGGAATTCACAACGAGGATGCCGACGGCGGTGCCTCGCATCTAGAGTCAGAAGAGGACCTCCTAGATCGCCAACTTGCGGCCCTCCGCTCGCTGCGACGTGTGACGCTGGGCGACGCACGCTGGGCCCAGATCCGCATCGACTCCCAACCGTGCGCGACGTGCTTGCGCTTCGTCAATGCCCTGTGCCAGCGTACGGGACTCGCCATCTCGATCGTCGGCGGCACCGGCGTAGGCCCCACCCTAGCGACGAAGAACGCGCGCAACAACGTCCGCCTTGATACCTTCGGAGACGTGTTTCCCGCGTCCGAGCTAGAGAGCGACGAGGAGGGCGGCGACGGGCAAGACAGAGCCATGGTGCGAGAGGTGCTACCCCCTTTCCCCTTACCCCCTAGTACACCCGAACCGGATCCATTCTCGAACATGGAATCACGCCGTTCGGAGAACCACCTAGAGCTGCTGGCTCGATATAACAAAAAGACGCCAGTTTTCGAGTTCCCCCAGAATGGCGCCGGTAGTAGGGTTACGGAGACTGTTGTTCCCATGACCCCTCTCCCCAAACGACAATATACCAACGACAGCGATCAAGTTATGATCGACAACGGTAGAGATGTGCAAAGCGAGGCTGAATGGCCTCTGATCGACCCTACGGGTATTAGTACCGAAGAAGACGAGGACGGCTATTCGTTGATAAGCTGGGGCACACCCAGCCAGGACAGCATCGGTTACGATTCCATGTTCGAAAGATCGCCTCCTTCGTCTCCCATGATTCGGGACCGGACCCGTTCTCGTCAAAGCAGCGGGACTGTTACCTTTTCGCCCAAGGCTCCCCTGCTCGACTTAGAAACGGAGTCGTTTTCAAGCGGACGATTCGAGCGGATCGTCCCAGGCGAAGAGAATGGCACACATAGTGCTAGCTTCGCGAACGATTACACGGAAATGGACACGGGAGATAGAAATACGACAATCACCGGATCAAGCGATCCTGACAATGGCCCAGACGCTAATGTGTTGGGCGCCAGGTCGATGTATTTTGCCTCTCCCTCTCCAAATCCAGGCCCTTTGCCACGCCCTCGAGTCGCCTCTTCCCGTTCTCCAGCCCCGTTGACGCCTGGACGTTACGGCGCTTTTAGCCCGTGCCCCCGCGCCGGCAGCGACGACGACGGCGACGTCGTCCTCGTGGACACGGACAGGTATCACAGGGCAGCAGAGGCCGCGCGCCGGGCCAGGGACGCGAGAGCAGCAGCGGCAGCAGCAGAAAGCAGGGACGTCTCCCGGGAACGGGCGGACATTCTCAAGGAGGAAGGTGGCGAGGAAGAGACGGCAAAGGAAGTGGAGGAAGAGCGCCCCGGCGTCCAGACCGGCCGAGCGAGGCTCCAACAGTGGCGGTACCGTCCCCCGCCGCCGCCCCCGCTGCCGTTGCGGATCGTCCGGTACTACCCCGTCCGCCTCCACCCTCGCGACCACGGCTGCGGCTCGGCGCCTCCGCACAGCCGCGTCGAGACGCATACGTACTACCCCGGCCGCGGGCAGCCGTCTAGAGACAACGTGCCGTTCCTAGTGCGTCGACATGTTCGCGAAGGATAAGAGAAGGGGGAGAGTTGACGCGCGCTCCCGGAAGGTAGCTGAACGGAGAGAGAAGGGGCCGAGAGGAAGGGGCAGTGGTAAGAAGATTTGGTCTACACGGTTGGGGAATCGAGCAGATAAGGAGGGATAATAGGGGTTTACCTACCTTGGAGGGGAGCTCAAGTTGAATATATGTTTGGCCGAGTCCAGGTTCGTCTCCGCGTAGCAGTTTTGAGAGGGGAAATAGATTTCTACTACGTGGTAGAAGAATACGATGGAGTATTACGTGAGTGTCACCTATAAAAACTACTAGTCACTTTCTCACTTTCTAGATCGGAGGGGTAGAAAGAGAGAGGACGAGGGAGTCAAATGGGTTGCCGTGAGGGAGGGAAAGGGAAGTGGCGCAGTTCCCAAAATTCAAATTCATTTCATCGAGTCCGATTTTCTTTTTCAGACGCCGTTTGCCCAGAGCCCCGCGCTCAATGCTATAACCCTAGACCGTGGTAGAATCTAGAATCCCACCCCCCGCCGGTAAGATGGGGGTGTGTGGTGTGGGTGTGTGGTATCATCCGTCATCCGTCGTCCGTCTACTCCTCCTCCTCCTCTTCCTCCTCGGCCTCAGCGGTGGTCTGGGCGATTCCTGCGAACAGTATCGCATTAGACATTGAGAATGTAAGGGGGAAAAAAAGCATAGAAAAAGGGGGTGGGAGGAGGGGGATAAGGCGACGTACGGTCGAGATCTCGCTGGCCGGACTGGGTGATGCGGCGGCCGCCCTTCTCCTCGTCCTGCTCGAGGACGCCGATCTTCTCGAGGGCCTGGAGGATCTTGCGGTCGACGGAGCCGGAGGCGTCGACGTGCTTGGAGGGACGGACGCCGCGGTTCTTGGCGGTGCCGTGGACCTTGCGCAGGCGGCCGACGCCGACGGTCTTGCGGAGGTAGACGTGGCGGGCGACGCTGGCGGCGCGGACGTAGAACCAGTCGATGTTCTGCGGGGGCAGCTCCCGCGAGATGCCCGTCTTGACCGTGTCGACCCAGCCTGTTGTTCCCCGAGGGCACCGGGTCTGTCAGCAGCGGATTCTCGTGTCGGATCGTCGCGAAGCGTGAGCGATTGGGGGGAAAAAAAGAAAGAAGACCTACCGGGAATGGGAAGCTTGCCCTGGCGCTTCAAGAACTCGGCGTACGCGTTGATGAACTTTTGCGCCTGTTGGTGGGGCGTGCCAGAGGACCACAAATCAGCAAATATTCCGTCATCAGAAGTCTTGCGACCCCCTCGCGCCTGCTCCCCTAACAGGTAGTATCGCCATATGACATGCCCATAACTTTCTCTTGGGCTCGGGCTGCTTCGCCCCGGCCTGCCTTGTCGCTGGCTGGCCGGCCGGCTGGCTGGCTAGGTCGGCAATTCCCATTGTATGGCGCCCTCTGTCGAGACCAGGGCTTCCTCTTCGTCCTCGACATCGACTCTCAAGCGGTTCGAACGGGATTTCTCCTTTCAATCTTGACCCCTTCTTTCGGTCGAGGTGATGTCCCAGCCCCGTCGATTCACCCTCGGCGGACAGGTGGGAATGATGGTACGGAGGAGGTGGAAGTGTGACCTACATCGACATCGCGAACAGTAACGCCACCAGGCATCTTTGCGGTATTGGATGGTCCTCTTGGGGGTAGGGATGTTTGGTGGCCGGCTAGAGGGGGAGAGAGTTGAGAGATTGGCGGTCGCTGTGATGTTTGGCGCAAGAAGTTGGTTGGAGGGGAGGAGGTGAGATTGTGTGCGTAGGTATGTTCGCGTTGCGCGGCGTTGCGCTGGGAGAGGGAGTGGGGACACCGAAGTTCAAAATATTCCTCGCTCCGATTAGATTAGGGCAAGCCCTCCGCGTCGGACCCTGCGTGTCGGTTACCTAAGCGTTCTGCGTACCCAGTAACAGGGCAGGTGGGGTAGTACATTTATGCGCAGGCATAATGCATGCATGAAGGATGTGCACACGCACAACATCGTGCACAATCGAATCGGCCATCGTCAATGCTCATCGGTGACAACAGGTCGCTATCGGCTGATCTAATGGCCAATAGACCCTCGATCTCCGTCCTCTTCCAGCCCCAACAACACTCGATCAACTCTCACCATCGATGCAGCGCAACTCACATCCGAGAGTAGGGTTCCCTTTTTCCCTGCCAACGCGTCGGTCGGGGCCGGATTTTGTTGGTCTAGGTACCTATGTGTGTCTCCTGGTCTTCCTTCGCCATGAACCCTACCGCCTGGGAACCTGCATCCGACCCCGGACAGCGACTGGCTTGCCGTCGCTCTGTGTTCCGGGCTTCTGTCTGTGTCCCTCTGTCTGTGTCCCTCTGCCCGCTCGATCACACTCCCCATTCGCCTGGTCGTGGTCGCCACCTGCGTAGGAGGCTTGAGAGGTAAGGTTTTGCGAGGGCCTGAGGTCGGCTAGAAAAGAAATGCCGCCTTCTCACCCGTCTCAGCGTCGTGAACACCTGAGTTCGTCGTGTGCCCTGTAGCTGTCTCTCTGTCTGTCTGTCTGTCTGTGGCATCTCTGCCTAGGCCTCTACTTAAGCACCTTGAGTACCTATATAAGCCCATGCCAACGTTGACAAGTTCGGCCCGCTTTCTCTCGACTGAACATTATTGATATCATCACTTGGGAGCGATAGAGAAAACTGGCGTCGTTAATTGTCAGGTATCGACGGATCCCGGGTTTACTTAAACATTCCTTCCTCCCGCTGGTCTTTTCGATTGTCAATATATCATTCGTATTTTCCATAGCGTTTGAATCGTATAGAAACTTATCACCACTTCTCCTCACCTACACTATACGAATCCCGTCCCCTACGCTGTTCCAGAGAAACGTTGCTCATGGATTCCCTATCGTTCATCTCTAGCGGCTCAGACGCCGACGTTCCGACACCCGGGAGGTCGCCGGCATTTGGCCGAATCCATTCTAAATTATACCCCAGCACGCGGACGTTAGATTCACAGTTCATGGCAGACTACCACGGGGAACTCGACTTGCTCCGTCGCCAATGGGAAACACGCGTCTTTCGGTACTGGGAAGCATACTGGGGCAAGACGTACTCTGCCACGGCCAAGCGGCAGAAAGTCGAGGGGAGCGTACAGCAACTGTACGAATATGCGAAGCTGAAGAGCTGCCAATACCAGGCCATCCGGCGTAAACGGAGGGTCGATACCAGCTACCGACGCCACCTTGGGCTGCGCGACCGCCCAACGGGCGCCAACGACTTCCCGACGGACCTCGACGAGCTGGCTAGCTACTGGGACGTCTGGTACGTTACCGAATCTCAGCCGACGCCGTATGTGCGCCAGCGGCGCGGAGGGGGCTACATCATAAACGAATACTACTCGTCCGATGACCAGCTGCGACTGCGCAAAGTCTGCCAGAAGGGCAGCCTGGCAACAGCCGTGACCTGTTTCAAGACCAGCTATGGATTTAATAAGCTAGACGTCCCGACTTTACACATTTTCGCTCCCCAAAATTGAAGTTGCGATACGGAATCGGTATGGGCGTTTTTTCCCTGGGGAATGGAGGTTTTCTGGTTTTAGAGACTTCCTTTTTTTTGACGTAGAGCCCTGGGTAGGACGACGGAAAGGCGTACAAAGCATGACTATCACGAAGCATTTATATCAATGTTTACCGACATCCATCATACCCGACTCCAGAATTATATATTCATTCGCAAAGAGCTTATCTGGAGCAGACGGCGATGCAGAAAGGGAAATTGAAATTGCATAGCACAAGCAGAAATTAAAACCACACGATATGTTGTTCACACATTCCTTGAAATGTGTCTTGACAGAGTTGACTAGATTTGCTTAGATGTCCCTAAGTTATTTAGGCAGAGAAAATTGAGACGACATTTACCGATTATCCCAACGGCATTTCTTCTCTCCCTTTCTGGGTCTTCTCACATCTATATCCACACCCTGTCGTCGGCGCGGTTCTGTTCGAGGTACTCGCGCACCTCAGGGTAGTTTTTGCAGACATGCTTGGCGTCCCAGCCGTCGGGGCTGTCGGCAGAAGCGGACGAGGAAGAGTGCGAGGCGCTACCTTCGAGTGCTACGTCCCCGCTGCACAGGATACCCTGCCGTAGATAGTCAAAGCAGTGAGACAGGCGGGCCGCCGACTCCGCCGGCGCCCGCGACCCGCCGGACGACGAGAGCGCCGAGTAGGCCTCCGCGATCGAGTGCTGCGAGGCAAGATGGTAGGGGTCAGCCGTCGGCAGTCGACTATAGGGAATCTCTATGAATGTAGGGAGGAGGAGTGAAAGGTCGGGATCTGTGGGAAGGGATAATTGGAAAAGAGAGTGGGCGCAATTACCAGACACTGCAGCTGGTGCGTCACCGAGGACGTGACGACGAATCGGTCCGGATACGAGGCGAGCGCCGCCGGCAGGTTATCGTACTGGTCCGGATTCTCGATCTGGAGGTATCCGAGGCCCTCTGGCGGCGAGTCGCCCTTGGTTAGTTCCATGCTCGCTGCGGCAGCGGGTAGATGGAGGGGTCGGAAGGAGGCGGCGGAGGAGGAATCGGCGCGCGGCGCAGCACTTACTCGGCACAAGGTCTAGCCACTTCCGCCGAGTCTCCTCGGTGAAGAACTCGGACGTGTTTTCCGGCACGAAGCCCGGGTCCGGCGAGAAGGTGGTGATCTTCTGGGAGACTGGTTGCGGGGGGTTGGGTTAGCATCGAGCTCGTTGTCGTCATCGTTATCGGCGAGAGGGACACGGGGTCGGCCAGGATCCTCCGTCTTTCACTCTCCATCTCTCTGTTCCCCCTCCTTTTATAACAATAGGAGAGCGAAGTAGCTTACACTCTGGCACAAAGCCGGTGATGTCGCCAGCGCCCTCGAAGTAATGTTCCTTTCCGCGGCGCGACCAGCTCTTATCCATGAGGAGCACGATGATGACTAGTAGCAGGAACGTGTTGAATATCCACCAGTACTCCTTGAGGAGGGTGAAGAACCCGCTCTCCCTCTCCGGCTTGCTCATCCGGAGCACCGCTGGCCCGTGCATATAGTCCTTCTCGGCAAAGTCGAGCGCCTCCAGGTCGACGTCGGTGGTGGTGCTGCTACTGCTGCTGCTAGCGTCGTCGCGCTGGTGTTCCTCCTCTTCTTCCTCGCGGACGGTCTGGAGTGTACGGTACTCCTCCCTCTGTCGTCGGCGTTGGTCCTTCATCTTTTTTTCTTTCTTCCCCTTATTTTCCGCTATCCCCTTTTTCGAAAACCCCAAAGATTGAAGTCGTCAGGTTTTCTTCTCTGCGCGCCCGTCTCGAAATCGATTGTGTTACCTCTGTCGACTTCGTCGTCTGTCGGCTCTGCCACTGGTCCGCAAAACTGCCTGGGAGAAGACGGAAGTCCGATGAGGAATGGCGAATGTGAGAAACGAACGGGAATCAATCCGCAAAAAAAAACCCAAGTAAAACTAAAAAATAAAATGAAAATAAAATGAAAATAAAAATAAAAATGAAGGTGATGTTATGATAGAGCGAGTGAGGTCGATCACAAAAAGAAGGACGGTAGATAGAATCGAAGGTCTTCTTGCATCAAGCAAGGCCAAGGAACGTAAGTTCAAAAAAAAAAAAAACACGGACGCGCGGACACACACAGAAGAAGTGAGGAGAGAAAAAAGAAGCCTTCTCCGGGACGAGCCTGTGTAGAATTACCCGTATGCAGGCTTGTACATCGCTATCTACCGACGCGACGCATCGAACCGGGATCTACGAGTTCATCGAGCTTCTCTGGGTTTGCGGCGGGACCCTGCGACCTCAAGCGTCTCCGCGACGTTTCATATGGGCGACAGCGCCCACCAAAGACACTCGTCTCGCCCCCATCTCAAGTCCATCGTCCGATCACCTTTTCCTGTTACTACCCACGTGTGCACTATACGCTATGATGGCCTCATCGTCGGCTCCGAGGTGTGGCCTGTTCGCGCGTGGGTAGGGACGTAGGGAGGTACGTAAGCGCCTAGAAGTGCCTACATAAGGGGCAGGTAACCGTGCGTACTCATAAATACAAGGCAGGGGAGGTCTTCGAATCCAGGTATTCGGGAACGACATGGATCAGTGAATTAATCATATGTGTCTATCTACATACATCTGGACGATGGACTGATGTTTCGGGAAAAAGCTTTAGGTGGTTAAGCTTCGTCTGCCCAGCATCGTGGTGTTGAATGCGGAACTACTGGACACCCAAGTATTCAACCCATAGCCATATCCACCTACATTTGCACACGCACCCACACACACATCATCGGAATACGACGCACCGAGGGTATCTGTCTATCTAGGTACGCACGTGCAAGTTGGCCTGAGTCCAGGTGCTCTGCGCACCCTGCGATCTATTTAAGTGTTATCCTGCTTGGCGTGGCATTCTATGCGATAGATGCCTTTTATCGCATAGCACCTTAGGAGGTACCTAGGTATTATCCTTCCCGATACTTCTCAACACTAGGGAGAAGCGTACGGGTATGTAGAGACAACTTCGCGCGTGTCCTCGTCGTAGGCCACTTGCTAACCTGAGTCTCTCCCCTACCCATCGTAGCTGTCTATAGGTATAAAACAGTAATAACAGCAATGACCGCGTGTCACCCGATACGCGCACTTCAAACGCTACAGTCCCAAGGCGGAGAGGCCGACAGACACCACCTCCCTCCCCAGCAGAATATGGCATTCCCAACTACGACGTGACGGCCCCGCCTCCAACCATGCCTACATTTTAGCATAACCGACCTCGCGATGCGAGCACGCATCTAAGCAGTCCAGACTGACCTATTCGCTACGAAGGCAGTGATCCTACAGGCGTCGGCCATGGCGCACACGAAGCCGGTAGCGGCATAGCTTATGTCTATGAAGCGCCGAATCTGTAGTACGCGGGCTCACATAACCGCGGTTCCCGCACTCGGCGAGGGCGCCAGCTCGTGGTTTAGGGAACAGCTGTCGTGAACCAGACCACCGCACTAACAGACAATGCGTGCGAGAACAAATGTTGCCCATGTTTACGTGATAATAGTCGCGTGCGATGGCCGAGTACCCCATAGCCGACGTACCCGCACCTAACTAGCGATCCGATGACGATACGGGGGAGTGTCCCGGAGAAGCCGGAAGATCGCCATAGCGAGCCCATCGATGCCGTCGTAGTCTTCTATCGTGTCGTGCTCATACCGATGCCCCCATGCATTCCCGAACCGACTCCGTACTGTGTAGGTATGCTGCGTAATAATCGGCGGCGATCGGCCGGAGTTCCTGCGCAAAGGCTGCTCGTCGTAGCGAGAGCAGAGGCAGAGGGGGGTGTCGTTATGATGTGCGGGTGGGTGGCCAAGGAAATTCAGAGTGTCGAATGTACCTAGAGCAGTTATATGGCTCCTGACACGGAAGGATCCAATGCTACGTACCTAAAGAACTTCCTACATATACGCAATATACACATTGCCCGATTTCCCTCCCGTCCTGCTCCCGCCTGACCAGCTTCACACGAGCTTCTCGCGTAGTTATCGATGTACGTTCAGTCACCCAATCTAGAGTGCGAACGCTGGATCCCGTTCAAGTTGGCACTATACCCACATGGCTACCTGGTCTGTCAGCGTAGGGTGAACTTGCGCCTCCGTCTCCTCCTCTCGTCGCCTTCAAGCCCCCGCAGACGCCAGTTCTGATATCCTCGCCTCATAGAGCCGTGCACGTACGCGTAGCCTCGGAACGCAAACTCGCCCTCGTTTCCGTCCTCGCGCGGAGACAGCACGACGGGCAGCCTGGCGCCGTCGAGAAGAGCGACGGTGTCGCCTCCGCGGATCCCGCCCGGGGCCACGCCGACTAGGCCCATCCCCGTACAGAACATCTCCGCCTTGCCCGCCGCCGCCCTCCCGTAGGCCTCGAGGTGCCCGTACCAATCGTGCCGGCCGAGCGCGAGCCCCCACGAGTGCTCGTACCCGGCGGGGAAAGCTGCCGGGAAATCGGCTGTCTCTTCCCACAGGATCAGCCCGTGCGCCAGGTAATCTGCTTGGTGGTCTTTCTCTCTCTTCTTGGCTAGCTCGCGTCGATACCACGCCTTGGAAGCAGAAGCCCCCTTCTTGCGGTCCTTTTTCTCTCGGCTCGACCCGCCACCGCCCCGCTCGAAGAGACGTGCCGGGTCGTGCTCGGCGGCCAGGGTGGATGCCCTCGCGAGGAGGCCGCACAAGGCTTCTTCATCCGCAAGGGAGGGGCTGCTGCCTGTCTCCTCGAGCTGAACGCTCGCATCGATAGTGTCGAGTAAACAGCCTTTGAGCGCTAGTCTTCCGCCACCGAGATACTGCACATAGGTCGCGTCTGTGTCGGCTTCTTCCCAGGCGTTTTCCAGCAAGGTGCTGACTGGGGTGTGGAAGAGCGAGTACTTCAAGTTTGTGAAGTCAACTCCCCACGAAGGCAACCTCGGATTTCTCCATATTCTCAGCTGTGCTCCGACGTCGGAATCTCCGAGACCGGTACGGCTACTATTTTCTCCGGCACCTGGAGCAGCTCTGAATGGTATCCAGCCCAGGATGTCGAGCGTCGCGTCGGCACGGATGGCAGCACATGTCGCCTTGGCAAAAGTCTCTTCGATAGGCTCTTTGTAGTCGGGTCGGAGGAATCCAGCCTCACTCGCAGGCATCATGGCCAGGAGGCTGTAAATCTTGTCGTGGGCCACGGTAGCCTGGGACTGTCTCGCATTCCATAGCAGCGATGTTATCGGCTGCTCTTCCTTCTTTTGGTGCCGGTTCCTGATGCTTCGGATCCGAACAACGGCATCGTCCGCCTTGCTGACCGCGCGCTTGGTAGCCTCGTCCTCGTAGATGCAGTCCTCCCAGATACCGTAGAGCAACATGTGGAACCAGTACCACCGCATTTCACATGGCCCGAACATGACCGCTAGGCGCCTCGCGCACGCAGCCTCCTGCACTACCCACGCGCGCTCCCACCAATGAGGCGTCGTGTTGCGGATCGCGTCGATGAAGTGGCGTACCTGGCGTGCGAACAGGACGGGATTCGGCTGTCGATATAACTTCCAATACTTGACCTTGACAGAGCCTCGCACTCCAGGTTCAGCCGGCTCCGCCTTCTCGGACTCGCCGACCCAGACGAGCACGCGTGCGGCGCGCGAGTAGATCTCTCCCATCATGGCCACCTGCAGCCCTTTCTCGTCGGAGTCGTCCTGGTTGATGCAGAGAGCGTCGATCCACACGGTCCTCTCAGCACGGCGGTTGCGCAGCCGTCGCAGAGCGTAGTGCAGGTTGTCGGTCACCGGCCTGGTCTCGCCGTTGAGTCGGATCGAATGGTTCTCTTGCGAACCTCCCCACGTGTACGATAGAGCCTCGAAGCTGGCGTCGTCGTCGTCGAGGGCTGCAACGGTCAGGGTCCCGCGCAATTCGTCTTCGATCCGCGACGCCGGCTCAAGATGCAGCACGCGGATCTTCTTGGAAGCGCCGAGAGGGGTGCTCGCATAGACCGACATTTTGCGTGTCCCTACGCGAGGGCTTGCACGACGGCCCCCATCTGCCATCCTGGGCTGTGGCGTGCCTATTTAAACCCATCCAGGCTTATACCTCCCACGTGTTGTCCGGCTCTAAACACACTACTGTACTTAGTATCATCCTTTTTGGCGTGATTTGCTGACGTCAACTCACACGCCCACGTCGCTTTCTTTGCCACGTTGGGGGCAAGATCGATAAGATCACGAGCCAGGAGGATTAGACGTGCGTAGGAGGCGTAGTGTGTAAACAAGATCGGCGGGTGGCTCTATAACGTGTACGGAACAAGTCTTAGGCGACTAGAGACGCTCACGATAGGTAAGATTCGACTTCCTCGGCCGGAAAGGTTCGGGGCGCGGGAGTGCTATATTGCAGGCATTGAACAGGCACGATTCGTGTTTGTTCGCCGTTATCGAGTAAGCGCGTTACGAAGTTATAAATCCCTTATGTTTATTTCCGAACCGGAGTCGATTCCGTAGTCGACCAGTGCTGAGTGTCGAAATGTAACCGAGTTTCCATAGAAGCATCCCAGCGGTACATAATCGTAGAACAACACGACGAGAATGATGAATTAAAAACTACCTCGTGATGTCAAACCGAGACCCGGTTCGTCAACACACAAGTAATTGTAGGTAGGTACCTATGTATGTATGTATGTATGGCTGTATTAGACATTGTGTTGAACTTCTAGCTGTCTAGAATGCAACCCTCTTCACCCGATCGTCTGTGTAAGTATGTACGTCTTCAACACGAGCCAACCCAGTCGCTGGGGGTGTGCGGACAAAGCTATGAACATGGGTGTGTGTGTGTGTGTGTGTCGACTCTAAAACCTCGTCTTAATATGCACTAATCTCGCGCGAGCGTCTAAATTAATACGGCAGATGAAAGCCCTCTCGTTCAGACTAAGCGCTACACTCTAGGGGCCCCGGGGGGTCCAATCCGGCGGCGCGAGCTCCACCCCTTCGAAGACGAAGCCGGGAGCGACTGCACATAGGGTCGCATTAGCAGCCCTTCCAGAATAACCACTCTCTCGCCCAGCCACACGCGCCCCCGGAGACGAAACGCGCGAGAGCAAAAGGGAAGGGTGAAGGGAGATCGCGACGCTGCACTTACCAGTAGTCCCGACCAGGGTCCAGTTCCCGAGCGACCGCGCGCTCTGCCACACGTGCTTGGGGATGGCGAGCTGGGGGATCTGGCCGGCGAAGATGTCGGGGCCGAGCACGGTGACGTTGTAGGGCAGGCCGTCGTCGCGCGAGAGGGAGAGGGTGAGGGGGGCGCCGGCGTAGTAGTGCCAGACCTCGGCGGCGTCGACGCGGTGCCAGATGGAGTCGCCGTCGGCGCCCTCGAGCAGGTAGTAGATGGCGGTGCTAGCGGACCGCGTCGCCGTCGCGCTGGGCCCGGCGGGCACCGCGCCGCACGGGCTCGTCCGGATCACCCGGTCGCCGTCCTCGAACGACTGCACGTAGTACCCCTTCTCCGAGTTGGGCACCAGGTTGAGCTGCGCCACCACCTCCTGCGCGCTGCGCTCCCCGATCGGCACCCCGTCCGCCGCCGCCGCGCGCGTCGCCGCCGTCGCGAGCAGGCCCGCAGGCCCGAGCCCGAGGAGCAGCGCTGACGAGAGATGCATGGCCGATTCCCGCTTTCAGAGAGAGGGGGAGGGAGAGAGACAGGTCTGGGGATTTCGGCAGCCAGAGGAGGACGAAGGAGAGTAGTTGTGTCTGAAGGGGGAGAGGCGATTGGACGAGGGTGGTATCTGTACGTACGGGCGTGTATATATACGGAGCACCTACCCTCTCTGCGCCAGGCGGGTGGACATGTAATCCTGGGAAGGGATATATAGTAGGATTTCTATTACTTAAATGGCTGCAACGCTGCGGCGTTGGTTCCCAGCTCGATAGCGGCTGAATAATGGCTAGGAAATGAAGCTGACCCTCCCACGCGCAACGCTTCCATCCTTCCAACCACCCCCCCCGTCCGCGTCCCCCTGCGCACGCATGCCTCCAGCCGGCTTCGCTGCTCGTGCCAACATCCGCTACGCCCTCCTACCCAATTAGTCCGCCATGCTAACGCGGGCATCATTGTGTATCCGGGGCAGAGACAGCGCGGGGCGTCAACCGTCTTTCGAGGCTACAGGGCGGGAGGAAGGGGGGGGAGGGGACGGCAGGGGGCTGGCCAGCACGCAATCGTCTCCTGTTATCCGACTGCCTAGCCCTGTTGGTTCGAGAAACACAAAGATGGCTGGAACTATCGCAGCGAGGGCTGCACGAACCAGCAGCCAACCGGTATCGACTCGTCAGCTCCGGAAATTAAACCTGACTGAGCTCCCCTACTTCTTACGCACATCGCCTGTGCATTCTACGGTGCTAGGCCCTTTCAACTAACAGTAGTCTGCGCCCCAAAAAACGCCTCCTGCGCGGTTGGTCTTACATGGACGGAATCGTGTCGTGGGTGTTTCTCGCCGGCAACTCCCGCCACCGCTTACGCGATTCGGCTACCGTCCTGGTCCGCCCTTATGGGACAACTGCCTATTCTGGAAACAGCGGAGGTGGTAAGACTTTGGGAACTGGGTAGCCTCTCTTCTCTTGGGTGCTACCTATTATATCTGTTGGTTGCTGATAGCTCTCCACAATCGCCACGGGAGCTTCCAGCTGCTCGTGACCGCAAAAGGGTTGAAGTTCCGGGCCTCCAATCTAGCCAGGTAGTCTCCGGCTGGGACGGCTTCCAACAAGACGCTGAAACCCCGACGCAGATCCCTCCTGGCGTCGTCCTCTTCCGGGGTCGCTAACAGATACTCGTGCTGCTCCTCGCCACGATGCTCATATTCGTGGTCGGGATTTTGTCCCGCCTGCATGGTCTTGAACATCTCTCTTGCCGTGATAAGGTGGTCGTGCGCTCGCGTGGCCACTTTAAAGACGGCGTCCTGAAACCCGTCGGCGCTAGGCCCGTACCGATATACATGCTCTTCCTTGAGCCCTGTCTCTGCCATGACGTCTAGGGGTAGCAGCAACACCGGGTTCCTCCCGCTACCTACTCGGGCGCCGTCGGGTGACCGGACCGGAGGCGACGGAGCTGCGAGGATTGGGATGCCCCGCAGGGTAGCCACGATGCCGCACGTCTTGCCGATATGGCTCGCTAGATGGTCTACGTGCATGGAATGGATGGGGAGCGCAGCTAGGTTCGAGTACATCAAGGTTGAATACGTGTTTTCGGCATATTCTTCCAGGGAAGCTAGGGTCGCGAAAGGTCGGTTGTCCATGTACTTCTCTCGCGTATTGATGAGACGTAGCAGCCAGAACTTGATAGAGCTCGGTACGCCGTCGGTTTCGGACAGCTCTGATACGACCTTATGGAGCAGTATCATGATGGGTTCCTTGGGCGGGCGGCCGGCGAAAGTATTCTTGACGGCATCTCGCCAGAATTGCATCCGCACCTGGGCGATGACCGGGTTCGACACAAGCTCGGGGATCCGCACCAGCTCGAGGTTGAAAGCTCGTAACGCATCATAGGCATCTCGGCGAGATTTGGGCAGAAGATTCCGGATTAGGTAGGAATGGTAATCCGACTGTCTATTTTATTCAGCACTGGATGTCCTCCCTAATGGTGGTGCGTAGAAGAGTGCGCAGGACGTGACGTAGAAGGGCGGCAGAAGAGGAGGGAGGGGTCGATGTTGGAGGAGTCCTACTTCAACTGCGCAACACAATACTGCCTGGCTTTGTCCACCTCAGCAGTAGTGTAGTACTCTCTGCATGAGAACGGTGAGAATCGTGAGGGATCCCTAGGCCATCGGAGGCCCTGGCGTGCTCGAATCGCACGATACATAAGCAGAAATAATCATGTGAAGATCTTCATGGTGTTAACGGAGGGGAATTTCTGAGAGAGGTAGGGAGAGAGAAGGGCAAGTTCTTCCTGAGGTCTTTTTGCTAGGCGCAAGGCGAGGTGCGTATGTAAGGTACCCTCGACGGGTTAGGTACTTGAGTACACATACCTAAGATGTATCTACCTTATGTAAGGTACCTGCTGAGAGGTACCTGAGGTACGTAGTGCCTTCGATTACGTGACCTGCAGATGGAAAGACGGAAAGAACCTTCGGTGGTATCACACCCTAAGCATAAAAAGAACAGGACCTTACCTAACTAGGTACTAATGCACCTACGGAGCTAGTCTATTTTGAGCTAAATGGCAGTAAACTAAAACCGTTGCGGTGGGAAAGGAAGGCGCGTCTGGCGTTGGTAGTTATTGGGCATGCGCGTGTTCGTGTTTCTGCATCTCCGAGAACCACCTGCCAAAGACGGAATGCAGAATGCCGAACGCCTGTGTTGAATTGGATCTCCATACCAGCAAGTCCTCCGTATCCGACCTGCCAACCCGCCATTCCGCCAATCCGCCAACCCGCCCGACGTGTTAAACAGTTCCCTCTTCCCATGTACCCGTTGCTATGGTGCATGGGGCCTTTTTCGATGAGTATATGATGAGTGTGAAGGGGTTAGAAGAGCCTCCTGCCAAGAAGAGGAGGTTCTCTCGAGATGATCCGAAGGATGAGGGTGACCCGACTCCGTTCTGCCTGCAAAAGGCATCGCATCTTGCGGACCAGGCGGTCGACGATGCTGCGAACCAAGCCCCGGCCGCGAACCCTCCCAGCGAACCTCCCAGCGAACATCCTCCCTCGGTAACAACGTCAACAACTGCTACGCACGACCTTGCGGCGTTTGACGTAAATGCCTTCCAGAGCTTCGTAGGAGGCACAGTCGACGCCGAGGCGCTGCGCATCATCGGCAGCAAGTGCGGAAATAACCTAGAGCGAGCAGTTAATATGTACTTTGATGGCACATGGAAGAACTATCGGCGCCGCACACCTTTTAAGAATGCGGCCTCGCTTTTTGCCCTTCGCACTTCCCCCGCCGTTCCGACCGACCACGTCGACGAGCCTGACCCCCTCCCAGTACGGCCTGACCGGTCACAGTCTATGCCTACGAGTCGATACATCGGTGCCTTTGGTGTGGAAGGGTGGGTCACCCGCAGCGGAAACAACTTGGTGAAGCATGGAGATACCGTCAAGATCGAGCGCCAGAAAATCCAACCGCCAACCTCGTCCCTCAAAACTAAGGGCAAGGCTGGCCCGGCGTCGGCCCCCCGAGGAAACTCGGCCGCAGCTAGGCGAGTCGATGTTATTGTGCGGTTCACCGATGCTCGAGGCACCGAAATCGGGAGATTAGCTAAGGATACCGCAAATTGGGTGTCTTCGCTTATGGATCAGAAGGTCTGCAGGTTTGAAGGCAGCTGCGTGTATGCCCCTGAAAGATTGAGGACGAACGATACCGTATTCCTCCAGTTGCGGTGCTTTCTGTTGAGAACCGCCTTCCAGAATACCGGAGCCGGGTTGTCGGACAACCGTTCCACTGGTTTTTTCGAAGAGAAGGAAACGGCAGAGGAACGGGGCCTACGGCTACGACAAGTCGCCCTCGTGCGATTATTCCAGGAAATCAATCTTACGCCGGCACGGAAGAACGCAGCAGCCGCCAGGAACGCCAGGCAGGGCCTTCTTGATGCCGCCGAGATGGCCGAGAAGAAGAACAAGGACGTCAAGTCTAGTAACCGGTATGCTTGCCTTGAATGTTCACCGGACCCGCCGGGCATACTTATAGTATAAAGTGAGACTCCAGGTTCCTCTCCGCCCCCAGATGACGCCGAAGATGGCCAAGAGCTTGAACAAGACCAACTGGATGCTCTGTACCGAAAGGCCCAGTCGTTTGACTTTAATACGCCCGAAGCCGAACCAGCTGAAACCTTTAACATGGATCTCCGCCCGTACCAGAAACAATCGCTATATTGGATGATGGCAAAGGAGAAAGACCACAGGAGCGGGGACCGTGAAGCTTCCATACACCCCCTTTGGGAAGAATACATTTGGCCGACGAAAGATGTGGACGACCAAGATATCCCTCCAGTCGACGGCCAGGCTAGTTTCTACGTAAACCCGTACTCCGGTGAAATGTCCTTGGACTTCCCCGTTCAAGAGCAACACTGCCTCGGCGGTATCCTTGCCGACGAGATGGGTTTAGGCAAGACAATTCAAATGCTGAGTCTCATACACTCGCATAAGTTCGAGCTAGCGACAGAGCGTACCCATCCATCTCTCGGCTCCGTGAACGATCTACTACGACTTTCCTCATCCGGTAGCTCTGGCATTGTTTCTGCGCATAAGACGTCTTTAGTTATCGCACCGATGTCGCTGCTTGCCCAATGGCAGAGCGAAGCGGAAAACGCCTCCAAGGAGGGCACCCTGAGGTCTATCGTCTATTATGGCAACGAGAAAGCCGACAACCTCCAGATGCTATGCTGCGATGCCAATTTCACGTCGGCTCCTGATGTCGTCATTACTAGCTACGGGGTGGTACTGTCGGAATTCACTCAGATAGCTTCGAAGAACGGGAATAAAGACTCGCACCGTGGCTTATTCTCACTCGACTTCTTCCGAATCATCCTCGACGAAGCTCACACGATCAAGAATCGCCAGTCGAAGACTGCGAAAGCCTGCTACGAGCTTTCGGCTAAACATCGATGGGTTCTGACGGGGACGCCCATCGTGAATCGCCTAGAAGACCTATTCAGTTTGGTCAGGTTCCTCAGGGTTGAGCCGTGGAACAACTTTTCCTTCTGGAGGACGTTTATCACGGTCCCATTCGAGTCTAAGGACTTTATGCGTGCTCTTGACGTGGTGCAGACAGTGCTAGAACCGTTGGTAATGAGAAGAACGAAGGATATGAAAACGCCCGATGGGCAAGCGTAAGCCAATCCCGTACGGTGTCGGGCCAACTTGGCACTAACATCGCCTAGTCTTGTTGCCTTGCCCCCAAAGTCAATTGAAATCGTCGAGGTCGAACTCTCCAGAGCTGAACGCGATGTGTATGATCACATCTTCACTAGGGCCAAGCGCACTCTCTCCTCGAATGTCGAGAGGGGCACGGTGATGAAAGCGTTCACCACCATCTTCGCCCAGATCCTCCGTCTACGCCAGTCGTGCTGCCATCCAATCCTGGTCAGGAACCAAGAAGTGGTTACCGATGAGGAAATTGCCGGGGCAGAAGCCGACGCGGCAGCGGGTCTCGGTGACGACATGGACCTTCAATCTCTGATCGAACGATTCACGGCGACTACGGACGACGGGAGGGATGCCAATGCCTTTGGCGCCCACATTCTCGCGCAAATCCGAGACGAGGCCGTGAACGAATGTCCCATCTGCACAGAGGAACCCATGATCGACCAGACGGTCACCAGTTGCTGGCACTCCGCTTGCAAGAAGTGCCTCTTAGATTACATAAAGCATAGGACCGATCGCCATCAAATACCGAGATGCGTCAACTGCCGCGAACCAATAAACGCACGCGATTTGTTCGAAGTGGTGCGGCACGATGATGAACCGGACGACGCATTACACGCGGCACCGAGGATCAGCCTGCAGCGATTAGGAGTGAACGAGTCTTCAGCAAAGGTTGTGGCCTTGATGAAACGGCTGCGCGAATTGCGGAGGGAGCACCCGCGTATGAAATCGGTCGTCTTCAGCCAGTTCACCTCGTTCATGTCGCTCATAGAGCCGGCGTTAACCAAGGCTAATATGCGATATCTCCGGCTGGATGGTTCTAGCAACCAGAAGGCCCGCGCCGCCATTCTGAGCGAGTTTAGGGGGTCCAGCAAATTCACCATCCTGCTGATAAGTTTGCGGGCTGGCGGTGTGGGACTGAACCTGACGCAGGCGAAGCGCGTCTTTATGATGGACCCATGGTGGAGCTTCGCGGTCGAAGCCCAGGCCATCGACCGCGTCCACAGGATGGGCCAAGAGGACGTAGTCAAGGTCTACCGTTTTATCACCAAGAACAGCGTCGAGGAGCGGATGCTCAAGGTCCAGGATAGAAAAAAGTTCATGTAAGCGCGCCCCCCCTCCCCGCCTCCGCCCCCCCGGTCTCCTCTCCCTTCACTTTTCCTTTTCCTTCTTTCTTTTTCCTTTAACCATTCCCGGTTGGCTACAAGTTGCAGTGGGATCGAGCAGCTAATGCAATGCCGTTCTTAGTGCTACGTCGTTAGGGATGATGACAGACGAGGAGAAGCGGCTGCAGAGAATCGAAGATATCAAGGAGCTATTGAGCTAAGCTCGGTTGAGCCAAGCTAAATCGACGCTGGGCAAATTGCGCGGTTCGGACGTAGGTGGGACACATGCACATCCACCCTCGGCATATCATCTCGTCGCCATCGGGGCGGCGGTGGTGTTTGGAGAACTGCGGTGAACCACAGGATACATACATCCAGGGAAATGCATGGGTTGCATCGGACTTTTCTCTCTGTTCTCTCTCTGTCCCCCTCTCCTCTTTCGCATTCGGCGGGCGGTATTTATTAGGTAGCCATGCATGGAGCTATGAAGTCGACGTCGCAGAGCTGGTCAAGACGACTCGAGGAGAAAGGAGGGGGGTTGCATAGCATGAAGATATAGAGGAGAGGGGCTGCTCTATTGCGACTCACTAACCTGTATTCATCTCGGTCGCTGCCACGTCAATGGTTTTGCCAATCCCTTCCTTCGACCTAATCCCGAATCCTTCGGCGATCGCGTGGCATCATGGTTACATGACTGCCTCGAACCACGCAATACTGGGAGTAGTTAACCTCTTCGAGATTATAAGTAGAAGTTCGTTTCCCTCGCCGCTTTGAACGATGCACGCTGTCGCCTGATTGAAAAAAAAGACTATTTGGCGTATTTTTTTTCTTTTTCCTTATGTTCTTTCTCTTTCTTTTCGTTTTTCTTTTTTGCCTCGTTGCTCTTCATCCTTTCTCCGCTTGCTTTTCTTCTCCTGTTGCCTCCGGCCAGCTAATCATTACCTCCTAGGTAAATTAGCCATCAGTGCTCCCTCCCCCTGGCGAGGCCTAAGCAGGGTCACCGTTGTCCAATCTGGCCTCTCTCAGCGTTGTCGCAGTATAAATCGACCTGATATCAATCAATAGCCCCTGAAGATGGGCAGAAGCAGGGGTTTCTATAGGAGGCCGAAGGGGGGAGAAACTAGGGCTATTTTTAGGGACTATCTTTAGCGCATAAACTCCCCCCCAGGCAACCTGTACCTAATCACTAGGTCGACGGCCTAAGGTAGGTACGTTGCGCCGTGTACCTACATAAAATTTAGGTACCCGATTGCACAATTCCAAATATGTACCTAAGTACCCAAGGTCGTCCTCTTTCCATTTGCCAGAGGGGGACGGGTCGTTTCGAGCTTATGCATCGCATTATTTAGTCTGTCGGGCTTTGAGATTTTGGCCGCGTATCTGCACACAGGTAAGGTAGTCGTCGGTCGGTGTCCGTGTCTGTATGTAGGCACATATATATGTGTGCGTATACGTTAGGTATATAGGCAGGCAGGCAGGCAGGCAGGTAGGTAGGTAGGTAGGAAGATAGGTATATATATGTGTGTGTGTGGAATGTGTTTCGTCGTTAGTTGAACGGGTTATCAGAGACGACCGGCCTAGTGGCCACTTATTTAAAATGGCTTCCGCTCGCTGTGACACCATTCCTCGCGTCGTTCCGCTCCGCCCAAAGTGTTAGGCGAGCGGGAAACCTTGGCGCCGGCCGGCCTCCTAACGAGTTAGCAGCGGCAGCAGCAGACCGGTCGTTGATCCTCATATATGTACATACCTACATACATAGGTATACACACGTTGGTTCTTATGTATACATCGTATACGGCGGCCGGCGAAGTTCGAAGGCAGGACTTTTTGCCACCCTGGCGGGATTGCGTCGAAAGCGTTACCAAGATACCGGTCCCCATAACAACGCGCAGGACGGCGTTTCTGCTCATTAAATAAGAATCCCGTCGGTGGAGCCCGGTTATAGGAGAGAGAGAGAGAGAGAGAGGAGGGAGAGATACAAGGAGCTACGTACCAGGTATGTATGTACGAAGGCGTGTCCGAGGTAGCCTTGGAGGTTAAGACGATACAGACGACCTACACACCTCCATACGTGTATGTATCGCTACAACGCACGCTGGGTGGCCCAGGTACCTGAACGTCACGGCACCGGTATGTACACCCCCTCCGATCCGGTGCATTCGGTACATACGCATGGCGTCTGCGGCGTGGCATGTGTTGTTGGGCTGTTTTGCTGTTGGGTGTATAATAAGCGACCTGGGGGACACTGGGGGACTTGGGCAGGCGGGTATGGCGGCCCCGGCTCCCCTAGAGCGAGGGCTATCGGGTGATTTGCGGAGATAGCTCCGACAGCCTTAGCCCCAAGTGGCTAGAGTGGCTGAACTAGCCTGGACTACCTGGTCAGCGACTGACATCTGGCCCAGGACGGGTACCGCCGCAGTATTGAGCCCAGCAGCGCCGGCTCATCGTATACATATCGGGTACCTCGCCTCCCGTCTCTTGGGGACGGGCTCGAAGGCTTTAGACCTAGCCGGAAAAAACTCCGCGAGGAGCGGCAGGTACATCCCATACGTACTGGACGTAGGACAATTGAGCAATCGAGAGCGAGGGGGAAGCTGCGGGCTGCTGTTATTAATTATGGAAGGGTCAGGTGCGGGTGACATTCAGGAGGTGGCCGACAGCCTACAGCGCGCCATTCTTTCTTCCTCATCTTCTCGCAGTCTGGAGAGCAGCAGTCTGGAGTCAGGCCCCGGCATGGACCCTGCCACGAGAGCCATACACCCGAACCCACGTCGCCCTGGCCTGCTGCCGCTCGCACCCGCACCCGTTGGAAGCTCGAGTCGGGCTTCCGTCGGTGCCGGCTCGAGAGGGAGGCGCCAGGTCACAGCCGCGTGCGAGGCCTGCCGGAAGCGGAAGTCGAAGGTAGGTCCTACAAACGCGATCTCTCTGCTTGGGGGGGAGGAGGAGGGGGAGGAGGTGGAAGAAGGGGAGGGGGGAGGGGAGAGGAAGAAGAGGAAGAAGAAGAGGAGGAGGAGGAGGAGGAGGAGGGAGAGGGAGAGGGAGAGGGAGAGGGAGAGGGAGAGGGAGAGGGAGAGGAGAGGGAGAGGGAGAGGAGATGATGACGGCGATGACGGGAAAGGAAGGAGGAGAAGGGGAGGGGGGGGGGGGACGAGAGGAGAGGAGGCGGCAGAGACGAGACCGAGACGAAATGCCTGCCGACCTGTTCTCCTGCCGTCTCTCCCCCCCCCCCTCCTCTCCAATAGGACGCGAGGGCAGCACGTGATGCTCGTCGAACCCGGGACATCGTTATACACCTCACCCGCTAACCTCGTCGTGTCTGGTAGTGTAATGCTGAGCGCCCCAGGTGCAGCCTCTGCGTCCGGCACGGCACCGACTGCCAATATGCTACGGCTCCGGCGGAAACGCACTCCCAGGCCCTCAAGCGAAAGCACAGCGAGCTGCAGGACCGGATCACGCCGTACGAGGAGCTCTTCGACTTCCTCAAGACCAAGTCGGACACTGAGTCCGTCGAGATCCTGCGCAGGATCCGGTCCGGCGCCGACGTCGGCTCCGTCCTCCGTCACGCAAAGGATGGGGATCTGCTCATTCAACTCTCCCTAGCCCCTGAATCCCGTCGTCGCTATGAATTCCCCTACAAAGCTGAAATGCCTGCTTCCATCCTGTTGCCGGATAACCTCTACTTACGCTCCTTCGTATTTGAAACCACATTCAATGATCTCCCCTCTCTTGGCTCTTCTCACCTTTCGCAGCAGCTCCAGGGATCTAGCGACGATCGATACCTCAAGCCCTTCCACGCGGCTCAGATTATCGACCCCAACTTTTCCAATGTGGTCGTCTCGAAGTGGACCACTGTCACGTCCAACGACCACCTCTTGCGACGGCTCCTCACCGCCTACACCTACTACCAGCATCCGTGGACCGCAGCCTTTCACCTGAAATACTTCCTCGACGACATGGCTGCTGGGCGGGAACGCTTCTGTTCGTCTCTGCTGGTCAACGCCGTGCTCGCTGCCGCCTGCGTAAGTCTGACGCGAACGAACGAAACGAGCGAGGGCAGTCCGCCGGCTGACTCTCACCTCCACAGCACATGTGCCGCGATATCCCTGACCGCACCAAGTTTTGGCTTCCGCATACGCTTGCGTATCAGTTCTCGGCCGAGGCAAGAAGACTATGGGACATAGAGAGCCGGAAGAGCACAAGCAATCTAACGACGATCCAAGCAGCCATCGTGCTGAGCATCGTGGCCACCACTACTGCTATGGACAAGGTCGGCACGTCATACCTGTCGCAAGCCATCGCTATGGCATATAACCTGAACATCTTCAGCGCTACCGCGGGCACCGACGACGAGGCGGTACGGAAGGCGCGGGCGTTTACGGCCTGGGGGCTCTTTTGCTGGCAAGCGTACGTTGGCGGAAACGGTGGATCCTGGAGTCGTTCTTTTGCTAAACGGAACATAGTTGGCAAGGCTTCTACTTCGGCATCCCTCCTCTGATTAGCCACCCTCCGCAATATCCGCTTCCCGACCCCCGAGTCGACCCCCAATGGTATGGCGAGATATGGGTGCGCTACCCGTTAAGCCAGACCTTGTTTCCCATCAACCTCAGCCACGTCATCCGGACGAACTTCGACCTGCGGAAGCTCATGAACGACATAGCTGGCGAGGTTTTCGTGGTGGGAAAGCCTCCCAACGCAACCGCCCAGAAGGTCCTCGATCTGAAGTCTAGGCTCGACGCGTGGTTTGCGGACCTCCCGGAAACTCTGGCGCCGACGAGAGTTGTGCTTCCAGACCACCTCAAAATTCAGTAAGTGCAAGCTTCCTGTCGCGACGATGGCCGCCGCCGAATTCTGATACTCTCGGGGTCGTCTGGCTCAACTAATTAATATGCGATCGCCTTAGCTTGGAATATTACGGCATCTTGATCTCGATTATGCGCTTCCCCGTAAAGCTTACGCCCAACCTAGAGGTGACCTGGCATAACATCATCAGATACGCGGAAGTGCGGCTGGAGACTCTACTACGTCTGTATTACCTGCGGCATAGTTTCGAGTGTTACGACCCGCTGCTGATGCAGTATCTTATGCTCCTCGGTGACACGACATTAGAGAAGTTGCACAACGCTACGGAGCCGGAGGACCTCGAGGCCCTACGGTCTACGCTAGTCCTGTGCGCCAAAGGCTTGTACGACCAAGGGCACAACTACCATATCGCCGTGCTCGTCTTCCGGCTGATGCGTGACCGGATGAAGGAGAACGACTTTGACTTGCTGCGCACCCACCTCTTCGCCTCGTCCCCTCCGCCCACGACTGCGAGCGAGATCGGCACCTCCGAGGACGACCCGCCACTCATGGTGAAATACGTCCGGGCACAGTGGCAGGTACCCATCCACACGCCCGACACCGGCCCGACGAAGAGGTCGCTGGAGTACCTCGTCCGGGAATACGGGATGCTCTCCCTCGATTCCGAAATTGCGGGCCAGGGTGGTAGCTCGGCAGAACCCGGGAGGCCGAGGCCGTGATGGGACGAAAGCCCGCCTATCTCTCTCTTCAAGTTAACTGTGGTGTTTTTTTCAAGGGGAGCGGAGGGGGGGCGGAGTTGGACCAAAGGGGGCGCTTGCAGAGGGGCATATCAGGCGTTTATTTACAAGGAGAGCTGGGGACGACGCCCCTCAATTACCGACAACTGGGGGAACATTTGCATTGAGGTTAGGTTTGAAGTGGCATTCACGATTCTTCTACGCACGAGAGGATCCGGCAGCGACATTATGGAGATGACGAACGATTCACGCCAGCGATTCCCCGTCCCGCCAGGCAGCCGGCTGGGCTTATTCACGACGAATTTGTGAACTCGTAAGTAAGCGAGTGAGCGAGCGAGCTTTGGGTAGATGTTTTTTTTTTTTCATCCCGTCCTCCCAGCCGACCAGGTTGGCTTGGGTGAGGACGTGGTGATTCGAGACGAGGCTCGCTTCTAGGCTGGAGCCCTTTCGGAAATGCCGCAGACGTTATTTATCAGCGGGTTTCGATTCTGGCCTCAAGAGAAGAGAGATTGGACATGGGATTTTATATATATCTATATATATACAATTCTATGCGTATATATACACGAGAAAAGCGAGAGAAAAAAAAGAGATATCCGGTCCTGCAAGTCTACGATCAGATGTACGAATCTGTCTGTCGTGATCACCTTGCCTGGCGTACGGCGTCGATTTGGGAGGTTGAGAGGTAGCTACGTAGGTATGGGGTAGGCAGAGAGGCAGGCGGGGAGGGGGTTGGCGGGGGTTTTGCTGATTTTCTCTCTTGCTCGTTTTTGCTCGCCCTTCTCCCTCTTTCGCCCCCGTCTTCCTCTAGTCGTTTTTTGTTGTTTTCAGTCTCCTTGGGGAGGGGGTTACTTTGTTGTACTTTGGGTGCTCGTCTAGCATGGAAGACTTTGGCGTCGTTGATGTTTAGGTATAGGTTGTTATATATGGCGGGCTGTTACTGGCATTAGCTCGTCCACTAACATATAGGTAGCTAAACTAGTCAGGTAGGTAGGTAGGTAGGTAGGTGTGTCCCCACCTGATGCTTGGACGTACGTATGGATCCTTTTAGCACCGGAGGCGTCAGAATGTTCGATATGCAGGCCAAACAGACCCTGGCTATGGATTCCTGGCTATGGATTCCTGGCTGTCGCTATCCGAGGTGGCTAGCCTTCTGGGCAACCTCTATACCTAATCACGTAAGTCGTCTCCGGTCTCGTGTGCCTGGCTACGCCACATCCGGCACCTAACCTACCTACCTCGGTACCCAAGGCACTGCTCTAACTAAGGCGCAACTTAGAACCCCTCATACGGGAACTTCCCACGACGGCACGCATGCATCCCTGGGGCAGGCCGTCTCTCCTGGCCTTTACCTACCTACCTACCTACGCAGCACTAGCCCCGCCAGCCGTGTGGGCCGCTCGGCCCCTATGCGCGCCGTCTGCTCGCCCTCGCGCGTCCTCCCACCGAGGCGGGACCCCCTGGATGGGGATCCTCTCGAAACGCGAACCGTCGGCCTGGCCTGCAGCCCGCTATTGGCCCGACGGATGGCGGCGCGAGGGCTAGCGAGGTACGCGTGCGGCGACGGCGACGGAGAGGACGACGACGTTCGGCGTCAGCGTCGGTGTCGGCGGGTCTTCTTTTAGAAGCGTGCTATGGAGGCGCGTACAGTTATAATAGGTACCTACCTACCTGCCTAATCGAGCGCGTGCAGACGTATATGCTAAGTGCGGAGTCAACCTCGGCTCGAGGCGCGTGGGAGTAGGCCGAGAGGGCTCGAAGGGAGAGTGGAGGGGAGGGGAGGGGAGGGGAGGCAGGAGAGACAGAAAGGGGGAGAGAAAGGTAATGGATATGACTGCGTGATGTAGGTGCCTGGGTGGGTGGGTAGGCAGGTATGCAGGTGAGATAGCGAGCGGCGTAGGTACACATGATGATTCACGCTATATTATACCTGCTGTAGGTAGGGGATCCGAGGCGGGCTGACTTGCCTACATACATACAGACAGGCAGACAGGCAAGCCATCCGGTTTGCCGGCTGGGGCAGAGACACAGCATGCTTACCAAGGATGGGGACGGGGGGGTGTCACGGGGAATGGGGGAATGGGAGGGACGTGCTGGCGCGAGATTTGTGAAAGTGATATGTGATAGCGCGGGGATCGACTCCGGTCGGTTACGAGCGCTAGCTGGGGGTGGGCTGGGGGACCGCCCCGATAAGGAAGAGAGATAGGCCGCCGGGAATATTGTCGTTCTTCTTCTCCCCCTCCCTCTCTCTCTCTCTCTTTGGTCCGGCAGGGATCATTCCCGCTTCGCTTCGCTTCCCAGCCATCACGACCCAGATTCGACGCTCTTGAACCGTACAGGTTCAGCGATGGGCCATCCCACCTCAGATGTCGCCGTCGGTGAAGTCCAGGCCAATGCCAGCTAGCGCCATTATCGCACCGCGGCCGCCGTAGTAGTAAGTCTTTCGTTCGATATTAGGTACTGCCTTTATTCATCTCGGCCATTACTACGTGCATTTGAGTACCTTAGGTAGGTGTAGGTACCTAAGGTAGGTACAAGAAGTACCTCAGTGCCTGAGGTAATCTACAATTAGGTACCTCTATGCGCAACAGGTACCTCGATGTTTCGGGCAGGCGCCTGATGGGGGGTTTCCGTCGCGTCCTCGTCGGCCCCCAATCCCAGCAGCTGCGAAGACGGGCTGCCCCTTCGGGCTACGGGATGCGGAGCAGCCAAGCACCTCCCCTCTGTTCGACCACCGTGGTTTCGGAAGGAGAGCTTGCTGAGGAGCGTATTACATAAACACCATCATATTAGCCTAAGACAGCCTGACGCAACCCCCCATGCTTTCAATTCCGGATTTAGTTCGCCAGATGCTGCTGGGTTCCCCCCCCCCCTCCCTCTCTTCCTCCTCCTGCTCCCCCTTCTCCCCTTTCCCACCTCCCCGTCATCATTGGGCGACACGCCGCTCGATCGACCCTCTTCCCTCGCCAGGACCGAGAGCTTCCTAAGTAAGCAAGTAACCAAGCTGGCACACCTATCCAGCCAGCTTTCTCGACCGAGTTGTGTCCAGTCGAGTTTCCTAAATCGGGCTTCGGCTTCTTGCCGTCTGTGCCTGGGATCGACTCGCTCCCCCTCCCCCCCCGGACAGCTCCGCCGCCCGTCGCCACAGGACGGACCCCGTATCTGCCATCAGAGATAGGGCAGAAACGAGAAGGACGCACAGAGACAGACAGAACGGCAAGATATCATTTGTAGGAGATTACGATGTCGCCCTGGTCGAGGGGCGGGGGGACCTCACACGCACCGCTGCGTAAGTCGGGATGGTCGATTGTGTTCGCATCGCGATATATGACTTGCCACAACTCGACAAATATGGCCTGCGTAGGTGCTCCCTCCAGAAGCGTGCGTCCTGTGTTATGTATTGCGTGTAGGTCTGTGATGGGCAGGAGAATTCGGCCCTTTACGCAGTTAGGGAATATGTCACCGTTATGACGATAGCTAAGGCGGCCGGGGCTGGAAGCGGCCGGAACCCCCAGAGAATACGAAGACGCAGGTGGTAGCAGAGGCGTGCAGACGTGCCCAGTAGCGAGGACCTTGACGGGCCCCCCGAGGCCCAGCTTTCTCTCCCTTGCCGCGACGCGTGAGGGTCACATCGTTACTGGGTCACGAAGCAGAGAGCCGCCAAGAGCCCCCAACGGCTCAGAGACGGTGAGGAGATGGGGACGGCGTGGCGTGTGCGGTTGGCCTGCCTTTCTCGGCAATTGGCAGAGATAGCATCAGAGAGGGGGCCCGGTCACGAATTTCCGGGCGTCTATGCCATACGGACATCCCGTTCGCCTATTGGTCGGCGCTGCTAGCGACCGGACCCAGGTTCCCATGGGCACGAGAGGAGCGCGGACAGGGACGCTGCCCCAGTACCGCGATTCTCCAGTCTGCGGACTCATTATCCGCCAAGCTCCAGGCGTAGCCAAAGTGCCGGAGGATACTCGAGAATCCGGTTGATACCGCGCTGACCCTACAAATTAAAACGACCACCCACCTACCGCTTTGGGTAGATTGGCATGCTACGACAGTATCTACGTCCATGATGCCATTGCTTACAGCCGCCCGCATCCTCGTCGATATGCGATCAGGTCTATCGACCCAGCCGGCTTCCCGACCCGAGCCGCCCCAGTCGAGCGCCCGGGCGCGCCGACCTGGGACGAATACTTAAGGCCTCGCGGAGACGACAGCCTCGCCAGACAGCCCCCAAGTCTCTGCTCACCTCCCTTCCAACGACTACCCGGCACACCAAGTCTGAGTCGGCGCCACTAGCTACGCAGGATGAAGTACGCTCTGAACGCGATCGCCGTCGCGGCCCTCTCCAGCTGCGTGCTGGCGAAGGAGCTGCCTCCAGACGACGAGCGGGGGGCCGAGATCTTCGCCAGCGGTCTCCGACACAACAGCATCATGGAGACTAAGGAGGTAAGAGTCATCAGCCGCTCGAAGCTCTGCCGAGCACCGTGAATCCGGGGGCGGAGGGGACGACGAAGTCACATGCTGACCGTGACATCCTACATAGACCTACTGGGCCGGCCGGAGAGAGCAGGGCCTGTTCGACTCGAGTCAGTACAAGAGCATGAACACAAGCGTCGATGTGGTTGCCTGCGTCGACGGGGTAGCTGCGCTCGTGGTCGGTGACCCGCTCTACACCTTCAGGTGCAAGGGGCTCGACCTGTACGACTTCCAGTCCCACGCCGACCTCGGCAGCAACGGTGGCGAGGGCGCTGGTTCTTGGGGCTGGACCAGCCCTGACGGTCGCGAGTTCGTCGCCATTGCCCAGTCTGACGGCTCTGCTTTCGCCGAGATCACCCCCGCGGGCAAGTTGGTCTACCTCGGCCGGCTACCGCAGTACCCTGCCGCGCAGCCGTCCCTATGGCGCGAGATCAAGGGCTACAAGAGCTACATCGTCATCGGTAGCGAAGCCGTAAACCACGGCGTCCAGTTCTTCGACCTGACCAAGCTCCTCGACGTCGACCCCGCCAACCCCGTCACCTTCAACAACGAGGACGACATCAGCCACTTCAACGGCCTGCCCATCGGCCGTTCCCACACCGTTCAGACTAACGAGGAGGCCGGCTACGCCGTCGCCTCTGGCTCCCAGCCGCGCAGCGACAAGTGCGCCTCGGGCCTCATCTTCATCGACCTGTCGGACTTCTCGAACCTGACGTCGCCCGGCTGCGCAGCTGCTGACGGCTACGTGCACGACGCCCAGTGCCTGATCTACCGGGGCCCCGACGAGAAGTATGTCGGCGAGGACATCTGCTACGGGTACAACGAGGACACGTTGACGATCTATAACGTGACGGACAAGAAGAACCCGTCCATCATCTCGCGGACCAGCTACGAGGGCGCCAGCTACACGCACCAGGGTTGGGTCCTCGACGAGCAGTGGCAGCAGTACCTCGTGCTCGACGACGAGTACGACGAGTACGACCGCGCCGGCCCTGGCGCCGCGGGCTACCCGATCACGTACATCTGGGACATCTCGTCTCTCGAGGCCCCCAAGCAGACCGGCTACTACCAGGGTTTGCGCAAGGGTATCGACCACAACCAGTTCGTCAACGGCGGGCTTTTGTATCAGAGCAACTACGGCGGCGGCCTGAACGTGCTCGACGTGTCGTCGATCCCCGAGGACCCGACGGGCGCGGGCGTCACCGAGGTAGCCTACTTCGATATCTACCCAGAGGACGACAACGCCGAGGGCGGTGGCCAGATCGCGTTCCAGGGCACCTGGAGCCACTATCCCTACTTCAAGAGCGGCTACATCCTCATCAACACGATCGAGCGCGGCGCTTACGTTGTCAAGTTCTCGTCGTAGAGCGGGTAGGGGAGGCTAATTGTCCGGAAAACTGGGGTTCACTTGGGTTAGTCTACAAATAGTCTTGGAATAGAAGCAAAAATTTTTTTGAAAACACCGCGTGACGCCTCACAGCCTCCAAGGAACCCTCCTGACTCGTAGTACACCGAATAGAACACCGTAGATTATTTATAAAAACACCTTTCAGACTCATGTCACTCTCCAAATTCTGCCACCGAGACGCTGTCAAAGTAGTCACGCGCTCAAAACCTCTTTGGTGACGCGGGCTTCTCGGGCTTAAGGACGTAGTCACTGCCGCGCCAGGCCTTGTACACGCCATAGAGTCCCTGGAACGGACGGGCCTTGCGCAGCGCGCGGGGCATCCACGAAGTCTTCTCATCCTTGGCCTCTCCCGCGTCGCCGTCGCGCGTCCGGACCTTGTCGTATACGCTGGGCAGGTGATCGGCGTGGTAGCGCACGCGGTCGGCGTCGTAGGTGGGGCGGTCGTAGACGCTCCAGAATTCGGCTTCGGAGTAGTGCACGCGCGCATACAGCAACTTCTGGCCGCGCAAGGTAAGAAGCTTGCGCTCGAGGGCGCGGTCGGCTTGGGCGACGTTTCGGACGGCGGACGACGACGACGACGACGACGACGGCGACTCGGGCGACGGGCGGGGGCGCGGCGGGCCCCGGATGCCGATGTTGAGGCGGAACATGGCGCGGGACGGGTCGGCGAACGCGGCGTGCAGGCCGTGGGCGGCGTCGGGGCCGTTGCGGTAGACGCGGATGGGGCACAGCCACATGGGGTAGATGCCGAGCTCGGCGCCAGCCCAGCGGAAGAGCTCCTCGTCGGCGCCGTCGGCGTCGGCCTCGGTGCCGCCGACGTACCAGGGCACGGCGGCGTCCTGGATGACGTAGGCGTCGGCGAGGCGGCTGGCGTGCAGGGCGGGGTACATGAGGCGGGGGCGCAGGCAGGAGTCGAGGGCGGCGCGGGTGAGCCGGTTGAAGGGCGCCCAGAAGTACGAGAAGACGTGGCGCCCGATCCAGAACGCGCCCCGCTCCCACCGGAAGAGGTAGTCGACGAGCGGCACGAAGTCGACGACGGCCCGGCCCGGCCGCGCCACGCGCTCGCGCACGTCGAGGTAGAACCACGGGTCCCAGCGCCCGAGGTAGCGCCGCGGCTGGACCTTGTTGTTCTTCTCCTTCTTCTTCCCGGGGGCGGCGGCGGCGCCGTCGCCGCCGAAGCCGTCCTGGGACGCGTCGCGCGGGAGGGCGTCGACGATTATGCCGGTGCAGACGACGATGGAGTCGGGGGCGAAGGCGATGGCGTCGACGAAGTCGATGGCGGGCTCGAGGACGGCGTCGCGGAGGAGGCGGTTGGCGTCGGCGAAGGAGGCGGCGGGGGTGTGGGCGAGGCGGACGAAGGGGCGGGCGGGGCGGAGGCGGACCTCGAGGAGGGTGACGACGGCGAGGGTGCCGAAGGCGGAGGCGGCGGCCCAGAAGAGGTCGGGGCTTGCGTGGTCCTGGTCGGCGGCGCGGACGGAGCCGTCGGCGAGGACGAGCTCGACGCGGGCGACGGCCGCGTCGAACGGCCCGTGCCGGCACGAGCTGCTCTCCAGCGACGTGCCGCTGAACGCGCCGCCCACCGTGATCCCCGGGAACCCCGGCACCACCACCGGCACCAGGTCGCGCTCCGCCGCTGCCGCCACCAGCGCCCCCATCGTCACGTTCGGCTCGACCAGCGCTACCTGCCGCGGCCCGTCGATCCCGAGCACCCGCCGCAGCCCGCTCGTGTCCACGGTATCCCCCCGCGTCTTATGCTGCCCCCGCGTGCTGTGCGTCCCCCCGTGGTACACCTGGAACGGCGCCCGCCGCTCGTAGAACTCCCGCACCCGCGCCGCGATGGCGGCCACAGCCGCCTCGTGCGCCGCGTCGCCGGATTCCATGGCTCGGGGCGTTGTCGTAAGGGAGGGGGAGTCAGCGCCTGGTGCTTTGCTCTCTCCTCGTTGCGTATTCGGCGCGGGTGAGCTTTGCTGCGTGTAACACTATTACTGTGCTGCTGGTTTGCAGGCCTGCCTGCTTCTTGTCCTGCTGCTTTAGAGAGTACGGTAGGGGGAGGTTGGGAGGTTTCCTGGCGGATGGATGATGCGCGAAGATATGCTGCCTACATACCTAGGTAATAGATGGCAAAAGTCGTTATAGGTATAGGACGCCCAAGAAACAGGGGGGGTAAGTTTATACCCTCGACCTAGGTATATACACCACTTTTGCTACCTACTACCCATGTAGAAATTGCTTCCCCTAGGCAATCCGTACCGTCTCTCGCGTGACCACGTGACACATCTGCCCCGGTCTTACCAGAAAGCCTTAAGATTTGATCAATCTTTAAGGCATACCTCGAGGCGTTGATATTACGCGATAATCGTACGCGTTATAGCCTATCGCTATAGCCTATTCCTTTTATTCCTCGATTAACGTAACGCGCCCCACAGGACACCCCGGGATAGCCTCAGCAGGGAGTCCGTATTGGCGGTCAAATACTAGGTACCCAGGTACCGCTACTGCTGCTGGGTATGGGTGCCAACTAGGTGCGCAGACGATAGCCCTCCCGAGGTAACTCGCGCGGCTCTGTCGCTGCTGACCCCAACTTGAAGATTAGGGATGCCAATAATAACGTCGCCCTCACGGCCCGGCCGTCGGAGGAAGAGACTATCGAATTCAACCGGCAAGGCGCCGCTAGCGATGGCACACGACACAGGATTCGATCGATTCGGATCGGCATCGGCAATGCCCTGGTTTCGGGCAATGGTGGCGACTTGGCCCAACGTCTAGTCCGCCGGCGGACGGTCTATGTGCGATTAGAATTAGAATGCTAATCTACGGCCTTACCCAGGACATTCTCCAGGAATAGCAGGCCGCTCTGGCCGTGAAATGTCGGCAGGGCCTGGCCGCCCACTGGCGCCTGTTACCAGTCGCGGCAGGCGTGCTATCCTCGGGAGCATCTCCCGAACCGGGCCCCCTTCTCGTGCTGGAACACGCCTCTCTCTCTGGGACCGATGGCGCCCTAACCTTTCATCATCGTCCACCCATATACCCTGCAACCCAGCCTTCTTGATAGCATTACACCACGAAGCGCGGCACGCCGAAAATATCCTCGATATGCCTCGAGAGTTTCAAGTACGCCGTGGCTGCAGTATCGAGATGGGATAGCATCAGTTCCACTAAAACACTCGGGCCCTCCTTTTGAGCCTCATACTTAGCAACCACCAACGGCCGAGATTGGCCCACCCTCATCATCGCTTCCGGAGACTCAGCGACGTCGGAGAAGCTAAGAAGGGCGGCGAGCTGGTGGTTTACAGTTTTGAATCACCCGGTCGAAATCGTCCTCTCCAAGTTTGACCACGACCGACAAGAGAGATCGTTCTCGAGAAATGGGTGGAGGTTCCGCAGCCACAGACCGGACGAAGTGGCCACGACAACGCCGCCAGCCTCGCGTCCAGAGAGTATCGGCTAAGGGATTTTCACTTGTACGTGGCCGTTGAAAAACCAACACGAAATTTTCTGCAATGTCCGCTGCAAGCCATCGTGGTCAACCTTGTTCCCCTGTTGGAGGCAAGGAACCACCTTGTTTGTTTAGCCCATCGGGCTCCACGTCAAACTGGAGGGGGTGGGCATAATATCCCACGTCAGAGAGGCATGAGCGAATTTGGTGTAGGTCTATCTTATGGTTAGTTGAGGTCACAGCCTGCTGAGCAGTGTCGCATCGCCTATCGCCTTGGCTGGTGGTCTCGTCAGCCAGGCTGCGCGAAAACTTGCGAAGTCGAAGCCACGGTTTACTTGCGCTATTACCACGCATGCAGTAGATCCTCGGTCGGATCAGTAAAACTGTCTTATCATGTTCTATCATCTGAGAACCCGTAAGTTACCTTGTTGCTGCTCGTAGCCGTGAATTATTATCTCGTGGTCACGAAGTACGGTAGCTCTGTATGCCGTGTTGCAGAAAGTGTATGGAGCTATCATCGTTTGCCAACACCCACATCCAAGAGGCATTTATTTCTCTGTGCTGTTCTATAATAACAATTGGCAATTTCTCGAGCATCGATGCATTCCAGCTCAATTGGAGGCTCTTGACGATCTGATGGATAATATGATATTATCGAGTGGGGGTTAACTCGCACCCCTTGCTCTTCGAAAAACAACTCAGTGAGAAGGATTCAATCCAGATGACTCTTCTGCATGCAATTCGGGTTTGGAACTCGCGGAACCATTTGGCACGGATACAGCCATATGGGCGTGGTTATAAATTAAGTCAACACCCACCAGGTCCGAGGACTGATTCATTCCACAACTAACTGAAATGTGTCTGTGGTGTTGGTTACTGAGAGAGCCCAGGCAGGCGAAAAAGACAAGCGGACCCCGTCTTCAGAGCTTAATCAGTTACATATTCTTTTCCAGCGTACAATGTACTGTATCGGCTTAGAACCCTGATTCGAGTTGTAAGTGTAAGAACTCCGGAGATTCACTATTGTTACTGGAAAATTACGGTCTGATAGTGGCATTTTGCCACGGAGGCTAGGGCACTGGGACAGTAATACTTCTCGGCCGCTCTCAATACATGGGCTTCGACATGCCCTGGCAATAGAGAAGGGCCTAGGAAGCATTGAGGAAAATGATCTACGTCAAGAGACCGAGATCATTTCGGATTGTTGCGGTCTTCTGATCAGAGACTTAGACGACATCGTCCGTTTTGTCCATTTTTCGGCTCACGAATTCTTCCAGGCCATCAAAGCGAGCCAATTTCCCGAAATCGACCGACGAATCACCATTGCCTGCGCTAGGTACCTGTCTATTCTGCCAATTCAACAGGTTTCGAGTAACAATATTGGAGGCCCGAGCTTGGAGATGTTGAAGCTTGAATACCTTTTTGCAGAATTTGCCGGGCGATATCTTTATGAACACCACCGTAGGACCCAGAACCTTAAAGAAGATAAAGAAGTCTTAGAAGCGATCCGCACCCTCGTGGAAAAAGAGCCCAACCGAAAATTCTGTCCACCTTCTCTTCGATCTTGATGTCTATGATACAAGCTCAACGATTCTGGACGGCAACAAACGTTACCGGGGTCTAGAAACGCTTTGGCAGAAATCTCTTCCCCCTCTTCACGTTGCAGTCTTCCTAGGAAACCCTAAGTTAATTCAGTGGCTGATTGAGGAGGGAGCCGATGTCAATGCACTGGATCCATACCAGCAGCCAGCCCTGATTATTGCGATTGGATGCGGGCTTGACGTTGTTGCTGACATCCTGCTGGACAACAGTGCCGAGATTGATCTCTTAACTAAGAAAGGCCACGCCATCCTCCTTTACGCATTGGAGAGGAATTACAAAGGGATGATCTAACGAATCATTGGCATCCCCGATGATAGTCCAGTGGATGAAGGGCTACTTAGAATCTTTGGCCTTCTGGTTCTGCTCCTATTGTCAATCGCAAAGACGTTCTCGTCGGCAGTCACCAGGACACTGCTTTCCGCAATCCCAAAGACACACTTATCCCAGTTTTCTCTCCGAATGAGACCACTAGAGTTGCGAATTCCTGGTGTATCTCCTCTGGATACAAATGCTGAACATGAACTTGATCGATCTCTTCAAAAGTATAGGAAGCTTCTCCATTTTGCCTATATAGGTAGCACTGATGATGTTTTATTTGTTCTGGAGTCAACAGGCGGGCCCATCAATCTAGGCCTGTTATCTCTGAAGGACGAGCCTATCGAGAGCTATACTGGCGGAGGGAACGCAGAAGATTCTGAAGCTAACTACGAGTTCGACTACCCCGATAGTGAGAGGTCCGTTCAGCCGAGAGATAGCGACTCTAACGGCGAATTAGACAACGAAGATCGAATGGATCAAGCCAGTGACGAAGAATACGAAGGTAGATTTACGGAGCACGTCACGGACGCTGTTGAAACCGCGGGAGCAGACAATAATACTAACAAAGAGAGAACGGAGTTTTGAATCAAGGCTTGATAGAGTCAAATCGGCTTTTCTCAGGACGGCCTGCTTCATAGCTGTCGAGAGTGGAAGGGATAAAGTGGTGAAATTATTTCTGGAACATGGACTATCACCCGACTTGCAAAACTATAAAGGACAATCGCTGCTTCATCGGGCAACTGCCAGGGCCGATTACACGATGGCTAAGCTTCTTTTCGACCACGGGGCGGCCGTAAACCAGAGAGATCAGAACGGAAGAACAGCGTTGATGGCGAATGCTGATAGGGAAAACGAAAGAGGTAAGGGTTTTTGGTTCCGATATCAGGCTCCTGAAGTACCTATACACCAACTTAACTTCCACGACAGTGCTCAAGCTGCTCCTTACTTACGGTGCAGATACCAATCTCACACAGCGCGAAGGCTGTCATGAGCTGTACGAGGCAGCAGTGTACGGTGCGACTGAGGTCGTCAAATTCTTCCTGGAAAATGGCGTAAACCCTCCTATCACTAATAACTTCGGATGGACACCACTCCACGGCGCCGCTGCCAACGGACATTTAGACTGTGTTCGCCTTCTTCTCGACAAAGGAGCGGAGCCTTCGCCGATATCAGACACAGGCAAAACGCCTCGTGATTTTGTTCATCTCGGGCAAAAGCACTACGATCGTATCCTGGCAGGCGAAGAGCACTATAAGGCGCAAGCACTCAAGGCCAGAGAAGTGAATGCAGAGGACCCGATATGGCGCAAAGATGAAATCTTGCACTTGCTCGAGGAGAAAGGAGCGCTGACGTCTGATGAGCTCTACAGGAAGAAGGGGGGGGGGCTTCAAATATGGCGAAGGTGGACAGTACAGCCACCGAAGCTGGCAGCGTGATAGCTGGTGGGATAAGAATGGTCGCGTCGGTTGGCGGTATCAATCCTGAACTTTTGCTGGGTGCAAGACCCGTAGGCGAATTCCTAGTAGGCAAATGGATAATTGAATATCTATCCTAGGTATAGGGGCTTACCCCTTTATATAGTTTCGGTTTCAACACCTGCTTCAAACCCCAAAGACATCTCCCAATACCCCCTAGGCATGTATTGCACGCTTCACCAAGGGGGCAGAGTCCGTTATCAGGCCGTGGGCTCAACCACAACTCACAAACCGCAACAGCAGAGCAGAGCGGTAGACACCCTCCAAACCATCCTGATCTTTAGCCGGTCATGTTCGACGGAGACCGGGTCTCCCCGCCCTCTGATGACTAGCCCCGCACCTACGGCTCTTCACGCACCCCGCCATCGCGAGTCTCGACGTCTCGACCCTGGATCCCGAAAGGCGACACTTTACGCCAACCGTAGGTTTCAGACGTCTTCCTGCCTTCTACACCGCATCGCCCCCCTTTTGCTTTCCTTTCTCTTTAGTATCCAAAACCATATTTAAGAAAAAGATTTTCATAAAAAAAAAAGTACCATTGTTCACATGCCACTCTATATGACAGGTGCGACGGCGAACTTCATGACAAAGGAATATAAGGGGGGTTTGGAATTTACTTCTTCGACTATATTCTAACCAGGGCTATGGCGTTAAAATACCTGGGTATCTCTTACCTCACAAGTTTAGCTTTACTATAACATCTACCTTTTATCCTCCGAGGAATTCACCTTCGCTTATGCCCTCATGCCCGTGCTCATAATATTGTGTTGTGGTTGCTTCTATTATGTGAGACTCTATTTTCCATCGTACACATGCGCAGCGCAGTTGTGGACGGCGCCGCCTCTATATATACAGCCAAGTGAGAATAAGGAACAATGCAGCGGCACCCCAACTATTCCAAAGAGTAGGGCAGTATGGGCGACGACTGAGGCAGTCGCCCATTCTATCAGGTCGCAGGTCGATGCCGTCCGCTCCTACGAGGACCTCAGCTGCTGAAACCTCTTGTCCCCCTTCGAACGCGCGATCTTATCCTTCCGCCTCTTTCTGATGCCGAGGATATGCCTACGCTGCACGAATCGCGCCACCCATTCGAAAATCATGTCGCGCATTACAATTAGGAATGTCGCTGCCGCGACCGGAGCTGCGAGGTACCAGCTATAGGCAAACGGCATCAGCATGGTTGTATACATTACACCAGTAGTAAAATAAGATGAAACTTACAAATATGATACGTTCTCCTTTAACGGCGGGAAATCTTCAAAATTCTGACCAAAGTAACCGGTCAAGAAAGTCAGCGGTAAGAAGAGAATGGTCACGGCCGTCAGCTGCTTCATGCTCTCGTTTTGGTATGTCGCGATTATATTGAAGATAAGGTCGATCATGTGATTTGCCGATTCCTTGCTCTGGTTTAGGTTTTCTATGATGAGCACACAGTGGTCGTACTACGGCAGGCAGGGTCAGTTGGCGTGTCGTAGCATGGTGAGCCTAGCAGGGAGGCATTATCCCGACTTACCACGTCGCCTAGGTATGTGTATGTCATTGGCGTGATGATGACCCCCCCAAGGGGGTTCTGCAATTCCTTGCTCAAGTCTTCTTGTGCTAGTGTCGTCTTGTGGTCCCGCAAGGAGCTGATGAGCGTCTGGATCGGATTGACAAAACTAAACAACTTGTTGATTTCCGAGATGATGATATACAAGTTTTTGGTGTGTTTGATGCTGGGGCGCGTAAGGACGTCGAGCTCCAGGTCGCCTACTACGTCGGCATAACACGCGGTGACGGGGATGGCCATGTCGATGATGGCGTCGATGATGGCCTGCGCAACCATCGAGGCATCACAGGACTGTCTTAGGATGGTGGTTGGGCTCGCGAGGCGGGCGAGGATGGGCTTCTCCACATCATCGGCGGACTGCTCGAAGAATGCTATGACGGTGTTATCCGAAGTAATGAACATGGCGACCTGTTCTGCCATCACTGCCACGCCTCTGGGAGCCAGAGCCGAGTGTTTTTCCATGTACTCGGTGCGGGTGGCGTTGGGCGAGGCATGAAACCGCTGCAACGTGCAGAGGGTATTAGGATTGAATACATCGGAATAGCTCGTAGGCTCGTGAGAGAAGCTATGACCGGATGTCAACGGTGGTTTGCTGCCACTCTCAAGTATAGAGGCAGCCGTAGGATGTTCAACCTTCTTCCGCGACAACCACTTCCCCAATTTCTTGGCCATGCTAAGCCGGTGGCTCTGACGGCTTCTTACGCTCCCCGCGTTGCTGCTCTCATCATCGCTGCTGTCGTCCTCTATTAACCGGACCAGCTTCTGGCAGGTAAGGATGATAAATGTGTGGTTCGCATACCTGGCGAGGGATAGAGGTCAACAGCTGTGCTCGGATTCCTCGCAGGTTAGCGCGTCCTTACCAATCCGCTTTTGTACGGTTCCGTGTGTTCATGATATCCTCAATTGCCAGCCTGTGTAGGTCCTTATACTGGCCCAACGCTTGGATAACGTCCCACGAGAGGCCGTTTACGTTAATCCAGCGGCACTTCACCCAACTAGGCTGCGGCCTTTTAATAAAGTCAATGAGCTCGGCGTTGGTCAGGTCCAAAACCTGCAGATCTTCTTGGGAGAAGTCGACGACGGTGATCTGGCACTCGGTATGGAGACTGGGCATCGTATCCTGCCCGCCATCTGGCTGCGATGGGTCGATGCCCGGTTCAGCCCCCGGCCGCCATCCCGGGTGGCTCTCATAGTCCTCGAACTCTTCGATCGTCTTGAACGTATTCGATCGGGTCGTGCGTCGCCGAAGGACGGGGGTTGGGGACAAGGGCGAGTAGCGAGACGCGGACTGAGGACTGGTAATTGAAGTGTCGACATTCACGTCGTAGTGCACTCGGGTCCCGTCGCGTGGAGGCGTGGCGGCAGGCCGGGGAGCAGAGTCGCTGGCCGTGGTAGGGAGGTCGGGGACGGACGGAGTCGTGAGGTTAATGTCGGGCACGTCGGGGAACTTCTCGGTCGTAGCGCTGTCCGAAGATTTTCGCGACATGGCGGGCAGAACAAGCCCTGCGATCTCGGTTGGTGTAGTTGGGATGATGTGATCGACGGGGGGCTCGACCGAAGCGCCTTCAATAGCACCAATTAAGACCGTGTTCCGTCCGATAGCGTCTTCCCCCAATGGCAAAACCGGGACGCCTTTTTGTTGCTATAGGCTAGGGAGTCTACAAATGGGACGGCGCCGGCATCGTCACGTATCGGCGCCTCAATTATCATACTGAGCCTCAAAGCTCGGGGGACGTTGCCGTGTTGTCGTTAGTCGAGGAGGAGGATACGGCACTCTAGGTGAGCTAAGCACTGGAAGGGGTTCCCGGGATGGCGTTTGAAGGACGATGAAACCTGCAGGGGCCTACACCATCAACGGCGGAGGCCGAGAGCTTCATAGTCATCATAAGCGTCCTGACAACACCGTAGTATTGCCCGGAGAGCAACCTGGAAGAGATTGGGCTCGGTGGAGAGAGATTTAGTGCGGAATTCTTCCCAGCGGGTTCTCCCAGCGGGAAGGGTGATGCCATGACCAATTAGCATGTGAAGCCCACCCGCTCGGTAATACCTTAGGTACTTTTACCGTTCAGGCGCTATCTCCTAAGGTACCTACCTACCTAACCTACCCCCTAAGGACCTCACGTAGGCAGGTATGTATTGTACAATACTGCTAGCCCCTTCAACGGATATCCTATAGGTACCTGAATATCCACCATTGCGACGTATCAGACATGTTACAGACCTACCTACCTCTAGCCATATTCCTAGGATTCCTGCCTGTTGCATGTTGGCTGGTCCCTTGTCCAAGGCAACTGGAAGAGGTAGTATGCGCCTGAAGCAGGTAGTAATTCTCATGGCAATAATTGCCCAATATTCTATCCGATATAATATATAGATATCGCCTTCATCGACACGCGCTTACACGAGTATGGGAGTCTATGTCACTCCAGCTGATGAGAAATAGAGAGGTACATACACGTGTTAGCAGGGAGAACGGGAGCAAAAGAAAGGAATGTGACGATCTTCGGTCGGGTTGACGTCATTTGACGGAATTCTTAACGCATTGCCCACAGCTGGCTATCGTCACCCTTTCTATCCCTTTTTTTATTGTGGACGACTGCAAGTCCTTGATACAATATCGGACCTCATCGATGGCTGATATGGGCAATGGGGTCGAGCCGAGTCGAGAACATTAAGCGCGACCACAAGAGCCCTTCCCCTTGAAGATGGTTCCTTGTCGAGGCCATTGAGGGAAGAAGGTGAACAGCACCCCCTCGCAAACTGGCGTATGCTTTATTCTAATCAGCCTACGCGAGCGTCAGCCCTAATGGCAAAACATAGGTAAGTATCTACGAGGCGAGGCTAGTCAAGACGGGGATGGGATGCCGCGAACAATAAACCAGGTTCATCAGACCGCGCCTCGCAAGAGTCACCCTAATAAAGCACCAATCCACAGCACCCCCGACAGCCGTTGATCGAGACATCGAGACATCGACGCTATTGTTAGTATTCGGTCTTTGTGGGCCCCACTAACACGTGATGAACAAGAGAATTATTGTTTTGCTTTTACTCCAAATAAATCTCCCGAGGACAGCATTCGTGTGGGCAGCTACGGCGACAACCCGTTGACGTCTGCTATACCTACCTACTTGAAACTTCATCGCATTACCGTTGCTGGCGACGAGAACTGCCTATATCGTGGACCTTTCCATTGATCCGAAAGTGTCGAGTTGATGAAACGGCCAGGAGACCCACAGGCCCATGGGAGTCACTCTCGCACAAAGTATCGAGTAATGGGAAGCCATCCGGTGGGTCGCACACGACTACGGCGTTTGTGGCTGGCTTCAATGGTACTGTCGCCTCTGACTAGGATGAGGGTACGCAGATGAGGATCACTAGATCAGTCGATGGAGGAGATGCGTGTCCTGTTGTCTCCTAAACCTATCACCATCGGGTCTGAGATGCATGGGATAGATTTGGGGCTGAAAGGAGGCGATATACCATGCGGTATTTCACCAGTCTCCAACTACTCAGAGCTACTACTTCTTTCTACCTAATCAATGTCAACACCAACGAGCAACCTGACCGTCGGATGGACAGACAATTCTCGTTCGGCCAAGAATCATCAGTGCGAACGGGGATGATTAGTAGGGGCACGAACACGAGCTCGTCTACTCACTCACGGCCCTTTTATCCACCATGACCATATGTTAAAAAACTGCTCTTCGACCACCCGTTCTGCACATTGTACTCCTCTGGGAAGGTTGTCCCATGGAGATCCGTGTAGTTCACCATCCTTCCACACCCGAAAGTCGAGTTACTATCACACTGGCTGACGTTCCCGCCCTGGCCGAGCAAACCAGCGATTCGCATCCCGACGTCATGACCTTCGAACCAGGCTCCGTGCAAAAACCCGAAGTACTGTGCTGAGGTCGCCTCTCCGGCAAACCAGAGCCTATCTACGTTAGAGCGCATGTTTTGGTGCCTCTCAAGCGTCATGCCGACCGGCCAGTTGCTGTACGAGCCATAGGCCCATCTTTGCGATATGGTCAATTCCGATTCGTAAAAGGAGGAGAACCCCGAAGCTCGAGCCCGTATTGCTTACTTCTCTGTGCTCCACCGTGGGTACATAAAATGAAGCGGCTTTGGGATATTTTTGTCTGGGAACATAGTCCGGAGGACAGCCATGACTTCCGCCTCGGTCTCCTCGTCAGATTGTTTCTCGATCCTGTGCGACTGGGTGTCGACCACGGTCACGAAGATGATGTTAGATTCTTCGATGAAACCTGGGGCTGAGAGCGATTGCCAGACGGGATAGTAGCCTCGGGTCTTGTTGTCGGCGTAGAGTAAGAACTGGGTGTCCTTGTCCCAAAAGGTCTCGTTGAACTGCAGAAAGATCTTAGTGTACGTGCCCATCTGCAATTGTTCGATGGCCTCGCGCTTCCATCGCGGCAGCGGCGGATCAAATCTGACCACATCATTCTGCAGCACTCCCAGCGAAAAGGTAGCGATAGCATCTACAGCCTTCGGAGTCAGTAGAAGCTCGTCAATGCCGGCGTCCATACCCGCAGTAGGCATATTCTGCCCACAACAAATAGAATCAGTAGTAGCAACCCCCAGACTTTCACGGGGGAAAGGGGGAGGGGGATGGAACGCAGACTGACATTCAGCCTCAATACAACCGCCGCCTTCGAAGTGAACAATAACGCCGCCGGAGTCGTACGAGATCTCCGTCACAACAGTCTTCAATAGCAACCGTGAGTCGTTCGCTTCGAGAAATTCGCTTGCTTCTCCGGCTACAAACGTATTGAATCCTCTCTGGTCCCACACGAAGTTGTTCTGGTCACTAAACTGGTAGAAGGTCAGGTTGTATCCTGCGATGCCGAACAGGAAACCGCTCTGCTCCGGTGACCACGCCGTCTCCCAATCCCAGTTCCACCATTCAAGCGCCTGAGCGTGCATGTCGTCTTTCGGCTTCCAGCCGGCGAGGCTTAAGGCGGCCCGCATGCTAGTGTCTTGCAGGTTGTCCGTGAGCACATATCCGGAGTCCTGCTCGGCGATCGCGTACGCCTCGTCGAACGCGGCGACTAGATCGTCGAAGTCGGCCGCGCCGTCCTTGTCATAATTTAATATCGACTCGTAGTTCGACGCCGTGTTATTTATCTTGTGCTTCCGGGCCAGCGTCCAGATGGGATTTTCAGGCCCGCTCTCTGAACCCAACCCCTGAACCCAATTCGCGCCGAGTTCGACCGTGTAAGGGGTTCCGTCAGGTTTTTGGCCGAAATGGGTATGCACCACTATCAGCCACCATCCTAGAGTCAGTCCGATTTTCCGTGACCACCGTCTCATTCAGGAGTAGGATCTGAGCAGCGGCTCGTTAGATCTCCGGCTGTGAGCGCATGTCTCACTTGGGTTGATCTCGAAGTGAGATTGTTCGCTACACGACTTAGGAAAACAAAATGATGGATAAGCTCTCGGGCCTGGGACCTACCGCGGCCACCGATATAGTCATTGCGTTCGACGATCAAGAAGTCTGAGACGGAGGCATTTGCCAGGGTCTGGGCGGCTGTAATGCCAGCGACACCAGCCCCAAGAATAGCAACCGTTGCTCTACGACACTCGATGGTATTGTTGTCCCCTCTGCGTGTGGCAGTGACCTCAGCTGGCGCGGCGAGGATGCACCACCCTACCGCAGCGATGGGGAAAGGGTGAGTTATGAATCTCATGATGACGTGTTGTTACACCGCGTTATCGTACAATGATGGATTTGCTCTCACCAGACAGTATCCGTACCTCGAAGAATTACCCGGGAGGGTGATAGTCCTTAAATAGAGGACGGGAAACCCCTGGGCGTAGTCTGCCGGCTCAGCGAATTCATAGGAAGCCTTCCGCAGCCGCCCAAATGCGCCTACAGACTATCTCGATGATCCTTCCCACTGTTCCCAGTCTCTGAGTACAGAACTGTGTGCGGGACGGTCCCCGGCTCCGCATGGGGCTAGTCGATTCTAAGAAATTCACCGTCGCATTGTCGATAGATGAGATGTGATATGGGCAGAGCTCGCAGCCGGGGAGGAGACCTGATCTACTGTTACTGAGCGGATCGGGCAGTTGTAGGCCCGCTGCATGTCTTTCTCCTCCCGATGCTACTCCTCTATCTCGTCTCCTAGTTCTCATCTGTTCGACCGCCACTAAAGCTTCCGCGATAGACTGAAAAATATCTCCTTATTCATATATAATTCGCAACAATTTTCAACTGGTGCTCGGCAACTCTCTCAAGTTATCTAAGCGCCTCATACGACAGAGGCCAACTCCCCAATCGCCGGATCATTGCAACGTGTGTTCACCGTAATACGAGGGGGGAAGCTGAACACGCGTAACCTAGTCGGCGTGAATCAATAAGAACGTGATGCGGGTAGCGCGGGTAGAACGAGAGGCGCGCAAATCTCTGGCCCTGTGGCATCCTAGCCACAGATCTGATGAGGTGCCGTGAACCCGATTTTACCTCATATGCACCGCCATGCACATATCAGATGGCGCTCTACTCGGAAGTATTAACGGCCAGGCTACGAGATGTCGCATACCAGAGGATGAATATGGGTACGGAGCAGTCAACAAGGTACAGACCGGTCTGTTCCTTTTCTACGACGGCGATTAGGAGATACAAATAACTTCTCACCCAGATCCAGTCAAATAAATGCCTCAAAGGCTCCAAAGAAGCGCACAGCGCGCCAACGAATTCTTCTAAATAGCAGGTACATTTCGTGTCTACGGATACCGAGTGATCGGGTGGAGAGTAAGAGGGTTCGTCCGTCGGCGACGTCACACGCCGAGACAAAGGTTGGAGTGAAAAGGTAGCTTTCCAACGAAGCCAGGCGCTTACTTTCTAGGGAACCGCATACGTTGCAGAGAGTATACTGAGTACGCAAGTTTCGAAGAGAAACCGGCAGGCCCTCACGGCATGTGCCCTACATATACTCCCAGGGGGCCCTCAAGTCCTCCCTAAGCGTCCTGAACGAGGTGGTCATAACTCTTCTTCCGCTAACCAACCTTCCCCGTATCCCACGCACGGTTTCCCCCGATCGGCGCATGATAAGGATGACATCTCTGAGGGCGGCGGTGGTGGTGGTGGGTTGTCGCCTCCTGTCCAGTAGCTGCGACGACCACCGACAGCGGACAAGTTGCGGCAACTGGGGTTGAAATGATCTTCAACGTCACCGATAGGCCACATAGCAATGAGGCAGACCTCGTCGGCATGGCAGGTACCGCACTCTTTCCACTGGGCCCAGAGCAGCGTGCGCTCCATCAAGTCGCTCACGATCCCCCGCGCTGCCTCTAGAGAGGCCGTCGACGATAATTCTGATTCATCCACCCCCGCGTTTTCGACAACAAGACGTCGCACTTGGAAGAGCGCCGCGCAGATCCGTGCCGCCGTGTTCTCGATCGCGGCTGAGATCAGTCGGTCCTCGACTGTGTGGAGGAGGGCCTGCACAGGCTGCAGATAAAACGAAGCGCAACGCCTCTCCGCGACGGCAAGCATCTCGGAGGGTTCGGATGAGTAGTCGATGTAGACATTCAAGAGGGTATTGACCTCGCCCCGCAACGTCGAGAGAGAGTCAGTCTGCGCCATAAGGGGCAGACGGTCGACGTACCGCGCCACGATCATGTCCGTGACTCCCTGCCAGTCCACCGTCGGCGCGTGGTCGCGAGACGTAGACCGGGCTACTGTGCGGGAGATGTGGTCCGCGATGGCACGCAGCTCGGCATCGCTTGCCTGTAGCAAACGGGGTAGATCAGGCCGCGCCGGGTCCGGATTCGTCAGGTTGAGCGGGTAGAAGAAGGCGGAGACCATGGCGGAGTAGTCGGGGCGGACGCGCGCGGCGCCGATGCCGCGGTACCGCTGGGCCGCGGCGCGCGCCCACTCGAACTGGGCGATTGACGAGTTGGTGACGGCAGCAGCCTCGCCAGGACTAGAGCCAGGCCGGCGGTCGGCCGAGACGAGGCGCAGACCGTCCGAAAAGTCGCAGTACACAATCTCAAACCCGGGCTCCATGCGCACGAACCCATCGATTCCCCAGCCCTCATGGCCTAGCGCACACAAGTCCCGGGCGCGGTCCCAGTCGTCCCACACGGATCCGCCACGCCTACCCCTTAGGAGGAGGTCTTGGGTATCGAGAGTGCCCAGCCTAGTTTTGCCCGCTGCGGTACCGTCGATATAGAGCACATTCAACGGTCGCGTGGCCTGGTACACTTGCAGATAACCGGGCCCTGGCTCCGGCCGGGGGCCCTTGGGGGGTCTGTTCCCGCGCCTGTCCGATACGATGTTCCAGATGATGTTTGGAAGATCTTCAGATGCGTTATCATCATCGTAATCGCCGCCGCTCGCGCTGGTGATAGATGATGTTCCACCGCGAGAAGTTGCAGTTACGGTAGCCGTAACCGTAGGTGTGGCGGGCGGTCTCCCCCAGCTGTGGGCGAATGCCTCGGCGTGCTCAATCTCAAAGGCGAGCCACTCGAAGGCAGAAGGAACAGCGGTAGTGTCGGTGCCGTGATATAAGAGTACGCCCGCGGGGACGATGGCGGGAATCAGGGACATTCCATTGTGGTGCAGCGAGGAGCCGAACTGGCGCATGGCGTCATGGACGGCGTTGAATATCGCCGGCCCGTTCGCGCGCGCGCTCTCGAGGGTGGGACCGAACGTCACCGGGCGGCCCCCGTGTTCTGTTTCCTCTCCCACCCTCCCCCCTTCGGCCGGAGGTAGGACAGAATACGGAGCTGGAGGTGGATGTCTGAGTGCTGACGCGAGGCCGATATCGGGACCGGCGCGTGCCACCGAGCCTGTCGTTGGCAGCAGCACCAAGAGCCACAGCAGCACCAAGTCAGACAACCGACGGTCCGCGCGGGCGACGGATGCATCCATACTCATCCGTGATTGATAGGTAATTCTTGGGGGGTACCCTTGTTTAAATAGTCTGTCCCTCTTATCTCTGCGATGTAGGTGGGTATTATCCGCGGCACTGGGCAGGTGTCTCTATTGCTTGATCGAAGATAAGTTACCCGACTAGCAACACAGCAGACTGATGATATTAGAACACCGGAGAAAGCATCATAGAAGAAAATGTCCGTTCAGCAACGGAGAAGACTACAGAGAGATCATATTTTTGATAAAGAAAGGGAATGAGCGCAATCCACTTCGTCGAGAAACGAAGCGAATTTATAACGCGTTAAGCTGGTTAGGTACAGCTATCGACGTAACCCCCTTCACGGTCCGATTGGCGGTCTGAACGTCCTTCGTCTGACGCGCGTCGCCCATTTCGCTTACTAGGGACTAGGCTAGGCCCGTTATCTCAGGTGTGTCTTTGCTCCTAGCATAGATGAATCTACCTATGGCAAACTGGCTCGCATGTGACATGCTCTTGATCGGACGAGGTCTCTAGGCTCGTCATTCGATAACACCGGCGAGGGCTGCAGAGCATGGGAGAGTGGCTCTATCTCGTCTCAAACTCGTTGCGTCTACTCAACACGTAGCTTCGTCGTCCAAAGGCATCCATAAATAAACCCACAGAGAGACAAGGGGAGGTTAAGAGCGTTGAAAAGTCAGGCGGAATTTAACTAACCTCAACGATACCTTGCTGGATTACATAATATTTCGAAAATGGACATTCCTAAACAGCGCCGGATGAGCGCCAAATTGTGTCACCTAGGGCTGTGGCATCGCCAATTTCACTCGCAGGCATACTGAGTGGGAAAAGAGTGTTATCGGGTAAGCCCCTCCACCAAGGGATGTTGTCTATATGATTACAATGGTATATGTACAGGAGTTGTTTTTTTCCCCAGGGAAGAAAAAAAAGAGAGAGAGAGAAAAGTATGTACATGTAATAACCAGCGCACGCGCTTTGCCTGCCTCTGTCCAGTCTACCAGCGAAAGAGGGTCGTCATCATCATCATTCTTGTTACCTGTCTATGTGTTCTCCCAAAAAAACGAATGTAAGTGCTCTGAATCGGGCACGCTAATCGATCTCATCTATCTCGTCGCCCAAACCCGCCTAGCTAAGTAGTTTTGGGTAAGGGAAGGAGTAGAGATTCAGTAGCGGATGTTGAAGCGGGCCGAGCGGGCGAACAGCGTCGTGCTCTGGCCGGCGGCGCAGGGGACACCGGCAGGCATGGCCATCAGGACGGACCAGGAGCCGGAGGCGCACTGCTGGTAGCTGGTGCCGCCGATGCAGTTGAACATGCCCTCCGAGGAGCAGGGGCCCGAGAGCTGGCCACCGGCGCCAGCACCAGCACCAGCACCAGCAGTCGGGGCAGGGGCGGCGACGGGGCTGGCAGTGGTGACGGGGGCGGCGGGGCTGGTGGCGGCGGGGCTGGTGGCGGCAGGCGGGTTGGCAACAACGCTGGTGATGAAGCCCGAGGGAGCGGCGACGTTTTCGTTGCCGTTTCCAGAACCAGAGCCGGAACCAGAGCCGGAGCCAGAGCCAGAGCCAGAGTCAGAGCCGGAGCCGGAGCCAGAGCCAGAGTCAGAGCCGGAGCCGGAGCCAGAGCCAGAGCCACCGGCGGTAGCGCCCTTAGGGACACAGTTGCTGCCCGCGACCTTGGCGAAGCGGCTGTTAGAGCCGGGGCGGATGACGTTGGAACCAGGCTCGGGGAACTCGGGGTCGGTCGAGGGCTCAGTCTTGCAGTCGTTGATCTCGCCAAGGTTGGCGACGAAGAGCTCGGGGAAGCCGCCAGCGCGGGCGACGAGGAGGTCGCTCTCAGCGGCGCTGATGGTCTCGTTGAAGTCGCGCTTGGCAGAGCCGCCGGTGACGGTGATGGGCGCGCAGTTCATGTAGTACTCGGGCTGACCGGCCAGCTTGCTGATCCAGGTCCAGGCGAAGACGTACTCACCGGGGGAGACGCCGTCGGGGATGGTGAAGTCGTAGGTGTCAGGGCCGTCTCCAGACTTGCTGGGGCAACCACCTTCGATGGAGAGGATGACCTGCCACGAGGTGGACGCACTCGGCTGCAGGTCCTTGGTGATGGCGAGCTGGCAGCTGCCACCGCCGTGGACGGCGCTGCCGGTGAAGGACAGGCTCTGCGACTGGCCGACGGCCATGGTGGTCGAGAGGCCGTCGCGGCTGTAGAAGGTGGCCGGGTCACCGCGTACCTTGCAAGGGTAGTTGGCCGACGACAGGGGGCTGTTGTCGAGCTCAGCGCCGCCGAAGGGCTTCGGCGTCGCCATGATCATGTGGGCGTTGGCGGTAGCCGCGGCAGCAGCCAGGATGGCAGCAACAGACTGGGACTTGGTGAACATTTTGATGGTGGTGTTGATGATGATGATGCTGAAGAGCTGTGTGTAGTAGGAGGCTGGCTGCTGCTGGTTATTTTCTCTCTGAGCTTTCGTTCTTCTTGCTGGAGATTTGTTTAAGGAATGGTCGAGAGGGGTGCCGGACTCCTTTCAAAGGTCAAACTGGTTATCGAGGCTAGCTCGTGAGAAGGTATGTTGTTTTCTTGGTGGTGGGTGAGGATGACGAGACAAGATTTTTCCTCGAAGGTCGAGATGTCAAGGTCTCTTATACTCGTGCTTGGCCACAGCCCATGACTACGAGAGAAACAAGCTCCTTCTCGAAGGCCCATGACTGCAAAGGGCTGGTCCGGCGGGCTGGCTGTAAGACAAGGATCGCGTTCACCTGGAGTTGTTTCTTGGAGCAAAGAGAGCGCACGCCCCTTTCGCGAATGGGTAGGAATACAATGAAACTCCCACAAAGGGATTGTATCGAGGCGTAAGCAACGGTATCCAGCGCTAGGCTGAGTCGCGGATTTTTTGGTGGCATCTCTGACTTGAGCCTACTAGCAAAACCACACCCCAGCGGTTACATGTTGAGGGATTGGTGCTATGAATGGCTACAAGCCGGCGGACTGGCGCCAACCCCGATCTCGACGCTGATCCTCCGGGTCCAATCAAACCCGCCGATAGGGTTTCATCCGAAACTCGCCATCTAGACGAGATGCCAGCACCTTGTAGTACGTTAATTGACGTTTCTTTTTTTACGCTCGAGGTCCTGCTGTTTTGGTGATAGCGGCAGGGCGGCAAGGAATGCGAGATGCGAAATGGCGGAGACGGGCTCTGGTCTTGGCCCAGGAGGAAGCCGATCTGAGATGAGGAGGAAGGGGGAAAAGTGAGAAAGCGACCACTAACCACGGTGTTCTGCCGCACTCGCTCGGGCTTTCGCTCTGCGCCACTTATTCTCGATGCAGGGCGAAGTGCCGCATGCTCGCAGCGGCTCCCGCTTGATAGGCCACAGCTTGCTGGCCCTGCCGCACCGATTCTCTGTTGCCTAGGCATGCCAGTCCGGGGATGCGCATACATGCCTACCTACTACGTGTTATGCAGATTCGACACGGCGGGCAGGCAGGCAGACGAGATGGGGATGACATGGGTGGCTTGGTCGCAGAGTTTCTGACACATTGCGACGGGAATGCACTCATGCTGGCATGCGGCGGGTATGAGCACCGAGTGAAGAGGATGAGAATTCGAAAAAGTGAGGCTTGACTGGATCCGTCCACCTAATCACCTCGCTATCCTGGCTATGTGACTAACAGAAGCTATGCAACTATGCACTACGTAGGTACATTACGTAGTGCATAGTACCTGACAGACAGCTGTCAGCGATTAGTACGCTTTGGCGGGTTGGTTGGTTGGTTAGTTGGTTCATGTGATGCGGGAAGACGTCATGGGAACGCGGAGCCTGACCGGGCCCACTGTTCGTGCCTGGCTGCCTGACTGACAAGGGGGGGACGGTGCGCTGCCGGTCCGTCTAGTCGGTTTTAGCAGCCTCTGACAGCTGCACCGTTGAGGCGGCGCAAACGGTGAGGATGCGTATCCCGCGCCGTGCCAGCTAATTATAGCCCCCAAATCCCTTTCTCCTACCTAATAACCCTGAATACTGCTAAAGCCTCATCCTTCCGAGCTCCCCTTACTTACATCATACTCTGATCTCACTCACCCTTTCTCAATCCCATACTCCGATCTCACTTATCCTTCTCGCACATGCATACGAAGCCACCCGTCTAATCTTGTCTGCCCCCGGGAGCCGCTAACTGACACTACCACTACCGCCTGGTGGGTGCGTCCTGGTCGACATGGTGAGTCTACTACATACCTGTGCAATCACTGACTACCGGCACCGGTCTAGTCGTCTCGGGTTCGACTTCGAGGAGCGCCGCCGCAAAGTGTTGCTTCCTGCTCGACGCACCCCTGCGCCTCCTCCTCCTCCTCTTCGTGTCTAGATGAAGCTGACAAACGACCTTGCCGGCCATCTAGGCTACCCTTACCACGCCTCTCCTCGCGGCCGACCCCGACCCGATAAGCGACTCCGAAGATGCCACCCCCGTAGCGCCTAGGGCGGCGCGGGCCGGCCGGCCGTGGCATACTACTCGCCTACGTGAGACGCTGCTGTTCGTATGGGCCCTCCTCGCTACCGCCGGCGTGCTGGTTCTCGCCGTCTGGGTATCCCACCAGCAGCAGACCACCTACAACACGCCTGCTGGCAAGCGTAATTTGATCTTCATGGTCTCCGATGGCATGGGCCCTGCCTCGCTCTCCTTGACCCGTAGCTTCAGGCAGTATACCGACGGCCTCGAGTACGGCAACACCCTCACCCTCGATAAGCACTACTGGGGCAGCAGTCGAACGCGGAGCAGCTCCTCCCTGGTCACCGACAGCGCTGCCGGTGCGACCGCCTTCAGCTGCGGCCAGAAGAGTTACAACGGCGCCATCTCTACGCTTCCCGATTTCACCCCCTGCGGTACCGTGCTGGAGGCGGCCAAGAAGGCAGGGTACAAGACCGGCCTCGTGGTTACCACGGATATCACCGATGCCACCCCTGCCTGTTTCGCCAGCCACGTGCATTACCGCTCGCAAAACGACGAGATCGCGCTACAAGAGGTCGGCAACGGCCCGCTTGGCCGCGTCGTCGACTTGATGTTTGGAGGTGGTCGATGCCGCTTCCTGCCTAACAGCACTGCCGGTGGGTGCCGCGCCGACGACATCAACGTGGTAGAAATCGCGCGGAAAGAGCACGGCTGGAATTACATCAACGATCGGGCCGCCTTCGACGAATTCTGGGAGAGCAAGAAGGACGTCCCTCTCCCCATGCTCGGGCTCTTTGCCGACTATGACGTCCCCTTCGAACTGGACAGGCGGAACATGAACGATGTCTACCCGAGTCTGAGCGAGATGGCTAAGACGGCTTTGAAGGCGCTCGAAAAGGCCACGGAGGGCAGCGACAAGGGTTTCTTCTTGATGATCGAGGGGAGCCGGATCGATCACGCCGGGCACGGCAACGACCCCGCCGCCCAAGTTCGAGAGGTTCTCGAGTATGACAAGACGTTTGCGGCCGTCCTGGATTTCCTGGAGCAGAGCAGCACTCCCGGCGTGCTCGTTTCTACTAGTGACCACGAAACCGGTGGCCTGGCAGTGGCCCGACGTAAGTTTACCGCAGCAAGATTGGATTGAATCGTCGCTAACCTTTTTGATCCCCAGAGGTGAATGCCGACTACCCTCAATATCTGTGGTATCCCGCCGTGCTGGCCAACGCCTCGTCATCCTCGGAACATCTTGCTCACCACCTTCGAGAACACATATCCAAGTCAACCGAGCAATCGCTCGACAAGCTCAAGAAATTTATCGAGGTAGAGCTCGTGGCCTCCGGCCTCGGTATCCATGACGCCTCTGAGGAGGAGCTCACCGCGTTGGCCTCGGACCCCGACCGGGCCCAGTCCTTGTTTGCGGACATGATTAGCGTCCGGGCGCAAATCGGATGGAGCACCCACGGTCACTCAGCTGTCGATGTCAACATCTACAGCTCCGGAGGACCCGGAGCCGAAGCTATCCGAGGGAACGTAGAGAACACCGACGTGGGGAAGTACCTTAGGGACTACCTAAATGTCGACGTCGACGCCATCACAAAAGAGCTCAACGACAAGATGGGCTCGGGGGCGGGACTCGGTCCAGCTGACCGCAGCATCGCCGGTATGGAGTCTCCCTTGGCCGAGGACCACTGGGCAGCCCATGAGGAGATGGAGACGAAACGAGGGGACTTGGCGTGAAGGTATGAGGAGGCGGACACAGGATACCCACCCGCGTTGATGGCCTTCCCAGTTCGACTTGGCTTTTAGATCTCGCAAGCGGTAAAGTCTTCTTTCTTCTCATTTTTTGGTTACCAGAATTGGTTTTTTTTCACTACCATTATTAGTATCGGATGGACCGCGTAACGTATGGACAAATACGTATCTAGATACCCGCGTGGAGGAAGTCAACCAAAGTCGCCGCGGCCCCACAAAGCAGCGAGACGATTAGGATGAGTAATGCGTTAGACTCGGACCCGTATGCCTGCGCCTACAATGTTTCATATTACAGACTACTAGTGCTTGTGCTGTCCCTGTACTGTCATGGAGAAATATTAGCAGATGTTGCCTCGACGTCAGGGGAGCAACCCAATCGCCAGTCAGTTGCCCCGAGGAACAACCTCTGACCTGTGACCTCTAGAACAATGTACTATTTCACTTGCTCTTGCTTTTACCCGCTGTACAGTACGCTATATATTATATACACATAGTCCTGCCTCTCCACAGAATATTAAAGGATACGGGTGGTCATGACTCCATAATACTGGGTGGTAGTTATCCCCCTTTGTCCCCCTTTTCTGTAGCTGTACAACTTAGGTATGCTTGTCTAATCGGTTGGATTCCTCCACGTCATTAAAATACGGCGAGTCATTGGCTTAAACCAAGTCACCCATCCTCGCTTGCTACGTAGGAAATAACACATATTTAGGAAGAAGGAGTGTCGTGGATAATATGGAAGTTAGTATCGCAGCATATACCACTACTATAGATGATTCTACAAGTGTCTCTTGCTGCAGAAAGCAAGTGGAGGAAATTTAACTGGTCATTTGAAGGAAATAGTTTCCAGTTCTTCTGGCCTAATCTACACGGGACCAAGTCAACAAAATTTAGGCTGGAGATCTCACGAGGCTACTGTGAAGTTACATAGATGATTCACTAGAATATTCTACCTTATCAGTGATGGCTTGACATAAACAAACTGCACAGCCACATCTTTAAATTCCTTCAGTGGGTAAAAATACAGGTAAAAGGGAAATCTTTAACAACTTAAACACTAGGTTTCTTTGATTAATAGCCTGTCAAGTATATTATGCTTTGTTGTATGAAGGGCTTGTTAGGTGCCAACCTCCAACCCCAAAATCTCATCTTGATCCAGGGTTTCACCTCTGCCATCTATACAGACGGCCTCATTTCTAGGAACGTGTTATGAGGGTAGCTAGAAACGTAGTTGATACATTGACCTTCAGGAGACTTTATGTTTAAACCCCTTGATGCCTGTCAATAATATATAGCTGGCTCTCAATCACACGCTTCTCCAGCCCTCCCCTAATAGCTTGATAAACATTCGAGTTCTATTCGTATGCCTCCCAAGCTACAGCTAATATTGATAGGATATTAACCAACCGCTTGTTTCACAAAACCACATATCCACACCTCCACCATCATCCCTAACCATCATAACAAGGAGAAGACTTTACAGGTCAGATTTATTCCAAGAAACCTTCCCCTCTTCCTCTCCCGCCTCCGTCTCTCTCTCGCCATCAACATCACATTCTTCCCCCACTACCACTAACCTCAAGACTTCGAAACCTTTCTATTTCCTTCATCCATCTCTATCTCCCCTCCCCAAATCCATCTCCCGCCGCCCCTTACTGGACACTTCGTCTCGACGGCCTCTGTCTCCCATCTCGTCACTCAATCCCCCAGATGGCGATAGCCTAGTCACGGCAACACACACACAAACATACAAACACACTGATACATACCCTCACTCATCCATCCGTCCATCCACCACCGCCTTTCCACCCCTAAAATCCGCCCAATTCTAAATTCTCATCCCAGTACTATCTCCGAAGCAGACGTTCGTGATGTGCTACTACCTGGAGCTAATCTACCTCTGCGGCCACCGGCAGATCGTGGTAGGCAAGCTCTGCCTGAAGGTGTGTTTCATGCTGGACATCGACCCGACCGCTACGCCGCCGCCGGCCTGGGTCACGGCGGACCTGCTCGAGGGGATGGACGTGGCGGAGGGGTGCCGCGCGCGCCACCCCAACGTCTACCCGGCCATGGCCTTGAACTACTGCAGCGAGGCCTGCCACGACCGCCTCGACGAAGCCCACCACCGCGGCGCCGGCCACACCAGGAGCTACAGCGCGCCCGTGCCGGCGGTGCCCTGGGACGGCGACGGCGACAGCCCCGTTGCCGGGCCACGCCGCGAGCCCAGCGCTAGCAACCGCTCCCAGAGCAACAACAACAACCCCAGCGCCGCCGCCGACAACACCACCCCCGCGCAGGCCCCCGGCAGCGACCAGGAAACCCTTATCCCCAGCCTGCAAGCTTTATCCGTCGGCGGCAGCGCCGGACATATCCACGGACCCGTGACGCCCCCGGCCAGCCGCGCCGGCACCCCTCCCGCCGCGCTCGGCGCGCTCGCGGGCGGGCCCAACGAAGCCTTCTACAACGCGCGGGCGCGGCCGTCCGCCGTGCGCAGCGAGCTGGTCGCGGCGCGCCGCGCGAGCAGCAGCACGCGGCGGCGGCGCGGCGGGCGGCCGCACCTAGCGCACGCGCCGAGCGCCGGCGCGCTGCGGTACTCGGGCGCCGACGGCTCCGGCGCGGCCTCGACGCCGCCGACGCTCGTCCGCTGCGGCCGCGCCGGCCGCGCCCGCATCTACCGCGTGCCCGCCCCGCGCTGGGACGTCGAGGCGCTCGCCGCCGCCGCCGCCGCCGCCGCGCCCGAGCGGCGGCGGCAGGCCCCGCGCGCCGCGATGCAGCGGTTCGCGCTCGCCCGCGCCGCGGCCAGCATCCAGGGCGATTGGATGCGGGACGGCGAGGTGTTCGACTGAGCCGGAGGCGTGCGAGCTACGTAGGCAATTCTGGTCTTGGGGGAGAGGGTGTGATGGAAGGGGGAGGGGGAGGGGTTCTGATCGAACTGCGCGGTTAACTTGGTCGATTTTGATGTCTGGAACGCGCAGAGCTTGGTTTGGTTGCCGAAGACGCTGCTGCGTGGAAAAAAATAGATTGGACCGGAGTAATACGTGATGCGAAGGAAAGGAGGCGGATGGTAACGGTTGTGAGAGGCGTTCTTGTCCCATCAATTATGGCATTGGCTGCCCCCTCGCTTCCCATGTCCATCGATGATACCCATTTGCGAGACTTTAGGTTGCCCTTGTTTTTTTCCCCTTCCTTTTTTCGTTCATCTCTGTGTAATATAGGGATGGAAGACTATCGTGATGAATACATGCGGGTCAACGAAATGGCGGAATGTCGTCCGGGTTACGGGACGTCTTCCAACACGCATTTTCATCGTGTAATTAATAATACTCGTGCTTCCTTACTATGAAGATAGGAATACACGCAGAACCAGGCTCGTTTCTCATTAAACACTAGTTGAGACGCTTGGGATTTAATTCAGCTCTTACATGCGCTACGGACTAATATTACACGATACGCGAGAATGGTCTGCTTTGCCCACCGGCCTTCTACTATTACAATAACTTAATCCGACTGGTCCGTAATCTCATCGTCCGTATGCGGCTCCGTGGAATAGACCAGCCGAAATATGCCCTTTAGCGTCTCGCTGAAGTAGTTCTGCAACCAGGAGCGGTGATCTTCAGCAATCGACCTCTCCCACGACTGGTTAAGCACGTCCACCTTGATTCCCCGGTTGCCCTCCGCATCGAGTCGGACGGCGAAGCCCCTAAGAGCACGCCAGGTGAAGCACGAAATGGCATGAATTGCGAGGGTCTTCAGCCGGGGAAGGCTACCCAGTGGTCTCAGTATCGAATCGTTTACGTACCCGCCGCTGAAGCTGAACTCCGACAACTTAGGTAGCGCCCTTGCGATACGCTCTACCTCGTCGTTGGAGACAAATGATTGCATGAGGTTCAAGGAAGTCAGATCCTTCAGCTGGCAGATCGAACCTGTTAACGACGAGCCCAACCCAGCCTTCAAGTTGACTACCTGAAAACCTCGTAGACCGAGCGTCAGATCCTGAAGGTTATTTTGCAAGCTGAGCGCAGCCATGGCGGCATCAAATTCTCCCTCGTCGCTGTCGAATTGAACGATGGATAATGATGTAAGGTGGAGGTCTGGAGCCTCTAAAATGTTCTTGGTTACAAGGCAGAGGCCTCGGCTGCTGAGAGTGAACGAACGAAGCGACTTGCAACTGCTAATCCAGGACGATACGGCGTCGAGCAACCCTACGTCTGACGATAACATATCTTCCGCCAAACTACGCTCGCTTTCGATGGTAAGCGTCTCCAGGGACGTGCAAGCTGACAGCAGGCCAAGGGCCCGCACGGCCCTTGGACGCAGGTTTGTGAGCACGAGTCTCCGTAGGGATGTCCCGTGGGCATTCAATGCTGTTAGGGTGTTGTTTCCGATTTCATTCTCGCAAATTATTGCAAAACTTCGGAGGCTACTCGGGGGAAGAGCGTGGAAGAAAGCGGCTAGATCCTCGTCCGCTGTGGAGCTAGCATCTACTCTTGATGTGTTAGGACATTGTGCGGGTGTGAATCTATTCTCGCCTGGTATGATGCCGGGCGGGACAAGAGGGTTGACCACTGGGACTCAGACTCGAACAGGGGAGGGCGCAATTACGTACTGCGAAGGGGTTAGACATCATAGATATAAGTGGGCCATACGAGGAGTGATGGGATAGGGGAAATACCGGAAGTAACAGGTTAGGTCGGCGAATTTGGGACAGTATTTGGAGATAGTCTTAGCAACATCGACGTCAAGTATGGAGCCGTCTCGAATACATAAGGATGTAAGGGCCCCGAGTCGGGCAATCCAGGTCGTGACCTTATCGGTCGGCATACTAGTACCTTCCAGGCGAGCCAGAAAGGTACTTCCCGTCTCGCCCGCATACTCCTTGACGTGCTTCGTGATGGAGTCGGCACAGTTCACCATCACGGCCAGGCTATCCACGAACTCCCCCCCTTCCCGCGGGGCCCGGAACTGGGCCATCTCGCCGCGGAAGAAGATGTCCAGGATGTGCTCGTTACCGGACATGTCTTGGAGACACTCCTCGAGGTTGCCGAGCGAAAGAGTGCGGACATAGGCGCAGTAGGGAAAGATAGTCTGACCAATGCTCGACAGAATGATCGATCTCCATAACCGTCGCGACTCAAACCTATAGCGGGCATCACCGGCGCTGGCTCGGGAAAACTCTTGGATGCTTTCGGGGGGGACCAAGCAAACAGTCAGCTCCCGCATTCTCCCTGTCTAGGGGGCCGTACGGGGGGCGGCAGGGGCTGCGACAGACTTACCTGTAGAGCTTTTCTAGAGCAATACTGGCAACTCTCCGGCTGACCAAGGAACAGCGGAACAGGGTCGCGAAATCGTGGCGCGCCGCGATTTCCTCGCAGAACAGCAGGATAATGTCCTGAGAGAGGGGCGCAGATGCCATACTAGGACGCTTGGCGGTATGGTCGACGTATATGGCGCAAGACGGCGACGGACAGTAGGGATGGTGGACGCTGAGCGTTTCTAGAAGGTTATAGCTAAGAAGGGGGAGAGAGAGGAGGAGGAGGAGGGGGGGGGGGGGACCTCGGATCGGCGAGAGGACACGGAGGTGAGGAGGAGCGCAGGTAGAGGTAAGGCAGGATGATGGGCGGCGACAGGTGAAGGGTATCAGAGACGTATTCCTCGGGCGTCCACCTTCTCTCGGCGAAGACTGAGGACGTGAAGAAGGCACGTCGAGCTTGGGAAGCACGCAGGCAGGAGCCGGGAGCGTGGCAGGGACGGGATGACGAGTTGCTGGTACATGTAGCTGGGACGGTACATATACGACGTGGAAGTACAGGCCGGCGTCTTCGCGCGTATCGGGGTACTCGAATGTGGCGCGAAGGCCGCAGGCAGGCCGAGGGCTCCAAGCGTACCTGCGTCAGATTGGGTACCCGTGACACACCACATATATACATGCAGGTACGGCTCTGGCTGGCCACGGGATGGTACCTGCCTCTCCCTCCATCGACCATCGACCATCCTTCCGTCCTTCCTTCCCACCTCTTCCCACCTCCTTCCACCTGCCTCCTACACACCGACAGGCCCACGGCGGTCAAATGTATCTATCGATGTGCCGGTGCAGAGCAGGCGCCCCGCGGGAGGTACAGGATGTGTATTATCATGTAGGTCTCGGTAGGTGATGTCAGAAGGTACCGGTATAGCGTCTCTCTCGCCGGGGGGGGGGGGGGGGGGTGGATGGCGTGGAAAGGGGGGAGGGAGGACACGGCATACGGTGTTCGACAGGCCAGCGCTGCTGCTTTCGACGAGGTTCGCTTGCGACCTCATTCCGCGCAGCAAATAACAGCGGATATCCCGTATATCCCGCCCTCCAGGCACGTATCTTGCATAAGCGGACTATTACCTGAGCTGTATGTAGCACGGCCCGGGGATTGAATCCGCGCTATGCGGGTTGCTCTGGCTTGCCGTTCCCGTCTCGTCTCCTAGGAGCGTCCCTCCTAGGAGCGTCCCCCCTAGTGCGTATCGCGTCTCCCGCTACCAGCTGGCGTGTAGGGGCGGGTAGGCACGTAGGACTTGCCGGGACACGTTCCCCTCTGGACAGGTAACCCTAGAAGGGATCCTAGAAGGGGGTGGGTGGGTGGTGAAGGCGTCCCAGGCGCCGGATTCGACCTCCACGGCACCTGGCAGTGTTGTATTTCAGAAATGGCTACCTGCGCACGGTTATTGTATGTGGCCGGCCGCCTGTCGGATAAGTACATATATGCCCATCTCTCACCTACCTACATGCATATATATATGCATACCCGTACAGAGCTGGAGGTGGGATGGGTGCGCGCATGAGCGAGAGCACTACACCCTACATAAACCTACCTACCTACATACCTACCTACATATGCATGCATGATATTGGAAGTCGTCGAATCTCCGGCCGCCCATCCGTCCAATGGCCGATCGGATTATGTACGTAGCGTAGGGAAATCATAGGCGCACAGTTCGATGGCGAAAATGGTACGTGATTTTTGGGGTTTCTCTGATGCCCGACTCTCCTACGCTCGAATGCGACGAACTCCGAAGCGGGCAATCTGCATCTGCGCACACCGAAGTCGCATCAGGTAATACCTCAGGCAACCTGCCTGGGTACTTACCTACCTAGGTAGTGTCTTAAATCACCTGCCTCTTATTAACCTGCTAGCAGGTGTGTACACATTACCGTTAGCTACGTTAGCTAACCCGACGCCCAGACTACGCGCTTTTGACACGTGTAACAACCATGTGTCCATCGACACGACTCCCGACGGGTACTTGAGCCAACCTGCCATCCCTCCACTAATACTTGCTTGTATAGGTGCGTAGTAGTACGGCAGCTCGGGACCTGCATAACCTCTCTCAGGTACCGCGGTACATACCGGGAGAGCAGAGCCAGGTATCTGTCAGGTGCGTGCTTGCAATGGAGGCCTACCATACCCACCTCACATCATAGCGATAAGTGTACAGGTAGGTACTTAGGTACCTAGGTAGGTACCAGGTACCTAACGTACTCCCGGGCATCTACCTGTGGAGGTACGTACCCAGATGCCGCGCTGCTGCAAGCCCGCTGTCCTCTCTATCTATTTACACGGACTGTGTAGGGACGGACAGATACTGCAAATTGCCGCCGTTTCCATGGTGCTCTTCACCCATGGTGCATACATGTACCCCACACCCTTCTCACCTAGGGCTTTTGGTCTTTATTGTCGCTACGTCTGACACGCTGGGATTGACCCGGCCCTCTCTGTTCTATACTACATGTGAGCGGTAACCGATTGGGGTGACTCCGCCAACAATCGAACCTCGTGTCCCTTCGATGACTCCGCCTATCCCGCCCGAGCTGACACCCGAGCGTTATTACATCACCAGAGGCATTGCATTTCGCGGCTCTTACGGCTTCGCTCTGGCCGCACTATCGGTCGAGATCAACCCCCCCCCCCTCCGAGGCCCTATCTTGTCGTCCCAGGTAATGCCATAGATAACCATGGCGGTCCTGAGGTTCACACTGGGCGAGGAGGGCGTCGACGTCCTAAGAGAAGCCTTAGCCTGCCTCGGTAAATTCAGCGACGAAGTCTCCCTCGAGGCTAAGAAGGACAGGGTATGGCTATCCTCTCTCTGCTACACCCCCGTAGACGGACCTCGTCAACCTCGTGGCTGAGTTCCTCTATCTAGTTAGTTTTCACGACATTAAATCTCTCAAAATCGGCATATGCTTCCTTCTCATTCGCCGCCAACCGATTCTTCACCAAGTACCATTACGAAGGAGAAACCCAGCACAGTGATAAGTTCTTTTGCAAGCTGTATAACAGAGTGGGTAATCGGGTTCACCTCTTCCAGATACCTCCACCTGCTTCTTTCCCTTCCCCTGAACCCCCTTTTCTAACCCACGGCAATTCCAGGCCCTACTGTCTCTCTTCAGAATCAGGAGTGGCGACAGCCTGCGCGAGAAAGACACTACAATCGACCGTTGCCACGTCGCTATAGTAGATGAGGTGGGGAAAAGGAGCCAATTCATCGCCAAGATTGTGTTTCGAAATGGTAGGTAATGTAGACTCGATACACGATTGCCGCAATGTTTCTCTACCTAACATAGCATAGGAATCACAACCAAATACCGTCTGCCGTTTGAAGTCAGCCCCCCGGTGCACGCCAAATTCGACAAGGAAGAGGCGATTAACCATTGGTCTATCCCGTCCCGCACCCTGCGCCAGCTGATGGATCACTTCGGTCCGGGCATAGAGTATCTTGATATCCACTCCAAGGGTGAGGACGTCGTCAACTTCACTTGCTTCAGCGAAAAGGTTAAAAATGGCGAAGAGGTCCTCAAGAAGCCCCTGCACACATCTGTCGCCGTCGAACGAGATGAGTTTGAAGACTTCGTAGTCGAAGAAGACAAGCTTCATATCATCATCAGTGTGAAGGACTTCAGGGCAATCGTCTTCCATGCTGGCTCGCTCGGAAGTCAAATCTCTACGTGCTATTCGGTGCCCTCCAAGCCGATGCAGCTTAGGTACGATGGTGATGGAATCAAGTGTGAATTCCTCCTCATGACCGTTGGCGAAAGGAGAGCTTCCGGCCGGAAAGCCAAGGCAAACCGTGGCAACGTCAGGGGGCCGAAGCCACCGCAACTCGAGGCGGCGATTAGTAGGGCTACTTCACACGCGCCCACGCCAGCTCCTCCATTGCCACCGCAAACTCAGGTATCGCGACCGGAGCCGGTACCTTCTTTGAGACCGCCTATTGCCCGCCCTTCCCAACGACCGCCCCCGGCCACATTCGAATCCGAATCGCTTTTTGTACCTCAAGACGACGAACGTCAATGGGATCCTGTGAACGTCGGCGAGGACGAAGACGGGGAGGAGAACGCCCGGCTAGAATGGGACGTGAGCGGAGACTTGGTAAGCATCCCTATCACCCGGCTCCAGTGTGCCGGCGACAACTAACGCGACATAGCACCCGTCCGCGGTGAATATGAGATCCATAATGGCGAATCGGAGCGCCGCCCCAGCGCCAAACCGTGCCGACACCAACAACGCTAATGACTATGACCAGAATAACTTCGAGCCGACGCAACATCTCTCGCAGGTCCGCAGGTTTGGGCTCTTCGGTGACTAGGGGGTAAGGCGAGAGTTGTTGGCTTCGTCCTCGACCAGTGTGTGCATATGTGCGCATGTGGTGACTGGGCTTTGGCTTCGTGTATGGGCAGAGGCTGCAGTATGTCTAAGGAGCTACCTTGGTCCTAGGAGGATTCAAAGAAATATACCCTCCATCGCAATGTTAATCCAACTCGTAGCGCATCCAGCCCCGATGGCCGTGATACTAGACCCCTCAGGCAAGTTCTTCACCGAAGCGAGCACGTTCCAGCGACCCTTGACGTCTCCGGACTGCCCGGCAGTCGTCGGTCCGCAGTTGCCATGTTCGCCCCAACCCCACGACAGGACGTTACCGTCTCGCGTCAGGGCGACGACGTGCTCGCTGCCGGCAACGACCCGTTCGAGCTCGGGAAGCCCGGGGGGCGGCATCTGGCCGTGGTCGTCGCGACCCCAAGCGAGGAGGGTACCACCGCGCCTCAGAATGTAGACAGCCCCCCAGCCGGCGGCGAGGGCGGCCCAGTCGGGCGCCTCGGTAGGCGCTCCCGTCCGTAGGGCCCATCTCCCGTCTGCGCCAAGCACAAGGACTCGGCCGTCGCCTGGCGCGGCGATGAGACATGTCGCGTGCTGTGTGCAGGCCGCAGCGGCCACTGCAAACGGAACCCCACCTATCTTGCGGGGGCGCTTGACGATCGCGCCGCCGGAGCCCGAGTCGGGACCGGGGTTGGACCTGACCGCGGCATCCTCCTCGCCTAGCTGCCCCTTGTGTGCCGCACCCCACCCCCACGCGTCGCCGTTATCGAGTACGGCGACGACATGACGGAGCCCCGCGGACAGGCTCACGATTTGCGTGCCAGGTGGTGGGAAGTCGGTGAGTAAGAGTGGCATTCCAAGGGTAGTCAGATCCGTCACAGACGTATCTGCAATAGCGACCGTCATGTCGCCGCCACACACGTACACTTGCGTCACTGCATCTTCGTCGTCTCTGAGCGCGAGGACGGAGGCGTCCCACGTGCAGGCGGCGTAGACGACGTGGCGGAGGCGCTGACCGTCCCTGTCCGCGCCCGGGTCGAGAGCGAGCGCGTGGAATCCGGACGACGTGTCTGCGCCAGACCCGGAGCCGGAGCTCTCCCGGACGACGCCGCAGGCCCCGGTCGACGGGTCACCAGCCCAGTACGCGCAGCCGGCACGGGTGAGCGCGATGGTGTGGTTCCCGCCGGCGGCGACGCAAACGACCTCATCGGTGTCGTCGAGGGGGGGGTCAAAGCGGACGGGCTTCGGCACGGAGACGTCGGTGCGATGACCCAGGCCCAGCTGGCCCGACCCATTGGAGCCGAGGGCGAAGAGACCGTCCATGTGGATGGGTGGATGACTGCTTACTGAGCGCACCGCTCCAGGTTTATTACTCGCAGTCTGGTTATCTTCGCTGTGTGCGAGGTGGGGGAGTCCGAATGATGATGTGAGGAGGGCGACTTGGATTACTCTGAGTAGGCGGAGGGACGGGACGGGGTTCATGAGGTAGGTATTAAAGGCGCCGCTGTCGCTCTGCCCGTCTTCGACGTCCCCTTTCTCTATCCGTCTACGTCTCTCCCTATACCTCTCAGCGCCGTTCTTCGTGCCCGAAATAGGCCGTGAATCTGGGAGCTGTCAGCTAGCTGTCTAGCTGTCTACCTGCGGGATCTCGCTAAACGTTTATCTCGAACCGTTCTCAAAGCCAACCCGTCCGCGGGCAGGTACGTACCATTTCGTGCTACTTCTATCCCTGCATTACATTACCTACATTACATTACATGACGTAGCGCAACGGGTTACTGCATAGTATGCAAAAACACGCATAGTTATATACCTACCCAGGACTACTCCGCGGTACATCCCAGCAATGTGGCTTAATATATGATATTGAACCCGCTTTCCAAATTAGCGGTGGCGCATGGAAAATCGATAGCTCATTGGAGAGTTTGTCCTCGTTGCATCCACACTCTAGAATTTTTTCACCTGAATATCTGCCACTGTTTTTTCCCCCCCCTCGCATTCACCTCCCTATCAACACTCCTCTTCCCTCGACACCTCATACTCCGCGCCACCTATTCAGCTATTTATTTGCCTGGTGCCGATCCCGCGCCCTCATCTGCCCGATGATTGAAGCCTCGACAGACTCGCCTAGATAGCCGTATGAAAACGTGATGCTGCTTGTGTTCTAACCCTCGTTCAGTCTAGTGGTTATTTGGGACGGGAGGAAAGTTGGTCTACTTGCTGTCCGTCCTTCACGATCATGGCGTCGCCGTCTGGGGTGTCTCCCGACATGCAAAACTTCGTCGTCGGGATTATCGGGATGGGGGACATGGGGAAGATGTATGCTCGGAGGCTGAGTGACGCTGGATGGAGGTAAGAAGAACCATGCGATGAGCGTTGCTACCGTCGTCGGCCCTCGGAACGTCATTTGCCGCTTTGGTAAGTCGGTCTTCCGTGTTTCCCTGCTTATTCCTCGGCTCCATCCCCTTCGCAGATGATGACTTGAGTGCATTTGGCTCGAGCATTGCTCTCGGCCGGTTGGATTTGGCCATTCTGGCTCCCAGCCCGGCCGTTGGCTTTCCATGATGTAACTTCTCAGCTACCTATTTAAATCTTGTCTGAAGCGCTTCCCCATGTCATGACATCGTACCCGGTACTGTCCGAGGCGGCGTAGATTGCTAACACGCAGTGCGCAGATCCGATATTGATTGCGCGACCCGAGAGCCATTCTCATGACGCTGACGACCTGAGACTAGAATCATAGCGTGCGACAAGGAGGAGCAGTATGAGAATCTCCGTGGGGAGTTTGCCGACAGGGTACATTCTCATAGTCGTCCCTCCTCGGATCGAAGCCACGCTGAGAGGTCCTTTAGAGCAATATACAAATTCTCCGGAATGGTCACCTCGTGTCTCGTGCAAGCGACTACATCATTTATAGCGTAGAGGCCGCGGCTATCAGTCGGGTTGTGGCCGAGTACGGACCTTGTATGGCGGCCTACCTGACCTCTAGAAGTGTGTTTGCCCGTATTTTTTTCGCTAAGCTGTGTGCGCAGCAACGAAGCTCGGCGCCATCGTCGGCGGCCAGACGTCTTGTAAAGACCCCGAGATCAAGGCATTCGAAGCCTACCTCCCGTCAGACGTAGATATCGTCTCGTGCCACTCTCTCCATGGCCCCCGGGTCGACACCAAGGATCAACCATTGGTAGCACCCATATAACCTGCGGCTAACTCTCCTCGGCTCCGCTTACCCAAACCGCAGGTTCTCATCAAGCATCGCGCCTCGGACGAATCGTTTTCCAAGGTCGAGACCGTCCTGCGGTGTCTCAATTCGAAGCACGTCTATCTCACGGCGCACGAGCACGACCGCATCACGGCCGACACCCAGGCGGTCACGCACGCGGCCTTTCTTAGCATGGGGAAGGCTTGGCACTCGATGCGGCAGTTCCCGTGGGAAGGGGCGCGCTACGTCGGCGGCATCGAGAACGTCAAGATAAACCTCACGATGCGCATCTTCAGCCAGAAGTGGCACGTCTACGCCGGCCTCGCTATCCTTAACCCCGAGGCGCGCAAGCAAATCGATCAGTACGCCAAGAGTGTGACGGAGCTCTACAAGCTCATGCTCGGCGGACACCTAGACGAGCTGCGGGACCGGGTGTTGCGCGCGAAGGAGAAGGTGTTCGGGCGGGAGGAGGCGCCGAAGTGGGAAGACCAGCTACTCCTCAAAGACGAGGTGCTCGACCGGTTCAGCATCGGGGGCACGTCGGCGCGGAGCCCGCTGCCCAACAACCACCTGAGCCTGCTAGCGATGGTGGACTGCTGGAGCGCGCTGGGGATCGTGCCGTACGAGCACATGATCTGCAGCACGCCGCTATTCCGGCTGTGGCTGGGCGTGACGGAGCACCTGTTCCGCCACCCGGAGCGGCTGGAGGAGGCGTTACGGATCGCGGTCGAGGACAACACGTTCCGGAGCGACGACCTCGAGTTCACGTTCGCGGCGCGCGGCTGGGCCGAGTGCGTCGGCCTCGGCCACTTCGACACGTGGCGGGAGCGCTTCGTCGCGACCCAACGCTTCTTCGAGCCCCGCTTCCCCGGCGCGATCGAGGTCGGCAACGAGATGCTCAAGGCCGTGCTGGAGAGCACGAAGAGCTAGTTACTATCTGGCTGACCGACTTGGCCGGTAAAAAAACTGACTGTCTTGGTGGGTGTTTGCGAGGTAGGCAGGCAGTAATTCGACTTGCGACGTACTTGGCGCCGCCGCCGTCAGCCCTCCCTTCTCGGGGATGGGGGCAAGAAAGGTACGGATGTCACTCTACCATATATATCCTTAGGTATACATACAGTTTCTTCGTTAGTTGGACGGCCTTTATGCCATCGTAGTTACGGCAGTCAATAATCTGAAGTCAAAGTCAGGTAACAGATGTGCAATGTGCAATGTGCAAGGTGGAATGTGGTGGCAACTCGGGTAAAATTATTATTTACTCAGTAGATGCAGGCGATTTGCTCGGCATGGCCATGCTGCGTGCATTCAGCGCAGCTATTCCCGCTTGATCAGAGACAGAAAATTGCGAGTTACATTAGAAATGACTACAGGTACCTGAGGTACCTATTACAAACACATTAGGTTAGGAGGTAACTTTTACCGCAGGTATGTACCTAAGTACCTAAGGTAGGTTAGGTACCTGTTAGGTAGTGGTGCGTATTCAGCATTTCCCACCTACCATCGTGGTTATCCCCGCGCCCATACCCGCAAGCGGAACGGCTCACCATAGCCAGGTGGACGACGATTATCGTTCGACGGGCGAAAAGCGCCTCGGGTGCGCATCCCCCATTCTCGCGATGGAGATGCCACTCGTATCGATGCGCCCATGCGACGCAAGGTGATAGCAACCCCGAGCTGCCGGGCACATACTTGGATCGGGGCATGCCGAACTATAGGACAGCATTCTAAGACGTTGTTCCAAGCTGGGGGCCCCGGCAACCCCAGGTACGCTCGGTGCGGAGTAGGCAAGACATGTCTAGGGCCAAGAAATGCCAGGCCGGCCAACGCCATCCACCCTCTCGCTCGCTCGAGGCTCCCCGAGGCACGTAAGAGAATTAGCGGTTTCTGGGGTTGAGACTTGGGTACCTACCTGTCTACGGGTGGGAGATGGAGAGGGGGGGGGGGGGGAGGGGGGGAACCGGTAGGGGAATGCGTGGGCTCATGGAGGCTAGCGCAGCCCAAAAAGGAGCCTCGGTCCGGGGCGACGGGGCTACGCGGGGTTAGGTGTAGGTACTTTGGGTACACACGTATAGGCTCTATCATCGGGCCTGTTGAGGCACGGAAGGTGAGTACTTCAGGGGTACCTAGGACAGGGCGAATGCCCATTACGACATTCCAGTTTAGTGATGCTCGCATGTGAGAGAGGTACCTAAGGTTAGGTAGGTATCTAGGCAGGTTGTGCCTGTAGTGAGGTTAGTAAATCCCCGGGCTTACGAGGTATTGTCGAGGTACCGCGGCTCGGCGTCGAGAGAGTGACGTTGCGTGGAAGCCCATCCGTAACAACTCGCGACTGGCTGGGTACTTAGGCATCCCTGTATACAAAGGCAGAGACCGGCACTCTTCTCATTTGTTTTCTCCTACACCTTTCCCCCCCTCGGTGAGACACGAAATGATACCCGTAGAAGCTCAGTAGAGCTGCGCTGCCTACCTATTAGCTACCTCTGCCCGCCTGGTCTTCCTACCTTCCCACTTGCTTCCTCGCCTACCCCACAACATTTCCCCCTGGCCCTCGACAGCTTCGCCTTCGTCGAGAGGAAACGGGAGAGAAGGGCAATACCGAAAAGAGGGGAGAGAGGAGCGCAGATTACGCACCGCCAAAGAGGCATAGCACAGCGACCGACCGGGGGGGAATGGCGAGCAAAGACGCCCCTGGGCCCGTCATCATCATCGGCGCCGGCCTTGCCGGTCTCGTCACTGCCTTCGAGCTGTCGAGGAATGGCGTGCGCGCCATCATCGTCGATCAGGAGGGCGAGCAAAACCTCGGCGGGCAGGCCTTCTGGTCGCTCGGCGGCATCTTCTGTGTCGACTCGGCGTCGCAGCGCCGTCTCGGCATCCGCGACTCGCGCGCCCTCGCCCTGCGCGACTGGATGGGGTCGGCGCGCTTCGACCGCCCCGACGCCGACGACCGCTGGCCCCGCCGCTGGGCCGAGGCATTCGTCGACTTCGCCGCCGACGGCATGGAGCGCTACCTCAAGGAGCGCGGCGCCAGCTTCCTCTTTAATGTAGGCTGGGCCGAGCGCGGCGATGGCACCGCCGACGGCCACGGCAACTCCGTGCCCCGCTTCCACATCACCTGGGGCGCCGGCCCCGAGGTCGTCCGCGTCTTCGCCGACCCCGTCCGCGAGGCTGAGGGGAAGGGCCTCGTCGAGTTCCGCTTCCGCCACGTCGTCGATGAGCTGATCATCGACGGTACCGGGCGCGCCTGCGGCGTCCGCGGCCGCGTCCTTGAGCCCGACCCCGCGCCCCGCGGCGTCAAGACTTCGCGCACCGCCGTCGGCAACTTTGAGCTCCGCGGCGCCGCCGTCGTCATCGCGTCGGGCGGCATCGGCGGAAACGTCGAGGCGGTGAAGCGGGCGTGGCCGGTCGACCGGCTCGGCCCCAAGGTGCCGGAGCACTTCGTCATCGGCGTGCCGGCCCACGTCGACGGGCGCATGGTCGAGATCGCCGAGGGCGCCGGCGCGCGCTTCGTCAACCGCGACCGCATGTGGCACTACACCGAGGGTCTGCAGAACTGGGACCCGATCTGGCCGAGCCACGGGATCCGGGTGCTGCCGGCGCCGTCGTCGCTGTGGCTCGACGCGACAGGGAAGCGGCTGCCGCCTTTCCTGTTCCCGGGCTGCGACACGCTCGCGACGCTGCGGCACATCTGCGCGACCGGCTACGACTACAGCTGGTTCGTGCTGGACCAGACCATCATCGCGCGCGAGTTCGCCCTGTCCGGGTCGGAGCAGAACCCGGACCTGACGAGCAAGAGCATCTGGCAGGTGCTGTGGAACCGGGTGTTCAGCTCGCGGGGGACGGGCCCGGTGCAGGCGTTCCAGCGGCACGGGCGCGACTTCGTGGTGCGCGAGACGCTGGAGGAGCTGGTGGCGGGGATGAACGAGCTCGCGGACGAGGCGGGCGGGCCGCGGCTCGACGCGGCGGCGGTGCGCGAGGTGGTGGAGGCGCGCGACGCGCAGATGGACAACGCGTACTGCAAGGACGCGCAGGCGATGCTGGTGCGCAACGGCCGCGCGTACTGGCCCGACAGCCGCAGCCGCGTGGCGCCGCCGCACCGGCTGCTCGACCGCCGCCACGGCCCGCTCATCGCCGTGCGCATGAACCTGCTGACGCGCAAGACGCTGGGCGGCCTCGAGACGGACCTGCGGAGCAACGTGCAGCGGGCGGTGCCCACCTCTAACGGCGGCGGCGGCGGCGGCGGCACGGATACTAAGCCGTTCCCCGGCCTGTACGCCGTCGGCGAGGCGGCCGGGTTCGGTGGCGGCGGCGTCCACGGGTACAACTCGCTCGAGGGCACGTTCCTCGGCGGGTGCATCTTCTCGGGGCGGGCGGCCGGGCTGGCGCTCGCGGAGGAGCTCGGGGGCCGTCCCGTAGGGAAGAAGTAACGGTGACGGCGACAGGACGGGATGATATTCAGAGGTGAGATTAGGTTAAACACACTCTGGATGACGCGACTTGCCGTGTTGTTAACATTTGGTATGTAATGCCGTCGTTCGAAGCAACTCGGCGACCGCCGGAGTACGGAGGAGATAGGGATGTTGGCGCACTAGTTTTATCCGCACGCGTATACGAAACTTGAATTCGGTTCCTAATGCAAGAATATGGTGAAGGTATCGTGAGACATTGTAATAGCCCCCTAGTTTAACACCCCCTGCCTGTGTTATCGTATGTAGGTACCTACCTATAGGTAATAATATCCCCGATCGAGGTAATAGGGACTCGTGTATATTATCCTTTTCGAAAAAACCATTCACTGTTCTGCTAACCAATATAGCGGAGCTTTACCAGAGAAGTTGGCTAGACATCGTAACGCCCTCTCCAAAATCGCATTTCTCCCTTTGTTGGCGGTTGGGGGACTGGCCTATGGTATTGCAGGGTTTCGCCTTACGGGGTAAGACGACAGACACACACTCCTTGGCGTGGCCTATCGTTGATAGAGTAACGTCGGGTTTCCAAGGCCTCTTTATAGCTACCCATCATGGGCTGGGCTCGGACTGACTGATAATAATACGCATTTCTCTCGCACTGCCTACCCCAGCGTTCCAAGGCAGCGCCAAGGCAGCGGGGGGGTGGAGGGGCTCAAGCGGTGTCTTGTCCGCCGGGAATACCAGGTATCGCTGGCCGGCGTCTAGGCCTCGCAACCGCGTTTTACAGGTTCTTTACCTACCCTACCTAAGGCGGGTAAGTACTTGCTTGTCAAGTCTGGAGCCATGGCAATACTCACACCTACAGGTAATAGGTACCTATACCTACACACCTACCCAGGATTGCCATCTCCTAGTTCGAGTCTGCCCAGGACGTATGCAATTCAGGGTTGGCATTGTCTCGTAGGGAGGGAGGATTGATAATTGTAGACAGGTATGCTGATTTATTAGCCGGGTGTTATTCCTGATAAACATCAGGCTCGATTATACCGTCCGCTCCCATAATGCAGCTAATTACGCGATGCAACGGGGAGGGGAAAGACGGCCACAGAAAGGGAGGCACGTGTAGCCGGGGGGCGTAGATTTACCCTCCACCTGCGCCCTTCACGGAGGCCGAGAGATCCGATCGCGCAATCGCACGCAGTTCTGTCAATGCCACAACCACCCCGTCTTGGTCGAAACGGAGGAGGGGGTGGAACCGAAATCTCGGGTTCTTTGCTTCGAGTTCTCCCCCTGTATTCTGCTCCTCTACTGATCGCTACGACCCTTACTATTAGGTATTCGTCATTATCACCGCTGTCATCATTGTCGCTACGGGCACTAGCTCTGGCCAGATATTAGCTGGCTAGATAATACCTACCTAGTGGATAGCACCAGCCGATACCCTTGTTAAAATAATACCTGACGACAACAAGTAAAATATGACGAACATCCTCAGGAATGTCCTCCTGCCGGACACCCCGTCGGGAACCGCAAGCGAGGGAACTACTATCGCCACCGCCGCTGCCACCGCTGCCACCATGTCGCCGCCGAACAAAGAGCTAACGGGCCACAAGCTGCTGCTGCTCGTGCCCTGGGAGCCGCCGGCGGGATACGTCGACGGCCTGCGCGCCCGGTTCCCGGGCCTCGAGGTCGTGCACGAGAACTGGGACACCTGGTCGCAGCCGACGCTGCCGCCGCACCTCACCGAGGAGGACTGGAGTACCGTCACCGTCCTCCTCACCGGCCCCAAGTTCCCCACGCGCGAGGCCGCCCCCCGCCTGCAGCTCGTCCAGCTCCAGAGCGCCGGCGCCAACTTCATCCTCGACAACCCGCTGTTCAAGGACACCAACATCGCCTTCTGCACTGCCAACGGCGTCCACGGGTAAGTAAGCCAGCGCTTCACCCTCCTGCCGGGAGTCGAGACTGACCTCCGCCGTTCTTTCGCCCCCCCCCCCCCCCCCGTCTAGGCCCCAGATCGCCGAGTGGATCGTGTGCACGTTCCTCGCCTACCAGCACCGGAGTAAGTGAACCCATCCGTTTTTGCCATCTTGCTGCCCTTCGGCTCGGAAGCGCCGACGAGGTGAGCTGCGGCCGTGACCCGGTGCTGATCGCCTGCGACTGTGGCATAGTCCCGTACTTCCTCGGTCTCCAACGGGCGCACCGGTGGGAGCACAGCTGGGACGACTCGGACACCCAAGACGCGGTCAACCAGCGAGTGTAAGCCAGCCCCTTTTCTTTTAGATCCTTTCTATTTCCCCGGGATGAGAGACCTTTTAATTTCTATTCTTTTTTTTATACGCAAAGTATCGGTGCTGACTCCTCAACCCGAAGCGGTATCCTCGGCTACGGCAGCATCGGCCGGCAGGTAGCGCGGGTGGCGACGGCGCTCGGTATGGAGGTGTACGCGTACACGAACCGGCCGCGGCCGACGCCCGAGTCGCGGCGAGACGACTCGTACGTGCTGCCGGGGCTCGGCGACCCCGAAGGGAAGCTTCCGTCGCGCTGGTTCTCGGGCACCGCGCCGGAGGAGTTGGCAGCGTTTCTAGACTCGGGGCTCGACCTGCTGGTGCTGGCGGTGCCGCTGACGCCGCTGACGCGGGGGCTGATCTCGGGGCCGCAGTTCGAGCTGCTCGCGCGCGGGCGACGCACCTATGTGGCTAATATCGGGCGCGGACCGGTCATCGACACCGACGCGCTCATCACCGCCCTTAACACCGACGCTATCCGCGGCGCCGCCCTCGACGTCACCGACCCCGAGCCTCTGCCCTCTGACCACCCCCTCTGGGATGCGAAAAACATCATCATCACTCCCCACGTCAGCGGCAACTCCACCAGCTACAACCACCGCCTCCTCGCCATCCTCAACATCAACCTCGAGCGCCTGAGCGAGGGCAAGGACTTTATGAATAGGGTGAGCCGGAAGCGGGGCTACTAGTTAGATGTGCGGTCGGGGATGTTGGAATGGGGGTTAACTGGGAGGAAGGCTGGCGATATTGGTTTCGGTAGGCATGGGAGCACGCCTCGACAGCGGAAACTTGAGCGGGCCTTGGAATAACGGGCGTACGCAGGTAATAGCTATCCTACGCGCACAAATCGCAGACGCCTACACTCTGCCACAACTATGGAGCTCAACTATCGCAGCATGCGTTATTATGCGGAACACCAGGTCTAGGTACCTGCTTTTCCCCTGAACGCCCGCCCCTTTTCACCGGCCCGACTCGGCCGAGACATCATCCTAAAGCAGGTGCTCAACGTAGTCTGGGTCGCCCCGGGGTGAGAGAGCAATGCTACTATTACATGCACTGCATCCTACAGGCCATCCCTAAGCAATGCCCATCGGCCAACAATCCCGGATGTCGGACTAAGCGTTATTACCGCCTGTCTGCCTCCCTTGACTGTCCGTGGAGATGCTCGGAAGGTTTGTGACGAAGGATTGCTCTCGAATGCTAGATAGGCAGGTGGCCAGTTCATGCTAGCTTGTATGCCGGCATTGCTGACCCAAGAGGGAAACACATAACCTACGTCGGGACCGTAGGCCCCCCGGCCAGTGGGCACTCCCTCTGCTCCCCCTGAAGCCGTGACAATAAGTCTGTGAATTATCTAAGGCCCGACAAGGGAAGACTGCTCTATTCCATCCGGCATTCCGACAGCTGCTGTCGCGTGAGTCAGCTCGAATTCTCCACCATCAGCTCACAACCGGCAGAGATGGGGCTCTACGAGCTCGGCGCGGCGCGGGCGTGACCGTGGTGGCCTCGTCTTGGTGCTTGTTCGGCTTCCCCAACGTTTGACTGTAAGCCAACGTTCGGCCACTGCTAACGCGTGTTTCCTCACTCGGCGCGTCTAGGACTATGATAGGTAAGCATGAGCAAGCAACGCCTACCAGTCTGTCTATGGATTACGGCATCGTTTCTAGGAGACAACCTTGCTAAGGGCGCATCTGGAAGCTGTATCTGGCCACGGCACTACAGCGGCGCAGTGCGCGCGGGCGCGGCGAGGCCAACGCGTGCTATTCCCCGGACCCTGGTCACCGGGTTATCTCGACGAATCCTTACCAAGTCAGCATCCGCCGCCGCCGATTCGTCTGCTCGTACCCTGGCCTCCTGCCCTTTTCACCCCGGAGTTTCGCTTCGGTGCCGGCGAAAGCCCAACCCTAGGGGACCAGCAATATAAGCCGCAGGCGGAGGTAACCCCCCCTCTCCCCTCTCCCCTCGCCGAGCTTTCGCCAGCAGCCGGTTCTAGACCTGCCCGTTTCCCTGGGGAGACCACGCGATGGATCCCCCTCCTTCCCGCACCGACTTCCCAGCGCGCACAGCTGCTGGGTCATTATTCAGCAACTGTGCGGCACAGTCATGCTCCGCCTGTAGCCCTGTTGTGGCGACAGGGAGCGGAGGGGGAGGGGGGTTGTAGACGACGCGACGGCTAGATCGGGAAGGAAGAAAGCCGCACGTTCTCCTCGCGCAGCATCTGGAAGCACGAGGGGGGGGCGTTCCTAGGGTACTCGCGGCGCCAGAGCCGTGCGTTAAGTATAAGTAGGGCGAGGCGGGAGGGCGAAGCACGTCAAGGAGCCTCAGAGGAACGTGATCAAGGCCCTCGCGCGCTGCGTACTCGAACTTGTCCCGAGGACTACTCCAGCTAGCTAGGGGAGCATATATATATATACACCTATATATCTACCTTACCACGGTCCCGCCAACGATGCTGCGCCAGCTTCTCACGGGAGCCGCGCTCTGGGGCGCGCTCGGCAGCGCGACGACGGCGACGACGTACTCGGTGACGACGGTGACGACGTGCGCGACGGCGTTCGGGTCGGGCGGGGTGCCGCCGCTGTCGCTGCCGACGGACCTGAGCCGGGCGACGACGACGTCGGCGACGACGTCGGCCGAGGTGACGGTGCCGTCGACGGTGCGCGTCACCGCTGCGCCCGTCACCACCACCGTGCGCACCTCCACCGTCTGGTTCTGGGACGCCACCACCACCACCCTGCCCGTCACCACGTCCTGGGTCCGCGTCTACGCCACCGTCGACACCGCCACCGTCCCCGTCACCGTCTGCACCGCCGGCTCTACCCCCGAAACCACCACCACCGTCTACACCGGCGCCTACACCCCCGTCCCCGGCCAGGACCCCTGGCCCCCCGCCTCCTACCCCACCCGCGCCGCCTGCACCGCCCGCGTCACCACCTGGCTGCTCCTCGCGCCCACCGCCACCTCCGGCACCACCACCGTCACCGAGACGCCGACGTCGACCGAGGTCGCCGTCACCGCCACCGTGTCGGCCACGTACTACTTCAGCGGGACGACGTACGCGGCGACGGAGACGCAGACGACGACGAGCTTCGTAGTGGGGCTGGCCTCGGCCACGGTCAGCGCGAGCTGCGCGCCGACGGCGACGGCGACGCTGGCGGCGCGGTGCGCGCCGGGCAACGTGATCTCGGGCGTGGGGGGCCGCGGGCTGGTGTCGGGGCGGTACGCGGAGAACATCACGGTGATCTACGTCGGCGACGCGCGCTTCGAGGACCCCAGCCGGTGCTGCCAGCTGTGCCAGGACAACGCCGGCTGCGCCGCCATCATGGCCGGCATCTCCGGCTTCTGCGGCCTCTACTACCAGGCCGCCCCCGCCGGCGGCCCCGCCTGCGGCGCCTTCTCCTTCACCTACCAGTCCCAGGCCAACTACTTCCCCGGCCAGGGCCTCTGGATCCAGGAGGGCTGCGGCCGCGTCGAGTTCACCGGCCCCGTCGGCGGCGGCCAGAAGTAAAGATGTTCGAAAAAGGAGAGAGAGAAAAAAAGAAAAAGAAGAAGAAAAATCGGATATAGTGACAAAATGGAGAGGGTTAATGTCGGTACCTAGGTAATTTATCAAAATTTCATGTTGTTCCTCGGTCCTCTCTTACAACCTACTCACCTACCTGGTTTACGCAACATCGCCTGGCGGTGCCGATGAGGCACCCATCTCTCAAATGTGTGATGGTTACAACTACATGTTAGACTCGGGGTCGAGTTCCAAGGTAAGACTCTAGCCTAGGGTAATCAAGCCAGGGGGTGAACTCTGGAAGCTGTCACCAGAAGTAATAGGCATGCCTGCCCCGGGGTTAAGTGTTGGGAAGTTCCTGCGTACTACCTACCTATATACAGAGGGGTCTCGGCACCTAGTACAGGTTCGTAGACGGAGAGGCGAACATGTGAAGGAAAGTGGTATATACAGCTGTCACGAAGCGGAGGGCTGGACCGAGCCTCTCCTCGCCCGCGAGAATCCATGCGCGCATATGCGTCAAATATATATATATATACATATCCGTCCATATAAAAGAGCTGCCGTGGTGCATGACCTTCTGGCTCTCACAAAAGGAAAAGAAAAGAAAAAGCTCCCACTTTGCCTGCCTGGCAGCCATATCTGACTAGGCCTTAAAAATTAAAAGTAAATAAACAGTGCTCTGAGGCTGGGTATTGTGTCTATCGAGTTGTCCTTCTCTCTAACGGTGACCGTAGAACTCCGTTGCCATGCTGGAATGTAGTGTAATAAGCGGCGGAAAAGTAGTGGGGTAGGGAGGCGGTGGTAGTGGCAGCGGTAATGCGATGAAGATGGAAAGTCGAGAGGATACAGCACGGGTGTGTTGCTTCCCCGGCAATTTCCCTCGTTCACGTTCTCCCTTCCTTTCGTTATGTCTGTGTTCGCGTGAGCGTGGAAGACTGAGAGCCGACCTGCCCGATTAACAGCGTGTGGCTATGGGTGTGGGTCTCTCTAATATGTCTTCATCACCGCCCGTCCCCTCCCGTGCTCGACGACGGCGAAGGCGCGGGCGGCGGTAGCGGCGGCGACAGCACCGGCGATGGCCTCTCCTCGTAGGGTGGGCTCTGACCGCGGGGGATCTCGTGGCTGAGGCGAGCGATGCCGGCGCCGGGGCTGAGGCTGAGTTCCTCGACGGTCTCGATGGTGTCGAAGGGGATGCTGCACGAGTACGAGGGCGGCGACGGCGGCACGTCCTGGTAGATGGGGGGCGCCTCGTTGTCCCAGCTGACGCCGAGGCCGGCGCGCTCCGTCAGCGCCACGCCGAAGTGCATGCGCAGGATGCGCGCGACGCCCGTGGGCGCGATGTGCCGCGGGTGCGCGGCTGGCGCGTACTCCTGCACCACTACCATCTCGACCACCAGCTGGTGCGTTACTCGCGTGCCGTCGGCGCTCTTCAGGTCGCAGCAACCGGTCCCCGACGCCCCCGACGCGGCCCGCGAGCTCGAGCTCGCGCTCGATACCGGGCCCAGCTCGTACTGCACCTCCATGTCGATGGATCCCGTCGGCGAGTAGTCCGACTTCCAGCCGCTGTGCAAGTCGGCGTGGGCGATGACGCGCGCGTCGGTGCGCTTGGCGCCCTTCTTGCTACCGCTGCTGTTGCTGTTCGTGCTGCCGCTGTCCGGATCCTTGGGGGCATGCTTGTCGCAGGCGGGGGCGACGGCCTCCATGTGCTCCTCGACCTTCCAGGAGAGGCGCTTGAGCTTCCAGTACTCGACGCTCTTCGAGTCGGGGTTTGAGCGGACGATGCCGTCGAGGCGCAGGGTGAAAGTGTTGGTGCTGCTCGGATGCACGACCTGGGCGTAGTGGACGCTCGCGGCGATATTGGTCGGTGGGAAGATGCGCACGCTGTGGTGCGGTAGCTCCGGCACGGGTAGTGACCGCTTCACATCGATCGTCCGCACCAGCCGCACGGCCGGTCCGAGTCCCGCCCGCGGCCGCGCCTCTGCCGTGAATTCGTACCGGATCGCGACCACGGGGTTGTCCGTCGTCGCCGGCAGGTGGCCCTCCAGCAGTACGGAGAAGGGGAATTCGTGCGTACCTATAGGGGTCACCTGTCAGTTCATCTCGATCGCGATCCTCCGGACATGCGGGGCCGCTTCTGGTGGGGCAGCGAGGTTACTCACGTTTGGAGAGAATTGTCGGGTCGGCCAGAAACGACCAGGTCTTGAGCTCGGACGTCTGGCTCGAGCAGTTCTGGCAGTGGCTCGCGTACGGCCGCTTCTGGGTGACGTGGATCTCAAGCTTGGCCTCGAAGCTCTCCACCTCGAAATTGTCCTCCTTGACGCACAGGTACAGCTGGCCAGAGACCAAGGCGCCGGTGCTGTTCTCGGCGTCGCCGTGCATGACGACGGGCGGTGACTCGATCTTCCAGTCCAGCGAAGCGCTGGCGTTCTGGGTCGCATCCTTGGACCGCGAGGAGCCGAGGTGCAGGCCCGGGAAGCTCAGTCGGTGGTGGGAGTGGGAGTCCTTGTGCTTGTCCTTAGTCAAGTCGGCCATCCTGGCGAGGGATGCGGCCGGGCGAGCGGCGTCGTCGTCGTGGGAGCTCAGCGAGGAGTGGCGCGTAGACCGGTCTCGCGAGGCGGACCGCGATCTGGGATTGCTCCTCCGCTGCACGGAAGCCTTGATGTTGTGGATGCTGTCGTTGGAAGAACGGAAGAAGTCTACAACGCGATGTGGCATGTTGACCAACGACGAAAAACGAAAGGGGGGGGGGGAAGGAAGAAACAAAAAAAAGGACGAGGCAGGTAAGCTGGGTCGGTGGTGGATCTCGTGTCTCGTCCTTGGTGGCTGTCGCGGTCGCTTGAGTCGAGCCCGCTATGCGATTCGCCGGTTGCTCGACGCCAATGGAGCTATCGAGAGAGAGCTAATGCATCCAGGTGGCGGTCGCCTCGCCGCGGTCGAGGGAGACAGAGAAAAGGGGAGTCTGGGGAATAGCGCCTAATCTCGAGGCGGTCTTGTCGATGTAACCCAACGGCGGAGGGGGGGGGCGCTGCCAACAGAGTCGGCTGATGAGGTGCGAAGACTTAGCAATTGCTCGTGCTGGGCGCGGGCGATCGCTGCGGGGCGAGGAGAGCTGAGGCGGAGGGATGGAGGATGGGGTGGCGACGGCGGTGCTGGCAGGGCTCGAAGTCGACGTGGCCAGCCCGATTCACGGATTCTTGCCTTTTCTCTCTTCTTCTCGCTCACCTACCCTGTCACTCGGGTTCCCTCTCTCTAGGTGCGTAGCTGTGTAGCTCCGTGTCTCGGGAAAAGTTCGAGGGCTAGCGGTCTTTGTCCCGGCGTGGACAGGACTAAGGAATTGTAGGCAGGGAGGTGTCTGGTTCTGGGTGCGTGTTCCTCTCTGGCCGTGTTCGTAATTAATATTATTCGTAGAATTAATTTTATCTTCCCCCTTTCTGTCCGGTGGGTGGTCGAGGAACGCACTCTCCTAGGGTTTTCTCTGGTCGGGATGCTGACGAAATGCGCGCGTCAGGTTCGGGATGGGGTCCGACGGCGGATTCCGGGATGCGACCGTTGCTGACAATGCAAGGTAGCCGAGTTTGCCCCGGCGTCTGGGAAGAAAGCTCTGTCGTCTTTTCTTTTCTTGTCTTGTCTTGTCCTGTCGAGGTGGGAAGAAGCCCGTTCGTGTTGTTTCGTTGCTAGAGTCGTCGAGTACCGTGTAAGTGAAGTCGGCGGTTATGTCAGGCAAGTCGCGGAGGGCTAGTAGTACCTAAGAGGTTAGGTATGTACCCCCCCCCTCCAAAGTCTGTAGGTACCCGAGGTACTCGAGTGCACTGGTCGGAGTTGTCGAAGTTGCCTTAGCAGGTTAGGTACCTCCTCTACCCAAGGCAGGTACCGTTAAGGTATGCAGGACCGGTAAAGTCGTGGGACGTTAGGCAGGTTAGGTACCTAACGTAGACTGTATGCAGGCGGTACGTAGGTATATTTTCGTGATCGTAGGCGGTCGAATTGGCGTCGGGTTGTCTTCTCTTTTGCTGTCTCGTTCGTTCGTATAGCGGCATAGATTTGGCAATGGAGAGACGCTCGGCAAGGTACCTTGCCTAGCTAAGGTGAAGGTAATAACGTCTTATATTACCGCCCACTAACGTCGGGCGGCCGCGGTCTCGTTAATGTATCTGGCGCAATCGAGAGTCGCCTTCACATCATGCTCTCCGTCGGAGCTTTCCATCAAGTAATTATGTGTCATGGATAAACCGCCGATTGGGACCTGTTTTTAACAGCGCCAGCTCCTAGCAGTTAGCAGGCCAGCCGCTCGCCCTGCCTACCCTTCAGGCCGCTGTCTTCTCCCCTGCCAGCGCTGCGGACCGCGCCAAACCTTCCTTCCTCTCGGGGAGACGCACTAACCGAGACGCTATTCCATCCCTCTGTTGGTCTGACTGCCTGCTGTCGCTTGCTTGGTCTCTTGCTTGGTTGCTTGCTCGCTCGTCTGTTTCTGTGCTGGTTTATGGTCTTTACTGCTGCTTGGCAACTTATTGGCTGGTGCCGTGCCGTCTCGTCTCGTCTCGTCTCTTTGTCATGTCTGAACCGGTCCGGTCCGGCTCTGAAGCCCTTCGCTAGCAACCTTAGCAGCGTCGCCGCGTCGCCGACATCGTAGAAACCGGGCGATCTCAATACTCTTATGCGATGCGATGCGCCGGACCGACCGCAAGGGCCCGGGAGCTGACTGTTCTTATTTAACCAGAGCGTCGCCCTGGTTATTCATCTCTTTCTCTCTACCGAAACAAGCTGTCTTACAACGAGGCCCCGTCGTCATATTCCGTGCACATCGCCATCCGTCGCACATGCATAACCCTGTCACGCATCTGTGCGAATCTCGACGGGTACGTAAAGAATGCATGTATCACCACACCCCGCCGTCCCCATCAGCCTCTATGCGTAGCCACCTCGAGACCTCGGGCGCGAAATTGCTGGTCACATGGAGATGGACGGAGAAGCGATCTGGACGGCTTGCTACATGCAGTACCTACCTACGTGATGTTTGGCTAGGCCGGGATTGTTCACGGTGCACGTTTGGATCAAATGACTCCCTCCCGTCGGTGCGTACGGTGCTAGCTAGACACGACCGTGGTATGGCCCGCAGTCCCGTAGTGGCTGGCCGCGGATGGGCGGCAGAGGCTGAGCTCACTCGGAAGATGGCCAACCCTCTCTCTGGCCCTCGGTTACGGCCCCCCGTGACGGGGAAGCCCTGAGGAAACAGGATCTGGCAAGAAATTTCATCGGCCCACTTGGATGAAGCCATCGTGAAAAGTTCGAGAACATGCGATCCCTGCCATGTCTCCTGCAACCACTAGAGAGCCGCGCGAGGGCCACGAGAGAGACATCAGTGGGCCAGATCCGGTGACTACGTATAGAGTAGGTTGCATTACTAGGTAGATCGCGAGCCTTCTCCGATCCACCAGCGGCGCATCCAATTTAACCCAATCAGGGGTTATCAGGTCCAGGCAAAAAAAAAAAAAAAAGTTGTGCGCGACAGGAGAGGGGGAAAAAAAAGAGCCTTAAAGCCTCTAGTTAGAGCAGTAGGGGAAGGAAGTCCTATAGAACTAGAACGACGAAAACACCGTCGTTAGCTTGAAGTAGGGCGCAGATTTGGGGGGGATTGATTCGTCTGTTCTGCGTTCGGGAAGCCCCCTGTCCTTATAAGAGCGTTATGGAAGGTTAGGATACCTATAGCTGGTAATCGTAGCCGTCGGAATGCGATATCGGCGGATCTGCGGTTAAGGACGGCTGCTGTAGCGAGAACAGCATCGACAGTAGTAGCTAGCTATAACTAAGCAATTATAGGAAACGGATATTCGTCGAGGGAGAAGAGCCCAAACGGCATCGCTCCATGCCATTGTTACGGCGGCGAGCTCCGGGCGCAGTCCCGCCTGGGTCAGCGCCAATCCTGGGAGGCGGGGAGCCGCGAAATTTAAAAAAAATTAGAAAATTGGACGATGGCACATGACACGACCCCTCCACTCCTCCGCCTCCTGTTTGCCCATGCTGTCATCGTGAGCCGCCGTTTGCCGCTTCTCCACTCCCAAGAGAGGGACATGAATCTCCTTCTCGCCCCCCATATCCCGCACCCGCCCTTTCATTGTTTACTATCTTGAATTTTCAAAATCGCGAAATTAGTGGGAAAAGAGTGCCTATTCATACGACGATTCTTGTCGCCCCTTTGGCTGCCCCGGCCCGGTTGTCCCAGCGAACGCTGATATGCTGCTCTGTGCCGTCAGCTGGTACGAGTTCCTAAATAGGCAATCCACGTGTCCAGCTATTGGCTGTCGGCCTCTCCCACCAGCCACTGCGCCGAGACAACCCGCCCCCGAGCTCTGCTACCTCTCCCCGTCTAAGTCCACACTCACTATGAGACAGCTATGGCACGGTGTTGATCATCTCTGTCAGACCTACCTACACCGTAGCGTTCGCGCATGCCGCTACTATAGAGCTACCCGGCCATTGCAGATGCCTACAGGTACATTCTTGCGTTCACCGCCTCATCGCCGCCTATTTCACCGCAACGTAGATTCCCGTCGTCGTAGTAGGTTTACGTGCCACGCATACGTCGCGAAGGCGGTGCCAAGTTGAAACTTTTCGCCGGAACGGCATCTCACATTTTATTCCCGTATTCCCCTAACTTCATTCCCGTATATACAAACTAGGTTTTGGGTTCATGGTAACTTTAAACAGAGAAGTAAACAGCATTCTTAGCCACTTTTTTTTTCTTCAGCCTTCGTGTTTCTCGGTGGCACTCCGTCGAGCGCGGTGGGAAACTCTGGCCCGCTTAGAAGTTGTAGGTCGATCCGATAGGACCAAACTTGAAGTTGCTGTAGGTAACCTTGGCGTCCTTGAACTTCTCACGGACAATTGTGGGCGTGCTGCCGTTGACGTCGCACTCGCCGCGGGGGACGCCAGGCTCCGACGGGTCCCGGTCGAGCGGGTACCTCTGTCCGTCGAGCCAGAGCATGTTGGAATAGCCCTGCGAGAGTGTGTTAGGACGGGGTTGCTCGCGCCGAGAGGGTTTCACTTACGTCGTCCCAGACGGACAACACCAGAACCATGGGCGTGCCCGTAGCCTTACCCATCTGCGACAGGCCTCCAAGCTCCTGGAATCGCTTGTTGTCCTTGAAGATATTCTTGGAAGCCTCTGTCAAGACACGCCAAGAGTCAGCGCCGCACGTCTCCTCGCGCCACCTTCGAAAGAAAACCTACCGCAAAACTCAGAATCGATCGTGCTCCCGCCGCTGACGTACTTCGAGCCCGGGACGTCAATCTTCCTGCCATCCTGGATGAAGTACTGCGACAGGCTGTTGAGGGTGGTGCCGGAGCCGTGGAACCGAGTGACGACGGTAAACTTCCTGCTGGTGTCCACCGTCTTGCCCTTGCCGTAGAAGTCGGTATTGCCGTGGCGGAACGGGTTCAAGTCGCAGCCGTCGGGATCGCAGGTCCCCGCGTACCTGTCACCGGAGTAGGTGCCGCCGCAGTCGGACGTCTGGCAGACGAAATATCCCTCCTGCTGGCAAGGGTGGGGCGTCAAGGCGAAAGACATGCTGTTGGCCTCCCACAGATCCATCTCGGCACAGCAGGCTCCCGCGTTACCGACTCCCGTGTTCGCGTCCGTGGACGACGGCTCCCATCCTTCTACGTTGCCCTAGCGGCGCAGAGACGGGGTCAGATACGGTAAGAAGGTGGACATTGCCAATATCCGGGCCTGACTTACCTTGCCGCCAACCCACTTGAGGTCGCGAGCGCACTGCGAGTCGCAGTACCCGGTGCCGTACTTGGCGCCGGCCTTGTTGGTCGGGTAGCGGGCCTTGCCTCCGTCCTCGTCCATGGATACAAAGTAGACGGCGCCGTTGAGGCCACAGCCGAGGTCGGCGTTCTCGACGTCGAACGCGATCTCGTTTCCGTTGGTGGTGAACATCTGGTACTTTTCGGCGCCATTCATGAGGTACAGACGGGAGCCGATATTGCTTCCGTACTGGTGGTCGTTACGGAACTTCATGGTCACGGCGTTGCCCGATGTCGTTACTCCGTACGTCCCGGCGTAATTAGCGCCCTCGACCGCGCAGTTCTGCGCACATTGTTCGTTGTTCGGGCAGGCCGTCCTATTCCAGTCGTTGCCGTCGTAGCAGTTCTGGTAGCCGCCGACAACGTGCGTCCACCTCCAGTTGGAGTCGATGACCAACTCGCCGTTGATGGTGCTGCACTGGTTAGCCGAAGTGCACTGCTGCCAGGTGATCGCGGGGTGCGTCTCGGCATCTTGCGTGCCAATCTGCTGCGCTCGACCCAGAGCCAGCAGGCTCGTGAAAGCGACGGTGGTTGCTTTGCGATGCATCATGATAGAAAGAGAAGGCTCCCGGCTGGTGTATCAGGTAATTGTGCTGGGTTAGCGGACGAATGGATGAGAAACCTGAAGCTGGTAATCTGCTGGAACTTCAATCTCGAGGAAGCCCATGGTCGTAGGCCCCCTTTTATTCCCAATCTTGCCCAAGCCCTACGTCTGCGGCGATATCGCAAGTGGAGGTTGCCACGGGCCTAGAGAATACATCGCATCGTATAAGATCGGAAAGACGGGACTCTCTCATCCTTAACCCGGAAGCCCGAGAATCGACTAGATGGGGAAAGGATGCGCGGCTCCCTTGGTGAGTACGTAAGGAGGACTCCGGGCCTGGGGTTCTCCACGGTTTGTTGGAGCACGCGGTTCACAGGTAGGGGTAGCCGCTGAAACGACTCGAAATAGCCATGGGCCTACTTCGGAAGCGGACAGTATAGCTCAGGTCAAGATTTGACCCCGAGGTCTGCGAGCGCGCCAATGGGCTGGCCATATGGCACAGAAGAGTGAACCCACACCGGCGATGTTTGGCCGTGGCCTTCGGCCTGGACGGGCCGGTCCCACGATCCCAAGCCTTTTTAATACTCTCATGATAGAGACGTCGCGGAAGCAAAGTTGTCATGAAATCCCGGGCCTGAGACCCTTGCGGTCAAATTGACGCGCAAGGTCGAATTTCCACCAACGGCGGGCGGCCTTGGGGCGACGAAGAGCTCTCCATATTCCGGATCCCAAGACGGGCTGCGATAACGCGCCCAGCTGGCTTTACGCTTTTTCCCGCCCGCGCGCTCTTTGCCGCCGACCAAATTCCAGGCCATCAGATAAGTATGGTAAGTGTTAGTAACGATCTTAGCTTCCACGTCCGCTCGCTTTCATCTTCAGCGCAACTTCGGCGTAAGTAAGGAGGTGGAGAGGAGCAGCAGCCCCATCCTGGTTGGTGTTGTGCTCCCTCCCTCTCTCTCTCTCTCTCGACAGTACCATGCTCGATGCCCAAGACATGATTGGGGGGAATACTCCTCGTTGCCATCGTGGTATACCCTCGCAATCTTCTATCGTCAGATCTCTCCGATAGATGGATGTCCTGTCCTCCGACGTTCGACCGCGGCATTGTGCGACGCCCGGGGGCGTCCTAAACTGGCCACGATCGGCAAATCCGACAACCTGGCTCCCTCTCGCACCTTGGACACGAAGATCACCCGCGCGGCCAGCCAGACGGGCGCAGTCTGAAGCCTCGGATCCGTTCTGGCTGCGACCCCCGTGGCCAGACATGTGTAGGTAGATCGGACAATGTGCGCCTGAGTTGGTGCCCCGTAGCGGCAACGGACTTACCGCTTGCGTACACATCCAATGCAGGGAATGAACCGGATACCGTTTCCGCCTCCAAATTCATCAACCTTATCTTCTCCGGAGCTGTCGAGATGGTTGCATTCCAACGCTCCCCACACAGCCTTACCCCATCCTGCCCCTCTCCTCCTCTCCCAGTCGACCTCTCCTCACCAGCACATTCCCCACCATGGCCCATGTGATTGATCCTGCCGTCAGGTCCCAGCACCCCCCCTAACCGCGTTAGCTGCTGAACTGCCGGACCGTTCATCTCCGCGATGTGACTATCCCCCCAAAGGGAAATAAAATCGTGCCTGAGTAGGGAAGCTAGGGAGGCGGATACACCGGTGCTCAGACGAAGCTGAGCTGTCCAGCTCGTTACCGCGGTTAACCAGGAGGAGGCCTTCGCCGGCCCCAATCAAACTAGCAGGGGAAGTATGTCCGGCCGGTCCGCCCGGGCCCCGATGGGAGGAATTATCCCACGACTAAGGCCTGCGCTGGGTCTGTGCAATAAATCTATAATAGGAAGTATTCCCATCTTTCCTCCCCTCCCCATACTTAACCGGAATGCAATCCCGGGACTTTGCCTGATCGAGTGTTCACGGGAGGGATACCGTACGGTGCGAAGGCGCTGACTGGATGAGAACTGACTCAACCAGCTCGTCTTCTCACTTTCTTAGACGGCTTTGAATGGCTAGGCAGTTAGTCATGGTCTGCTGAGTGGGTAGATGAAATCAGCGCCATGAGGCGAGGTTGGAGCAGACGAGGCCACCGCGAATAGATGTTCGGAGCTGAAGTTATTACGATTGCCAAAAAGAAATCCAGCGCGCGTCACAGTAGTTCGTTCGCGAGTAAGACTTTCTTGGTTCCCCTGAGTGGCCGGGGGCACACACGGTTGACACAATATCATGGAAACGACCGCCTCGGTTCCCAGGGCCTTTTATTCCTATAGTGTTAACGAATTATCCATACAGCGTCATACAGCGTAGGTGTTATCAGTGCACAACACCCACTAGTATTTTCCAGTAGGTTCTAACCTGGAGACTCATCTGGAGGCATTTGAATCACTGGGTACGAGAGCTAATACTCATCGGACGAGGGTGGCCTCATCAATCCAAGGACTATCTCTTGCACTTACGACATCAACAAGCGGCCACATGTGCGTAAGGTCATTTTAGCCGGTGTTGGGACCCGCCTCCCAACTGCTTCGAGATGAGAGGTATATCATCACGCTCGTCCTTGGTATTTTGCGACAGTCGGTGCGTCCCCCGACCTAACGAGCGCGGGAATCATCCCCACACGGCTCCTTCTCCATATCATCAAGGAATCCCTCTAGGCGTAGGTAAGAATCGACAACGTAGGAGACCATTCCTTTCTGGGGGAAGTTCTCCTTATAGTAGCACGAGGATGGGGTGTCTGCCACCGAGCTCTTCCTCTGTATCTATCGGGATGGGAAGAGGGGATTTGACTTGACACGTACGCATCGTGTATTGCATACTTGCTCCTCTACGCAATCTCATCGTGCCGAATCTAGCTCTTGCCCAAGGGTCCTCACCGACCCTAGCAACTGGTGTCTAGCTCGCGTGGCTGATACTGATGGGGACCTCGCGTTGCCAGGAGTCAATGCCAGGCACCATTCCCTTGCCGGCAGTGACGCAGGAGTAGGGGCGGGAAACGCGGGGTGGAGGAACGCCTCAGCAGCAGCCAATCGGGTACCTAAGTTAGAGACGTGCTCGCGGGTTGACGTCGAATTGCGTGCATCGAAGGTGTGTGCGGGCGGCTAGGATCTATGGAGATCGTGTCGTCGATACTCGTAGAGGCCAGGTATTGACGCCCTCGGTGACCCCCCCGAATATTCACGCCGTATAGGTCGTCTAGGTTTGGAGAGCGTAAGGGCATGGACGGACGGAATTAGCTGGGCCATCACTACGTAGGGGGCTGCCCTCTGTAACGATGGGTTGACGACATTCGGTGTTGATGATAAGCCGTGGTAGATTAGGTCATCGTACCTATAGGTAGAGGTACCTATGTGCTTACGTAGAGGTACCCTAGTACCGCCTTAAGGGTAAGGAACTACCGTGTACCTGGTATCGTCCCCTTTGATTTCTTCTTCATCTCCGTGTTATTTTTGTGTATTTACACTCGCCTTTCCCTACCATGGCCGACAACTTCACCAGAGACTACGAGCGAGACGAAGAAGAAGAAGAAGAAGAATACGACGAAGATGAAGAAGAAGAAGACGACGAAGGCGAAGACACACGATCCGGTCCCGGCAGATGCGCAGAAGGGAACCCTAAACACGACCCCCCACCAAAATCTGCCATACACAGCTGCCTCGCCCCCTTGCTGCAGACTGGGAGGTATTCGGATTTCTCTATCCAATGCGGGGGGAGGCAATTTAACGTCCACCGGGCCATCGTCTGCACCCAGTCGCCCTTTTTCGACGTGGCCTGTAGCCGCGGCCTCGACGTATGCTGATCGCCCATCGCCACCCTGAGCACCTGGAAGAGAATCTGACTCCGCGAGCTAGGGAATTAACGACGGTGTAGTCCATCTACCAGGCGAAGATCCCGCCATCCTGGAGAAGGTTCTGCAGTTCCTGTATTCGGGATACTATTCCGACGACAAGTATCCGGAAAACATATACACCGAGGCAGCCGCGGTACCCTGGCCCGATCCGGCCGGCGACGGTCATAATGACGGTAGTGGCGCCCGTTACACGAGTGAGACCCTGCAAAACCCCGTCGGCTTGTTGACGTCCCTTCGTGTCTACCTTATGGCTGCCAAATTTGACATGCCCGCACTCCAGAAACTCTCCCGCCGGCGATTCGTTAGCACGGCGAGGGACCACTGGGACCACTATGAACAGTTCCCCTCCCTGGTAGAGGAGCTCTTTGACCGGACCATGCCGGGTGATTCCCTACGAGATTACGTGTGTAGTCTCATCGCCAGCCAGTACTCCACCAACGCCAAAGTGAGGGCCAAGATGAGACCGACAATGGAAAGGTATAATGAGTTGTCGATCGGCATATTAGATCAGCTAGTAGCACATCGTACGAAGTCGACGAGCGGGTAACCATCGAGGGCTTCGGCGAGGGTCGGTCGGCAGACGTCGACGAGAAACTCTTCCAGTTGCTGCAGGTCGACGCGGACGTCGTGAAGTGTGAGAGTGGGGAGGTGGTGCGAATTTTGCAGCGCCTAGGTAGGTCAAGTGAAATCGCCGCGCCACGGGCATTTTGTATCTATCCTCCTCCGGAAATATAGCTGTGCTAACGATCAATGTCGTTCAAGATCCGGCAAAACTCAAGCAAAACCCCCCAAAGCTGTTCGACGGTGGCTTCAGGTCCATCGCGGTCGCCTTCGCTCATTCCTATGTCTTTCCTAGCCACGAGCGCCTTGTCGCCGAAATTGCGCGCGCCGTCGGATTCACCTTTTGATCACTATTTTCTGACATTGGTTCTGCTATCAATCCTGCCGTAGAGGATTGAGCGCTACTACAGATGTTTACCTTAACCCCCATACGCGGCGTTATATCAATGGTTTCCGCCGTGGCTTCGAAGGAGCCCGAGAAGGCGCCCATCCTACGAGATGGGACTTTATGACAAGCGACGGGGGTTTGTCCAGCTGGGTTAGGTATAGTGAAGAGAATCCCGAATTCGTGGTCCAACTGCTAACATCGGCACTGCTTCCGGTTTCTCTAGCATCAAAGCAATCTTGAGCTGACTGGCTGGGGGTTATGTTGGATTCTCAAGGACATTGTTCCCGGAAGACGATAAATGCCCGGTGATAGGGCTTTTGGTGGGAACCTCTTTCAATAGGTACAATCTCTTAATGGATGGCCATCTCAAGCGAAGCTAGGGCGGCATAAGTACCGACGTATCTCGATTTGGAGGGTTGTTCAAGCACCAATTTGAGAAAACCATTGCTGGGGTAACTCTGCAACCCTTCGGGTAGACGTCAATACTATACCTATCCGCCGGAGGAGGCTATATCCTCTCGTATAGAAATGACGGCCTCGCGAGCAATTCGATGCGCCCGGATGCCGAGGAATCGTGGGAGGAGCGTGCAGTCATCATGTCATTCAAGCCCCTATCGGAATGGAGGCGGGGGGGTCACACAAAGTTATTCGCGAGTAACCCGGTTCGGTCAGCGTATGGAAAGAGACGCAGGAAGGCCAATGACAAAAGAGAAGGGCGACGATATATGACTCTTGATGCAGTCCGATAGGCGATGAATAATTGGGATTGGCTACTGTACCGCACTCCTCACGATTTGGTTCATCTAGTTACATTATGTCAAGGTCCTGTAGCAAAGAATCCCCTTTTTTTGTTGAACTTTGCGCGGACGGCGGAAAAGTTTATCTAGTCACTACATCCGTCCTAAGTCCGCAGCGTGCTTAGGCAAAAAGCTTCTATCTGGTCTTGAAATAAAATAAATTTAGCCCTTGGTAGTTACTTCACTCCACTTCAAACTTACTGGTTATTTGAAAGACACTATATCGGGATTAGACTTTTATTTAGAGGGTGTTTACCAGGTCGTCTGGGTTCATGGATGACGATCTTCCTCGGGCGGGATAAGAATCGACGGCAGTACGCGCTAGGTACCTTTACTCTGTCGAAGTACGGGTAAGAGGCTCTAGGTAGGGATTTGGCAACTTACCTGCTAACGCCGTGTGGACTCCCCATAAATACATCCGCAGACCATTGGGAAGTATAGGGGCTCTTGGGGTCCGTCGGGCTGGAATCATCCCGGGGCGGACCACGAGTGGGAGTGCGACTAGATGTCGAATTAGCTGGGTATCGTTTCGAGGTAAGGTTCTGGACTTGCCTTGGCTTTACGGTACCGTTGTTGCTGCTTGCCGGCATGGTGAATAGATTAGGTTTTTTTATCCCTCTGTACTTGTCTTCGAAGAGTTGAGTTGCCTTTTTTGTAGCCTTTGGAGATCCGATTGAATCTTAGGATGTGATGCTAACGGATATATATATATATATTTGTGTATTTTCTTCGAGACGGGAATGGGGGATTAAACAATGCTATTCATCCCCCCCCCAGCTGCCTTTCGGGCCAAAGACCTATGTCTGCATCTTTGTCGCATTCTAGATAATAATTCCTAGCAGCCAGGGGTGTTTGCGCCAAACGCGATAGCTTTAAGAGCTGCTGCACGACGCATCGAGGTACAATAAAGAAAAGGATGGAGGACCGTTTAATTGTATGCGAAATGCGCGGAACCAGCTGGACAATGATGTGCGTTTTGGCTGGCTCGCTTCCTGTGATCCATCCTACGATACTAAGCAATCTTGATACTAGTATGCGAATCTTTAGAAAGCTGAACCTATGCCTGAACTGATCAATTAAGATATCTAGTAGTTACCGACTACTGTTGATTGGCTGCTTATTTATATCAACTGGATTCAGGTGAATATTAGCCGCCGGTTTTGCAGTGAATATTGGCTTGTCTCCTAAGGTGAATAGCGCAGTTCAATAGGACAGTGAATAGGGTAGCGGGGATCCACAATGCAACAATGTCTACGAGCATGTCCTTCTGGGAACATGTCTAGGCTTTCTTTGTACCTGCCTACCCCTGAAGGCGGGGCAATTAAGGGGGAGCAAAGCGACTTGTTGCTTTGCTACGTCATTTGTAGGGAATGCTCCTGGGGTCAAGTCAAAGGTGTCCGGGAGGCTGAGAGGTGCCTACAAGTACCTAACTAGGTACCTCCTAGGTAGGTAAGTGAGGTAGGTTGGTGAGGTAGGTGTAGGTACCTACCTTCACAGGCAGAGGTACCCATCCAATTGTTCGGGGAATCGCGTCAGGTAGATGTACCCGGGTATTTATAGGCACATTACATATAAGGGTGCCTACCTACCTAGGTAGGTACGCTTAATGCACCTTACTACCTGTATTTAGGGTCCCTGTCTCCACCGTAAATTTGAGGTACCTAGGTACATGATGCAGTTGGTACCCTCGCGGTACGGACTACACCCGTGGATGTACCTATCTACCCACCTACCTAGGTACCTATGCTGGTACGCAGCGCCGCCTCATGTAGGTTGGGAATGCGGCCGTGCCACACGCAGCAGGTGCCTGTTCGGTTCGGTACAGGTCACCGGAGTCGAAGCGGTCCGTTGGCCTTCCCGGATTACTCATACCATAGACCTGCCTATGACTCCAAAGCATCGTATCGTCTTGCCCTCGCCGATAGTGGGTGGCTATTTAGAGCCACCCCCCACCCACCACCGACCCAGATTCCAGAAGCATCCCATAATATCAATGCACCCTTCGCGAATCTTGGATTGGCGGTCGACATGACCAGCAAGGGCACCAAACAGCTGCCGCATGAGCGGCGGAGAGGAGAAGCAGTACGCGCCCCCGCCGACGCCGTTCCAACCCTAATACGTGCCCAGTCTACCGCAGCTCTAACTTTTCTCACTGTGCCCGCCCGTCCAGGCCCTGAGCGACTTCGCCGAGTTCGTCGAGAAGCAGCAGGCCCTGCGTTATCCCGACTCCAAGCTCGCGACCGCCGCGGCCGGGCCCGACTCTGTCGAGCAGCACGACGAGCTCGACATCCTCGACTCGCTAAATCTCGACGACGCCCAGCCTCAGGTCCCGCTGCGCCACCTCCTCCTGGCTGGAACCGACGACGCCACGGCCCAGGAGAAGCTCGCCGAATATGTCACCGGCCGTCTTCTCGAGGGACACGGCGAAGCCGTAGTTGATCTGGGATTCGAGCACAGCGGCGAGTCGATGCGCCTTACTCGCCCCGAATGGGACGTTGCCTTGGATCATCTGAGAAAAACTGCGAAAACCGCCAATGCCGACTGCGACATCCTCCTCACGAGAAACGTCGGCGGCGATGCTGAGGCCGAGTCGATTGCCGCGGCTGGGAGCCAGGGCAAAGGCACCGACTGCACGGGCAAGATACTGATACGGCGCGCCCCCTCCTCGATCGAAGAAGTTATCGAGACGAGGATTGCCGTGGTTGGCAATGGTGAGTGACCGCTCGCGCTAGTCGTCGGAGAGGCCCCGAAAACTGAACCTCGGATGTAGTCGATGCTGGGAAAAGCTCCATGCTCGGCGTCCTGGTCAAAGGCGACCTCGACGACGGGCGGGGTAAGGCGCGCGTGAATCTCTTCCGCCACAAGCACGAGGTCGAGACCGGGAGGACGAGTTCCGTCGGTATGGAGATCATGGGTTTCGACACCATGGGAAAGGTCATAACAGCTGACACTCCTGGCAGTGAGTTGACGTACATGCGGCAGTGCACGTACCTGTGTATAGCTTCGTTCTACTCACGACATTGAAGGGAAACTCTCGTGGGAAGAGATCGGCAAGCGCAGCGCCAAAGTCATCGGCTTCACCGACTTGGCTGGCCACGAACGCTACTTGCGGACCACGGTCTTTGGCCTCTTGTCCAGCAGCCCCAACTATTGCCTCCTTATGGTGGCGGCCAACAACGGCCTGGTCGGCATGAGTAAAGAGCATCTCGGTATCGCCTTGGCGCTTAATGTCCCCATCATGGTGGTGGTTACCAAGATTGATATCTGCCCGCCGAACATCCTCGAGCAAACTATCGGGCAAATTACCAAAATCCTCAAGTCTCCAGCGGCGCGGAAGTTACCGGTACTCATCCGCAACCGCGAGGTATGTATCGATACCGCAACCCAGTTTGTTAGCCAGCGAATCTGTCCCATATTTCAAGTTTCCAACGTCACCGGAGAGAACCTGGACCTCGTACGCACGTTCCTCAACATCCTGCCGCACCACGGTCGATACAACTCGGATGCCCCCTTCGAATTCCACGTCAACGACACCTTTTCCGTCCCCTTTGTCGGCACCGTAGTCAGCGGCATCGTCAAGTCCGGCGTGATACATTCGGGAGACAACGTGCTGATCGGGCCCGATTCTCTTGGGCAGTTCGTCTCAACTAGCGTCCGCTCCATCGAGCGGAAACGAATCGCCGTGCCGGCAGCGTCTGCGGGCCAATCCGCCAGCTTCGCGTTGAGAAAGATTCGCCGAAAAGACGTGAGAAAAGGGATGGTGGTCCTGCCCAAGGTCGAAGGGCAACCGCCCCCCAAGGTCTATCGTGAGTTTGTGGCAGAGGTTCTGATTCTTTCTCACGCTACTACTATCCAAACCAAATACCAGGCGATGCTCCACGTCGGATCGGTCGCCCAGACGTGTGCAATCATCGACGTCGACCGCCCGTTCATCCGAACCGGCGATCGCGCAACCGTAGCCTTCCAGTTTGTTCAACGTCCGGAGTATCTGGCCCCTGGCGACCGACTCCTGTTCCGCGAAGGGCGTACTAAGGGACTGGGCATTGTGAAGTCGGTCGGCTACGATCCCCGAAACCCGTTGATGCCACGTCAGGCAGATAGCGGGGCCGCCCAAGCCAACGAGGATAAGGATATTGGGGGATCGGCCGAGGGAAAGAGTGCTCCCTCGACCGGCGCAAGAGTTGACGCCCAGGGTCAGCGGCCGATAGGGAGGCGTTGATACGAGATTTTCCGCGCCTCCAGGCTCGTGCATCATGCACGGGACGGATTTAAGGGAGCCCTATGCAGTGTTATTCCCACGCGGTATGTAGCATCTGCCACTGCCTCGCGAGATTCGCGGACGGAAAAGTCTCCGAGTGAAGCTGACGATCTTGGTCATCTGGAGGGGCATAGACGGGTTTCTAATCCGTCCCTCCACCACCCTTTTCCGCCTACCCCGAAATACATCGGTGGTTCTCTCACAAATCCCGTCGTCCTTTTCGCAGCATCGGGGAGCGAACAACTAGCATCCGGCTTTGGCATTTCGTACCGGCTGCTATCGCCACAGCCGTCAGATATATCGGTAGAAAGAACGCGAGAACGCGGGTTCTTGACCAGGGTTCCTTCGGGTTTGCATAACGGGCGCGCGGCATTCGGTGGGCCTTGATCCCACCACCATCTTGTAATCGGTTCTAGAGTTTTCTTGGCTTTCTTATACCATGTCACCGCCTTGTTCTAGGCACTCCACGCGGCGGCGTAATAGACATCTATATTCATTCCTAAAGCTCCGTCTTCGTGGATTGTTTTTATTAATCGCTTATTTCAGGTTCCCGTTCGACGACGATGATGACCTGTCTGCCTGCCGACATCCAGCTGCCTCTGAGCGACGCGCCGACGTGAGGAATAACTAACGTCAACCTCTCGGACATATTGGATGGGTGGCGGTTGGGTGATCGGTCGTGGCAGTGATCTGCAGCGAGGCAGACTTGCTGGCCCCAGAGTGCTGCGGATCGGACTCTTCGAAGACCCCGCCTAAGCGTCCTAGCAACGACGAGGCCCGACCATCGACATGCAGCTCATCCCGGGCCAGCAACAGGTAGAATCAATGTTTCATAATAGTCGGTGCTCATGACGACAGGGCCCGCCCGTCCGCGCGTGGTGGTAGCAGCGCGGCCGGAAAAGTGATTTATCTCATACCTACCTGTCTAGGGGACGAACATACGGAGCCGAACTGCCAATTGCGTACCGGAACGGCAGCGAGCCGGGATCTGGTAGAGTCGAAACGTGCAGGCAGGGTATCCTCGCCACCGTCGCAGATGGGACTGCCGGGGTGTTCTCCTACGCCTAGAGAAAGCAAGCAGGCAAGCAGGCGGGCAGGCAGCCAGGTGGGTGGTAGCGTCGGGAGGGGAAACTGGCAAAAGGGGGCCGGCCAAGGTACTACGTTGCGTGGGCACACGACGCATTCATGCTTCTGCGTTCTATTGGCCCGAGACTTTCGAGTCCGGATCGGTTTACCATGCACGACACACTGCCGGCTCTCCCCTCCGCTAGGGATGGGACGGAAAACGCGATGGCTCGGCCGATGAATCGCTCGGCATAGCGGCGTCAGGGCTTGCTACTCGGCGTTTAGTCTGGGGAACAGACGAGACACGAAATACTCATACGAGCGTCCCATGCCTCGTCACATCGCATGGCGTAGCCAAGGGAGGATGACCAGGCCCGCCTGGCAAGGTTCGCAATGGGCGTCTGTAAGAGAGAGGGAGCGGGGGTTTCGCCCCTAGTGCGCCTCTACACAATGAGCATATAATAATGAGCGTAGCCCGGAATTTTACGTGCTCGGAATGTTGAATCGCAAGCTTCTCACACTCGTCTCATATATGCCAGTCGAGAGAAATCATGATTTCCTACCATCTCAACTCCGATATGGCACCCCTTTACCTGGGCAGCACATCGAGCATGCTGCTGCTAGGAATCTCGCTTGCAAGTCACTCACTCATACACGATGATGTCCTTAGGGTGTTCCGTAAAGGGGTCTTCTCGCTAACGGTGTGCTGTCTCCCTAGGTGGCCGTGTACATCGCGGGCGTCAGTTTCTACAGGATCTTCCTGCACCCCCTTCGCGCGTACCCCGGGCCTGTCTTGTGGCGTATTACCAGTATCCCGCGATCATATTACCTTATGACCGGGGAACTCGCCTTCATAGTAGCCGAGTTTCACGCCAAGTATGGGACTGCCGTTCGGATAGCGCCAGACGAGCTTATATACAACGACCCGCAAGCATGGAAGGACATCTACAGTCACCGCACCGCCGGTGCCGCCGAGTTTTCTAAACATGAGAGTGAGCAGCACATCTACAAGCTTCCCCTCAGTATACTGTAGCCACCCGGCATGCCACGTGCTATACGGGTACACGCGCATCTATGTGCATGGCCTCGGTGTAGTCAGACAACAGCTAACCGCGATCCCACGGTTACAAGGAGGGTACAATCTGTCGTCCCACATACCTACCTCCATCATCAACAGCGACCGGGAGGAGCACTCGCTGCTGCGGAGGCAGCTGTCGCACGGGTTCTCGGATAAGTCGATGCGAGAACAGGAGCCGATTATCGGGGCCTACGTAGACCTGCTAATCCAGCGATTGTACGAGAACTCGAAAGGCGGTACGGCACCACTCAACATGCGGGAGTGGTACAACTGGACGACGTTCGACGTTATCGGAGACCTCGGTTTCGGCTCGTCGTTCGACCTGCTTCGCGAATCGGCCTACCACCCCTGGATCCTGCTCATCACCAGCACGATCCGCGAGAACGCCATCTTCCAGGCGCTCAATCACCTCGGCTTGCAGCCCATCCTCGGCCTGCTGCACAGCTGGGGCCTCATGCCTAAGAACGACGAGCACATGGCGCTCGTCCGCGCGAAGCTCAAGCAGCGCATGGAGCTTGGCGTCGAGAGGCCCGATATCATCGAGGGCCTGATTCGGAAGCAGAACGACTTAGTAAGTTCGATCTGCCTCTTGTGTTAGCAAGCTCTTCCCACACCGCGGCGGATTTGGCTAACGTGTCCGCCCGCCTCGGCTGCCTCAGCACATCGGATTCGAAAAGTTGAGCGTCAACGCGAGCTTGATCCTTCTCGCCGGCTCGGAAACCACTGCGACGCTGCTTTGCGGCGCTACGTTCCTGTTGCTTACTAACCCGGACAAGCTGGCGAAGCTGACCGAGGAGGTCCGCTCAGCTTTTAACAGCGACGACGAAATCACTCTAACCTCGGTTGGCAAGTTGACATAGTAAGTCCCGGCATCTCCCCGTACCCGTCATCTCTCTCTCTCTCTCTCTCTCTCTCTCTCTCTCTCTCTGTGGCACCTCTCCCTCACGTAGTCGAGGGAAGGTTCTCCTATCTCTCTCTGTGCGACTCCGTGGGTAGGGCCAGCAGCTAACGCCCACCAACACAGTATGCTTGCAGTCCTCAACGAGTCGCTTCGGCGATACCCTCCAGCGGCCGCCGAACTACCGCGGAAGGCCCCCAAAGGCGGCGCCACCGTTATCGGCAAGTTCGTACCGGAGGACGTAAGTCTTGACCTCCCTCCCCTTCCCCCCCCCCCCCTTGCCTCTCATTTTCCTTTTCGGGCCACGGTCTGATCCGCGAGGTTTCGGGGTGAGGGTGAGCGAGTAGCAACCAATACTAACCCGACTGGGGGACGATGAAGACGGCGGTGGCGGTGTGGCAGTGGCCCATTAACCACAACCCGAACTGGTGGAAAGACCCAATGACGTTCGCTCCGGAGCGCTGGCTCGACGACCCGCGGTACAAAGGCGACCGCCTCGACGCGATGCAACCGTTCAGCGTCGGGCCGCGGAACTGCATCGGGAGGAAGTAGGTGTTCCCCCCCCCTTTTATCCTTTTTTTTTTCTCGTCTTCCCCCACCCCCTTTCCCACGCCACATTTCGACGGCGCGCGGACGGCCGGTCAGGCACGGAAGCGACGGCTAACGTGCCACGCAGCCTCGCGTACGCGGAGATGCGCCTCATCCTAGCGCGCATCGTCTTCAACTTCGACATGAGACTCGCCGACGACAGCCGCCGCTGGTTCGACGGCCAGCGGGTGTACATCGTGTGGGAGAAGCCGATGCTAAACGTCTACATGACGCCGGCGGCTGGGAGGGAGAAGGCGAAGGCGGGCTAGCGGCGGCTCGGCGGCAGGCGACGGTCGCGCATTGCGGCGGGTCACCCCCCCAGTTAGGCTGGGAACGCGGCACGAGTAGGAGAGGGCGGGGACGGCTTGGGGTGGCTGGGGAATGGTCGAGGGACCAGACCCGGAATTGCTGGCTCTTCTCGCTCTCTTTCTTCCCGCCCTCTCGACTGTCCTCTTTATTTTTTCTTCTTTTCGTTAGGTAGCCCTCGCCTCTAGCGTGCCTGTCCTTTCAGCAGATTGCAGGACGTACGGGCACTGGGATGGGGGCTAAGTAGGTAGGGGGGAGGCGCAGGTCAACTCAGGTAGGTGTCTAGCGAGCTGGAATCAAATCGGACTTTTTTTCTCTCTCTCGTATCGACCGCAGGGCGTGCGTACGTAGCTAGCTTGCTCTTGTCCACGATGCCAGTATGAGACGGATGGGGGCGACGCCTACCATTCGCAGAAGCTAGCACCCGCCGAAGTCGACTGGCAAGGAAATGCTAGGTAGCCATTATCAAGTGCCTAGAACAGGAGCTAAGGAACTGCGAGAAATTCACCATCTCAACTGATTATAAACACCTCGACCCGCCCTCGAGCTGCCCCCCGAGCCCAGTAAATTACCCGAGCTACGCTGCCGCCACCTAACTGCTGAACCTAAGGCAAGCCTAGTCCGGTTTATTACTGCGCTAACGCACTTGAACGACCGGTACGTAGGTACCTTCCTACCCTCCCGACGCCAAGCCAGAGGTGGCAAAGTTCCCGTTGTCGACAACCCTCTCGCTGTACTCACACTTACCTACTACGCTATCTTCTATATCCTCTGGGTATATATAATATTACGACGTCGTGTCGCGGGCCAAGCGTCTGGCGCCCGTGGCTCCGGCCGATCCGTCTCCAACCAACCCCTCCCTCGTCCGCGTGGGTATCCCAATCGGATGGTCTGGATCTCTCATCTCGTTGTCGCGGTACTACTCGCATCCAGTGCTATTTCCCACGCCGTCCGCATCGCTTGCCAGGTCTAGGCTTGTATCTACCTACGTCGCGCGTTATACCCCCCCCCCCCGGACTCGTGGAGGTCGCGCAAGGCTGCAGCCCAGGGTCGTAATGCCAACCACGAAGGCCACCTCGCTACGCTGCGCGACATCGACACGCACACCCGACTCTCCCGGCTCTACCGTCGCTACCGAGTCTCCCCCCCCCCCCTCCCTCCTCCCCTCGCCCTCGCCCCTCGAGGAACCTTGGGGACGGGTAGCACGGCCCCGCTGGCGACTAAGCTCTCGACCCGGCGTCGGAACGCGGCGCGCCCCCTACGTAAGGCGGGCGGGGGAATGGCAACGTAGGTATCCAAGAGGTGGCACAAGGTGAGACCGATCGTTCCACAGGCACGCTCTCCGGGACAGGACTGCGATCCGCCTGGCTGGTTGGCGGGCTGGCCCATCGTCGATTGGCGCCGAGGGAGAGGCAGAGAGAGGCGTCGTGTCGCGGTCGGATCGTGCGACCGCGTCGAGTTCTGCTTGGGTAGGGATAGACATGGCGGGTCGCACCGTGTGCCATTTGCTGCAGGCGCTCGCCCCGGTCTGCTGCTTATTCTGCAGGTCGGGTCAAATCCGACCCATTGACATTGACGTAGACATGTGCCCTGTTTCGGAGGAACCCGGCCCAGGAGACCGATGCCAATCCCAACGCGTACCTACGCGAGTTTCCCCTTGTGCTGTGTACCTACGCACATAGCGCCGTATTCCCGCTTGTCGTCGAGTTATACTGACAGGTGTTCTGAGTATGGGTCCATATCGCCAGACGACGCCGATGCTAGGTGCCTATATTTATTAGGTAGGTAGTAGGTATCTAGGTAGCTTAAGACACATTCTGGCCACCTCGCCGCTACCATCCCATCTGCTAGCATTGCGTACCTAGGTGCAGATACATGCTACCAACAATTACCTACATTCCTCCTCTTTCACATGTCCTCCTGTCATCTTCCTCTTCCGCCTCCGCTCCCCTCCTGTGCAAAATGGCAATGGAGTGTACGTGTGCCGTATCCCTAGGTAGGTCAATGGCTTGATGTCTTTGCTAGGTATCTTGAATGCCAGATTCGGCAGGTAGCCCTCTCACGAATTTCTTTTCAATATTCTCTCGCCTTGCCAGTCGCAACCCCCGCCTCGGGCCTGATCCCCGATTCGACGCCGTCCCAGGATGGACGATACTTAACCACGACCTCCCCTTTCTGCGTTCAGCGCCCGGTTCGCCAGAGCGTCCGCCCCCTTGTTACTCTTGCGGGGCACGTGCCAGAACTTGACGTTTAGTGCGCCCAAGTCGTCGTAGTACATCTCGTCGATCGTCTTATAGAGGCGGCGCAGCGTCTCGAAGTGCTGGACGGGGGACCGATCGGTCCGGCGGCCCCCGTTCCTGACCCAGCTGCTGATCCACAGCGTCATGACCTTGACCAGGTACTCCGAGTCGCTCACGATGCGGAACTCCTGTAGCGTCAAGTCGGCGACCGCGATCTCCCGCAAGATTTTTAGGGCCTGCGCCAGGGCCTCGATCTCGGCCCGAGAGCTCGTCTGCGGCAAGTCTGCGGCGACGCGGCCGTGGGCGTTGTAACGTGAGCTTGGTCCGAAGTACACGCCCCAGCCGGCGCGGGCCGTGGGGCGACCGTTGTCACGGCAGGCACCGTCGATGCAGACGACGGCGGTCATGGGGTCCGGCTGGACGGCGCCGGTGCGCGGGTGCACGTAGAGCAGCTGCGATAAGTCTTTGGCGCTGTTGAAGGTCACGAGCTGCGAGGGAGGGATCAGGCGGTGCATGACGCTCAGTTCCGGGACGAAGAGCCGCTCGATGGGCTCGTTGAACTCATCCACCGGACCGGAAAAGCCTGCGGGGCCTGGGTAGTACCATGGCAGACATACTGCGCCGCTAGACGTTGAGGAGGGGCCGTCCGCGTCGCGGCGGTCGCGGCTCTCTCGCGTATAGGCGCCGGCGGGACGCTCGATTGCGGTGTGATACGGGCGCTGCGAGACGGATTCGACGGGCGGAGACAGAGAGGAGAGAAGAGGAGAGGGGAGGAGTTTAAGGAGAAGAGGGCGTAAAGGACGACGAGAAAGGGGAAAAGGCAGAACAGAAGCAGCTGTCGACAAGGAAGGCGGCATCGAAGATGGCGAGGAGGACAATGACCACCCGACACACACAGGCTGCGACGGCCACCGGAAGGTTACGGGTGTCACGATGATGCCAGCGGGCGGGACGGCGGAGGCGGCGGAGGCGGAAGAGGCGGCGATGTTCCCTCGTATCGCTAGCAACAGGCACGTCGTGCCGATGTGGCCTGCGGAGAGACGAGGAGGGTACGGAGTCGCATAGCTACATCTGGGGAAAAAACCCCCATTTTGGGGTAGGATTCCCCATTTTTAATGTCTAGACTGACGTTCCAATAAAATGGGGTATCCATCTTAATACATGTTACCGTTAGCGTAATATCATAGCTATAGGAATTTATATATTTAATTATAGGAGTTATTCTAATAGTAATTAAAGATAGGTAGCAACTGAAGAAAGGTAGGCAGTAACTGAAGGTAGTTACAATTGAATGTAGGTATTAATCGAAGGCAGGTATAAATTAAAGGCAGTTGCGATTAAAGGTACGATCGAAGGTAGGAGAAGGTTACGACGAATAAGTACGTACCTTCTAATATGGAGGGTAGGGAGGTACGAACCTACAATTGCTCAATTGAATATACACCTATCAAAAGAATCGTTTTTTTTCCCAGATGTAGCTATGCGACTCCGTACCCTAGTGATCCTCCTAATGCCTATGAGTAGGTCAACGGTTCATCAGGTCCAGCATTCAAAAAGATTCGCATACCAGTTGATTCCTAGGTCACTGGTAATATCTCGGGATCGCAGGAAGCGGATCGGCCGACAAGCGCATGTTTGCTCGTGTAGGCACGGCCTGCGCCGAGAGCAAAAAGGAGGCGGGAGGCGGTGAAGAATGATCTTGCCGATTCGTGCACTGACAGTGGGCTGAAGTCTAAAAAAATACCTCCTAGTAATAAGAGGAGATGGCCATCTCGTCGTGTCTCATTCCATACCTACCTACTTAGGTACTCAAGGCGCCTCTTACGCAATGTCCAATTTGTCTATCGGGACCCAAGGTACGGATGGCGAGCAGGTCTCTGAGACGCTACGAGGTACTTGAGCCAACTAGTTCGAGGCATTCTACCTGAAGAGGTATTTATTCATGATTCAAACTCTGGTTGATCATGAGTCTGGGTGCATTTTTGAAGGTCGTCGAGGAGTGAGGAGTGGATGTAGGTAATGGATCTTTTTTGAAAAAAAAAACAAAAAATCAACTACCTTAGGTACCTACCTATACTACAGGTAGGTACACCTAGGTACGTTAGGTAGGTAGGGGGAGATGAGCTAAGTGGCGAAGACTACCAAGTAGCGCTATTAGGAATCGAACCTATCCTTCGTTAAGTAACCTACTGATCTGGGGGTACTTTGTATTTTGCTCGAGTAACCTTCCCTATCGACCCTAAATTCGTGGGGGGCGTTTTTAGCGAGACCCCTTCCGCCCAGGGCCCCACCCCCGGCCCCAGAAAAAGGAGCGCGAGAGCGAGAAAGAAACCGTCTTCCCACCCCCTCCTCCCCCAGACTGCCCGTCCCGCTAATATTCTGCTGCATGGAGTATTACTGTGGTGCGGTGCGTTGGTGGATTCCTGTGGTATACATACTACTGTAGTATATCACTTTAGCGAAGGCGGTCGAGGGCGGTGGAGAGTGGGGAAGCCCGGGGAAAGGGGAAGGCAAATGCGGGGAGGCGAACAGGCCGAGCCGACAGACGCAAAAGACAGGTACCCAATAGGCGCCAATGAAAATGTATCGACGGTGCCGGTCGGCGTCGACCTGAGACCGAGAGCCAGAACCACTGGAAGCAAGAATAAACTGTGTGACATTCTTGGTCGAGAACAGGCGCCAATGCATCTCCCTAGTGTATACACAACCCAGCCGAACCCCCCATCCGTCCCTTCTCCCACCACCGCGTCCGGTCCCATGCCTCGCACAATGATCAAAATATACAGGTTACAGGTACAAGGTAGGCGGGACGGCAAGCAGCACCCGTAGATGTGTGTGTGTGTGTCTGTGTCTGTGTGAACCCCCACGCCATATCCCGTCCTCTGTCTCGTCTTTTTTCCGCCTAGGCTCTGGCCGCCATCCGCGGCAGCTCTCCTCATTTGCTCGTGTCGACGACGTAGCGGCCCGCGATCTTCCCGGCCTCCATCAGGTCGAACACCTCCTGCAGCTGGCTGAGCCCTACCACCTTGTACGGCGCCTTGATGAGGCCGCGGCGGAAGAAGTCGATGGCCTCGGCCGTGTCTTGCCGGTTGCCCACGTAGCTGCCCTTGATGTTGATCATCCGTACCACCGTGTCGAACACGGGCGCCTTCAAGAACGCGTTCGCCGGCAGGCCCACGCACACGATCGTCCCGCGACTTCGCACGTACTCGCTGGCCTGCTGGAACGGGCCCTCGCTGACAGCGAGCAGGAGTACCGCGTGCGGGCCGAAGCCGTCTGGCGTCGCCGCCTTAACCTCCTGCACCAGGTTCTTGGAGGTGCTGAAGTCGATGTACGTGCCGGCGCCGAGCTCCTTGCACATCTTGCCCTTCTCCTCACCGCCGTCGATGGCGATGGCGTGCAGGCCCATGGCCTTGGCGTACTGGATAGCTAAGCTGCCGAGACCACCTCCGGCACCGACGATGGCGACCTGCTGCCCCGGCCGCGCCCCCGACTCCTTCAACGCCTTGTACACGGTCAGACCGGCGCACAGGATGGGCGAGACGGCCTCGAGGCTACACTCCTTGGGGATCCTCGCCACGTGCGCGGCCTTGCCGATGGCGTATTGCTGGAAGCTGCCGTCCACCGTATAGCCAGACAGTAGCGGGGTCGGGCAGAGGGACTCGTCCGACTGCTGGCAGAAGGAGCAGCTGAGACACGAGCCGTTGAGCCACTTAATGCCGACGTGGTCTCCGATCTCAACGTCCTTCACAAGCTCGCCGCGGGCCACAACGATACCCGCGCCCTCGTGGCCGCCGACCAGCGGAATCTTGGTAGGCAACGGCCAGTCGCCCTTCATGGCGTGGAGATCGGTGTGGCAGACGCCCGAGTACTTGATGTTGACGAGGACCTCGTCAGGGCCCGGCTGAGCAACGGGGATCTTCTTGTAATGAACAGCTGGTCAACGTCAGTTACGGTGACCCCGGATAGCCTGTTATAGCTACGCGTCTACGAACACGCGGTGGGAAGATAGGGAAAGAAGATGAAGGATGGGACCACTCACGTCCTCCGGTCTGCTCAATAACCTGGGCCCATTGTTCTTTCGGAATGGTGGCAGCCATGACGAATGATTTGCTATCAAGCGTTGTAAACGATATATAAGGAGCTAAGGTTTAACGGAATGGGTGGATAGCAATGGCGAAGACCTCTGTTCGGTTGGTTCGAGAAGAATGAAGTTGAGAAGATTTTCGGACGGGGGAGCATCCTCGTTATATACCTACGACTTCCATCGTAGCCATCAAGGCTTCATCTGCGGCGGGAGGGGGTTCAGAGAGAGCTAAGGCAAAGGGCCGATCGACTCCGATTCCACAGGCAGAGATAGAGAGCTCAAGACCACACAACCCCTACACATTGACACCTACCTATGACGCGGTAACGACGTATCGCTCGCTACATTCCCCAACAGGCAGTTTTGCGGATTGTGGATGTACGTACGCACATAAACTCCCGGTTTCGCTATGCTGGCCGGGGAAGCACCGGCGCCATCTAGCTCGAGTAAACAGGGGGAATACGTATCCAAGGCTAACTCGCGGCGCATCCACCTTCGCATGGAGCATCTGGAGATCGCGCCCGTCCGACTGTGTTCTGGCGTGGGGACAGCGATACGCACTACGTCACGTTACCCCTCTCGCGACGCCGGACGACCGTAGCGCCGTCGCAAGGAGAAAGACGAGAGAGGAGGAAGAGGAGAAGGGGGGAGGGAGAGAATACTGGGTCTGTGGACGATGGAATCCAAGCCGCTTGTCGATCCCGAGATTCCCGCTAAGCTGAAGCGACACAACTGCGAGCGACGTGCGACCAAACGGGGGAACGGAGGAGCGAGAAGAAGAAAGACGACAGAGGAGGAGGCAGGACGCTGACGGCCGTTTTGGACGCATCAGGCGTTTTCCTTGTTGGCGTGTTGGTCGGGTGCTGGCACTCGCCGGACCAGAGGCACCTCAGCGCACATCACACGGCCACCACCCGCAGAGCATGAGACCACGTGCCACTTTCTGGGCGACGTACCGGGGGTACCTTCGCACGGAGTCTGGGAGGGGGGGGAGAGAAGGTACCGCGAAGGGGCGGTGTGGGTGGGGAGATACTTGGGCCGGCGGGCTCAGCGGACGTAGCGAGTACATGGCTGGAGCAGGTACGTACCGCGCCGCAGCAGGTCCCATCCATGGCGGGGGCGGATCTAGATTACTCCAATTGGCAGCGCAGCCAGTCCGTGCTTCGCAACTTGTATCGCCATGTAGCGATGTAGCGCATTATGTACTGTGGCAGAGGCGGAGGCTAGCGTCGAGCCTTCGGCCGTGCGGAACTGCGTCGACTGTGCGCCCGCACATGCGGACCTGCATCTCTCTCTTCGTCCGCCTTTTCACCGCGTCCTGGGCCTGGTTCTGCGCGCACACGGCACATAACACGAACCCCTACGCTGCACCTCCGAGAGCACCTACATATGCACATCCATGCTCTCCGCGCTCGCCTCCGCCTTCTCCAACTTCTCCCTCGCTAGTATAAAGCAACGCTGTGGGACGGGGGACGAGATCGCCAACCTGCCGGCGCGGGCGATATTCCCCGGATGGAGTCGCGCGGGGTGATGGGGGTGTGCGTGGGGATCGACGGATGCACTTGCATGCGCCGTCTTACGCAACAGGAAAAGCAGGCAGGCCGGTGCGACGATTTCCAGAGCGGCTCGCCGAGTTATCGAAAAAGAAAAGAAAAAGAAAAAGAGGGGATCGTGTGCGAGTAGAGCTGCGCGCAGGGAGGGGAGAAGGACGAAGAGCGAAGCGCGAAGGGCGAGCGGGAGAGACGGCGTTGCTTACTCCCCGACAAATCAGAAGGGCCTACATAACAGACCGAAGCGTGGAAGGGAAGAAGAACCTCTGATATGCCTACGTGTTCGGTGCAAACCCATCTCGAGGTTGCACGACTCTGTCCCGTCCTACTCTGAAGCGCGCCAGACCAATTCGTGATGTCCGACGCCAGTAAGAAAATCTCTCCGCACGCAACGAGGAAGTCGGATAGCTCGATTTCCCCGTACAAGGAATGGATCTCCCGTACCTGATCTGTCAATCAATCTTGCGTTGGTCCGTTTCCTTAGTCTGTAACAGTTGATACTCATTCGCTCTACCAGGCTTCGTTCGACCACCACCGTATCTCCCTGTGTCTCTAGAGTACGCCCGTCTAGTTGGCCCGGGGCTGCGCGACATTTAACCCCCCCTCCCCGACCCCCCTCCTACGTACAGCGTCGTACAGTCTTTTTTCTCATCTTTCTGTGTGGTACCAGATGCGTCTTCTACAGCTTTTCCAGCCTCCTCTTCCGTAGGATCGCTTCGCCGAACTGCGCGATCTCGTACTTCTTGACCTTGCCGCTTCCCGTGAGCGGCAGTTCCCGCGGCACGCCAGCGTGACCGAGCCAGAACACGTGAGTCGGTGCCTTGTGTCGTCCCAGCTTCTGCTGCACCCACTCTCGGATTTCCGCGTCGCTCGGCCGCTCCGTCCTGGCCCCCTCGCCTGCTCCCCTCGCCCCAGCCTCGGTCGGTCGGGCCGCCAGCTCCAGGAACGCGCCTACTACCTCGCCGTAGTGGGCGTCCTTCAAGCCCGTCACCACGGCCACTCCCACGGCAGGGTGTGCGCGCAGCCGCTCCTCGATCTCTAGGGGGTAGATGTTCTCGCCGCCGCGGATGATGATGTCCTTGAAGCGCCCCGTGATCGTGCAGTAGCCCCGGTCGTCGAACACGGCCTCGTCGCCCGTTCGCAGCCACAGCGTGCCCTCGGGGTCGCGTACCATCACCTCCGCCGTCTTCTCCGAGTTGTTCCAGTATCCCGCCTGCAGCTGGTATCCTGAGATGCACAACTCGCCCCGTGTGCCCACCGGCACGATGTTGCCGTCGTTATCCACGATCTTGGCCCGCGCGTGCGGCATCAGGGTCCCTACCGTCGTCAGTCGCCTCTCGATCGGGTCGTCGGTGAAGGCGTTGAAGCACGTTGGCGACGCCTCGGTGAGCCCGTAGCTGCTCGTAAACTCGGACATGCCGAACCGCGACACTAGCAGCTCCATCAGGTAGCGCGGCACCGGCGCGCCGGCGATGATCCCGGTCCGTAGGCGCGCGAGCTCGAAGCCGGGCGGCGGGTCAAGCTTCACGAGCGTGTCAAACATGGCAGGTACCCCGTGCACAGCGGTGCAGCGCTCGTCGGCGATCGCGGACAGGGTGGCGGGCGCGTCGAAGGTCTCGGCAGGGAAGACGATCTTGGCGCCGTGCGTGAGGACGGCCATCATGCCGAGGACAAGACCGAAGCAGTGAAAGAGGGGCGGCGGGCAGCATAGCACGTCTTCCGACGTGAGGCGCATGCGGTCGCCGATGAACCGCGCGTTGTTGACGATATTGTGGTGCGTCAACATGGCCGCCTTCGGGTGGCCCGTCGTCCCGCTGGTGAATTGCAGGTTGCACACGTTGTGGGCGAGGACCCGGCTCATGAGTCGTTGCAGCGTGTCGGCTCTGTACCCGCGCCCCCGCTTAATCAGGTCGGCGTACGTCGGGTAGGTCCCGGACTCCCCGTGCAGGATCACGACGTTGGGTGCTTGCTCCTCTTTAGCCAGCTGCGCCAGCAGCCCGGCGTTGTCGACCCTCCCGATCTTCTTCACGGTAAAAAACACCTTGCACCCTAAGGAAACGGTATCTTAATTGGCGGGCTGCCTCATTGTTGTTGTCGGGACTGGCGGCCGGCAGCAACGGCAACTTACCGGAAAACTTCAATGCATACAGGGCTTCCGTCGGCGTGTACGTGTTATTCAGGATCACGAGGATGCCACCGATGCGCGTGACGCCGAAGAAGATCGCCGCGTACTGCTCGCAGTTGCCGGCCATAATACCGACACGGTCGCCAACGCCGACCCCGAGAGCAAGCAGGGCGGCGGCCACCTGCAAGCTCTGCTGATTGAGATCGTTGTACGTCCATCGGGCGCCTGTCCAGGACACGACGATGCATTCCTGCGAGCCGTGCTGCTGGCATTGCAGGTCGAGAAGCTCGCCCAGAGTTAAGTCGACGAGCGGGGGATCAATTGGTCCTTCCAGGTAGGACGGTTTCTGCGCCTGAAGTTGGGGATTCGACAGAGCCGAAGTGACCAGCTGTGTGGCCATCTTTCGAGGCCTAGAGGGCGAAGAGGTTCGTCGTTGCGCAGGCCAGACGCTGACAAGAGGAATGAGGAGGAAGAAAACAAAAGGAAGAAAATGGACGCTTCACCACCCGTACATATGGAGGTGCAGCCGCGAAGAACCGCCGATCCCTAGTAGCATTAAGGTATAGCTGGTCTTGCCCTGCTGCTTGAATTCCCTGCCAGGAGATGAGGCCCCGAACTAGTTAGTGATCCCGCAACGGCCGGTAATATCGTACAGACTGCCCAGACTCGGTTGATGGCCTAGCGCGAGGTCCAACCAGGGCCGGAGCTGGCGAACCCGATAATCGGAGACTCTCGATGTGACATAGACGGGCTGGTAGGCAATTAGCGAGTCGAGAGAGCTAGGATCCTGATCCTGTGATGGTGGTGGGTTCGATGTAGGTGCCTCATCTGGAGGCGCAAAACAACTATAAGTAAACTCTGCTAACTGCTCTCTGCTTTGGAAATGATTGCCATTCAACGACTACCACCTACTTGTCCGGACGAGATTCGCGTCCAGCGAACTGCACAGGAATCAAAGCCGCAGCCCACTTTACCGCTTAAGCCTAAGGAGGGCATGTTGTATCAATATGTAATGTAATGGCCTCTTACTGCAGTGCAGTGTTGCAGCATCAGCCGACAACTTGCTCCTTACTAAGCCGTCGTACATCTGATAAAGCGGTGGCTGCAGCATCTGATAAGATTTCTCTGCGCCAAGATCCAGGTCGACCCTTGTTTACGGCCCTCCTGCGCTGTTTCAGGCCCACACCCCCCCAGCCCAGTCCCGATTCATTCCCGTCCAGGCCGGCGGAACGAGTTATCTGATGGCACTAATGTATGTCTATACACATCGACGGGCGCAGATTCATACTCCCTACGTAAGTACTCTGCGGCATGTGCTGGCCAACGCATCCCCTTCGTCGGCTTGCTTGCCGATCTAAGGAGGCGTGCCGAGCGACGACCGATCTCGTCCCGTCTCTTCCTGCTCTTTTATTACGTAGTACGGACCCAGGCACATATGAGTACTTACTGATTGATGATACCCTCCGCCAGCCTCCTCCCTCCTCCAGCCTTGCCGTCTTGTGTGTGTGTGTGTGTGTGTGTGTGTGTATATGTGTGTGTTGTGTGTTGTGTATTGTGTGTTGGGTGTTGTGTGTGTTCGACCGCTTAGCTGCTCAGCACAATCTGCTACTCCTCGGCACACGTGGGATCGTCATACGTAGAGCAGCCATTCCTGGTACCCGTCATCCTCGTTGCCGCGATTAGCCAGGTCTTGGCCTCGTAGGTACGGCACGGGTGAATCCTGTCAACCGCCATTACCTAGGGAGCCAATGCAACCGCGGTTTCTAGAACTCGGCCCTGTGCTGCCCTTCGAGACATGTTGCCTCTTTCGTCTCTTTATTTCATGCCCACACCACCGCCGCCGCCACCGCTACCACATCCACACCGCGTGTGTCCCTATTAAATTGCCCACGAAAACAGGGCGCTGACAACCCCGTCAGCTTGCCCGCACAGCCCACAAAACTGGCCCCCTTGTCTCGGAGCCACGCCGAGTTGATGGTTGCGCGAAATAAATAGCACCTGCCTACCATCTTGCTTCTTTTCTTCCAGCTCCACTGCTGTCTTTGTCTTGTGCTGTTTTGTGCTACTCTCGGGCCATCGAACGGAATCTTTCCCAACCAGCTGATAATTGAGCAGGGGGGGTGGATGGTGACCCAATAGGTCTCACCTATACGCTCTAGTTCTCTACTCATGGTGGCGCCTGGTAGGCTGACTAGCCAGCTCCTTGGAGGCTTATGTTAGGCACAAACGGAATTATTGGTAGCATGACTAACTTGCAACTCTTATAATTGTATTTTCCCGCCCTTTCGTCACGCCCCCCCCCCCCTCCTCCTCTCGCGCTCTTAGGTTTGCTATGCCAAATCGCCGCCGTCGCCGTCTCTCTCCCTCCATCAACATGCCAGACATCGCCGGTAGCCAGGAGCCGCTGCTGGGGCCAGCATCGGCTAGTAGTCACGACGGCGGAAGCCGGGAGCGCAGAAATTCTTACGGTTCTTCCTCTAGCAAAGACGATGTGACAGTCACGGTGAGCCGCTCCGAAGAGGAGCCCGGCGTGCATCAGGATGGCATTAAGCAGGCCGACGCCATCAACCAAGTCTGGTCGAGAAACGCGCTGGTAGTCGCGTACTCCTTGTGAGTGAGTTCCTCATAGAATCGGGGAAAGAGAGAGAGGTTACAGGGGGAGGTGATAGCGTGCGTGCAGGAGACCAAGAGAGGGGGGGAGGGAGGGAGTAAAGGAGACAGAATACCTATGCCCTTACAATAGAGGTTATTCTAGGCTTCGTTTTCGTGTTTGGCTAACCCGCATCGCCCTATTGCAGCATGTTTCTATGCTCGTTCGCGAACACGCTGCAGTACCAGATCATGTCGAACCTGATGCCGTTCGTCGTCAGCGAGTTCCAATCGCACTCGCTCATCCCGACCATCGGCATCGTGGCCTCGATCCTGAGCGGCGTCCTGAAGCTCCCCATCGCCAAGCTCATCGATTCCTGGGGCCGGCCCCAGGGCCTCGCTTGCATGGTCGTCCTCACCACCTGCGGGCTGATCCTCATGGCGACCTGCCGCAACGTCGAGACCTACGCCGCCGCCCAAGTCATCCACCAGGTCGGCATCAGCGGCTTCACCTACGTCCTCGACATCATCATATCCGACACCTCCTCCCTAAAGGACCGCGTCCTCGCCTTTGCTTTCAATTCCTCCCCCACCCTCATTACTACGTTCGTCGGCCCCTTGATCGCCATGGCCTTCAACCAGGGCGGCAACTGGAGGTGGGCGTTCGCCTTCTCCGCCGGGCTGTTCGCCCTGTTCTCGCTGCCCATACTTGCCATCCTGATCCTTAACGCCCGCAAGGCGCGGCGGATGGGCCTTCTTTCGAGGTCTGCCAACAGTGGCCCGTGGACCCTATCCAGGTTCCGCCAATTCCTGATAGATTACGATGGTATGTTGTTGCTCCCTACCGTATCCTGAGAAAATCGTTGTTTCCTCGTGGAAATTTCAGCTAACGTTTTTTCCTTCGTAGCTCTAGGGATGTTCCTCGTTGCCGTCGGTTTAGCCCTCGTCCTGGTGCCCTTTTCGCTGTCGGGTACAGCGGTAAACGCCGGCGTCGCGATCATGCCTGTATTCGGCGTCTTCTTCATAGTAGCATTCGCTCTGCACGAACGCCAGTCCCCGCGGCCGTTCATTAAATTCTCGCTTCTGTGCTCTCGCAACGTAGCCGGTGCTTGCCTGCTGTCCGTCGTCATCTTCATCGCGTACTTCTCGTGGGACGGCTACTACACCTCCTACCTGCAGGTGGTGCATGACTTGACCCTGGCCCAGGCCGGCTACATTGGCCACATTTATGGCATCGGTTCTTGCCTCTGGGCTGTGGTCGTCGGATACCTGATTAGGCGTACCGACCGGTTCAAGTGGCTCGCCCTGTCTGCCGTGCCTGTGCACATTCTCGGTGGCGCGCTGATGATCGTCTTCCGCCGGCCCGACACGAATATCGCATGGGTTGTTATGTGCCAGATCCTCATCACCATTGGCGGTAGCACCCTTGTTCTGTGCGACCAGATGGCCGTGATGTCGGTTGCGGACCACTCGGATCTCGCCTCCGTCGTGGCCCTCTTGGGGCTCGCTTACTACGTCGGTTCCGCAGTGGGCAGTTCGCTGAGCGGCGCCATCTGGAACACGACGCTGCCCAAGGCGTTGGGCGAGCTCCTCCCGGACCTGTCCCCCGACGAGATAGCCCTGATTGGATCGGATCTCAAGAAACAGCTCAGCTATCCTGTCGGTAGCGCCATACGCGATGCTATCATCGCCGCGTATGGCAAGGCTCAAGTACGAATGTGCATCACCGGGACGCTAATAACCCTACTTGAGATATTGGCCGTCAGTATATGGAAAGACGTTAGAGTCAGCAAGTCTACGCAGGTCCAAGGAACTGTACTATAAGCATGTGCCACCTAGGAGGGCAGGTTGATGAAGAGGCCGAAGCTCGCTAATAGAAGGGATAAAATACTATACCTACCAACTAGTACCCTTTACTTGTACTTATGAGACAATATCTATTATATCCGTCATCATCTGCATGGAGTGCGCGCCATACTTACAACTGCTTACTAATCTGCACATAGAAAGGGGCTGTAATTCCGTGATTCTCGCATTACTCTTAGCTAGCTAGCTCCCCTATCTACTCCCTAGTTAGCCGGCAGGGAGATATTTGCCATCATAATTCGCTGCATGCCTTCTCATGACTTGGTTTACTTGTACCAGCTTCCTCCACCCTCCCCACGGGCTGTGTTAATTCGCGCCCTGGCGCTCCGCCCATACGGGGCTACTCACGAGCTCGACCCTCCGCCTGCCTGTCCACACCGGCTCTGCGGCGACGAGCTCGAGGTCGCCGATCCTCGCGCCGCGCTCCTCGAGCGCCCATAGGATGACAGCGACCGTGTTGGCGCCGCCGTAGTCCAGGATGCCCTCGGGCACCGGGAACGTCGTCTGCGGGCCGAGGTTGCTCGCGAGCTTGCCGAACTGCCACCCGTTGACGTACAGCTGCGCGCGGTACGCGCCGCTGGCGTCGGTGTTGTTGGCGAAGGCGAAGGCGAGCGGCACGTCCCACTGGTCGGCCGGCAAGTCGAGCTCGAACGTCGCCACGTACAGCGCGACGCCGGGCCCGTCGAGCCCCTGGAGCGGCGACCGCTGCGCCCACGACGCCGTCGGCGCCCCCGGCAGGTGGTACCCGCGGCGCTCGGCGGCGAGCCCGCCCTCGTTGAGGGGGCCGCGGGCGCGGTCACGGCGGTCGCGCTCGCCGCCGAGGTTCCCGGCGATGCGCCAGCGGACGGGCGTGCTGGTGGCGCGGGCGGTCTCGAGGCGCCAGCCGAGCACGCCGCGCGGGCTCTTCATGGAGTCGCTGCCCACGCCGGTCTCGTCGAGCCCCGTGTTCTCGAGGACGACGGTGAACACGTGCGCCGAGCCGGCCGGCAGGGAGAAGGGCGTTAGGTCAAAGCGCCCTCTGTGCTCGTCGGTAGCGGGACTCCCGCTGAAGGCGCCGAGCAGCGTGTCGTCGAGGAAGACGGACGCGGCCGAAGCGTCGCCGCCGCGCGTGAGCAGAGCGAAAGTTGTCTCAGACCCCGTCGCGTTGAAGTGCCCGCGGTATACGAGCACCCCGCTGTGGAAGCCGTAGTCCGACGCGTACGTCGACTGCACGGCGAGCAACGGTCGGAAGGTGTTGTCGGTGTACTCGCGGTCAGCAGCGAGCCAGGCGGCGTCGTCGAAGTCCGGTTGCTTCTCGGGGAGGGAGTCGAAGGTGCGCCAGTCGAGATCTGCGAGCGTTGGCAACGAGATGACTGGCTTAGAGACGGTGATGTTGGCGACGAGGGCGCCGCTGACTGTGCGGGGTTCTAAGAGCGGGGCAGGGAGGCCGTTGACGGTGAGCGAGGTGACTTGGGAGGGTGCGCCGATGACAGAGACCGTCGTCGAGGACTCGTTGAAGTCTGCGCGCAAGTGCAGCTCATCGCCCTCGATAGCGGCGCTTCGCACAAGGTACGGACCGCTGACGATGAGCTGGGACGTCGAGTTGGCGATTTCTGTGCGCCAGAACGTGTATGCCGTGTTACGGTCTGCCCAGACACAAGTTCAGCAAAGGATAGTTCCAAGAACTAGCAAGAGGTAGCTAGGTGTGCGGGAAGACGAAAAGTCTCGTGCGTCGAGAGGAGGGCAGGGCACGGTGGCGGGGTGGAAGGGAAGATAGAGAAGACACAATACGACAACAGATAATAGAAATAGGGGGGACTTGACTCACCAAGAAGATATATTTGCGTGTTGTCGACCTGTAGGATTATTACCTCGGAGACTGCCCTCCATCCGACGACTACGAAGCCGTCGGTAGAGTTGCTCTGGGTGAGGGTAAAAGCCGAGTCGTCGCCCTCGAGCTTCCTAAGCTGGGCGGGCGACCCCTGGACGGAGAATTCGTTGTACTCGCCCGGGCCTCCGTACAGGACGAGCACGGCGCGGTTGTCAACTGCTATGTGCGTAAAGACCTCAGCCGTGGAGTAGAGCAGCGTCGTGCCGCCGGGTACAGCGTAGTCCGTGACGAACACCTTAGAGTCACGGCCGTTGAGCGTTAGGGTCCCGTTTGCTAGCTGCGGAATGGAGATGGAGCCGCGCGATGTCGGCAGCGTCAGTCTGTACGGCGTTGAATCAAGGCTCCCGTACGCCGTGTGTCGGATGACGAAGAAGGAGCCAGCGTCGGGGGTCGCCTGGTCAGCGAGCACCGGCGTGACGGTAATGTCGGTGTTGTCGGCGTACGCGCCACCCCTGACGCTCTCGCCTGGCACAGCTGTCAGGTAGCCTGGGCTCGAGGTGAGGAAGGTCGCCTGCAGCTTCAGCTCGGAGTACTTTTCGCGGGCGACGGTACGGTCCTCCCCAATGGCGGCGCCGTAGTCGTACGAAGTATAGCCGCCTGGGTGTCCCAAGTTGCCCCAATTCGTACCGCCAAAGATCATATAGATGTTGTAAATTTTAACACCCTGCGCGCAGAAGTGATGATCATTAGTACGTTTCCGATAGCAGACGCTGACGCGAGAATAGGATAGGACGGGATACAAGGGGTTGGTGTAGCGCCGCTGCTAACGAGAGGAAAGCAAAGATTCGAGAACAACGTCAAAAGCGAATGGGGAACCCACCGCCGCGTAGTTGTTCTTGTAGAAGACGCGCTCGAACTCGTGGTTGAGTAACCTGCCACACTGCTCAAAGCCCCAGCCGCCCCAGGGATCGAAGGAGCCGCCCTGGAACTCGAGCAGAGAAAATGGGGTCGTGGGGCTATGCCTATAGTGATTGCTCCGGTAGGTGGAAGGGAGGTTCCCATCAGGCCAGGTCGTGGGGTTCGCGCAGTCAAAGCCCAAAGGGTAACCGTCGTGACCGTAGATGTCGACCTCGCCAAGACCGGTGCCGGGGGCATTGTGGCCGAGGGCGCTAGCGTCGTTGCTGATGAAGGGTACGACGATTCCGGCGTCACGAGCCTGCTGGAGCACGTACTCCATGTAGGACCCGTCAGGGAAGGGCGTATACTCCTCAGCCCAGGTATACTCATTCTCGGGCTGGAAGAGGATGACGGGGCCACCGTTAGTTATCTGTGCGTCGGCGATGAGCTTGCCAATATTGGCCATGTAATTATCGGTGGCATTGAGGAAGTCGGGCGCTCTCGTCCTCAGGCCGCCACGGACGCGTTGCAGCCATCCCGGAAAGCCGCCGCCGCTAACCTAAAGCAAGTGTTTGCGATCAGTGGTTAGCCTGGGTAGCTCGGTTCGCGAAACAATGTGCCTAGAGCCAAATGGAGTGCAGCCGGCGCTGGCGAAGTTGCATCACTTACTTCGGCGTTGATGTAGGGGCCTGGCCTGGCGATGAGATAGATGCCGGCCTGGGTAGCGGCGTCAAAGAAGAGCCGGAGGTCGAAGACGCCGTCGGCAGAGAATTCCCCCGGGGTAGCCTCAAGGAGGGCCCAGTCGACGTAGAAGGAGACGCAGTTGAAGCCAAGAGCTTTGACCTTCTCGAGGACGTCGACCCATAGGGACGGAACGGGTAGACGGAAGGGGTGGACCTCACCGCTAAAGATCATAACCCGCTCACCGCGGACGAAGAGTGAGTGCTCGTCCCATGTGACTATGTCCTGGGCAGGGTCGGCCCTTTTGTCCAAGCTGTTCCAGATGGTGGTATCGGCGAACCCTGGAACAGCGAGGGCGAAGCCGAGGAGGGCGTGCGTGACGGTGGCTAACAGGAAGGAAGACCTCATGGCGAGCGACGGAGGGCAGGTCCCCGGAGAGACATGCGTTCGCGGTCGTCTAGAGGGGTGGTGGAAGAGAGACGGATATCTAAACTATCTCTAGGAAAAGAGAGTAGGACGCAACGCTACTTGCCTCACGTATATAGCCGAGTTAAGCTAAGTGGTAGGAAGGGGAGGTTCGTTGTTGATAACGCATGAGCTCCCCCGCCCCTTATATCGACTTAGCCATATCCTGGGTAGCTATACGAGTAAGTCCAACAAGAGAGAGGAATTGGTCCTAGATTAAATACGAGGCCACCTCATCCTAGTGTTACCTAACAACAATGCCCCCAATTCTCGTTTGGAAGTGAGGGGAGGAGAAATACGCAGAGGGGCGTAAACAGAGGGGCTGAAAGTCAGGCATATAATACTCCGCAAAGGGGCCGGGCCGGGGCCCCCGGACAGGATTATGGACAAAGATGAGCGACACAACATAATGGGTGATACGATCGGCGCTGGGCGAGGAACATCAGCGACGAGATTCGGCTTGCCTACCGTATGGGGGCGGAGCCGGTGCCACGCGCAAGCAGGGGACACGCGCGGGCACGCAGATGTACGTATGCATGTGTGTATGCAGACATGCGGAGGTTGCGGATGTTCGTATACGAGACCTTGGTGACCTCACTCTGTTCCTTCGCTGCTCACTTGCTCGGCTAAAAGCCCTCGATGCAGTGGAAAGCGACTTGTACGGCGGATCTCGAACAAAGCCGGGTCGTTGCGGGGCGAGATGCCTAGGGAGGGGAAAAGAAACATAATAGGGTGGTAGCAAAGGCGGTGGGAGAATGCGGACGGGTTGCTCTCGATGCAACGGTACGCCGTCCTGTTGGCGGGGATGACGGACGGACGGACGTGTCCGGGAAGGAGGGGAATGGGGCGGTTGGAGGAGCTTCGGCGCATCGCATACCGACAATGCGGAGTAGCAGAGCAGCAGAGGAGCGAGTAGGGCTGCGCATATATGGCTGCGCATGTATGTGGGCATGTATTATATGCGCGCGCGCACGCTCATGTACCTAGATGTAGGAGTATGTGTGGGGACGAGAGCGAGATTGGGGACGGGAGCAATAGTGTGCGCGTTGCATGACTGAATCCCGTCTAGGGCGATGACGGCAAAGACGACGGCGGCGGCGGCGGCGGCGGCGGCGGAGTAGACGGACGGAACCTTGTTCTTTATGCTCATTGAACTAAGGAGAATGAGATCAAAAATGGGCGAATCACCTTCGAACCGGCTTCCCGTACGGGAAGGACGGGGAGATGACAGGCCAACGCAGACAGGTGGGTGGATAAAAAGGGGGGGGGTATTATTACCTAGATCAGCCTATCAGGAGTGTGTGATTTGCTATTATTTTCAGAGGAACGCCGGGAGCTGAGAAGGGACGGGACGGAGCGAGACAAGGTAGAGTAGGTGTAAATCGATCGCACTCAGTCGCACTGTCGACAATACACGTTTATTTATGCCTACACCTATACACCTAGGTTAGTATTCCTGCTCCCTGTGGAGGTGCGGTGCTAGAACATGAGTATACATGCGCAATAGAGGACATCTCCTAAGTGGCAATACCCTCCATCGTATGATATAATACGCAGAGGAGAAGGATGTTATTGTTATCAAGTACAAGACATGCAACCGGGGCCTTAAATACTCGAGCAGCGTGTTTCCCCAGAGTATTTCGGTTATATCAGTTGCTGATTCCCTCGATCACCTCTTCCATGTAATATGTATTATACGGCTGAGACGTGCGCTGACATCACGACTATCTCTAAGCCAACCTACCCCTCTACGGGCTACTCCTTCATGGACTGGGCGTTTCTGTATGGGTTTATTCTTTATATGTACCTACGTGCGCCGCCACTTAACCGCCTACGGCCCCCGAAGTCCCAGATAAAGCTAACACCTACCTATGTATAGACACGAAAACAGATCTCTATAATATCGCAAATCCACGTAACTCCGGTCATCCTTCACTTCTCCTCTTCGAGCACTACGCAAGGTTTTTCCTCGCCCGGTGAGGGGTTGGCGAGGACTACAACTTTGGTTTTACCCGACACTGGAGACGTGGGGACAGGGTCACAGGATCGTTGGGCGGGAGAGTGTCCATGGCGCCGGAGAGCATGCTGAAGTGGAAGGGCTCGGAAACGCCGTGAGGCTGTCGCTAAGCTCATGGAAGATGTCTTCAACACTGTTAATTCTAGACTAGAGGTGTTTGGTTTATGTCTATTCTCGACTCAAATTAATACCGCCATATCGGTCGGTTGCACACGGATTAGGGATGTGTATCGACAATACTGAAAGGTCTAGTTTCCAGCTGGGTGAGGAATGTGTTTCCTAGCTCCTTTCCGCGGCGTATACGAGGCCTATGTACGTCAACTATTAGATGCAACAGCTTGTGCCAGTGGCTCCGTTGATGGGCAGATATGTCGTGTCACCGTTTATTATTACCGCGTGTGGGCAATTGTACTTCCGGCGGTCTCTGATCACTGGGACGGGTGGCCCGTCGGTTGCAATCTGCACCGGGAGGGTTCGTCAAGGCAACCTCCAACTAAGTCGCTATGGACGACGAGCGGTAACGTCGGTATAGTCTCTCGGCGGATAATACTGCTTATAACAACAATACGAGTTACGTAGGTAGCTATTTCCGGTAGGTATAAACATGCTACTCAGAGAGTTATGATTACTTACGTGCCTCGCATCTTTAGATAGGAAGTTCAAGCGTCTACAGGTAGGTAGGTTAGTAGCTATAGGAGATTGCCCCGTTAAGCCAAAACACCCACCTGTCGGGTACTGAGGGGCGTAACTACGCTAGACACATAAGGGGCTAGGCTCAGTCTAGCAAGTTGCCAGACGGAATCCACGTGACTTACATGTCCAGCCGACTGTGCCGAATTGGTACAGTGCACTGTCCCCACGCACTTTTCTAGCCTGAGGCAGCCATTGTATTATTACCTACACCCCATAGGTGCTGCCTAGTAAGTGCCTACCTACCTAGGTAGGCAGTCTCGAGAATTAGCGCCGTTACGGAAAAAAGAAATGCACCATTCCTTGTCATCGGCTAAGCCCAATAGTTGCCTGATATCCTAATGTGGTGTGGTTCTACAGGAATGTGTGTTTCACTCCTTTCCGTCTCAGAGCCGATATCGGTCCGGAAAATAGTTTTTTGGGAAGGGGTTTTTTTCTCCCTTCTTCTTATCAGATCCGCGCGCAGGTCTCACATACGCCATATATCGCTTACACCGCATCTGGCAACTTTGGCCCGCGCCATTAATCTCCACCTGGTGGCCTCCCCCCCTATTCCTAATCAATCTCCGAGTTTTTATCTGATCCGCTGCTACCCGGCAAGCAACCATTGGGCTTGCCCGACCTTCCCAATCCGCTTAAAGTTATCAGATCCGTCTCTGCCGACCGCCAAGCGCTAAGCTATTGCGGTTCGCCGTAATACCACCACCATCAAGTGGCCGTACTTCTCCCCGTCTTCGTGTTTTTGTGCTCCTCGTTACGACCTTGGCTGGCCGGCTGGCCGGCGATGGCGATGGCGAATCGAGCCTGTTACGCGGGAGCCCGAAGCTGCTGAGAGAGACCTGTAGAAAACGGCCGCGCGATCGCCCGCATGAATAGCGCCAAAAGGAGACGAGGAAAAAAAGATCGTCCCCGGCTGCTGCAGCGGCCTATACCTACGTAGAGGGAAAGTCCTAAGGAATCGAACCCCCTCCTGGTCTAGCCTCGGCATAGAGTACATCACGGTACCTTGGCTACCACCCTCAGCGTTTGGCTTTCCGCATTACTACAGATGTAAGGTGAATGATGGGGTCTGTTGGATAGCGCCGCGCTCTTGTCTCGACAGGGCCAGCTGGGCGGGCTCGATGAATCGCACGCAGACTGGCATTAAAATGGCGACCCTGGGTACGTCCGCTCCCCCGTCAAAGGTAGGGTAGTAGGCAGGGTAACGAGGTTGTCTGCTTGTCGGGTTCCTTCTGGGGGAGCTTCTGGGGTTGCAGAGAATAAATGAAAGAAAAAAAAAATCAAAAATCCCTTCACAATTTTCAACTAAACAGTGGTTGCCAGGAGGAATCGATAAAAGAAAAACACAGCTCGTTCGGCTCCCGATTGTACCACCAGTCACGCATATCCCGTACAAATATTGCTCCTCCGTTTGTTTCACGTAAACAAGCTCCCGTCACGATGGCGACTCCCTCCTCCACGAACGAGCCAGCGCTCAAGCTCCCGCACCCGTACCTCACCCCTTACGTCCTTGTCAAGAGCTCGCGAGCCGTGGAGACAGGTGGCACCTGGCTACAGCTCAAGCCGCAGGAGGGCGGCACGGATTCGAACGTCACGAAACCGCTGCCGGAGCCCCTCCACAGCGATGCCCTTTTCTTCACCGAGCCCGCCGATCCCAAGTCGAATGAGCGGCCTCCCGAGTCCAACAACACGCCCTGGGGCCGCGCCCGCCGCTCCCCTCACTCGACCTTTACCTGGGACGCCCCCGCGGCCAATACACCGTCCCTTGCCCAGGCGTGGCTCGCCGTCTACATGCTGTTCACGCTGCGGCCGTCGGCCGAGGGCGTGCGTCTGACGCTCGCGGGGCCCGGATGGCAAGCCCTCGCGGCGCAGCTCAAGGCGGTGCTCCTGGCCGTGGACCACCCGACGGCGGCCGGGACGGTGGGCGAGGAGCTGCTCCTGCTGCGCGGCACCTTTTGGCAAGGCGCGGGCTCGCCGTTCGGGTCGCGCAGCGTGTGGGCGCCCGAGGACGCGCACGCGCACGCGCTGCCGAAGCCGCTCGCCGCGTACCCGCCCGCGCCTCTCGACCACATGCTGACGTCGGGGCCGGCCGCGGTCCCCGCGGCGTGGCACCCGCGGCGGCCGGCGAAGCCGCGCCCGGGCGCCGTCGTGTACAGCCGGTGGATCCCCCACCTGCGCGAGACGTTCAGCATGGTGGCTCTGGACTGGGAGGACCCCGAACACCTGCGCCTGTTCCACACCTGGCAGAACGACCCGCGCGTCTCCCAGGGCTGGAACGAGACCGGCTCCGTCGAGCAGCACCGCGAGTACCTCCGCCGCGCCCACGTCGACCCCCACCAGATCACCATCCTCGCCCGCTTCGACGACACGTACTTTGCCTACTTCGAGGTCTACTGGGCCAAGGTACGTGACCAATCACGCCACGCGTTCTGCTGTTCTCGTGTATTTTTTTCGTCTGATCTGTACACGTCTCTATTCTTATGATGTAGTCACTACCTATGTACGCCTACTAACGCACGCACTCCCGTCTCCCCTTTTCTTTGCACGCAGGAAGACCGACTGGGCGCGTACTACAGCGCAGACGACTACGACCGGGGGCGGCACTCTCTGGTCGGAGACGTGCGGTACCGGGGACCGCACCGGGTGACGGCGTGGTGGTCGAGCCTGATGCATTACCTGTTCCTGGACGACCCGCGGACGCAGTACGTCGTGGGCGAGCCCAAGTATACCAACAGCTCGGTGCTAGCGTACGACTTCATCCACGGCTTCGGCCTCGACAAATTCGTCGACCTGCCGCACAAGCGCTCCGCCTTCGTCCGCTGCTCGCGCGAGCGCTTCTTCCAGCTTGCGCCTCTCGCCGAGAGCGAGAAGGTTGTCGGTGGCACGCTCGTCGGCTTGGTGCCGAAGCTGTGAGCCGTACGCATCAAGTGCTTGGAGCGGCAGCGGTGAACGCTGAAGATGATCCGCGACGACTAGGACTTCTAAGGGCGGGAGGTTATTCCCAGATAGGCAGCTCGTGGAAAGCCATTCGGGTTGGTTGGCTGATTTGTTGGCTGGCTGACGGTGCCGACGAGTGGCGCGGGGGCGGTCTCTGGATATCGTACTAGCTGTCTAGGACCCCTTTTCCCCCTCTTGTTGAGTAGGCAAAATCTCACGCCACCTGTGGGAGGCCTTGGGGGGATTTTGGACAGTTGGGGAACAAGACGCGCAATTTATCATGCTTCTTAAAGGTTCAACGTCCGGGTACTGACCGGAATCTAAATCAAAATAAAACGACTCTCTTACCTCTTCACGTGTCGTCTCTTTATGGTCACATCATGCAGTTACATGACAATGTCAACGAAAGATTCTCCCACTCTACATTAATCATCCCATCCAGTTATGGCACCGCCTATCACCATTAGATGAAGTAAGTAGATCGGCTGGCCAGTCATTCCTAAAATACACATAGCACACAATTAAAAAGGTTAAAAAACACTATTTTCCTCCAGTTTCTCTGTTGTCATTATGCCTTCAAACCACCGAGGCGGATATGATCCCAGCAGACTGTTCAAGCGGTCAGTAACTAGCCAGGCAGAAAATCGATCACAACTACCTCGTCGCTCCGCCGGAGACATCGACACAGATACGCAATACGGTTGAAGAGGAGATGAGAATGCCAATGTAGGTGCCGAGGGAGAGGGATGTAGGAAAGGGGTGGGGGGGCGACTCACTTCTGAAGCCCAAGTCCTCCTCGAAGTACCACTCCATGATCTGGCGGCCATGCTTCATACCGTCTGTGCCGTAGGCCAGCGCGGTATTGCCGACGGCGAGGCCTATCATGGGGGGCGTGGGGCTGATCTCCATGAAGACCGGAGGCTCGATCTCGCCGCCCTCGACGCGGCGCAAATCCTGCAAAATCATCTGGTGGATATTGCGGCCGGCGTGCAGGCCCTGGTACATGGCAGACCCGCAGCGCTTGATGCCGGTCCAGCTGATCATGTCGCCGACGGCGAAATGCGTGTCGGCATTCGGCACGTGCACCGATGGCTGCAGCTGCAGCGTCGGCCGCACCAACACGTAGCCGTCGTCTGCGAGCGCGGCCGGCGGCAGGTACCCGGACGTCGGCACGCTGCGCGACACCGCCATGATGACGTGCGTCACCTTCAGCCGGTGGCCGTTCTCGAACTCGACCTCGTACGCCGCCGCGGCCTCCTCCTCGGTAGCTCCGTCCTTCTTCTCACTAGGAATGGGCGTCGTGCGCAGCAGCCGGTGGTTCAGCAGCACCTCCACGCCGCCCTGCTGCGTCAACTCCAGGGCGCAGTCCTTGACGCTGTCGGGCAGCGGCTCGGCCGACAAGAGCTTGTCCCGCGAATGCGCGAGCGTCACCTTGACGTGCGGTTGTACGTACTTCAGCTCGGCGGCCATCTCAATTCCGACGGCACCTAGAGCAGGAGGGACGAGGAAGGAATACGTGTCAGCGGCGGATCCGGTAGGGAGTTCATATTTGGGGGGGGGGGGGGGGGATAACGGAGCCGGACACTAACCTCCACCAACGACGAGCACGGAGGCGTTGGGCGCGGTAACCGCCTCGATGTGGCGGCGAGTCTCCTCGAGATAGGTCTCACGGGTGGTGGACTGGGGCACGGTGGGCCACTCTCGGCGGAGGCCCGTGGCAGCGACAAAGAAGTCGTACGATTGCTCGCGAGGAGTCCTGTCGGGAAACTCGAGGATGGTGGCGACCTTGCGCTCACAGTCGACCTTGCTGAGGGAGCCGTGGACGAAGCGCACGTCGGGGCGCTGCAGCACAGGGATGTCCTTGAACACGACCCAAGCCTTCTCGGAGTAGCTGACCGAGGACAGGGCGAGGGGTGAGCCGATGAGATGGTCTGGAAGGGTGAGAAAAGGTTGGTTAGAGAAACTGAGCGGTCACAGGCACGAGCACGAAAAGAACCATCCCCCCGCTAGGATATGCGTGGGGAGGGGGAGGGAGCGACGACGACGTACAGTAGCCATCACGCTCATCGACGATGGTGATGTCGATGGGGATAGGGTTCTCGATCGTGTCGCACTTCTCGATGAGGTTAACGGCGGCAGCAAGGCCGCCGTAGCACCCGCCCGCGATCAGGACGCGGTAAGGGTTGGCGGCGGAGCGGGCGGCAGCGGCAGCGGCCTGTGAAGTCATGGCGAATGTTGCTTTCGGAGAATTGGCTGTTATGAAGTGGGACCTCGAAAGAGGAGACGTCGCACGGCCGCGGGGGAGAATGTTGGTGCCGATTCCGTGGTATTTCAAGGATGGAGAAAGAGGGCCGAGGTGGGACTTGACCTGGCAGAGGCGATTGACTGCTATCGATGTTGGGCGTGAGAACATCCAACGGGCCCAGGCTCTCGCTACCTCTCAGTCTGGCCTTTCGCCTTTCTTTTTTGCTTATACCTAGGTGTTCTGTATTCGTTTTTTTTCCCTGCACCGAGCGGCGGTCTTCAAATTACCAGTGCAGCGCAGCAGGAAAGGAGGGGGGACAACAGGAGAGCAGGATTCAGGGAGGCAGCAGGCCACTCTTATTAACTAGCGTCAGCTTTGGGGAAATTGGCCGAGGGTCTAGGAGGATAACGTGACGGGGGTGACTGGCGGTGTCATGGACGAGGGAAACGCCGGCGAGGTAAGGTCGGGGAGTCGAATTGGAAAAGAAGACAGGAAAAAAAAAGTCTCAGGAAAACCCCGGTCATTAAGTACCTCGTCATCGACGGAGGGGATGCCCGGGTATGTGTATGTGGTAATATTTAGGAGCGTGTAGGGCCGGGGGTATGTGGGATGTAATAGCTAGGAGAGGGATGTAAAGGAGGAAGCAGAGCTAGCCGGCCGGGTTGGCTTGGTATTGCGTTGTATCGTATTGTAGATAAGACAACGGGGGTAGACGGATCCATTCAATATGTGCCTCAGGTCGAGTTACTAGCCGAACTATTCATCCGCACCATCCCGTATTTCGTTCTGAGGATTCTAGGAGAGCCCAAAGACACCTGTGCACATTTCCACCGACTTGCCAGGATCAGTTACACGATACGTTGTCTTCCTCGCCAGGTTGGTACCAGGTGCGTACGGCACACTAATCGGTAGGTACAGGCAGGTACACGGGAAATGTGCCCCCTTACCGAGTGCTAGGCCTCTCCCATCAGATAAAGAAGCGCCCAGTATCCCTACCACCTAGATGTACCCTAAGCTGAGGAGAGCCAAGCCGAGCCAGGCAATTGAAGAGAGCAGAGAAGAAGAGAACCAACCAAACAACAATACCTTTCCCGTCAGTACGGCATCCCGGTAATGGGCCGGGCTGGCGCTGTATATACATACTACAGGCGATGCTAATAGCGCAGCTATCTCGCAGAGTTAAGTGCAAATTTTGATCTGATAAAAAAGAGGGGAAAAGATGTCGAAGCGGTGCCTTTCCACATCAACAAACTAACTCGATCTGGCGGATGATGGCACGGTGGGGGAAGTGGGGACAGGAGTTATCAGATCCGCACTTTGCAGGGGTATTTTTTTTGCAACGCCTCGATGGACCAGGTGGACACGTCGCTTACGGAGTCGCTGCGAGATCGGTCTCGTCGACGGCCAACCATCGTCCGGCAATACATCGACGCCCCTCCACGCGAAGAGGACAGATGGTACCGCCGGATATGCCAACGGCAGAGGTAGACCTCGCTACGGCCTCGACGGGAAGAAAGCAGCGGGGCTGGATAATCTCAGGCTCCGCGCATTTCACCCGAGAGGCCTTGTTTTTATCGGGCGCCCCGAAGTAGATTTCAGGGGCGCCAAATCCGTATGGGTATCTCTTCTTTTTCCCTCCCCCCGCCCACACCGTCCGACCCGAGGTATCTCCTTCGCTTGTAGTCGTCTACGCATGATATGCATACATGCATACATACGTTTTTACTAAATGGTGTTGTGGGGTCACAGGAAGCGGACCAGCCAAAACGCACACTCTTACCAATAATACCTATAGTAATGATATATACCTTCGACTGACACGCAACTTTCGGACAAGACGGGGCCGGTAACCTGAATCAAACAACGGACCAAGCGGAAAAGAAAAGTGTGCGGAGGCCGTAACCGCCATCGACAGCTCGGGTCGTATAAAATGTAATGCTGCGGTTCCACTCCCTTCAACACCACCTCGCCGAGCTGATGCGTTCGGCATCCCTGTACGGTATTTATAAGTTGCAATTCCTTTCGGAATGAAATCAGGCACACAGTAACATCAGGTGTGTCTGACGTTGGTATAAACAGGATTCACCTTCATAGAGTACGCTACCAACCCTCTCCACTACGTGCGAAGATGATGTTGGCAGATGTATGCATCTGTAGTTGCAAGGGCCATTCTTTATTGTATTCGCAGCACTTCATCCGTTCCCAAGTTATTGGAAACGCTGTTCCTTCCCGGGGGAATATGGGAAGCCAGAAAACCTAGTAGCAACAGCCAGGAGCTATTTTACCTAGCTCATTACAGAGCCTCCCCCGGCATTCCTGTGAGGCCACGCATAGAACTGGTTTGGCCTCATTCAAAACAGAAAACGACGATTTCCTCCTCGCTTCCGTAATGAGAATTGTAGACAGCAATGAAAAAAAATCGAAAACTAAAGGGGAAAAAATTCCATCTCCCGAACCGCTCGATAGGGGTTCGAGCGATATGTCAAAAGCACCGTGGGTTCCGCAACACCTCCAGAGGGGGGCGTAATACCGGCCGGAGTCGTTGTGGGTTCCACGTGTTCCAGCTCGTCTCCAGTTCCGGCCAAGCCGCCCACGGCACCAGCAGGCGGTCCCCCGCGCGCGCCCACCCCGGCGCAGAAACATCGTCCGCGCACCCTTTCCTGAGCACTTCCGTCGCCGTTAGAGGTCCGATCGCGGGAGCGCGAGCCTACAGAGGCCGAGGATCTGCACACTTCGCCTCTGAGGCAGGGGTACGTGGCCGTTGAACGTTGACACACGAACCCGCAAGCATCCCGGAGGGGTCTGGTTAAGGGGCTCGCGAACCGCTGCCTCGCGTGCCCCACCCAGATGCGGTTCCTAGGAGAACAATAGTATCCTGTCCGTACCGAGCGTGCCGGCACACGACGCATGAAACAGAAGACATAACCCAACCCCCATGCCGAGAGGAGGGTGGGGGGAAGGGCCACCGGCAGATCCACTACGCCCGGGAGATCATTCCCGACCCCACCCGACGGGTGCGTGAGGGGCCGTTCGGGGACACACCGGGGAAACAACCAGCTTTCAGCCCGGTCCGGTGGCCCGATCTCGCAACGCAGCCGTAAATCGAAAATTCGCGGAGGGACACTCTGTGGCTCCCAGCGGGTCTACCACGTCACCCCAACCACGACCCGCTCCGGACTGGACCTGGGTCGGAAGCGCATGCCACGTGGGAGGGGGGGAGTTAATTAGATCGGTCCCAGTGGTTGGTTGCCAGCGAGATAGGAGCGTCTCTCAGCTAATCACTGCCGAAAGTCGGACCGGTTTAAGGGGCTAGTTGAGATAGGCTAGAATAATACGCAAACCAAATATTAGAATCAATGTAGTGGAATGGGCGGGATAGGAAGAGATACGTGAAGAGAATCGAAACGCTCACGTAGGTAGAACCTTTTTCAATGGGATCTGAGGCAGTCGATGGGTAACGCCAAGGCGAATGGGAGGATGAGTGAGCATCTTCACCTTTGGGTGTAGAAATAGTCAAATTTGATGCGGAAATAGATGGTGTACCTAGCCAAGTCAAGACCGTAAATAAGTCCCAAAGGTTGTTGCTTTACGCATCGATTGCTCTCGCCGACCCCCAGTCACCCATGCCACGCCTCGCTGTTGTAACCCAGGGCAGCTCACGTGCTACTATTACTTAGGCCGTGAATAGGAGAATGATCAAAACTGGTTTGAGTAACTCAAAGTGGGCGGCGCTTCGCAGTTACCGAAGTTCTGAAAATGAAAGCGTTACCCAACTTTTCGCCAGTAGATTTAGGCTACTGGGGTCCTATTTCTAGGATCCTCTTCTCTCCGCTCCCCAAGTATGGAGTCGCATATCTGTATTAAGGAAAAAATCGGGGGAGTTAACGGTAAACCCCAAGGCAAGAAGGGGCACGGTTAATTATAGTTATTTAGACTTTTCGTGCGTTATGGCGCGAGCCGTTTATCTAAGCTAGTTAGGTTGTAGTAGGGGGGGCTTATCCCTACGGCCATACGTGACCGTGTTCGTGCGCCCACAGAAGAAGATGAAGAGCTGTGCGGATTCGTTCACGATAAACTTCGGTTAGCCAACACACCTATCTTAGTGAAGACAGCAGCGCAAGCCTTGGTTAATAAAATACCAGATCCGACTACATGCGCAATAAAGAGTTTATGATCCATATGCCTTCGTTTGTGCATGAAAGCTTTTCTGGCAACTTTGGTGGGAATATAATCGAGTGGCTCTACCGCATCAGAACGGGAATTGAGCCTTCTAACGACAGGGCCACGGCGGCTGTCGCCACGATCCACCCTACAGAGAGTTCCAACATAGGATTTCCGACGGCATTTCCCGGGTGTCCCGAGAGGCAGGAGCTAGATGAGTCCTTTCGGCATCCCCGCTGCGCCTATTCTGGGTTGGTGACAGAGGTGGCTTAGTCTCAGCGGCGGTTGAGACTGCTAGAGCGGGCTAATAGGTTGCTACATAGGACGATCCAATGGCGGAATCCGTACTGTTGTCAGGGTGGATCTGCACGATTTATATGGCTAGGAGGGCAGAGAGGGGGAGCAGGAAACCAAACGGCGGAGTTCTCCATCTGGCGAAGTGAAATAGACCACTCTACTAGTGAGGTGAAGATACCCGAGAGTCGTAGTATCCTAAATCAGGTATGTCCCGCCCGCTATGGGAGATACCTAGGTGTTGAGATCCTGACGGTATGGGACAGGTCTTTCGACAACAAGACGGCTGCCCTGCGGAATCAGCTGAGTTGTGTCTTTTTCTGAAGGATTTTCTTTGCGAAGGATCTGCGACTTCGCTTGGGGACTCCCAAGATACAGAGCTTAGAATATCCTCGGCAGAACTCTGTGATTGCTATAACGTCGCGTTGCGTCTCCAGCTTCGAAACCGATCTCATGGACCAGCTCCGGCTATATCCCGACCGCGGAGCTCTCTGAGGCGAGCGAGAGCAAGAGTTCAAGAACTGAAT